GATGCGCATACCTTCTCTGATATTCGGCTCGTTCTTTGTCCCCGTGGGACTATTGTGAGACCGACGCATTGATTTCTGCTCTCAGTCTGACATGTACTAGTTGGTATGGCTGGTCTGCCCAAGCCAAGGCCCACTTCATGATGCCTATCATTGGTACTGCTATCTTTGGGTTCGGGTTGATGACGAGTTTGTGGGTGTGCTCCAATGCATTAGTCTCTTCCACGTCTAACTTCTTCACATGAAGCCTCCCCATTCAATTGTATCTCGTGGATACATTCACCTATGCTGCAAGCGCTATTGCAGCCGCTTCTGTTAGTCTTTCTTACATCATCCTTAATTTCATTGGCGTCCACTGAATATATCATCAGATGTTCCGTTCACTTCTTGGTTTTGCGTTCCCTTTGTTTGGAGAACAGATGTTTGCGTCACTTGGCTATGGTGGGGGGAATTCCCTGCTTGCAGGTCTTGCCATCATCATTGGTATACCCTTCCCCGTGTGGATATATTTTACTGGCGAACGTATCCGCGCGAAGAGTCCCTTGGCCCGTTGATTTTTCTTTTCCACCCAGATCGTGAAAGTATGATAATTTTAGAAGCGTCGAGTCACAATAACTCCGGTATCACCCCTATGATCACACCAGCTCAAGAAGTATCGTCATATGGCTGGGCTGTCGCGTAGGAACAGAAGAGCGATTTGGATGACTTGAGAGAAGCACAAGAAATGAGGGTTGTTGGAGTACGACGTTTGCGAGATTGTTCGTGGGTAGTCGCCTATTAATTTCGCTATGCTCGATGGTTCGCCTACTATAGGACCTTCGCGGACCATGATGCCTTTTGGTCACTGGCATCTCCAAATTCTCGTTCTTCACGACAAGCTGCTCATGAACTTGACGGGAGATACTTTTATTTGCATGCAAAATAAACGCAGAGGTAACATGCCTTGAGCACTAGGTTTCCACGGAAAAGATGAGTCCCCATCCTTTGTTCATCTGCAGAAGAATTCTAGGTCGAATTCGATATCATGCAACTTCTGCAACCTACGGTGATCCATTCAGAGAATTCATGAACAACGCTTGGCGTTTCTCGGTAGCAATGGCATCCCTCCCCTTACCGTTGGTGGGAATTTCGACCATGCTACACCGTCTTGTGCTCCTTGGACATCCTAAAATATGCCTTATCGTGAATTGACGCGTAACTTTGTTCGTGGCGTTGTCACGTTGGTGCTTATCATCCTGTGGCACCTCAGGCTTGTGGATATCTAGAATGAATTACTTAGACAACCCTTCATTCGCGGTTCTTCTTCCAACTCTCCAGACCTGATAAGACAGCCCGAAGCACGTCTTCCGTGCAATCAATCAGGTTATGGATTCAGGAAAAGAAACATCCTGTGAAGAAATTGCAGATTCTCCGCTCTTCGAAGGAGATGAAGCGCTTCGATTAGTGGGAACCCAAGCACAGAAATTCAGTGAAGAATATAATCGAAAACTCAGAAACAAACTTGTACATCCATTCAGTGGTTATCATAATCATGACGTACCGACTTTGCTGACAGCTTGACAGGACAAAGTTATTATTCCAATAACTGCTACGGTGTACTTCACCCAGTTTTTGTGAGAAAGCCTTCATTTTCGACTATCTGGTTTTGACCATCCTCAAAGGGACAAGACATCGCTCAATTATGCGAGGTCAGTCAATGACGGGATGTCTTGCACGATAGGATGTTCAACATTATGTTTAGCATCATGGGATTTCCAGTAACTGGACAGAACTACAATTTAGTTTCAATGGCGTTCTATCTTGGTAAATATGAGGTTGTCTTTCAAATGTTCTCGCGTTAATTACATCGCACCCACAGGTTTTATAGTTTGGGAATTCCCCACAGTATATATCGCCCAGAAGCTCAGACTTGGTAAATACCTCGGTGAGCTGATACTTATCCTAGGTGTGAATAAAAACCAAAACAATATCAGGCGTGAATATTATCATGTGGGGCGTCGTGCTACTCTGCCATGCGTTAGCAAGCTCCTTTCAGACTTTCTTCGCGCTTCGTTTTATTCTTGGTGTGTAGATATTTGTCTAGCTGATTTTCGCTAAGATTAGGCAGGGATGTGCGAGAGCTGTGTGGCTCCTATCCTGATCTCGATAATATCCATGTTTTATAGAAAAAATGAACAGGTGAGTACTCAATAATTCCGCCTGTGGTGAAACTGTATACAGGATTCGTGCAGGGAATTCGCATTGCATATTTTTACACAATGGTTAGTCACTTTCTTTTCTAATTTTTTCTTCTTGCTGAAGGCGACATAATAGCTTGGTTTTACTCAGGTCTTCGGAGGCTTCATGGCCTATGTATGTAATGCGACGTCACAATAAGAGGGCTGGACTTACTTATCAGCAGGGAATCTCGTTTTACAACGGAGGTATTATGGCACCATACAAGATTGTCTACTACCTCCTTGGCGGCCTTGCAATCCTCGTTGGAATAATCGCATTAGTGTGGTTACCAGATTCGCCTGTCAATGCCTGGATGCTTACGAAGGAGGAGCGCATCGCATCCTTAGAGCGAGTTAGGGATGACCAGGGGGGTACAGAGAACAGGAAGTTCAAGAAAGAACAAGTCATCGAGACCCTTTTGGATGTCCGAACTTGGTTAATCGTGCTTGCAACCATGCTAAGTGGGTATTCATTGCAATATTGCCCGTGCATGCCTCACTCTTATTTCAGCCGATATCCCTAGCGGTGGTCTCACCAACTGTAAGTCATCTCTGCCTTGACGACATGGCTCGGCGAGCTTGCTCATGGCCAACCTAGTCAGCAACATTATCATAAAGAATTTCGGATATACGTAGGGCCACATCAGTAATCTGTCGCAGTGACTGATGAATTCCCCCCATCCTCTCGACAGATCAAGGCAGACTTTGATCCTTGCCACTCCCGCTGGAATCGTGAGTGTCATCTCGGTGGTGATCTGCGGCTACTACTCTGATAAAAAGGTAATGCTCTGCATAACTGACATCGGGGCCGCACTCATCGATGTATATAGGGGGAACGCATGTTACCGGTGATTTATGCAACTCTCCCAACCCTTCTCGGCGTCGGTAAAGTCATTCGTCGTTTATAGCAACCTAAAGAAGGCTAATCACGTTCTAGCACTGATGATTGGCTTCAACAATAGCGGACAAAAGGGAGTTTTACTATTTGGTGGGCTTTGATCAACGCAGTCATCATGCACGTCAAAAGGTAACATTATTTGTAGGCTCATATCTCATAGGCTCGTTTGGAAGCACATTATCTACGATCTACGCATACAATGCCAGTAACACTAGCGGTTATACCAAGAAGGTACGCCAGGTATACCTTTGTCTCTGGGCATTGCTTGACATGGTTCGACAGCTCACCATCAATGCGCTCACCATGATCTTTTTCTGCGTTGGAAACATTATTGGCACTGAAATTTTCCAACCTAAAGATGCACCAGCAGTATATCCCAGGCAAGGCTGCCATCATGGTTTTGCTTTCAATGCAGATCGGAGTAGCATATCTTCTGCGCCATATTAATGTGAAGCTAAATATTAAACGACGAGCAATGATAGAAGATATTAAGAGGGAGAAGGGTTGGACCGATGACGACGTTCAGAAGGAAAAGGAGCGTCGTGCATTCGCCGACATGACAGACAAGCAGTAAGTAAGATCCAACGGAAGTGGACTCAGGCTGAATATGCTGGCAGGAATGTATTCTTCCAGTACGTGAATTGATAGCAGGACCATCTATCGCATCACAAGTCATTGGAACAAAGCCTGGGGAAATATACTATGCATAAATACAATGTCTGTGGCCATGTGGCACAAGGGGGAAATGCAACAACCATAAATAACATCCGTCTACCGGAAAACTTTCTCCCATAGAATGATTGCAATTACCAGGACTAGGACGACAATGATAGCAGCGGTGACGACACGTTGTTGGTACATCCTGCATAGCACATATCAGGCATATGGCTCCAAAACACTTATATCAGCATTAAACTAACCGTCTAATCATCTTCTTCAAAGTGCCTGAGGCTCGGTCAATTGCAGTGTCAGCGGTGCGAAGCTAGTGAGGCACGGGGTAAGTAATTATCAGGAATCAAGGGACAAGACTCACGGTATCTCTGGAATTCTCAATTTGTTCTCGTTGCGTTCTGAGATTCATCAATATCTCAGCACCCTGGTCCTCCGTCTCCAGGGCAATGCGTTGTGATTCTTGTAGCCGTCTCGTACCATCCTCGAGAGTAGCAGTCCCTGCAAGCAGGCGAGTACGATCACTGGTGGGTCCATAGGGCTCGTCTGACGTGGGCGTGCCCACTCTGCCAGATGAAAGAAGTTCCGCTCTGGATACCTGAGAATGGAGATCCTTGGAAAGCTTCTTGAACCGCACTAGGTCTCCCTTGGCGGTTTTGAGGCGGTTTTGGTACTGTGGCTTTATGGACTGGGGTATCCCCTGTATTTCTATTTCCATTTGCGAGATCTAGGGTTGACCATTGAGATCTGACTTCAGTGCCAGAGTCTATGCGTAAACCAACCATTTCGTCGGCCTCATCCAGCTCCATTTCCACTCTTCTGAGTGCTGCTCTACGCTGTTCTGTGCATATAACCCTTGTGAACCGATGAGCTAAGACTAGAAACTGCTACGTACCACCACGCTCATCCTTGCCGTCTCCGTCAAGTTTTAAGCGAATGCTGTCAATGACTTGTCTGAAATCCTGCTCATATGAGTCAAATAGCGCAGTCGGGGAGTTGTCCATGGTTTCTGCTACCCTACAAGGGTCAATGAAGACACGACTCTAGAAGGATGCCGAGGGAACGTCAACGGGGGATGGGAGTGAGCGTCAACTGCGCACGAGGTTCACGTCGATGTTGTCTCAAAAAGGAAATCTACTCTCATTCCAACACGTCGACTAGACCCTTGAGGTCGCTGTAGCTCGTATTCTCGACGCACCCCAGTCCTCTTACGCACAGTAATGGATAGGCTTTCATTATACTTGGATCCCCAGATTCGAGACTGGGTTCTCTTTCCAATCACTCTTGTAATGGTGAGTTTGGTTTAATAATCTCCGGTTCGCACTGTGGCAAGTGTTTACTATGTGTGCGGCCAGATATTGGTCGGAATACTGCGCCATTATGTGGTCATTCTCTTACAGTCGCCACCGAAAAAGCTCTCGCGAGCCGCAACCCGTGAGCAGTAAGTGACCCTCCTCTTGATGTCCCGACAACCTTCTGACACAATGACTTGCAAAAGACGTGCTCTCACGCGCTCTCAGATTCTCCGAGCTACATCCTCAAATTCCCCAATACCACCATCATTTTACAAAGCTATCTCACAGCATCTTTCTGAGGCCTACAAGGCCGGAACGTACCTGAAGGACGGACCGCCCAAGGCTGATGCCCCATCATCTGCTCCCAATCCTCTGTCAGACCCTGCTGCCATGGACGGCATGATGGCCGGCATGAAAACCCAAATGGTCATGATGGTCCCACAGATGGTTATTATGGGCTGGATCAACTTCTTCTTTCAAGGCTTCGTCCTAAGTGCGTGGTTTCCCTATAACACTTCAATACAGCACTCCGACCTGAAAATCTCTCAGTCAAACTACCCTTCCCTTTGACGCTGGGCTTCAAATCCATGCTTCAGCGTGGCATAGATACCCCTGATATGGATGTTCGGTGGGTTTCATCACTGTCGTGGTATTTCCTCAACTTTTTCGGCTTGAACGGCCTTTATCGACTTATCCTTGGCGGTGATAATTGTACGCGTCTCCGTTTATTTCCCGTGTTTCTATATAGTTGTCTGATGGGCTGGCGTCCGGATCTTCTTTCGTAGCTGCTGATTCATCGCGTGACATGACTACGTCGCCCTTTGCGGCCATGGGCAATGCGCAGCCAGGGCAGCCACAAGATTTCAACAAACTTTTCAAGGCAGAGCGGGATAATCTCGAGTTTGCTGAGGGTCTTCACAGCTGGGTGGGTGAAAACATGGATACTAAGATTCTACGGAAGTATGGGAAGCTAGCTGCCTTGTGACTCTAAATAGTTGATTATCACGTGGCTATGCAAGATTCTAGCCTTGAGATGCGAATAAAAATATGCGATACCGGAGCCTGGTCTACCGCTACATCGATGAAGGTAGACAGATCTGGCCATAGCGTAGAGTAAAGTATGGTGTGCGAAAGGCTTGATCTTGATTTCCGTGAGCCGATTGACCACAAGATCATCATCTGGAATACAACATGAAAAGTATATTAGGAGGAAAATTTAGCTGTGGAAATGAATCAGTGGTGGTTGACAAGTAAAATCAATCCGCTTGCACAAATGCCAACATCATGATCATACGAGACCATCGTATAGCGATAATGCCTACAAAAAGAACTTGGTCAGGGGACTGATCATGTGAAGACCCTGAGTGCTCACCTGAACGATGGTCGGGTCTTGCTTACTGCCTTCGACAAATTCATCGTACGTAAGCTGTGCGTCCTTGTTTCGGTCCATATTCCTGAAGATCTTATTCACTCGCTGTGGATTTGAGCTAGTGAGCGGAGACATTTCATGAAAGCGGAGTAGTCCGTCAAACGAACCTTTTCGGGAGTATCTTCGTCGGCAGGGAGCTTGACCATTTGTCCAGTCATCTTGTATATGGACGTTACGATCTGCAGCATCTCATCGTAGGTGATGAAACCATCTTTGTCTATATCGTATAACTGAAACGCCCCTGGAGGAAAGTAGGATCCATTGTGAAACGTCATAAGGGGTTTGTGTCAAAATGTGGGGAAATTGTACGTACACTTGAGCTTCTCGTCTAATCGGCCGCGACTTGTGACACTGAGAGCACAGATGAACTCCTTGAAGTCAATAGTACCATTTTTATTCTCGTCAAATACGTTGAAGACGTAGTCTGCAAAGTCTGCTGGATCCCCGAATGGAAAGAATTGTTTATATATACGACTGAATTCAGTCTTGTCCAGCTGGCCGGATGGACAATCTTTGAGAAAGCCCTTATACCTGTAGTGCGATTAAGGTGAAACAAACGCCACATGAGACGATAAATAGAAAGAACCATTGTTGTAGCTCTCTCTTATCGACTAGGGTCATGGCATCAGATAGAGTCGATACGAGATATTTCGGAACTGACAATAGGTGTTCTTCTGTAGATCTGCGAGTTGCTCCGGAGACAGTTTGCTATGAGATTTGCCCATGGTTGATTGAGAAGATTGAATGTGTGACTGGTTTGATTATAAAGAAGGATGTGTTATGTAGGCTACGTCGTTGCCACTGCTGGCGGGGTGCATGACTTCCATGGAACATCCCAAGTAGCTAATCTAAGCGCTGGAAGGCCGGAATTGTTTCACACGGGGTTCTAGAAACCAAATACGAAAATATAATTTATTTAATTTAAATTTGATTTGGAGATTGTGCTTGATTTGTCGAATTTACGATATAATTTGATAGAATAACCGTTTTTGGATTTTATGGTATCTACACGTTTTAAAACATGAGGACGACGTCGAACTAAAAGCGTTCGGGACTCGTGTTCAATTGTTACAGCAGGGGGGAGCGGCATATAAAGGATTCGAACCGATCTTGTCAGTCTGTTACTGACCTCCATCTTGTCATCGTAACTCATGATGCTCTCCCCTCAAACGGAACCGATCAGCAGAGCGCACCCAGGATACCGCATGCCGGTCCTGCCTTTGCCATTCCACCTTCTTTCTCTCAACCGGAACCCTTTTTTAGTTATCCTGCATTAGTATTTCATATAAATCATTCGCATCTCCTCCTCCCCCAATATCAGTTTCATCAATGTGCTACCTATATGGCTCGACTGACCCAACATTGGCTTTCTGTCCCATGTGTAAAGTATTCAAGCCGAGTGGAAACAGGTAATGTCCTTTAATTCATCAAACACTCCGAGTCACCTTACCCACGCTAGATGCCCTCACATCCGAGATGTATGTTACAACAGAGCCTTGCATCCTCGTCATGACGTCGTTCATCTGAAGAATGCCGAGGGTATGTATGTAGCCTTATAGCTCATACCCGTAATACTCACCGATCACTTTGAATCTCAGTCAAATCTTTTAATGGATGTGGTTATTGCAAGGTTATTTATTTTCATGTCAATCATCAGTATACTAAGCACCTCGATCTACAGTGGGCTCGTGCTAATCCATCGTCAAAAGTTAGCTTGCATCAGAACCCCGGTTGGCCCGGATGCTGCCGGCCTCCAAATCCCAATGAGCAGCGTCTCATACAGGCTGCAGATTGGCCTAGTGTCAGCATCGTCCATAGTATACCTATGCCTCAAGAGATAAAAAGCATCCTCGAAAGCGTACGAGGTGCCATCCTACCTGGTGTCTCACCCACAAATCGCAGCCCAGCAGCCCAACAGCAAATGCCATCACTGGATCGTAGAAACAGCGGTAGCAGTCCCACGACCAGGTCTAGCCCAACCTCTGGGAAGAATCAGGCAATGCCCATTCCAGCAAGAGGGCGCTCAGGTGAAAGTCCCGTGCAACAGAGTTCCCCTTTGACAGGAACGACACCGCGAGCTTCTGGGCCCTTGTCTTCATTTCCAAATTCAGCAGAACAATGCACATCGTCTCGTCGCCAGACAGTCTCAGAGGGGGTAGAAAAGACAAACCGCACTCCTTCCATGCGTAGAGCGACAGATTTAGACGGTTCGCTGTCACGGCGTAACGGCGGAGGACGACCTTCATTATCGTCGGTCTCCGCATCGTTAAACTCATCGAAACCTGGGGAGTACTGCCCGCCAGCTCCTTACCCATCTCCCATCGACGGCGTCCCCACGAATTCGCAGGATTCTCCATTATCTTTCCGACGATCTACATTAGAAGGTGCCATGGCGGCGTTAAAGGTTGGGAGCACTGCGGGAAATAGCAGTGATAGTGGTAGCTCGCAAGGCTCCGTATCAGATGCGACCGTAATCTCCGATGGGGGCTTCACAGATTACTTGTCAGATGAGTCGGAGGCAGAATTACAAAGACAGGCAGAGGCAAAGGCAGCTCTGGTTGCGCAGAATCAGGCAGAGGAACAAGAGTTCAAGGCTGCCAGGCAGCAACTTGCCGGAGTTGGCTTACGACCGCCTAAGTCCTGGGATGATACCAACGATGCTATTCCGCGCACTATGCAAAACGCAGGAAATCATGCAGTGGGCTATGCGCATCATCCAGCGTATGCATCTCCTGTATTCGTACCTGCTGCTGTCACACATTCTGCTCGCGGATGATAGGTGACTCTGCTGGACCTGCGCATTTTATCTATCATGTATCTTTTTAAACCTTCCGTGGTCGTCAATATTTGTTACCTGTTCTATGGGTTCCATTTGTACAATATCTGATTCAATTGCGTCGAACTACCTCACTAGCTATAGCGGTACCGATACTTGGACTAGCTAGTAAACAATTGTTTGCTTGTTCAAAGTTTGTGGTTGTGTTCAAAGACCTAATTGCGCCACTTCAGAAGCTCTACTGGTAGCTCCAGCCACAATCTGATGCTGATGCGGCATGCAAGCTGCTACCGTGACTGAGCGATACACTTTACCACCTCCTTTCCATCACGTCGATCCATGAACCTAGCTCGACACTCTATCACTGCGACAAACCCCATTCAGATCTTTGATACCCGATTTGAAGCAGACTGTCAGATATTCACTACAACGACACCTGCAGGGTTTGCTGTGTACCAGACATGGCCGCTGAAGCTTATTCGCAAGAGAGGTGGGTAGGTGGCATTCTTTCTGTTCGCTGTTGATCTTCATAAATCAAGCAGAGTTCACTGGAGGAACCCTCTTGGCCGCGGTGCCGTGTCACACTTCATCTCTACTCTTTCTCCTTGGAGGTGGCCGCAGTCCACTTTATCCTCCAAATAAGGTGGTTGTATGGGACGACGTGGCCGGAGAAGAAGTAGCAGAGCTAGAATTCAGGGAAAGGGTCAGAGGTCTTGCTTGTAGACGTGGATGGCTTGCAGTATCGTTTCGGAGAAGGATTGTATTATTCGAGATCGGGGAGACCATCGTTCGACGGAATGAATTCGACACCTGTGACAACCCTCGAGGTGAGCCGGGTTATCTACGTGTGTATATCGACAATTTATGCTCTTCGGTGTGCAGGCTTGCTTGCGATGGCTACTGGGGCATATTCAACTCTTCTGGCTTTCCCTGGTCGGCAGATGGGGCACGTACAATTAGTACATCTACCACCTTGTATTCCACCGACGCCAGTTGGTCCTCCCCCTTCTGTCCCACCATCTCGCCCACCACCACCACCATCAAAGCATCCAGTCTCAATTATCGCTGCACATGAGTCCTCCTTGAACACTCTCACCGTTCCTCAATCAGGTCGGATGCTCGCTACGACCTCGTCCCGCGGTACCCTTGTTCGTATATGGGACACGCTTTCAGGAAAGCTGATACGTGTATTCAGAAGGGGATCAGATAAGGCCGAAATATATGGGGTTGCTTTTCGCCCTGACGAGAAGGAAGTATGTGTTTGGAGTGATAAAGGCACTGTACACGTATTCTCTCTTATGTCCGGCCCCTCGTGAGTCATTCCTATCCCACCCATAATCTATTAACGTTGACACAATTGGATGGTACAGTAATCGGCAGTCGTCCTTGTCCCCGCTCGCTTCACTCATTCCTTACTTTGACTCCGAATGGTCATATGCTCAGTATCGGATTCCGACGCAAGCCTCTCACATATCATTATCTTCTTCCACGTCATCCCCTCGTTCGCCCACGGCTGATATTACCGATGAGGAGAAGTGCATGGTCGGCTGGATCGAAGCACCCTCTGATCGTAGTGAACCAGGTCGTGATCCATCTATGGAATACCAGCTCATAGCGCTCACGTACAGCGGGGGCTGGTATCGGTTGTCACTACCACAGTGGACGTCTAACATATCTTCGCTGTCCACGGGTGGGACCCCACTGTCCAGCTCCCCACCCAAGGCATCCTTGCATTCTCGTCCACGCACGAATAGCGTGTCATCTATCACAAGTCGCACGGAGAAGGGAAAGGAAAGGGAGCGTGACAGGGACCGGAAGGACAACCGAGAACTAATTTTGCAAGAGTACCGGAAATATGGTAGGTGGGATGGTTGGGGCTAGAGTGGTAATGATTTCTGTTGTCTTGTTGTCTCTTGGTTTTGGATCATGCACTACTCGTTCCCGTTTATAATCGTTCACGACTCGTAGTAACCTCGTAGTTCATTTTTCATCCTCGCATTATCTTGTTTCTGCTGCAGATGAATGTTATCTTGAAGACCTTCTCACGATTCTATAGAGTTTGAGACCATGTGCACTTACTATGATATCCGAACCGGGACACACGGGGGTACCACTAATTCAGGCTTAAGATCATCGTCTACGCAGCAGCCGTATTGACACTTTTATCATGCCTATCGTTTCGGTCGGTATGCCTCTGGGACCGGGATGCTCCACTTGCGGCTATTGTGGACCACTGGGAGAACGAAGTAGCACTGAGACTAGCTTCAAGAAAGCAGGGCTTATTGCCTCTCAACTATCATGTGAAGTGAGTCCTTTCAAGTGACGGCACGAGACACAAGTTATCCTCTTTTTCTTTTCTGACAGTCTGTTAGGTCTATCAAAAGATGATCTACAGAGGGTGGAGACGATCTGGGACATATTGTTATGCTCCTGATCTAAGACGCTCGTGTTGTCCTCAGTACACTATCAGGTACGTTGTCCGTGGATGTGCTGCCAGTGCGAGACTCTACTTATCTGAATTCAATCTCAGGCTTGATGCGATAGAATTTAAGCCTTCTCGCAGCCAAAGAAAACTCATCAACCGGTGAATATCTCCAGATGGACTTGAACTTGTCTTGGTGGATTGGTTGCTGATCTGAATGTTCACTTTTGTGTTTAGATGGAATCATTTTGTTATGCAAGGTCACAAATCCGAGACTAGTGATTCCCTGCTACTACATGATATATCACCTTCCCCGATGCCAACCAGACCATCCAAGTCAGGGGGTAATGCTTCGAAGCGTGATCCTCCACAATTTTCTCTGTCTACCTCGATACACGCCGCCGAGTCTGACTTCATTTCTCCAAATCTAACAGCCCGTCATAATTTTAAGGCATGATATGCACGACGTTCCTCACCATCCATATTAAAGTGCTATAATAGGTGACGCCCGAACCATCAACCTACTCAGAAGAGAAATATGCGCTTTATCTGCTGTACCAAAGACAGATCCACCACGACCCACACAATACACCGGAAGATTTCAAGCGTTTTCTTGTAAAAAGCCCTCTGATAGTACGTTTCTTTGCGATCACACACCCAGTGATCGGCGCTGACACTTCGCCTTTTGAAGAATGAACCTATCCCATACCCTGCAAGCGCACCTGACCATCTTCCGTCACAATATGGTTCTTTCCATCAGATGTATCGACTTGACGGCGAACTGATCGCCGTGGGTGTCATTGATATCTTGCCTGGATGCGTCTCCAGCGTGTATTTCATGTACGATCCGAAACACGACAAATATTCCCTTGGGAAGGTCAATTGGTGCACTCGTCGTTTCTTGCGCGATTGAGCAAGCTGTATTTCTAGCTCAGTGCATTGCGAGAGGTCTCATTGGCCAGAGAAATATATGATGCAGGTGCCATTGCCATGTCATCCCTTGCCATGGGTGAGATATCATTGCCGTTATCGATGTGCCCATCTAAGCTGTGCTCACTTCATTTCAGGGTTTTATATCCACTCTTGCCCAAAAATGAAATACAAGGGCGGGTTCTCGCCTTCATATCTCGCCGACCCTGTAAGTGATGATGTCACTGACAGCTTGGCAGTCTGATTAGATCCTTCTGCAAATTCAGGAAGAGTTTACGTGGTTTCCCTTAGCAGATTGTATTCCGCAACTAGAAAAGTTTCGCTATGCCGCTTTTGTGCACCCTGAACATTCGTTGGAAGGTCCACAGGATCCTGGTGAAGGTATGATTGGATGGCCATTTGGTAAACATGATGTATTCACATTTCCCCATTCAAGACCCACCTGTTCGCGTCTCGGAGGAGCTACTCAATGAAGTCATGGTCATTTATTCCATGCAGCAGGGGGCGATATCTATCATCCCTGTCAGCGTGAGTGGCTGACAACTCGATCGCTTGGAAGCTGAAATGGTCTCCTAGTTATCTCACCAGTGGAAAGATGAATATAATCGCGATGAGATTTTAAGCTGTGTCGATGCCTTAGGAGATGAGTTATCAAGGGAGATCATATTTCGGTAATAGGCGATGATCCGACACCTGTATTTTTTCTATTTGTGATATGTTGTTGAATTAGTTGCGCGGACGTTCTCGGGATGTACAAGCTGATGGAGTTCTCATTTTTAAGACCTGCAAGTGTTGGTCAGCACGTGATCGTGTTTGGCGGTTGAACATTCTGAGACGGGTTTTTCAGATCCGCTGAAAAGCTATCGGGCTGGTCTTTGAAGTGATATGTCATTATTCCCGAAGTTTTCAAAGTTAAGCAGGCCATTAGCCTCCAGACGGGTTCACACTACTGCGAACCCAGAAGGGGGTTTCAGGATGGCATGGGCTTTAATTAGCAGGCCATTGCGATGGATATACTGGCTTCCTCTTGGCCTGGGCTTCACACAGTACTTCTACACTCTGAAAACGATCAGAGGAAGGAGCATGCAGGTCTGTCGTGAACTCAAATGGTCCAGAGACGTTTCTGACCAGTCTTGCGTGCCAGCTAGCCAACTTTAAATCCGGATACCTCAAGTTGGGATGACATTGTTGTTTTTGACAGATATTCCATGAACTCTGGAGAGCCTATTCGAAAAGGCGACATCGTGGCACTTCGGTACGACCAATTACTTGGGCATGGGGAAGCTGCTGATATCTCCTTTGTTCAGGGATCCATTAGATAGTAGAAAAATGATCGTGAAGCGAATCGTAGCTGTGGCAGGGGATGCTGTTAAGACCCTGCCTCCATACCCTGATGCCGAAGTTTTTGTCCCCGAAGGTCATGTTTGGGTGGAGGGTGAGATGCGTCATTTTCACTCGTGCAAGTCTTGACGTTGCATTAGGTGACGAACCTTTCCGGACTCTGGATAGCAATAAATTTGGCCCAGTGAGTCGCTATTCCCCTAAATTCATCTGCGCTAATGCTTCGCCTCAGGTCCCCCTCGCTCTTTTAGACTCCAAGTTGATGTATATCGTCTGGCCATTGGACCGTATAGGGCCACTGCGTCCACCTATTTCCCCAGTCTCCAAGAGAGGTGCCTCCCGAGATTTTCGGTGGTATAGCGACATGGCAGCCTTCGAGCGAGAGCAACGTAGGCAGTCGAGGGTAACTACACGCTCGACGACGACGTCTCACTCGTAACCTAGCTGGCTTTTGCAAGGTATAATTACGATTCAAGCGACGGGCCTGTGACGGACCTCGTGTTCTCTGAGCACGCCTTCTGGAGTGTTGACTTCCTGGCCTATTGTCTTGATTCTATCAACCTCTGTAGGTAGGGAAATGTCCTTCTGCAAAGAGACCTCTACTGGCAAGACGTCCTCGTGGTAAACACAAAGATGGAATCAGAGGAATTCCTTGGTCAGAGTTTGACACTGCCAGCAGCGGTTTTGACGCTCACTACACACTTCAAGCTAGGAGTTTTATGCAGATGGGGACGGTTAGGTGTTGAACCGAGATATGGAAAGGCCAAGCCCAGGTCTATTCATATAGCGGTCCGACATATAGCAAGTTTATGCTCGGGGGACTTGCCAATCAAATGCGTGTATTGCAAAGACGCAACATTGCACACTAATATTGTGAACAAAGCTTCGTTCTTGTATGCTTGGTACAATTAATTGGTTTGAACACTAGTACTAGCTGGTTGGCTCTACGTAATATCGGTCCCGACACATCCATCCCGCCAGTGATGTCGTGGGAAAGGAGTGGATACAAGTCATCGAAAGAAAGTACCCATCACATCGGCCATCGCAACTTGAACTTGTCCACTACGAGTCGTGTGTTACGTGACAAAAGGAACGGACCCTACTTATCATTCCTTGTATTATCCAGAAGGTCCACTTCAATATGTCTATTCTCCAGCATCTTGACCAGTTGATGTCCGCTCCTGGCGAACATGCTGTTCAGAACTTCAATGATACCAAACAACTGGACGACTGGATAATGTCTGTTGCATGTCGATCATGTCTTTTGAGTCAAATAAGGACTCACATTAATCATCTAGGCCCAAGTCGTTCACGAGTCCAGGTACTCTGTTCGACTGACATGACCTTAACCGACGAACTCACCACGCATAGATGTCAATGACGATCTAGAACAGGATTCTCGAAACTCCATTACGGATGTCTTTATCACTGGTCAGAAATTGTCGCTACCCACGCCTGAGCACCTAATAGGTAGATTGTCAAGGTTAGTATTCCTGGGCTCGTCACGTCCTTCTACAGGAGCCTCACGATCATAATACGTAGCAAACCAAAGGAAGTTCTAGAGCATATTTCTGGTATTCTGTCGACTACACTGCCCGATGATGTCATATCAGGCGAGCTCGCTGATCTGGTTGGCTTTGATGACATCGAAATTGTTGCAGAATTGCTTGCCTCTAGATCTTACTTTGTGGATGCAGTCAGTAATGATCAAGTGCATCACATTTAATGACTCACATTGCCTAGTTATCTGGACGAGAAAAAACGACATTTAAAATCTCGACCTCAGAGAAAGCGAAAACAGGCAGTTAGTGTTGTCCAATATCACCGTTCATTACTAACGTGCGGTTCAGCTGTAGTTACCAGCCTTGCTCCGCAGGATATTCGTCGCCGCCTGGAAGGGACTCTCAGGGCGAATGCATCTCGTCCTTTGTTTACTGGTGTGGCAGTAAGTTCATTTGCATCCCGACGCGAGTCCCCGCTCAAAGTATCCAGCAAGAAGCTCCAGAAGTGCTTCCACATGTATACTCTGCGTCTATGATGCAAGGCGGTTTGCTTTCACAATTCGGTACCAAGTACGCACGTCCACTCGGAACTACAACACATGACTACGAGGTCGGTTACAAATGCCTTACTTCATCCTATCTGCTCATCAATGAGTCAGGAATATGAGGAAATCATCATTCCTCCTGCCAAAGTCGTTCCACCCAGGACATCCGAAAGGCTCATTCTTGTCAACGAACTCGATGATTTGGCTAGAGGCTCATTCCCTGTATGCAGCCCACCATTTCCCTCCTTTATATATATATCAAACCTTTTCTTTCAGGGATATTCTTCCTTAAATCGCATACAGTCTATCGTCTATTCAACCGCTTATGAATCAAATGAGAATATCCTGGTTTGCGGTGCGTCTTCTGGTTGTGCTGTGTGGTCTTTAGCACCTTAACGGCGATTGAACAGCTCCTACTGGTGCTGTTAGCTTATTCTAGGTGTCATCCTTGAACTGTAGCTTATGGAACTTATATTACAGGGTAAAACTGATATTGCGATGCTAACAATTCTTCGGGTTCTCAACCAGCACCGATCACCCATCAGTCCATCATCACCTCTGCATGCTTCAATAGATCGCAATGCCTTTCAGATTATCTATGTGTGAGCTTTCAACAATGTTTTGCTTACAAAAAGGCGTCCTGACTTTTGAAAACATAGTGCACCTATGAAAGCTCTGGCTTCTGAGATCGTTCGAAAGCTGGGGAAAAGACTGAAATGGCTCTCTATACAGGTCAAGGAATTGACAGGGATGGGAATTCTCTCTGATACATGCACCGCCTGTTAATTTTCTGTCTAGGTGATATGCAACTGACAAAATCTGAAATCGCCGAAACCCAAGTCATAGTCACTACACCTGAAAAATGGGATGTCGTAACTCGAAAGCCCACTGGCGAAGGAGAGTTAGCTTCAGTATGTCTCTACGTTAGTTCCTGTTCTGTCACCTGTCTGACTGTCTTTTGTATGTAGAAGTTGAAGCTTTTGATCATTGACGAGGTACATCTTTTGAATGAAGAACGTGGGGCTGTCATCGAAACTATCGTTGCGCGCACGTTGCGACAGGTACATGTTCGTTCTCTTAGGGGTGAATTTGTGGCCAACTCGTTTGTAGGTCGAGTCAAGTCAATCTGTCATTAGGATAGTGGGGCTCAGTGCAACGTTGCCAAACTATTTGGATGTCGCCGAGTTCTTGCAGTTTGTTTGCCCACGTTATTCTTTTCCAGTTCAATCAGACTCAACTCATAATCAGCGCGTCCCGATATAAAGGACTCTTTTTCTTTGACTCTTCCTTCCGACCGGTACCTTTGGAGCAGCACTTCATTGGAGTTCGAGGAAAGCCTGGAAGCACACGATCTAAAACGAACCTTGACCGCGTCACGTACGAGAAAGTTTCCGAACTAGTACAACAGGGACACCAAGTAATGGTGTTCGTTCATGCGCGTAAAGAAACAGTGAAAGCGGCGCAGGCTTTGAAGGATGCGGCGACAATAGATGGCACATTGGAGGATTACAACTGCGAGGAACATCCTCAATGGTCATTTTTCCGAAGGAATATAGGAGATTCTAGGAACAAGGAGATGAAGCAACTTTTTGATCTTGGATTTGGTATTCATCATGCCGGTATGCTGCGATCCGATCGAAACATGATGGAGAGGATGTTCGAAGCTCGAGCTATCAAGGTCAGTGGTATTGACGGGGAAATGACGCAGGTGGAAGTTAATATATCGGAGGAAGGTTCTTTGTTGTACAGCGACTCTCGCGTGGGGAGTCAACTTGCCTGCTCATGCAGGTGAGATATTTTTGTTGTGTCCTTCATTCTTCTCTCATCAAGGAGTCAAGTTGTAATCAAAGGTACTCAGTTGTACGACAGTGCAAAGGGATCCTTCGTCGATCTCTCGGTTTTGGATGTATTGCAAGTGTTTGGCCGTGCTGGTCGGCCTGGTCTCGAGACAAGTGGTGAAGGATACATCTGTACTACTGAAGATAAGCTCGTACACTATGTTGATGCCATAACGTCACAGGTGCGTTTATCCAGCTATGACGAACGATAAATGCTGAACGATCATCCAGAATCCGATTGAATCTCGGTAAGATGAACGATTGGCTTTATGTCGACAATTTTCTGACAAAAAGTAGGTTCATTTCAGGCATTGAAAACGCACTGAACGCCGAGATTGCTCTTGGTACGGTAACAAATGCCGATGAAGGTGTTCGATGGCTAGGATATACATATTTGTATGTTCGCATGCAGAAGAATCCTTTCCTATATGGCCAGTTTTTTAGAATCCTGTCTTATCATAGCAGCTGACGCTTCATTTAGGTATGTCTCGGGACGATGTGGCAGAAGATCCCCATTTAGGCCAGAAGCGAAATTCTCTAGTCATGACAGCGGCTCGAAGACTGGCTAGTGCGGGGATGATAAACCTTACTGAAAAAACTAGTACGTTTTCGATAACGGACCTTGGCAGGATAGCGGCCAAGTACTACATTCGATATGCCTCCATCGAGGTCTTTAACAAGGAGTTCAAACCCAAGATGACCGAAGCTGATGCGCTTTCCATGCTCAGTATGAGTACGGAGGTTGGTTGTCTGTTTTGTGTCTTTGATGTCAGTTGACATTCAACCACAGTTCGACCAAATCCAAGTGAGAGAGTCAGAGATGACGGAACTAGAGCTTCTGATGAAGAAAGTTCCATGTGACGTGAAAGTGAGTAAGGTCCCTTGAGGTTCCAGAACATCACTAAGAGTTTCGGCACCAAGGGAGGGACAGATACAAGTCAAGGCAAAGTCAATATTCTCCTTCAGAGCTACATTTCTCGCCTTCCGGTCGAAGATTTTGCCTTAGTTTCCGACTCAGCATATGCAGCACAGAACGGAGGACGCATTGCACGAGCTCTGTTGGATATAGCGATCAGCCGCAAGTGGGCTAGTGTGGCCACGGTTTTCATGGGTATCACTAAAGCTATAGAGAAACGTCTTTGGCCATTCGACGAACCTCTTAGGCAATTTGATCTCAAGGCCGAGATTATATATGGCTTAGAGAATTCAAGAGAGGAGTACTCGCCCGCGGAACTAGCTTCCATGACTCCGGTAGAGCTGGGTAATCTAGTTCGCTTAAATGAACGGCATGGTCAAGCGCTCCGGAATGCAGCTCGGCAGTTCCCTACGGTCACGATGGCTAGCTCACTTCGACCGTTGGGGTCAAATGTCCTCAAGATTGCAATTTTGGTTACTCGAAACTTCGACTGGAACGTCAAAGTGCATGACTTGGGAGAGCCTTTCTGGCTGTGGGTCGAAGATCATGAAGGCATCGAAATTTTGCAGTTTGCGCACCTTCTATTGCGGGAGTCGACAAACTCCCTTGATGTGAATTTCGTGGTTTCGATACCGACCGACATTCCTCCACCTTATTTTACCGTCAGATTTGTATCTGATAGATGGATGGGGGCCGAAGATGAACTCCATGTATCTTTGGATGGACTAGTTATGCCTGCTCCCTCTCATGGCCATACCCCTCGTTTGGATCTCCCATTTCTCTCCCGTTCTTCGTTGTGCCTTCCTGTACTCGAAGATCTCTATTCAGCCCGACTTCACGATTTCAATGCTATTCAAACACAAGTGTTTTGGAGTCTTATTAACACTTCGATGAATGCGTTGGTATCCGCTCCCGTTAGTAGTGGCAAGTCCCTCATGGGACATCTAGCAATATGGTCAGTAAAGACATTTGTGGTCCGAATTTACTAAAGTGTCTATTAAAGGACTACCCTACTCCTCCATCCGAGGTCCTTGGTGCTTTTCATTGTCCCAAACCGAACTCTCGCTGCCCAATCTCTCTTGGACTTCCGTGTCGTTTCCCATGCACTTGACGTGACGGTCGAATTGTCTTCTGGGGAAGGTTGCTTTTCTCCCTGCCGGACCAGCACAATACGTGTCGTTACGCCGTCGGGACTGCTTGAGGCTGTTGATAAGCGTAACCTCCGCCACGCAAACTATCCATCTGTTGTAGTGTGCGATAATTTGGAGCAACTTGATGCAACCTATGAACTCAGTATATCACTGCTACGACACACAACGCAAAATCATCTCACCCGATACGTCGGCTTGTCGACCTCTCTCAATGACCCCACGGACATCGCTTCATGGCTGGGTGTAGATCCCATGGCGCTCCACAGTTTTCGACCCACAGATCGGGATCAGTCACTCACAATCACATACCAGACTTTTACAATACCGCATTCAGCTGCACTGTTTAAGTCCATGTCGAAACCAGCGTACATGGCTATCAAAAGCGTACCATCTCGTGAATCTGCCATCATTTTCGTCCCTTCTCGCAGTCATTGCCGGACGGTGGCGCAAGAGCTTATCACACAGTGCGTCCTAAACACGGAGACAGAGAGGGGCTTCCTCCCAGAATTTGTACTTCCTCTTTACATTGAAGACTGTTCAGCACGGTTGCAAGACCCGACATTGGTTGATTTCGTGACACGCGGTGTAGGGATCTTCCACAGCGGGATGTCAAAAGCAGATCGGAATCTTGTTCTGGAGTTATTTGCTGAAGGCGTTGTTCGCGTACTTCTGTCGCCTCGTGATGCTTGCTGGATGCTGCCTGTCCGGGCGGGAGCCGTAGTGGTCATGGGCACCCAGTATATTCATCTTGAGAGAGATGGCTCTGGGCCGCAGCTGCGAGATTACAGTCTTGTTGACGTAGTCCAGATGCAGAGCCGGGCTGTGAGGCATGATGCCCCTGGCCACTTCTTCCTCTTTTGCCAGGCGGAGGTTAGGGAGACATTTTCCAAGTTCCTGGCTGAAGGACTTCCGCTTGAATCGGAGCTGCTGGATTCATCCGTGTTTGAAAAATGGTACAGGGAGAGGAGAAGAGACGGGTCCATCAGAAACAAGCAGGATGCTGTTCAAGCACTGTCCTTCACGCTCCTTGCGCGAAGGCTGGTCAGCAACCCGGTGTATTATGACATGGAAGCGGGCTCGCAAAATGAAATCCTATCGCGCCTTGTTGACAGACTTGAAGAGTCCGTTCTATAGCTATGTACGAAAACACCACTAGGCGTGTATCTCCATAGGGACTCTGATAGCGCACGTTCATGTCTAGACCCTATACAAGATACTTCGCCAAACCTTGCAAACGCTCCCCAGCCTTCCTGAGTGTCTCCTCATCCTTGCAGAATGCGAAACGCGCAAAGTTCTCGCCGATGGTGCAATGCTCCTCACAATAGAACTATGCGATTGCATGAATAATAGTTCAACCTTGAAGCGTACTGACTTACCTCGCTGACAGGGATAGAGGATACACCAATTTCAAGTGCGATAAACCAACAGGCCCTGAGTCGTAGCCGGTTAGAATGAACAGAGCAAAAATGGGTGCACATACTTGAAATCGCGTCCTCGCCCTTGAACTGACTCTGGGAAGGGGTAGTCCTCAGGGAAATTGACACGTGAGATATCCTGCAGATGAAACGCGTAAGTTGGCTATTTCATCGGTGCAACCAGCGCGTACCAGAAGCACGAAGTAGCTTCCTTCGGGATGACTGTATTTCATACCAAGCTTATCGAACGCGCTAAGGAGTATATCACGTCGCCCCTGATACTCCTTAAGCTGATTCTCGAAGAAACCACGTTCCGTGGCCTGCTCGAGTCCGGCAGCAGCAGCCTCCTGTAGCGGAGAGTTTGAACAGAACACGATTCGCGTGCAGGCAGCGAGGGTAGGAATGATGATTGACGGCGGGCCAATTAGCCAGCCTACACGCCAGCCTGTGGCAGCAAATGCCTCTGGCACATAACGTAAGATGGACTTCTACGGCTGAATTATCAACTCACTGCCAGCAGATAACACAGTTACTGTGCGGTCCCACATGCCCGGTAGCGTGGCAAAGCGGACGTGCTCCTTTCCATCAAAGACGAGACAGTCATACTGGAAGGCGATTAATTGTTGCAACAAACTTCTAGCAACACGAACAGGAAACATACCACTTCATCTGCCATCACTAGAAGATTAAATTCTTCTGCGAGAACAGCTATCTTCTCCAACTCTTCTCTCGTGAAGACCTTACCAACGGGGTTATGAGGGGTGTTAATGATAATCATTTTTGCTTTTGGAGTGATAGCACGGCTGTAAGGTTGTAAATAGAATTCCTGATCCAACAGATCAGTCTACGTACCGCAATTCATCAAAGTCGATCTTCCAGTTGTTATTATTTGGTGTCCCATCATCCGCTTGAGGATGAAGGGGGACGTAGACGGGCGTTCCACCGTTGAAGGTGACGGATGGCAGATATTGATCAAAGAAGGGCTCAAACATGATCACTTCGTCTCCATGCTCAAGGAAGGCGGTGAAAACGGAATACTGTCCTGTAAAAATCCTAAACGACAGATTGGTAGAATGAAACTAGACAAACCTTGGTTTGCTCCACTTGTTACGAGAATTTCAGTCTCGACATCGAGATCTCTATTAAAGGACTTCTCATAAAAGTTCTTAATGGCGTTCCGCAGACGAATGCGCCCTTTTGGGTGCGAGTAGTGGTTTGGCAAAACGGAGCCGAGAGCTTCATCGGCGGCATCTGTGACCCATTTCGGGGGAGGGAAGTTCATATACCCTTGGCCAAGATTAATACAGTCTGCGGGGAGGTTCGCTGCACTAGAGAGGATCGATGAACTAGTACCCAATTATTACAAGATATGGATGTTACTTGTAGATCGACCACACGTCTTGCGCTAGCGCTCGACCACCACGAAGTCGTGAGGAGAAGGAAATGAGGTTGGAGCGATCGCCATTAAGGGCCCCCTTGCCACCGTCCTGAACCAAAGTTCTACTGATGGATGTCATTAAACGGTATTGAGTGTTGATGTTAGGAGGTGAAGAAAGTCGACGTTGAATCGTACGAAAAGCCGATGATTTCCATAGAGTCATGCTATCTTTTCACTTTATTGGATCACGGCGGGTGCAATATATATGACCCCGCCATTATTAAAAACGCCATTATAAGCACATCGAAATTGAATTGAATGCGATGGAAACGAAACATTTGCACCCTCCAAACCCGCAGTGAAAATCTATTTTTGGAAGTTTCATCTTGGACTCACTGGCAAGTATTTGGCAAGCATCTTGTCTTATCGACGTTAACGCTAACGCTGGCAAGTGGTCAGTCTACACGTCTTTCAGCTAAATCCAAATATGGCAATTAATTCCCACAGTAGAAACTTGTCACTGATCATCGAGCATTGGTTGTACGAGCAGAAACGCATTAATTCGATTCATCATGGCCACTCCAGAACTGGGCAAGCCTCATTTAGGGACTATCGAGGAGTGCGCATTCTTTTGCCTTGCGAACGCGTCCTTAAATACTGACAATTGTCAGGTCTTGCTTGTCTGATACACAGCTGTCCCGAACTGCTAGCGACGTTTCTGACCACAGTGACGAGGAAGGATTCACATACCCTGAATCAGACTCGGAAGAGGAGGAATTTGTTTACCCTGGAACCACTGAGGAGACTGCCGCTGTCACTAGTGGAGGGAGGCCACCTGCCTCAGAGGAAGTGGCGACTTCCAATGCGGATCCGGAAACAGAGCAAGAACAATTGCCTGTTTCACTTCCTGTGGTGCCAGTAGATGTAATTACATCTCCAGTATCTCCACCAGCTGCACCGACCCAACCTCATCCATCTCCTGCTCAGTTGGAAGCTTTGTCTGCGGCTGCTTCTTCTGGGGACCTGTCTCTTTTGAAGAAGCTCTTTCAAACAGCTTCGCAAGGCGGTGAAGTTGAGGCCTTTTCACTGTCAAATGATGCGTCCTCTCGAACAGGCTTCACTGTTTTACATGCCGCAGCTAGTCGAGGTTACTTGGACATTGTCACGTGGCGTGAGCAATAACTTTCATTACTCTTTATATGTGCTCAAGTCACTGTCGTCTCAGTGGTAGAAGATTGCGGTGCAATTCCAGATCTAGAGGACCGCGAAGGAGAAGTAGGTGAAGACCTCTGGTCCACATACACCGACGCTGACATGGTCACAAGACTGCTTTACACAAAGCCGCTCTTCATGGCCACCTACCAATTATCGCATATTTACTACCAGATAGAGCAGACGTAAATGCTCGCGATGCCGATGGCTGGACAGCTCTTCATAACGCCTGTTCAAAAGTATGTCTTACTGATACCATCATCCTGCGAAGAATCTTACGCTTATTGCATCTTAGGGTTATCTTGATATTGTGAGGTGGTTATGCGAGCATGGAGGTATTTCTAGTGTGGACGTTCAGAGTAAAGGTGGATGGACTCCTCTCAGTATGCGTTCAAAATTTTTGTTCCCTATTTTCTCAAACGCCTTGCCAGTGAATGCGGCGTCAAAAGGACACTCGCCTATCGTGATATATCTACTTACAAGGCAAGAAGCAAATCCCCTTGTCCGGAATATTTGGGGTGAGACTGCATATGACGCTGCTGCTGCCGTGTTCGAGGTATGGATATGTGAGGTGTGTTCACTTTCTTAATTATTGTAGGCGTTTCCTCAAGTCTCCCAGATCCTGCAAAAATCAGAAGCAGAGCGATGGCGCGGAACAACTGTCCCGTACAACCCTCTCGCGGTGCACACGACCGTTCCCTTGATCCTTTACGAGAACCAGTGCCTGGACGTGCGGTTGAAAACGTTGGCAGTGTCTGGTGGGAAGCCAAAGTGGACACACTCTGGCCTTGGTAAGCCGGGCCGGCGTGCACTATTCGAGTTGAAACTGCCTTCCCCAAATGACGCGGGCGCCAAACTAGTTACTGCCTGGCGTAGTGGTGTCCAGCTTCCGTTGACCGAGGATCCTTGGACATTACCAGAATCAAGCTCTAAGGACAGGCCCTCCACTGAGGACACCGAAAGAAGTCACTTCTGGCTGTGAGGACCAGCAGGTTGTTTTTACGAGCATGCTTATTAATTCGTCTTCTAGGTCTGATTGGACATTGGATTACCCTGGGGTTGATGTGGAGGCAGCCTGGCAATATGCACAGGACTTTTCCTCACCCGATGAAATCTGGACTGCCGAACCGCCTCCTCAGCTTCAGCGTTTACTGAGCGGGAGTGGGCTCATGACAGCCAGCTTGGGTACTCCTTCCAGAAGCCACAGCCGTGCAAGCAGCAGTAGCTCTGTGACCTCTGTATCTGTGACCGCACGTGCTCCGACGTGGGTCAGACGCAGACGCTGGGTTCGCGTGATGCGTCGTAGGCTTGACATCCCACCTCTACCGTTCCAGGAGCCAGATGGTGCCATGTATCATCTTGCACTTGACGGCTCTCTCGTCCCGTTCACCGAGGACGACCAGAGCGACTTTGGAGAAGGCGAAGGACAGGAACTCGGAACCATGACGTCCACAAGACTGTCATCCGCCCAGGATTATGTCTCTCGTGCTCGGTATCTGGTCGGAACTCAACGGGATGATGTCGTCGGTGGGGAGACTTTATCTGCTGTCGAAGCAAGGCGTGCCATTGCCAAACTTGAACGTGCAACTACTGAACTGCGACAGGGCATTCTTAGTAAGCCTTTTAATACGGTCTCTTGATGCATCATTAAATCAGATGTTATCCAAGGCGATGATGATACGGAACGAAAAACTCAGGCTGAAGTCCTGCTCAATGCCTACAGCAGAGAGCTGGAGCGTCGCCGACTCGCAGCTGGTAATCAAAGATTGCTTATTTCTGGTCCAGATGACGATGATATGGAAGACGATGACGACGACGAAGAGGGATTCCGCTATCCTGGTTATACGCCTCCAGGCGCGTCTGCCCGCCCAGCTTCTACGGAATACCTTCCCCGTCCTTCCGTTTCTCGTCCACCTACAGATTTGACTCCTCACCTCTCTCAAGCACCTGACTTCCGCGTGCCCACTCATGAAGCACCTCAGAAAGTCTTAAGTCCCAGGTGGACTGCCCCGACGCCTTACCAAGTCCATGCGCAATGGGAAAGAGATGACATGGTTTCTAATTGTAATGATTGTCATCGGCGATTCGGATTTCTTTTAAGAAGAGTAAGTCCTACTATGTCGGCTTTTTTCTAATGATTGATTTGTAATCCTTCCCAGCATGTAAGATTAACCGCTGCCCCCACTTATTCTTCCGTCGTCTGACCTTTCGTTAGCATTGTCGCAAGTGTGGTCGGATTTTTTGTGACCGTTGCTCTTCTCATCGAGCACTCCTTGATCCCTCCGTCATTGTTCGTGACCCTGTGTTCCCGGAATCCGCAGCATCCTCTTCAACTCAGCGCGTCTGTCAAGGGTGTAACGATGAGATCAATGCCAGTCTCCCCACCAGATTCTCAGGCTCCACCTCGTCTACCATGGAAAGAATCGTAGTCGATCAAAGAAGGCTCATGACCCCTGGACAGCTCCACAGGCAGGAGTCTAGTTCACAACTAAGCGACCTTGCAGAGTAAGTCAGGTCCTTGGTGATACCATAACTTGTTGGTGATGATGGCGATGATCCCAGGTGCCCTGTGTGCAGCACTAGTCTTGCAGATCTTGGACTTCCGGCAGAACAAGAAGCCCACGTGAAGATTTGTCTAGAAGGAGATGCTGGGACAACACCTCAAGCTGCTAAATATCTGGTGTATAAGTTACCTGGCGAGAGCGCACTTCTGGGTGTCGAATGTAAGTTTTGTTTTATTACTCTTGTGCGACCATGATGCGAGTAGTTATGGTTCCACAGGTGTCATTTGCCTAGAGGAGTTTACAGAGGGTATGCAGGTTTTATATCTCACAAGGGTCAAATAACTGACGTGGTAAATGCAGGCGCCGTTGTAGCGAGACTCAGCTGCTTCTGTAGTTTCCACAATGGTCCGTGAGCACTTGCTTTCCGTAAGCAACAGCCATGCTGATCAATAGTGACTCGATCTAGCTTGTTTGTCCTCGTGGCTGAAGAAAGGTAGAAGCTGCCCCATTCACGCGCGGTAGAGGAAAGACGCACAGAATATCTGTTGGCATACCCAGTTCTGTTGTTTAGTTGATCGAACACTCTCAAATTACATGCACTCACACACTTTTTCTAACGTCACATAATACGACTACAAGTAAAATAGTGCATATCTCACATATTATATGGATTATGCTATACATGTCAATCACCATCCCTGGGTTCGAAGAAGGTGCTGTATCGCGCTCTGCTCTCATCAACCCGGATAATGCTAGAGAGTTCTTCGTAGTCCGGTTCGATGATGTCTTGACCTTTGACACCATCATCCTGGTCGTCTTCGAACCATGTTGACGGGTCTTCATCATCTTCATCGTCCTCATCCATATCATCTTCGAGGTCTGAGTCCGTCGGCTTGTAGCTACTGTTCATTTTATTTAGAACTAGCATGAAGATTGGTGGGTAAGAAAACGCTCACATGAATGCCCTCATCCGTGCATCCATTTCTGCTCTGGAAAGAACTTCCCCTCTGATTGGGAGCCCTATCCGCCTCTTACGTTCATCTGATCGTTGTTGTCTCGCTGCGTCTTGGGCATGGGCGCGTTGCTCCAGCTCTATTGCTTCTTGTAGACTCAGGGAGCTAACTTGTTGAGCACCATTGGGTGTGATGGGTGCCTGGAGTGTCCCAAGGACTTATGAGCGATCGAAACTCATATAAACACATACACTTACGTAGCGGGACAGTGCCCTATGCTTGGCATCGATTACACGAGGCATGCGCGGTTGGTCGACAATCATGATCTCGTCGGCATTGATATTAGTCTTCTTAAGACCGTTGCGAATTTCTTCAACGCCCTCGAAATCGAGCAGGCGAGATTCGATAGCTGCTTGCTCGGCCGAAAGGCGTTGTCCGAGGGCGGACGTGCAGGCTGATCTAAAAGCAGATGTGCACGAGGTTAATAGTGGAGCCACGGAGGCTACCATCATCGCGAATTACCTGGGGGCAAAAATCCACGTACGACGAGTTTAACAGTCTTGCATTCCGATCGTGCTGGTCATGTAGCTCTCGCGCAGTCATTTGAGTGATGGATTTGGGCTTGGGCTTTGGAGGTGCGCGAAAGCCTGGGAGCACCACGGTCTTCTTGGGACGCATTGGAGATATAGGGGATTGTAATTGGGGGCTGTGTGCGCGAAGGGGGGGCATGGTGTGCTAGTGAGGGTGATACTTATTGCTGCTCTTGGGCTATGAGCGACCGGCTTTATAGCCCGCTTAATCCAGCACGTTGCCGTTTTGGGAATACCGGTGATACACAACGAGTTCCGACGTTATACTAGCGGCTAACTAGGAGAGAATACAACATATGGCATATCCTCACAGTCATAGTTATTGCTCTCAAAGTTCGTTACAATTCATCAGTCATACAAAATTTACAGCTTCTCACATCGTTCTCACATGAACATATCTCCCTGTTTCAAGGTAAGCATCTACAATGATTTTACTGCAGCACACACTCACGGCTCCAGGGGGCATAAACTCGTCATTATCAGGATCTCTCGAGTTCCCACTTCCTGGAGGTCCACGTCGGGGTCTCCCGTTGAAACTTGGGTTGAAGGGGCCAGGATTTGGTCCTATTGGATCAAAACGAGCGCCTGGTGGGGCACCCATAGGAGGGAGATAGCCGTCTCCACCCCATGGCCCTCGCATCTCCTGTCCCCGGTTACCTCTCATTCCAAATATCGGGTGATCTGGACCAACAAACATCCCGTCTCCTCCATTGCCGGGGAATAGTGAAGGAGGCTGGAAAGGATTGATACCACCAAAGGGATCAAGGTCTCGACGACCGATCTCCAGCGGATTACGGGGTCGCAAACCAGGCGGTAAGTGGTATGGGTCATCTGGATAAGGTGGCGAGTCTGGTCGTGGACGGGCAGGAGGGGGATTCTCGGCACGGGGAGCAGGTCCAGCATTACTGGATGAATCCTCAGTTTCTTCGATATATCCTTCTTTGCGCAGTCCCGGAATAAGTTTCTGTATTATTTTGAGCTTGAGCTGAGATATGAAATCCGTGATACGGTTGGACGAAATGAAGCCATGGACCAGCGGCGGGGCGTCCGACTTGGCTGCGTCATAGGGGTAAAACGACGGTGAGACAAAGTCGTTTGTTGCAACATCCAGAGACACAGACTTGTCATTCTAAAATTCTAATTAAATATTAATGTTCGAAACCATAGGAGCTGACGCACTTCGACAGCAATTGCACTGATCAATGTACGCTGACCAAGCTTGATGACCTTCACAACAAACTCAAGACCGCTTTGGTCATGCCTGTAACGGAAGGTACGATCTACCAGTCCTTTGGTGTTCCAATCATCAGGAAGGACGTTATTAGAGTGCTCCTTCGCGGAAGATGTATCATCCGTTGCAATCAAACGAAACGAAAGTGCAGAAAAGGCTGTGTGAACAAGCGCTGCCAAACCATCATGAGGAGATGCCAAGGTCTTGTTTGTCAGTGGCAGCAAGTTAAGAAGAATTCCAACAAGTGCTGAAGGGTCCAATACGTTGTTAGCCATGAACCGAGTCTTGCAAGTGGTGTAAGCAAGCAAGATAATCGTTTGGGAGGTCTGGGATGATCGCAGCTTACTTATTAGTCAAGACCTTCCAGAACTAACAAGACCAAACAACGCTTACTTCAAGACCACTACCACCAAGTCGTTGTATACAAGCATGGTGCGCAGGGATAGATCATATTCCCCGGAAACGTCAAACAAAAGGGTAAGACCATCTCATCGTTCACCTCGGTCTCCTTCGCCGACTAGGCGGAATACCCAAAGACCTAGCAGGAGATACGACGACGAACGTGATAACAGGGAACGTGATCGCCCGAGAGACCGTGACAGGGAACGTGATAAAGACCGCTATCGTGACGACAGGTATCGCGATGATAGACACAGAGACGACAGGCGCCGTGACAGTTACAGAGATGACAGAAGAGATGACCGCCGGCGCTCTCGTTCAACAGACCGCAAAGACCGGGACAGACGTCCGCTTTCCCCTCCTCTAAAATCTCAAGCAGCTGTGGGTGCCACGCAAACTCCCCCACCTGAGGATGAGAAACTCAAGGCGAAGAGGGCAAAACTTGAGGCTTGGAAGAAGGACCGGGAAGCTAAGAAGGCTCTCGACGAGGCTAAAGTCAAAGCCATGGCTCTTGCAGGCAAATCTGCGCCAGGTGAGCACATTTTTAATTTGAGTGGCACTTCATGATTTCACACCACTTGATCCACGCCTTACTAGTTCCTGCCCCGACCACAACACCTGCCAAACCTGGGACCTCTTTGAACCGTGCAGCCCTAACAGGTCTTGGGCTGAAAGGTCTTCCCCTCAAACCTGAAGTTCTAAAAGTATCAAAGGGTGCTGCGGCCATGGACGATTCGGACGAGACCAAGCAGCGGAAGCTTGAGACCCTTGGCGAAATGCCTGCTGTCGACATGACAATGGCGGATGGAGAAGCTAGTGTTGGCGACCTGGAAGTTGACGACGACGACGAAGAGGCGAACAGGATGGACCAGGCGATCAAAAGCAAGGCTGCAGATGCCATGGAAGAGGACGAGGACGCGATCGACCCCCTCGATGCCTTCATGTCAAATGTATCGGTTGAAGTGAAGAAAGTCGACGAGGAAGACTTGAAGAAGATGAACGGTGGCAAAGGCATATCTTCTAAACCTCTCGCCGAACGTATGGGTGATGATGGAGAGGATGAAGTCGTGGAGGCCGTTGTTGTGGAAGACGAGCTTGACACCACCGACCTTAATCCTGAAGACATCCTTGCTCTTGCGGCAAAGAAGGCAAAAAAGAAGGATATCGCCGCTGTCGATCATTCTCGTGTCAAATATGAGCCCTTCCGGAAGGAATTTTATGTTCCTCCTCCAGACATTGCTGCTATGACAGATGAAGAAGCTGACCTCTTGCGACTAGAACTCGACGGCATCAAAATACGTGGCATTGACTGCCCGCGGCCAGTGACCAAGTGGAGTCATTTTGGTCTTCCAGCCAGCTGGTAGGTATCAACTACTTTTCCATGTTTAGTCTTTGGCTGACGTATTTCAAAGTTTGGACGTCATCAAACGCCTCAATTATATGGCACCAACCGCCATTCAAGCTCAAGCTATCCCCGCAATTATGTCTGGTCGCGACGTCATTGGTGTAGCAAAGACAGGTTCAGGGAAGACCATAGCATTTCTCCTCCCTTTGTTCCGTCATATCAAGGATCAGCGGCCCCTGGAGCAGATGGAAGGCCCTCTTGCCATTGTCATGACTCCTACCCGCGAGCTGGCAGTGCAAATCCATCGAGAATGCAAACCATTCTTGCGGGTGATGAACCTTCGCGTATGTTTTTCGTGTTTTTGATCTATCCATAATATCTTATTCTGCATCATTAGGCTGTGTGCGCATATGGTGGTTCCCCGATCAAGGACCAGATTGCTGAGCTGAAGAAGGGTGCAGAGATCATTGTATGCACACCTGGTCGCATGATCGACCTCCTCACTGCCAATTCTGGCCGGGTGACAAACCTTAAGCGTGTCACTTATGTGGTTCTTGACGAAGCTGATCGGATGTTTGACATGGGTTTCGAACCCCAAGTCATGAAGATCATCAACAACATTCGACCTGACCGCCAAACAGTGCTCTTTTCTGCGACATTCCCAAAACAAATGGACTCTCTCGCAAGGAAAATCCTACAGAAACCTCTTGAAATCACTGTTGGCGGGCGTTCTGTGGTCGCTGCGGAGATCGAGCAGATTGTCGAAGTGCGTCCCGAGGAATCCAAGTTCAATCGACTCTTGGATATCCTGGGGCAGATGTACAACGAAGACCCTGAATGTCGCACTCTTATCTTTGTTGACAGACAGGAAGCTGCTGATAACCTGCTCCGCGACCTTATGCGTAAAGGGTACTTGTGCATGTCCCTGCATGGAGGCAAGGATCAGGTTGATCGTGACTCTACCATTGCCGACTTTAAATCCGGAGTTGTTCCCATCGTCATTGCCACTTCTGTTGCTGCCCGTGGTTTGGATGTCAAACAGCTTAAGCTTGTTATCAACTACGACGCACCTAATCATATGGAAGACTATGTTCACCGTGCTGGCCGTACGGGGAGAGCGGGTAATAAAGGCACATGTGTTACATTCATAACTCCTGAACAAGAAAGGTACTCTGTTGATATCTACCGTGCGCTTAAGGCAAGTAATGCAGCTGTTCCGAGTGAGCTTGAGGAACTGGCCAACGGTATGTTTCGCTTTATTGTATCCGCAATCTATGCTTATTACGTCGTCAGGCTTCTTGGAAAAGGTCAAGTCTGGGAAGGCGCAAGTCGCAGGCTCAGGATTTGGTGGAAAAGGTCTTGATAGGCTCGATAAGGAGCGTGAGGCTAAAGATCGGGCAGAACGAAAAGCCTACGGTGAACCCGAAGAAGAGAAGGTGGATGAAGCTGCTGTCAAGACCCCTACTGCTGCTGGCGATGATATGACATTCGGCAACTTTAAAGTCGAAATCAAGCGCGGCCCCGCTCCCGATTCTTCGAAGGGCTTACTTGGAGTGGCCGGAGCAGCTGCAGCTGCCAGGCGACTCGCACATGCGAAGGAAGAAGAGAAACTTCAGGCGTCACTTAAAGCTGCTCAGGACGCTGCTGCGCGTGCAGGGAAAGACACAGCTGCGCACAAGCAAGCCCTCAGTGTCATGGCAAAGCTGAACGCACAGATGAAAGCAACGAGGCTGGTCTTGCAGTCTCAGATCCAGGCAGACGAAAGTGGTCTCAGGAAAGCAAACCTCGACTCTACAGACTTCCACGCGATCATACCCATCAATGACTACCCACAGAAGGCCAGATGGAGGGTTACCAACAAGGAAACCATGGTTCAGGTGCGTTGTTCTCAGCTACGTGCTTGGTTTTCGGCCATATACTCACATTTGTCCCTTTCGTCAGCTTATCGACATGACAGGCGCATCAGTTACCAACAAAGGTTTGTCCAGAAACATACTGTTCAGTATTTGGATTTGACCTGATAATAACAGGCATATATTACGAATCTGGGAAAGAGCCTCCTCTGGAAGGACCACCCAAACTCCATCTCCTGATCGAGTCGAATGAGGAATACAGGGTGAGCACGTTTCGTCACGCGTTACTCAGCGTGGTCAATTGATTTGACTCCCTTTTAGGTGGAACAAGCTGTGCGAGAGATCAAACGTTTACTCATCGAAGCGTCTGCTGCAGCACTGCAAGCAGAAATGCGGAATCCCACGGCAGTCGCGGGGAGATACAGCGTTGTGTAGAGTTCTGGGTGTTAATTTGGTCGCTGTTTCGATGTGTAGTGTCGTGCAGCCTCGACAGTTGCTTGTTAAGTAGCACTTAGGCTGTGTAGATATTCATGGCTAACGTGCTGCTGGCCATTTTTTTCGGTGATGTATACCTCAAGTACAGATAGCAAGCAAGGAATTGCTTGTGTTCAAGTTTCGTAGTAGAACCTTCACCTTCGTTCACCTTAATTTTAGCCTTTGTACTATGAATAAGTCTAACACAAAGTGACATCGAAAAAGTACTTCAACTCAATCAAATTCAAGTTCAACAGACTTACAGGCTGATACGGGGGGATAGATGTGGCCTGATACAGTTTAGAAGGACGAGCCAAAGTCTTTGGCTCATCTGATATAGCTTCCTTAGAAAGTGCTACGGCTGCGGTTGATGTGACTAATCGAAGTGAGCAAGAGGTACATGCGATATGATTAAAACATTGCACGTCAAGATTTGGAACTTCGAAGTACTGGGCAGTCGTGAACCGAAACAATAACCCTAGCGGTATCCTGCAGCGATTATTCATGCTCTTAAGCAGACAGAAAATACAACAGATCAAAGATGGAAAGTGCTAACTAGTTGTCCTAGGGGCTTTCCCGCAGCGATGGTGGGCGAGCCAACGAAAGTTCCAATTTCGACGCCATTTTCACGATCTCTTCCTCCAGCTCGGCTATCTTGGTGCGCCTATAACAATCAAGTTAGCTTAGAAGTTGCTAGTTCAACTCGAAGTGTATACTCTTGATTTGATCGCTCTCCAAACTGGAAAGCCTGGGATAATCCCAGTCCATTCTCACTCAAATGCTTCTTGCGCTCTGCCTCTTTCGCAGCCATGTCATTCAAGCTGGGCAATATTCGGTCATACTCGCGCTTGAGCTACGCAATAGTCAGCTAAGATCCAAACCCACGGTAAAAATAATTACCAGTGATGTCCGCGCAGCGAGCGATTGCTCGTCGTACCTGCCCGTCCCAGCGATCTCCGCTTTCATCCTCCGTAATTCCCCAAACCACTTCGTCTCGTATTCACTAAGCTTCGGCGATGCTTGCTGCATAAGCGTCTGCAGTCTGTGATCCAGCCTCGATGCCAGCGCCCTGTATGCTTCCCGTATTCTCTCGAGCCGCTCTTTGACTTCGCTATTCCGCGAGCCGCTCAGTCGTTCAATGAGATCAAGCATTACACTACACTTCTGTTGCTGACGCTCAAATTCCTTCGCCTGCAGTTCGGCTCGTACTTCTGTGGCTTTGTACGCGAGGATAATTTCGTGGATCTGTGACGTCAAGCCTTCAATGGTTGAACCCAGATATCGCAATGTTTCAGGGGTGAGCACAAAATCTGTTTTGGTGTTTGGAGTCCCGACCGCGATACGAGGATTACTAGGCAGGCCAGAGGGACGTGAAAGCGCTGGAGGTGGCACGAAGGGCTCCGTGCCTAGAAGCGAGATGTATGCCAATGGTCCTTCAATGGGCGCAAGAAAATCCTCCGTCCCAGAAGTATTATTTTTGTCGGGAAGATGAGGAGAAGTCCGAGAGAGAGAAAGATCGGTGCGAAGGTTGAGGGGAAAGGATGTGAAGCGGAAGACGGAGGTAAGAATTAGGATACTGTATGAGAGATAGACGTCGTTTGGTACAGATATAGCAATAATCGGATTCGAGCATCTATTGACTGGTGAATCATTAAGATCGTAGAGGCTTATTCATCCACATACCTTCGGTCCACTGAATAGGTATTCAGCAAGGGCACGACATGCGTGCCTGCCGACTTTTGCAATGCTTGATTCAATGCAACACCATCGTCGTCATCTGCGCGGAGTCCGCTGGTGAGACATTGCAGCAGGTCTCCAAAATCAAGGACATGAACGCCAAAAGCATGGTAGACATAGACAGTATCGTCATGTATCGGATCCATCAATAGGACAGGGTGGTTTGCTTGAAGGAGGTCGAGAATGGGTGTGCCCGATGACAAAGGAGCTGTCTGTTTCAGCATGGAAATCAAGTCCAAGTCTATGCACTCGTAGACCGCTAGCATAGGCAAATCCTGAGATTTGTCCTGGAGTCGCGTGCATAAGCAGCAATGATACAACAAATTCGACGACAAACCTGTTTACTCTCCCACCGCGCTTCAACTTTCTCTACGTCTAGACACACATCAACTTTACCGTCTTGATAACTGACAATGACAATTCCAAGACGTTCAGTCTCGCCTGTATCTTCGTCGTCATCATCACGGATGAAAGCAAGATACGCGATATCCGTTGCATCACCGCCTTCACTGTCTTCCAATGAACGAGGCGAAGGTTGGAGGAGGAAAGGCCCTTGACGCATCGGTTGGCTTTTGATGGTCATGGGAGGGTGCATAGAGAAGGAGCGAGAGATTGCTGGGTACACAGTTCCCGGTGGAAGTTGCTTCAGCAAGGCTGTGACATATTTCCGCTGGTAGTCGTAGAGCGTCGAAAGGGCTGATATCCCACTAGATGTTCCCTGGGATAAAAACTCTTGTTTGGCGGAGATAAAACACTCGAGGGCATGGACATAAGACGATGGTACAGATCTTAGAGTCGATTAAGAAGTAGTGTCACACGAGAGATGATAAAACTTACGCGTTTTTGGGCATGTAGGGGCATATAGCATAGATGTCTCCTGACCTCATAACGGCATAGACGGTGAGCGGGCCCCAGTCTGCTTTCCCTTTCCTAGAGTGAATGATCCGACCTCGCGCTCGGCTGGATCTTCAGCTAGATATGACTTTGAGGTCTTCTTCTCGGAAACAAAGGACAGAACTTGTTGGGGCTCTTCAGTATCGACCGAAATGTCATACTCTCTGAAAAAAGTTAGTGAATATAATAAACTCATCATTATAAACCAAACCTTAGTTTCCCATCGACAGTCATGACCATGAGAGTGGATCCTGCTTCGCCCCATGGATGCCATTCAATCTTGGCTATGGGGGCAGACGAATGCGAGTGATGGTAGAAAAATCCTACTTGGATTGACCTTTGCAAATGGATTAGGTTAACATTCATACAAAAATCGCTCGCTTACTTGCAGTCCACAGAAGAAGGCACAAGCTTGGAATACCCAGCGCGAGGGAGGACCACAACTGCAACCTGGTATGCTCCTGCCACAGCTATGAGCTTCCCGCTTGGGTTCAGTGCGAGTTGGTGGATCCCAAATTGAATATTTGGGGTGTTCAAGATCTTCTCCGGCGGTGAGCCGCGGCGAGGATTGTCAGAATTAGCACGTACTTTGAACGACTTGTTCGTACTCCTCCCAAGCTTAGAGTCCGAAAGGGAAGTAATTCTCAGTTCGCATCCAGCAGCTACGATTAGATCAGAGTCCTTCAGGACCATAACCTGACGGCGTCCTGAAAGGGGGAGCCCATCTTTCAAACGCCCCTCAATCATAGATTTCTTCAGTGTATTCGTAGACAGTTCCAGCGACTCCTCTGACTGTCCCGTTGGTCCTCCATAGCCTTTTGGAAATGTAAATATTGGATGTCCTTCCAGCATTGTGCTCCAATCATCTTGGGTCATAGTTAATACTAGTCGCGTCGGCGAAGAGGGAGTGAAGACGAATCGGCTCAGAAACGCGCCTGACCTGGTTCGGTTATTATTTCACACGGGCTGACGCGCTTGAGCTTGCGCGTACGAAGACAGCTTACTTGCATACTAACTACCATGACTTCCATCGGGACAGGCTACGATCTTTCAGCTAGCACATATTCACCAGATGGCCGTATATTTCAGGTGAAATCATTGAAACTCGCCTAGCAGTGCGATGTTCTCAATCTTGTTACCTCAGGTCGAATACGCCAACAAAGCGGTAGAGAACTCAGGGTATCTAAGCTCTCTTTCAGTACTGTCATTACTGCTAACAGTCCGCTCCGTTAAATCAGCACTGCGATCGGGCTACGCGTCAAGGATGGTGTCGTCCTTGCGGTGGAGAAGCTCATACACTCCAAGCTCCTTGTCCCAGGAGCTAACCGACGCATTCAAACAGTAGACAAACATATAGGTATGGTGAGTGCCTGTTAAATTTCTCAATGGGCTTGCGTACAATGTCTGCTCAAGGCATCTGCCGGCCTTCTCGCCGATGGCAGGAAAATATCACAGCTGGCTCGTGATGCGGGGGCTCAGACTCGAAAACAGTGGAGAGAGCCTTTAACTGTGAAGGTGATCAGATTACGCTAGAACGTCAATGTGTTATACTCATCCGCTGTCGTCAGGCCCTGTCAGATTCTGTGAGCTGGAATGCCCAAACCTATACGTTGTACTCGTCTGTCCGTCCGTTCGGCGTCAGTACGATCTTTGGTGGCGTCGACAAGAGCGGTCCTTCATTGTATATCGTCGAGCCTAGTGGTGTCTGCCTAGTGAGCGCATAGCAAATCAAACCATCTCGTTACTGATAATATACCAGGGATATCACGGTGCAGCAGTCGGCAAAGGCCGTCAACTGGCCAAGACCGAGCTGGAGAAGCTTAAACTATTAGAACTGTCGATGCGTGAAGCCGTCATGGAAGCTGCAAGAATGTACGTTGTCTGTCACCTGTGTTTGGGTTTCTCACCCAAATACTTCACCGCAGAATATACCTCGTCCATGACGACAACAAAGAGAAGGAATTTGAGCTAGAGATGACTTGGGTTGGTGTTGAATCAAACAACCTTCATTTGCCTGTACCAGACGACCTCCTCGAAGAGGCAAAGAGGAAAGCAAAGGAGACATTGGAGACCTTTGAGTAATTCGGACAATAGCACGCTTGATATCATCATTCCTCAGCTCGCCCGGAAAGTTTTGTGTGAAGGAACCAAATATTAAGTAGTGTCTATACAATTTGCTCAAGCTCGCGAGCATACGCCAGGTTTGCTGCAATGAGCTTCTGCGTTGGAATCTCTACCTGTTCATCATTCTTCTTTGCAAATGTTATCATGCCAGCCGTCAGATCTACCTGCCAACCGCGCTGTAAATAAGATCAGTAAGAGAGGGTTCTGGGGACTTTAAAAGTGCCTACCTGTTGAGCGAACACCAATAACCCAGACTGCGAGGGAAAAAATAGCAGAGTTGCAGCGTCCTTCAAAGGGAGGCTATCGTACGCCGATTCCTCGCAGCTGGCAATCTCATTCCTGGCAATAACCCTCAGTGACGTTGATCAGGCCAGCAGAAAACAGCTCACCGAATGGTGCCCATAAGACTGTCTACAAAGAATTTGTACTCTTCCGCCGGTGCTTCCTCACGGGCATTCCACACTTTGCTGTAGCTACCCTCCATGAGCCAGCGCTCGAGATTTACTGGGTGTCTGATGTATGGATTTGTGTTGATCTCATCAGCAGGAAGTGGAAGTGATTCAAGGGTAGTGTGGAAATCAGCGATGCGGTTTTGTGTGAGCAGACGGATGAGGTTCAAGCCCCGGACTGCGAATTCACGCTTCGACGGAGGGAGGCTTGATCTGATGCCTGTGAGGAAAACCTAATCTGGGGTAGAAGATTTATGCATACCTGAAGTCCGTGTAGAAAGTGTGAAGCTGGGAGAAATATCTATCAAACGAAGGGACGTCTTTCGCTCTTATACTCCAGAAGACTACCGATTTCGAGGATATCGCCTATCCCAGTGTCATCACATAGTACATCACAGACCATTCTAACGTACGAGCAACGACCAAGTCATGGAGATTTGTTTCTCCTTGGGGGATCAATAGACCTGCTTCTATCAAGCCAACCTATCATGAAGTCAGCCATGTATGCACAAAGCTTTGGATCAACTTGGTCACACCTTTAGCTGAGCTAGCAGCGTCCCGCATTTCTTCAGATCTGACGGTCGCGCATCAAATGCACGTTGTAGCTCGTTGTATAGTGTAGCCAATTTCTGAGAAGCCATTGTGACTATAACAAAAGTTACAAGTTCGATGAATGGAAATCAGAAACAAGTAAGTAGAGAACACGCGTCCAGACGCGTCAGCGCTACTTAGCTACTCAACCACAACTCAAGATTGTTATTACACTTCTTCATAACACACGACGACAGCAGCAGCATGGATCGCATTGATATGAACAGGCTCAAGAGCGGAGAGGTCAATCTCGGGGTATGAACATTCAAATCATTATTCTATTATCGTTAATGCACGCCATTGGCAGACCTCTATCATGGCAGTTCAATTCGACAAGGGCGTCGTCATCGGCGCCGACAGTCGTACGACAACTGGAAGCTACATCGTGCGCACTCTTACCCACTCACTGTTCACTTCCTCATCTCTACAAATCCAAGGCCAACCGTGTAACAGACAAGCTCACGCATGTCCACGATCGGATATACTGCTGTCGCTCAGGATCTGCAGCTGACACGCAAGCAGTCGCAGATATAGTACATAACTACCTGCAGCTATATACGTACGTCTTCATCTCCTAACAGTCACGAATTTGCTTGTACTGAGCACCTATTAGACAAATCCACGGCGCCCACCCTCCAGTTTCGTCGGCTGCGGGCATGTTCCAGGATATTTGTTATGATAATAAGGATGCCCTCAGCGCGGGTATCATCGTTGCTGGGTGGGACAAGGAGGTCGGTCCAAGTGTATATAACATTCCTCTAGGCGGAGGGCTTTTCCGCCAGCCGTGGGCCATTGGAGGTGCGTCTTGCATGTTTCATGTTTGACACCGAGTCAGTTATAGCATCTTTCAGGCTCTGGCTCAACATATGTGTACGGTTACTGTGATGCTACATACCAAGATGGGTGGGGACGGGATGAGACCGTCGAATTTGTGAAAAACAGTGCGTGCTTGACCACCATCATCACTTCTCTATCTTTTATCTAATTATTTCGCATAGCCCTTGCACTTGCGATGGCAAGAGACGGCTCATCAGGAGGTGTCATCCGCATGTGCGTGATCACAGAGGACGGTGTCGAGCGGCTCTTTGTTCCCGGCGACAAACTCCCCAAGTTCTGGGAAGGTCGTGAGGTACTGTCAGGGCCAGTGAAGAAGAGCGTGGAACAGACCGCAATGGCTATCGAGTAGATGTGTAGATTTATGCAAAACCACAAGACCCTTCCACGCAAGTGGGCATCCTGATTAATGTTGCTCGTAATTAAATGTCATGGCTGAGTACTTATACACACTCGGTATGGCTGTTCAGTACATCCGTTCTGCCCAGGATAACCTCCATCCTGCATCAACCTCCCAGTGACTCGTCTCAGTAGCAGACCCGTAAGCTTGCCCCTCCCACATCCGCAATCTCCAGAGAGCTACTGCCAAAGGTACAACATCCGCCCGTTTGGTAGTATGCTGATTCGAACATAGCAGGAACGCATGGCTTCCCTTGGCATCACCACGGACTCGCGAGGACTTTTCATGTTTGGAAGAACCAGAGGCCGAAAGTGCGCACGACCGTGATCTACGCTCTACCTCAAGTAGCTTGCAGAGCGCTTTATGTAGTGCTGCTCGCTGTGGTCGGGCAGGAAACAAGGACAGGCCGTGGTAGAGAGGAGCTTGCGCATTTGGAAGAAGAGGAGAACCTGGATCTTCATCCGTGATTGGATGGATAATGGAGAGGGGGGGAAGACGCCGCGATGAGGTTTCTGAGCTGTCAGTATCGATTTGCACAATATCAGCGATGTCCAACTGTGCGGAGGGCTGTGGCTTCTCCTTTGTTTCTGGGTTCCGATTGACTGGGGGCACTACTATCAGGGCCACTGCATCTTTGTGAGGTATCGAGTTAGTTTGCCGAACTACATTCCATTCGGAACGGGTGAGTCTTCGGAGCACCAGCCGCCTCGGAGTCGTCCAAAGGGCTCGCAGCAAGCCTTTTAGTAAGAAGTTCTAGTTCCTGCAGGACTCGTAAACGGAGCTGATAACCGATGCGCACCGATAGCAAAGGCGCCACAGTCAAGTTCTGTGAGATTTTGCGCAGCGGGACTGAGACTAGCTCAGTTGTGGCTGGAATGAAGTTGCAAGTCGTCACGCACTTCTAGAACTTGCATATGGAACGGCATCTTTCCAGCATACAATATAGCACGCAGGTGTGGATCGACGAGGCTTGAATTTAGGATGCTCGACACCATCTGGAACTAGTGTCTGTTGTTCGCGTACTCCCTGAGAGGCTGGGAGGCGCACAGGTGCCAGACGAATGAGAAAGTCTAAGAGTGGGATTAAGGAGGTGTAACATGAGACTCTGCTATTCACGCACCACTTGGTAGCTTTTTACGCGTTATTTGACATTCTCGCAATGGCGAAGCGAGCATTCTGACTGCATCAGTGCGATAAGTAGACGAACAATAGAAACGGTGCACCCAACGCACGGTAAGGGCTGGACCACCATTCGCGTTCCTCATCCGTCATTTCCCGCGGATGATCATGCTCTCCGGTATCTTGTAGTGGTTTCACGAGACGAACCCTGGGTGGTAGTGACTTGTGTCTGTTATAAAGATGGCCTTCGGTGATTGGGTTTGCGTCGTCCAACAAAATCGAGCGAGTCCTGCCCTCTGAAGTGAAAGTAGGCGTCTCTGGAATCGTATTTTTCATAGAAACACGCTTTTTGTAACGTGTATATCCATTGCTCAGCGTATTGGGCTCTGGAGCATCTTGCAAGATTTTGAGCAAACGTGGAAGTAAGCGAGGCATGCACTAAAGCTCGACTGTGACAACCCTGAGTAAACTCGCCAAAATCACCGTGGACACCCTTTACACGACTGCGACCACTGCTGCGACGCACAACAGAATGCTGATACCATTCATGGTACAGTGATAAGGTCCTGCGCCTAATCCTGTTCAGATTTAGCATTTCATATCGGATCATCAAGTGACCTGGTGGCACATGTCGCGTTTGCACCCTATAAAGTCCCTGTGGTCTCGCTCGAGCATCAGGTCCAACGAATCCCCGTCTGCAATCATGACATCCCTACCAAATGAACCTGTCACGTTGGCTGTCATCGGCTGTGGTCAGAGAGGGACTGTATGAAGTCAATCGTGCTTTCTCCTCATGGTGCACTAACGGTTGTACGCAGAACTATGCTGCATACGCCCTTGATCACCCAAAGAAGTGCAAGGTCGTTGCTATTGCAGAACCAAGGCCAAAGACCCGCGATATTTTTGCCCATAATCATAAGCTCGATCGGACCCTTGTGTTCAACGACTGGCAGGAACTCTTAAAGGCTTCCGCTGACACCATTCAAACTATTGAGAAGCGTCTTGTGGACGCAGTAATTGTTGCGGTGCAAGACCACATGCATTGCGAAGTGGTATCGGCATTCGCAGCCCAGGGGTACCATATACTTTGCGAGAAACCCATGGCTACAAGTCTGCAAGACTGCCTCGAAATAGGAGAAGGCAGTCAAGAACGCTGGTATCATTTACGGAGTTGGTCACGGTGAGCTATATCACTTGTCGTGCTATAAACTTCAAACCTCACGTACGGCAGTCTTGCGTTACTCTCCTTACAGCAAGGCCATCACCGAAGTGGTCCGTTCAGGACAGTTGGGTGAGCTGATCAACGTGGTTCACATCGAGCCCGTTGGTTACTTTCACTTTGCTCACTCTTTCGTTCGGGGCCATTGGAAGAAGGAATCTAAAAGTTCTTTTTCTCTCATGACCAAGTGCTGCCAGTAAGTAAGTCTTCGTTCACCGTGCATATCATCTTAATGGATCGGGTACGCAAGTGATATAGACATTCTCTGTCACTGGCTTTCCCCTGCGATTCCGACGCGAGTATCTTCGTTCGGCTCTTTACAGCATTTTCGCAAGGAGAAGAAGCCTCGCGCAGCAGGCGCTGCAACTCGCTGCTTGGAATGTTCAATAGAACAAGATTGCCCATACAGTGCAAAGAAAAGTAGATCACCTCTAACTTCGTTTCATATAAACTGAGTGGAACTACGCAGTATACCTGGAACCTGTTTCTCGCGGAAATACCCACTGGCCAGTCAGCACTATTGTGGATGGAATACCGGACATAGAGAATATTACCGATGCTCTGCGCAATGGACCTTACGGACAATGCGTGTACGAAAGCGATAACGATGTATGTGATCATCAGGTACAAGTCGATTCTCCCTCGCAAAGTGGCATCTTAATGCTATATTTCTAGGTTGTAAATATCGAATATTCATCAGGAGCCACTGTCTCATTTACGATGGTGGCATACACCTCATTGATTTGCGAACGTCAGACACGGTTGCATTTCACGCATGGCGAGATAGTTGGCGATATGAATAATTTTACTGTCACCGACTTCCGCACTGGTCATAAGACGACGCACCACCCGAAAAATGAAGGTGGTGGCCACGGAGGCGGAGACTTGGGTCTTATCCGTACTTTTGTCGAGGCCGTGCGCACGAACAATCAAGAACTACTGGGGACCGATGTCTCCGAGGTGCTCAAGAGTCATCTCACCGTATTTGCTGCTGAGACGAGCAGAAGGGAAGGCACAGTGATTGATTGTGCGAAGTTTGAAAAAGCTATCAGAGCAGAATTGGAAATGAGATAAGCTTCTTATCACCGCTACTACATCATCCACCTTGTAGCATTAGCTGGCGAAGTACTATAGGTATGCTGCCTGATTAAATATTAAGGCCCTCTGGTTGCATATAATCCAACTTCCCATCGTCCACACCGCTATTAGAGCCAGTCTTGATAAACATTGGGTATTGGATCTCGCAAATTCATTAGTTTAAAATTAGAAACTTTGAATACAGGATTGAAGAAATCAAACAGGTACTTACAATCATTGATTGAATTCGACTTTCCGGGTTGTCATCCTTTTCCACATTCGTTTCGCGGATAAGACCATATGCATGGATGTAACTTGCTGAATCTGCACATCTCAAGAATCAGGCATCATCCACCCGAGATTTTTGGGTCTCGAGTAGGAAATTCCCTGGGACCAAGTCAAGCGTACACTGTGTCGGACAAATGTAATTTGTTTGCTTGTTAGTTTACGTCGTATCGTAGTATCGTTATGATCAGTTGCGCTGATCTGAAAGTGGCGGGTGGGTGTAAGAAGACTGAGACCTGACAGCTAGGACTTAGAGAAGATGGGCAGCGGGCTGCTGCGCCACCTCGTGCCCTCAGCTAGCCGCATCGCGGTCCGGTCCGGTACGGACACTTGTATTAAAATTCACACTGACGCTTTCTTTGGCTCAACAGACGGTCTCATGTCACAAACGTGATTGTCTCAAGGACGACACACTCATAATATTTGTGATGCTACAGCTCGTGGCTGGTACTAGAACGAGCTGACTTTTACCATGACGGCTTGTAGCTACTTTGCTTGCCTTGACGCAGATAAAGCTTGTTCCTTCACGAGGTTACAAGAATTTCAGAACAATCTTGTTACATCTGTGACTCGCAGCTGGAAGCTGTCTCGTTTCCCTAGAAATGGCTAACCGCGGCCCTACGCGCAGTCATAACTTAAAGCTGCGGTGCCTGTTGCAGCGCAGCTCTGCTCTGTACGTTCGCTGCGTATTGGTTCTGCTCATCAAAATACTCGGCGCTTGTCCTCCTTGGGCCTGTGCTGCGGGCGGCGGCGAGGAGTGTTTCCTTTTCCGATTCACACCAGCGGCCTGCTGACAGGCATAAATACTGGTTGTCAGGCTGCGATACGATCCGCCAGCACCATCATCTTTAATTCATGTCCACAGACATAAGCTCTGAGGAGAGTTTTCTTCCTCTGCCCGATGGGCGTACCTTGGCATACGCGGAAGCAGGAAACCTATCCAGCAAGACTGTCGTTCTTTACATGCATGGTTTTTTCACTGTCGGGGATGCGTCCCAGACGTCTCATGTCCTTCTGAGCAAGAATGTTCATTTCATCACGCCCACCCTGCCTGGATGGGGCAACACATCACCTCCTCCTCCGTCGACACCATACCGCGACTGTCTCACAAGTGACATGACCGCGCTATTGTCCCACTTGTATCCGGATTCCAACGGCCGTGACATCAAACTATACCTTGCAGGGGGCTCGCTCGGCACAGCGCCTGCACAGATATTGTATGGTGCACCGTATGACAAGTTCCCATTCGGCCGGTGCATATTAGGCATGCTACTCTTGGGCGCGTTCAGCCCGTTTCGGTACCACAAAGATTACGCCAAACACATGACGTGGACGCAATATATCCTACCTGGCCCCATCGGGCACTCCATACCATTCAACCTTCTCTCTCATCTGATGAAATTCGTACTGGCGAGAAAGTTGTCGACCATAGAAGGCGCAGAGGCGTCGTTGCGGGAAACTGTTTTTGACGTCATGGATCAAGCGGAGCGGGAGGAGTTTGCGAAGTGGAGTGAGGAACGAGGGATGGTGCCAGACGATACGGTGCGGAAAATGGCTAAGAATGTCATGAAGAGCATCTCCAAGTCTTGGGCAGGCTTTATACTTACGCCGCCCCTTCTGCACTCGGATTGGGGTTTCCGGCCTGACGCATTGGATGAGGAACACTCTCGTCCGCCTATCCTACTTACAGCGAGCAAGGACGATGACATGTCTCCGGTGGCTTATGCACACTATCTTGCTGCTAATTATAAGAATACGCGGATCAAAGACGTTGATGGGGGGCATATGAGTATTTTATACCACATGGATGAGGTATGGGCAGAGTTTCTAGCTGACGAGCCTGAGCAATAGTCGATTATGCCACAACACTGTCCACGAGACATATGTATCGTGCTCCGGGAGGTACTTCCAGTGTTGCTATATCTATGACGGGTTCCTTGGGATATAGAGCTTCATTTTTTCTCGCAGGTTCAGCGTGAATCAACTTCCGGTGAACCAGGGTCTGTATTGGATTGGAAGGACACGGGAATGAAACGATCTAATTTTTGATCGACTGCATGCCATGATGCTGATGAGTCAGACCACAGTAGACCATCTAACGACCAACTTGCACTGATATGAACGTAACTCTTATCTACCCGCTTCGTATCACTGACACATCCTCCCAGGTGCATGATAAGCTTGACTCGCCGACTTTCCACCCTTGCTCGCCAGTTCTCCGCTGCAACCCCCAGAATGTCCTATCCGTCAACAGTTCAAGCCATCACGATCTCAAAGACGGGGGGACCCGAGGTCATTGAGAAACGCGAGATCCCTTTTCAAGGAGCCCCGGATCATTTGGTCGTAAAGGTAGAATAATTACCAAGTTCCTTTCCGAGTGTTAACACTTGCGCTGAGTAGGTTCAATATCTCGGTGTCAATTTCATCGACACATATTACAGGCAAGTGTCCAAACGCCCCAAGCATCCCGAGGGGCGTAGTTAAGTGTGTGACAGAGAAGGAATATACAAAGCTTCTGGGTTTCCATTCGTGATTGGGGAGGAAGCCAGCGGCGTAGTCGTCGCACTTCCTACAGACGAGCCCGTCTTGAACGACCCGGATTACAAGAAGCGTGGGTACAAGGAAGGTTCCCGCGTCGCACTCGTACGGTGTCCGGTCTATATATTTCCTCGCAATGACTCACGAGCCTACAGAATTGCCTAGGTTCGCATGCGGAATATGTTTCTGCACCTTGGAAAACGGTATATATGATCCCGGAGCCGGTGTCGACGTTGACGGCCGTCTCGGCCCTTGCGCAAGGGTTGACGGCTGTTTCCTTTATGGAAGAAGCATACAACGTGCAAAAGGGTGATATCATCTTCATTCACACCGTGGCAGGTGGTCTTGGACTGTTGATGACCCAGCTGGCTAAGTCGCGAGGAGCGACTGTGATAGGCACGACCTCGACACCGGAGAAGGCCGCCCTTGCGAAAGCTAACGGGACGGACCATGTAATCTTGTATAAGAGCGAGGACACGGTTGCACGTGTCCTGGAACTCACAGATGGGGAGGGTGTTCATGCAATCTTTGATGGCGTGGGTAGAGACACGTAAGAATCGAATTGGACCTATGGCTTCTCTTATTTTTTTTTTTGACTTGGCTTGAACTTTGATGCAGGTTCGAGTCCGACCTCAGAATGATCAGGCGGAAAGGCACCCTTGTCACACTGGGTAATGCTTCGGGACCCGTTCTACCATTCCCTCCCATCAAACTCGCGCAAAAGAACGTGAAGCTTCTCCGGCCTACGTGGGTTTAACCACTACATTGTTCAATTTTATGCTAACGGTTGGGTATTCTAGCATTGAAAACTATACATACACCCCAGAAGAGGCACTTTACTACGGAAATGCACTGTTCTCCCTTCTTGCCAACGGCACCTTAAAGACGCGGATCTTCAAGGAATATCCATTCACTGCAGATGGGGTAAGACAGGCGCAAATCGACCTGACAAGCGGAAAAACTACAGGCAAACTTGTAGTCAAAGTCAGCGATTGATGGGTCGTCGTACGATTGGCAATCAAGACGGAAGCTATCTGTAACAGTGTAATCCTATTAGGTTATGTATTGAAGGAGCGAATTTGATATGATTGCCCTCGTACAAAGACCCAGTGGTTTCGCCTGAACCGGTGGAGATTCACAACGAATCTGATAATTCGAAAGTTCCACTAGCTATATTCACAACAGTTTTAGCGCCCAGATGGTTACAATAGTAGAGGCCGATGCCTTAAGTTCGAGGAGTCGGACAAACGTACTACACCGTGGCTGCGTATTGATACAACAGAAAGGATGATCACCTCAGATTGCGAGCAAACCATGGACAGGGCAAGTACTATCACAATATCCGAGTCCAAATGATATTGAATTTAAGTCCACGCATGCCTAGGATTAGTACGAGAAGCGGTGTGGGGATGAAAATTGTGATATATGCATACGAAAACTATTTACTGTAATTCGACAAAAAAAGCTTGCGGATACTGTCCTTCTTGATTGCGAGGTACGAATCAGCAGTAGCAACGTCAGACTGAAAGTGCTTGATAATGGCAACCACCTCATGGTCCTCCAGACCCTCCTCTTGCACCTGACGGATAGCTTTCTGCTTGCGCAGAGGGATTGGATCCACGAAGTGTGCAATGCTGTGCGTTGTGCGCTCTTGCAGGGCGCTTGCTGCACGATCAAAGGATATATTGAGACTCTGAATCTCCGAGCACATTTGCTGGATGGCTTCAACGAAGCGTGACTCATCAGCTCTTGGCCGCCACCAGTGGTATCTTCCGGCTTCCTGGCCCGCCAATCCAGCGCTCATCTCCTCATCTGTCCCGTTCTTCTTCGTCATAGAGGTATAAGTTGGTAATAAGAGGATGCCACCAAGTTTTGAACGAGTATTAATCGAAGACTGAGCGAGTTGCTGGGATGTTGGATATTCTTTATCTTATCAATTGTCACGCTGATGTCAAATTGAGTCCATGATTACAAATCAAAGTTGGTGGCAAAAATGTGACGGTAGAGAATTGGTAGAGAAGCAATGATATAGATCAAGTTGGAGGGGAGGTATCGCACTGATAGAGTTAGAAATAGAGTAAGATGAGCACTGATCTGGAGCTAATCCTGTAGCTCCAGCTCTCTTCGAATAATTTCCCTCACTTCTCTGAGGCCGCCCATTTCGCGTTTAACTCGCCTGGGACTTCGCGTGAGTATTTCGGTGCTGTCGAGTTTCGCACGAGAGCCGGGACTGGGCGGTGGACCTATAGTAGAAGTAGATCGAGCACCTGGACTGGGTGGTGGGACGAGTTTGCTACCAGCGGGCTTCTTGGTTGGACTGAGGGGTATCGACTTGTTGACAGTGCTACCATCAGAGTCCTGCGCCGATGACGTAGATGGCATCTCAAGCCATTCTTTTCCGGCGATATCCAGAGGTCGCAGGAAGAATGGACAAAGCGTCGTGAGTAGTCTGAGTGACTCATTTGCTTCTAGAGTTGACATTGGCACAGGGGAAGATTTGATGATCGCAGCCGCGACCTCAGAGGTAGGAAGAGCTTTGCGTTTGCGAATAGTTGACGTGGAAGTCGGTCCGACAGGAGCCGAGAAGAGCCTGTCAAATAAGGAATCAATAAAGGAAGAGGTCAGGTGCATGGTACTAACATCCAGGCACTCTCGGCGACACCACCTAAGCGACCGAGTAGGCAGCGCCGTCGGATCTCTTCCTGACCCATTTTCTGGATCTGCTCCCTAGAAAGTTTTCCTCCCACAACTTCCGTGCTCCTTGCCTTGGTTGGACTGGCAGTGACAGACTTCTGACGAACTCGGTCATATAAAGCTTGACGACGAGATGTACTCGGAGTTGAAGGTGCGGTCTCCGCGTTAGCACCGCGTTGATGGACAGGTGTCATAGGTAGAGAGTCTGATGCATCGCTCTCGCATCTATGACGCGCAGGAGTCTTGGGGGTTAGAAGACCGACCAAAAGATCTGCGCGCCTCTGACGCGATGATGGTGTTTGAGGAAATGCAACGGAAGATTTTGAGGATGATGCAAGGGCTGACTTTGAGGGACTAATCGCAGGAAAGGAGACTGCAAACTCGTTTGCGGCGATAGAACGCTTCACAGACGACTTCACCGGTGAGGTCGGACTAGACGGAACCATATTCTTAAGAATTGAAGCACCCTTAGGCGAGGCAGAAGCAAGCACTCGAGTCAACGAGGACGCCTTGACTGTAGTCACAAGCTCCGAGAGATCTGCCAAAGGGACATTTGGCACATCTGGGACATCAGAGTGAAGCTACAAGTGGAGTTAGCGTTAATAATAGAAGAGATCTGGGGGACAAACCTTAACCCAGCGCTCGAGTTTATTTCGAAACTCAGTTCGTCGCTTCTCTGCATCGGCGGTCCATCGAGCCACCGCGGCCATACCACCCCCCATATGTTTGTCAATATCGATTTCAACCTCGATACCAATACCATATACAGGTACGCGTTTGCCTGCGCTCTTGGAATAATGGGTAGTTGGGCTGATAACCAATCCCATCGCGCCTCGCGTCCAGTCTTTGGCAGGAGGCTGTGCAGGGGCATCTAAGAAGGGGTTCTCATCATCAATTGCCTCGTATTTGCTTGTAAGGTCAGGAAGTGACTCTGCATCCCACTCCCATATCCAGCAAAGTCGCTTAAGATCATCAGTGTCGAATTTAGTTGCGAGTCCAGAGTAAGTCATGATGGACATATGATTGAGCACATTTCGCACTATGCCTGTGTCAGAGGATGGAGACACGGCGCACGTTGCTAGTGCATGTGATAATGCATGCTGCAAGGCTGTTTGAATTGTGTTGAGTCGTGAAAGGTGATGTGGTAACGACGTGTGATTTGGTTTGCTGCCCTTGTGAGCAGAGGAGGGTGGTGTAGGTGGCCTTGAGACATGTTGTCTATAAGCATAATAGCACAGCGACAATAGATTAAACATGCTCACGCAGTTCGAAGCTTTTTCGGAGTGAAAGTGGTCTCGTCGTCTGAACTAATGAGTTGGCGTTTCTTCCTGGGAGAGACTCCGAGGGACGTGTATAGGTCGGTCATAGAGACAGAGAATGTAAGTGCAACAAGTAGAGTTAATGTATCAGCTGCCGGAGCAATTAAGGATGTCGTCAGAAGAAGGATGAACGTTAACACAAGAGACGCGAACCAAATGATCGACGACGCGTCCACGTAAACAGTTCCCACAAACGCGTCTTTGCCGTGTAGTGCCAGGTTACATAATTCAATGTAGGTCTGTTACACGCTTTTGCTCATTTGAATCCTCAGCGTCCTATAGTGCATCTAGTTGGCTGCTGTGTAATACCCAAGGCGAATGTTATCATGCTAGACGCCGGTTAATGAGTACAACGGTAAGCAATTTTCTTCTTGGTCAACCACCTCTCAGTCACCAACAAGCTTGTTCGAATTTCCTCATTGCTCTCGTACATTCTTTGGATTCTACACCGAATGCTAGGTGTCTTAACTCAAAGAATGTGGCTGAACCAATCCACAGTCAAGCCTCAAAGTCGCATAGGTTAGGTACGTATCTGTTATCCATGCAACACTGTTACAAAGGGTTCCAAACGATGGGTCTCCAGAGAAGCAGCTCCAGGGCTTCAATATACAATTTACAATTTACAGGTCAGGTCAGCGCACGCCAATATGGAGGAAAAGAACAAGACTTTAGAACAAGAACTTTAGAAGGTTACAGCCTCACGACCTAATCAGCTGTAATATTGCAAATGGAACTGATATCAGCGAATCGTGTGCCTCCTCGACATCTCTCATGATCTGATGAAACAAAGGTGCCATCTTCAACTAGAAACTCCGCGGAGAATTTCTGCATTCAATCATGGTACAACGCAGTGCCAATTCTAGGAATTCCTTTTTGCGGCACTACGGCGCAGTTCGCTCTCCACATTCGAAAAACCGGATCTCACTACAATCAGAACTGCATTCGACGATCTTTGATGGGGTTTAGTTAGGCAAATGATCACAGAATGGTTGATATTTGATGCATCGAGGAGGCTGCAAACACTTTGATGTCGGCAATTGCTAATTATCAAGCAGCAGGTATAGTCGTGTTGTCGCAAGCCTGATGATTCAATTGAAGTCCATTTTGAGGACTTCAAGTTGTTGCAGACACGTGATCTCCCCAATTGACAAATTCATCTTCTCCACGGTTTTCGTGCGATGTCACGACAACGACCGCATGAATATTCAAACAAAACTAGCGATTAGAGATCCGAAGCAGCCCACGGGAATGAAGAAGGTAAGAGTGATGTGCTGAAGTACCTGACTGTTCCTCAGGCTGAACCTGCAAATGAATTCAGCTTTAGGTTTTGTGCGCTTGTTTGCCGTTACCTTGCAGACAAAGCAAGCTGGGTCACCGCCTAGACCTTTTTTATAAATTATTGATCGCTAATGAACTCATGGCAATCTTTCACAGTACTAGTATACAATATATTGATTAGAGTACTGCATCTCTAGCCGTTCACGTTAAGTATGGCTCATTTTGTCGATGCCTATGGCCAGTAATCTTGCTTCGTTGTGGTCACATCTTGGGATGCATGACTTGTGTGCGTTGGCCTAGACGTACGTGTGAACAAGAAGCAAGTTCATGAATGCCTGCATGCAAAGGCGCAAGATGCCACGAGTGAACCGTTTGAGCATTCTGCTCCTCAACTTTAGAAGCAAATCTTGATGGCACACAGCACATGCATCGCCTTGACCAACATACTACAAAGGCGAGGATCACGTCAAAGGGGTTGGGTTTATAAACTGTGGCGCAGCACGACTTCTCTCCTGCCTCCGAGTCACCAGCATGATGAACGCAAACGAAAATCATGGAGTCATCCAGCAGCATGCAATGTCTGTACTCGGTTACCTTGCTACATGGACTCGGTACTGAATGACAGCCATGCAGACAAAATACCCTTGAGCACCTTTCTGGTATGCATCACCTCTGACGCGAAATAGTATTCATCCAGGACTTCAACATGTTCGACAGGTGAAATTCAGATATTACTGCAAAACGAAAGCCTCTACGAGAATCGTATTCGAGAACTTTCAACAAATTTGGGTGTTTTCCAAACAGCATACTCTGCTATGGAAGACCGCCTTCGAAGACAAGTGGAAGAGAAAAATGAATTGTTACACGAGTTGAACGCCTTAAAGGTGCGTTTACCTTTCACCCAGACGACTATCGTTGTGACTAGAAACCGCGTTATAGGGACTGGAAAAACGAGTTATATGTTTGCTTGACGGCGATGGAATGATCTTCACGCAGGAATTGATGAGCCAGGGCCAGGAAGGTGGCCTAGCTGCTGCAAGAAAACTGACCGAACGGGTTCGCCAATTCATATCTACCAGTGAAGGATTTGAGCAGTACCAACTTTGGGTGTATCTCTTCTACAACAAACGCGGCCTTCTAGAGACGTTCGGCCGAGTGGGTCTGACGACGGTTAGAGCCAAATTTGATGACTTCATGATGGGCTTCAATCAAGCTGCTGAGCGATTTATCATGGTCGACGTAGGAGGTAGCAAAGAAGCTGCTGATGCAAAGCTTAAAGGTGAGCTAACTCGCGTGATGTGATTTGCACGGAGTCATTGAAGTTATTTCTGGATATCTAGTCCATCTTGAAGATAACATCCGTCTTCCACAAACTTACAAAATATTCTTTGGCGGTAAGTTCCACCTCCACCTTCCAAGCGGTTTACTAATTTTCGCCAAACAGGATGCCATGACAATGGCTATGTACACAACCTTCGTTCTGTCGTCACCTCAAGCCTTGGTCATAAGCTTGTTCTCATGCCTGGTTATTCTGACGTAGCAATTGATATCAGGGCGCTTCAGCTACCTGAGCTCAGAATACCTGAGCTGTTTATGACAACTAAACTCGTTGCACCGTCTTATAATGTCATTGCGACTGGTCCCCTGCCCGGACTGGCGCCTACTACTCCAAAATTGACCGCAGCGCAACCTGTCTGTCCTCCTACTACTCCGCCTGGTATCAGCTCTTTTTCTGGAGAAGGCCAGGGAGCAGTCACTCGGCGCGGAAGTCTCCCAAGTTATAAATCAGTGTTGCAAACACCTCTAACAATGTCGACGCGGTTTAACTACTCAACAATGGAGCCAAGTGAGGGTAGTAGTGAGTCCAGCGAAGCAAGCGAGATTCCGCTTCGCTTGCCGCGATTGACCCCTCCTTCTCCACCGAAGCAGCGACGTATCAATCATCAACTGGTGAGTCGTATTGCCCTTCCATGTTTCTTGACGCTGTCCTAACCAAATTACCGCTAGCCATTGTCTAAGCGTATGTTCACTAGGCATCCATTGTAGCGATCTAATGTTGATCTTTTTACGCAGATGTTCCACCTCCATGCACTTTATTCTACTTGGCACAATGCAGACACGGTCCGAGTTGCAAATATTCGCATGAGTATATCTTGGAAGCGGAACACTATCAAGAACTCGGAGAGAATGCAAAGAAGACGCCTTGTAAAGTTACAAACGAAGGCGTGTCTTCCCCACTGGCAATTTACTGAACATAATGCTAACTGTTCGTCAGGCGGAGATTGTCCATTTGGAGATGAATGCGTTTATGGACATTCGTGCCCGAATGGAACAACTTGTTATTACCTGAAATTAGGAAAATGCAAATTCATCGCTGGTGAGGCATCCCGTCACCCTCCACACTAAACCAACTCTCATCTTCGCTTAAGCTGGTATGCACCGCCAACCGAACAACTGAATTAACGTGCACCTTCGATTTTATTATGATAAAGTTTCTTGTTATGACCATTCGAGGCTATCCCGGAGATGGGTTCGGCCTCGGGAACGTCTATTTGTACATATATGCATGCAGTCACGTCTTGACATCAAGGTTCAGTTTTTTCTAACCTCTAGATCATCATCGCGGAGGAAAATTAACAACGTAACGCTGATGGAATTTTTCCATTGACGTACTTGAGCACGTACAAGTGATTCTCAACGAAAAATGCGGCACATTCACTTGGTTCGCGTGACTCAACCAAATCAGTCTTGACTTCTTCGAATGACAATATGACCTTCGAGCTGCTCACATCAATGATATAATTGCCTTATCTGCGGACTTCTCCCATTGCACGAATCCCGCGATCTAGCCTGATTAACGGCCTAGCCCCTTTACAGGTAAGCATCGTGGCTTCGATGGTTTAAAAGGCTGCCGATTTTTGTTGGTATTCCTGTGTCTCCCTAATATCTAATATCCACTCTGTACCCATCGTTCGCCAACCCATATGGCAACGTCTCCGGTAGCAGAGGTCAGTCAGCAGCTCTGGTAAGTCATTTAGTGCACCGGCTGAAAACTTGATTCGAAAATTTTCACAAGGGATGAGACGCTGGGTAGACTTCTGAGTGAGTACCTTTCTCATGTCAGGAATCAGCTTGTAATCTAATGCTATTTTGCAGACCTGTCATCGGCGACAATTAAACGGAATGCTGACCTCGAGAATCGCTTAGCTGAACTCGAGGTCGAGCTTGCGGTCTGGAAACAAGCCCATGCGACTGCTATTGAAGGTGCAGACAGGGAGGCTAAGGCTCTCAAGGGGCGACTGGCTTCTCTGAATTCTCAGGTGGCATCAATGGAAACTTTCATGGTCAGTGTATTTCTTGCTGGCTATCTAAATTTATCCGCAATTTCAAACAGAGCCAGAGTCTACTCGTCCTCTGCGTCATTGATGGAGATGCTTGTATATTTAATGACTTGCTCCTTAGGCAAGGTCACGAAGGTGGCCGCCAGGCCGCACAACAATTGACGAGGGCAGTCGCGGATTATTTAACCAACGAGGATGTTCACGTTCTCGGTCGACTGTCATTTTGGGTAACAATTTACTTTAACAAGGCCATACTGGCGAGTGTTCTCGAGCGACATAAATTATGTAGCCCGGAGCAACTTGATGCCTTCATTATGGGCTTCAGCCAGTCTTCGCCTAGGTTTGTTTTGGTTGATGTCGGATACGGCAAAGACGCCACCTTCACGAAAATTACAGGTAGGTGTGTGTTGATCAATGTCATCTGTTGCTTACCCCCATTTAGAGTATCTACAAACCTACCTGCGCTTCCCCCAAACCCAGAGAATTTTTTTTGCCGGCAAGTCTCGTCAACGCTCATTGCCGCTTACAGAAGTTGACGTAACACAGGTGGTCAGGAAAATACATACGCTTCAACTATTGCTGCCCTACAAAATGACGGACTTTTGGGAAAAGTCGCTTTCTTGGAAGCCTGCCGCGCGAGCCCTAACTATGCTCAGAAACACCGTTTGCCAGTTCTGACTGTGGACACATTGTTCATCAACCAGAGACTCTCGCCACCCTTGAGGACACCTCCACCATTGAATATGAACGGACTTAGTCCCACACTGACATCTGGTGGATTACCAACACCGCATTCGCCACCCAGTATGAGTGCTTCCTCAACGGGAAGGCTGGTGGACCCGACCTTGGTGAGTCCACCCTCTCGTGGTTTATTGGTGATGCTGATGGCTCCCAGCCCCTTCATAAGCGTGAGTTAAGATTGTGTTGATTAGATGTGGTCAGTGCCTAGACACTCGACATTTTACCGCTTACACAGATTCTCCCCCACCTTGTAATGAATTCTATCTCATGTCCTGCACTAAAGGCGTAAGTGTGGACCGCGAGTCGTCTTCACTGTGCTGATGCACGTTCCGGTATCAGGGGGCTTGTAAATATTCGCATGACTATATCCTGACACCAGATCAGCTGGCCACTCTTGCTGCTAACGCCAAAAAAGCTCCTTGTAATTTCCTGAAAAATGGCATGTTTATTCAATTTGACCTCGATGCTTCATTCATTTTTTGGTCATTATAGGTCTCCAGTGCCCATACGGCGAGCGGTGCTGCTGGGGTCATGTATGCCCTAACGGTCCGAAGTGTTTCCACCTGAGTAAGGGCAAATGCTGGTTCAAAGGCGGTTCGTGTTAGAACGTCAGATAACAACCGAGTACTAACTGGAACGTTTTACCTCCAGAAAGCATGCATAATGTTTCGCCTCATCTATCACCTTAGTCTTCCTCGATCTATGTTTGCCTGTTATTGGTTTATCTTATGTGCCAGATGGCATGTACGAAGGTTTTAGCTTGACGTTTTATCGCGTTATCCTCTGCTCTTTATGTGCTTACAACATTGTAGTTCATGTGTGGTTTTTTACATGTTATTGTATGGATCGGATATGGATTATTATTTATGGATGTAGTCTGGAACACGAATCCGTGGAACAGCTAGCACTCTCCAGCTCCGCATGTTCTAGACCAGGAGTCCAGGACACTCGTGATAATTTGTCTGAGTATGACGTGACCCCAAGACCTTGTCAAGACCCCTTGTACTCGTCTCTTCACCCCAATACGAAGTTCTGCGTTTTGACTGCCACCAAACGGGGGCCTTGACCCTCCGCCATCCGTTAATAATTAGTCTCGTTTAAACCGCAATGAAAGCCCTTGAAAGTTCTGCTGAGACTCAAAGCCCGAGCCTATCTGGCAATGTCCAAACTTACTTTGGATCATAATCAAGTTGAATTTCGAGCCTAGGCAACAGGCGTGCGAAATCGGATCAGTAGATAAGTGTCTGAACAGGATGGCACTGCCAATCGCAAAAGGCCCTTGGAAACTGCAACATATCTGCCACTCATCGACCTGTTCATCTCCTTCTAAGCCTCGAGTTTCACATTTGAGATGTCTTCTGTATGTTTCGAACATATATACCTTAATTGCGATCGCTGGCTAATTGGTGTGTTACTGTAGAACGATGATCAGGATGATCTGAAGCCCTCTGCCACCCCAGGTAGGCCAGCATTGAATGTAGGGCAAACGGAACGAGCAGCTTATTGATTCTATCCCAGGCTACAAGCCAACTGGCACTACAAAAACTGCAGATGAATACGCCAAGCTCGACGCGGAAGATGAGAGCTTGGCACGGTGGAAAGCCAGTCTTGGCATCACGCCTGGAGTATCAACTGGGGACACCTCAGGACCAAGAGTATGTTACTCCCAGTCCTGTCTGCGCTGAATTTAATGGGTAATATAGGTGACAGTTCTGACCCTAGAGCTCGATTCATCCACACTGCCTCCTGGCAAGAAGCTTGTCTTCAACCTCAAGGACGCTGCCAAGATCGCCGATATCAAGAAGAACCCAATCACCATCAAGGAGGGCGTAGAATATAAGTGAGTGCTCTGAAGTTGTTCTCCGATGCTATCAGGCTGATATTGTCACAGCGTTCGGATCACGTTTAAGGTGAACCACTCAATTATTTCTGTGAGTGACCCATCCTCGTTTCGGCTTGACAGGTCCTAAAACCTTGTTACGAAGGGTGTACGATACATCCAGCTAGTCAAACGCGCGGGCATCAAAGGTACCAGTGCATTCCCATTGTGGTTCAGGTCCTTGATTTTGATCACCTCTATAGTGGACAAACTCGAGCAAATGCTTGGATCATACGGTCCCCATCCCCAGGGAGAACCATACACGAAGAACTTTGATGTAGAGGAATCGCCGTCGGGGCTTGTGGCACGTTCAGGATCGTACAACGTCAGAAGCCGCGTTGTGGACGATGATGGAGAAGTATACGCAGGTTTGTATTCGCAGACGCTGTGATCGAGATCTCTTAAAACTGACCTGCCATCTTTTTAGACTGGGAGTGGTCGTTTAAACTTGCCAAGGAGTGGTGAATGAAGACTTCTCGCCTTGTCACTTTATGACCTTTGTTGCATTACCCTATGGCATCATTTTGCATATCAGCCCTCGTATCTCCCCGGATGTGCCTTTTGTACCCTTTCGAACAGTCGCCACCGACATCAAGTGCCTGCCGAAGAAAAGTTCTTCAGGCTGACTGAAGTTTTCCGCTGAAGAAAGTATTTAGATATAACTGCAGGCTATGGAAAAATTGACTGGTCAGGTCGTACTAGTAGCGGACTGTGGTGCTCTGTTAAATACGCTAAGCACGCAGGAGATTTGACATAGTTCACAGTAATACAACCAGTGCAGACGTACGGAAAACAGTGGACCCTGAGCGCTGAGCGAGAGAACGAAAGCGGGCTTGTATGCAAGCGACTAGCAACGTCCAAGTTGGCCGTCAGCCAGAGCGAGGACAAACACGTCGGCTATACGTACATACAAATTACGTGTTGAGGAACTTATGTACTGCTGTGCAGCATGACCATCATAGCACTAACGCGGTTCTCCAGGTTGTATGCAGGACATTGTTTGACGAGGAACTCAGTGTGCAATATACCATTGGTTGGTAGGCACACGTCCCAAACAGCCGGTCAAATAGCTGGCATCTTGTCTTCATCGACAAAGTTATTGAGCCGTCATGTATATGGGACAGCAGGTGCTTCAACTCCACCAACAACCTGGGTTGACAATCTTCCACCAAAAATTCGACCTTACCTCTACTTGACAAGAATCGATAAGCCAATTGGGACCTTATTACTATTTTACCCTTGCGGTGTGTCAAGCGGATTCGAAGTTGTGCGCTCTTCCCACTCATTCTTCCTCAATCTAGCATGGTCCATAACTATGGCCTCGTATGCCTTAGAGGCACCATTAACGACGCCTCTAACATATCTCGGCCTATTTGGACTTGGAGCAATGGTCATGCGCGGTGCAGGCTGCACCATCAACGACATGTGGGATAAAAATTTAGACAAGGCCGTAGGTGAGCAGAACACGCGCCATTGCCACATCTTCTTTGCGCCGACGCGTCATCGCAGAAAGGACACAAAGTAGACCACTTGCGAGAGGTGACATCAACCAGAGACAGGCACTAGTGTTCTTAGCTGGACAGCTGACAGTGGGACTGGGAGTTTTGTTACAATTGAATTGGTACAGGTACGCATCATATTTACTTTCGCTCCACTTACTGTCGCAAGCATTGACCTTTTCGATCATAAGCATTCTCCTTGGAGCTTCATCTCTGTCTTTGGTGACCGTATACCCGCTTATGAAAAGAATCACCTACTGGCCGCAAGCCGTACTAGGTACGTGTTAGTAGTTTCCGCCGTATTTCAGGACTGAAATAATGATACCGCAGGACTCACCTTTAATTGGGGGGCTTTGCTCGGTTGGTCTGCCGTTGCCGGGGCAGTCAACTGGAGTGTTTGTCTCCCTCTATACGCAGGCGGAGTATGCTGGACTCTTGTATACGACAGCATATATGCACATCAAGTGGGTGTTGCTGCACAATAAGCACTCTACCTCCTGACTATCGCAGGACAAAGTGGACGACATAAATGTTGGTATCCACTCCACCGCCCTACTTTTCGGAGAGCGGACTCGCCCCATCCTTGGCGCGCTCTCGGCATCAACTGTTTCTTTGGTTGGTCTCGCAGGTGTTCTCAACGCTCATGGGATGCCATTCTATCTCGGGCTCGGTCTCGGGGCTGCTCAGCTCGCACGTGTTCTTTGGAAAACAGACTTTGAGAGTCGTCCGAGTTGTTGGCAGGGATTCGTAGGATGTGGTTGGTCTGGATTTTGGATATGGATGGGAGCTCTGGCAGATTACGCAGTCCTGATTTCAGGTCTTACATGATGGTCATGCTCGAATGGCAAAAATTCTCGCAGTGGGTAGGAGTCTGCCAGAGGCACCACTGTGCAAGTGACTGTTGATTTGGCTTTCTACAGTCTGCATCTGCGCCTCATTTCTCGTCGAATTTATTATTTATAGCCGTTGAGAATCGAGATAGAGATCTTTTAGGGGATTGCATACTTTTTTTGGAAATTTTCGGAGTCGGAGATGGGCGACCAGTTGTGATCTTGACTACTTGTCCGAGCTCTCTCCTCACTGTTAGCCATGGCTTCCACCTCATCTAGCATTGTGTTCGACGACATCTTTACGATTAACGCCATCGACAAGGATGGCAAAAAATTCGACCGAGGTCCGGACTTGCCTATGCGCATCACTTTTTACCTGTGATTGACATGCGCTATGTAAACCCAGTATCTCGGTTATACGCTCGTTCAAAGAACTATGACATGGACTTGACGCTTGATTATAATATCGAGCTCTTCCCTCTAATCAATGGGGACAGTTTCGCGATGGCCCTCGCTTCGTCACTGTCACGGGATGGTGCACCCACTGCAGATGGAGAAGATGGGGAAGACAAAGACAGAGATGTATGGAGACCAGATGGTAAAGGAAGGAGAGGCTTGGAAGAAGATTATGACTATGTCATGTATGGGAAGGTATGGTTATGTTTTTCCATCGCACAAGGGTTTGAATTTACTCATTGGTGCGACAGGTATATAAGTTTGACACTGGATCATCCGACATTGTGTAAGTTGCTTGCATGTTTTGCAGTTTACTGGCTCGCGCTCATATCCTGCAGCACGGCCTACGCGTCATTCGGTGGACTGTTGCTTTCAATAACTGGTTCATATCGACACTTGACCAATGTCGTTCTTGGTGATCCAGTGTATGTGCTACTTAGGAAATGATCGTCGCAGATTTTCGTTCTGCAAAGCATTGCAGCACCCATTGTGACCCACGTACTCAATCATCAACTCGTAGTACTCAGTGAACTACATGATTGCGTGGTGTAGTCGTGCACCTGCATGGAGAAGGAAACGTCCAGGTTGAAGTCAGCTCTGAAATAGCGTGCTCACAGTTCCCCACTAAGCGTGCAATCAAGACAAACATCAATATTTCGTTACTATACGAATAGACGTGAAATCATGTAAGGGATCCTATGGATTATTGCTGTAAGAGCCGTAATTATAGCGAGTTTGTCAAATAATACAGATGTGAGCGAAGATGCCGATGAAAAGAAAATTGAAAGCACTCGTGAATTATAGCGTTTACGTCTAAGCACGGAACGACAAGAGCGTCTTCTGATCATGGAGCCGAGAGCGGGTAGCGAGGACTGCTTCGGGATTTGAGCCATCCTTTCATTGCAACGATGCCGAAGGTCCAGCAGAACGCGAAGCATGTAATAGCAACGGCAACGTTGAGGAACATCATCATATCTATAGCAAATTCATTTGTCAGTACGGAGGTACGTCGGGGTAGAAAAACGCATACCATCACGCCCTTTCCGCATAGCGGCAATAGTGACTTCTTCTGTGCTGAATATAAACATCAAACCACCGCATGCAAGGAAGAAGCTCGCAAGAGCTTCTGTCGGCGGTCGAGAAGGAAGGATAGAGCGGGGCGGGCCAAGCCAGACAAAGAAATAGGTGAAGCACCTTAAAACCGAGAATCCCAAAAGGAGCCTTCCCCATAGTTCATGTATCTGTACCTGTTTCGAAACCACTTTAGCTAGAAACGGAGTGGACGAATTCTCAAAGTACCTGGAAGAGATAAGTTTGGGCATGAGCGCTCATTGCAGCACCGGTGACGCCAATGACGAGAGCAGGGAAAGGGTTGAAGCTACCACGGTAGCTTGGGGGCTCGGAAGCCTCAGCTGGGTGTACAGCGGCTACAGCAGACGCTGCAAGCCAGCGGCGAACACGCCTGGACTCGATTCCCATCCCAATGAGTCCGGCAAACCAAAACATGACCTAGATAATTGTGAGTTACGGATAGGCAGGAAAACAAGTAACGTACAGCGATGCTTATATGCTGTACTTGCTTGGTGGTGTAAGGGTCACCAGAGCGAATGCCAAAGCGTTCCATCCAAGTGTTGGTGATGCCGTAGAGGAAAATGACCAAGGACTCCACAAATTCGGCAGAAACATGTTCACCAGTCGGTGAGATATTCCAAGCCCATCCCAGCTCAGAGAAAGATCCAAGGTACCGAGCAAAGGTAACCAAGCCGTAACACCAGAAGATGCCGCCCTCTGTAGATCTAGTAAGCGTCGATGCCTCCACATAGAATAAGAGCTACATACTGATTAAATGTGCAAGACAGCCGTTTACATAGGATTCGCGACAGCCACCGGTATAAACGACAATACCTGACAGCGTCAGACCAAAAGCTGCGAAAACCAATGCTCTCTCGAGCGTAGCAAATGCTCCTTTACTAATGCGGATAAGGGGAGTTTGTGGCTCGATAAGACCGGGAAGCTTGAAATCATGCAAGGTTTCATCAGAGTGTCTAGAACCTTGCGGGGAATCGGCTTCAAACACGGTCCTCTCTGATTGCGTATATTGGATTTGGCCCTGACTACTTCGAGAGTTATTGACCCATGGTGCTGTTTCATCGTCATCGGCATCATCCAAATCTTGGATCTGGATTGTTGCAATGGGTTGATTCCGTCGCACATGAAGAGGTTCCCTGGTTTCAGCGAGCCTCAGAGGTTTCATTTCAGCTACATCGAAATCTGAGGGTTCCTCCGGGTCCAAGTCAGTGTACTTGGCTGTGACATCGTATACTTGATTCCGTCCCAGAACAATATTCTGCCAGAATGGCTTCAAGGCAAACTTGTCTCTGCTCTTTATGAACACATATAGACGAATGAGAAAGCGACTGATATCGACCGCAGAAAGGCATAAACTTAGAATTAGGACCAAGTAACCGTGGGATGCATGGGTTGATCCTTCGTACCTGCGATTGAGATGTCAGGGAAATGCCGGAGTAAGATTGGACGTCGCTTACATATCTGGTGTCAACTTCGTATACAATGTACCAAAGACACACCCAAGTGCGCATAAGCTGTAGAATACGACTACAGTGAGTCCATGCCACGAATGCTTTAAAGCACGCATTGCTATGCCTGTGTAGCCCATTTGAAGTTAGCGCGAAGGCGCATGATGCGGGTATGTAGTACTTTCTCACCGACGGGCAAGGCGACAAAGAAGGCAAGGGTCATGAAGATCACGTGTAAGGCCATGAGTCCAGGGTAACGGGCTACGGATGGGTCACGATCCTCGATATCGATAGACCAGTAAGAGGGGGGAGTGGGAGCATGCCACTGAATGATTGCGGTCTCGTTCAGCTCAGTCAGAGGTGCGCCGTGATGCATATGCATGTGATCATTGTTACGTCTGACAACAAGGAAATCTCCTGACGATGCTAAACCATGACGAGTTGTATGTGCTTCTGCCAAATCAAGGTCCGCCACAGGAACTGCCAATACTGATAGGGGTCCGATGGCGAGAAGAGGTGCAGTGGCAATAAGAGACAGCCAACGCGAGTGCATTACTGGACTGAACCACTGTGGGCAATGAAAGGAATGAGTCTGACTAGAAGATTTGAAGGCGATTATAACATTATGAATAATCCTCCTATAAACAACGTTCTTACGCCGATCGGAAGTTTTGTCAGCAAACTACAGTGAGCATCCGAGTCAGGCAAGTTCCCAAGACACGGCTCCGTCGGCACCCGGATTGTCAATGTCTTCACGACGAGCTGATGCATAAGCTCCGAGGCTTGAGCTTTTTCGAAACAACTGTGCAGCCAGAACGCTGGCATTGAAAGCTTCCGATGACAGGCAGCCGTGTCATCATCTCGGCAACCCAGCTTTAACCCAGTACCCAAACCAAGTTAACAGCAAAACCGTAAACTTTCGGAATCCTATTATTTAACTCAGGCGAGTTGTCATTGCCCTCTACTGATTTTCTATGCGTTTCCATGAGATTCGTTCGCATACTGGATAGCGTTTAGAACATCTCGTGCCGACGTGCCGCTGTGTTTTGCAAGTCCGCACGTCGAACTGACCCACTGAGTTCTAATAGATTCACATTACTTTCAAACTCCGTGACGATCTCGTACACCTTTGACCAAGCTCAATCATTGGGAGCCAAGTACAGAGCTTGCCAATGAGGCGCGGGTCACCTCGAATAATTATGCTCTTCTTGCTTGCCGGGGTGCGAGGTGCTCACGGCGCGATTCTTCGGCTCCTGAAAAAATGTTTGCACCAACTTGAAGTACAGCTATCCAGTGCCTTCGTAATCCATCTTGTAGGTCCGTGTTTAGAACATGTATTTAGATATATTTGGTCTGCGGTCTGAAATGATATTGATTTATTGTGAGCCGAATCTCCGAAAAATAAGATTTGGGTTCGGCATTGTAAGTTGGACTACCAGCTGTTCTGGGTATAGCGACGCGTCTGGTGCGTCTTCCCAATGCGTCGGTTCGAGACTACCATCGCTTGTACCAAGTCGCTTATGCGCTCCGATTCAGCTCTTATCTGGAATGTCTTGGGCTGGATTCCTAAATCCATTCCGAAAAAGTGAAGACGCCATCATGATTGGGACGCCACACATGGTGACCGGTGACAGCACGCTTAGCCTGGCGGCCCACAAAGTTCAAGTTGAGCTCCCATTAACATCATTTTCCCGGTGCCTGCTCGGATCACCAAAAGCTATGGCAGATGCTTGGCGGGAATGCCGCCCTAGGTCTCATGCCATGACTTCGGTTTGCTCCCTCTTCCCTCTCTCTCTCGCGGCGACCATCAGATAAGGCGGAACTGCCCCGTCGTGGGCGGACGACCTGGCCATCTGATGTGCTGTGGGTTCTGATTTATGCATTCATGACTCAGGTTTTCCAAGGCAGGCCGCAGCCTATCGGTCAATGCCGAGGTGCGGGCAACTGAGTTAGGTCGGAACAATGAGGCGGTCGCTGGCATGTGATGCCGTCAGGTTTGCACTCAACTAAGTGCGCCCGTCTGACTCATCCTGTTTACGTGTTATGGAAATGACCTCATGCGATGAGTCATGTCCTCTCTCTCGCTCATGGCAGTCCCTTGAGCCGCTTTCCCAGATCTTTTGTGCGCGGCAAAGTCGTGTCGTCGCTCAAGCGCTCAAGGGTGTGGTGTTTGCGCAATCCGTCATCTAGCAAATTTTCGTAGCCTGGCGCTTCTTATTGGGCAATTTAATGTTGATCGTTAAAGAGGTCAGTATCCTTTCTTCGTGAGACCTCAGATTCCAATGATGGATTGGCATGGGTTACTTTTGATGTTTCTAAGACTTGGTGGTGTCGTTGTCTATGTATGATGCCTCTGGCATTGTGCCACATTGGCGTGATGCGATATGTATGTTAGATGATCACTAATAGTCTATACGAGCCAAGCCGTCGATCGATCAGTCTAGTACTAAAACTCCTCAATATTTCTCACAAGTCTTATCTCTTTCGATTTATCAAGGAACAATTAAAGCGACAGCTAATTATAGCATTCTCATCTCAGGTCAAGTGCTCCAAGTCAAGTGGTTCTGACTCGCCGAGCCTATCATAGAGCCTATCTAGCGTATTCAGCTTCTTGGTTCGCTATTGACGTCGAAAGGCTGACTTCAAAAGTCGACGCGACCACCCTGCAAAATGCGTTGGCAAACAGTCAGGCAGTTCCTCTGGGGGGAGATACCTTCCTCGAAGTTGGAGCGAAGGCTGCTCTTGAAATTGGACTGGTTCATTCTGTCCTACTGCTGTCTTATGGTATGTTGCATTGACTGATCCTGAAAACACTGACTGCAAACGCGTCACTGTGGTGGTAGTATTTCACGAACTGTGAGTTTTACGTTGTTTACTTATGACACTGGGCATTTTGGATGCACTAGTACAGTTTCTAATGGAGGAAAGCGTTACGAACGCGTTAGCCTTCGATGTGGTCACAGCGAAGCTTTCTCCGATTACCACTTGATAGATCTGGGGAGCTGTTTCTGACATAGTTCTCGTAACCAGACCTTGATCGAGCAAATGTAAACAATGCATATGTATCCGGGATGAAGCAAGAGCTCAACATGCAAGGAAATGACTTCAATGTACGTATTTTATGTGTTCTCAGGGAGGTTTCTTAGAGCGCCCTCGCAGAAAATCAATACCGTCTTTACTTGCGGCTACATTGTCGGGATGATTCCCAGTAGGCCTTCAGCGATTATGTGTTGCCTGAGGTGCCCTATTCAACTTGTCAGATAACTTGATGCTCCAGGTCGTCCCACCAAGATTGTGGTTTCCATCGATGCAGATAGTGTGGGGTGTGCTCACCTTCTGGTTCGTTTCGATTGCCGAGAATGCAACAAGCACGCCATTGACAAATCTGATAACATAGTTCAAGTAGCGTCCATAACGTTCAACAGGTAAGTCCCTTCCATAATGACATTGTTTCCCTGCCAACTGTTTCTGCAAATAGCTGTACGCTATCAGATTCTTCCAAGGCGTATCAGAAGCATCGACCTTCGTAGGCACGCACTATATTCTTGGATCGTCAGTGTGCTTCATTTTTCTAAGGAACATTATCTTATTCCCTTATGCGCTTCCTGAAGATGGTATAAACCTGGCGAATTGGGAAAGCGCTCGGGCATTTTTACAAGTTCTGGTTTGGCTGGGACACTGTAAGGTAGTCATCCAAAGTTTGTTCATTTCGCCGACACTCGATAGGTTCTCCGGTGTGCTTCAGGCAGCTGTTTACCAGTAAGACATCATGTTTTCCACCGGGACCGAAATTTTAAACTAAAGTTTCATGAGACATCTTGGAGGCGTGGGCGGAAGAAGTGGATGGCGGTGGTTGTAAGCGTCCCCAGATTGCTGATCGGAGCGCCAGCGCTGAGAAAACCATCCAATTCAGGTTCATAATCGACGGTGTAATCACGCTCCCGATCGCAATTTACGGCTTCCTCGTGTTCCCCGATGTGCCATCGACCACCAAAGCATTTTATCTCAACGAAGAGGTATGCTTTTGAAGATATGTCAACATTCGTTTCTCAGTTGTACTATCTTCTCCACAGGAACGGGCTCTCTCCCAAGACCGTCTTGACTCGGATGTTGTCCATCATAGTCTCTCTTGGGATCTTGCGAAGAGGGTGCTGAGCCGCTGGCGTTGGTACGGGTGCAGTCTCCTCGTAAGTATCTTCCCTTACTCGACGAGTTGGATCACACAATTCGTACAGTTTGCTATCTCAGGAGAGACTGAAAGTTTTGGCTCCAACAATCTGATGGGCCAATGGCTGTCTGCCATGGGCGGTTATACAGTCGAACAAGTTGGTGGGTACATTACGTGCCTGTATCTTTCCTTCCCTGATGTGTTATCAGATTACTATCCGAGTGGAGTCACAGCTTTCGGGATTGCATCCACACTGGTCTGCGCTACCTGGACAGATTACACACGAGCAAGATGGCCCGTACTCGTTTACATGTGCTTCTGCTGCACGGTTGCTGCGATCTGTATCCTTGTGTGGAGTAGCCCAACGGGGTTGAAATTCTTCGCATACTGTTCGTGGTCTCTACTGAGGTTACTACTTTGCAAACTTAGAACATCCCTTAGATTTCGCAGGAGCCTCGTATGCCGGACAAGCTACCACATTTGCGTCAGCTGTGTCTTCGTACTCTCGGATTGACTCGTGCTGATTTGATTATTCTACAGTTGGGCAAACCAGATATGCGCAGATGATTATCAAGAACGTGCTGTTGTGCTTGCCTCCATGAAGTGATTCTTTTTAATCGTATTCCTGCTGAACCCAAAACTAACTTGGACATCAAGTATGTGGAACAACGCGGTCAATGCTTGGTGGCCACTTCTCTTCTACCCTGCTACGGATGCGCCCCGTTTCAAAAAGGGCATGATCGCAATGATTTGCACGTGCGCAGCGACATTGGGAGCGACTTGGCTGGTCTGGTACCTGGAGCGGCGAGAGCAGCGTTTGGCAAAAAGAAAAGCCATGGAGCACGTGAACCAGATGAGAGAAGATAGTCCGAGCCCTATCGAAAAAGACAAGCCCTTGAAGGACGAGTAATAGCAAAGGTAGTCGATTATGCGTGTCAGACCTCAATCAAGCAGCCAATATACCTTAAAACTTTCTGATTCATGCAGTCATCAAGAAAAAAAGTACAGATACAATGACAACAAATGGTGCTCTGGAATGGCGCTCTAGAATGGGTGACCAGTCACCCTATGCATACATCATGACAGCTCAACCAGAATCAAAAACAGCATCCGATGAGCACAGCACATCAAAATGGATTAATTGAACTATAAAAAAACGCAAACACGAGCGCTGCTCAAAACAGTCTGAAGGCAAGGGAGCATAGTTGGACAGGAAATCAACAAAGCAGCTGCCACTTGGACGGATAAATCCAAGAAGGGTATCGGGAAAAAAGGATATCGAGATCACTAGGGTATATTTAGTGATCGACAACCTCGAGCATTCCTGTGTAAGGATCGTCCTCCAAATCATCAGGAGGTGCAGGAGTCGTCAGATCACCAGGGGGTGCAGAAAGGTTCATTGATTGAGAAATCGGTGAGATCGGAACATCCTGATTCTGCATGTAATAGTGGGAGGGAAGGACCGGAGATTGAGATGGGTCATAGACAGGATTTGGCAGGAGAGGTGGGACAGGTTTTCGATTTGAATATTTGCGAGTAAGGTTGGCACCACCCGTACTGACTGAACCAGCCGTATCGGTCGCTCCACCCGAATCAACGCCGCCACCCATATTTGCTGCGCCACTCGTATTTGCTGCATCGCCCGCATTAACTGCACCGTTGAGGTTATAGATGGAGCCTTGAGTGGGAGGGACATAATAAGCAGCTGCCTGCTGTTCATATCCTTGTGAGCTGTAGTAACCGTACTGGGGAACAGCCGGTGGCGCATATGCAAGCTGGGGACCGTACCCAAAGCCATGGCCATGACCTGAGGAACTGCCACTAAGCCTGGATTTTTCAAAGGTGTTCGTTCCCTTCTCCTCATCTCCGTAGTGCTCAATCACGACTGGGCCAAACGTGATAGGATCGGTGATGTCGTTCTCAAGGCGACTGCGCCGACGGCGGCGGATGGTGTACGTGACGACGACAAAGATCATGATCACGATCACGATTCCGACTAAGGCAAATACTCCGCCCTCCAGAGGCTTGTTCTGCAAGAATGACTGAGGTGCAGCAGTGGCAGACGCTGAACTGGACGCGGTACTTGTCACGTAGACAACGCTGGTGCCAGAGGTTGAAGTAAGAACAATCAGAGAGGCGGAAGATGCAGGTGTGGGTGTGGGTATGGGTATGGGTACAAGTGTGGGTGTAGGCGTAGGTATGGAGTTCGGTGTGGACACCGACGAGGATGTTGTCGAAGGGGTACTCGCGCTGGTGGTCGAACCGGTTAGTCTGTTGACGCCACTTGCAATATATATGTAACTTACGAGGGAGTGGAAGTACTACTAGAACTGGATTTTTGGGCAGTAGTGATGGAAGAGCTGGAAGAGCTAAAAGAGAAACGGGTCAGGAGGTTACTCGTGGACATGGTAGAAGATCCTAACGTAGAAGTGGTAGCTGCCCCGCCATCGATCATGCTGCTGAAAGCGCTAGCAACTCCACCAAAAGGGTCCTCGTTGGGGCCCGATTCCGAACCAGATGATCCCGTGCTGCCAGAGGTCGGATCGTCGTTTCCACCACTGGTATTACTTTAGCTAACGGCTCACTGTCGCATAACGAACAATGCCTTACAGTAAGTTCCCTACTGCTGAGGGTGTCAAAATATCACTTCAAGATGGCAAGAAACCGCTCACATCCATCCCTTCGAGTATCATGTGCATCCATGAGGAGTCGTCGATAATTTAACAGAAATGAGCGGCGATTGAGTGAGTCAAATTCTTTAAATTTTTGTCAGTTCCTTTGAAGCAAGCAAGCTGACAGCAAAAGCTCTGCCCACATGAACAGATGGCAGTCTGTGGCAGTCGACCAATGAAGAATAAAGAACCAGAAAGGACTGTGGGGGATTAGTTGTTGTTGAAACGATGACGATCAAGTTCAAGGGTGCTTCCCACTCCAGCGCATAATAGGACCATTGTTTACAGATTTCAAAATTTGAACACTTTTTGCAATTGACCACTGTTGGCATCACAACTCAACAAAAACAATGGTGTAAGCGTCAACTTGGATGGTCAACGAGACTGGAAGACTCTATGGCACGAATACGTATGTATAAGACAACCCGGACAGAGTTAAATGTCTGATATAAGGGTGCCTGACGACGATAACGGTTGAAGATACAATAATTTCACTATAAGACACGGGGTATATAAGGTCAAGAAAGAATAATACACCAAAACCCCCTCTCATCAATGGATGTATCTGGATGAAAGACCATAACTCTCTCCAGCTTTTCTCTCCATTATCTCCCGAAGAGGCCCAAGCAGTCGTGTGAATGCAGGCGTGTCCAATGCCGCGACCTTCAACTTCGACTGCGACGCATCCGTCCGATGCACCGCACTTACTGTCGCTGCTCTAGGCTCGAGTCTGAGCAAAGATAGCTCTGTTAAGGTGAACGTCAGCTATTTTAAGAACCAATAGACAACGCCAAAACACTCACCGCCGAAATAGTCACCCTTTTTCAGCCGGCCCACTGTAATCTCGCGGTACTCACCCTCCTCTCCTTGTTGTGTCTTAGTAACAATAGCCTCGCCTTCCTCTACGAAGAAGAAAGTATCTCCCATCTCTCCCTGCCGAAGAACCGCTTCTCCATCGGGGTATACTGTGGTGACCAAGGCGTCTGCTATTTTACTACGCTCTTCTGGCTCAAGGGAGGACAAAAGGGGAACACTTGAGAGGAAATGCTCATACATCGTCCTGCGCCTGTGAGCCGCTTTGAGGATGATCGTGCGGAATGTGATACGGTCAAGAGCCCAGACAGTAGAGGGCTCAATTGCCTGCACAGTTGCAGCACGCGGATGACCATGCATTAAGGCAAGCTCGCCGAAGGAAGTTCCAGGTATGCGCTCTGAAGCTTTCCTACCAAAGACGGGATGATATCCCGGCTGGAGGAATTTTTCGGGCTGCGAGGAATGGTTTGCCGCATCCGCTAACCAAGTCGGCGGTAGCGGTCCAGGATGGACGTAGCAGTAGAAAAGTCCTGATTCGACGACGTAGAAGTATTCTCCTACATCTCCCTGCAGAATAATCACATCATCTGCGGCGACATCGCGCTCTTGCATTGCATTGAGCACGCCAGTCTCCTGCTCCTCATCGAGATCGCGGAAAACCAAATTACCTGCAATGGACGCTTTTATGCGGCGAAGTTGGTCGGCTGTCTTTGGGTATACAGGGAGTGGATCGTTGTGACCACTGTCTACCGCGATAGGCTCAGCACTGACTGACACACGGCGTGCCAGTATGGTAGCCGATGGTGCATGGAGATAATCTCCAAGGCCCAGGGAGAGCGAATTAGACATGGTCGGCGTTGAGGACACATCATACCGTGCGAATGCATTGGAATCAGTGGTTAGCGGTGAGGTTGGGGGCAGTTCACGTCCATCCAGGGTGAACGTCGGAGCAAGCATGCCATTGGAAGCCCCGTTTGTGTCTAAGGACAAAAGCGCATTTCCCGGCACATTAAGAGTCCCAAATGGGCTGTGCGAGAAACCCGCATGGAGTGAGGGTGCACGACGCTGAGGAACCTGAGAAAACGGAGAAATGGGAGTGGGTGTGGAGTTACGAGGACCAATATTAACGGGGGAGTCCAAATAAAATTCGGATGGTAGCTCATGAACCGTGGAGAGACCACGTTGTTGCAGGGCGTCTCGCGTTCGCGTCCGCTGTTCTTCCAGCCGAGACTGAAACCAAGTAGCGCAGAACTGGAGGGCGTCTTTAGGTTGCACTCGACATATGTCGCGAGTCAAGTCCTGAATGAGATTGTCGAATGTAGACATTACTCTATATTGTATGGTCCTCGCTGTGCAGGACAGTGATCAATGGGGATTGTTAGATATTTGTTATGGTGGATGTGTGAGTTGGTTTTATAGTCGTGAGCCACTTGGTAAACTTTTGGTAAGGCACCGAAGAAAACAAAAGACGCGTGACCACGTGTCATTACCTTTCTTGTGAGTCCGACAAACCAATAAGCTTGTACAGTTTGTTGTGCATATCCTCATTTCTCATTCAAGTCGCCGGAAACATAAAATCTCAAAGCCCTTTCATAAAATGTCGCATCTTGTTCTTCTCGGATCAGTTAAACGTGTGCTCCGCCTGACTCTTAAGGGGGAGGCATATTCATTTGAAGGGTCGTATCTAGATTAATTTCAATGATCCTCCGGTGTCCGCAGCAGCCTGCCAAGACAAGGGTGTTCAAGATGCTGTGAATTACAAAGGGCAACTCTTTTTTGGAACCTCTCCTTATGGAGCCACCTCGCCCACTGCTCCTCTATTTCAACTGTCCCAATCAACGCCAATAAAACGTAGACTCCTCCCCGCTCAGGCTGACGAAACGTAAAGGTGCCATCTGTGTTACAAGACTAATGATTACAACATCCTTCTATCCCCGAGGTGACAATACATATGACAGGAACAATGCGTAAGAAAAAGGGGCGAAACATCAAATACATGACAATTTTTTTACATCACGGGAAAGTTTTGCGTCACTACCGTGCATGTTGCTGATACTGCGCAGGAAACCCTCCAGGGTACCCAGGCGCGACCTGTTGATTCATATGAGCTTGGGCGTGGGCATGTGCCTGAGCTTGAGCTTGAGCTTGAGCCTGAGCCTGAGCCATTGCCTGCGCCTGCGCCTGGGCTTGAACTTGTGCCTGCATCCTTGCAGCGTCCTGACTGCTGTACATGGGCTGCTGCTGGCCATGTGGATAGACTGACGACGAAGTTATTGAAATTTGAGATGACGACCCTGGTGGAGGGATTGGATTATGGGATTGCTGCTGCTGCTGAGGCTGCTGTTGCTGCTGTTGCTGTGCGTGAGGATGAGGATGAGGAAAATTGAATTGAGGGGGTGGCATCGACCCTGGAGTCGAACTCGGGCCGTAGGTAGGGGCCACGGTGGAGGTAAAGTAAGGGTGCGAAAGGGCTTCAGTGGCCGTCATACGCTTGGCGGGATCAAATTGGAGTAGACGTTCAAGTAAGTCGAGAGCTGCATTGCACTCAGTCTAGGCCCCACAAATCATCAGACCCAAATAATTACCTTGTGGAGAAGCCTTAGGAAGCACTTGGGCAAAGGAAATCTTCGGGTATCTTGGGTATTGCTTTAGGGTAATTTCGGGCTGGAAGAAAAATGAGCATTCTCCACTTCTCGTCACAATCAAGGGATCACACCGATTCAGTCGCTATCTTCCTCAGAACTCGATCATCCGGCGTGCCGACAATGCGCATAATATGAAGTAACTGATCCTGGTTGTCACGGCCACGGAAAAGAGGCACTCCAGATATCATCTCCGCGAAGATGCAACCGCAGGACCACACATCAATCGACGTATTGTACGTGCGTGATCCAAGAAGTACGTCTGGTGCACGATACCACAGTGTGACGACCTAATTCCACACTTCAGCTGTGCCGCAGGGAGACTCACCATATATGAACGCACCTCGTTGGAAAATGTGTTCACCGGCACACCAAATGCGCGTGCTAGACCAAAGTCACCAAGCTTCAGCTCACCCTTGCGATTAATAAGAAGGTTCTGAGGCTTCAGGTCCCGATGTAAGACCCTGTTCTCATGACAAAACGATGTGCCCTTGAGGAGCTGGTACATGAAACTTCGCACGGTCATAGGGTCAAGCGCTCCGCGATCGCCGTGCTGGTCCATATACTTCTTAAGGTCCTGATCACAGTACTCGAAGATCAGGACAAGTTTTGTCTCCGTATGTATGACATCGTGGAGGCGGACGATGTTGACATGTTTGAGCTCTTTCATGAGGGAAATCTCACGGATGGCGGTGGAGGGTGTCCCTTCCTCTGCGTCGAGATGTATCTCCTTGAGTGCGACGATCTCATTAGTCGTTCGCGAACGACCCTAGTACCCACATAAATTTCGAAGCAATATTAAGGAGAAGCTGTTGTAACGTACTTTGTAGACGGTGGCGTATGTACCTTCGCCTGCATAAGCAATGGTTAGGGTACAATCCTCAATATCGTGCATCACAAATCATACCAAGTTTCTCTAACTACTTTATGTTAGCTTGTATGTTAGAAGCACGACAAAGAGTTTACCTGAATGTAATTCATCGTTGGTCCCGCCACTGTAGCTGATTACCCGAGGTGTTAAGATATCGGGTTCGTAGAACGTAACAGATGGAAAGATCGTGAGCAGGCCCTTCCTGTCCCTTCTGTACACAGTGGTAGACAGCAGATGCCAGAAAATGGACGGTTTTGTCAGGCGAGCGTGAGTGCCGACTTCCTAATAGTACGAGGAGCCTCCGAGTCAACCTAAGACTGAACTTCCAGGAGTTTTCTCTCGCTCCCGATTAGGAAATGCAAGAATGTATTAGCTAGCACGTGACTTGCAGAATATTTGTTTCTCCCCGTCCATCAACTCCAGGTATATGCCTGAGCCCATATTGCTGTCCCGGATTATCCTAAAACTTGTTTGAACAGGTAAAAAGGCATATGGTTATGTCTAGTGTCCCCCCATTAAAAAAAGCGCGCACTAAATCATCTTCGCGCAAAGCCAAGCCATCGATATCACAGACCGCCCAAGATGAAGTCCTCATAGACTCGGAACCTGCATCTACTGTATGTATCCAACACCACGACAAAAAACGAAAACTTGATATATATTCATTATAGTCCGCATCTAAAAATGCCCGGTACGCCGAGCCCTCATCTCTTGCGGTACACTCTGGCGTCGAGCTTGGGGAAGATCAAGCAATGGAAGACCTTGCCGCATCTCAGATCGATGGCGCACTAGACGTTGATCTTGCGGAACTCTCCCTAGGCCAGCGTCTCGCCGCAATATCAGGTGACGCACGCCCCTCCTCATCAGACTCTGAAGAGGAGCAACGCCAATCACCACGAAAACAAAAGCAGGACACGCCAAACATTATACCTGCACATTCACTTACCCGGACACTAATACAGGCGCTCCACTCGTCTGATTCGAGACTACTTGAGACTTGTCTTGCACATTCTGACCCAGCAATGGTACGGAATACCGTGCGGCGGTTACCGCCCCAGCTGGCCGTGCCGTTGCTCACGGCATGCGTAGAGCGTCTCGGTCGTGGTCCACGCGCAGCAAGCATGAAAGGCGGTGGCGGAGGTGCCAGTTCGCAACGTGGAACTGGACTTGTTATATGGGTCAAGACTGTACTTGCGGTCCATAGCGGTCACCTTATGACGGTACGTTTCTGAAATGAAGAAAAAACCACTCCCTGTATGCGTTATGAACCAATCTCAATTTCATCAATAGATGCCCGACCTCGTTTCACGCCTCTCAGGTCTACACGCGACACTGACTTCTCGGCTGGCATTACAAGATTCCCTCCTCTCACTAAATGGCCGACTAGATATGGTGCTCTCACAGATCGAGATGCGTTCTTCCACAGCACCAACACTCATTGTACCCCATAAGAATGGGGTATCTACGACATCACAAGGCGAGAGGCAGCCAACAAAATATGTGGAAGGCGAGAGCGAGGAGGAGGGCATGGAAGTTGGTGTGGAGAGCGGAGAGGATGAAGGAAGTGTAGAGGATATAGAGCTCGGCGGTGAAAGTGAAGCTGAGGAAACGGATGAAGAGGGGAGTGACGAGGAAGACGAAGAAGATTCGGACGGCGAAGAACCTACTTTGAATGGGTTCATTGATGATGAAGCAGAGGAGTTCGAGGACGACGAAGAGGACGATGAGAGTGAATAATATACATCGACTTCGCACCTTGCACGTCTAGATGATCTACTTACTGAGCATCCAATCCTGTACACACACCCTTTGAATGCAGAGATGGCCATGCAAAGTCAATTCAAAACAGAATAAATATCCGACCATTATAACTTGCTATAAATCATCTACCCACTCTCCGCCTCTGACACGCTGAATATAAGTTTTCACCCAAGGAGCACGCCTTCCATCCTGCACCCGCAACACAGCTGTCGTCTCCTCCCTCTTTTTGTCTTCCTCGCTCAGTTCCTGGCCCTCCAATCTCTCGACCTCTCGTTCCATCACATTCGCTTCTGTTCGCAAACGCCCTTCCCTTGTCCTCAGCGCTGCGCGCCTGCGATTCCATACCTCCGGATGGAGAGTCAGCACAAGCAAACTTACGAAGGTCGTCACCTTGTGCATTAGACTCGGTGGCGAAAATGGGGTACGCGGTGAAGATGTTGGCCAGAGTGACTTATTCTCCGTATCGATGCCTATGCGTGCGAGGAGGTCCAGAAGAGAGGTAGAGTTGCTGGGGAGCGGAGGCCCCTGCGCTTCTTGATTTCGTGCGGGCATTGGTATGTCAGACTGGGCAGGAGGTGCAGGAGTTGCAGGAGTTGCTGGGGGACCTCCAGGTTGACCCTGACCTGGAGCCTGTCTTGCAGCCTCCGCGGCAGCGGCAACACCAGCTAAACGCTCCCTCTCCCGATTAAGTGGTCCGAGTACAACGTTCCGCACATTCGTCCACATCTCATATATTATCCATGCGATAATGCACAAACCCAACAGCGGTTTGCGAGTTGGGGAGAAAAAGTACAGCAAGAGCAGAGTTCGGAATAATACCATCACTAAGGGGGCCAGTAGCACACGAACTGGGATATCGGGAAGTATCTGGGCTTCACCTCCGGGTGCTGGGAGGTTCGCTTCAACGCCCATCTGACCATTAACATCGACATCGACGTTGACATTCGGGACAGCACGAAGTGTGGGAAGGCCAAGCTGCTGGAGGAGGTCGTTTAATTGATGCGGTACAGTCTCATTGGAGAAAGTGGCTGGCGTTGGCGCCGGTGGTTGAGGCAATGGTTGAAGGAACAATATTGAAAACGTATAGGTCAAGACCTTCAAGGCATGTACTTGCTCAACGGTAGGCCTTGAACCTGGGTTACGGAGGGAGAGGTATGACTTGCCACTAATAACAATTAATTGAAACACATCTCACTATGAGCAAAATTTGGCTCACTCAGTCGTCATCAATTCGTATTGCAGTCCAGAGCCGTCACCATGCTGAGAGAAAGGGTATGGCTCATCCAGGACTGAAGGCCAAATATATCCCTTCTTCTCAAGGCTCTCCAATGCAACTGTGCGAGAGGGAATCACTGAATATTGTGGGTGCTCGACGAGCCCTCTAGTGAGCTTTGATAGAGCGGCCTGATGGATATAAGCAATGAATTGGTGATCCAGGGGTAAATGTGCGAAAGGATGAGATTGCACCCTGGGAGGCGCCGCGGGAGTGTTGGAAGGAACGTCTCTTTGTAATAAGGGGGATTTCCCTTTGTCGGATATAGGGTGTGTGGTTGTTGTTGCACTAGAAGATGGGGGAGCACCAGACCAACCGGAGGGGTGCACTGATAAATGGACGATGCGTTGCTCATCTGCCGTCTAAAACTTGGATCAGATGATGTTCGCAAAAGTCGTAGATTCCCCGTTACCTTCCATATATCTGAAATTTTCTCTTGGTCCTCGAGGTAGCGCCCCCTCCAGATTATACGCTGTCCCTCGACACGGGGCTGTCCAGCGCAAGACGCTGAAATTGCATGTTTGACATGGATCACGGTAGCGGAGATAGGAACCTCGATAATAAATGAAAGAGAGTAAGTGGGGAGCTCGACACGAACAGCGACGAGGGACTCGGCCATCGTTGTGGTGGTAGGTAAAGTCCTAGCGCTGGTGGGCAAGTAGTGATAGTCCTACGTGGAACTCGTCCACGTGACTACCCCATCGCATGTGCGTCAGTTGAGTCACTGGTATCTCTCCGGCTGAAATGATTGAACTCAATGCCTTCTGAATCTCTTTGCCCGGGCCCCAAGTTGCACGACGTCCTGAACAGTGCACGCTGCAGCAGGTGCATATGCCATGCGTGCAACATACATCGCATGTGGGGAAAGTACTTAAGGTAGAGTTTTAACGCGTCCGTGATTCCGCGACTCCGCCGGCGCATGCACTGGTGCGCAACATTAATATCAATGTTCCTCCTCCTCTCCCCCTTACCAGTGAGTAATGCCTCTTTTTCACTCATTCCTACTGATCATAGGCACATTAAGGAGGTGATCAGGTGAACTTTCTGAAGTTCTGAACCATGAGCGGCTAAATATACACCCACATTCACATTCATTAATTATTATCCGGATGTAGGTATCATCTGGGTTTCTTTTCCGTCGTCATACTGCGCCATCAAATTGACTTTCGCCAATTATACTACACCTTGAATTACCGCTTGGCTGTGTAGGCATTCTGATTGTGCAAGCCTCACTAAGCACACATCAGGGACGATCGAAGGACAATTTGAAGGTAATTCGTCGGACTATTTCAAACAGACTAAGAGGGGCCACCAGGGCTGCCACTGATCCATTTACATAGCTATGTGAGAAGTTCGAAAGTAGGCCCCTATAAATGGCTTCTGAGCATACCGACATCAAAGTCGGGAAGACGAGCCATCATTCAGGGGCATAAAAAAGCATTACCGGTGTTTCTGATAATCGAGTCTAGACTTTCTTCCACCTTTTGGACTTATCGTGATGCCCTCCAAGGCAAGAGCGTTGTTCGCCAGATTCCACTGGTTCCCAGCAGGAGTTGGCCCTTCGGTCACACAGATCATGCCTAGCTTGGGGTTTTTTTGTCGACAGCCTATCGCATGGAATTGCTCATGAATGAAGGTACAATAAAACATTTTGTTCTATGCATTTTTGAGCGCATTTATACATTATGCAGGGTGTCATAAACGACATACTTGACCGAGACTTCGACCGCAAAGTTTGTACGTCTTGGTTCTGTCCTGAAAATGGCTGTCACTAGTATCTTGACTGTTCAATGCGAAAAATAACGTTCGAAAGGCCGGCCGTTTGCGTCGGTAGTTGTCGCTATGTCAGAGGCTTCAATCCTTCTGGTTGTTCTCGTCGTTGACATGTTTTATGTGTTTTCGACTCCTGGTACTACTACACCATGAGTAGATCATTCAAAAACTGTTAGCGCTTCTCCAACACCCTGTCTTAGTCTCAGGTGAGACCCACCCGCTGATAAAGCATTGGATATACTGGCCTTCTTTCGTTTTTAGGTATGGCTTTCTGTATCATAGATACGAATCTGATTCTAAGGATTTGCTACTAGCTGGAGCGTCCCATTTGCTTGGGTTGCAGCGACAGGTTAATCCCGAATATCGAAATTGCATCGTGCTGGTAAGTACAGAGGACGATAGGGCTTGTTGAGTCATTGGCAATGCCTCCAAAGCTGGTTATATCTCTACGACACCACATGTCAGGTGATTCGCCTGGAAAGTTTTTGTATTGGGGACTTGTGCTGACGATATCACCTCAAGACAGGAAGAACGACGAGAAGGCCGGAGTCAAACCTATGGCTGTCCATCTGGGCGAACGCATTTGTCCCGCATTGAGTGTATTCGATGCAACGTTCTTTGCGTGCCTTCCGTGGGCTGGACACTTGAACAGCCAGCGTCTCCTGTTCTACTTTTTATTATTATTCCAATTTCTGTCCTTTGCAGTCCTGTTCTGCTTGATGGGTGTCATCGTACCGTTCCTCCTGTCTCCGGTACATTTGGACCTTTAATCATAATGATCCACAAGACAGTTGGAATGATACACGGTGCGCCTGATTGATAGACACATGCCTGATCTGGATGTTAAGTTGTACTCCAGGTCGTTGTGGTGTAGCGATGGTCTGCGCTGGACTGTCGTAGACCACTACTTCAAACTGGCTTCCCTCGCCAGGTGAACATATGCCTAACAAGTGTGGCGCCTTCTATGTCGGTTCCACAATTGGACATATATGGTACTTCAAATATGATCTTGGGCATATGTGCATGATTAGTGAGGCAATTCCTTACGCATGTCATGTTCGACAATTGTCTATCCTGTGACCTGTCCGACATTGGACGGCAACTGCACAACATTACTCTATTCGCATGTCAATTGCAGATCATGATCGAATGTGAGTGGCGAAGGGGTGAATCAAAGCTCATGCATGCATGTGCTGTCCAAATGTGATTGTACACATTGTCTGTCAAGATTAATGTATTTAATTATGCTACCACTAGGTCGATATGTCCGTCTCGTGTATCTCTATTGTCGCCCTTGAGAACTCATTCCTGCTACTTGCTTTGAGATCAGTCGGCATCGTCCTAATGTCGAATCGAGGCATTCTGCACTGTACCAGTCCCGTACAAATAATAACTCCTCTCAGCCAATTATATTTATCATGGTCTGTAAGATTGGGGAAAAATCCTATGAAAAAGTACATGAACATATGGGCAAGAACGTTCCCTAGCCATTAAAACCTTGAAATCTCCAACCATCCGGAAGCTCAAGATAGGATGTCGTCTCAGGTGCGAAGCGGATGCACGTTCGTCAGGGTTGCTGCAAGATATCAGGTGAATAGTATCATCCGAACAAACTCGAACAACTTGCATTGCAAAACATAAATCCTGGAAATCCATTGCAAGATCTGACAAGGTGACGTCAGGGATGGGTGGGCGCTTATTCTGTTTCATCTGTGTACAGAAGGTGAGTTATACTCCTGTAATACAAAGATACAAGACGGACTTTGATTGTGACCATGATTAGTTCATCCTCATACCAAGGTCGCTTTCCAGTCAGCATTTCTAACAAAACACATCCCAGACTCCAAATATCGGCCTTGACACTGTAGCCTTCCATCTGATGGCAGATGACTTCTGGTGCCATCCAAGGTAGTATCCGTTGCACGCTGGTGAACGGAAGTTTATGTATTTTATCTTCCTTGGTGGAAAACTCTAGATCAGAAAGCTTGCAACTCCCATCTCTCTCCAGTAGGACGCTATCGGCTTTCAGATTCTGACCGGAATTTATAAGAATTCTTCAAGTGTTTCAGATAGGCCGAATCGATCACATACCCGGTAGATTATTCGTCGCGAGTGAAGGTATCTCAAACCTCGAAGTATTTGGAGCATAAAAAATTTCGAGATGTCCTCGCTGAATCTGCCCTTTTCACGAAGACAATAGCCTAATGCACTGCCCGACACGTACTCCATAAAGCTACGTCATATGTTCGAATCAACACTGACAGGTCGTATTGCTAGACACTCACATATTCATAACCCTTGAATAATCTACAAAGCACTCTTCAAACCCGAGATATTGGACGATATGACGATGGTTCAGATCCACCAGTAGCTTGCTTACCCTTTCGACAGAATGTACGAAAGTAGCTTGACATTGGTCGCTCTCGTCTCGGATAACTCGAGGACTATCAACTTGTTTGACGGCGACCAGTTGCGATTTACTCGTGGTCATACTAAGAGCCAGGTAGACCCGGCCGTAAGTTCCTCTACCAATAAGCTCTCCGCGAATCCATTTGACTGCGGCTGTTGTTGAAAACAATGAGCCATTATTTCCACACACTGTCTCGAGAGTTTTTGAACCGTACCATTGACACAGCGAGGTCGAGTGTCTGAAGCATTTCCTGCAGGCCCTGGACTCATAACACAACAGCTGGGAACTAGATAAGAAGCTTGCTTGTTCGGCATCGCAGCTAAGGGACGCGAGGATTCGTTCTGACGCCATGGACCCGCTTAAGGTACTTATAATAGCGACAACGTTTCAGTGAATTTTGAACCGGCAGGAACCAAACCGTTTTCCAGAGACTCTCGGCGCCTTCATAGCACTGCTCTATGAGGTTCTATGGCTATGCATGGGAAAGATTTGGAGTTGAGTACCGAACCTGGCAGCTGGCAGCTGCTGGATTTCATCCACATGCTGTAGCTACAGGATCGTCGATACCTAATGACAACGATTCTGCCCGACTTGTGCCCGACAGAGCTTCACAGCTTTTGATGGGAAGAGGCGGCTATGCCCGAGATATGTCACGCGGCAATTGAACGCAACCTGTCGTTGATCAAATGAGTCTTCAATATTTCTTCAATCTTCGGGTTTTCAAGTCATAATGCATAACGCCTGAGAGAGCGTCCCAGCTTCTCGTATATTCGTCGCAAGCCCAAATTTTGAACAACCTCCTTGGAAGTTTATCTCATTCCAGTGATGCATCCGGATTCCAAACCATCTAAATCGGACAGTCAACGCCTTTGGAATAAACATCGTTCGAAGTATCAAACAATTTTCATCGGCTGTCGAAATCGGTCGTTGTCAAGGACATCCAAGTCAAAGCCTCACTCTCCCTTCGCACAAAGTCATTGACTGCTCACTACTCCATCTTGGTCGGGATGCTCTGCTTGTTTACCTCGCGCACGTCCAACGAGCCCGAGGATCAAAACCGTCTTGCAAACTTACGCTATCTTATCAGGCACAGCCAACCCACTCCTCGTTATCATTGTCAATGTATCAAACGGGTGCCTGTCATCGCTCTCTCGCCTGATCCTTTGGAGACCATCATATTCCAAAGCACACTACTCAAAGTCGGTGGTTCTGACGACGTCATTCGAACTTTGTACAGCGTGATGCCAGAGTATACTAGCGTTTCAACTGCGATCAAACTGTGATTATCCAACGCTTGGCGTTGTTCACAATTAGAAGGAAACGCACTTCAATATACTTAGCAGAGTGGACCCTTGTTCTTGCCAGGAGTACGTAGTAACATTGCGAACCTCGAAGTGACATTTGACCGCATAGTAGTGCCATTCTATGATATATACACTGCAACGAGGCGAATGTCGATATCGGCTAAAGCTTCGACACCTCCAAAGTCTGGCCTGCAGCAGAGCTTTTATAGGCCAGTTCGATCATCTCAATCACTTGGGTTGTTTCTGCCCACTTCACCTCAAGTTCCTCGTTATTACGGATAACACCAGCAAGGTTCTTGAAGAGGCCAATATACTGGCCCGGAGCATCCGAAGGCCAGCTATCGAAAATCATCAGCGCTGCAAGGAAATACGAGTGAAACGAGCGATTACGTTGTCTTTGTGATGGTCACGCCATCATCAGCGATATTTTCGACAACGCCGTAGATAGACTCAGGCTCCTGTCCGTAACCTGGTTCAAGGATACTGCTGACAGAGGGCATCGCTTTCAACTGATCCTCTTGCGTATCGAGGCCATACTTGGTGAACATTCCCTTTGTGCCGCGGACTGCGTAGCGTAACTGAGGGGATTTCACTGATAGGATGTGCGAGCGGAGAAGCACGGTGAACTGGTTAGAGAACGGAGTTCCAGGATTGTAGTGTAAATATATAGTGAACTGGATAATCGGACTACGCGTTAAGAATACTGCTAGATAGAATGCGATGGTATCGGACTTACGATGTCATCGACTTCTGGTTTCGTGACACCACGGATATTTTGAATGAACGCAGTGATTCGTGCGGGTCGGCCAAAGAGTTTGAGGGCCTGGTCTAGGAGATGTGAACCGAGGTCATATACTGCGCCCGCACTATCCTTCCAAGAGGACCGGATTCCTGTTCGGTAACGATCATAGCTAAAGAAAGGTGAGAAAATCGAGTCTAGTTTGAACGACAGACTTCCTCACTGAGACTCAAATTCCAGTAGATTACCAAGAGAGAGAGGTGAAGAGCAAGGAAGTGAAAGCAGGCGCTTCAGCGCAAGGTGGTCCGAGTCCCAGCGTCGATTTTGATAGCCATAGAGAACAAGGCCATTGGCTTTGGCAATAGCGGCAAGCTCATTTGCTTCTTTGACTGTCTCAGTCACAGGTTTATCGACGAGAACTGAAGTGATTGAGAGCGGTTTCTGCGCAAAAGAATTTTGCTTACCATGTTTGCCGGCCTTGAGAGCAGCTTTGGCAAGTGGAAAATGTGTATCGTTTGGGGTTGCTACAATAACAAGCTCAACTTCTGGGTCATTCACGACCTCTTCGATTGTCCTGTATATTTTTGTGGTAACTCCAAAGCGCTGCTGCACCTTTCCTCCGGGAGTCTGTGGGTTGCGTTCTAGGACAGCAGTGAGAGTGAAGAGTTCGGGCAAAGCGAGTACGAATGGAACATGAAACGTGAGCCCAGCAAGACCCACGCCGAGTACACAGGTCTTAATCGGACTGAGTGCCATGAGGAGAGCAAGTAAGGTACAATAACCTTGAAATCATGTCCTGTTGCAATTTATGTAGAACGTTTTGAACGGCCCGAGTCTGGAGCAGGTCTGGAGTGTGACCATGATGTGAGAGTGAGTACTGAAGTCGGTATAATCTGCGGCAGTATGCGGCCCGGAACGGCATAGTCACGTGGTTCTGTCTTCGAAGTCACGTGATTCTGGTTGAACGCGGCTGGTGACTTCAGTCAAATCTGCTGTTGCACATTCCGGCAGACAATATTGGTGCGTATATCTCATTTACGACTCCTCATGTGGACGCCTCTTGTTCTCGTTCTCCTTACTTCCTGGCGGGCACTTGCCCAAGTCCCTCTTCCTGAACCCCCTTTCCTGCCTCAAAACGCTTCAGCTGGCGCGATTCCGTCCTCTACTGGTATCCCCAATTCGCAGTGGTCTTCGTTGCTCGGAAATCTACTTTATTTCTATGAAGCACAACGCAGTGGCAAGTTGCCTAGCACAAATCGAGTCAAGTGGCGAAACGACAGCGCCCTCACCGATGGGCAGGATGTCAAGTTGGATTTGACTGGCGGGCTTTATGATGCGGGTAGTACGTGTCGCGTGCGCCATGCAGTTACTCTATATTGACAATGCCGTTAGACTACCTCAAATGTACTTTCCCCCTGGTAAGTTTCCTCGGCTTGTGCTAAATATTACATCTTCAACTTAGCTCCAGTCATTCACCGTGATGTCAATTTGTTGGGGTGCAACGGATTTTGGAAAAGGTTCGTGCAAAATCGGGGAAATACTCACTCGTCAATAATGCTGTGTAGGATACGATCTAGCAAACCAGACCCCTTACCTTGATGACATGCTCCGATGGAGTCTTGACTGGCTCATCAAAGTCAGTCTTGTATTTAAACATCAAGCAATCGAGTCATCAACTCAAGATATTTGATATAGGCACACGCTGCTAACAATACCTTGTTCGTCCAGGTGGCTAATGGTAGGCATTTGGTCTTTATGTCCATTCTCCACTCACACATGACTGTAGAAGAGGTTGACGATGCCTACTGGGGAGGCGATCGCAACATTCCTTTGCCACGTCCTTCATATCAAATCAATGACACCAGGTACTCTTCCGCCGTTTATTATCGAATCATTCCTTAACACGGTTTCAGTCCTGGAACAGATGCTGCTGCAGGAACCGCTGCAGCTTTTGCAGCTTGCTCCAATCTCTACGCCAACCGCGTCTTCTCGAATTCTTACTCTGGCCCAGCTACACTTCAAAACGCAACATACGCTGCAACCCTTCTCGAACATGCCCAACAACTTTTCACCTTTGCCACTGGCGCCTCTGGTGGACAGACAGTATACCAACATTCCGTGCCTGAGGTAGGCAAAGCGTACGCTTCGTCTGGATATGGAGATGAGCTTGCCATTGCTGCACTCTTCTTGTCTTGGGCAACCAACTCCTCTTCGTTGTATCAACAAGCTCAAGGTTACTGGCAACAATATAGCCTCGGCAGTTATGATGGAGTATTCAACTGGGATAACAAGACACCTGGCCTACCTGTTCTTTTTGCACAGATTGCGCAAGCGAACCCGAGCTTTGGTGGCAATGCATCTACCTGGCAAACCGTGGCTGAGAAGTACTTCGACGGAATAGTTTACGGCAGTGGACCAGGATATCAAACCCATGGTAATACAATAGAATTGTTGCTCATTTTCCTGCTAATATCATTCAAAGGCGGACTGCTATATTACAAGGACGACTCGGATGATGCTAGTTTAAACCCATCGTTGAACGCCGCTATGCTGTTAACGCGATATGTACCACTGGCATCGACTCAAAGCAGGAGAAATGATTATTGGGTAAGATCTCAGTTCAATCGTTAATAATCAGCATGGGACTCAACCATTACCTTTGACAGAACTATGCCAAAGCACAAGTCAACTATGCTTTAGGTAACAATCCAATGCAAGGTGAGCACGGATAAGTATAATTTTATCATTCTGGCTCACTCTGTCATAGCACCTTATATCGTCGGTGCCAATCCAAACTCGCCTCAGAATCCTCACTCCGCAATGGCAAGCGGTGGCAACAACATAAGCAATATTAATACTTCTCCGCCACAAGAAGCCTACGTCCTTTATGGGGCCGTCGTCGGTGGTCCAGACAAGTACGATCGTTTCTTCGACATCCGTGCCGACTGGCCAGAAACTGAGGTCGCACTGGACTACAATGCACCGATGCTCACACTCACCGCGATGCACGTGCTCAACGATACTGCCGACCCATTCTACACATCGCTGAAAGCGGGCGCTTATGACTCCAAGAAACCGCAAGGCATCCCTTGCGATGATGCATACACAGATGGATGCGGTGGCCCACAGCTGAGCCAGGGTGGCAAAATCGCTCTCGGGGTCATTCCCGGCCTCACTGGGATTTCCATCTTTTCTCTTCTTGGATGGTGGGCTATGATCTCTTTTAGAAGAGAACACGACCCCCTTTATTGATTTTTGACTTGCTGATCTGCCTGTAGATGAGGCGACTTTTATTCTTGCACTATCTTCTCGATTTTGTGGCTCGATCTACTATTCCTTTGGATCAGAACATGACCTTACGACAGATATCGATGAGCGGCATTCAGACGTAGTAACCGAACTGCATTCATGTAGATATATCGCATCATTATACCCTGATGAATTTAATGACAACAACGACATTTTGTAGAACAATGCCCTCTATCAGAATCTTCTTGTCGTTATTGACTGGCGCACCCACAAGCGCGTGGTGAGTGTGAAGTTGGGACCTTCTGTGTCCCTACGCCTTGGGGTTCCGGAAAAAGTTTGCGTATGTGCAGCAGACTCGAGGTTCACTCCAAGAAGGACAGGTAGCAAGAAGTTGAGCGGGCTGGGACGGTGCCCTGTGATATGTAATACATGCGCGAACATACTTGAAACCACTGGATGGATGGATGGATGGATGGATGACTAGAAGGATAACCAACTACTGAGACACGGAACCTCACTACGAACCAGATCCAGTCACCGCGCTACTCTCTGCAGAACCTGCGCTAGAACTCCCCACGACACCATATGAAATTTCGGACAAAGGAATGAGAGTGAGGGCATCAGAGCCATGTAGGTGCCGGTCCATATGCCAAAGATAGAGATGCATATGTGTGGCGAGGATCGCGAGGATGATGAATTGGAAACTGCATAAGGTGTGTTGTTGTTAGTAGGAATTCGTAGCAGGATTTCAAGGTTGCCCACTCTTGGAACATGGCCTTGTATGCGTGCTAAGTGTGCAGAATCTCAACGGCTCATTCTCAGGGCAGGAAAGGAGTGCACGCACATGGAGAAGCAGTGATGCAAGGACATTTACAACCGAACAAACTTTCGAAACGAAAATGGTTATCCATGAGCACGGAAATACTAATCTAGGTATGGCAAGTATTGACTCACACAAACCGCATGCATAATAAAATATATTATGTTTGAGCAGGACAGTAAATAAATGGGTGTTAGCTGTCTGCCAGGTCTGCAGGGCGCGTACGAGCGTGAGGGAGATGAGTCCTTGGAAGAGCTTAGTCAGCGCATGTCCGCGGTATATGTATGCTACCACCCGGTGACACACCTAGTTCAAGCGCGGATAGGAGAATATATGGTACGAAAAACCCGATGCTGTCTGAGGGCTGGTAGCAGCCTGAAATGCCCGGGATCGGGCTGGTCTGAACTGGTAAAGTGGATGGTGTGAGTGGTATAGCAGGGATAAGAGGAGGGTGAGAATGCGTACATGGTACGGTTCCACTTAAGCCAAAGAACAGACCGACGGATGTTACGCCGGCAGCCTGACTAATGCGTCTACGGTAAACTTAGGGTGCAATGAGCGCATAAGACCTACCAGGAAGGCAGTCAGCAAGGCTGCGAGCACGATTCTATTATTGTTCCAAAGCGCATATGTTCTGAGGACAAAAAATGCTGGATGAATTAGATCAAGAATGTGTATGTGTGACGGGGGAAGAAGAGATACATTCGGAACAAAGGACTGATAATAGGCTAAAACCTATGAAAGGGAAGAGCTCAGTAAGCCTGTAGTGTACATGCATGTATCGTGTACGCACATGAGCAAATGTGGTCGAGTATCAGGCATTTCTAGGATGACAGTAAGCATCATTCATCAGTAGTAAGTCTATCAAACGTTCACAGACATTGGGATTCTCGTCCGGGGTGAAGTTCACTAAGGCAGATGTCAATTCATCATCGAAGAGATAGGTGCTGAAGATGTACACACTGTAGAGATGGCTGGTGAACAGGAAAAACGGCACATATCGTGCAACAACATAGAGGAATTTTACCTTGGTCCAGCGCGATAGAAGCAAGAACGTCCACTTTGGACAGCATATTACCGTCAATATTTAAAACGCAAAACATGTGAATGGACCTTACCTCCTCGTGAAGAGAACAAACGTAGCCATAGGTCTGGACAAACAAACTTAACAGCGGGCATTGAAGATACATCGGTACAAGCCCACCCAGAATGTAGCCATCGATGCTGAGCTGCGTTTAGATAAAGAAGGGGCAGATCAGACAGGACGCACTATATATGTACTGTGAAAAGAGGAAGATGTATTATTATCAACGACCCTCGTATCAAAGAAAAGTACGCACCGAGGAGATCTGCAGACTCATCGTCGCTGCGACATCGTCAGCCGAATACTTGGTTTCCATTGAGAGGGAGAAAACGAGCAGTTTTGGGCAAGAGGGATGCATGTTATGTCATCTTAAAAGATTATGAGCGGAGAAAGTTGTCAAAGCAAGGCTGTGTTGGAGTCTGCAATGCGCATTAAGTACTATCGGCAAACTTCGGACGTAAACTCTGCAAACACACCTGCAGGGATGCTCAATTCCAGTACAGGCAGCCGTGGGCTATAGAGGGGATCGGTGGCTTCTTGCAACCGATTGACGTAAACACTCTACGGTAGACTCAACGGCCTCGAAGGCCGCCAATACTTAGTTGTTCCAACGGAGTTAGAGAAAACTCGGGGACACAAAGTGGGAGTCTGGGACACAAGGGACCCATTGCTATATCATACGATTTCCCCGTGCTCCCCGACTGACTTTGGAGTATGGTCCAGGTTCGCTCTTGATCAGCGCACCTAAAAACGAAATTTCTTACACTTCCGGCACTGAGCCACAGGGGAAGAACACATCCGCCATCGACTAAATCCTCCGAATCATTTGATACACTAGGTCTGTTGGAGGCTCAACACATCGATATTACAGACCAACTCCATCCCAATGCACCTTAGGCTCCTTAGCCCATGATTTAAAATTGCAGTCCCCCTTAAGTGCGTGGATCCTGAATCCGACCAAGCTCAATTTTTCCATACCGAATTCCTTGCGCTCGCCGATCAAAATAAAACCTCCCGTGCATGGAGACGAGTCACCTCACACCTCCATGAAGAAGGTCGAACAAGCCAGGCGACAAGACATTGGACGCAATGTGATTCCCCGCGGGATGGAAAGGCTATTTCGACAGCAAGAGTCGATATATAGATGCAGATTACTGCTGCAGAGATGCCTGAACCAGGACCTCTCAAAGGCACTGTCTAGACCCACATTAGACCTCCCCGCTACGAAGTTACGCCGTACTACGGCCCACAGATGACATTTCGGACATGGGAATAAGCGTAACAGTATTAGAGCTATGCTGGTGCCGATCTTTATGCCAAAGCTGGAGGTGCATGTGTGTGGCGAGGATCGCGAGGATGACAAACTGAAAACTGCATATTGGTGTGTTTGTGGTAAAGGTCTGTTAGTAGGAGTGCGCAACAGGGTTTGGTGATTGCCTACTCTTGGAACATGGCCTTGTAGGCATTCTGGGTTGTGCGAGAGATTCATGATTCAGTCTGAGGGCAGGAGAAGGATGCACGCACATGAAGGAGCACCGACGCGAGGATGTTCATCATCGAGCACACTTTCGGAATGAAATGATCATCTATAAGCACAGAAAGTCCAGTATGTGTGTGCGTTGACTCACAAAAACCGCATGCATAGTAAACTATGTTATGTTTCAACAGGACGGAAGACAGATGGTTGTTAGACGCCCGCCAGGTCTGCAGAGCGCGTATGAGCGTGAGGGAGATGAGTCCTGGGAAGTGCATCGGTCAACATGCATCGTATATACATGCTAGCAGCTTCCGGCGACATACCCAGTTGGAGCACAGATAAGAGAATAAATGGTACAAAGAACCCGATGCTGCCCGAGGGCTGGTAGCAACCTGTAATACCCGGGATCGGGCTAGTCTCAACTAGCAATGTGAAAGGTGTGAGTGCTGGTAGAATGATAAGGGGAAGAGGAGAGCGAGAGCATACATGGTGTAGTGTCGAGAAATGCGAAGAACAGGCCAGCGGATACTGCGCCGGCACCCTAACTGACGCGTCAATCATGAGCTTACGGCTTGGTTGGAACAGGGGACTCACAAAAAAGGCGGCCAGCATGGCTGCAAGTACGAATCTATTTTTGTTCCATAGTGCATATGTTCTGAGGACGAAAAAAGCTAGATGAATCTTATCATGAATGTGCACATGTTAATTACAGGGGAAGTGGAAATACATTCGGAACAAATGATTGAGATTAGGCTGAAACCTGTGAAAGGGAAGGGAAGCGCTCGACAAAGATGTGAATGCATCCATGCTGTACATACATGAGCAGACGTTGTCGAGGATCTGGCATTTCTGGTGATGATATATTGTAAGCATCTAGTTAACGTCAACCGCACACTCGCATACATTAGGGTTCTCTTCGGGGGCGGAATTCACTTAAGCATAATATGTCAATTCAAATCATCGGAAAGACACGTGCTAGAGCTGAACGTACTATAAAGGCGACCCGTGAATAAGAGAAGAGGCGCATATCGTGCAACAATATAAAGGCCCTTCATCTTAGTCCAGCGGGACTGAAGCAGGAATATCCACTTTGAATGGCACGCTATCATCGAAATCAAAAACTTTGAGCAACTACATGGACATTACCTCCTCATGAAGTGAACAGGAATAACTGTAGATCTGTGCAAGTTGTTTCAACGGGGGAAGGAAATCCGTCAAGATAAGCCCACCCAAAATGTAGCCATCGACGCTGAGCTAGTATGTTAGGACAGGGATCCGAGACAGTTCAGACAGTACGCACTGTATATGTACTAGTAGCACAAGGATGGCCGTGCATTATTATCGATAGCCCTTGTATTGAATGGGAAAAAAAGGCGCACAGTGGAGGTCCGGAGACTGCTCGCCGCCGCAAAAGTGTCAGCCGAATACTCAGGCTCCATCAACTCGAGAGGTAGAAAAGAGGTTTTGCGGATGAGGGATGCACGATATCATGTACCTTATATATACATACACACAGTGCCTCAGTGATATATGATGGCCAACAAAGCAATGCCAACAGGCAGAATCGAGTAGAATACATGTTTCACTCAGCTGAGTGCCGGCGCATCTCTACCGCAGATATCTCCAGCAATGTGTAAGATAGCGTGATGCAAGTCTTCCTTTCATGCTGATATATCTGATACTCGGAAGCATTTTGAATACCCATTATGCCATGGAAAGAACAAGATGAAGGCACGATGAAAGGAAAGGGAAAATACATCAGGAGTCGAGGGGCCCACCATTACATTGCACGAAAGTCACATGGCGGAGTGGGACCGCCGTTTATGCGGATGGCACCTGATGAGGCTCGATGATAATCACTTGATGATTATACTTGTGCTGTGTATAACATAGCCTGCTAATACACTTCCAGAACATATCGCTCTTCTTCCTTAAGACTCATCAAGAATTCCCCCGCGCTCTCCGGGGTATGTCCCTCGTTCTTGACCAGTGCACCTACAAGTGCTTCGTACACGTCAGGCACTGGCCACGTTGGGCCACAGAGGTAGAACACCCCCGTCTGGTTCTTCAACAGGGATGCGAGAACCGCAGCGTCCTCAAGCATGAGGTGCTGGATGTACACTTTCTTGGGTCCATCTCGAGAGAATGCAAGTCCAGCTTTTGTGATCGTGCCGTCCAGGACATACGCTTCTATCTCTTCACCGTAGAGATATTCTTGATGTCGATGCCGTGAACCGAAGTAATAGTAGGTGGGTCCCACAGGGATGCCTTGTTGAGCGAGTAGAGCGCGATGCTGTAGAAAGGCGCGGAATGGAGCAGCTCCAGTGCCAAGACCTGCCATGATGATGGGCTGCATATTGTCTGGTGGAAGCTAAAGAAGAGTGCGTCAATCACGGAGTCGCGGTTGGCAAGTCAGTCAACACATACCTTCATAACACTAGGCTTGATGGAGACCGTAACCTTCTGTCCAACCTTAAGACCGGCTAGATATCTAGTACACTGTCCATAATGAAGAGTGCCTAAAGATCCGCTCGTTAACATGAGAGAAACCGATTCAAAAATTGCATACCATTTGGCGCGGTCCATTCCACAGTGACCACTAGCAAGTCGACTCGATTGCCGACCGCACTCTGCGCGCTTGCAATACTGTAGTGCCTGGGTTTGATATCTCCAATCATCTCGCATAGAGTCTCGATGCCTGGCCTCGCACTAGGATATCGTTGCAAGATCTCTGCAAATGTGACAGTATCTTTCTCTCCCAGCTTCTTGAAAGTAGATGACCCTTCAGGTGCGCCGATAAATTGAAGCGCCAGCCTATCAGCAGGGCTAGTAGCATATGCAGCTAGCTCAGCGTAAAACGACTTCGTCGGCCGCCCAAAGAGGTCGGTTTGTTGCTGAAGCGCCTGGAAGATAGTACGAGTGTACATCTTCCCTTCGTTTGCAGCCACCGGGATGGTGATCAATCGCTGGGGATCGACGCCATACCACATACAGAAATCAAGAACTTCTTGTTCATCATTCCACCCATGCACGCCCAAGGCCTCTCCAACAGCATACTTGAGGCCAGTCCCCATCGTGTCAAACTCCAGGTGGAAGACGTTCCTGTCGTAGTCCACAGGCGTCAAGCGGCGATTGACCGTGCAAGTCACCAGATAGGTGTGCTCAGGTAACTCTGGTCGCAAAGAAGGATCTTGAACGTACTCTTCAGCTTCCTCTGAGGGAGGTGTTGGAGGTGTGAAGACGGATGGGAACAGAAGATGCTTGGCAGCATCATGCCACGAAGAAACTTTCGAGCCATTGACTACAGTCTGGCCATCAGCAGTCTCCACGGCGATAGCATTAAACTCAAACTGCTTGAGAGGAGAGGGAGGCTTTGCATCACCCCCGTCCGCTGCCGGAGGGATATGTAAATCGACCTCCTCGAGGGCAGCCCAAGAGCTGGCACTAATCTTCGCGAGCTGGCTACCCTGGGCTACCTCCCTTGCCACACCTTCTGCAAGCTTGCGAACGGCAGGCTCACTGGCGGCTTTCCCGAGGTAGAGCCTTAGAACTGCAAGATAAACAACTACTCTTTGCACAGTATCCTGAGCTGCCCCAAGTTCCGCTCCGAAACCAGACGAGATAGCTTTGGCGTCTAGGGTAAAAATCCGGAGTTTCTTCTCAACCGCTGCCAACAATACGGCAGGAGGTAAGTTGTATGGTAGCTCAGAGGACCATGGGGAAATGACGAGTACTATCGCCCCAGACTTGGCCTGGTTGAGCAATGAATGAGACTTCAGCAGATTCGCATCTAGGACGCAAATGAAGTCTGCTGTTCCTGAAGGAAACGCTGCAGCCATAGGAAGAATGTCTGTGCCCTCACTGCGCGGAGAAAGTACAATCTTGTCCGCAGTGATGCCTCCCGATTTGCTGAAAATGTCATGGTCGGTAAGGAGGCGGACAGAAACCGTGCTCGTAAAAGAATTCGCTACAGTCTGGGGGAGAGGAGAAAGGGCAGACTTCGGGGTACTGAAGAAAAGAAGCTTCCTGGTTGAATATGCGTCTAAGTGCGTCGCAGCAGGAACTTGGTGTGAAAGTTCGGTGAGGAGGGTCGAGAAATGATCAGGATTTGAGAGGAAGGATAATGTCCTTGTGGGTGTCACCCGGTGGGCTCGCACAAGCGGACCTGGAGAGTTTGGGCCATATAGCGACCCAAAGACATCGACGAATAGGTTGCCTTGGCAGACTTCATTGGGTACATCGTCGAAGACGTGAACCTCCTTTACGGTATCAGGGAGACATTGCTTGAAGGCATCACCATCCCATGGCCTCAACACTCTTACAACCACGACACCAAGACCACTGGTGTGAGCCACAATGGACTTCGCCATCAGTGCCAAGGGCCCATTCAACAAGACGACCACCGTCTCTGCATTTAAATCACCGACGTAATCGAAAAACTGATATCCAGACCACCGAATGAGTTCTGGTACATCAAGTGCGGGAGTCTCCTTGAGCTGAAGACTGGGGACAAAACCGTGGCCGCTTTCACGGGAGATGCCGTGGTGATCGAAGATATGAACAACGTGGGAGGACGTAAGCTTGTACGAAAGCGCGGCAAGATCTATGGACTCCTGCGGGGTAGCAGATAACAGGACAACAAGATTATCAGGAAGGATGGCGAAAGTTGCAGAGAGGGATGCCAACGTCGGGGAGAGCGCGAAGCTTGGACCGACAGTGGTGACTGCTGGGACCTGGATAATCAACCTACTGTTACTGGTAGCAGGGGGCAAATATGATAATGATTCGACCATCGCGGCAAGCCCAGCGGGCGTAGTGTAAGCAGTGAGAACTGCTCCCTTCACCAAATCTTGGCTACTGCCTTCGGAAAGTCGTCCGACGAGACTAAGGCCGGCGCCTGCTCTCGTCTGGAGACTAATGACTGGCGCAGTAGACTCCATGGCCGACGACCATGTTTTAGTCAGTGTTCCGAATCCTACTTGTTCAGCGACATCGTAAATATAAACAGCAGAGCTGGTAGCTGAACGAGACGCGAGTAGTTCGATGATGTGAGATGCCGGTTTATTGAATACACTAGCTCCTTGGATAGGCAACTCCTTGGGGTCTTCCGTGGGAGTACCTATGAGCGTTGCCGCTGCTGACGACGGTGTCGTTGTGCCAGAGAAAACTTCGATAGTCATATCCAAGTTCAAAGCAACTGGCTATTCGGAGAACGTCGGTCTGCATTTTTCTGCGTGACTTCGGAAAGCATCGGAGTCAATGGTGCGAGATGGTGCAACTCGAGCGTGATAATCACACCTTACTCGGTCACGTGATGACCTTGCAGCAGACAAACAATATTAGCATGGGTGATTCAGAAATGACATTACTACATAATCCAGAGGGGATACCCATTACACCCTCATGATACATCGCCGCAATCATTACACCCGAATGGTATTGAAGAGACGGTCTCCCTGTGAAATACCTCGGAAATGCGGATTGAAGACAACAACAACGGACTCACGGTGTCGCCCAATCCAGGAGATATCAGGCCATCAGGTGTGAGAGTCGGATCCACAGCTGCTACCCAAATCTGGAATATGAGTGTCAAGTTTGGACATGAATTAGGGAACAGTAAAAGGAATGAGACCTCTAATTCAGGATATTCAGCGTGTATATGATTGAGTCCTTCTTCTGATCCGAGTACAGCCAGTAGCTTGATCTTTGATACTGCTAGACGGTAAACAGCGCGTCACCGGAATGCAACGCAACGCTCTCACTAGGAACCCCCCAGTCTATGATCATGGCAAGGGCAGCACATGCAGTGCCACCGGTGGCAACTAAAGGATCGAGAATGAAACATGTGTCTATCGGAGGGACTGGAGGAAGTTTCGAATAGTCTACCACAATAATCAGCCCGTATGTCATGTGGAAAATTGACTTCAAATCTCACATTCGACCGGTTGAAGGCTGACCTTCTCTCGGTAGAGTCCAAGATGGTAGACTGCTGCTGTCCTACACGACATGTCCACTGATACGTCAAAAGGTGCAACAAGGTTGTATATCCAGTCACATACGGGAAAAGGGATAGAAGTGCATCCGTCATGCCCAAGCCAGCACGCAGAATGGGTGTCAGCCCAACCTTGGGCTTAATAGTTGTACCTGTGAAAGGACCAACTGGTGTTTGCTGGGTAGTTTCATCAGCACACAGGGACATTAAGTCGTGAGCACGCATCCGCAGAGAAATCACGCACACCTTGAAAGGTTTCCTCTTCCAGATCGCGCGAAGCTTCAATGCCCAAGATCAAGCTAATATCATGGATACCCTGCCTCGAACGTATTTATTCCCTGACTACTTCACACAACAGCTGTTGCTCACCTCCCGGAAATCCTTTGAATTTGTATTAGTCTGTCGCAATTGTGACAATCGTGCATTCACCAAAGGATGCGAGAGAATATGGCACCTCTTGTTGGACATGGTTGTTCGATATAGACTAGGACATTGCACCGAATGTCGTACCACACTCAGCCAATTGCCAATTTAGGAGCAATTTAACAATGGATCTATATGCCAATAGATAGGACTTCAAGCTTCAAAGTTGCTTCAAGGCAGTCGTTGCTTTCGACGTAAGCCAAATCTGACTACGGAACCGAGAGTCCTCATCTTCTCTTGTATTCGCAAGGTTTCAGAATGCTACCATTCGACATCACTTTCGACCACTCTTTATCCGTCCTCGATGTGCGAGCTACTTTCTTGAATTCAAACAATGTAAAATGACTGTTGTGATCGTCCTGGATTATGAAGAGACTCAGTCTGTACCACCGTGTACTCTGGACGCGCCTTACCTTTGCTTTTATCTTGAATCCAACAGAGTTAATTAACGACACAAATTCATCCATGTCGGTAAAGCGACTGGCAACTTCTGCAATTTTTAGCTCCCCCCTGGATAAAATTGAGCACGCCAGATATTGTGTGACAGTGCAGGACATACCCGGGTTTCAGAACCCTCCATGCTTCCCGGATGCACACAGGCCAGTTAGTTCCCATAAGGCTAAGGGCACACACAACCACATCCACAACTTGCGCTTCACCTTCAGACATCTGAGACGGTGAAGGCTCAGAACCAGGAAGAGGAACATGTGAACATATGTCTGCCTCTACGATATAGGCACCGTCGGATATTAGGTCAAAAGACACTACTTTCAGCTTCTTCAGAGAAAGGCCGCGAGCAAGCGTCGCATCCCCGCAGCCGAGATCTGCTATGATTGTGTTTTGAGGGTAGGATGACAACTGAGAAATGTAATGTGACACAGGATTTGATGGCCACGACTGCACCTGGTGTCGAAAACCGGAGTGATACTGCATACAGACGTATATGACAGTTCTGTTGGAGAAGTGATGATACAGATACGCACATCATGGAAGACCGCTGGGTCTTCTTTCATCATTCTCACCGCCTCTGAGCTGTCGGATTTGTAGAGTAATTCATTTATCCACCTGCGCCGTGACCGCTTGTGATATGCATTAGAACATCATGTATCAGAATGCATACCTGAATCGAGCGCCATCAAGACTCTCTTTCATGCCCTTCTGCAAGCTCGTGAGGCCTGAGACTTCATCAACTGTGAGCGAAACATTGGGTGGCCGTTGCTCAGATTTTCCACCATCGGGCTTCAAGCTCTTCTTTTGCTTTGTCTTCTTGCGCAGCCCCGAACCCCCCTTCGCTGATTGTTCGGCTGCGCTCCCCTTAATGGACCCACTAAGGAAGGATGAAACCTTCTCCTTTCCCTTGTCAGAGGTTGCGTGTTCAACCTTAGTGTCTAGCCCCTCAGTGGCCTTCCCGCGATTCTTCTTTTTCTTCTTGGGCCCTTGCTTATCCTCCTGGTTTTTTCCGACACTTCCGAGCTTCTGCATAAGCTTGTCCAGGTTGACCTCGACGGATTGCATTTTATCAGCATCTTGAGCTGCGGGTCGCTTACGTTTCTTGGAAGTTGACTGTGCCAATTTTGAAACTGGAGCAGTAGGCACAGACCATCCAGGGACCTCGAATAGTGCCATCACAAGTAGTATGGGGACGTGACGAGTTGAAGGCAGGACTGGTCTTCAACTCCGCGAAATTATTGTTGTTATTGATCCCGATTCGAGTGCTTTGAGTGGCCTACAATTGAAGGTTCCGAACCTCATCAATGCATCATTTCGCGCCTTGAGGCCACAGAATTTTGTGATAATCAAGTGAATATCCCTATACCAATTTCACCATCAGACAGGGATTCTGCACAGCAGAACCAGTATCAATCCTCTCGAGGTTCTACGTATTGATAGGTGATCCGCGCTTCACCACAACTTGCGGATATGGTGAGGAGGACACTCGGACGCGGCATGTAACTTAGGTTTCTCCTACATCATCAGAGTCACGCACACAGCGTGGATAGGCTCTTCACGCTAGGCCTCGTGCTTCGCACCCTAGAACGAAACACGCGGCAGACAACCTGGAAGCTTCTTAACAGAAGCATGTGACGCTTATTTACCCACTGCCTTGATTTTATCTCGAATCACCCAGATTCTCTCTAGCATGTCTGCCAAAGGCAAAGAGAAGATGACCGCTACGGCGACGGACCGCATCGAAGGGATGCCGCCATCTAAGGACGGCGTACTCAAGCAGTCCATCCCTCGCAGGATGCAGCCAAACGCTGTGCAGAGGACGGCATCTTTTACTTCTCTTGTAAGCGCTCGTTTTTAAGTGGATCTCTCAGTACGTAACCTCGCGGTATCAGCCAAAGCCTCCTCCTTCGCCTTCTATTGCAAATCGAACCAACGGCAATACTATGCAACCATCGTTGCCGAACAATCCGCACATATCCTTTGCGCGACAAACATTGGTTTGGCAAATCCTTTTCCATTGACAAATATAAATTCACGATTTCTTGTCTTTACCAGTCTGGCACTCCCTCCCCACGTACGTGACACATCTCAATAATGCCAATTGCCATAACTCAAACGCAAGCCACACGACCAGGAGAGGTAAGCCTATGCTCCACGATTAAATAACGACCTAAGAGAGCTGCTCTTAGCTAAATGGATACTCTGTCACAAACCCCAGCACAGTGAGTACTTACAGTCATACGCATCATTAAAATACTTTCACTGAGGCTCGGGCAGCGCTCTGGAGCTTCCGTCGCTCCTCGGGATTTTGCCCATGTAGGCGTCTTGTTAGTGTAGACTCTAGCCGACTCACATGTGACCTATGTCAAGGAGGAGCTGGAGCTTCTTCATGACAGCATCAGTGACGTCCGGGGAAGAAGCAATGATCATGAACTTCGCACGGCCCCAATCATAACCCGTGATGCATACGTTGCGGCAGGTTATCGTGAAGGTGCCACTCAGTATGGCGTCTTAGGCAGTATTTTGTCCATCCAGTAATGCAACCCGTTGCATTCGTAGACCGACTACTGATACTTTTTACAGCAATAAAAATAATGTTCCATACAGACCAGTAAATCCTCAGCTCTATGTGAACACGGTATACGACTCCTTATGAAACTCGTGCACAGCGTTATCTCATTTTTTGCACCCACAGAATGCACCTTTCTCTGCTGTGGTCTGTGGGGTTCAGGGCTCGGGGAAGTCCCACACAGTTTCTCTGCTTCTCGAGAGCATGTTTATTCCGAATATGCGCTCTACTGGTACCCTGCAGAAGCCATTGTCAGGGCTCGTTCTCCACTTTGGAGAAGGGGGTCCCAGCTCTCGACCTAGTGAAGCTGCATGGATCAGCTCATCCCACTTTCCCGGTGTACAAACGCCGTCCGTCAAGGTTTACGTTTCACGTTCTTCTCTGAATACCATGAGGGCTGTCTATGCGCCTCTGGGTGATGGGGTCACTGTCGAACCACTGTTCTTCAGTCAAGATGAGTTGGATGCACAAGCTTTTCTGTCCATGATGGCTGTCGGCTCCTCTGAATCAGCTCCGCTCTATATTCAGGGTATTTTGGTGCGTGTTTCTCTTTTGAACGACTTTCTTCTATGACACCACTATTCCTTTAGTCGATCCTCCGTGACCTTGGGGAAAACTTTACCTACCCCGAATTTATGCGGCAGTTGGATGTGAAGAAGGAGTCGTTTAACAATATGCAGCTCGCAGGTCTTGAGCAGAGGATGGCGCTACTCACCTCCTTCATGAGCCCAAACATGAAACCGCAGACCCGCTTCGCAGAATCGCAGCTCACGATCATTGATTTATCAGACCCGTTCATCGACCCAGCGTCAGCATGTGGACTATTTGAAATCATCACGCGTTTGTTTGTCAGAGCAGACGTGGGGACTGGGAAAGTGCTGGTAGTTGATGAAGCACACAAGGTTTGCACTCTGAAATTGAACTATTGGTGTCGTTGACGATTCGATTGTCACAGTATCTGTCGCCCACGAAAAGCTCCTCTGGCTTGACTAAGTCTCTCCTGACATTAACCAGGGAGCAGCGTCACCTAGCGATGCGCGTCGTCATCAGCACACAAGGTACTTGGTACTTATATCTTCATGTCGGGTCCTCACACCTTGTCTGCCAGAACCTACAGTCGTGCCACCCGTTCTGCTTGACCTATGTACTGTCACGATTTTGCACCGGTTCTCTTCCCCGTCGTGGTGGGAGCATCTGGCAAAGCATGTATCAGCCGACATATCAGCAGAAGACGCTTTTGATCGCGTTGTTAGACTGCAGGTGCGTTGTCGAGCTCAAGACATGGCACTGTGATACAACCTGATATCGCTACTCAGACTGGTGAAGCGATTGTGCTTGCAGCCTCTGGTCTGGGAGTATTTCCAGATACACCCGATACTGCCAGGACGGGACATATAGCCCCAGTGCCGAAACTCGGACAATTCGGTCGCCGCTACGTGCTCATGAAGACTAGACGTAAGATAACGAGAGATGGCGGGGCGTCAATACTCGTGGTTGATGGCTGAGTCGGACGCAGAGCGATGTTGACAGGGGGTTCATCGTTCCCGCTCTTGCAGATACGGCAAAGTTGGTGATTAGTGCATATTTAGTTATCTTATTTACGCTCGTCGACATGTTCCGAAGATGAGCCTTTGCGTGTAATACAGTGCCTAGTGTTTAAAAAGTACGAATGTATGCACGAGGCAGGTACAACAGTTAAAAGAAACAACAATGTAACATATATGGGACAACTAATTATCAGTGTGTGCCAGTATGCGCGAATGTTCCATGCTGCTGGATGAGAATGCAGGGCTAAAACGATTGAAAGCAAAGGTATTCTATGGTACTTGAAGATATTATACTGATTGATGAGAGCAGGCAACTCGGTGGGGATTGGTTGAAACGCGGCGAGCAAGGACTATCATGGAGGAGAATAAGTGGTATCCAAGTCTGCAAGCCATCCGTTAACACACGTCCCTGGGATTATAAAAAAAACAACGTGCACGTCCGACATCATCAGACGACCCGCATCGGACTTCCAGGCGGAAACGAGTAGTCATCTATGTGGACAGCGTGCGATAGAGGACTCGACTCTGCAATACCAGGACCTGCCATCTTCTTATTGCGACGACCAAGTAGGGTTGCATTGTCTATATCCAGCTGGAAACCTGGGCCACCAGCTTGACGGCGACCGCGATCTCTTGGGCCAGCGCGACCGTCCAAAAGACTACGATCTGCTTGATTAGGTCCACCAATAATATTGCGCTTTGCAACGGTCTTCGCTCCGGCGCCAGGTAACCCACCCTGGGTAAACAGTGTTGGTGCACGAGTCTCAAGCTCCCCTCTCCTGCTCCGTGCATCATGTACGAGGACTTTGTCATCGACATTGTCTTCTTCATCCTCGTTAAGTCCATGCAGGTATCCTCGGGTACCGGCGCCGCCACGACCATTGTATGCACGCCTACGTGCACCTTCTTCCTCCATACGGTGGACTGCATAGGTAATGTCGAATGCTTCCTTGAGCGTTGCGAGACCAGGAGAACGAGCCTCTAAAACGCCACCGCGAGCAGCGGTAAGCAGTGGAGAGTCAAGCGGAGGAGAATTGACATAAGCAGGAGTGGATGGTGCTGGTGGTGGGGCAGGAGCGGCAGTGCACCACGGATGAGCAAGGAACTCATCTATGGTATATCTCTGAGCAGGGTCCACGCATAACAAATGTTGAATGAGATCCTTTGCTGGGTGACTAGTCAATAATCGCATTTTAGACAGAAAGTTCGAAAATAATACCAGAATGGCTGATATCATCCCACCATGGACTCAAAAATGTGTAATATCCCCGCGCGACCTTCTCTGTTAAGACGTTGATACTCTCGTCGTAGAACGGCGGGAACCCGCAAAGGAGTGTGTAAAGCACGCAGCCAAGTGCCCACATGTCCACACTCTGTGAGTAACGCTCATCCTTGACGATTTCGGGGGCAGTATAGCCAACGGTTCCGCATGGCGTCATCGTTTCCTCGTTCCAGATCACTTTTGATAAGCCAAAATCTGCAATCTTGATTCGCCCGATTCCGCCTCCACCGACCCCTGGGATAAATTCGCCTTCATCTTCCTTTTCCTCGTCATACGGACGTTGTACGAGACCATTTGAAGGGATGATGGGTATCCGCTCGAATAACAGATTTTCCGGTTTGATGTCCCTATGACAACCGAATATCAGCGAACGTCATTGCTCCACAGGAAATGCAGATACCGATGCACAACACCACGTTCCTCATGAAGATAACGGATACCTTGTGCAACCTGGAGAATCACGTGCCTTGCTAGATTCTCACTGAAATACGTCAGCTTGACGATCTGGTGGAATAATTCACCGCCCTCCATGACTGCGTGCGATTATGAGTTACCGAGACGGGAAGAAGGGCAATCACACATACGTTCCATAACCAGAAAATAGTATTCTGGTGATTCGGAAAATGAGATCAACTTTACGATCGATGGGTGATTTGTTCCCCTCATGATTTGCACCTCTGCGATCTAGATCAGTGCCGGGAATGATCTGAAAAACATCACACGCCTTACCTTTCAAAATATTGGCCCGCTGCACGAAGACAGCACGGTTAGCGATACGTGGAACGATTCAATTCCAAACGTCACCTCTGTTACGCGCGGCTTTTTCTTGAACTGAATATTGAGATGTTTTTCGCCGGCCTAACAGAGGGACAACAAGACACAAGCAAAGCAAGGGTGCCATGAACCGAAGCCGATAGGTAGGGTAGGAGTAGTGTGGAGGACAATGTATGTGAACTATGTGAGGGGAGGGGGTACACATTTACTTACCTGTGAAGCATTCAGCTCAAATTTGCGAACGACTTTTACTATAAAAAAGTTGATCAGTCGGTTATAACAGAAGAGGAATCGAAGAACTGAACCTGCGACTGTCTGCCCAGTTGTAAGATCTACTGCCTTGTAAACATTAGAAAATGCGCCGCTGAATAAAAAGTTAGATGTTAGTACAGTGACTGATGATACTACACTCACTCTCCCATCTTATCCAATAGCTTGAAGTTATCCAAGCCTTTGTAGGTGGGCAATTTGTTCTTTGGCTCTCGATCCTCAGGTACAGTCATGTTGTTTTGTTGATGCCGAGAGTCAGGTGCAGGCTGAGGCTGAGGTGTGCTCTCAGGTTGCTGCTGCTCCTTCTCAGGCTGATGCTGTTTCTCAGGTTGCTGATGCTTCTGAGAATCCTGTTCAGCTCGGAGCTTAGCCTGCTGCTGCTGCTCCTGTTGTTGTTGTTGTTGTTGTCGATGCTGAGGCTGGTGACTTGACTCTGGTACAGACGCCGTGTATGGCTGGGGTTCAGAATCAGGATGCCGATGGTGATGATGTTTGCGGATGAGATCTGGGGGAATGACTCAGATGGCTGCCTTCCAAAACAACATAAAAACATACTCTTGAAAGCGTCTACTACGGCTGGCATGGTTGGAAGAAGGTGGACTACAAATAATCTGGGGAAATGAGTTGACGGAGTGCGTCCGCTAGAAGCCTTTTTGTCATTCCAGCCTCCCAAGTGACGTCACCGTAGCGACTTTTAGTCACGTCACTGCCTCTTGCCCGATTTGTATTACGACTCTATTTGCACCGAACTGGACTAGTAAAACTATAATATTAAAATATTAAAATCATCGATTGCTTCCAGCGATGCTTCCACTAGTACTTTCCACGTCCCGATCCCTATGATCTGCTCGATCCCTCGGCGGGGTATGAACAAGTAGCAAATTTCGTGCAGGAGAATAGCCTGCCAGGCTTACCGTGCTTTGTTTATTCCTAAGCACCGGGGTCTCGCGCACAGCTCTCGGTATTACAAGGGCCGGGCGACTTCGTGCATTCAATGAGCCTACAGGAACACCCCGCACGTTTCCACTCGGTGCAGTTTGCTCGCCTGCGTCGCCTGTTTGCCTGCTAACCTCATTGGTGGGCTGTCCTACTTCTTCGCGGTTGTTCCCATTGGCCCACGCTATGATGAACACCCCCACAAATGTCGCACCACAGCCATACGTAAATGTGACCATCTGGTGGAATGTAGCCCTTTGAAAGTCCTTGTAAAGGACAGCGGATCCGATAACAGCAGACAGCGTAAACAGCACAAATTGCGTAGGTATGACGATTTTGGAGTCAAAACGCTTTAACGCTCGGTTCAAAAACCAGATTTGGAGAATGCCTGTGATGATTAGAACCTGGACAGGATCAGCACATGAAACGGAATGGAAGGCGATGCTAAGGTACCGCAAGGACGGGATAGGTTATCCACTCCGCAAATATTTTGCCCCATTCTTCCGTCAGCAACGTGGAGATAGCCTTAGTTGCTAGAACCGTGAATCCACCTGACACCGTTTTATTAGCTCATATTTGGTTTGATTCAAACCAACAACCTCACCAAATATTGCGCAAAGCCCGACGTCAACAACCACAATTCGCCTGCCGAAACCACTCTCACTGAGCCCCGCTAGTACCATAGCCCCTACCAAGTATATGATAGTAAATACTACAAACGAACGCTGTGATATAGCTGCAATCAAGGCGTCTGGTGTGAGGGGCGGTGGACCTTCATCAGACGAAGGCGTAGAAAGAACGACAGTGATCGCTCCTATCATTGCGCACAAGATGCCAGCGAGATCGTGCTGAAAATAACCCTATAAACATGATGATTCGACAGCGGCCCAGGCACAATCCTACCACGCGAAAACGCTCTTTTAAAATGAGTGGAGCGAAAAAGCAGTTAGCAATGAGTGCGAACTGCAATATCAATTAGTAAAGATGGAAACAACTAACAGAATGCACTGACAGTGCCTAGAGGAGCAACCACAGAGGCCGGTGCAAATGCATATGATATGAAGTTACCCGTTTCTCCAATGTTCATTAAAATGAATCCAGACCACCTGAAACCATATTCGTTATCAGTGGCGAGACCTTCTAGAATCAAAGAACTGACCATATCTTCGAACGTAAATAGTCACTCTCCGTACCTTCTTCTTCCCAGAGCCCAGGTGAGGGGGCCGCTCGCCTACCATTGCCGTTCAGTGCAACTATGCGCTCTGCCGGGATCACGTCTACTGGAATCGCCAACGTTTCTTGGGTATGCGATACATTTTCATTAACACCATCGTGCTCAGGCTGACCGAGATGAAATGGAATAAAACGTGATACAAAGCTGGGTTTCCTTGAAGGCTGGCCTGGCCTCCGTCCACGTGCTGAAGAGGTGCTCTTCCTGCTCCTCGAATCATCGCGTCTAGTCCCGGGTGGGGCACTAGTGCCATAACGTGCACGTGAACAACTGGCAGAAGAGCCCTGGATCAGGGGCTGTGTCTCGGACTCATGAGAGCAAACAGAAGGATCGCCAGAAGGCCTCTGATCGTGTGGTGATATGGAACGCAGTGCATCGCCCGATACATGTAATTCACGTTCCATCCTCGCCTGCTTTTGAGCCTTTTCGAGTCGGATATGTGCAAGTTTTTGTAAATTAAGCGCAAGCGAGATAAGCACGTTCCCTGCAATGGCTACAGTGATGCCGATGACAGTCTGCAACGTGAGGTGCGGCAGGTCAATACCCGGCTCATCAATGTTGGCCGTGTGGTTCCTGCCCTCGGACCATGATGATACGTCCATGTCCGCAATAAATCAATGATGAACAACAGCCTAAGAGCAGTCTGTGAGTCAGGACAGCATGGTCGACATCCCCTCTAACTGTCAGTGGGCTAGCTAATTTGATAGGAATTGAATTACTGACGGAGGAGGGCCAGTTGGAGGGTATCGCTACTCGGCTTACAGGTCGTCTGCGACTGCAGACGTCGTGCACAAGCGCTGCAATTTAGCACGATTGACTTGTGGCTGGTTAGTTCAACGAGGTCATTCACGGCGGCTAGGACTCGGATAAGTACTTTTGGGATCGCACGTATTTGGAAGGTCATTCGCACGTTTATTAGTTGCAATGCACACGTCGCGCTTTGAGCTACAGAGTACTATTCCGTCAGAGCTACACTAGCGGTCACCCCGTGCTATATCAGCTCAGCTTTACTGTAATACTTCACCCTATATTACGCTCTTTTCAATTAGACGACACGGCCATACAATGCGCGCACAGCACACCGCTCACTCGCTTCCTGCCTTTCCAGTATATTCATGTGCATTCGTGGCCTCCAACCAGATGGTCGTCGGAGGCGGAGGTGGTGCTGCCAAGACTGGAATTAAGAACAAATTAGTGAGCAACTGGAGCTATGTTCAAACTTGCAGTCTGACGTATGTGGGGTAGAGGCTATTCAATGTCTCCCAAGACAGACAGCTTAAAATGCTCTGTGAGCATGAGCTGGAGAAAGGCGAGGACGCCCCTATGAGTATTGCAGCTCACCCAGAGGTCTGTTACGCTGCTCTGTTGATGGTAAATTACGTTCTCAAACATTCATAGAGCAGAAGCTTTATCTGTGGAATTAACAGTTCCAAAGAATGCCTAGAGAAGGGCGAAAATGAGAACTGCAGGGTGTTTTCAATCAGTGAATCTGAAAACGCGTACGATCGGTTGCGTTTACGTTTATTCGCAATACTAACTATTCCCTATAGCCTAATTAAAGGAGCTACACGAGGTACATTGCCCTCGGGAGCTCTTGAGGACTACCAGGTAGCTCATTCTTTATTGAAATTACACTATGTCTTACGCAGACAACGCAGCGCGTAACCGTCATATCACCGGATGGAAAATTCCTGGCAGTGGCCGGCGAACGTGATGTAAATGACAGCACTATCGTTGTCTGCGTGGACTAACTTGTGTTGTAGTTGTCTCTTCTCGCATTTCCTTCTCTTTCTCCTATCGCCCAGTCTGTCCAAGTACCCAAAGGTGAAATTTACGATGTGACATTCTCATCGACACACGTGCGTCCTCACCTCGTTCATCTCATCTCATGCTCCTCACAACGCCTCCTCACAGCTTGTACTGGCCACTAGCCTGAACCTATTAGTATACGCACTTCCAAAGCCACCTTCGGAAAATAGTGGTGAGAAATCACCAAAGAAAAAAAGGGGCAAACAAAAAGGTAAAGGCAAGGAGAAGGAAATACCTTCTAGGACACCGAGCCAGACTCCTGAACTGCGACTTGTGGACACCATTGACATTCCTTTGGTTCCTGGCGCTCCTGCACAGTCTGTTGTAACATTTCGCGCAGCACGGTAAGTCAAATAATAGACATTCGCGTGTTGTGGGATTATAATAATTTGTTGCAGCTTTCACCCTTCAGACTACAACACGTTGTTTACGGCGGTCAATACTGTCGCGCCTCGCGTGAAGAAATCAAAGACGGGCAAAAAGCAGGCTTACATATTGAAATGGAGAGTCGACCTTAATGGAGAGCAGAATTCTGCTCGGTCCATATCAATGGAGGGCTCCCGCAAAGCGGGTGACGGTGGCTTGACGTGTTTTGACGTTAGGTCTGTGGTTATTCATGTCAACAACATAAGTCGTGTCCCTCTCAGACTTTTTCTTTCTTTTCAGTCCTAATGGGAAGTTCCTTGCTTTCGGTTCATCAGACTATTCGCTGGGAATGGTGGACAGTACCACTTTAAGCGTAAGTCATTGATGAACGCTGAGACAATGCACTCATATCGTAACTTAGCCGCTCTTGTCTATACTCAAAGCCCACGAATTCCCTATCACTACTGTTCGTTTTAGCCCTACCTCAACGTTACTCGTATCCGGTGGTGCTGATAGCTCGATACGGATCGCTACTGTACCAGAGGAGTTTGCTGGCCAATGTAAGCTTTTTCTAATCGAACCATAGTGGCAGTGAAGTTGACAAGCAATTTGCAGCATGGACCATGATCATTTTGATTATTCTGGCCCTTCTTGTTATATTGGTGGCATTTTTGTTGCAAAAGTAGGCATTATGTCACTGTCAGAACGTTTATTGCAGTGGTTAGTCTACGGACCTTATGTGGGACTTTATCCACAGACATTTATGGTTCATTATCCCAGCATATATATATTAGAGTAGGCTACAATACATGTTCAAAGCACTTTTACAGCCTTCGCAAAAAAAACCTAATAAGAGTGCTCAAGTCTCTAGTCATAATCATCTTCCTCGACAAGTTTCCGCTTCACACCGTTTGTTTGCGTGTCTCCTGTAGTCTGCACTTCCTCCATTGCGTCATCACCTGAATTATCATCGTCGTCATCACCCTCTCCGCCAAATAGACCATCCGCTTCCTCCGCGTCGCTGTTTTCTTCTAGTGCTTCTGCTGCGACGACAGGCAAAGGTGTGCCAGCACTGATGTCAACGTCGGTTGGCGTTATGGGAGCTGCATTGGTGTATGGTATGGCAGCGGGCTCCATATCGGCATCATCATCATCATCCTGACCATCCGGTAGCTCCTCGTCTTCATCTTCCTCCTCAATCTCTTCGACCTCCTCGTCGTAAAGTTTCGCTTCTGGTGGTGGTTTATTTGGCACGAGATTAAAGTTGACAGCAGTAAGTGTCTCGGATGCGGGCGGGAGCCTGACACCGAAGACTTCTGGCACAGAGGGAAGTGGTGTAGCATTCGTCTGAGATGCTAATGACAAAATATACTGCAGGAAGGCATCTAAGGATGCAAGGCGAATGAAGCGGACAGTATGATCAGCCCACCTCCTTGGGTACACGACCACCGAACTCCCAACCCACGCGGGCTTGTATAGCAAGGACAATATCATCCATCTCTATTTTTGACGCGCCGGAACGCCCTGCATGCTCTGCGTATAGCTGTGCATCTGACAGTACTTGGGCGGTATATCGGTGGGCGAACTCCAGGAGTTGATGCAAAACGCCTGGTTGAGCATCTTGTACCGTTGGCGTGGACGCAAGGAGAAGGGCAATTGCTCTTGCTGTTGGTGGAAGAGTGTCAGCAGGCTGTTGAGCCGCTGAAGGACGCGCCAGAGACATGATCAATTGGACAGTCAATTTGGACTTGACTTCAATAAAGGAGGGTGTTGAACCTGATAGTAAGATTGACGGGAATGGTAATTTAGTCTCACAAGTCATCTGATTGCTATATCCACATTGTACCCACGCCCGAAATCACCGAATCAATGGATTGGTCAGGCATTTGCATTAGTCGTTGAGTGAGGAATGACCAGTCTGCGCCCCCCGCCGTGTCGATTCATGATACAGGACATGACACACGCTGCACACCTGCAGTCGCGGCCCGTAGGGACGTTATCAAATTATCAATATTTCACGGAAGTAAAGACGTCGCAGGCAATTTCTATCTCAGTCCAAGGCTTGGCAAATATTGCGGTCGAGTCCGGAGATTCGGTGATAGGTCAAAAATAAGGCCGCCTTCTCTAGGGATATGTGAATGAGCTGCGGGGACTACTGGCCTGCCGCATCCACACATTAAAACCCTTCGCCAGTTTATTTTTCTAGAGCATAGGACGAAATAAATTAGGTGATTGTCTGTAGTATTTAGGATCCTAGATTTCGATTTAAACCTTGAAAGTCGGAGTGTCGTCTGTCTTTCCTGCAAACCGCAGATGGCCTGACGGTTCAATTGTATCTATGTTGAGGCATGTCGACATAGTTGCGGAGTTTGAATTTCAGGCTTGGAACAAGTACTTACCCCACTTGCAAAACACTGACGTTTGACGGCAGCACGTCGGCACGAGGACTTCACTTTGCTCCGTGGAACATGGATTTAGATTTAGAATGACGTTCATTGCCGAAGGAAACTCCTGCAGGCGCGTGATAATTCAGTGCATCGATAACTTTGTTAGCCCCAACGAGAATTCACAACAACCTCTTGGCAAGTGAGAGCTTCTGCTATGCATGCTCATACAGTATTTTTGCACTTCGGCAGTTCGGGCTCGGCGCCCATACAATTACACAGTGTGACCAAAAAAAGTGATCAGATAAGCAAAATCCTTGTCAGATAACACTGTGACGTTATTCGAACTCCGAAAGCCCTTTCTTAGGCGCTCAGAAATTGGATCTTCTCGCACTTCTCTTTCATTATCCACCATGTTCCGCTCAGCACTCACAAAGTCTGGACTCAGCTCTGCAATAGCACCAAAGGCTGCAAGAGCTGGTATTGCACCAGTGCTAGCCCGTGGTTACCATGAGAATGTTATTTCGCATTACGAGAGCCCAAGAAATGTAAGGGTCATGTTTTCTACCGTTCGGTTGCGACGACTCACTATATTCTCATTATTCCAGGTAGGCTCTCTACCCAAGCACGACGTTGATGTCGGTACTGGGTTGGTTGGAGCACCTGCGTAAGTTCATTTTTTCTCCTATGTTCACCTTTTCAATTCTGACTACTATGCTTATGGATCAGGTGTGGAGATGTCATGAAGCTCCAAATCCGAGTAGACGAAAGTGGCATCATTAGTGATGTAAAGTTCAAGACGTTTGGTTGCGGTAGCGCCATTGCTTCGAGTTCATACATGACCGAGCGTGTCAAGGGTCTTACCCTTGAGGAGGCAGGGAAAATCAAGAACACTGAAATTGCCAAAGAGTTGTGTCTTCCTCCTGTGAAGCTTCATTGCTCAAGTGAGTTTTTTTTACCGCAGTACATTCATGAATACATTTAACACGCGTTGTTTCAGTGCTGGCAGAGGATGCTATTCGTTCCGCTATTCGGGATTATCGGTCAAAGCGGAGTAAGTTGACTGAAGGTCACAAAGCGGGCTTCATCGATGTAACCCAGAGTGTGGTTACCGGGGAGACAGTAGCCACTGCACATCCTGGTATTCCTGCATAAATAGACATTTTCTCAGGTCGAGGTTTCTCTGTGTGCTGTCTTTGTGCACGTCCCATCATTTTTTCCCACATGCATGTTCGCATCAATTCCCGCATTTATGTTCACGTATTCTTAAAATGTCCTAGGATGATTAGTAGTTAGTCGTGTATTACTACCTCGCAATGAAAGTTTTAATGCTATGCGTGTTGCCCGAAGCGACTGAAACTACATAATGTGCATAAGATAGTCGACGAAACGAATGCCCAGCCTTATACTCTGCTGTCAGTGCCTTTCTGCCCCACGAACGAGAAATTTCCAGATGCAAACCAGCGCTCATTTGCTTCCTTCACCCGCTGAGCAGCGGCAGCCCTGTTTGTCAGCTCGAAGCCTATGAAAAGAAGATCAGTGGCTCATTCCACGCCAGCTCCACAAGGGTTCTCACCTTGTACAGGTGTGACCGTCAGTGATGTTGCTGTTCCGGACGTTGATGACCCGCCCTGCGCAGCACGCGTAAGCGCTGCAGTACGTAACTTGTTCGCCTTTGAGAGTTTTGCTGCGGAGGTTGTCACATTTCAGGTCTCCAGAGAAACGAAACGGGAGGTAGGGTACTTACCACGACTCTTCGCCTCTCCCATACCAGCCCTGACTTTACCCGTCCCAATGCCGATCATTCCCAGACCCTTAGTCTGATCGAAGGCACCAACCTCCTCCTCAGCTTCACCAAATGCCATTCGGTTCTGCAGCTTCCGGAGTTCTGTCTGTGCATACGCTTCTTTCGCTTTGCGTGCCCTACAAGCGTGTCAGTGAAAACAATGTCAAATTCAAGGGACAACTTGCCGCTTGCCGCCTCTGCGTTTCTTTGGTCCATCGTTAGGTATGGGAAGTGCCTTTGTGGTTTTAGCAGGTGGTGGTGCCGCTAGCCGATCGATGTGTTTTTCTATTTTTTCTCGAAGCTCTTCGCCATATGAACCTGGGTATACCATCAGCCAGGGGTCCGTCAACACCTAAGGACTAAACTGACCGTCTCTTCGTGTCCGTTCAAGGTCCATGCGTGCAGCCAGAACAGATTTCGCTCCGACTGTCCGTTGAACCTTGAGTTGGTATTCAGCTGGCGTCTGCTGGATCAAGTCAGACTGGAAGACGAAACCGGTGTGCCGTCGTTGAGTGTACGACGAGAAACCTAGAGTCATTTTCCTCTGAGCACCTAGCAGCTACAGAAAATTTGTGAGGCCAATAATGTGGGAAAGTAAGACTGCAACATACATGGACATTACATGAGGGCATTTTGGCGAGGGGACCGAGGCCGCCTGCCACACCAAGTAATTTTGCAGCTGTAGTAGTACCAACGATGGCTGAAAGATTTGGTGCCAGAACATTCATTCTTGAGCTGACGTACATGAAAATCTGTTCTCCTTCATTAGCTACCACATTTATTGCGCAGAAGAGACATTTACGCGCTTTTTTACGCGCCTCCTCAAGTTTATCTGCGAGGTCACAAGCTTTTTCGACAGCAGCCCACTGGGCGTCAGTGAGTGTTTGACCGCTTGTTGTTGTTGCAGTTATGAGCACACTCATGACCACTGCAGGCGGAAGAACACCTGCAAGGTCAGCTTTTGTGGGGTCCTGTAAGTTGATAGTGAGCAGAGATGGTTTGTGTAGAACCCATTCTTACCTCTGTGTTGGCGAGAACGCGAACCGCGCGAACATACTGTGCAGGGTCTGGAACGAGCTGCTCCAGCTCTGGAAACTTCGCCGCATAATGGTCGCGTATGAACTACAGACACGCGTTTAGGGGATGAACATCAGTAACCACAAACCATACCTTGTGTACCACGAGAATTTCATTGTCTACATCCACGGATAAATTGTTTGCTTGTACGATGAGAGTGTATTCCGGGTTGAGATGGGCAGGTAATGACATCGCTTCAGGTGTACTGGGATTGGCTTGGTATTTCTCAATTTCCTGAACGCGAAGTCAGCTCAAACCTGTGTTCGTTAAAGAGCATCAATGCATGCCTTTAATATGTCTGCCATTCGTTTACTGCCTTCTAGTTTCGCTACGGAGTCGACGTCCTCGATCCCCCCCAAGTCCATTTGCTGTACATCCTCTGCATCAAGTTCGTCTGCGGGCTTCATTCCGCCTTCGAGGACTAATCCGCCGGTTTCGTCTGCTTCGGCTTCTTCGCCCTCGGCGTCTTCCTCTGCCTCTGACATGTCTGCATCCTCGACAGCCTTTCTCTTCAGTCCGTTGGTGCCGTTACTCGTAGAGGGCGCAGCTGGTGTGGCGGACTCCTCAGCACCATCATCTGACAGATCATCAATGTCAGCGAGGAGTTCGTCGGCTAGTCCGCTCATCAAGAGAACCGTTCAAGGCAAGATTTTACGAGGTGTAAGTTAAGGAGGGAAGGTACGATGACGTAAGCAAGTGAAGGTCAATAGGCAAGTTGCAATTGCCCCAGGGGAAATTCGCTAGCATCGTACTTCGTTACCGAAAGAATATTCTACGGGGTATGTAAGTTGAACATATGATATGTAGGTAGCTGTATAGATTGAGATATATACTTATACCTAGATTGACAACGATTACCTCTTCCAGATCGCTTAATGGTACGGAGTGATTAATAGTTGCTCACTTCTTCATCCGCCTGAGGAGTCTCGAAGCCTCATTCCACCTCTCTGCATACTCCCGTTGATCATCTAGTGCATGGATCCACGAATAAAGTACATGAACTGTACGCGGTAGGACACAAGACAAGAATGCAGCAACTTTTGCTGCATTGTGGATTTTCGAATAAGTTACATCGAATACAGAAAGGTGCCGGTGGGTGGTGTCTCCGACCCAGTAATGCCACTGGTCATCTTGTTCTTCAATAAAGGAGAAGTCGATTTCAAGCGTTAGTTCCATTAAGCTGGGACAACGCTTGAGGAAGCACAGGAGTCCAATTGGTGATATCGACGACGGCAAAGGAGTTTCCAGAAATTTGTTCAGCATGAGTTGAATGATATTTGGCCATGCCTGTGCCAATTCTAAGGCGGCAACATCGTCCAAAGAAATCCCACACCCTACATCAAGATGTACATGTGTTAATCGGCTGAATGACAGGAGCGGGTGAAAATCTTCCAGGTTCAGGACAGAGAACGAGTCATTTGGAGGACGTTCTGCAACCATGATTTGGAGGCGATGAAGTGAGTAGTGGCTGACGGAAGTGGAGAGGCGACGAAATAATTGTGCTAAGACGGATGCTCCTGTATGGTCATCGCTGAAGATTGAGAGGTTTGTAAGCTTGTTCCGCATTCTGCTCACGAAGTCGACAGCAGATGTAATATCTTGCGCATGCACGTCAAGTACTTGAAGTTGCTCAAATAAAAGCTCGTTCTGGAATTCGGAACTTGGTTGGAGAGCAAATTTAAGCTCTAGTAGAGACGGAAGACGTGATAAATGGTCCATAACCTCGGCATCGAGAACTCCACAGTGGATTGTAGTGAGATGATGCAGGTGGTAAAGAGTTTGAGAAACGGAGTAGCGAAGATGACTTGATAGGGCCTACTGAATGCACGGTCAATTTTCGCAAAAAGGGGCACATAGTAGAAATCGAGGAGATGAACTGTTGCAGGTCGGGAACTGGTGAGATGGCCCAGACCTCGAGGAACAGAGACGTGAGGGACTTGGTCATGATTCGACGGATCAGCCTCAAGTCTCTCTCGTCATAAATAATCCACTCGAGGGATGTGAGATTTGGCAGCAGGGGTTGGGTGGGATCCATGGAGGCGAGACAAGCGAGTAATTCATCGTCAATGTCAACCATTAATGTTTTTCCGCGGCGGACGTCCTGGGTAGCAAGACTAAGGTGACGGATGCGTAAAGCATACCTACGGAAGATATTCCAGTCAGCTTTGGTCAAGTGCCTATGGAGTTTCTGACAAATTTCACGAGTAAATGATGTCCATGTCAGCAATTGAAACAGAGCAGGCAGATATCCTCTTACTAAACAAATACAGCTTGACTCGGACCTGTTCATGTCTCCGCCCCATAAATCGTGAGGCATGCACTGAATCGCTCTGGCGATAGTGCCAAATTGTTGCCAGAGGATATCCAAAGCTATATCATGAAAAGCACCACAAGTCCTTGCAAGAGCAGCAAGAGTGGCCTGAGCGGTGTGTTTTTCATGGCTCGTGTCAAGCACAAAAATCCAGTGAAAAATGGATAACTGTATCTCCGAAATAAACAGACATTGAGCCATAAGCCAGAGAACTGATTTTCCAACCTGTACTTGCGCGTAGGATTGATATTGCTTTTAAAACATTCCGTATTTGGTAGTTAAAACCATGGTGGTCCGTGCACAAACGGGCAAAGGTATATAAGGCTGCGGTTGAGATTGTAACAACTCATACTTACCTTGATGGCATAGGCTCCTTCATGTACCCGGGTTTGTGGGCCGTGGGGACCCTTCATAGCACGGCGACCTTGTCCTTACAGAGGGTAATCACGGTTTGTATGAGCTCCGGCTCATGCACCGTCTCAATATTTTCCAGTCCTGCTATGGCCACTCTGGCTAAGCAGGCCATCTTTTTTTTCGACTTTTATAGGTCCTAACCCTAACCCAACTACTATTACATATATAGTAATCAATCTACTTTGTCATCTCAGTTGAATTCCTAACCGCTGGAGTACCAGCAAGTGATGCCAGATGACCTCATATAATCCTGAGCCCCAGACACTGAGCTCACATGCGCCAGATTCACCGCGCTCTTCCCAATCACCCCCGCCTTCTGGAGTCCAGGGTGACTTGGAATTAGAACTTCTCGGGCTCGCAAATGCTTTATACAACCTCGGAACCACTGTCATCAATGACTCTACTAAGGATCGCGATAGACCAGGTGGTGCGAAGCTGGTAGGCCTTGGCGCGTGCGTTCTCTTTGTTGTTTCAGTTGTATATGATCCTAAAGATCCCAACGCTCAGGAATGAGGTCGTCAATCACCTCATGTCCATCGATAACAAAGCACAGGATATTCGGACCATGATACCTTTTCAAGTTTTGTCTGATATCGACAACGCACGCAACCCCATGCAGTTAACCAAAGAGCGTCTAGAACGAGCAGCTACTGAGAATCAATTCATGAACGGAAAGATAGCAGCTATTGACGTAAGGACCTCCCTCTTTTTACTCCACCCTTGTTGATGCACTTCTCTTGTAGTCCTACCGCAAGCTTCTGAATGAGGCGTTAGCATCGAACTTCCCAGAGACAGCCAAATATCTCCGTCCTAGTCAGGATGACATCAAGATGGAGTTATAGGCCGAGCCCTGTCACCTACAATCTCGCCATTTCACACAGCTATATCTCTTCAATGGCTCAATGTCACTTACATAAAGAGGGGCGCGCGCTCGGATTAATTTCCCAACTATCCTCCCGTAGACAGACGAAATCGGTTGAAGACGGGGAACATTCCATTCTCTCTCATTACCTCTTGTCATTGTCGGGACAATTCGCAACAATCGGCCTCATTAAAACGAAAGAGCTAAATTTCTCATTGAGGGATGCTCCCGATGACAATTTTTTTGACCATGCGAAAATAATGCGGGCCCATTCGGGTCACCCACAAGACAGCACCGCACAGAGCATGTCCAGGCGGATCTGCGGCTCTGGTCATCTTTGTGCCAGCGAGATACTTTACCTATTATGGCCCCTCAAAAGCACCATAAACTACACTAGTGTGCAGGTTCCTCGGACTTCTTTGCTACCGCCGTGGCTTCTCAGTTCCTGCCCTTTCTGGATCATTGGGGCTTTGTGGCGTACCAATATACTCAGCGATGGTCTCTCACCGCCACAATCCATACATCATCGGATTGTCGCGAAGCGGCCATCTGTTAATAGTATTCAGATTTGATGAGAGACATGTGGGCGGGTGCCAATGTTTAATCACAGTATAGACACAGTGTATTGCCATAAGTGTAAGTCTCGAGAGCAGGAAATGCTCATTCCGCTCTAACGGCACTCATGTTTCAGGGATTATCTCTTATCTCACGTCCACATCCGTATCCCGCAGTCGCTCGGAGGTGCATTTCATGATGGAATTGTTGGGCCAAAAATGCGAGATCCTCCTTTATCATCGCAATGGTTGTCTCCGAATGTCCCCAACGTACTTGTTTCAAGAGTGCTACTGACATGGATATATCATTGGCATTGTTAGTTATGAGAATCTTGGCGCGGCTAATGAGGGCTGATAGCCTGAGTATACTGGTTGATGCGGCGGCAACGACTACAGGCACCGGAAAAATAACGAGTCTTTACAGCCGTATCTTCTCCTACCTTCTCCGACGAGTTCTTCTCACTGTCTATTTTAATAGCAAGCAAAATCATCCTGCTGCAGTGTCAAATACAAAAACGGTTCAAATCTTGTCTTTGTGAAGAAACATATCGGAGACAGTGAGCGGTTGGTCAATGTCGGCCTTCCGCACTTCCACCCGCTCGATCGTCTGTAAAGTGAAAAAGTGGTGGCATTAGCCCTCGTGATCACTCCTCGGGCCTCCTTATTCTCGCTACTACGGCGCGTGAATTCATCTTCCATTACTTGGGATTTGCACAAAACCATATTGGAGCTAGTGCCTGTGCTGCATCGCTAGGCAGCAAAGTGGACCCAACCATATCTGAAGCGGGTAATACACGAAGAGGACATTGGCTTGTAATATCAAACTCACACAAGGGACCCCGAAAACCTACATCTTTACATCTGAACCGGTTCAATTATTTATCGAGGCGCCCATTTTGATTTCGAGCAAAAAAAGTGGAAGCCGCATCGCCACTAGCACGCCTATCGCCCCTCAGATCCTCCGTGCTTCGATCTTGGCCTTGTATCACCGCACGATAGGACTCGGTAAGAAGCATGGGCATGTACACCCGCCCATCCTGGCGCCCGGAGGTCACTCGACTACCAGACAGTGGTTGACTATCGTCGGCACGATGGCGATTTACAAATGTGGTTGTTCATACATTAACGTAAGGAACTCAACCTTACCTTGTAATAAATGCTGATGCCTTTGTGGGCCGCCGGAATTAAGATCACTGAAGTAGGTGTGCTTTGTGTGTTATCAATATTTAATTTTGTTTTTGTATTATGGATATCCGCAGAATGACAATGAATGCATGGAAAGCTCATGCATGGAATGAGCCCACACCCACCCATAATGACAATGAGCCATCTTGCAACGTGCAAAAAAAGGACATGAACTCTGGCTGCAACATGTCATGATGGTGGTCGAGGGAGATATTCCAGAACGGGCTCTTCCACTAGATAACGATATAGGCAAATCTGTCCCGGGATGCCTGATCAGATCGATAGCACATCATACATTCCCACTCGATCAGGGATGTGAGAACGAGTTGCACGAGCACTGACTAACTAGTCGACGAAAATATCGATTTCAAAGACACTTGAATGTACAGTCATGGAGGTGCCGGGCTGCTGGCTACTCGCATCAATTGTTATTACTGTCTCGCACGAGAAATGTTCGGATGTTACGCGAGGTGTTGTGATACATGTGTTGTCGACGTAAGACGGTCCGTGAAATGGCCGGATGAGATCTGTGATATAGGGGCAAGTAGATGTGACCCTACTAGCCTAGGTAATAGCATCAAGTGAACACCAGATTGATGGTCGCCCAAGTCTACAATGAGGTACTAAGTAATACATCCGGAGTTTAATGAAACACTAGAACAGATAAGTTTCGGAGCGCTTGCGTCAATTGGAGAAGTATGACCTTCTAGAACCTACCCCATATCCAAATTATCACCTACCAACACCGAGAGTTCATCACTGGTCCCGAAAGACGGTCAGAAAGAGGGTTCTCTCACGGATGTACGTACTGCTCCAAGTAACCAATTGCAAGCTTGGATGCGAGTCACATCAAGTTTTGGTTAACATGAATAGAAGCCACCTTGGCCGAAAGAACGCACAGGTAGCTGCATCCCGTTGGATCTGGCGAGAAACTTTTGATCGTCACTGATTCAAATCGCGGTGCATCGTCATTCGAGTCCGCGGTATCTATTGTACCTGAGTGCAGGTCAAATGGCTGAACTTAATGGCAGGCAAGTTGGACACGAGGCGATGGGTCTAATCATGAATGCGATCTCCGGTGCCGCTCGATTGTCCAAATCAACATACAGAGGTAGGAAGCGCGCGGCCTGGCAACGTGCCCCCATGATGATGCTATCAAAGGCGTGTCTATGACGGTCCGTTCCTCGGACACTAGGAAAACAGCTGGTAAAACACGCTGGTACGACGAATTATTCTGCCCCTTGTGAGATAAGATATGGGCGGGAACAGCCGGTATGGCTCAAGGTTTGTTGTCCACCGATCTGAAGATTGAATGCTACTTTTTGAACGACCTTCGAATTTGGACTAGTGCAACGGGGTCATTTCCACCAATCACAGGGCGCTTCAGCGGTCACAGATGGTTCAGGCTTTCAACGTAAAACTTAGCTTGACCAGATCAAGCTGAGAGCCAAAGCAGCGTCGTTGACGTGAACGTGGGAAGCCGCCGGAGAATGGCCTTCAAGTAAGAGAGCAATCGTGACAAACTTATCTGCAAAGATGCATCAAGTCACCTATAAGCTCTGTGATGATGATCAGCTTCTTTCTCAGTATCAGAACCTATTCCAATGGACATATCTGACTTCTTGACGTCACAAACATTAATCAGGCTTACCATTAAGTGAGCGCATAAAAATTTATGTCGATTAACGTGCAGAGAATTGGAGGCTAGACAAATGCAGGGTTGACAGCAAAGTTTTCGCAAACCTCATGAGGTTCCATGACGCGATTGCGTAGTCGAGTGTAGTAAATTATGCAATTTCGTGACATATCGTGGTTTTAGTGCAAGTGATTACGGGTATCGAATGTGTGAGAATTAAGCGACCCAGAACCAAGGGCTTCGAACGGAGGTCACGGCAGTCCGGAGATATCACGAGGCTCGTACCGCGATGGCAGTACATGTACAGAATAATGAATCCTACGATTGTTATCGGCCATGTGTTAGCGGATCAAAGGTTCAGTACACATGCCAAAGATATACTCACATTGAAAAAGAGTTCGTTTAAGCAGACATCCCCGTCTTCCCAGTGAGACACCATATGGGACCTACAAGCAATGATCAACGATAATCGATTTATAGATCGCGATAATTTCTACCGGCCACCTTGTCCCAAATTCTCCGTGATCTGGACCAAGACCATATACTTACTGTGTCAAGTATATAATACAGGGTCACGAGATGAGTTCAATATAAGCGGCTAGTCATTGCACGTACAATCCATGTGGCTGAATCTCCACCATCCGCTCTTTGACGCGTTCTCCTATTTCCTTCATCCAAGCTTTTACTTGATCACGCTCGATATGTGGCCACACAGCATGCGAAAGCGTTGCTGGCAAGAGTTTTTTCACGTATGCTCGCAACATCTCCGTATCGAATGCGGGTCTAGGTGCTTGAGGAGATACCGCACCAGACCGCGAAACAGGGGAGCGGAGTCCTAGGGTTGTTGCCATCCTTCCTCCAACGAGAGGGCAACGAAGAGCAATTCTGAATACAGTTAAGCTTAAGTCAGAGACTCCAATTGTCAATGGCAAGGCTTGGATGGCAAGGCATTTACATTTGTTTGGTCTTAAGTTCGCCCGGTCCGCTTTCGTGAGAAGTTTGACAATACGAGGCTCACACTTACAAGCTTCCCTGTGTGCTGTCCAAGGCTGTCCAGTGTCCTCACCTTTATCCTAGCCACCCGTAGTCACTCTGATTGAAACTGAGATCTCCAAAACCCACAAATGTCTTCAATATCGTTCCCGCACTCAAGCGACGAGATGGGCCCATCTTCCAGCTCACTGCACGACCCGATGCAGGTGCCATTCTACACGCCTCCTGCGTTCGACATGTCGAGTTCCTTTCAAATGAACCCTCTTTCTGCGCACCCGCCTCGTACGCCACGCCCGAGCACTGCTACACAGTCGCACTTTAGGAATATGAGCATGAGTATCAGCATGTACGACGAAAAGGCGGAGGAGGAGCAGGACGGAGAGACGGTCAAAGCAGATAAAGGGGAAGTAGATGAAGACGAGGTCGTGGAGTTAGACGAGGAGGATGTACGTGTTAAAGAGGCTGAAAAGTTGGTTGGGGCACATGAAGTATGGCGAGATATGCTTGTTACAAGTAATGGACGGGACAAAGCGTTTGTGAGTGACTATGACATACCTGCTGAACAAGTAACAGAAGTTGTCTCTGGAGTAGAAATTAATGCAATACTCGATACGTGTGTATCTGCTCTTCCACAGCAAGGTTTTATTTCGTAGTGGAAAGTCCGCTTGGCAGCGGGAAATTGTACGAAGGCTCACGGCTGCAAAAAACGGGCTCTCTTTCACGAGGTGGGTATGCTTTCGACTTTGACATCGTTATGGACAACTGACGGCACACGCAGAAAAATGCTTATCATGTTCAACTGGTTAGCCCCCCTGAGTCAGGTATTAGCGCAACAATCTGTGCCCTTCTCGTCTTCCGGATCTTCCCTTACGCCTCACAGCTTCACAGCTACCTCCGCGTCATCCTCCAAATATTCCCAATTATCGGGGGGTCCCTTCCTTTCGCACCCGGTCCTCCGAGCTTTGCTGTCGGCTCCGCCCCCTATTCTCCTCGAGCTTGTGAATGGCTTGTCGGATGATATATACTCGCTTTCCCGGCTCGGTATAATTGGTTCTAAGCTGGGAGAACGCGCGGCTCGGTTTGCCGACTGGTGTTGGCTTTTTACCACGCTGGTCGGTCTGGTAGAGAATGGTGTCGAATTGGGAGTTATTGAGGGCCTTCAACGAGAAGGTAGAACAATCAATTTTTTTCACTGCTTCAAGTCTTGTTGCTCATTTTTTCCAGTTCAATCAAGGGCATACAAAGAGTCGCTTTCAGGGGCTACTTCAAAGTCGCAGCCAAAAGCGTCAAAAATTGACGAACGTGAGCTAACACGCCTACAAAAGAAGAACTACTGGCTTCAGGCCTCAAGGGCCAAACTTGTCATGGATCTCATTTTCGTTTGTAAGTAATTCTGATTGCACAGGTATTTCTCCCTTGATGTCCTTGTGTTGCAGCATGGGATATCTTCAGGATCAAAGGGTGGAAAGACACTGTTCAGTCTTTCACTGGCCTTGCAGCTGCGGTCCTCAGGTAACATCCCCATCATCATTTGCCATTCATACTCCTAATCGGCGTTTGGTAGCTCCGCAAAGTTATACGATAAGTATAGAACTGCGCTTGTCAACAAGGCCCTGACTAGTTGAACATCATGGTGCTAGCTATTCGTGACACGAATGAAGAAGAGGTGATCGAAGCTTGTTAAATTTCGCTCTTTGCCGTACGCAAACGCAAGCGTTGACATGCTTCCAACGTTCGACAGTTCCTCGTGTGCTTCATCTATGTTATCATGCATCTTTTTGTTACTACCCATCACCTCGCATCGCATACACATTTTTGTTTGTTCTCTAATACCCTTTGCTGATATAATAATGTTTGATTTCGCCTTGGTCGTGGATTTATTTATTGTAGATAAACTGATGACTATGGGCTGGTAAATTTCACTACGAACCCTAGATGATGGCTTCAACCGATGATTACATGTATTGCTATATGGAAATCACCACGGCCACCACTTAGAGGCAGGGTTGAGTGATGATGAGACTGCCAACGGTTGCAAGGCCCGTTCCTCCTGTAACCTATCCACCTCTGCTTCGAGTTGACGGACTTGGTCTCGTGCTTCATCTAGAAATTTCTCGTGATCCAGTTGGCTCTGCAATAGCTGCAACCCCTGATTGGGTTAAAGCACAAAATCAGCAAGCATATTGACACGTTGATTTCAGATCATGACGCGAGGGAAAGCAGCGAAGAGTGCCAGTGATCCACGATGCGAGGACGACACTACTTACCAAGTACACAGCGGAGCCCAAAAGAGCTACCGGGATCATGCCCGGCAACATGGACGCATACCATTCAGAGTGTGCGGACCGTGGTCCCGTGGTTGACGAGTATCTACAGGTCCGCTGTTGGGGAACGCGTAGAGATCGCGTCCGAACGAGACGCATTAAGGGCGCCATATGTCTTTACAAATCGGAAGGCCTTCCGACAGTTGACTCGAATGGACGTGCAAATAGGCCAGAAACTATACGCGAAGGTTCAATTGCCCGCGGTGTTCGGGTGCAAGGCACTTGTGTGCGGAGAAGTTGTTCACAAGCCTGGCGAACGGCGTTTTCAAATGAACAAAGTTCAATATTCAAACCAACGTGGGACTAGTGCCGGTGTGATATGATGCAGAACGACTCAGAGGATATGGGATTTCAAAAAATAAAAAGAGCGCACGAGATAGGATTTGCTTGGACCTTGCTGCCGAGATCCGGGACGATAATTCTGTATAGGAAAGAAAGTCTTCAAAGTTGCAACCCCAGTTGCTTTATACCAGTTCCTAGTAAATTTGTCAACGCGTGAGATGGATGAAGCTTTCAGAAGTCTCTGTCTCATGATTACATAAGCAACTTGATCGCCCTCAGAGGTCACGCGCATGGTAACTTGCCTCGTTTGTGCCTATGCTTCTGAAGAAAATACGCACAACAGATACAAGGTCAACGAGACTCTTCTAGTACAAACATGTCCATTTCTCTTGCTCCCGAGCTGACTCCAACCTATTCTCCCTAGTTCACTCCCACAGGATAAACCAACAGCTGCTGCTGCATGTCTCAAATGCACTGTAAAGTTTTCCGGGGCCCTCCGACTCCTATGGGACGATATCTATTTGAATATCTCGCAAGCGCACTCGAAGTTCCAGTCGCTGGGCCTAGTCCCCGTATTATGTACAAAGAAGACCTGGCCATCCTTCTATTTGGTTTGAACTTTGCCTCGGGAAGATTAGGCTTAGCGTTGTTCAGGACCCGATGGAATACGTTCTCGACTCGACTCGGTATTCAATATTCAATGGTATACCAAGACGAAAAGAGAGATTAAACTGCAATCTGTGCTACATCCAAGCTAATGCAACATTTTAAAGTTACTCTCTCGCGCACCATTAACATTCGCGACTAGAAACTTATGTGCGAATGCCAAATAAGTTACGGCATACTGGGACTTCTTTGGCGGGGGAATGAAGTGTGCGTCTCCGAGTCAGGTCCCGCTGCTTCAAATTCTTTTTTTCATAGCCTTGAGCCAATCAAATCATCTTGGGTGATAGTGGCAAAAACATGATATATTTTTGTTCGCCATACGCGCCCCAAGTCCAACAGGCCTCCTGAAGGAGATGACATCTATTTATGCCGGCGTTCTTTGTCTCATCCTCTTGACCCGTTCTCGCAAGTCATCATCCCCCCCAAACCAGGACAGCACAACTTTTGATTTTTGCTCCCCATATTGTTACATTGCGTCGGCTTGCTCAACTTTTGACTGACGGCACACAGGTTCCCATTACTTGTAATGTGCACTCTCGGTTTCTTGCTTCTCGCTTTCAATCATACTGCTGTTCGCATTGGGTGATATGTATTAGCAAACAGGGGCGAAGCCCACCCTGTCCACCATTCTGCCCTCCATATCTCCGCCCGACATCAGGCCACTTTTCTGAAATAGATGCTGGACTCATCTGAGAAGAATGTTGCGAATTGCAAATATATAGATTGCCAATCACTGATCGTAGGAAAGTCAGTTGACTCGGAGCACAGGCCTCCCGTTATTTGCAGGTATCATGGTACGCAACGTGGCAAGACGCTGAAAAGCTTCGTGTCCTACCCCCGCATTAATCCGTATGGGCCGTTAGATCTGTTGAGCATTATAAAATTATCAACATCACTATAAGTATCTCATTTTCTCGACGACAATCTGCAGCACCACGTAGCATGTGCCGCGAACTCGCTGAGCCAGTCATAACGATCCATATATATAAAAGTGGCGTGAGACACCACCGAGATAAGGCACTGGCAAGCAATATCTTGATGGTTAGCATGCTGGTGCTCGTTAAAAATATTGCATCGCGTTGTAACCTGTCGTTTCTTCTCTCTGCTCTCCTTCTATCAAGCTATCCTGACTACTGTTCACTGTGTGCGCTCAGCAGCGCGATTGCCATTCGGGCGTCTTGCAACTAGAATACATAAGCGCCTAACTGTTGATCTAGACCTGTTCAGACCTGCCAAGCTACCATGGCTCTGCAACTGAGCGTTGATTCACCGGTACTCAGTGAGAAATCAGGCTCAGGTTCGCCCTCAAACGATATACCTCTCAACTGTCGTTCTTCCCCGCATCGAAACTCGCGTCTGTCCCACCATCTCATTCCAATGCGTACTTCTTCGTCTCTTTCCTCTTCATCGCTTTCGTCATCACAAACCCTACCACAATCACAACGATATGTTCGTCCGCGCGGGCTGCGGATATGGAATCTTTTCAAACAATGGTTGCCTATCTTGGCGTACGGTGCAACTAGCCTCGGTTTTGTCTTAGCTATCGCATTCTGGAAAACTGAGGTTCTCGACGGTAAGTCATCGGTTCCTGCCGGTTTGCTTTCGTGACCCGGTGGCCCACTGCTGCAGACGAGTGCACTTTATCTCTATTCCTCGCTTGTGCGATTATGACAGCGCTACATCTCATTTGTTTGCTTACAATGTTTATTTCCGATAGGTCTTGACCACCTCTCACACTGGTTGCGAAACGACAAATACTTCGGCTATGCAGTATTGTTCTGTCTCATTTTCATCACTACGTTCCGTATGTTCCGTTCTTAATTTATCATTGTGCAACAATTCACGCATGTGCATCGATGTTCTCACGTTTCAATAGCTCCTCTCCCACTATATTCCACGCTGATCACATTATCGGGATATACATTTGGGCCGTGGATCGGTGCTGTTATCTCGTATTGTGCTGCGCTCTCTGGTGCTATCGTTGTGTTCTGGCTATCACGGACGTTCTTACGCGAGCCGATTGGTCGTTGGCTTTCCTCAACGCGTGCTCTATGTCGCGCAGTTCGAGCCGTTGAACGCAAACCACAGCTATTGTTCCTTGTCAGACTCGCACCATATCCGTATAATGTGCTAAATGCACTTCTTGCGGCCACCCCAGCACTCACCATGCGGACCTATGTGATTTGCACGGCTTTGTCTCTTTTCAAAGTCATCATTCACACCAGCATCGGTGCAGGAATTCGCTCGTTTAGCGCCAAGAAAGAATCCGATGTTCAAGAGGAAGAGGATGATACCTGGAGCAAAGTCTGGACTATCGGCGGGATCCTTTTGTGCGTTGCACTTTTCATATACCTCAGCTTGGTAGCGCGCCGAGCAGTGGACGATGAGCTCGATGACGAGATTCCTGGAAGTGCGTCGGAAGAAAGAGTGGCATTCTTAGATGCGGAGTCGCATGCAGAGGATGACGATACTGGATCTCGAGCACTACGGTTACCCCTGACTTTGCAGTCGCAGAACAACATGAGCGAGGCACAGCTCGTTTCTCCACACCACGTTGTGTCCGGACTTCCTGCAGCCTAGTCGCTGCCTTTTCCCTCTTTAATGGACTCTAGACTTGTATATTATTACCCAAGGATATCATATAAGTTGATTAAAACCAAAACTTGTATGTTATGTATGTATTTTTTTGAAACAGATGTACTTTTTACTACTTTGGATACTTAGCCTATCTCCGTCGTGCCATATCTCGTTTTCTCGCACTTTTCCAAGTCACGCTTGCCAGCTGTAAAGCACCAATGAAATTCGCGTGCGGTATCTGGTTTGACACCGCCAATGGGCGAAACAGAGTTCATAAGAGGCCTAATGTCGATCTACACAGCTGGTTAACGAGACCTTACCATTCTGGCAGGTGATAAATAACGTGTACACCAGTTTATAGCACGATCCTGCCCCTGACCTGATGTCCACCCTGCAGCAAATGCCGTGCGCCACTTGATCCTTGAGCAAAAGCTGTGCAAATGCCAGCCCTTGTACACAGGGTCGCCCCTCTTTCCTGTTGGTACGATCATTTATGAAAAACTCCACCACACAATCACGGAAAATCCACAAAGAATATGAAACGAACAGCAAGTACTGCGGCAGTGTGAAATATTGGTCTGGGTCCCAGCGCCAGTGCCCCAATCTCATTCCCCACTTCGGGAAACTCACCTGTCGCGCAAAAATCCGAAGCCGGCAGCAAGTTGAAGTTGACGCGTTACGTTACCATGCCTGGTTAACTGAGCCCCCGATCAGAATTCTGTGCATTCGCTCTGATCAGATCACGCCCGTTATTTGACGAGATCAACAAGTCGCTTCCCGATTTGGTACATACATATGCGGTCGCCGTTTTTGTTATCGTCAAATATTTGTTGGCCGGCGGGAAATTCGTGGAAAATCGGTGTACATCATTGATAGCGGGGAGGAGGATAATGGATATGACATTGGTCTGTGCTGAGGGAGTTTCGCGTTTGCAAATTCGCAGAGTGCACATCAAGGTGTGACATGAACTTTACGGCCATGGCATGTTGATCAAGCGGATGACATGAACTTTATATCCATCATTCAAACATTGGACAAGCAAAATGTATTGCAGATACTATCGAGAAAACGTAGCCGGGATATCAATGAACGGGGGTAACTGTATACGGGGTAACCGTATGCACACGAGAGTCAAAGCGAGAGGTATCAAAGTGGGAGTGATGATGGGGTGTGGTACTACAAATGAGGAGCAACAAAGTATACACGCTGGAACTAGATGAGAGAGCACATGCAAACGCAGCCGATCGTTTTGTAAGGTTCATGAAAAAGATCTTCCAATTTCGTATAGCTTCCTAGAAGAAGCGGGTAAAGTGAGGCAAGGAAAGGAAAGTGGGATCGTGAGGGCAAACGAAAACACAAAACAGCCATAGTCCAAAAGTCAAAGATGAGACATCAAGGAAGGAGGTGAATTAAAAGGCAATCCGAGCAACAAGTCTATTTTCTCCACGGGAACGTTGCGTCTAAAGCTGGTTCACGGTTTTGGTATATTGCGGAGGAAGGTGCTCGTTCATAGCGACAAACCCAAAGTCAGGCGAGACTGGACCCATTCAAGAGACTGACAGTCAGTAAGCCAGACCGTGAGACATCGGAGGGCGCAAGGGGTAGTCGCGCGACTCACAACGGTTAATATCCGCTTCCCCTGCGCCATATCCGTCACCGAGTGGTGGCGTGTTCGCCTGAGACGACGAAGTGTGAGAAGCAGCACTGATCGACGATGCGCTTGTGGAGGGGCGCTGTCCAGCCTGATGGTGACCCCAACCACTTCGTCCATCCATCGAATCGATGGATGCACCACCGACAGCAGAGTATGCGAACTCAGCTTGACCGGCAGGGAAACCATACGAGTCCACAGACGGCAACTGAATCATGCTGCGCACTCGTGGCATGTTTCCATCGTCAGCTGGATTAGGCGACGATGAGGGTCTCTCGTTGGAAGGATGCTCATACGGAGACGGGTACGGACTCATGGCCTGACTGTGGCGACGGGGACGACGAATGCTCAAGGAGGACGGACCATACTGCTTCGAAGATGACGGTGGGCGAGACAATGATGGCGAAATGGGGCGGTGGAGGCTCGACCCGGGACGCGAGTAATCAGCCTGATGGTACGTGTGATGCGATGGTGATTCCTCATACGGCAGGGATGACACTGATGAAATGGAGTATCCCGTGGTTGGGCGGCTATCCGGAGATAACGAGGGCGGGCTATTGTCACTCTGCATCGAAACACCCGAATAGGTGGATGAGTAAGATGTGTTGATGGTCGGCGTTGGGCGAGGACCATAACCATTATTGCTCGGCGGGTTTAACAAGGAAGACAGACTGCCCGAATGGTTGGAAGTCGTGCTGTTTGGAGAATACTGCCAGTTCTGGTCAGTGTAGGAATACTGGGAGGGAGGGACAAGCATGTCCCTGTTGCTAGTATGCTGAGCGTGATGATAACCACTTCCTGGACCCATTGCGCTGAACTGAGTGGTGGGAGATTCCTCTGCGGGAGAGATGGGCTGCAAGTGAGACTGATTGTACAAGTTATGATGAATGGGCTCAGAAGGGACAGTAAGGGGAGGTAGGTTACGAGCGTGGGAGTAAGTCGTGCTCCAACCTGGACTACTCTGATTCAAAGGAGTGAGGGAGCCTGGTGCAGAAAAGCCACGAGCACGGCCACCGACATTAGGCAGCGTGCCCTTTGAACCCACAGACGAAGGGACGGTGAGAGGAACTGGACCCATACCGATAGCAGAACGGGGAGGGGGTATTGAGGGAGGCTCCTGGGTATCACGCTTCCTTGGTTTTGGAAGACGCGGAGGGACGCGGCGTTTGAAATTAGCCACAACTTCAGGGGGGGAGTGGCGGTTGAGGGTGGGATGGGCTGCGGTACCGTATTGTTAGCAAAAAGAAGTGGATTGAAGTGGCACTGACGCGGACTTACACCATGTGCTTGCGTCTGGATCATCAATAGCAGGGTCGACGTTGCGCAAGTTCACTTTGCGCATGAAGCCATAGATCTAATAGACGAAGTCAGGTCAGTGACAGATTCATTTCAGTTAAGGGTTAAGTGGGTTTTGCGTCCACAGAGAAGGATGGAAGCACATCACACATACATTTAGTTGCCGAGAGAAGCTTGCAAATCTCGATTGACGGTAAATGCTTGGGAGGACATGGAGAGCCAACTGCTCTGGTCTCTCTACGATGATGTGTTCTCCTGCAGGATCCCAGCGGATCATGTGATGATTTTCTGGACGTTCAAGAAGACTATAACGCGTTAATGAATAGAAATGTAGATGTAAACGCGAACTTACGCGTATAGTTTTGTTAAAAACGTAGCCTGAGGCTTTGCCTCTGACTTTGGAGGAGGGGGTTGCTGCTGCTCATGAACTTTGAGAGAAGTAGGAGGACTATCCTCTGTCGGAGAGCCATTGCTTGAACTAGAATGAGAAGCTGATGGCTGCTGCGGGTAAGTAGGACCAGTTGTATTAATCTGAGGAGGATAGTCGGTCGGACGAGACCATTGTTGAGCTCGTTGATATTGAGAAGTGTACAGGTCCTGCATGTTGTCGTTGTTCGTAAAGTGAAAAGGAAAGGAGGAATTGAAGAAGTGCGAACTATGTAGCTGTTGTCTAAAAAGAACCAAAAATGAAAAGTAGTAAGTAGTCTCGTCGATCGAGACCTTTTTGATATTTTATAAAGGTAGCTAAGTATAAAACTAGTTGAGCGGTGGAGAATAAATCATCAACCGAATTCGTCAACACCGAAATTAGGTTACGAATAAATTTACGTCAACATTCCATATCCATTTTTTGTTACCGCTTTTTCCTTTTTAAATAAAACGTAATCAAGGGTGCCGCGGCCGGGTTCGGAAATCACCTTCGGTAAATACATTATAAACAAAACAAAACAACTATAACATCTAAATTTGGCTGTTATTCCACTTCCTCGGCGCCGAGGCTATCCTCGTAAGGAATAATCCGTACCAAATTTCCATGTGACAATTTCGAGTTGCCGCGCCAGATCTGAATCTATTCTTTTCCATGTTTTTTCTTTCCAGCGGCACCTCAGGCCTCAAGTACTCCATCCTGTAAAACTTGTAGATACACGTGTAATGAAAGTATGATATGAAATACATTTACAATTTTTAATAAATGATCCCCTTCACGGCCGCCATACTTGTTCGCTTGCCGTCTGATTGGTTCACTTGGCTCACTTTAGCGCTAGCTGGGGTCCTAATTAATTACTCAATTTAGTAAGCCGCCCCATAAATTGGTTCAACTTATCCCAATTAAGACTTACCGCAACCAAACCTCCAATCTTCTCACTCTGCTTCTCCTCCTCAGCGATCCGCCCGACCTTTAAAGAACCACTCCCCGCGCCCTCTATCTCCTGCCCCTGCTTACATATACCACTCACTATCATTGTCTTCCTCTCACGCATACCATATTACCTTTTCCTCAGTCCTGCGTCGACTACATTGTGAATTTCAAACAGCGGTCTCAATCGGATCACCATCGACACTAAACCAAACCCACATGCTCAGCATTACAGTCAAATCCCATGGAGAAACTCCCGCATCGGCTGATCCCCGAGTCATTTTTCACATCTAGCTAGTACTTATCTGATGCTACTCGTCCCCCATTTTCAAAATCACCAAATATCATCTATGTCACAAGCGGCTCTACTGCGTCATGATCAACTGATTAGAATAGATCGTAAAGTGTCGGACATAATAGCACTAAAAGCGAGTTATAGATGGTTGGTTTGTGCAAAGATATGGGTGTGCGGTGAAATAATACAAGTGAACCTTATGTTTCCCTAGAAACAAAAAAATGCAAAAACTATGCGAGCAAAGTGTCAATGAAATGAAGCAGCGGATGGTATCAAGCATCGTGCGGCGAAAGAATAAAGTATCATACCAATATCCTTTATCGACCGGCGATCACATCCGATGTTTCGTAGCTACCGTGGCATAGACGTCTAGACGGGAATATGGCAGAAAAAGTTCTTCAGCTTTCCCCATCATAATGTAGCGTGACGCTGTTGAACGCGCCGAACAGATCTCCATCTGCTGGTACGTCCATACCATCGTCGTATCCGGGTGTCCCAGGGCCTACCGGTACGCTCGCACCTGCTGCGCCCCGTATTTGCTCCTCTAGATGAAGCGAGCGTGACTCCTTTAGGTGTCGGAAGTTTACCGCATCAAGACCATTACAGGACGATGGAATGATCTAGATAAGGTGTGCGTCAGTCAAGATATCTATCAAGCTGTATCGGATCAGACATGTGGACTTGTCTCACACAAGGGTGAACACACGCCATAAGCGCCCAACACACTTGTGGACAGAGATATGAGAGCACGTCAAGACTCACCGGTGGCCGCTGGTGACGCAACAAACCCCAGTTCATTTTGGAAAACCATTTATGCTGCTTAACTTCACTGGCTCCACTCCTGCTGCCAAACCTTGTTCGTTCATCTTTGTCGAGTAACCGAATGACGATATCCTTGCAAGCGCTGTACGGCAAGGACTTTCGTTAAAGTTTACTCATGACTCAGTGTCCAACTCTAGCCCACCTCGTAATTTTAGGTGCATCCCGGAAATGAACTGGCAGAGACCGGATGTTGGAAAAAGTATCGTTCCTCTCCTTCCCCTTGAAGGGCGTGGTGGCAAACTGCACAGGAGCGTCAATGATTGTTCCCACAGCAAAATCCGATCCAAACTCCGCCGATGGTGATCAATGTCAACTCACAATCATTTCGTATATCAAGATGCCAAGCGTCCACCAATCCACCGCAGCGGTGTGGCCCTGTGCAGCTATCACCTCTGGCGCGATGTATTCTGAACAACGAAGCCGCATACGGTTAAATCCTTGATTGTTGATAATTAAAGGAGCCTTACCCTCGGTACCGACAAACGAGTTCGTCCGAAAATCCGCTGTACATGACATCGTATCGATCATAGGTATCTATAACATAGGAAGGTTGTGTGAATTATCACCGCATGGACGACAAGGGAACGACTTACCCCGTTTGGTCCTAGCTGGTGAATCGTCGCGGGGCGGCCCCCAGGATGCCCAGATTGTTTAGCGAGATCGAAATCCGACAACATAATGTGGCCGGAGTGATGGAGGAGAATATCTGGACGAAGTTCCAGCAAGTACGGAAGACGCGGTAAATGAAAGACGAAAATTACAGCAAGATGTGGCAATAAAGTTAAGCGTTTAGTACACGTTGGCGATCAAGAGGAGAAGCACCTACTCTCTGGCTTGAGATCGCGGTATATGAAGCCGTTTAGGTGAAGGTACTCCAAGGCCGCCACAACCTCCGCCGCATAAAATCGGGAACCATCTTCCGGAAGGCACTTGCCCGGACGAGTTTGCAACGCACGGAAAAACTCGCCACCCATGCAGTACTCCATACAAAAGTAGAGGTACTCTTCCGACTGGAAGGAGTGATAGAGTGTGACGATGAACGGGTGATTTGAAGTGGCTAGAATTTCTTGCTCGGTTAAAGCACGTTTTATCTTTTTTCGTTCGATCATCTCCTTTTTAGACAAGACTGGGGAATCATAATTGAAGCCAGTTTGAAGTCTCGTCAAATCACGGACCCACCTTTCATAGCAAAAAGCTTGTCAGTCTTCTTTTCTCGCACAAGGTACACACGTCCGACGTCGCCCTTCCCAAGCATTTTAATTTTCAAGAAGCTTGATGGACCGACCTCAACCTGTAATCCACCCCTTTGTTTAAGAAAACTGTACTTGCAAAGAAGCTTTGAAACGTACCTGTCGAACTTTGATTGAATTACTGGAATATGTCCGTCTGAAAGCCATTTTTCCAGGACCATCATGTGCTCCGTTCACAATTCTAGTCTTTGACAGATGTGAATTACCAGGATACCGTTCGTGCCGATTAGATCTCCCTCTTGAAGAACCAGACGACAGAGTCTCCAATGAGTCATCACCGTGGTCAGATGACGTAGAAGGTGCATCAGGTACTGGTGGAACCATATCTGCAGGTGCTAATAGACCATTCCTCGTAGGTGCTGACGACCGGCTACCAGAAGAAAAAAGATGTTTTGCGTTTGGCGCGGACGCTACGCGACGAATGAAGCGAGTCGCAGATGCACCCATGGCCCGAGGAGACAAAGGCCCCGAACGACTTGAAGACCCAGCATGACCTTGCGAGGGTGCAAATGACTGCTGGGAGCCCGTGGCAGTCTGCGGAGAGCGACTCTGCATCATACGCTGTTTCTCCGACTTTGTCCGTACGCGACTTTGATGAGGTTGTGGAGTGGCCATTCCATTCGTTTCGACATTCGAAACAGACGACTGCTGCAGATGTGGTTGGTACTGGTAGGGGAGGAGTCGGGAATCAGGCACAAGGTACGGTGAGTTCGGTATAGCTCCCACGTTCGAATCACTGGATTGGGTATTCGAAGAGTTGTAGGAGGAACGCTCGTCGATAGGGAGGAAAGAGCCGGGAGTCAGTGACGGACTGGGTGCTACAGGTATATGTTTGACTGCCTGAAGAGGAGAGGAGACTGCGCGAGGCGAGCAGTCAACGGCTAGTATTGAACCATTTCCATTAGCACGATGCTTCTTCGAGGAACTTGGTAGACGAAAGACAGATTTCCATGAAGAGTGTGACGGAGTAGACGGTGGAGAGGGTGCGTGCATGATGGAGATTGTTGATTCGCGGTCGATCCCGAGCGCTCGATCGGATTGCACAACAACTGTTAAACTTCTTCAACAAGTTCAGCTGAGCCTCAAGTCAGCAGCAGCAGACACGGCCTACAAAAAAGACTGAAGAAAGAAAATTGCTTTGGTATCGGGGGAGGTACAAATGCTCAAATTGTTGTCCCCTCAACATAACGGTAGCAGAAAATGGACAAGCTTAGTAAGACGGCATCTTCCACTTCATTTAAGCTTACCCTACATACGAGAATCTTTTATTCACGTTAATTATGGTTAACTTTGACTTGTGTAACTGTTGGTCGAGACCGTAGGGTCGAAGCGAACCTTTCCGAATAATAAAAATGATAACTGGCATGATTGCTCGAATTCCTCACCACCTTTTCGCGTTCGGGTTCAGCAAACTTGCTTGTCAGAGTAGCTTGTCACGCGATCAACGTGTCCGTCACAATATCGTAAAACCATAGATCCGTGTCATGGTCACCGTCTGTTGAGCGGCCATTCTCCCACCCGATCATCCAACACTACGTGGCTCGGCTTGGATATATCGATTAGCACCATGAACCTTTGCTGAAGTACAGTCGAGAAAGCAGATCTTCACGGAAATGAAGGTGCTGCCACTCAAACGTTGCACATGCAGGTGTAATAATACGAACGTAAGCCCGAGCAAAAATTTCGTGTCATTTGTCAATTTGTAATACTGCCACGAAGGCAAACTTGGCAAAGGTACCGCGGGCCTAGTTCATCGAACCTCGTCGGAATGGAGTCCGCGCGAGGTCCGCGTGCAATGGGTATCTATCTGCCAGTGAGGGTAATTGCATTTGCGGATGCCCTCGGTGGTTCCGTGCATACACAGCAATAAGCCACAAGCATGTTGGCTGTCCGATGAGTTCGATTCTTCGGGCACGAGGCAGTGTACTGATGATCCGAAAAGTAAGACTCGCCTTGTAGATGGCGTACATTTTGCAAGCGATAAGCACGCCTGCCGTGCACCATGGACTCTCACGAGAACTTCTCTGCAGACCAACCAGCTCCCTGAATACTGTCAAGATAGCGAATACATACTAGTAGCTTACATCATAAAGGTTCACCACGCCAGGAGGCTGCTGTATCATAAAGCTATTTGTCGTGAGCTGATAGAATGATATCATCGAGTGTGAGGGCGATATCTTCGTGAACCAAAACATGTACGGCAGTTGCCAAAAGTCGATGTGCTGATGGGGGGAGAAATACAGCGATGCAGGGACTCCTGTAGCATTATGAAGCCCCAGATACCAACGAACCCTAGCGCTCATTCCTACGGGCCGGCTTGACATGGGAATTACGTGGAACCCCAGGTGCATCTCCGTTGTCTTTGACAACACCATCACTAGGCCGAATCTGGGCTTCCATAGGACATCATGCATCATGCACTGGGCCCTAACGCAGCAATATTTGCCCAAGGCAGATAATCAAGAATATTACGTTTCTGATATGCGGCAACTGAGCGCTATCTGTGGCGCGAAAAGTTGTAACAGCTGCCCAAACCTGGGGTTGAGGAGCATCATGATGAGACCGCATCAGTATCGTTTCGTATCATCTAGAAAGAAATGATGTTAATGCCAGGGAAATTGCCTCATATCCGAACATACACATGACCGTCTACGTATGACCTTCCATGCATATCCTGCGAATAACGAATGGCAAGAGGGCGCTCCACTTACAAAAACAGAACACGGGTCTCCATGAACGTTCCGTAATGTTGAGACACCTAAAACGGACAACTCATCAATATTCAATCCTGAAGGACAAGACAGCAAGTAATGCAATTCTTTAAGAGCAATACAAGACGAAGGTAAAGGAAATATACTTCGGGGACCTCGAGTTCGCACACGACGAGACTGTGTCATCATCTAGATAAGCATGGCATTTGAAACGACGATGGCACCGGTGACCAGCATACCACGAGTCATAGGCGTCTAGCTTTAGGTGAGGTTCTGGAAGCAAAGCACGAATTTGGTAAAGATGGAATTTTCCGATCCTAAAAACAGAACCATGTAGCGGAAACCTAAACATGAGCGGACTGCAGTATCACTGTGAACTATCTAGAGACATCGGTGCCTCGTGTGCCTCATGTCATGGCTGGTATGACTTCATGTCGAATATCTGGCTCACAAGAACCTGCGAAAGACCAAAGGAAATATCCCGGCAGCGTATGAAGATCGTGTGAAAAGTAGTGAGTGAAAAAGGATGACAACAAACTCACCCGGTTGGTTCGAAGAGGGGTCGAAGATTCTGGCAATATCTACCATATTTCACCTGCAAGATCCCACACAATTGGCGGTAGATACATGGTCATGGGTCCAGAAACAATTTCAAAGCTACTAGTAAATGCCGTAGTATGTCGACCGCGTCTCACGGAGATTGTGGTACATACTTCATCCTAGTACGTGGACTTGAGGAATATCAGCTGGAGAGTAGTCGGCCCCGGAATTAGCCCTGAGGATGGCTGCAGCTTAAGCAATTCCGGGCTGTACAGATGGTGGGCAGACGAAGACAGGCGTGACAGATGTGTCAACTATTCAGATCCGAATCTGAGGAGGCCTACTAGCGTCCGGAGAGTGCGGATTAGATGCTGGCAGCGTACAGTGGCAACAACTCTTGGAGCCTGGTGGATAGTGTTAGTCTTTTTGATGGAGTTGATTGTTATGTGGGATTGATATTGAGTGGTCTTGAAGTTCAATAAGGAGTTTGGATGAAAACCTTGAGGAACTTGTTCGCGTTTGGCCGGTCCGGGACCGATGCGATCGGAGAATGACACGGGAGTGGGCTACATTGAAGACATCGCTTGAAATCAGTGGCAGTCATATATTTCTTTGGAAGACCTAAGCATGTTCCTGCGCGTCAATCATATCCAGAAATTCTAATTTCCCTGCCTTAAATTCACCACGACTGTGACTCTTCTGCCCGCCCTGTCGCCCTACAACACGACTCATACCCACTTGGATACCCCGCAAACGATCGCACGACCCCACGTATGTCATCAAGGTCATCGTCTAAGGAGTCCCAGCCATTGCTCCGTGACCATGATCAGCAGTCTTCTTATAACTCTGTGCAGGTCTCAGAGTCCAGCTTGCCGGTTGACCCGCCGCCGCTAAATCAAGTCTCTCGTGTCGAACTTTTTTGGATCCTTTCAGGTCTTTGGAGTGCAGTCTTTCTTGGTTCTTTGGATGGTGCGTTCTAGCTTGCTGGCAGTGAGAAGAATGCAACAAACCCCAGACTTCTGTCAATAGGTACAATTGTGGCAACGCTTCTCTCACCAATAGGAAGCTACTTCAATAAATCTGAACAGTCTTCGTACCTGGGGACATCATACTTGCTTTCAGTATGCTGTTTTACCCCTCTATACGGTGGGGCAACAAAATTATCGTACTATCATGCATGTCCATTTTAACTCCTATCAGGCCGACTATCAGACATCTTAGGTCGCAAGGGAGCCATGCTCCTCGGACTATCTCTATTTGGTGCGGACAGCGAAGCCGATAGCCATTTCATCCTTCTAATATGAAATTTAGGATCGGGTACTATTGCATGCGCATTCGCTCCCTCAATGGAGGCCTTGATTGTTGCGCGCGCCATCGCAGGAATGGGCGGCGGAGGGTGCGTGCAACGAATTGATTTTGCAAGGCTCACTGTGCTGAAATTTGTTTCAGAGTAATGACGGGTATGTTGGGCGCTGTAATATCAATCGCCAGGGAAACTTTACCTTGTTGCAGTCAGCAGTATCGCCATCAGCGATCTAGTACCCTTGTAAGTTTGCGTTTCATAGAGTAACGATATAGATCATTATTATCACTATTAGGAAACAGCGTGGCCTATACCAAGGAATGACTAACATGTAAGTAGCTACGGATTTGTTCACTGAGCTTGAACGAACATGCTCGAACAGTTTGTTTGGTCTGGGCGCTGGCCTCGGCGGTCCATTTGGAGGATGGGTGAATGACACCCTGGGTTGGTTAGTAGCCGGTTGTAATGTCTCTATTCCGCCTACTGAATGATTTCAACAGGCGGGCAGCATTTTTATTGCAGGTCGGTGGCCTGGTATCTTTCTGTCTCGTCCTGGCCTCACTCGAACTCAGGCGCCGTTGTTGTTTGCATCTTTTACTTTGGTCGCACTCAAGGTCAACATAAAGTTACCCGACGAGATTGAGACCCAAAGCACATATTCCAAATTGCAGCGCATTGATTTCATGGGATCATTCACGTTAGTTGGTGCGGTCGCCGGATTATTGCTCGGCTTCAGTCTTAAGACTACTGAGGAGCTTCCGTGGTCACACCCCCTAATATTGGGGCTTTTCTGTGCCAGCGCGGTTTTCTGGGTCTCCTTCATTTTAGTGGAGGCTTACTGGGCGCCGTACCCTGTAATGCCCCTGCGCTTAATTACGCAACGCACCCCATTAGCGATATCTCTGGCCAACTTTTTAGCTTCTATGACTGCTTTCTCGACGGTAAGGGCTAAAAACTTCACATGATGCCACTTAATTAAAGCGGCATCTTGTCCAGATATACAATGTCCCTTTGTATTTCTCAGCCGTTAGGCTCAACTCATCCACGAATGCCGGTATGCTCGGGACTATTTCTGTTTGCACCCGCTAAGTAATACATTCCCTTTAGGTTTACATTTGCTTCCTCATTCTGTGCGGATCTCTTGGTACATTGTGACGGGAAATACTTACCTTCTTACAGATTGCTCTATCCACAGGCAGTATGATCGCAGGCTGGTGAGATCCTGATGATCATCCATTATTCTGACTAATTTACCGTCGTAATTGTAGGATGATGCGGCGAACAGGCAAACTGTATCACTTGACGTTAGCCTCTGTTGGCTTGACCATTATCGCCAGTATTTGTCTCGCTCTGTGGGATGATAATACATCACAATACCATCTATGGTTAGATATTGTCCCACAGGGTTTTGGAATGGCCAGCTTGATCACTACTACGCTAATTGTCAGTATTTTCCTTCCCCCCATTCATAAACCGACCTGGTCCCGAATTTGCAGGCAATGATCGCAGGCGTTTACAAGGAAGACATGGCGGTTGCAACGGGTAGTAAGTGCTATTCGATTACCCTGAGAGGACCTCTGAACTCAGGATGTGTAAATTACAGTCACATATCTTTTCCGAACAACTGGACAAGTTCTCGGTGTTAGTTTATCAGGGGCTGTGCTCCAGAGCGTTCTGCTCAGAAAATTGCGCCAGCGAATTACTGGAGCTGGTTCATTAGAGGTAAGCGGCGTTGGTGTGCACATATACCGTCCGCATTTCATATGAATTCCCTTTGCCCAGATCATCGAGGAGATACGGTATGATGTCCGATGACAATGCGGTGTATACACTTACAGATGCTGTGTTCAGACACTCGATAAGCTCGATCCCTAACCTTGCGCCTGCATACAGAACAGTTGCAGTCGAGTCGTACGCCGATGCACTCCATGTTGTTTTCATCTGTCATATTGCGATCAATATTCTCGTTTTCATTGCATGCGTGCCCATCGAGGAGCACCCCCTGCCGTACGTGATTGTCACGTCCGATCGTGCCCTGCCAATGCTAACCTGTGCCGACATTTCTAGAGGAACACTTCAGGAGCAAGAAGAACATTATAGGAACCAACAACTTGCGCCAAATGACACTGCTTCAGCAGTGGACTCACCTTAGACATTCATTTGACTGACCAATCATTTGCGTCATATGTAATTATCCCTCAAATAACTCCAGCGACACCCAAGTACGTTGGTACGACATTATGTACTCATTATCGGACACCCCCGAGCCATCTACCCCCGCGCAGCCTTCATATATACCTCATCACTCTGAGACGTGTAGTAGTAGTAGACGGTAGTTATGTACACTGTATACTGTACTGGGCAATGTGGAACAACTGTCTGAACTTCTACGTCGGGCCTCCTCGTCCGCAATGATGGCTTAAGCTGGCGTGTCCTCCGAAGAGGACCTCTCCTGTATCCACCTCCGCGGCATCTTCTCCACCACTGGCGCAGGCCTCTTTCTCCCTGCTTTCCCCTCCGTATCTGCGTATCGGCTCCGGTCAGGTCGCACGGGACATGGTAGCACGTTGGATGCGGAAACCGTCAACACAGACGCAAAAAATGTGAGACCGAACAGAGTTGAAACAAATGTGCGGCGTTGTTGGTATGTTAAACGAAAACTGTTAGAGATGGGCATTCTACAACTTTTCGTGCAACCTATTTCAGTGGACAAGATCAAAAAGTGGACAGATGGTTTACGCACCGACACTCTGCCCATCCTCTCGAGTAATACTTGTTTGCGTCCAAGGTGGTTCGACGCTAACTTTTGAGCGTTGTGCCGGATGTCGCCGACGATGCTAAAGGGGCGATGTTTGCACTTGTTTTCTATCAGCCTTTAACCACCTTCCAGTCAAAATTCTATACTAGTCAACATGCCTAACGCTCGCGTACTCCGAGACATCAAGGCCCGCAACATCGTAAAGGCTAATGAGGTTCTCCGCAGGGCTTACCTGTATGTCGCGCGGAATGAGACCCTGTCCCCGCAAGTGCGACACCAAGCCCAGCTACAGCTGAACACATTTGGGAAGTACACACGTCCGACGACGGTGAAGAACCGTTGCGCAGAATCTGGACGTGGTCGGGGGATTATCAGCGAGTTTGCACTTTGCCGAGTATGTGACCTGCCTGGATTTTCTTGAACGCGTCCTCATCTTGTAAATTTGACAGTACCAGTTCCGACTGAAGGCGCTCAAGTTGGAACTGCCTGGCGTGCGCAAAGCTTCTTGGTAGATGGAGGTTACGTGTGCATAAGAGTTTATGATCTGGTGAGCTTGCGCGTGTTTAATCAGCAAGCTATGGAGTGCTCATCATGCTTGGTGCAGTATGTACTGGTCTCCCAGCCAGACCTTGGGATGTGCTCGTTACTACGTGACCTCTTTTGCAGATATCCTTCTGTCCGGACGTAGTTCGTAGTATATATATATTACCGCACGAAGTCTGCGCACGTACAATTATATACAATAATAAGTTTACAAGGCTTTGGCTTGAAACCACATCAGTCTTACGACGGGGGAGAATCCACTTGAGCACCAATATCAGACAGCAACAAATCGGGTTCGCCGCGCTCGCGCCTCCAGCGATTACACACATTCAAGGTTACCTTATCGACGAGGTAACTAGAGGAGAATAAGCTTACAATATGGGCATTGCACAGCTTGCAAGGCGCACCTGTATTTCCGTAACCACCACTCAGCAAGTTCCCAGTTATGTTGGGCAAGAACATCATCTCCATGAAGTTTGATTGCCTTCTTGTAGTCAAAAAGACAGTCCGCTAACGAAATTTGTCCTGAAAAATATCAGAATATCACCGCGCTCTAAAATGGCTATGCGACTACCTCGAAGAAGGATGATACGGTCTCGGAGCTCAGGATATATAAGACGGTCAATGACACTTTCTGCAAAAGAATCAATACATGTCAAAAAGAAGGCAAAACAAATATACCATGATTAATCGTTCTTGACGATGTCTAGTGAGCATGTGACCATCAAACTTGGGAGACCCGCGCTCACCTCTGCACCAGAGTTGGTCGTAATGAAGGTGGAAGACAATAAGCACTATTTCTCATGAAATTGTCGAGGTGATATCTAAAGGGGTACTCAGACATGAGATACGGCAGGAATGAATAAAAAGAACTGACTTGATTAATTTCATAGCCTCGATCTTTTTGGGATCTCGCAGTTCTGCCATATCGTGATCGTCAGGCTCTTCAGTTGACGACTTCTGAGGTAGAACCCGCTGCGGAAGAGGGACAGCCGTATTCGTTTTGTTCGTGGAGTAGGACATTGCCCCTAAACGTTGCTCGACATTCATGTTCATTTGGGATACATAAGGTTGAAAATCAGAGGCAGCATAATGACTCGGTGTACTAGACGTCGTAGTGGGCATGAAGACAGGCGAATTCCCTGACTGCATGAGATCCGAAAACATATTGTCCTGAGGAGAGCGTCCTGTGGGGGTGGTGGAGGATATAAGGAGCTAGCAGGAGGCACCGCGGAGCTCATGGGTAGCATGAGTGGGTAAGAATCCCGACGGTCACCGTTTTGCTCTGAGTTACTCATACCTCTCGCTTTCTTCGCCAGTCCAGGCCCACTGTCATCGTCTGATGGGCGCTTCCTGTGTTATTCGGCGCGCCAAGCATTGAACTCATGGCATTTGATGTTTGCGAAGTCTTGAGAGAATGTTTTCGGGCTTGGAAACTCTCCCATGCAGTGTCCGTTTCTGCCTTATTGACGAAGCTGTCGAAGTCTGCCATATCCCAACCAAGCTTCACTAGCATACCACCGGCACCATCACCGATAAATCCCGATACGCTCTTTAGGAGGCCGCGAAGAACGTGATTTTCGGTCATAAGGTCTGTAAAATATAGACTACGGTAAGCGAGACTGAGACAAACAGATATAATTACATACCCCTAAGAATTGCTCTGCAGTCAGTCAGAGCTTCATCTTGGGACGCAGAAAGCAATTCAACGCGTGCTTCGAGGTCACGAATCTGATAGTTGGAAAGTGCGAACTTAGTATGACAACGGCGGGAGTGATTACGAACCGGCGCACCCTTTGCTGCTTCCTTAAGCGAAACTCACGCTGGGCGATACGATTTTGGTCCCGACGCGCTGCCTGCGAGCTTCTCAGTGGTTAATGAGTGCTTACTACAGCTAGTCTGAAATAGACAAACTTTGGATTTTTTTTCCTGCCAGGTTTATTCGGCTCCCCTGCCCCAAGTTCATCACCGTGATCGAGATGGGACTCGATATCAGAGTCCTGTAGAATAATTAAGGCCGATGAACTCAATGATGAAAAGGAGCATACTGGATCAAGTTCTCCGGACACACTACGAGGTGTATCATCAGGCATTTTGTGGAAATGAAGTTGGTCAAAAGTAAGTACTAATTGTATGGCAGTGCAACAATATTTGCAAGACCTGCGTAGTCAGCGTCGGCAGTGAGTTGAATGCTGCGATGCCGACTCCAACGACCGGCTAACTTCAATAGCCGAGCCGCTTGACATAATCATCCGTGTCCGACGCCCGGCACTAGTCCAATCATGTGCTCATGTCGCTCTGGCACTTTTAACCAACTTGGGTCGGTTGGTTGCAGGCCTTCAAGCGACCTAACTAGTCCTGGTCAGCGTTTGGAACCGCACATTTTATTGCATTTATCTCTCTCAAACATCAGCCCTTTCCGTACCAACTTAGCATACTGACTTTGTTGTTACTTTGCATCCACACAGTACTTGCTCCCATATGCACTCGGGTTGCACTCTGGTCTCCTTGCTGCATTTTATACCGAGCAATGCGAGGTGTGAAACATGTGTGAGTGGTTATATGACAATCGTATTCAACTCATCGTGTATGGCTCGGCAAAATCGATCTTGATACAGCTGATGGCCACAGTTTTCTCAACATTACCTCAGTTTTGTACACCATCGATAAATTACGTCGGCAAACACCAGCCTCGAGGCAATCTCCACCAACCTCTGCCCCCTTAAATCACGCTATCCCCACCCAGTCAGCGTCAGAACCTTCCGCTTTGACACATTCACACAGCTCCGACAAAATGAGGGTTTAATCTCAGCAAATTCCGCGCTTGCTGGCCTGTGACCTTGTCCTCTTATCGTCATCTTCCAGTGTTTTGCTCACTGGATCGCCATGTTCTCATGATGACCCTTAACATTGATATCAGGGCGTCAGTCACATTTCATTCATGACAAAACATCCGAGCTGCCTGCATCATGTCTTATCGTTCGGGCCGTTTTGCCTTCAGGCTTCAGATCCAAAATACATGGGACCATCCCTATACTATCAGCTAATGTACTTGGTCAAGTTCAGATTAAATGTGTGTACAAATCCACCATCTTCCCGTTTACCCTGACTGATGCGGCTGTTCGCCGCAGGGTGTACGAATTCGGAATCTAATCGGCTTTTGGTCCTGCTTGTGTCCATGAAAATCGAATTGACGTGACACGTGGTATGCAGGGTGTCGTCGGTGATCATACTTCTCACTACCTTGGTATGTGGTGTTTCTTTTGGTTCGACTAACTCGGCGACTCTTTTATTCGCATCCGCACGCCACACGTCAACAATCTCGCTCCAACTAGACGAGGGTGAGGGAGTTTTTTGGTGCTTTACCTGGGGTAGACCGTCGGTGATAATAATGCCTGACTCCGCTCGTCGTGGTGCTCGATATTGCATATTGGCTCATCCCAAGTAAAGGTTGATAGGCACCTGAAATTAGAAAGTATTTTGACCTGCAACAGCAGTTGTCGCAATTTCTCGAGATTCAGCAAACCATTGCAGTCGAGATCCCTCTGCATATTACTTACACGCTTCAGGGACATTACCTCATCTTTAGCAATCGCTTATCGTCTCCATGGCTTTGCCATGGCTCATTGTCGCTCGCCCGCGCACCGACTCAATGGCTCTTAATGGAATGCGTCATAGTACTGATAGATGTGACCTCAGCTCCCAACCACATATTCGGTCGGATCAACAGTTACTTTCCGCGCAAACTCAAAGCGAGATTCATTACTGCAGTCATTTAATAACTTCTTGGCCTTTAAATCTTATAATCATGTAAACCAGTCTCGCGACTTGTATTAGCATTCCTTCTTTCAAACTTCAAACTCAAACTCCACAAAGAATCCACAGCCACTATGACCGCTGAAACCGACATGGTCTTCCGCTTTGTCAATTCTACCGATGCCGACGCCGACACACGGACATTTCGAGTGTATCAAGTGATAGGAACAGCAGCACCCGAGGAATTGGAATTATACAAGGTACGTCCAGCTCACTCTACTAAAATCCGTGATTTTGACTGCCCTCGCAGTTTTCACATTCGATGACCGGTTCTTCTGGCGGAACCACAACTTATCAGCGAAAAAATATGAACAGTTTGACCTTTGAGACTGTTGGACAAATCAGTTGGAGCTCGAACACTATTGCTTCCGTGGTGTATTTTGGTTTAGAGGAGGTGAGATTTATGACGTTGATAACCCCGACGCACTCTGTTGAGTTGGTTACCAGATTTCTGTTAAAGATCTCCGCAAGGTCAAAAATGCGACTAGCCAGTGGAGTATTTTGCCTGAGATCATATATCCGTCGCTGATTCATTTCATGGATTCTAGTTCACGCAGATTTAAATCCGGTGTCGGTGCGGGGTATAAGTGGAAGATATCAGAGAATAGGACCGACTTATATGTACGTGACACTGAGGTTGGAACATGCGTCTCCTAATGTGCCCCTACAAAAACAGTGTATCGATTCACAAGACAAATACATTGCATCGTGGTCGAATCACGAGAAGATACTAAGAGTGACTCCACGCGCTAGCGCAATGTTAGATCGGCTGGTGGTTACTTGTTTCCTGAATGTGTGGTTCAAGCGACTCGGGCGGTGGTAACGAGGTCGTCAACGTCAGATGTCTATCCTTATACTGTATAGTAATCAACTTAATCGCAACATCTGTAATCCGTGTTTAACGTGCGAGTACACTGAAATAGCATCATCACTACTCACCTTTAACAATCGTTTCGCAACCGGGAAACACTATCGGGCTTCAAACTGAACCACTAATGGACAAAGGTCAACAGTTGCATGGTTTCTAGTTTCAAGAGCGACAGTTACGCACTTCGCTTGGTCCGTTTCTTGTACATGATGCGATGACCACACTCACGACAACGTATGGGTTCCCTAGACTTTATTTCATTCTTGGCGCCGCAATCTTTTCCAAGTTTGATTAGATTGTTTGTAAAGTGATGCTCACAGGCGGTCATGAGTACCTGCGCAAATGTATTCCATATCCTGCCGCGGTGGAGGTATGAAGCCACCCCCTCCAGGATTCGTAGTTTGTTGTCCTGGCTGGTTCATCGCAGATGTGAACGAAAAAGCTATGGTCGAAGCGCGTGACTCTCGCGTGATGTGTGATACACACGTGAGTCACGTTACGGGCGCGCGGTACTAGACTCTTTGCTGCATAGAGACGCTATAGAGACTCGGCGATCGGAGTGTCCACCGTTGTGATAAAAAGATTCCTGTTTGAAGTTTTGGCCTGACTGATGGAAACAGCGTTGCAGCGTGGAGACTGTCACCCTGCAATCAGTTATAGTACCTGCTCGGTTCGAAGTTCCGCGCAGCTTGAAGGTTCTGTCGTAATTGTTATCCTTGTGCACTGCCAGCTCCTTGTAAAATGGTTCGAAGCTCGTTCATTGTTCGCGGAACAATGAGGATTGGTATTTGACATGTGCTATGTACTGTGCAAGTGATTGCAGTATTAGTGTTTTCCAATAAAGCAGTGTGACCAGCTCAATAGCGCCCACACCCTTATTCTCGATCTCCTTGCCGACCGGGCTGGAACCCTATTGATAGTGCAAACCTTCGAGAAAAATAAAGTCACAAGTGGAACTCCTGACTTTCGTAGGTGGCGACCGTCCTTCATGACAACCGTGGGCCGTATCCAAGGCGTCAAAACATCTTTATAACTATGGCCATCTTACTTTATTGCCCATCGAAGACTATTCCCCCGACGAAGCACTACTACGTCTGAGATCGCCGTGTGCTTATGGCCGCTCTCCCTTCTTTCATTGAACTCATGGCTTCTCTAGGCATAGATGATGCTAAGCCAGAAACCCCAAGTATAGTCAAGACTCGAGATCGTTCTTCTTCATGTTCTTCCTGTTCTTCATTGGGGAGCTCTGCTGACGGTTGGAGCCCCATCCGTTGTGCTCGTGACATTGACTCAGATAGGCGTCCAAGCGCCTCTCGTCGAGTCAGAGCAGTAAGATATTCACCGTACATTTCAGCTAGTGTGAGTGTTTTCCTTCACCGCGATCTGTTCATCGTCTCATTTTTTCTCGTTCCTGCCAAGTCTACTGCTAGACAAAGCAGTGCTGTGTCGTTGACGCACAGCCAGAGTGATCAAGAAGATTCTAGCAGGGTAAGAGCATCGGCTTTCCCCCCTCAGTTCATTTCTTTCTTACCATAAAACAGTCTTCATCACCAAATCCTCCTTCGTCTCCTCGGCATACACGACGGCCTTCACCTCTTCATTTCTCCAAGAGAGAAAGGCCATCCATCACTCCTATTTCATCATACGTTCGTCGCAAGACACCGCAAAACTCGCCTGTCGCCCTTACTTTCGCTCAACGGGAGTACGTCGAGAGACCAGAAGTTATCACTCCACCATCATTGATGCCGATGTCATTGCCCACTATTCCCCCAATCCCCCGTTAGTTTCTGTTTGGATCAATCAATGGACATCTCCACTTCTATTCCGCGGTCTGATGATGGTACAGCTTGTGTACGATGTAGTTGCCGCGTATCCCAAGGGAGGACTTATGGACCTTTTAATTCTCACATACACGCATACACAGCTTTCCTTTGCATCTCATCTCAGTTCACTCGTTTCCTTCTCATAGTTGTCATAACTTCGCTCTTTGCTTGTGAAACTTTCGGACTCTTGACTAGTGCATTTTGATCTTCGTAGGGAAATGTGTAGGTTTAGATGAATCATATGATTGACGTTGGCTATGGAGGGAATAACCTTCCCCGCACTAGATATCTAGTCGTGATCATCTTCTTCAGGCCCAGGGCAATTCCGTTCCAAGTCAATAGCATCGTCATACTGCGTCCCGCACCAGAAACAGTATGAGTATTCTCCCGGAGATATTCAAGAAGGAGCTTTAAGCGGTCCCGCGGCTGCAAAATATTTAGAATCAGGCACACGTCAAAGTATAAGGATTCCATTAAAAGTCTACTCACACCCAGCCGTAAGAAGTAAACCGCTTCCTCGATGACTTCTTGCGGGAATTGTTCCACTGTTGTGGGTGTTTCGCTGTCGTCGGCATCTTCATCTTCATCCAATAAAGTAACCGGTAACAGGGCATCGGCTGCCATTTGAGCGCGTAGGCGTGCCGCATGGGAGGCGTCCCCTGAGGCGGAGCGCAACGGGGATACATGCAGTGTATGGGTTGATAGCACATCCATAAGACCCTTCGGGATAGAATCAGGGTTGCTAGGATCCAAACAGAGGACGTTGAACTATCGCGCAGAGCAGTAAATTTAGTATCCCCGCATGCTTATCTGAATGAAACGCACTGTAATGTCCGCCTTCTCGTCCAGTGTGAGACATGTCTGTCGTGCAGAGGAAAGGCGTCCTTCTGCTCGCCGTTCTTCGTATTCGCGGCGGGCACGGTCTCGGAAGCTCTCGTGATTGGCCGCTTCCGCCATCTTCGCCATTTTTGCGAGGCGATCTGCGGCACTGGGTGACCGAGCGCGCTTCCCTAGACCAATACCTTGCTTCCCTGCAATGATAAGCTATCAAGTCAGTTATTTTCCTTCCATATGCAGGGTTTCGGTGCGGACTTGCCTCGCCATTCATTGAGGGGCAATGGTTCAACCTTGTGTCGAAAATTTCCTTTCAAATCCTCTCCAAGATCCGCAGACTCCGACTGAGCCCTGGACGTACCCTGCTCAGACTCGTCCTCGGACAGACTAGGACCAGGGTAAGGGAACTGCGGTCTTTGGAGGGCTATCCTCGGTCTTTCCCAACGATTGCCCAACCTTGAACCCCATTTTCATCATGATGCCCAGTGCCTTGCTTCCACCTACGGCCTTCTCTTCCTCCTGTGCGTGCTCAAACAGGCTCTTGCTAAGCCCCTCTTCCCTGGACTCTTGCTCCCTCTGCCGCCGACTCTTCATTCGGTTCTGCTCATTCTTGACTCGAGACTGCTTCAGCGCCTCTTGGCGTCTCTGAGCATACGTTTTCGGCGCAGATTCGGCTGCAACCTGCACAAGAAACTTGTCCAAGAGGTAATCATCCTCATCGGCCATGGATTAACTTCCTTGGTCAGGGTTGACAAATATGCCACAATTACTTACGCACACGTCCATTTTGAGCATATGGGGATCATTGGCATCAATGCAATAGCCATGGAAAAACTTCCGTAATCTTAGTAGACATCGCAAAAATTGACTGCAGCTGCAAGCGATTCTACAAAGTTCGATGAAAGAAGGACACCAAATCGCCAGAATTAAAGCACGACTTGACTGGTAAACATACGCGAAAAACCATAGCGCAAGCGAGATGAACAACACGAAGTCACGATGAACTTGCACCGGAAATTGAACATGCGTTAAGTTAAGGTAAAGTCAACGGGATATGGGACCGGAGTCACGTATATGTATGATGATCAGGCGGCGTACTCGGCTTCGTCTGCCAATTCATAGCGGGCAGAGTTGACAGCGATCTTGACAGCGATTGCACGGCCGCCAACTTCCTTGCCTTGAACAGCCTCAATCGCTTTCGCCTGTTCCTCCTCAGTGCCGACATCGACAAAGCCGTAACCTTTGCTCCTCCTGGGTGTTCCCCACCGGCGACGAACCACGCGAGCAGAAACGACATTGACACCAGCTTCAGTAAAGAGCGCAGAGAGGGTGTCATCGTCTACGCTGAAGCCAAGGTTGGCGACGAACAGGGTAGTCTTGGAGGGCTCGCCAATGGGGTCCTCACCGGCAGCGCGGGGTGGGCGAGGAGCCCTGGGCCTCCTGACGCGAGGTTTCCTGGGTGCAGGTACGGCAACGTCAGGAGCATCTTCTGCAGCAGGGGCAGCCTCCTCGTGTAAGAATTCACCTTCCAGAGGAGCAGCCCTACGCCTGGACTTGCGCTACAAGCGAAATGAATTTTGATAAATCACTGCGTGTCAATTACATACGTTGTTCTTTTTCTTTTTTCTCTTGGGCTTAGCTGCTTCGTCAGTGCCCAAAGCAGCAGTAGAGGTAGCGGCATCCTCCGCCTTGACTTCGCCATTTGCCTCAGCGTCGGTGACTTCACCAGGAACGGCCTTGGCACCGCGCCTGTTGGGTCTCCTCTTGGCCCTCTTCTCCTTCTTTTCTTTGTCCTTTTGGTCGGCTGGCTTGGCAATCTCGACGATTACCTTGCGGCCATCGAGCTCTCCTAGATTGAGGAGGTCAACAGCTCTTTGAGCAGCCTCTGCGCTGGACATTGCGACAAAGCCATAACCTGCTGATCTGGGACCCCGCAAGATGACCTGAGCTGTGATACTGTAAAGCGAAAAGAAGTTAGATTTGAGGGATTAAAAGCTGTGCAGGAACTTACATGTCGCTCTGTACGGGGGCAAAGAAAGTCTTGAGCCCTTCATCCGTTGTAGAGTACGCAAGATTGCCAGCGAAGACCTATGAGTTATTATAGGAATGTGAGGATTTTTGAGAAGAAATAGAAAAGGATATAGATACTTTGAATGGGGGAGCTTCTTCGATGACATACTCTTGCGCAGCCGGAGGCACGCCATTCTCTGTAACCTGGGCGGCTTGGGCGTCGGACATTTTTTGAGGGATTGGACGATTGGGATGAAGGGTGAGCGCAGTGATGAACTATATGATGAACCGGTTTCAAAAGTTGACAGTTGAAGAAAAAGAAACCGTTTGAGCGATTTTAGACGCTGCCCTTTTTAAATCATTACAAACACGTTTCACAAATGATTATAACTTGGCGCCAACCTCATGTTTTAGCCTCGAGGTGCTGTTCGGTTCAATATACATAATATCTTACTAGTGTCTAACGTATTACGATAGTCTACCCATATACTATGATCGACCTCGTCGTTGAACACGACGAGCTAATACTACGACGGTGATGAATGTCATGGCAATTGAAGGTCGCCGTGCGATTGCTTACATAATTCAATCGATAAAATGTGTGATCTTTTTTTCCGTTTCTTCGCCGTCCATTGTTCATTCATTCAACACGTCGAGCTTACGGCTCTACCTCACTCATTTTAGACCACTCTCTCTCAATTTCCGTGACCATACCTTTATATATAAACTATCCGTCTTAAAGACGATTCCCCCAGTCTGTGTCCCCAACAACGACTAGAAAAAATGGCTGCTCTCAAATTATTCAATATCCTTGTCCTGGCTTCAGTTGCTCTTCTTGCACTCGAATCTGGTCCTACGTCTGTCAATGCCCTGGCTACAGATCGTTCTCATGTCGCTCGTTATGCTCGTGGTCATGAGGCCGTAGCAATAGCAAAGAAGCGTGACACTTCCTCTGGTAGCTGCAAGCCTAAGCCAACAAATGGTACCACCACTACGGCAAGCACTCCCACTCCCACTCCGTCTTGGTCTTCGTCAGTCTGCAGCCACTTCTCCTTACAACTCGGCATCCTCGAGCTCAAGTTCTTCTACCTACGTTTCCCTGACCCCCACCACCCCTACCCCCACTCCAACTCCAACTCCCACCCCTGCCCCCACTAGCAGTTCAAGTGGCAAGAAGTGGGGTTTGGCCTGGCCTAACGGCGATGCTGACTACCTATCCACCTTCGCCGCCCGTCCCAATGTTGGCTAGTACGCACTTGAAAATTTTCTTTCATCATTTTGTCTAATCGTAAATAATATAGCCTCTACACTTGGAGCCCTTACTTGCCCACCGACCTCTACGGCCTCAAAGGTATTCCCATGTTGTGGGGTTATGATCAGGTTTCCGACTTTCAAAGCTTGGTTGTCGCTGGTTATGCCAACTACGTTCTCGGCATGAATGAGTGTGTCCTACAGACCTATATTTAACTCATTTTGATGGTCCTGATTTTCCAGGCCCAACGAACCCAGCCAGTCCAACATGAGCCCCTCGGATGGTGTTGCGCTCTGGCAGCAATATATCAACCCGTTGAAAGATGAAGGCTACTACCTCGTCTCCCCTGCTTGCACCAATGATCAGACCGGTCTCGACTGGATGGCCAGTTTCTTCCAAGAATGCTCCGGTTGCCACGTTGGTCTAAATCCATCATAATTTTATACGCCTCCTGATTTTTTGCAATTAGGTTGATGCCGTTGCCTTCCACTTCTACGGGACTGACGCTCAAGATTTCATTTCTTATGCCACTCAGCTGTACAACACCTACAAGTTGCCCATCTGGGTTACCGAGTTTGCTGACCAGGTAATTAGTCTACACCATTACATCAAGTCTCGTTAGTTGACATCCTTGAAGAGCTTTAGCGGCGGTGCACAGGCCACCCAGGATGAAGTTTATGCTTTTGCTAGCACCGTCGCCAACTTTGTTGACAGCACTTCCTGGTTTGAAGTTGCCTTCCCCTTCGGTACGACTGATCTTCATTTCCGTGCTGCATTTGCTGATTTCTCGCACGCCAGGCGTTATGAGTGACCTTCAAGGTGTCAACACCGCCAATTCTCTCCTTTCCAGCGATGACACCCCCACTTCTCTTGCCTACGACTACTTTGGCTAAGGTATTTTAGTCCTGATCATGACTAATACATAGCCCGCGGGGTTCGGGCTTGTAGCCCTATATTCCCGATTTTGATACCCTCATCTCATGTGCCACTCGGATTCGCTTCATTCTACTTATCGTTTATCTCACTGTTACCCTGGTCTGGTTGCAAGCTCGTTGTAGTGTACTGGTTTCGTATGTCGCCGTGCGACGCAATCGACTGAACAGGTCGTGCATTTGTTGAACAAATGCAGACTTTATTTCCGCAATTAGATATACTGTTTTTTTGTACGTGCAAATTACTGAGCGAGCCTCAGTGACGTTCTTCAATGAGCTTGGCTGCACATGTAGGAGTACCAATGTTAACTCTAGCTGGTTGCTATGTACATCTCCGGAGCACTACGGTCACGATCAATTTAGACTGTTCTGCAAAAGGAAACAGCGATCAATTTCGAGTTTCACTCTCAGTGAGTGAACGCGGTGAGCGTACACGTGTTTCCAGCGACGGGATCCCGTATACGGGGCACCGTAAAAGGGTCAGCAGGTCGGACTTGTAAGTCCGACGTCGCGTATATAGTCCTCTTGCCCGAACAACGCGACCGTAGAAGAGTATACGACATGGTCAAACATTTACCGCCTGCAGTTAAGCACCTTTTGGCGCTCCGTAACCCAGAAGCTTGGCCAAGTCCTTCCCTTGGAAAACTTCATAGCGTGTTCAACCGTACCCTGAACGAGGCAAAACACCGAAACGCTGAAAACGGATGGCTCGTCCTCTCGGTACGTATGCCCCTTGCGAAATTGCTCTTCTAGCCCCATTCAAGCGGAGATAACAGACATGCACACTCCTTACTACCAACAGACCGTCTTCTCTTGGCCACTTGTATCGGTTCGTTACCAGGAGTGATCCAAACTTGCTTGAATCGCGAAAAAGCCTTGCGGAGGTCGTGTACAAAGCTGCCCTCATGCGGGAAGCTGCACTAAAGAGCGTCATCTTCGTTGGCGTACCTCGGGTGAGTGCACTTGCATGAGATTCAGAAGCTTGATGACCCTCGGATACTTGCGCCGCCGAGGTCAGGTGACTCAACGTAATTTCAGACGATTCTCTCCTTGACGGGGCTAAAGGACGCGCTCGAAGAAGACGTCTACGCCGCGTTACGGAAAAACTCCATCAGGTACGTAGTGTCTGAACACGAGGCATTGTCCCAACGTTATATCTTTTTTTTGCAAATTTTCTTCAGGGAAGCAACTCCGCAGACCATCGAAGCGACCGTCGCAAGGGGCCAAGCGCTGTGGAATTCGATCTACCAGCCTCATGCGGTAAAGCTGTATAATAAGTTAGGGGACCTTCATCCTGATTTCATCAGTGCGTTCTTGATTTTATTTACCCCATGTATCAACCTCGGTGTAATAGCGCCTTGAGTTCTATTTTTGCTACACATATTACATGCGAGTCTGATTCACTTTCACAGAGTTTATCATTCAGGCCTACGGTACAGTCTTGGCCCCCTTACCGCGAGGGGACTTGGAGCAAGGAAACCTCACCCGTGCTCTTGGATCAGTAGTCGGCATCGCTACTCTCCGTGCCGAGAGCAGAGTCGGACCTCAGCTAATCAGCCACGTTTTCGGTCTTCTCAAAGCCCGCAATGAAGAGAACTTGAACGACGAAGACAAGTATCTATCAAGCGACGAAGGCACCGAATGGGTTGTACGTACGATAGATGAGATTGTCGACGCCGTAACATCAGAAGAGGCGTCCCTGGCAAAGGGGAAATTGTAGATACGATACGTAGGCGTCATTTGGACTCAGATTGCATGAAATCAAATGACGGTTTGATTATGGCGCCTTAGCGCAGTGATTGTGGGCGATTGGTAGCACAATGAGGTATGCTTGCATCGTGCACTTACACGTGAGTACCAGAAACGCGTGTTATCGATCATCGAAAGATGCCAATGTCGCTGTTGATACTGCGCCCCCGGCTCGTTCGGATGCAAATTTTCTCGTATGAAATGGATAGCATTACATGTATGGAAGAGTTCGACAATGATACGTACAAAGGGAATATGGGCCAATTTACAGTGTGAATAAGATTGCTAACATGCGTTAAAAATGACATCAAAGACCAAATGCCTGGCAAAATCGGTATAACATGGCGGTCACGGTGACCGTGTCCATGATTGGGGGATGCATCTGAAATGGGGAAAAATAAAATTGAACCCTCGCGTAGCGAGTAGGGCAACAAGTACTCACGATAGTAGCTGCCCCGGCATTTCGCAGAAAGTGGAGCTCACCATAGACATCCCCAATTTGATAACGCGTTGGTCGTGTAGGCCGGAAGACTGCAACGATATTTCCAGCGGAATCTTCCAGCTGCGGAAGCAATAACCAGCTTTAAGTTTGCTTCCGGAGGACAAGATGTAAGTACTCACTACGACATCAGCGGAACCGGGGGTCTGCCGCCAGCGGTATGTTAGACCATCGGGTGCGTTGAATATGCGTGCACCCTATGGATAGTGTAAGCGATATCGCAATCAAACATTTGATGCAACTGACCGGGTAGCGTGGATCCGGGCGAACCAAGTCGGACATCGGAACTGTATTCTGAGGGAACGCGGTCAGAACAATGGGATCCAAGGACGCCATGAGTTTTATTGTACCTTGCCGATCACTGCACGGCCGAGGCCGCCATTCGATGCCCATTCCAATTTTGCGACGCGGTCTTCCTTGTTAGCCCGTACCGCTCGCCAGAGGGTAGTAGTACTCTGCCCACTAGGGGCTACTACAGTCTAAGGGTGTCGATCAGGGTCCATTTTGACCTATGAGCGTTGCGGAGCTGCATACCGCAAAACGATAGACAACACCCCAGGCGTTAAAGAGTTGGCTCTCTCGCGGATCCTGGCTGGTCCACGAAAGTACTTCGTTTGATGGTGCTGCCATAGCGTAAACAAAGGAAGAGGGCTGTCGAAGTGTGCGAGAGTAGGTGTTGGTTTTTGCCAAGTGTTGGGGAGTCCGACGCTGAAAACCCGGTCTTTTATATTGTGGAATAGCTTGATAACATCCGCATACCCCTCTTATTTTTCACCTGATCGCGAATATTCATCGACAACGTGGACTTGTGACAGATAAAGATGAGGACACAACAAACGTGTAGACGAGGAAGCGTGGTGTCGTTATGTGGTCTGGAGACTTGTCTGTGGAGCAATGGTCCGATGCAGCAACTCAGGTCGAGGCCGACATGATCGAGGAACAACACGCGTTCAACACACAAGCGCTGATTCCTCTGAGACAAGTAGATTAGCGTCGAGAGGTCACCCGGTATGACACATTCGACCTTCTATCTCACAAGAGCAAAAAGCTCGTTTATACACTAAGTCACCGAAGGATCAGCAAGCAGTCTGGCATGAGAAGGTTGCCGAGAATACTCATAGAACGCACTAATCAAAGAAAGAAATAATAGGACGAGGAGATCTTCACCAGTCTACACGCGGTAAGGAAGCCTCTCCAAATGGCAGGTCGGATACATGACATTGGCGGTGGAACTAGACCTGAGAACGTGTCCTATGAATGCGGGATAGATGCGGTTAAACCTGACCGAGGCGTGTCAACAGCGTGGCGGGAAATCCCATAAGCAGGACAAAGGTACTAGTGATAAGCCCATGACCTCTGCTAAACGCTGCGGCAAAAATACCGCCTATGCCTGAAGATGGAGGGGGTGGAGGAAGTTCAAATAAAGTTTCATGAATTCTGAATTAGGCAACCTGGCCTGGAGTTAATGGAGCGCTCGCTAGAAGACAACCTCGGTTTACGAAGACCGGAGTCCTTGTTCAAATGAAGAGAGAGAAGCGTAATTTAAGGTGAATGAACTCAACCTTGCTCAAGTTGCTCCTCGTTGCATCAGGCACTTCCCATTTCATCTCTTCATTACACGATGTAGATTAGTGAGCATCCAGTCCTTTAACTTTGGAGTACGTCCGATCATGGCCTATCATACACATATCGACTGGGGGATGCGGTGGCGACCCCGTGTTCTGAGGTCTCAATGAGGGATCGCATGTCTTGATTCAGATTGATAAGGTGCGGCACGCACGAGTCGAATCTCGATCGTAAGCCCATCAGGAGAATAATGCGATACCACCAGTTGCGTACCTTTCCTGCGAATATCTGTGACAAAAGGTCACGGCACAACCTGTAAACCCAAACTTCTTGCTGTGCCAATAACGGTGCTTGCAATTGACTCGAGCTTTAAGTGCTTGAGATGCGCATCCTTGGCTTTAATTTTTGCGACTTCATACGCGTGTTTGAGACTAATTGTTCCGGTGACTTCATGACCAGGTCGACCTGTTCCCTTTTCTATCCCCGCAGTTTTTTTCAAGAGGTAGGTCGTTGGTGGTGTTTTGGTGATAAACGAAAAAGTGCGGTCAGGCTCGACGGTGATTAAAGTGGGTGTTGGAACCCCAGGTTCAATATGCGCAGTTCGCGCATTGAACTCCTTGCAGAAATCCATAGATTTTACACCACGCGCACCAAGCGCTGGGCCGACGGGTGGTGTAGGTGCAGCCTTTCCCGCAGGAACCAGAATGCGCTAGAATAGTTTTATTACTCAAGCGAGAAACGTTGCAGAGAAGTACTTGCCACCAGCTGATCTTTCGCCTTCAGAGCCTTGGACATTGACGCGTTGGAAGGAGAGAAGAATTAGATATTTTCCGAATTTGGTCGTTTGACCCAAACAGTCACAAGCACAGCTGCATGTTGCCACGCGTTACTTATCTACAGCTAGGTCATCGTTTTCTGAACTCACAAGTCGACGCACGCACGGTCATTCGGTAATCTACTCATGGATCCCCATGACCCTAAGTCTTCTGGAAGCTCAAAGAATATCTGACGATTTTAGATGCGGTGTCCTTCTTTCGACGTACTACATGTCTTCTGACCTAGGAGGTCGTCATGTGTGTCTGCCAACTTCCAGTGCATCTAAGATTAATACCTGGCCAAGGGAGCAATCTACCACCATTTTGGAGACGTACATCATCTAATGTTGGAATCCTCGCATCAACCCTCGGCAAATGAATATACTCTCCAGCTGTCGCTACAGCCTCCTTGCAGGCAATGGTGAGGTTAACGTTCTTCTATGACTTAATTCTTCTATACTAGGTTCCCTCATTCTCGAGCCGATCAATGCTTTTTTTGTGCGGAAAGAGCTCGCAAACATACTGCTGGATCATCGGTTGTCCACATGCGGTCTCCGTCCCGCTGCTTTGGTCATCTTCATGCTCCTTCAGTGGGCGAATACAGTTATTATCACTCGGATCAAGCGGAAGCGATGTATTACTAACCCCATTCATGTTCTGGGTCAGAAGGCAAACGCATGCACAAATTCACGCACGGATGGACCATTGGCGAAGTGGGCCTGAGCACGGCTACGTTCCCGTCTCTATGCTCTGACGGCGGTGGCGTGTCAGAAGTTAGCGCCAAACGATCGTATGCAACAAAACCTTCCATTACTACATTTCAAGTTAGGTTTGTTCCATTCGATGTATCGTTTCTCGAGGTTCATCACATGCAAAGTGTTGATCACCTCCGTCCTATTCGCAGATTTAAGATCTAAACTGTAAACGGTTGGCAGAAACATTGGTAATAGAATAAACATGCGTAGTTTGCCAGGCTGATTTCTGTGAGGTATCTACGAGATTGCGCCTCAGGGTGACGAAGAGGACGGAGGAACGGTTAACTATGCAAAAAATCGTTCAAAAACGTCACCACACTGTCACCAAAAGTCACAACGTGGCCATCTGAAATCACTGTGTGCACAACCGACTTAGTAAGTTGGCTTTGTCTCTTTGTCACAATATTCTTCGTTTGTCGGAGTAAGAAAAACTGCCGTTCGATAGCAAAAACGAGTGTACCTTGACGTTACGGAAGTCCCAGAGGACAACAGTGCCATCTTGATGACCACGCACAAAAAAGGTGTGATGGATGCTGCCTTTCGTGTAAGATTGCTGAAATTTTGCGTTAGTATTGCGATATCCAAATGTGCAACATGGAGCTTTGTCGAAGCCACCCATCCTGCGGTCAAACATCGACATCTGATGATCGAGATGTCGGACCTGCAAAGCCTATCAAAGTCCAATTCTACAAATTAAGGGAGTGTCTCACCTCCAGCAGCGTTAAGTGTGGTATTTGGGGGTGAACATGTATCTGGTTGATATCGTTGGAGACCTGGGCTGGTCTAGGCGTGTGCGACCGGGTAAGGTCCGTAACATATAGTTTCTTCGTGTCAGAGGACACGAGGGAGTTGTCGTTGTGACGATAAGCCATCGCGGAGACACCAGAATCTAGGAAGATATTAATTTTGGTGACAGTCGGTTCTTCTAGAGATTGCGCATCGGCGCTCCACTTAAAAATCCGTCGGTCATGACCGCCTGTAAAAAATTCAACGGAACCAGCTGCCGCATTCATTGCGGCAAGGCACCTTACGCCCTCCCCAGAAGACCTTGACATCCGAGGAGAACTGACATGCGGCAAAGGCTGCGAATTCACTCTGCGAGGAGCTTTCGTCTAGCGGAACATGAATGTCTCGTAACACGTAAATGCAAGATACGCACAGTGACCGGAAGGAAACTAATTTGACTTGACCCGCTATTGAAGCCAAGAACAACAGTGTCACCCACGACACATGCATCTTCCACATGTTGTTGGACTCCCGGGTTAGGTAGAGAGTTCAGAGTGAGACGAAATCTGATTAGTTGAAGTGAAGGGGTGAACAGGCGGTGATGGCATCGAAACTCACTGATCCCGATGATTGATGAACTGGGCGTCTGCCCGCATACTTATCGCAACCAATGGTAGATTGTCGGAAGCCGGGATCAACAACCTCCTGGAGCGCCCATATGGAGTCTTTGGCAGCGGCACTCGTTTAAGCGCCGGCAGTCTAACGACTTCCTGATCTGCACTCGATTCCGACGACAGTGAACTTGCCCGTTGCGATCGTCGCGATTGCAATGAAACAGCGTTTCCATGGATGCCCTCCATGGATGTCGTAATGTCAGAAGTGTGATGATTATTTCGTTCACCAGGTTGGGATGATACACTACCGCGTGCAGCTGTGGTGCTTCGTTGACTAGTGGGTCTCTGTCCTCGTAATACACCAACTGTTCGCGTAAGAGGGGTTCTGACTTCAGTTCTCGATGACGAGGCCTCTGTGACCTCGCCGGCGTCCGCAGGCTCATTGGATCTATCATCATCAGAGCTAGAAGCCACGGAAGAGCTTCGCATACTAGACCACCAGTCTCCACACAAATCGGCCATTGCTTGGTCTCGGCGCGAAGAAACCGCTCTTGACCTCGATAAACTAGTCATGTCCCCGGATGAGGAAATGCGCTCATCGTCGGAAATGTTGTCGTGTGCGATTGCCTCGCTCTTGAGCCGAGCATGACACTTATGTGAACTTTCTTCTGGGTGCTCGTTTTTCGTCGCCTCATTGCCTCCAGCAAGTTTGCAGGAGACGATTTCGATTTCGGGAGATCCTGCGGTACGGCTATTATAGATAAGCCATTGTGCAACCCATCGAGTTGTGCAAGTGCGTCATACCTCAGGTTCGCGTAACGCCGCACTGCGTCGGCAGGTCCAGATGTTGAAGTTTGCAATTTAGGCAAGGGTGGAATACTACCAGGTGATGTTTGAGAAGCAGACAGCTCCGAACTCAGACTCGGTCTTGATCCATGACTGTCCTCGATACGAGAATCCGAGACCCTGACAACTCTGTCACTCAGTAGTTACTTGTGTCTGAAGAACAAATACCAATGCATCACGATTCCATCATCGCTTTGCATGAACCCAAGGTCAGCGCTCCGACGTGGACGAGTCTAATCAGTGCGGACTCACAAGACCAGTGGCAAGCCAACAACCCTTCGGTCCTGGGCCAAGAGGAGATGCTGCCTCTCACGTACCATTGTTTCAAAGTCTTCATGGCTGAAAGCGGAGACTCTAGTGCCTGGAGCATACTTTATTGCCTCCACTCCGTAGGTCGCTGTGAGCGGGAGGGGGTGAGCGTAGGGCACACACCCCTCTGAATTAGCGCTTTCAGATTTATGGCGTTTCACAGGTCCTTGTATCGGAGAGCTTGATCTCTTGAAAGTAAAACTTGAAGATATGGCCTGCATGCGGGAGAGAGCTGAAATATTTTGGCTCTTTAGTTACTGATTCCGCTCATGTTTAAAGTACTCGGCCAAATTAAGACGAAGATAAACAAATATACATACCGGACATTACACATGCAAAGTCTATCCACTCATCCTCAAATCATCTTAGGTTGAAAATATTCCCAGGGGGAGGGCCCTTGAACCAGTACCACCACCAATGGTCGGTTTTCCCACGCAAAATTTTGTGGGCAAGGCTGAGCGACTATATGCTCACAGTAATACAACTGGCCCTTCCCTCCCCCCTCCCACAACCAATAGAACCAATTTAAAACAGACATGGATGATGCCAACACACTGACCTTATAGACAACAATACATGAGATAAAAAACAAAATGGACATCACCAACACTCACCCACCCAAAATGCATGACACCTAACATCCAAACACAGCCCACCACAAACCATGACACTCCACACTGAAATCATGTAAAAGACCTCCATGAAGAAATGAGTTATGCCCTGACGTAAAAAGACCTACAACTGACCTCACTCCATGTTTTCACTGTCACTAACAGTCCCTCATGAGAACATCTTCCCCCCACAGGCTAAATTATGATGCACCGCACCTTCCCATCTTACCAAAATGATCCTGGCCACAAAGCATCCCTGAACACACACACAGAACTCAGCAAGAATCTGTGCTCAAACCCTGGATATAAAAACCCCTAACAAACACCAACCTCCCCCGTCCACCCAGTGATGAAAGACAAGGAGCCAACCTCGCTCAAGGTCATCTCTCAGTCCACCTGACCCTACCCAAGCACTCTGTGTGCCCCCCCACAGACTCTCTGTGCAGGACCATGTTACTTTCCGCAAAATGTATTAGCAGAAGACAAGAACATGGACCAATCTTTGAACCCTACCCCTGACCCCACCTCCCCTACCTCCCCCCCAAACACTCCCACCCCCACCCCTCATGAAATCATAAAGCCCACCCCCTCAACAAACCTCCTCATCACCCAAGAGTTCAAAGTGACCATGTCCACTGCTTCCCCAATGAGTAATGCAACCCAGAGTGACCTGAACAACTCCATTCATGCACCAAGTAACCCCATGGTGGACCAACCCATGGACATGTCATCTAACCCACCCACCACACACACACAAACCACTGAGGAAGATACTATCCTTGCACACCTTGCACTCACAGAAGTGAACAGATCAGTCCTAAGCCAGAATGGTGTGAATTACCACACCAATCTCCCACAATTCATGCCTATGCCAATTGGCAGCTTCCCTAGAGTGCATATGGCCCACTTGGCCCAGATATTTGATCATCTAGACAACAAAGTACTTTTATCCTGGTTCCAGGTAGACCACCCTAAGTTTATGGTCCAAGTCTTCAACCAATCAGGAAAAGATGTTGCAGAGAGACCCACAATTATCACAGAATGACTACATGCAAGCATAGTGGTAATCACTGACTTTGTACATCAAGAAGCCCCTCCCATATGAGTCTCTCCCCCCCAACCACAGGGCGGTAGAGGAGCAAAAGACTTCCCTGTGGGATTCTTAGTACACAAGATCCCCAAAGAGATGAAGAACCTTATACTCAACCAATGCATATGGTCATCTACAGATATCACCTTTGAAGCACTCCCTTTCAGCTGCACAAACCCCCCAGAATTACTCTTCTGCCTCTCCAGATTCATGACATCGGATATAGACATCATTAGGAAAACCATCGTGGATGTCTGGTCCCATGATGAGAATAAACACCACATTGATGACGCCTTCTCAATGTGCAGGTTTCCAGATGATGAGCTAGTATACAAAGCAACATGTGACCTCATTTGCTCCATTCGTGTAGAACTACTCAACTTCAAAATCATGGGAGGTCTATCTGCACCTCAATTCAACATTTTCGCGTCCAGTCCCACTAATGATGCAAAAACTTGGACAGACTTATGAGGCTTCCTTAACATCTAGAATATCTGACAGGACTTGATGGCTGTGGAATTGCAGCAGCTCTGTTCCCTTGCCAAATATTCACTCACGCACCCCCATGGCCTATGCCCATTCCCACAAGTCCCACTCTGGGATGGCCCCAAACTGAGCACTAGGACCACAACTAACTCATCTCGTCAATCGGGGAGGCCCAGAGGTGGCAGACCAAGCTGTAACACCTAAGCAATACCATATACCATATACCATTCCACCACCAGTATATATGAATGTACAGACCCCCATGCACTACCTACACAGCCCCCCTCAGCCTTGTTACCACCACTACATATCACTACATACCTGTACCAACTGTATCAATCACCTTTGTGAATATAACCTGTTGTTACCATACCAATATCAACTAGAAAGTGTGAAAATGCCCCAATGACTCCAGTACAAGCCCAGCACTTAATACCACATGAGTCCTTGAAATAGCGAAAATGGTCTGCTGAGATACATATCGTCAAATTCATTGACTCCTGCCCAAATTTACTGACTGTGCAAGTGGGACAGGAAAGCAGGTGTCATCTCAAAAAGCATGGTGCATACCAGACCACAGAAATCTATTTAGGCTTGAATGAGCCATGCTGAGAGGCTTAAGTTTTCATTAGTAGCCCTTAACAGTGTCCTGGGCATTGTTATCTGTCAAAATGCTAACATAGTTCACTGACAGTTGGCCAGGATATGTCAACTCTAAGCTACATACATGATTGTATGATAGCTCTAGTACAACGATTATGTTAAGAACCATGTTGCTCAAGGGGGAGAGAGACTGACTCAGAGGGGCTTGGCCTCAGCTCATACACTGTGCCCCTTACCCGAGTATGTGCCCTTCATTTCGTATGAGGTCCAATGATGGTCCGACGAAGTCCGGAGGACTTCCAGAGGCTGGCTACTCTGCTGGAGAGTGCTAGGGGACTTCCGGAGGAGCGCGGGAAACGTCCGGAGGAGCGCGGGAGAGTTCTGGAGGAACACAGGAAGTGCTCCAGAGAGTTCTCACTGCAAGGTAATACTTCTACAGGAAACAGGATGGAAGGATAGGAGGTCCAAAGGTCCAGAGGACAGGAGGACAGGAGGACAGGAGGACAGGAGGACAGGAGGACAGGAGGACAGGAGGACAGGATGATGGAGGACAGAAGGACAGGATGTCCGAAGGACAGGAGGATAGGATGTCCAAGGGTTAGGAGGACAGAACATCCGAAGGACAGGATGCCTGGAGGTATGAGGGACAGGAGGTCTGGAGGTCCAGAAGGAATAGGGGCTACATCGGACAAAGTCCAATGTAGAAACAAACAGAGGTAGACTACCCTAAGGTAGAGTTGGAGAGACAAGGGTTGGACCTAAGTCTGGAAAGAGGGTAAGTGCCGGAAAGGCGGAGCTCTGGCCTAGGGAATCAATCCCTAGGCCTGATAGGTAGGACAGACTTAGGTGGACCAAAGTCCGAGAGAGGATTGGGCAAGTCTAAGTTGATATTCAAACTGAGGAACTACAGGAGTATCTACAGGGGTTATATACTGGACAATATCTGAGGAGTCCAATAAGCAAAGGAGCAGGGCTATGTACAAGCATGTGGAAACACATTAGTAAGTAAGATGGAACATAAGTAAATGAACTCGGAGATGAAGACTCATACAAGGATCAATAAGCAAGACAGAAGAAGAGGTAACCAAAAGCTGGAAAGGTAGAGATGCCTAAATGGGGATAGGTGCAGGATCTCGGACAGAGGGTGGGAATAGGTCCAGCATTAATATCCGGAGGTCTGGAGATCTGGGGATCCAGAAGACAAGGTGGATACAGGACCGGAATACGAGAAGGTGGATATAGTCTGGAATCCGAGATGAGGTGAAGTCCGGATGTCTTGCTGGATGGAGTGTGTATAGGGTGGATGGGACAGGGGGGTATGGATCAGGCTAACAGTGAAGATCCGATGGTCCAGAGCTCAGGGGTAAATCTGGAATGGAGTTGATCCTGCTAAGGTGTGGAGCACACAGTGGAAGGGGATCTGGGAATGAGTTGGATATGAAGTGTGGTCCGGATGTAGGCTCGGAAGGCGTGGGAATATGATGGAACGTGGGTCCGGATTGTGGGATATGACAGATCACTTCAAACTCACTTGCCACACCCCCCCCCCCAGCCTGGTCCCTCAAATGGTTTTGGTTACTGCCCCCCTGGTTGCAGAGGAGGGCATCCTCAAACTGCTGGGAGGCCCTCTGATGACCGACCTGGGGGTTCTGAAAGTGGAAATGCCCTACCAGGGCAAAACTCCAATCAGTCTCAAACACTGAGTAGAGTCAACACATACACACTGCATAACCATTACCAAGAACATGTTTACACCCAAACACAAACATCAAGGCCCACCCAGACATACCAATGCACACATACCCCCGCAACCTTGAACCAATCCCCTACCCAACCCCTGGAAACAGAAACCAGAGCCACCCTAGCCAAACAAACATCATCTCAACTGCATGCAACTCACAACAACAACAACAACACCAACACCAACATACCTCAAATAGGAACACATCCCACATGACAAAACCCCTGAGCCTCCACCAAGATGCACCAGAGCCAAAACAGCCTACAAGATCAAATGCCAAATTAACCTCAAACCACAACAGATGAAGAAGGAACACAAATACCCCCCCACCAGAACCCTGACACCCAAAATGCACATACCCAACCCAGACAGAATGATACTGAAACCCCCAACACCACCACAAACAACAACCACACCCCCTCACAGGAAAACCCTCATACCATTAACCAAATGATGCTAAACAGCCCAGAAATTGAATGAACCCCTGATAACAAGAAAACGAGGGCGAATATTAAGATAGCATCCTTAAATGTAAAAGGACGTACCTCATCCAACCTCGGCCCTAATGCAGTATCCAAATGGACAGCTATTAACAGAATGATGAGAGACCAGAAGATAGGAATATTATGTGTTCAAGAAACCCACCTTTGTCTGGATCATCAACTACAAATTGAAAATATATACTCATGCTGACTAACAGTTCTGAACTTGAGTGATCCAACCCACCCAGGAAGTTCAGCAGGGATTGCTTTTGTCCTAAACAAAGAAATCATTAACACTTCTGATGCACAGATAAAGATAATAATACCAGGACGGGCAGCAGTACTCTCTGTTAAATGGCACAACAACAAAATTATAACGATATTAAACATATACACACTGAACAACGTTAACAAACATAAGACCTTCTGGGAAAAAATAAAGGAAGAATGGACAAACATGAACATTAATACATTAGACTTCATGATGGGAGATTTTAATCTCACCGAAGATCCAATTGACCATGCACCAGCTAGATGAGACAATGAAGATGCAATTGACACCCTGAGAGACCTAAGAGGCACACTGAAAATACAAGATGTGTGGAGAATCATGCACCCCAACAGAAGATGCTTCACATTCAGCAGCAATCACCAGACACTATCCAGACTAGATTGAATATACTCATCAGAAGACCACACGAATAGTCTCCTTGACTGGGAATCAACAATATGTCAAGTACCTACCGACCATCAAATGGTCTCTGTGAGATTTGCCCCCCCAGATGTACCCCACATTGGCAAAGGACAATGGACATGGCCAGCTGGCCTAATATCAGACGACAACCTCGTCAAAAGATCATTGATTTAGGAATTAGAACACAACACACCATAGAATCCCCAATACCCCACTCCAAAGGAATCAACCCACAAACAGTTTGGCTCTCCTTTAAAATAAACATGAACAAAATAGCAAAAGACGTAGCTAAAACTCACCTACACAAAATAAACCAAAGAATCTGCTCCCTTACAAAAGACCTCCACAAACTGACAAACACAGCTGAGATTGATGTATCTGAAAACATGAGACTAAATGAAATACTAATAGAAAAAGAAATAAGCCACCTGCAAAAGAAAAGTCTCAAGAAATCCTCACTAAGAGCACAAGCAAAATGGGCCACACATGGAGAAACAATAAGTAAATACTGGTCGAAAATGAATAGCCAAAAATCACCTAGAGACATAATCCACCGACTCAACATTCTCAGCACGGATAGATACACCACGAAGTCAGAAGAAATGGCAGAAATTGCAAAATCATACTACAAAAGAATTCAAAAAGCAGATAATGAACTACTACCCGAAAATGTCAAAGAAGCAGCAAGGAAACATGCATTAGTGGAAATCCCAAAGGAACAAAAACTTGAAGTCCCAACTGAATGCATGGAAGGAATGCTCCATGAGGAACACATTCTTGAAGCCCTTACGACCTCAAAATCTGGCAGTGCAGCCGGAATAGATGGAATACCATATGACATATGGAAAATGCTACATCAGAAACACATTGAAGTGACAAAGAAAGAAAAACTGAGCTTTGATGTAATTAAGGTACTCACCCATGTATTGAATGACATCCAATCCAATGGTGTATCTGATGGATCCACCTTCACTGTGGGATGGATGTGCCCGTTATATATATAAAAAAGATCAATCTGAAATAGAAAACTACTGCCCAATCACCCTTCTGAACACAGACTACAAATTACTCACCAAAGCATTAGCCATCCAAATGTCATATCCCACAATCCGGACCCATGTTCCATCATATTCCCACGCCTTCCAAGCCTATGTCCGGACCCCACTTCATATCCAACTCATTCTCAGATCCCCTTCCACTGTGTGCTCCACACCTCAGCAGGATTGACTACACTCCAGATTTACCCCTGAGCTCCGGACCATCGGATCTCCACTGCTAGCCTGATCCATACCCCCCTGTCCCATGTATCCTATGCACACTCCATCCAGCAAGACATCTGGACTTCACCTCATCTTGGATTCCAGACTATATCCACCTCCTCATATTCTGGTCCTGTATCCACCTCATCTTCCAGATCCCCAGATCTCTGGACCTATTCCCACCCTCTGTTCAATATCCTGTGCCTATCCCCATTTAGGCATCTCTGCCTTTCCGGCTTTCGGTTACCTCTTGTTCCATCTTGCTTATTGATCCTTGTACAAGTCTTCATCTCTGAGTTCATTTAGTTATGTTCCATCTTACTTACTAATGTGTTTCCACATGCTCATACATAGCCCTGCTCCCTTGCTTACTGATCCCCCCAGATATTCTCCAGTATATAACCCCTGTAGATACTCCTGTAGTTTCCTTAGTTTGAATATCAACTTAGACTTGCCCAATCCTCTCTCGGACTTTGGTCCACCTAAGTCTATCCTACCCATCAGGCCTAGGGATTGATTCCCTAGGCCAGAGTTCCACCTTTCCAGCACTTTCCCTCTTTCTGGACTTAGGTCCAATCCCTGTCTCTCCAACTCTACCTTAGGGTAGTCTACCTCTGTTTGTTTCTACATTGGACGGAGTCTGATATAGCCCCTATTCCTTCTGGACCTCCAGACCTCCTGTCCCTTGTACCTCCAGGCATCCTGTCCTTCAGATGTTCCACCCTCCGTACCTTCAGATGTTCTGTCCTCCTAACCCTCAGATGTCCTATCCTCCTGTCCTTCAGACATCCTGTCCTTCTGTCCTCCGTCATCCTGCCCTCCTGCCCTCCTGTCCTCCTATCATTCCATCCTGTTTCCTGTAGAAGTATTACCTTGCAGTGGGAACTTTCCTGAGCACTTCCTGAAGTCCTCCCACACTCTCCACCAGAGTAGCCAGCCTCCGGAAGTCCTCTGGACTTCATCAGACCATCATTGGACCTCATATGAAATGAATGGCACATACTCAGGTAAGGGGCACAGCATATGAGCTGAGGCCAAGCCCCTCTGAGTCAGTCTCTCTCTCTTTTGAGCAACATGGTTCTTAACACCAAATCACACAAGTCATACATAAACTAATACACTCAAACCAAAGCGGCTTTATACCAAAATGCTCAATCTTTGACCCTATACATTTAGCACAGACAATGACAACATATGCAGATCTGATGGAAGAAGACGGTGCAATAATTGCGCTAGATCAGGAGAAAGCTTATGATAGAATCCAACATACATACCTGTTTGAAACTCTTGAAACCTTCAACCTTCCCAAAATGTTCATAGACACAATCAAAAGCCTTTACAAATCAGCTTACACTCATGTAGCAATTAATGGATTCCTAAGCTCACCATTTAAAGTCACAAGGGGAGTTCGCCAAGGCGACCTGCTATCATGTCTACTTTTTGATCTGGCAATTGAACCATTAGCCTGTAAACTACGTAACTCGATGAAAATAAAAGGTTACCTTATCCCAGGCATAATAGACAGTGTAAAGGTGAATATGTACACAGATAATACCACCATATATCTCTCAAAAGAAGATAAGTACACAGATCTAAAAGAAATCCTCAATGACTGGTGTACAGCATCAGGCACCAAATTTAACATGGAAAAGACAGAAATCCTACCCATAGGCACAAAGATGCACTGAGAACAAGTAGTCCTGCAGCAAAAACTGAATGCACTAAATGAACCATGGCCTGAATCAGTACATGTAGCAAAAGATGGAAACCCAATATGCACCTTAGGTGCCTGGATCAGCAATGAAGTTGAATGGGTGACCTCATGGGAACCAGACTAAAGCACAAGGTATGCCAAAGTCAATTGAAACAGCGATAATGAAGAAAATCCAAACCTTCATATGGGATAACAAAAGAATATCACCAATAAGTCTATCCCAACTAGAGTGTCCAATTGAAGAAGGAGGCCTAGGACTATTAAACATCAATATGAGAAACAAAGCAATAGAAATCACCTGGGCGAAAGCCTTCATGGATATGTCCCCAACCTGCCCAACATGGGCATTTGTTACAGACGCGATAATTAACACCCTGAAACCAAATGGGATCAGAAACCAGGAAGACATAAGCACCTTTCTCACCTCTTGGGACCCCCTGACACAAGGTAAATGAGCCAGTTGTCTACCACAACTAATAACAAACATGTTGAAATCAATACACAAACACAATGTAAGTTTTGCACCAATTAAACTATCTGAAAACCTCAAAAACCAAATGCCAGCCTGGCATCACCTTGGTGCACCTCCCAAAACATACCACAAAAGAAAAGATAACTGTTTAAGATATACCCACCATATAACATCAATAAAAGACCTAAGAGATGCAACAACTAGACTCACCAATCCTGATACCCATACAACCAAAGCATCATGCCCCTGTGATGCCTGCATCAAAAATCGCCTAGCAGGGTGTAAAAACCCAGACAAATGCACATGAGCTGCCAAAAAAATATTAGATAATCTAACTCCACTATTCAACCCAAATACATCCCCCAAGAAGGATGACCTAACTCTAATGCACCAGAGAACAGAAAAGAACAGGAGAATGAGATCACAACAGGATGGTGAAATCCTCTTCGATCCAACTGTCACAGCAAAAACCCATATATCTGAATGTTTCTGTATCTTTGTGAACACTGAATGCCTAGTACAAATACCTGCATACAGACTCCATGCTCCAGGAGCAGGCAGAGGCAAAGAAACTGAACCAATAACCATATATACCAATGGCTCTTGTAAAAATAACGGTAAATACAATGCCACCTGCAGTAGTGGGATATGGATTGGAGAAGACCATCCTATGAACAGAGCAATCAGAATACCCAGAGTAAAACAATCAAACCAGATTGGTGAACTAGCAGTGGTCCTAGTTGCCCTGCAATCTACAAACCCTCTAACCCCAGTAAAAATTGTAATGGACTCAAAATATGTAATAAAAGGTGTCACCACTCACCTAAAAGAATGGGAAGACACTGGATGGATTGGAGTCAACAACACCAACATGTTCAAGGCCATTGCATACCATCTATGCCGCCACCCCACCCCAACTACCTTCAAATGGGTAAAAGGACATCAGGGAAACATAGGAAATGAAAAGGCTGACCAGCTTGCACTCACCGGTACTCTATGTCAAGAACCTGACAAACTCGACACATATGTCCCCAGGAATTTCAACCTACAAGGAGCAAAACTATTGATGATAACACAAAAATTAGCATACAAAGTGATTGCAAACACAGCTAACCTAGAATATAAGAAAACAACCTTGAGCCTACTAGATCTCACTAGATATGCCATAGAGTCACTAACCTCCTCCCTCAAAACAGATGCCACGATCTGGAAAGGTTGCAGACATAAAGACATCACAAAGAAAATACAAATGTTCCTGTACAAAACATTAAACAACGCATACCACATCAGTGACTTCTGGTCCCAAATACCCACTTATGAACATAGAGCAATATGCCAAATGTGTCAAGGGGAGACAGACTCCATGGAACATATCCTTATAAACTGCAGAGACCCAGTGAGAAAAATGATATGGGACCTAGCCAAAAAGTTATGGCCAGATAGACACAGACCTTGGCCAACCCCACACATAGGCCTCATCCTAGGATGTGGTGTTATCACCCTCCCACAAAGACTGAATAACAATAATGCAAACAACAATAGAACTCCAACTGGAGCTTCACACCTCCTGAGAATATTAATCTCAGAATCAGCCCATCTCATACGGACAATGAGATGTGACAGAACGATAAACAGCACCACATACACAGAACTAACTGCTACAAACTGCTGGTATAACACAATAAACAAAAGACTGCACCTTGATAGAGCAATCGCAAATAAAGAAAAAAGAAACACAAAAACAGCAATGACTGTAAAAAACACATGGTCAAACATCATTGACAACAACACGCTTTACACCCAGGATGACTGGATGACTAACTTAGAGGTTTTAGTGGGTATCGGTCTACCTAGGCCCTCGCAGACCGTGGTAACCAGGTAGGAATAGAGTCCCACACTACTCCAACAAATCGGAGTGTGCATAAGTCGCATTTTCCCTCGGACGACACCTAGTATTAGAGGTCGCTATAAGCGTTTACGTAAGGGCTAGACAGTGTCAGTTGCTTCGTAATATTATCGCTTTTCCAAAAAAAAAAAAAAAAAAAAAAAAATATTCCCAGCTCCTGAACCAAGTCTCTCTGCACGAGATCGGATGGAAGATCGACAACCCAATGAAGTTCGTTTAGATCGCAAGGGAAAATCCTCCGTACCCGCTATCACAGTTGCTCGTCGTGGAGGGCACCGTGGATCCTTCAGAGGCTCTGATTCTAGTCGAGGTCGTGCGCCGTATCGCCCATTCAATCAAAGGAACTTTGTCCCCTACTCTACCACATCTCCTGCGTGGACACATTCGAACAAAATTTCCCCGGTCCCTTCACTGAATACACCGAGTAGTTCGTTTGTTAAACAAGAGCCTTTGGGCCATTTAGAACAATCGAACTTGCGCCCGCCGAAGCGAACGAAGTTTAATTCTCAGCATTTCCCCCCAGGGGGGTCTCAAGGCTCAGAGAGGCACTTCCAAAGGCGAAGATTTCCCCATACCAACTTTGCTTTACCTTCACAATGCCCGAAAGTCATCCCTGGCGATCACGAAGCACAGGCTGTTTTCTCCCCTTACAAAGAAATACATGACGATCGCTCTGTTCCCGGAAAGACGAGTGAAGGTGAATATCAAAATATCTTAAATGACAGTCATTAATACACGGGCTTTTGGTTTCTCTGTGTAACAGCTGTGCAACGCGATTTGCCTAGTGGTAAGGCGCATATTGTTCAAAATAAGTCCCAATATGATAAGAGTGCGAATAGCACTCAGAAGATTGTAATGGTGACTTAACTATACTCGACCATGATCAACTCCCTTACTGAATCGCAGAAAAAGGGCTGTGCTTCTGGATATGGCGAGGAGACCTCTAAAGTCAGTCCCATCGTGGGTGCAAGCAGCTCAACTCGAAGACTGCCACAGCTAGCGGAATCTTCTTTGCCCGAGTCATTGGAGGTGGTTCTAAGCTCCTACCCAACACACGCAGCAATACCTCGAATAAAGACCTCCGCTCTACCAGGCAAGCAGAGAGCCTTTCCATCTCGAGTTGTAGCTCCTCCAGAAGAGATCATTGACCTTACTGTTGATCTTCCGGACACACGCGTGATTATTCCTCCTCCCATACCGACGCGGTTCTTCCGCTCTGGAGTCCTAAAGATCAAGTCGGTGTCTTCTAAGGCACCCTCAGCAGTGGATGTTACTTCTGCTGCAGAACCGATTGTTTTACTCGATAGTGATTCCGATGACATTGTTCCACTAAGGGAACTTATCTGCAGAGATGGCGGTAGCATGGTTGCGAAGTCTCGAGAAGAACCGGTTCAAGCATCCTCCGAGACGCTAGTCAACGGTCCGAACGAGATTTCCTCCTCAGGTCCCGCTTTGATGCTCAGTCCTGGTCCTGGTCCTGCTCGTCTTCCTCTCAACACCCACGATAAGCCCCGCCGCGTGCTCAGCGCACACTGGAGTTCGTCTCTTATAACTGTATCTATGCGCGGCTTCGTTGAGAGCCTGGGTATGCCTAACCTGGTGTCCCAGCATAACCTGCGTAGGCCAACTGCCCCAACTCAAGAGTCCGTTGATGATGCGTGTATGCTTCACGCGGGTGATACGTCAGTCGTTGTCCTGGCTCATGCACGTGAAGAGAAACAAATTTCGTACTTGACATTTCAAACCACCAGGGTAAGTGTCCGCGGGTGTTCATCATCACCATTTAAATCTATTTAAATTCATAAGGGAACACATTTTCGCGTTGTCGATCGTCCTTGGAATAGAACCAAGAAGGGGGGGGCGAGTGTTGTGTCGACAATGATGCAACCACTTATGTTTGCCAGTGGAGGTCATGATCATGCTGTTCATATTTGGAATTTTTCTGCAGATTTTATGGGCGTCTCCTCGACACTTTTGGCAATCAAGCACACATCTATGATCCAGTCCCTTCTTCCCATTCGTGATACTAGTCACAAACTCATATCCGCTGGTGCGGATTGCAATGTCCATTTATGGGACCTATCTTCGGAACGTGTTGTACATACATTCAAGACATCCAATTCTCCGTATCACGCACATAAGACGGAATCACCTTTCTGCACCTTGCTTGAGGTGCACATGGCAATTCATCGTCCAATACGATTATATTTCTAACGTGACCACAGGTTGGCCATCGAGATCTGCAGTTCGAGCTCCGTGACCATCGTATGGTTCCAGAGCACCCGGCTGAACGCTTTGGCTTTTTCACGACTGAGTTGCATGGTCGTTTCATCAAAGGAGATACTTGGTCTCACTTTTTCACCTCGGGAAGCCGCAATGGTGGTGTGCGTCTCTGGGACTTGCGCAATGTTCGGGAACAACTTGCATCTGTATGTTGCTTTCACCTTATCGTACAGGTTTCGTTCATTCAACTTCAATTCACCGAAGGTCTCGTGTTTCAGCAATGACCAGGTGGTGCAGGTGTTGAAGACGGAGTCTGACCTGTTGGCCTTTTCAAAGCGCGGTGATGTGATGACATTGAATCACACATGAAATGGACACTCTAGTCATCGCAATTCCAGCGACGTGCATTATTTTATTATTTAGTTTTATCCCTTTAATTGTCGTCGTATACTATAGAGCACGGGTATTGGAACGATAGGCCTGTGGTACCGCGTGAACATGTCATTCACTTGCAACATCACAAATCCGTTGTTTTGTTCCGACGTACTCCGAACAATGTCAGATCGTTCCCAGCTACAGCGGGAAGTTGATGCAGCATATACCATACAAACGAGGGCCGCGACGAAGGTGCGAATGACAACAATTCCGCATGCTAGTCGTTGAATCACAAGCTGAAGCAAACATATTGAACAGGGAGCAGCCCGAGCAGGAGCTTTCGGTGTTGGGGTCGTCACGTTTGCCCATTATGCGTGGCCACTCTTCCGGTGCGAGTGACGACGGATGGCTACACAGTAACTTACACATCGTATGAAAGACGACAAACACTCCCATTCAAAGCATTCCTGGTGTCCGGATGTAAGTGTGCCAAGCATCATCGCTTCAGGCAGCTACTAGTGTACCACTGACTCTCCCTTGCAGTCACCATGGCTGGTCTGGTGATTGGGGCAGATAATGCCCTTTTAACTCACGAGGCAGAAAGGCGGCAGGCTGAGCATGCTATTCGTCGTGAAGCCAGGATGGACCTTGCTCGCCGAGGGCTCATCGGCACAGAAACTGAAATTGCCAAGTGGCGAGCAGAAAGGACTCGACAGATGGAAGAACAAGCAAACAACGGAAATCTTCGTGACAGCTCTCAGGCTAATTGAGAGTTCGAATGGGAATGATCATCAATACGAGATGTAGAGGAAGCGCGTTTGAAGGTACTACAACGGTTTACGACGCGTGACGGAGACTTTCCGGACTTGCTTGGAGTGGGATAACATTGAGTGTGATTCTGCTATCGAATACGAGGGTGGCTGGACTACATGCATTTGTGGGCGGCTCGATGGGCAAACTGAGAATTCGCGAAGGAAGGCGAACGAAAACAAAGGCATGAAGCCTGTAGGGATAGTGAAGATGTGAACCTGAAGCTGAGGTGACGATCTAAGGGTTCTGAAGTTTGGTATTAATTAGTGAGAGGACTGAAACAATTGACGTTGAGCAAGAATAATATATATATATATCCGATGAATATGCATGCAGCAGGGCGCAGAGGAATGAGGATCCCTATAAACCTCCTTTCATGATATCGCCAGACTTCGCGTCAAATATTGTTTTATAGATGAAGTCCAGATACAGCAGTTCTCTACAGGTATTGCGTACTAATAAGCGACAGTGCCGTGGATCAACCGTGGATGCCCAGAAAATGGAAGGATTTACAATCCAACCTATGTCTACATTGCTATTGCGATGGAGCGTTATTACTACGCATATTCGGCTTATTGCCAATCTCCCTGTGTAGACGTTGGTTGCCCATGACTTCCTTGCTGACCCCAATGAGAATGATCAATCATCTGTGGAGGCCGAGGAGGCGGGCCAGGGAAATAAGAATGATTGGTGGGTGGAGCATTTAGTGATGAAGGGGGAGGATGAAGCTGTCCGTGACGTGGCAGATCGGGTGGGGGCGGGGGCGGCTGAGGGAGGGGCTGATAAGCAGGCTGGACTGGATGATACCCCATGGGAGGCTGCGGGAGGCCGGGCCGTACTGGGGACACATTTGAGTGCGGCTGAGCTGGTGAAGTCGGAAAAGGAGCATGTGATGCTTGCGACTCCCCCTGAGGCGATGGATGCCCAGAATGGGGCTGCGCGGTGGAATGATACTGGGCTGGAAGGGGTGGGGGTGGTGGAATGTTTTGGTAGGTCGAACCATTTGGGAAATTAGAGGGCAGTGGGCTACGCGCATTCAGCGATTGAGGGAAGCTTGATGAAGGAGGTACAGCCACAGAAAGATGGCGAGTTCGTGGTGCGTTGTTAGCCATCTGAGGTTGAGGCAGTGGTCTCGAACCTCGTGATATCGGGATATGCTGGGAAGTAGATCCGTACTCGTGAGGTGGTGATGGCGATGTGGATGCATATGTGTGGTATGTCTGAGGTAATGGTATGAACTCTTGTTGGGATGGGAAGGCGACAGTTTGCCCATGGGGATCTGAATATTGGTATTGGTCATGAGTGTGTAGCTGCGGCGTGCTGAATGAATGTGAAATTCGTTGAGGTGCATTGAGGGGAGGTACCGGTGTGACAGCAGGTGCTGGGAGAGGGGGGAGGGAAGGATGGCCAATCTGATGAGGTGGCGAGTAGTTGGAGGGAGCTGGAGGGTAAGATGGAGGGATCGGTAATGGAGGTCTTTCCGGCGCTGAGAAACCGGATGGCTCTGATGAGTACGATGTCATCGTTCCAAAAGAAGACGGGGCTGGTGATGGTATCGGCATGAATCCTGAAGAAGAAGCTGGCAAGCTAAAGCGCGGTCCAGCGTGTCCTTGTCGAGACAGGGGCGGGGGAGGATGGTTGACAGTCGAACCGCTTTCATAAGGAGGGTAGTATGGAACAGGACCTGAAGGTATCCTGGATGGTGAGGCAGAGGCCGCTCTCCCTCCATCGTGTGAGATCGTCAATGTTCCGTTATCAAGTGTATGCTGATCATACGAGTGTGGATGCGAGGGCAATGAATTAAAGCCCGCCGATGTTGAGGGACGTATCGTTTGTGTGGGCTAAGTCACCGGTCATGACGAGACCCACACCACAGAGAAGGGAAACGCACCGGAAAGCTCTCCCGTCTTCTGGGATCCATGACACCTAACTCTCCAAAATCGTTGGCAAGTTGATCGGCAGGTGATGGAGATAGGCGGTTCCTTTGCTCATATGCGGGTGCATAGAGCTCTGCTCTCGAGTGTGATGAACGAATAGTAGACGGCAGATGGCTATCAAGAGTGTTGCTAGAGACAGAAAGTCGGGAAGGAGTCGAATGTGCGCTGGACCCGTTCAAAGAAGAGGTACTGCCATTGGCTGGCACGAAATTTCCCGGACCGCCGTAATTGCTATTACCAGTAGCTGGTTTCGGCGCAATTCTTTTGACTGGAGGAGGTTCCTGCATACAACCCCATAAGATGATCGAGACGAGCAGGCCAGGAAATTGACAACATACATTTGACCAGAAAGTCAGCTCAATGTACACCTCTCCCGCATATTTGTCCTTGTACATGAGTGTGAACCACTCTGGCAAAAGACTCAATAAATCAGATTGAAGACGAGTGCAGATCCCAGCTCACCATCCGTTTCTCCCTTGGTGAGAACCTCTGTCAGATCAACCACCGTCTCTCCGATCAAGTCTGGTTCCCGGGGATCATCTGCATAGCACTGAAGCCTCATCGAATTCCCGCCCTTTATCTTCTTTGGTCGACCCTTCTTCGGCGGAGGGGGCGGCGGCGTGTCCGTCGATTGTGAATTCATTGCCAGCTCATCGTCAGTCGCCTCGTATACAGTAAAGCGGAATTCTTCGTCCCATTCCGGATGTTGACCGCCCCGTTTGATCGCCTTTGTACGACGTTTCTCTTCATTCAAGAATGCGCAGCAGTATGGTGCTTGCTTTCCTATATGCCTCTTATTGGGCAGATTTTTCTGCTCGCCATGTCAGAGAGATATATAAAGGCTGATAGAAAGTTGAACCCGATGCGCACCGCTTTCAAGACGACAACAATTAGTGTTCCGATCTCGCGCGAAGCTAACGACATATAATCAATATGAAGGAGAGAGGAGGGAAATGATAAAGGTTGAGGGAAGAATGAGTCGTAGAAATTTCTACCAGTTGAACATGAAGCGTTCCAGTTGATCGCAGTACTGATTCAAGAATATGTAATAGTGGCAGCCGTGGCTGAGCATCACATTTAGCGCCAATACCATCTTCAGGTTAGCTCACTTTGCCGCAGCACAATGCGTGAGTTCGTTGCCTCTGGGACAGCTAGCTGGTGCTAGTGGACAGTATTGCATCATAGTAGACAAGCTTAACAATATCTAGGTGGCTTGACACGATACAGTACTTATCACTGTCCAGGTGTGTACGGCTCATTATCCGTAAAGATCAGGTGGGGCTTTCTCTGCGCGAGGTCCAGAAGCATCTCAGAAAAATAACTATTAGCCCACGCGAACCAAGGGCGAGTATAGTCTGGTACGTTGTAGATGTCGATCGACTCGTGTATCAAACCCAGGCCGCCAGTGTTCTATATGCGTAGTCAGCATGGGAGAATCAATACCTTCCAAAACCTACATTAACAATAGTGTACAACGAGGTCAAGATTTCCTCATCATCATTGGTTCCAAAGATGTTGGTGACCTGAGACATAGGCCTATATAGAAACGATCAGACCACTAAATCTCAAGCCCCAATCTGCCAATCATTACCAAGGGTTCCAGACATCTATGTGAGGTCCGCTGCCTTATGTCAGAAATAGACATTTATTCTCCCTTGACTACACTCACCCAATGCCACTGAAACTTCTTCCTTTGGCATAGTAAGGGTTTCCACGGGACATGAGCATCTTCTTGGTCTTCACGTAATCAGGGTGATTCATGTCGAGGAAACCCAGGTAGGGAAGCGACAAGAGAGACTATTCAAGGTTATAATTTGCTTCAAGATGATGGCATTTGACACCCACCGGAACGTTTGCATCGTCCATCACATAGCGCGAACCCAATCCTAGCAGGGTCCTTCATAAGTGATGCAAAGACAGCTGTCGAAGACATACCATTAGTCTCGTATGCAAAGATGCCATCAACAACCTGCGATAAACGAATCAACGGAATGCAGACTTCTGCCACGCTCAACGTACTGTGTGTTCCCAGACAGCTTGTTCTATCGTTTTGCTCCAGCGCTTTGCCTGAGTGCTAACATTAGGGGCCACACCAGCGTGGTCCAAAATGGTAGCCAGATTGGTTAGCTGAACGCTCAGCATGGCATTGGCTGGCGTAAGGAAAGCTGAAAGCGAGGAATATGATCAGAGGAACCAGGTCGCCTCCACAGAAGCTCACCAAATGTGCTCAAGTCATCGGAGGGTCTGTGGTGTGTTCCGACCATACCCGTATATCCTTTAGGTTCACCATTTCCGCCATTGTTTACTGCACCAGCAAGGGAGCCTGCAAGACCTGTCCAGTTGTAGTAAGATATGAAGTTCCAATCAGCGTCAAAGGAAGCTTGAGACTGCTCATTAATGACACGGAAGACCTGGTCAATTGCGGCGAGCCCTGCACTAAGAATGAAACCCCAGTACAACAAGACTGAATAAAAGACAAACATTCTGCATTCATCATGGATGCATCCTTTGTTGCTTCATAGTAAGAGGAGGAAAGCTTGATGAAGCCACACAGCGAGTCAATTTCATACTGGAGATACCGTACAGGTCAGTACTCAAAAGACGATGATTGTTAAGACGCAAACCTTGCACTCAAACACTGTTTGGTTATCCACAGGGCTGTGCAAAGAGCATCACAGGACGCGAACCACCAAGATGAACGAAAAACTGACGGATTAACGAGGACGCCAAGAGCCCAATCATTGACGGAGGGTCTCAGACCACTTTCAGGGGGAGGTTGGAAGGCACCACAATAAGGATACTGTGAAACATAGCGGGCTTCGTTATTAATCACAGCCTTAACCAGGTTGGCGAGGTCGGCGTCAACAGAGAGAAGGGTGTGGTAATGAGCAAACTGGAAGAAGAAACCACTGAACACATTGTAATTGCAAATTTTGGAGAGCGAGTTACCTGATTGCCAGTATCCCGTAACCACTGTGCACTTCAAGCAGGAATGAAACTCAATATGAAATATGGAATCCAAGAAACGGAGAAACGGACGTGATATCCTGGACGCAACCATCAATATGTTATTCATATCGGGGGAAAGGAACTCACCCCAGTAATGATAAATGCCAAGTTCTCCCTCTTCGGCAGTTAGAACGCGTAGAAAACAGGCATCTTCACTCATACCTCATTGTAGTATTTCACAGTAGTATCTGCTAGAGTTTCACGAGTGTCCATTGTTGTAGCAACTAGGGTACGTACCGAGGGTATTTGGGAAGGTGTTCTCAAAGAGACGTGCGACGTCAGGGTCTTTCAGACGTGATTTCATGTCCAAAATAACTTTCTGCGGATAGCTGCCCAGTTACACGTTGTCCTATCAACATAAAACGCGTCATACCTCCACTGAAGTGCTGTTGAAAGTCCTGCATGCAGGGTCGGGCCGCATGTAAGGCAATCCAAGAGGACCAGAGGAGGGATTCCCTTGAGGGCTCTGCGCTAATGAGCAGGAAATCTAGTCCCGGCCATCTTGGAGTCATTTACCTGTGCGTAGGTAGTGTAGTCTGGACAGTCCGCCTGGGCAGTAGCAGCTACTAGGGCAATACCAGCGACTCCTAGTCCTAACTTCATTTTGGTTGCGCCCCACAGATAACCAAGGCCGTAGGGAAGCGTTCGAGACCCGAAATCCCAGCAGTCGTTAAGACCATTTATGAAGCTGCCGAACAGCATAATCTGATTAAGGCCACGCGCTTGAAGAAGTGACAGCGTGCACCATGCGAACTTGCGAAGCGCGACAGCTGATCCGGGTTCGCGCACATGACCATCTGAACTAGCTATACCACGGTCAACAGGGATGTCCCGTGCAGTGGAAAATTCGGAAGTATCTTATAAGACTGCATGGTTGCTTCTGTCGGGCAACAAGCAAATGTGTGACAATAAATTTAATGTACAAGATGTGACAGAAGAGTGAGATGCAGAACTATGCAAATGAGTGTGATATGCATGCCAATGATCAGGATAACATCAAGGAGAGTGGTAACTGCAGTGTATAACATGAACGAAGAACATACAAAAAGTAGCAAGAAGGAAAGCTGCTGTGACACCCGATTGTATCTGACCCTGGCCGTTGTCAGTGATCAAGAGTGAAATCGATATCACATCCCACGTATTCTAATGGTAGAGAGAAACATTCAGTTGGGAGTCCGCCAACATACACTCATGCACATGCCTTAGGTTTCCGCTAGGGAAAGCGTGCGAATCGCCGTGAATCCTGTAGCCCGACCAAGGGTAGCAGGGACATCACCAACAGATTCGGAGGATTCATCAACCACCGTCTCCTTGGTCGAGTCGTATTCGTCGCCTGTGGCAGGCGTCTCAGGTGAGGATACGTCAACTTGATCTGGTCCGTCCGAAGAACTCTTTTCTTCCAGTGAGGTTTCCAAGCCACCGATAACTTCTTCTTCATCCACGCTCAGAGGTCCACCAGTTTTGGCACTATTGGTTGTCCACAAGCTCTTGCTGCCCATGCTTATGGGGCCGCCTGTCCCAAGAATCCTAGCACTCCATCCACTAACCTCGCTCTCCCAACTTCCTCTCCGTGAGCTCCGTGGGCGAAGAGCACGCACGCTGGCATCTACGTCGCGTTCTACATCAGCATCTTGGCGATCATCATCTCCAAGCACAAATTGGCTCATGACATCGCCTTCTGCATCCGCGGTAAAGCTGCCCTCTAAATGAGAAATTGAGTCTCCACCTCCGATCAGTCCCGACCGTGCAGCTGAACCCGTAAATCCCATTGTTGAACGTTGACCGGGAATGGCATAAGCTGAGGAAGCTAGGGTTAAAACAGAAGCATTATCCATGGGTGGAGAAGAAGGACGAGGATTGTTTCTTGGATGATACGCGGTATACAGAGGGGCCTGTAGTCCGTGCATGTGAGATGACGGGCTTAGTGATACAGGCGTGGATGAGCTGAAATTCAGGGAGGAAGGCGGGCGAGATGATGATTGAAGAGAGGGCGGGAGAGCAGAGAAGGTAACGGATGTACCACTGCCTATCAACCCACTGTTTGTTCCGGTGGAGGATGTCCGTCCATGGGGAGGAAGACGGGGATTAGTTTGGGATACCGGTGTGATAGGAACTTGTGCTATGTGTCCTACTCCAGCAGGACCAAGGTCGATGCTTAGTACTGTTGTTGGTTTTGTACTTGCGGCGATACTTCTGAAGGTGCGAGGATTGGATAGATACGAAGAAGAGGAGTGGGATAGTGAAGGAGATGGAGGTGAGCTGGGGGGAAGAGGTCGAAGAGAGGCATCTTCATCTGCTTCGAGAGCGCTTGCAGGAGACCAAAAGGAATCACGAGCTAGTGACGAGCGATAAGTTGACGCGTCAAGATCTTCATCATCTGAATGTATGAAACCGGTGTCCAAATCACCCTCTCCATTTAGAGAAATAGTCTTCCGTTGAGATGCGGTATAACCATTTCGACTGCCATTCCCAATTACTCCCTGTCTTTGCGATGAACTTGGCGTGAGCTGTGGCAACGGAGAAGAAACTGAACGACTATTCGACCTCGAATGAGACGTGTTTGTGCCATTCTTGCTGTTTGGGGCCTTCTGTGAGTTGCTCGGTACAAACGCGTTATCCGCAGTCCTGCTTGGCTTCACAGTAGCAGATAACTTGCGCTGAAACCAGTTGATGATAGGTTTGCTAGAGCGATGTGGTGCCTTCTTGGTGTAAACCTGCTGAGGCTTTGTCGCAGGCCACTTAGATTCAGTGGCATTGGGTGGTTTGGGCTCAGCTTTAGGCTGGGCTCCCAACTGAATCGGATCACGGTGAGCGGGCTTGGAAGTTGTCGGTTTGGACTGTGACTTTGACGGGCTGAGGTTCTCGAAACTTGGTAGGGGCCATTCTCGTCGTCCGTAGCCACAATCAATATTTAAGAAGCGAGAATGCAGCGCTTAGTACTTATGTAAAAGAAGCACCGACCGTATCCGAGTCGGGGTGTTACTATTAGGCGGAAAACATGTGGACACCGATAAGAGGCCAACATCCTTTGTTTCGCGTGCGGAACGAAATTCATACAAGTACACAATCGTAATAGGACATGTTTCTCGCCAAATTTCAGGTTTACCATTCCATCTTCTTGCCTGGTTTTATACCTGCAACAGGGATCTTCTGACCCTGGTATCCGAATCCATCTAACCACGACCAGAGAGCACTGCGTTTCTCCTCAAATGAAGCAATGGCCTCCCCCCTCTGCAGAGTCAGGCCGATATCGTCCAACCCGTTGACAAGGCAGTGTCGCCTAAATGGATCGATGCTGAACGTGATAGCCGGCTTTCCACTACGTCTAACTTCCTGCTTCTCGAGATCCACCTCAATCTCTATGCCTGCCTCAGCATCCGTAGCGAGGTCCTTGCAGTCTTCCTCAGACAAGGGTAAGGGCAGCATGCCATTTTGCATCGTGTTGTTACGGAAGATATCTGCAAAACTTGGCGCGATTACGCAGCGGATTCCGAAGTCATTCCTGATAAGGGGCTTTGTGAGAAAGTCACAACATGCAAAAATGCAAGGATGCTCACAGAGCCCAAGCTGCGTGCTCCCGGGAGCTACCACAACCAAAATTCTTGCCAGTGCAGATGAGAATCTTGGCTTGGTCGTAAGGAGACTTGTTAAGAATGAAGTCCGTCTTTTCCCCGGTTTTCGGGTCGAAGCGCTGAGCGAAGAACAAAGCGTTGGCAAGACCGGTCCGCTTCAAAGTTTTCAAAAACTGTTTCGGGATGATCATGTCGGTGTCAACATTGTCGTTATGCAAAGATGCAGCAATGCCTTTCACAATAACGAACTTCAGGACTCCGGAGCCAGAAGAAGCAGGCGGCAAAGAGGTAGGAATTGCGGTCTGAGTGTGCGATGGGCGCTCTGACTCGGTCGCAGGTCCGGTAAACTCAGTCAAGAAGTCGAGGGCACTCGCGAGAGTCAACTTAGGACCAGCAGCAACCTTTTCCTCTGCATCTGCGCCGAAAAACTTGCGAACGTCTGTCAGCTTGCCCGTCATAGCTGCTGCCGCAGCCATAGCAGGGCTGACGAGGTGTGTGCGACCACCGGCACCCTGACGGCCTTCGAAGTTGCGATTGCTAGTACTAGCGCAGCGCTCACCAGGGGCCAACTGATCTGGATTCATGCCCAGGCACATTGAGCAACCGGCCTCACGCCAGTCAAACCCTGCACGCTTGAAAATGGCGTCTAACCCTTCCGCCTCAGCGTGTTGTTTGATCAGACCAGATCCGGGAACAACCATGGCCTGTACATTTGAGGCGACCTTAGCATCGGGACCGGCGGCAAGGACGATCCGGGCGGCGGATCGAAGATCTTCTATGCGGCTGTTTGTGCAGGACCCGATGAACACTTTCTGAAGAGAAATGTCCTCCATGGGCGTGTTTGCCTGCAGGCCCATATAAGCTAAGGCCCGCTCGGCCGATGCACGTTTCGAAGGGTCAGATATGGTGGACGGATTGGGGACTTTGCCAGTAATCGCGACAACATCCTGGGGGGAGGTACCCCAGGTGACGGTAGGAGGGATATCTGCGGCGTTAATATTGACCTCAATGTCAAACTTAGCGCCCTCGTCACTCCTGAGAGTCTTCCAGTATGCCTCTGCACGGTCCCATTCCTCGCCCTTGGGAGCGAGGGGACGGTTCCGCAAATATGCAAAAGTGACATCGTCGGGTGCAATCATGCCTGCACGAGCACCGGCCTCGATGCTCATATTGCAAACACTCATGCGAGCCTCCATGCTCATGTTGCGGAATACCGAACCAGCGTACTCGATAACACTTCCGGTACCACCAGCAGTTCCGATGACACCGATGATGTGTAAAATGACATCTTTTGAGCCAACACCTTCGACAAGCTCACCATCGACAGTGATGCGCATATTTTTGCCTTTCCTCTGCAAAAGAGTTTGGGTAGCGAGGACATGTTCTACCTCGGAGGTTCCAATACCGAACGCCAGGGAACCAAAGGCACCATGTGCTATTACAAGAGATCAACGTCAACTCGTATCAGCGGCAGTATATTAAACATACTTGAAGTGTGTGAGTCACCGCACACGCAAGTGATGCCAGGCAACTAACAAGATTCAATCAACTCCATGCTGTCAGCATCTGATAGATATGAAGACTTACCGTGAAGCCTTGTTCGGGTCCAATGATATGCACTATGCCTGGAAAGTACCGATGTCATTTAGCGTTCGTGCACACTAAACTGCATTAATTCGAACCTTGGCGCTTGTCAGATAGCCCAAAATAGGACAACCCAAAGTCTTTGACGTTCTCTTCCAGTTGCATGACCTGCGCACGCGAATCGGGTTCGGCGACAAAGGTATTCACAGACTTGTAGCTTTTCCGGGAAATGGTGCTGTCGCAATGTTAGCCAATGCAAAGCAAAGATGTATCATTCAACATACGGGATGTTATGATCTACAGTGGCAAGAGTACAGTCTGGGCGACGAACGGGCCTCCCAGCATTCTTCCTAAGTTCCTGTCAGCCTATGGTAACGAAGGTCAGATTGACAATTATGCTCACAGGCCTTCAAACGCTTGAGGGCTCGTGACCTCATGGACAAGATGACTGCAACACAGTGAGTCCACATCAACGAGGCAGAAAGCCCATTTTCCTACCGGTCGATGTAAATGAGGGCAAGGTCGTCTTCGTTCACATCCCTACCTGACAATCAGTATATGTCCGATACACGGACAGGGGGAGCCTCACACAACATGATCGTCCCAGATTTTATCATAAAGAGTTCGAGGGCCAGTGATTGTACCAGGCATGATGTTGAGATAAATGGTGGTGGGGGAATAAATGATACAATAGATGACTGTCACCGTCTAGCCTTTAAAGCAGGCTTGTTAAAACAAAGTTGCTCGGCCGATCAAATTGGATTCGGCCGGTGCCTGATTTAGGATTGAACTGTAACTGCACACGGCAAACAAATCTAAGCTGAGCAAGTCACTTATGGAACCTAAGCCGAAGACAACAGATATCAGTGAACACCATACGTGTGCCTCCTGTCCGCAGCGCTTGCGATGCTTTATCGCCATTTGGATTATAAATGAAATCTTCAACTCCACTTTTCGATTACGATGGAGCTGTATGGCATGTGGGGCCTATGCGGGCCCACACAGTTTACCGAATACCTCCAGATGATCTCCTCACGCTCTCACGGGTTGCCCCATATCATCCAAATCAGACCCGACTAGTGCGTCTACGAAACAGGGGTATCAAGTTGCACAGATTAACTGAATTTCGTGAAGGAAAGAAAGAATCCGACACGCTTCATGTTCCATCAATCGCCTGGCGCCTTGTCTACAGGCCATGTCAACCATTTGTGAGTATAACAATGCATCATCCACGATTACTGTATATGGCTTTTGTTATCGAAATACCACACCACACGCATCACATTATCGTGAATTGTCCGGGGTCTGCGAACTTCGACCGCTATACATTTCCCGTCGATTCGCTAAGAGAGTTTTGGCATTCCGATCAAGAGTTGCTTGCAGTCTCGCAGCCTGAGAGAGAGGAAGAGATAAGGGAGTGTCATGAGATAAGACCCGCAAATACGCACCGCAGCATCTTCTGGTCGCAAAGCCCCTTTCGCCATGTTATGTTTTCCAAATTTAAGGCGCTTAATACGAGTGGTTTGTGACTTGCCGACGGCATCCTGTTCCAGGAGGGCTTCACATTCCTCCTCTGTTGCCACATACCCTTGAAGTAGTGAGAAAAACTTGTGTCGGAGGACGGTCTTAATTCTCTCCAGTGCCTGTGCGCTATACCACCCATCTCGTTCCTACCAATGCATATGATCAGCGAAAGCCCATTTTCACATCATCAGCTACTCACGTCACAGACTTCCCGAAGGTTTTCATCGTCTTCAATCATCTCCTTCAACATAGGGTCGTGAATATCACATAATTGGAACGCGGCTGTCTCTTTAGTGAGAGTCTTCCCGTCAAATATGTGTGATTTACTAGTGATCGTTTACATTGAGCTAGATACAGTGACAATTAGGAAAGCTTACCGTCGATCGGCCTCGAATGACTCTTCTTGCTCGATGGACCTGTTGATGTATGTGGCAGCCGACCTGCCCTCTTGCCGACGCGCAACTACGGAAGGCCGTGCCACGGGGTGGTTGGCATTCCGAAAATATATCCGTTGATATCTTTAGGCCTTGACAGTGAGTGTCCGCCAATAGCAATACGTACAAAGCTCACATTCGAGCATCCAATTCTTTCCGAGGGTCGTATTTAAATCGAATCATTGCATCTCGCCATGGTCCATCTGAGAACATATATCCGGTTAAAGGCATGATAACTTTCGAGCTGTAGTCGCTGGTTAGACTTCTGTGATCGTATGATGTAGCACATACTTGTGTATTTCTCTCAATTCTGCAGGCGAAAACTGGTTGTAGAGAGCAGCACGAGTCCACACAGGACGTTCATTCATGAACTGCTCAGATGAGCAACTAATCAAACAAGAAGGATGAAGAGCAGCTCACTTCTAGTACTCGATCCAAAAGTTCACTGTTAGCTTGAGTGCGTACATTTTCGACTGTTGGAGGAGGACCCTCAGGAACCTATTGCAGAGAATCAGAAATGCTGCAGGAGTACGAGAGGGTAAGTCGGACATTGGGATCGCTGAAAGCGATCGTCACTGGCCCGTGACCTTTCCATCGGCCCTTATTGATAAGCCTCTTGCGCTCCTCACCAGTTTCTTCATTGACGAGGGTCGTTACAATCGAGGCAGGGTTCGCCTTGAAGCTACAGGCTGGTCAGCAATTTAGAGGAGAACGAGAAGAAATACGCGCTTGTAGTTTTGCGGTACGTTTTGACGGCTGAACAGCGGAGGGGGAAACAACCGCAAGTTACTGCGAGATCCAGAAGTTGGCTCGCTTTGCTCTGCCAGTGCTGGGTCTAGCTCGGGTGGGTGGGTGGACGCTAGGACTACATAGTCCTCTTTTTCGTCCGAAATTGAGTATTGTCGGATTGCATCAACTTCGGCATGTGAGGTCTGCGGATCAACCGATTGAAACGCTGTGCTTACCATCCATCCGATCCATTGCAAGGCGCAGCTGGGCCAAAGGATCGTTCATGTTAGGCTGAAACTGATAATCCGCCATACCTTATAATTGCAGGCACGTCAGTGACATACTTAAAAACGTGGGTTGGACTCACTGCGAAACCGTGCGGTCTTCGGGATGATACCCACTGCTTCCGCAGTGAACTCCCCAACACATTCTCCGTCCGGATGCTTTCGTTTCCGTCTCACGACTTTCAACAGAATATTGTTGGTGCTGACTATATCGCCCGGTATTGGGTGTGCAAATGGATTCCCTGGTCGTAGATTGAGCTCAAGAAGCGCCTCATTCTTGGCCGCGGTGCGTTTGAACGCAGTTTCAAGGCGTGAAGGCCCTCCGAGATTACTCACCGCCAACGGGACAGATTCAGGTTTGACATAACCCGGATATTCGATAGAATAGAATGGTGTTGATGGCAAGGGTTTTTCTGGTGCTTCGGAACGTATCGTGGAAGGTCCTGCCTCATCTGACATGACCGTAACGGTAAAGGATTGACAGGAGTTCACAATTGCAACAAGACAACTGTATCAGAGACTAGGAGGCACTATTAGGTACCTATTTTACGCTATAGCCTATTTCAATTCCCTCCAACCTTCTTGGACAGGCCCATAAGCTCCTGTATGGTATCCTGGCAAAAGGAAATCGGCGAGAGCGTAAACCTCTAAGAAAATTTCCTCACCTGTGAAGTGAGATCCACACCCGCCTTTTGCAACTCAGAGACAACTTTCTGCGCTGCTTCCCTAAACTCCGAGTTCGCAGCCAACTTCATCATCTGGAACGCCGAAGGTGGGGTGTTTGCGTCAATCCCTGGAAGCAAAATGTGTGAACATGTGTGAATGGCCAAATAATTCGCAGCTGACCTTGAGCCTTCATGAGTTCCGCAAAATCTCGGAGCGCCATCAAAGCCTCTGGTTTATCTGCAAGTTTCCCGAATATTGAAGTGTTCTTGAATTGCGAAAGGAAGGCATCTTCATTCTCTGAGGCTTGTAGTCGCGGTGTGTAGGAGAATGTTCGTCGACAGCGGGGGAGTGCTAGTGAAGTTGGACGAACCGGTCGTCTTGCTGAAAGTAATGCTCGACGTGTGTAGTTCATGATAGAGGGGTTAGAGATTGAAACAACCAGTACCGTGCGCGTGAGTGTTCCGCTTCGAAGTAAATAACTTTCAGCCACAAACGCGTTTTGACGAACGCGGCCATCATGGATAACGACTACTTTTCCATTGATGCCATCCTAGCTGAAAATCAGGTTTGTGTGATGTACTTGATATTCTAATACTCAATGTCTGGCCTAGAAAATACAATGTACCTTCAAAGTCGATATCCCTGACATGGGTCACCTCGCAGGTGGATCTGACCGTGATGTGCGCGTCTCAATTACCCTTTCCACGCGAATCATCATTGTTCAAGCCACCTTAGATCAAATCATTGACGAAGGCTCCAATACCGATATGGCTGGCTTATATCATATTGTTCTCGTGCGTCTAAGTCATATCCAGTAGGCACAAGAACAAACGAATCTTCAGTGATTGGGCTGACTTCACTATCCCTTCACCCTTTGGAACGCGGGTAAGAAACGCGCTCAAGGCTGAGCCTCGGAGCGTAAAGCTATCCAACTTGGTTGGTGCAGGTGGACTATGGTACGGTTTTGGAAAGATGGTCATGGATATGTGAGTCTCGCCGTTGGTTTCAGGGAGTATGCTTGACTGGCTACAAGTTTGAGTGAAGAGCAGGCGAATGGTATATCAGAAGTGTTAACAAAGGTATATTGCCTGCATACGTTGTGTGATATTGTCAATAGCCGTTTTGTTCAGGCCTTCAAAGGACGGTTGCTGGAGGTGATTGATCAAGCACAACATTTCGCGGCGCTTGGGCCTGCAGGAGGAGGTGGACCTTCTACCGATACCGCACAGTCATTCAGAGAAGGGCTTGATGGTACAGAAAGGGAATGTCAGTACTACTGAAAACTATGGCTTGGATGCTTACTCACCAGTCTGTACTTTAGTGTTTGCGCTGGCTCAAGAAAGCGCAAAACGAATGAAACGATGGCATGAAGGAAATGACAAGGCACGTCGGTGAAGAGTTCTAAAATTTGCTCTGCGTTATGTATACCATAAATCATTGTTCTTTTTTGTCTGTATTCGTCTCCATATTGGTCGTCTCATTCGCAGGAGGAATTTTCTTAAGCTCTTGCACAAACCTATGCATTGACCTCAGTTTACTGTTCAACATTTGTATGCCCAACACAACGTACCACTTTACGCTCGCCCACAGAGCGAGTTGGATACCCATCAAAACGAAGAAGTGTGGATTGCCTTTCGTTAGGTACGCTGACCAAAGGAAGACGAAGAACAGTAGTGCAAAGGCAGCATCGACAGCGAAAAGAAATGTCGGGTGGAGAGATGAACCTGGCTTCAGAATGAAAGAAACGAACGAGGGCTCTTCTGAGTTTGATGTCATATTCTTCGAGTAGCAGAAGATGCAGTCAGTCCAAAATCTGTTTGGAAGTCGGGAGCAAAGATTTACAGCCGTTTGCATATGTAATGGTACTGGCGCCTCGATGTAAAACAAAAGATAACATAGACCGAAAAAGGACTTAGCGATATTTTGACGAATTGTAGTACTGTGATATCTTAGCTTCCGAGTCTACTGTGGCAACATGGGTCGTAACCCGAAGACATTCAAAAGCGCAGAGTTCATCGATGACTCTGATAGCTCGGATGATGATGGCAGTGTCCTTGACATCTCATCGACATCTTCCGATTCCGATAGCTCAGGGTCATCGACAGCATTTGTATCTGACGCAAGCATTTTCAATTTCGATACTCGAGACAGTATAGATCGTGAACTAGATGCAATGGCTGCTCCGCCTCCAGCTGTAGAGCCTATTCCAGTTGCAGAGCCTCTTCAAGCACCTAAAGTCAAGTCAAAAAAGAAAAAATGTTGCACATATATTCTGTTTGTGGCTGAATGACTGATGTGATCACACAGCTAAGCAACCTCAACCTGTGACTCCCCCTCCCAATGAGCCAGAGGTTATACCTGCTCAAGTGGCTCCACTGCGTATCAAGGCAACATACAGCATCACAATTCTGCCGCACAGTGAGCTCAAGAAAGGTGACATCAAGAAACGTGTTGGCACAGCAACCATTCTCAGCCTTTATCTTGATGAGCCTTTTGACACATTCAAGGCACAAGTTCTTCGAAAGATCGAAAAAGAGACTGATCCAACCATCTTGTCCTTTGAAAACTACAAGACTTTCTTTACCATTGTTCGCATCACTCCGCAGCCAACCTCACTTGCAGATGAAGATGATTATCAAGAACTCATCAAACATCTGCAGCAAATGAGCACACCTGCTGCCACTATTTATATCCAAGAGCTTTTGGCCATGAAAAAGGTGCTAACTGTGTGTGATTTCTTTATGAGCTAATTTGAGTCTGATAGTGCAAGGACCGGCCATCAGACAAGGAGAACAATAGAGAAACAAATGAGGATAACAATCATAGCAGCTTAGAATTGAGTGACGATGGTAAGAAAAGGAGCAAGAAGAAGAAGAAAACAAAGGTAACACATCATTCTATATCTCAATGTTGGTTGACGAAAAGTTTAGGCACCAAAGGCTGCTGACATAGATGAAGAGATGAAACCAATCAACAAGAACATCAAGGTATTATCGGATCAGTGGGTTTGCCACAAAAAGCCAGGCTGCTTGAGTGACTACTGCTACCCAAACCCTGGTGACAATGGATCTCATGTCTGTCTGACATTTCCCCTTCTCGAATGCTGGGCAGCTGCAATGGTTGGTATTAGTTTTTTGAATGTTTTATTGACCATTTCACTTTGAACACTGCACAGGAAAAAGGGCTGGAGTATGCCACTCTTGAGATGCCTCCTAACCATTCTTCCTTCAGCATGATTTCTTCCGACTCTCTTGGGCAGCCCTCACTTCTTTCTGTCTGCTGCCAACAGCTCAATGAACAATCCAAGAAAGCCACTCAGGCTGAGGCTGTACCTGTCGCACCCACACCAGCACAAGCTATGCCCGTTATCAATGTCAATTTTCCTCCTGAAATGTTCCAAGCTATACATGCAGCATCTGACTCACAACCTGTCCATCATGCACCAGTCCCTGCCTTGCTTCCACCTGCTGTATTACCACCTGCTGTTCCAGCCTCTCTCGGCTCTTTGCTCTCATCAATGCAGCTTGCTTCCCTTGGACCAAGAATGAACCTAACGGACTTTTGCTCTGCTTATGAACTTTCACAAATTCTTCAGTCAAAACTTTCTGATCATGGTTTCACGTCATCACATGCCCTTCGTTATGTCACCATCGATGATTTGCAAAAGGTAGGCTTGCTTTGTGGAGAGCTTGCTGAGCTCAAGGATGCAGTTGCCCGTTGGTGTGGTGAATAGTTGTTACATGTTACATTTTTTACTGTTACTTTTGCTCTGCATGTTCTGTTGTCTCTCGCTACTCTCACTCTGCATGTTCTGTTGTTTCTTGCTACTGTTACTTCATACACTGCTCTCGATTATTGATCATGTTTGTATTCTAGAAGTACCCTGAATGACGAATGTATTCCTGTGCATCCTCCGCTGTAATGATCTCCAGGGCCTCTCGTAGGTTGTACATAATCCCATCATTGTTTGCTGCTGCAGAAAACAGGTCATAATTACGACAAATCCATGCCTTGAACTTTGAAAAGGCTTCCTTGATTGGGTTGAGGTCAGGGGAGTAGGGAGGTAAAAATGTGATTCATACACCTGTTCTGAGTCAGCATCACTGAGTACATAGATACCATGTAACATAGGCCTACCAAATCTATCTGTGAGCTCACGAATTTCTTTGCCATGGTGGATCCAAGCATTATCCATGATCCACACACTGTTCTTGCCAGGATAAGCCTCACAGTTGGGCAGCTATCAATGAACATGAATTGACGAAAAAGTCAAGTGTGATGAGTCCCAACTCACAACAGAATGTTCAAGGAAGTGAAGGTACCCATTGTGACACAAAGATCCTTCAAGAACATGTCCTGCAATGATTCCATCTATAGTCAAAGCAGCAACAACTGTGAAGCATTGTCTGCGAACAAATGCACCCTTCATGCTTGCATATTGGCTCCTCTTTGCTCATCCATACCTCCAAATTTGTGTGCATTCATCTTTTGATGTCTCATCAATGAACAACAGTTGATCTGGTGTATACTGCACCACCCGTTGCTTGAAGTCTGCACGAACATCTTCATTGAGCTCCTTAGCGATCTTATGGAGTTTTTTGAGTGAGATGCCAGCCTGTGCGAGCTCTCGGTGAATTGTGGAATAATGGACGGTGATGTAGCAATTGTGTCGCATAAGTGTTGTCAGCTCATCAAGAAACCAATCAGGACAGTGATGGATAAGTTCTAGAAGGTAATGGAGGTCTTCGAGATTGAAAATGCGTGGACGACCAGTGTATTGGCTCCTTGGCTTGACAATGTTACCAGTGTCGTTGTAGAGCTTCCTGATTCTATAGAATGTCATGCGGGAGAAGCCAACACAGTCGAGGATCTCGCTGAGTCTAAGAATCCCTTGTTCATGCAGGTGAATAGCTGCAAACTTCAAATCAGCTGAAATCTTTCTGTTGCCCATGATATTGATGATTGTGGTATGCAGGTCTTGTAAAATTTACGCTAAGTCCTTTTTCAGTCCATGTTATCATTTGTTTTACATCGAGGTACCATTACATATGCAAACGGCTGTAAAGTTGTACGCCCACCATTTCGTGACAGCACTCGATTTTGTACCAATTACTTAGCTACTTCATATGTAGGCACATTCTACATATTCTACTATCATATTCCAAGTGAAACAAAACAAATCCGTTCAGAAAATCCGCCACACCCTATTATTGTACAATTATTGGCATTTATCGTTATATCATACTCTTACATACTGTAACTTGCGACTGTCCTATATACATTTCACGAATTTAACGTCTGCCGAGCGGACGGTAGATTCGGCCAGTGTGACTGTCCGTGGCTATCTGCTGTAGTTCACGAATTGGTGGGCAATCACGGATAGACCATAGGACCGTAGGGAATAGTACTCTTTTGAGTCCTAGTGACAGGCACTGCAGCCTTCTGGGTTGAATTTCCAGCTCTACGGAACATTCCATACGAGTGTCAAAAAGTATGTATTAACGTTACCAATTATAAAGACTGTTTAAAAATTCTGACCAGGAGACTATTACAAGAGACTACAAGGTACTACTCAGGGAAGGACAACAACTTGTTCCACATAGCAATGATCAAGGGAGATGGGCCGGACTCGACTCTGAATCGAACCCTCAGTACTCAATGATCGAGGGCCAGGATCATCCTGTGTTCAGAAATCTCGTGCAAAGCCAGCTGCAGATTGGACCCACGCGTCGTCACCAGGCAAATGTGATTGCAAGTCTCTCACAACGGCTATGCGTCTGTTCTGGAACTTCTGACCACCGCCACACGATATCCGATTTGATGTCACTGCCTTGCTTGTGCAGCGTGAGAGCACAGCGGCGTATTCCGCTTCCATCAGATAGAAAATCAGTTTCTGGGTCGGCTGATAGAATAGATCAGCAAGGCGAACCAAAAGAAAATAAATGAGTAATACACCGGTCAAACGTGCCCACCCATTCAAAATACCTGTGCGCCACAAAAGCGACAGATTCGGGTCTAAGTGTTTCATCGTCATTCTCTTCTCCGCCGAACACGGGGACAGTTGGGGTTCGTAGGACGGGAAGCTTCAGTTTGTCAAGTTGTGAATCAAATAGAACGAAGCGCATAGGAGTTCTAAATGATATTAAATGCTCCATTTATCGATGGAATACTGCACTGCCATCTAACGCACTGTGATTCTGAGGAGAGGAAACTTGCCAAAGCCAACGCGTGGCTAACAAGCTGGAGATACGATGCGATAGTGTGACTTGGCAACGACCAAATTTCCTAAAAACATGATGCACACAGCAAGAGTGAATGATACATACGGTTTGTTTTCATTTATGGGTAAAAAGTACGCAGATAGTTCGTGCAAAACAAGCAACGACGGAACGGAACCTAGAGTTGCTTTGGCATCGAGGGGTACAGGATCGGAGGCCTTGTATGTTCTAAACGCGGATAATAACACGACCAGGTGATTTGGGGTTGGTGGGTAGCTGAGGATTGGGCAAATTGATCACATTACCCCACACCCATACACAAAAATGGGGACCAACAAGATGTCAACTTCGGAACTACTTTGACAAGTGTTCCCTATTCCAGAATTGGTAAGAAGCCATTCGTCGCTGTACCCCCGAAGGCTACGTATGAGAGCCTGTCGAGCAGAAGAAAGAAGTAAAGCCTTGGCACCCGTTGGAACCGACAGACACATATGAATTGGAGCTGAAGGGTGATAATTTCCTTGTACTATGAGAGACCTATAGGGTGGCAGGGACGGATCAGACGTGGGGAACATTCGAGCCATGGTGATGACAGTTCCTGTGCATGACAAGCTGAAAACTTGAACTCCGAGCAAGTCCACCGGGCACGTGATCGCCGCGACAAGTGAAGCGCCGTGAACATTCTCTATGAGAACTTCCATTGGCATCAAGCAGTGTTTGCACCACGTTGAAGTGATCTTGGGTACCTAGGCGCTATAGAATCCCCGATCTCCTGAATGTTCTTATATTCTGATATGCGTAGGTGGAGGATTTTTCCGCAAAACTCGCACGTCGTGTTCCTGAGCGTCAATCCATACACGAGCACATACCATGCATGTTGTGAGGTGCACAGCAGTATATAAACTCACGGTCAACTCACGATTATACAGGTACCTGCGCCTCCTCGACTTCCCTTCTTCAACTGACACACTCCCATCCTGAGCCATATCGTTATTAATGGCCAATATAGCAGCTCGGGCAATCGTAGGTGCAGCACAGACAGCTGCACAATTTGCTCCAGTGCCATGGCTCGCACCTGCCACGGGTATATTGGTCGCATTGATCAACATGCTCGCAGCAGCGGAAGCAAATAAGTATGCAATATCTTCGATAGCCCACAGATCCGAATACTGAACAGCCCATCACAGAAATGGAATCATTGTACTCCAAGATCGCTGCCTGAGTCTTATGTCCATCATCAACAATGAGGGGCAAAATTTGTCCCCGGATCAACAGGCTAGGCTGTGTTCGGGTGCCCAAGGGTTAGTAGTCTGGCTTGACCGCCGATCAATCAGCTGATCTGCCCATCAGCACCCTTCAAAATATTTTGAACAGAATGGAGCCGTGGTGCTCCATGTCCAGGGTCAAGCTGTTCGTCAAACAAGACGAGCTGGCTGGTACCATTCAGCAATGCCACGCTGATATTTCAGACTGCTTGGTCAAACTACAGGTACTGAAGCGTGCTCTAGCAAAATCGTTCTAACGCCTCTTCAGATCACCTCTCACATATCTATTCACGCATGGCAGGCAAACTTCGAGTTGAGTCATGCACGAGACAAAGAAGACATCGTGCAGTATCTGGGCGACATCAGGAACCAGCAGGAGCTCATGCAAGTCGCACAGACGAAGCAGGCTGCAGATCTGCATCAGATCATGAAATTAATGCAAAAGGTCACTCCAACTCGCCACTAGACTAGTCCTGATGAACTCATTGCTATGCAGAATCTTCCGGGTCATGTTCCAACCACAGATCGTGGTATGGAAAGCAACCTGTACTACGTCCAACATTCATCTCAGTCCCTCTTACCGAACATGAACCTCAAACGCGGTGAAGTGAAGCGCATCGGACAGTATGCTGTCAAGGGAACGGGATCAGCGGATATATGGGAAGGCTACTATTTGAACGAGGAGAAGGTGGCCATCAAGATCCTACGGGCTGTTCACTGCGAACCTCAAACGCTGCGGGTACATTATCACTCTCCTCTGCTCGAAATTGCATCCTCACATCGTTTTCTAGAGGTTCAAGAGAGAAGTGGACATCTGGAAACGCGTGTGGGAAGCTGACCGCGGAGAGCATATCCTTCCTTTCTACGGTTTCTGTCAAAACGACGGACCTTTCCCGTAAGCCCTTCCCCCATATGGTTGTCCACTCCTCTTACCACATCATTCGATCAGGTATGTTGTAAGTCCATGGATGGTCAATGGTACAGTGGACGAGTATATAAGAAAATACCCCACCGTAGATCATCATACTCTGGTATGTACAAGTCTTCTAAGGAATGATTGGTGTGATGTTGACTCGTTGCAGATCAAAGGTATTTGCGAGGGTGTGAATGTCCTGCATAGCATGACACCCCCGATCGTGCACGGTGACCTCAAAGCGGTGCGTAGCTTTATCTACCTTTTGAGGGCCTGACGTGATTGTGCTCCTAGTCCAACATCGTTGTTGATGCCAACGGAAACCCCCTGCTGGCCGATTTTGGCTTCGCCAAGGTAGCATCACATTCCAATAGTTGATTGACCACATTATTGACATGTGGAATCAGGTCTTAGAAGATGTCACGGGCGTGAATTTCACGATGTCTGCTGGGTACTGAGATCGACAATGTCATTACTTGCAACGTACTGACCCAACGTAATTCAGAGTTTCGAATTCCCAAAGATGGCTTGCGCCGGAGCTCTGCTGTGATGGCGGCATGCTTACCACCCAATCTGACATTTTCGCATATGGCATGACTATACTCGAGGTAAGTTGAAATTTCACGCGAGAACAATTCGCATATCTCATAGCATTTTTTAGATCATGACGCATGAAGTACCATGGCACAACATCCGCCACACAACACACGTCATCATCAAACTTTCTAGGGGGGAGATGCCCCCACGTCCCAAAGATCCTGCGGCCAGCGCAAGAGGTCTGGATGACCGTCTATGGGAGTTGGTCAAGAGCTGCTGGTCAGCCCCTGAGAAGAGACCTTCGACGAGAGATATTCTTGCTTTCCTTGGATAAAAAGAAACATCGCTATGTCTTACTACATTCGTATTGCTATCATCCGTGCTGCCGAATTGCATATCTCACTGTTTGACTTCCATCGTCTCAAGTGGGGCCGTAGGTGCAGCATCTCACCTTTCAGCCGCAGCCTCCCATGTAATATCATCCAATGTATCCCTGGCCCACCCCGCGGCCTCCGCAGATAAGCTTGAACTTCCAAAACCATAGTTAGGTGAGTATATCAACAAACGAAGTAAAGAGCTCACCTGCCAGTTCTACAAGAACTGTTTGAATGCCTCCAGGCAGGCCAGGATCTCAATTCTGTTCTGGAGAAAGTGCATTCCTTCGTTATAGGGTAGAGGAAGGTCCGGAATATATCGAAGAACATGTGCTGCCGTTGGGGGATACATTCCGCTTGCAACAGCATCATATAGTTGAGTCGTGACTTTGATTTTGTAGAAGACTGGATAGGTGCCATGCATAGTGATGGCCGGAAAAGTGATGGTAGGAAGACGAGGTCGACGGCTCATGGTCCGGATCTCGTTGTTATTTGCAAATGCAGCAATAGTTGTTGCAATGACTTGGGGTTTTGGATCTTTCAACTTCTTGTCCTGCACCAGCATGACAGTCGTCTGATCTTCGCCAATAATGCAGACATTTATTCGTGCTGTACAAGTCTTTCCGCAAATGTCAAAAGGAAACAAAAATGATCCTATCATCGCCATCATCATGATATTCAAGCTTCTCCTTGTCTATTACTGCATCGCGGCCCCCCCCGATTCATCCGCAATTTCCAGGTTATGCAGTAATTTTGCAGTTTCGTTATCTGCTGCATTTTGTCGAAGCCAAGTGGACATGAAACCATTGAGTGAGCCTACTAGGGGTTATCAGGTTGCCGAAAGAGTGCTGTATGGAAAAATTGTTGTTTTGACTGAGTTACTATGTTGATATTGTATGCCATGAGGTCACAGTGAGCCCATTCACTCGCAGTTTTTGCATATCGTATCAAGTGAGCCACATCGAGAATATTAACTCACTCGACTCAGGAGTCGATCATTATATTGGCACGGTCACGTGATACAAAATAAATGACATCCTTGATGTCCTCAAAGCTTGCAGTTTGTCCACTTGAGTATGCCTCGAAGTCCGTTTTTTTCATTCTCTATATGTTATTTATCATATTTTCTTCTGCACTTGCTAGCTCCAGAATTCCTGCTCTATCTCCTGGCACCTAAGCAGGGCTCTCCCTAAAATTCAACGCGTTTGCGAAGTTGTGAGTAGGCGAATGCTCTCCACTGTGGTGATTGTTACTGTTAATGATTACGCACAGATTGATTTCTTTGCCTTTCTCTTGCGGAAAGCAGAACGTCGCAGATGGTCGCTACTTCCTTTTTTCAGCTGATACGCAGCATTCGAGCCGAAATAGACCCTTCATTTCTTTCCTTGTTGTATAGAGCCCTCGCTAATTGTATTTGTGTGGTTGGTATTGCAGCGCATCTACGGGCTGCCCTCATAGAAGCAACGAAGCATTAGCTTCAGATAAATGTCAACAATGCGCAGAGTCCCCGGAGGATGATTGTGAGGAGCTTGTCCTGTTAGAAGAACTTTTGCTCTGGAAGACATGGAGAAAGTCACTTAAGATGTTAGACGGTCAGTATCCGCTTCTTGTATCAGTTTTGAGTGCGAGGAATTTTGGGCCCAACCATTGGGGCAGTGAACAGGGGCAGGTTGGCGACGGTTAGTGCACGAGATGTGTCATACTAATACTATACAGTGGCTCCCAGTATGTTTTGTCTTCTTGTATCATGCTCTATATTCTCACCTTGTAATATCTGCCTGACATTATCACTGTGTTGTATATACTACAGGTTATATGTACAAAAGCTTGCGTTCACTGCGACCATCTCGGGCGCATCAGCGTATGCAAAAGTCGCACTCACACAAAGAGATGTAAGAGAGGCGCATGGTCGCATGCATATCAATCTCGCGGACAGCAAGGGTAACAATGAATATTCGATGGTATGCTAAATATGATGATAACATGCTAGAGAATAACCAGGCGTTCCAGATATATATATGTGCGGGCTGCACCTTCGTTAATACAGATTAACCATATGATAGAAATGAATACACATAGACATCAAGAAACCCGGAAAGGAAGACGTCACAGAATACGCGAGTCTTTGAGAGCGTTGTGTAAGATCGTCTCCTTGACTGCAACGAAGACTAGGCAGTATATGGTATCCGCTGAATCGGTGGCTTGTGTCAAGCTAAGGCGCAGTGAATGATGAGCGAAGCGTGATAAATCACACTTACTGAGGGTATACTCTTAGGCGCGCCCGGTTGGCTTGCATGAACTTCCATAGAATATGTTTTGCCGCTTTGTTGCAGTCTGCGCCGCCTGTATATTCTGGGAAGTATTTCTCAATCGGTACCTGCAAAGCGTCAACGAATCTGCATGTGTTCGCAACAATGGATACATACCTTTGGTAACTTGTTCTTGAACACGTCTATCTTGGTTAATAGTAAGATTATGGAAGTGCCCAAAAACCATCGGGAATTGACGACCGCCTCGAATAGGATCAGTGATTGCTGCATGCGATTCTATTGACACAATCATTGATAACAAAGAATCGCGCATGCACAGGACCTACCTGGTTCTTCCCTTCCAATAGCACTTGGTTGTATTCCGATAATGCTGCGCAGAAAATGATGCTTCTCACGGAATCGAAATGATGTATCCACTTCTCCAGTTGTGAGAGCTGGACGCCGACGTCAAGCATATGGATGCTACAAGACCACGATCAAAAATAGAACTTCGACATGCCGGCGTACTCACGAGATCTGCCCCATGTCAAACCGCGTTGGGGTGATACCGGTTGTCTTCGCTTGAGCTCGCAGTACATCGTTTTTTGTTGGTGTATAGTCGGGAGCGCCTATACGGAGCACTTCCGTAAAGAAACTGCGAATGGATACCGTAAGTATTTGTAATGCGAGTGAATATAATTGTTCAGTTACTCACTAGCCAGCTGAGTCCATAAGATAGAACTGGCTCGAACAGTCCATCACTTTTGGAATGATAGGATCTTGCCATAATTCATGAATGGCTCGTGCAATATCAGGAGAGAAAACAAAATCGGGGGTGTTTTCAACCCTGTATTTGATGATGCGTTCGGCGAATGTCTATAGAAAGTAATAAATTGGGTAGGAGAGAAAGTGGGAGAGAACGTACCCGATTCGCAGGCGTTACACATTCTACATTCATGTTATGCATGTGTAGGACAATGGCTTGCGCTGAGTCGAGAGTATTCCGATATATTATCGGACGGAACATCATGAGTTCATTCTTGGTGAAGCCATTCTGATGAGTGATTTTCATCTGCTTGACTATTGTCGACTTTCCAGATTCACTGGACCCTGAAGTTGGATATGAACAGGAGAACAAAGAGAGGGGGTTGAACGGATAAGGGCAGTTGAAGGAAATAGACCGAGTAGATACAACTGCGGAAATATTTGTCTCGATCATGAAATAAAAAATGAAATAGACCTAGTATGGGGCAGAAAGGAAGATACATACCGAGAACAAGTATCTCATACTCCTTCCTAGCGATAGAGTCTTCTTTTATTTGACGGTCAATAGCATCTGACCGTGCCTTCTTTTTTCTGTCCGAATACCAGGTTAATATGCAGTTGCCCATCTATGCAGATAAATCGGTGATAAATAAGTAAGAGTAGTGTTGCAAGGGTAAGGGACTCGGAGGCGTGTTAACCTGAGAGACCCATGGCCGGTAAGATGTACAGAATGTTCAATTTAATGACCCTAGCTGTAGATGACTGTCGCCACTGCCAGCCCTGGCTCGACCCTGCCCCAGACCCCAGCAACTCCTCGGCCAATATTCCTGGCCGAGTAAATCGGTTTATCTTCTAGTACCCATGCTGTCCCCCTGGGGCTTCAAGCTTCAAGCTTCAAGTCGTTCTCGTTACTCACTCGCGTTGGATGAGAATTTCATTATAGCTTCGCTTGTTCCCCATTTATGTTAGCTTTAATTCTGTTTATTACCTCCACTTCAGCTGTCCACCTATGAAGCCTGTGCCTCGTCAAGTGTAGTCAGTGTACAAGTAAGTCTTCGACTATTGCCAAAGTAGCTAAGCAGAATTAGAACTTGGCGACTCAGCGCCGCTCGGTTAGGTATTTTCTACCCGTATATAAGATCAAGTACTTTGCCACGACCTACAGTTGTAGGACAGATGCATCACCACTACTGGCATTACAATCACAGCATTTTCTTGCATCACTATGACAGGGGCGCCTGACGTGCCTTTCCTCTCCCTCTCAGCCGAATTCCAACCACACTCCCACTCATTCCGCCCACCCTCACCCTTCTCTTACCATTTATTCTGAACCCCTCTCAATTTCCGATGTTGCGTGTCGTTCGTCGTTTGTTTCGTCCCACCATCACGCATATAAGCAGCTTAAGAGAACGGTATATTTCTCAGCCGACCTCCGTCCACAGTCCCCATACCCCTACCACCGTCTTTCCCTGCCATGCATTCCGTCCACCACTCAGCCCACCCTACAGCCCATCCTATATCCTCCTCATTTTGCTCCATCGTACCAACATGCTTGGTGGCTCAGAAAGCCGATATATCAGACTTGAAGGCGAGTCCTTCCATATTACCTTCGTATCTATTTCATGCTTCTCACTCTATCTACAGTCATCAACGGAAAGAATCTCCAGGTCCCTTCCGAGCGCATTCCTGCTGGCATTTACGTGCCCATCAGTGTCTTATCATCTGAGGAATTTGTAGTGTGGGGGGATGCTGTAACTCTGTAAAGTCCATGGAGACTTTTTGACGTGATGCGAGAACTGATCATCGTTTTATAGATTATCACATACCTCACCTACATTATCAGTAGAGATAAGGACATCCGTCCTATGAGCTTGATCAAATGCTAGGCTGTGGAGAAGTCATCAGGGAACTTCAAATGCCGTGGGATGAGCCACTCGATCACGGAGATGAGCCATTTGGTGAGTGACTTGCTCCTCATTCATGAACATATATTAACATCTCGTAGATCTATCCTTCCCACCCGTGCATGGCGTCCACCCTTCCCTCACGCTGAAGGTTGCTGTTGTACATGCTTGCGACAATCAGGATGGTACACTGTTTGATGTGAGTGACACTACTCTCTGTTCTGTTAGCTTTTTCTGACGGAAGCTGACTGTAGTCCCTCGTAGACTCCAAGGTTGCTTTGTCGAATACGTGACAAGCGATCACATCTTCCACTTGCGCAGCATTTTCAGTTGGTTCTGGACCAGTGTCCGGTCAGCCATCCGGACCACGCAACGGCTCTCACCGACCTTGTGTATGTGTACCTTCAAGGATGTTGATCTTCAAGACATTGCTACCTCTTCTGCGACGCCCTTGTATTGCGTCCGTAGCGCCATCCCGATCACCCCTCATAATCTCACCGAAGCCCTGGATTGGCACCACGACAAGAAAAGTACCGCTGCCGACATCCGCTAAGCCGCTCAACTCTATCATGAACTACTGCCTCCCTGTCCAGATGGCACCTACCTTTGTAGCATCGCGGCTGGGGCAAATAGTGTAGACTATGTGATTGGCGGATGCAACAAGATTCCGATAGATGCATCCGATAAAGGTATCCACCTTCGAAGAGTTGTCCTCAAACTCTGTCCTTTGGGTCATCAAGTCCGTCCCAGAGCCTTCGACAAGCTTGCACAAGCAGTTGAAGTACGCTTTGACCAGCATGACAACATCGATGATCTTGACGCGAGCATACAACTCGGTCATGAAGCCGTGTCTTTGTGCCCCGAGAGACATGCTAGCCGTGGTGCCTACCTGAACAACTTGGCCTTCTCACTTGTGTCCCGATTCGATCACCAAGGCAAACCTAATGACCTCGATGAGGCCATCTCTTTACACGAATAAGCGTTTTGTCTACGCCCTGTTGGGCACAAATATCATGGTTTCTCGTTGGACAGCATGGGGGGCGCCCTCATCACCCGTTTCAACGCACGCGGCGACACTCATGACATCGCCCGAGTTATCAGCCTCTGTCGTGAGGCACTGACGATGCGCTCACCTGGGCATCCACGTCGTAACACTACAACCTCGCCTTCGCACTCAAAACCAGATATGACAAATTGCAAGTCGGCGAGGATCTTAACGAGGCCATTGATTGGTATCACGAATCCCTTCGGTTAAAGCGGCTTGATCGTCCAGGGTGCCACACGACTCTTTTGAATTTAAGCCCTGCTCTCGTTTCATGCACACTCAAAAGAACGATGATATCGAGGAGGCCATCACTCTTTGTCAAGAAAAATTGGCAGCTTTACCTTCACTCCACCCAGATAGATCAGGCCACTGGAAGCTTATGTCTCGTTATTGTGTGCAGTACAAGCCTGCTGATCTGGCACTTGCAGTGGAAAAACTTCAGACTCGCATCCACGTACATCCTACTCATGCAGCGCCATCATCGTCCCGATGTCGGGAGAACCCCATCATGTTCTCTCGCCGTCTGTCGCTCTCGCAGAGCTGACCAATCTCGAGGATCGCTTCGCCAGGGCAATACGACATGTATCTACCATGAAAAGTGCCACGGAATGACCTAATAGTCCTCTTGCGGATAGTATGGGACGAGATCATGCTGCCTATCGTCAACGTCCTCCAGCATAATCTGAAATTAAAATTACACTCTCAAATTTGGCTGTGTTCCACTGCAGCTTTTACCTCTATTCCTCTCCACGCAGCTCACCCATTTTGAATGAACGCAGATCGCTCTAAGGAGCCATGCCAGGAGAATCTCTACACTTGCCCTTACACGCCGACACTTTCGGCTCTGGTCAGATCTAAACACATGATGAAGAAGCACGTCAGTCTGTCCTTCGTGGTAATCAGACAGGGTCAATCAGGTGCAGGGAAAGGCAAGACCCTCTTGGCTGTCAACAGCGAGCTCGAGTTTGTCCACAGGCTCATCCCCGTGACTGCCAACCGCACCACTATTTCTGGCGACAAAGTCACACGAGCAGGTGCACTCGAAGCTTTGCAGCAGGACACCTGGGTGCACCTTGCTTCAAAAAAAGAACAAAAAAAGCAAGCTGGACCCTGCGCAGCTTTACAAATCGCATTTCGTCATGAAAGATGAACACCTGACGCTGCTCGATATTATGGAGAGAGACATTCCTCACGCTGAGTTTGCGTTCTTATCCTCTTGTCATAACGCCGTCAACGACGAGGAGACGCCCGACGAAGTCATTCACCTCACAGCTGGTCTCCAGTTTTCGGGGTTCAAGAGCGTCGTTGGCACCCTGTGGGAGGTCGACGATTCTGTCGTAAAAACACGTCATCGAAACTTTCTATCAGAATATGTTCAAAGCTTTGAAGGATGGTAGTGTCATGGACTGTACGAAGGCGATCTGGGTACTCAACTGCGCTACACACGCCGTAAGGACGAAAGTGTCGCCCGAGCAGAGGATGGGTTTCATTCATATCGGTATGTAATTCTACGTCCAATCAATTCCTTGGGGCTTGTCGTTCTCGTCACTCACTCGTTGAATGAGAATTTCACCATCGACGGCGAGCCTTACTTGTTCCTCATCTATGCCACTATTGTCCAGCTTTAATTTTGTAATTCTGTTTATTACCACATCCTAATACACATTTTTTACATCTACTTCCTGTCCGCCTATGAAGCCTGTGCCTCGTCAAGTGTGTGCCGAAAGTGCTGATTGGTGACAGTTGAGACTCGATGTGCAATACAAGTTTTCGACTATTGCCGAAGGTAAGCAGCATTAAAACTTGGCGAGTCGGTAAGGTATTTTCTACTCATATAGGGTTAAGCACTTGCCATCGCGCTTTGCTAACGTCCGCTACACCTGCGGCCCGCAGGCTCCCTCCGCCTACCACACCTAAGCTCCAACCCGCGCCATGCACCAGGCCTAACCGCAACCGCACGAAGCCTGGCGGCGGGAGGTAGGTGCATGATGCACAGTTCTAAAATGGCCAAGCTCCTTCAATTCCGTAAGAATTGTTAAAATACTCCAGACAAGCCAAGAACTCGGCTCTGGCCTTAGGATCCCTAATCGCAACGCTCCAGGGGTGTCCAGAAGAATCAAAGAACGGGTGTTTTACTTGTAGGAAACGCACCTCATGCAACGGCCTCGCTCAGTTCGGCCGTGACGAGATTTTATAGAAGGTGGAAGTGAGGCCTTTCAAGGTGATGGCAGGAATGGTGATGATATCGAGAGGAGGGAGATTCATATCCACCCGAACCTTGTTGTTTGCTGCATAGGCAACAATAGCTCCTGCGATGACTGTAGGCTCAAGGTGTGACCATGACCGTAACATGTTCTCGTTGGACCTCGTCTCAGACTGATCCTGTACCACCATGAGAATTTCGTTATCATCCATGACAAAAACATTCATCTCTACAAGCGAAGACGCCCCACAGACAGGAAGTGGAAGTGGATGGTGGGTGAAAACGATTCTTCGACCATCGTTATATCCATATGTCTCCAACAGCTTCGCAAAGAAATTGAACTTGCTGTCCTGCACTGTCCATAACCGTGGTAGTTGGCTAAATCAAAGTACCACAGCAACTTTTTCGTGCTACCCGCCATAATTCGTCGATCCGCAAAATTCCTGAAATCGACAAGTGTAGGGTGGGCAGGCGGTGGAAGACAAGGCACACCAAAGAATTTCTGTTTTGTCTGGGATGATACAATGATATGGTGGGCATCGAGGTCATATTTAGTCCATTCAGTGATGCCAGGTCTCGCGATTCGTCTCAAGTCAGCCATCAGTGCTTCAGCTGTTATTATGTAAGCTGACCGACGAGTCTAATTTGTCGTGGCCTGCCAGAAAGATTAGTCGATGGGCTCCTTATACTAGTGATTTGAACGGGGGACCTGACTCGTTGAAGGATGCAATGTATGGCCAGGCGGACATGGTTTAACGAAGCAACACGGAGCTGGAAGTGTCGCGAATCATTTACGTAAACATCAAGCCTTAGAGATGCACCCATTCGCATCCTATGTGCTACGAAGTTATTATCGTGCAACAGGATGGAACGAAGACAACTTGTACGCCAACTTGACCCGTTCTTCTAACGGTATGTTCCTCTGAAACTGTGTCGCTGGCCTGAGCTGAAGCGCATGTACCTAGCTATACTGGACTTCAGCGTCCCTCGTGGGCTGCATTTATCCATATCCAAAGCTCCTAATGGTCTCTTCAACACCTCGTATTCCATGAACGCTATGCCATCGCTCAACGGCTCAGTAGGCTACATATTCACATCCTGCAACCTCGATGTGAAGAGCTCTGGTAGTGTCCGTTTCAAAGACATGGTCGAGCGTTTTAAGGTGTACGATCAACCTCGCAGGCCGGAAGGAAAGGAGGAGGAATGGCTCGCCGGAGAGCGCGCTGACACACGTGGTATGTCTTCGGGTGGGGGTCGTTTTGAAGTGTTGACGTGCGCGATTCAGACTACTTGCTCTATGGCCGGTTGTACCTGCCTACTGGTAGACTCGATGCGCTCTATTCTACGCGCTTATCACCTACTCTACAGGCACTTGTTGCCACCATATCAGATCCGCGGTCCAGTCTCTCTTCCGAGAAGCGGTCTCGAGGCGACAATGTCAGCAACATCATGTTCAGCCTACAGCATGACGTCGGAAAGTGGTGCTCTGAATATACGTACAGCGCAGAAGATGGGATGTGGGGTGTGCGCATCTTACACAACTTTGGTAGGCTCAGAAATCCAACTGAGCCTCCTGAGGATTTGAACTCGTCCCCCGGAACAAGACCTAAACGTGTTGATGAGGAAGAGGCAACCGGTGGTGGTCTGAAGGGCAGAGTTTCTGCCGGTGCCGAGTTCTACATCAGTGCAAAAGAGAGGAGTGCCGGAGGTATGACAAATCGATCCAGTCACGCCCAGACACTGACAATCCACTTCCAGTATCCACGGGAATTCGTTTCACGACACTCCCCGATGCAACTCCACCATCTTTCCAACTCCCCCAACCATCATCATCACCACTCGCCCAGTCCTCTCGGTCGCCCCCATCTCAACCGCCGACGACTATTACCGCTCTTTTTAACCCGATGATGGGACATATATCTGCAGCTTATGCAGCTCGTGTATCACGCGACCTCTCGATGTGCTCTCGGTTCGATTTCAACGTCTACAGTTATGATAGTGAGTGGACGATGGGTGCTGAATGGTGGATGCGACGAGCTGCCTCGAAGCATGAGGATGAGCTCGAACCGTCACTCATTCCTCCGGAGCAACCACCGGTTCCCGTTCAACAGGCCGAGTCTCTCGATATTCCTGCCGATATCCGTGGGGTAGTGAAGGCAAGGATCTCGACCAACAACGTGAGTTGCATTGCGTCATGATATGCCGATGTTGCTCACAGCTCAATTCAATTAGAATGTTTCATTGATGTGGGAGGGACGCCTGAAGCAGATGCTGGTTAGCTTGGGTTTCGTGTCGGATCTCTCCAGTAGGTCAAAACCAATCAAGGCTATAGGACTAGAGTTGTCATATTTCAGCGCTGGTTAATCTAGAGCCCCCTGCATGCGCATATCTCAAACTGACAGGAACCGTTGAGGGCTGAGGGTCGAGCACCAGTCAATAATTACGTGTAAGGTATTGTACATACACCCGAGATCAGTACAGGTATGAGAACGGAGCGGCGAACAGTGGAGCAGACAGCGTAGAAGGGTATGTAATGATTATATGTGCAAACAGAGTTAGGTGCAATTTTCATTATCCAACAGAACCACGAAAGTTGACGTGCAACAAAGAAACAGAGAGTGATGAGCAAATACATATACCACGTAGATCAAGGCAAGAGATGGGGCATTCATAATATAATGGGTAGAAATAGTGGAAACATTCAGTCTTTTGCGACGGCGACACCTTGGGCGCGGGGAATGCTTGGTATACCGCCAATCGTTCTTGCCAGCCGAGACAATGCATCTCCAGTGATGACTGGTCGAGCGCTATGTGGGGTACGTTGCCCCGCCCCTCCAGGAGGTGTCGAGTGGTTCCGCGCATGCGCGTGGACAAGCGGGCCTAACGGCGAAGATGTACCAGAACGAATGGCTCGCTGATTCATGGCCGCCGTGCGCGGATGTGGAAAGGCAGGGCGGCCTTCAGTCTTCGATCGACCATGCGAGGGACTGTATGCGTGCGCAGGAGACGGGGTACCCGGGCTCAGCAACGATGGAGCGGAATGGGATTCCGGGAGACCTTTAGGCGCATGGATGGATCCAGCGAGGCCATGGTCTCTGGAAGAAGAGCTGGGAGTTTTTTCTAGTGCTTCTACCTCGACAAGGGAGGGAGCGTGGATAGACTGTGAGAGGCCTTCCCCCTTGGTTGCAGGTGGCTCTTCACCACCTGATTTGGATGTCAAGTGTGCAGAACTTGCACGCGGGCTGTCCCTTACAGCGACCGGCTTGGGAGTCAGTGACGGGTGAAGTGAGGACATATCAGCATGTGTGATAGTTTCAGGCGCGACAACAGCGGCAGGAGAGTCATGCGGATCTGCGGTGGCTGTGATAAAGGTATCAGGTGTATTGGATAGGGGTGAAGAATCCGACGAGTCCTTGATGATTTCGCCATCAACATCATTGTCTAAAGGTTCCATGGATTGCTTCTCTTCCTCATCTTCAGCATCATCTCCTTCCGTCTGAGGTTCCGGCAGCGGCTTAAGTGCATCTGCTAATATGGGTGATATTTCATCCCTTCTTTCATCTGCGCTGGTATTAGTCCGAGTCGTCGTAACGCCCCAATCATCAAGGTCAGGCAACGAGTCATCCTCTTCACCAGCCCAATCGATATGGCTTCCAGGGGTCGAAGGCCTATTTTCAGCCATTGCAACAGCCCTGACACGTTCGACCAATGCGTCAATATCGTGACGAATTTCAGCCTCATGTGCGGCTGCCAGATGGGGAGGGATATCTTTACGTGGTGCGATAGAAGATGAAGTAGTAGATGCTGCCCTTGGCTTCTGTGGACGTAGTGAAGTGGACGATGGTATACTTGGCTTAGTAGCACCGTTTAGGGGAGGCTTGCCATGCTGGTTGGTGTTGGTGCGTCGACGTCGGTTAGCATTATGACGACTTGATGCAGAAGGCATGTTTTGCACAGAATCTGGAGTCGGAGAAGCTGGAGCTACGGTTACAACTGGAACACCGCGAGAAGCACGGCGAATTGGCGTTTTTGGCTTTGGTGCACGGTCAGCTGGACTAGTAGCAGGTTTTTCCGAAGTTGTACTAGTAGCTTCCGAATGGGATGGACCCTTACGAGCTGGTGAAGGCTCGGCCTTAGGCGTTGACACGTCTGGGAGGGAACCGTGGCTCTCCGAGTGTTCCGAGTGTGAAAGCTTGCTGCTGTCCTCTGATTACTGGGCTGTTTGGAGGGCGACCACCACCCCTTCCGCCACCACGAGTACCTCTGCCCCGCCCTAAACCACGAAAAGTAGGTCCTGCCTCTCCACCACGCCAATCTCGCGGCCGAGATTGGGGCTGGGTAGAAGAGTTTTCACTGGTTGGGGGAGTTCGGCTGGTGGGGCTCGCCATGAACCGTCTTTGATAAACAACGATTTGGCGATGAGTTAGCTAGCCTGTTATATGGTCTAAGCAGCATTCAGCAGCTGAATGAAAGCGACAAACGCTGACAATTGGATCTGGTTTGGGTTGGGTTAATTTGGAGGAAGGGTACGCCTAGTCAGATTCAATACAGAGTAGATTTGCAATATATGACCAGCCAACGAAAAGGGCTTGCGAGGGCGTTATGGAGCTCCTCTGGTATTAGTTTAGTATCAGTGTTGAACCAAACACTGCAAAGCAACAAACTTGCTCAGCGGCCCTGACAGTGACCATCATCTATAATAATCATGTCCAAGGCATCACAACCGGAACTTAAGAAGGTAGACCTCTATTCAAGTCTTGCCTTTGTATGCTAAACGGCTTGATATAGTTTATGGACAAGAAATTGTTCGTCCATCTGCAGGGTGGCCGCAAAGTCAGCGGCACTCTGCGTGGCTACGACCTCTTTTTGAACCTCGTCATCGACGATGCTCTGGAAGAGTCAACTCCAGCTCAGAAACATCCCATTGGCACGGTGGTACGCCCCCTCAATACTGCTTGCGGCCAACATCTGATTCACATCTTTGCAGGTCATTCGTGGTAACAGTGTTACATCGATGGAGATTCTCGAAGCTGTCCGTCAGTAGTAATAGCACCTTCTGGTTGTTGCACTTATAGATAACTGGATGGTTCGGCTTCTACTATCGCTCATGGTGCCCACGCTAACTCTTTGCTTCTAGCGAGCTGATCAATGTTCCATTGTATCTTCCATCGTCTGACACAGCCTCGATCTTATGTCTTGATCGCTGGGTCTGATGCAGTGTAACAGAAAAGTACACGCACATTGCTGTTGTAATCGTATCAATTTTTTTGCTAGCTTTGCAATCCTAAATGAAGCGTTCTCGTTGATCAGTGCCAGCGAACACGCACCCCGGTCACTTCCGAAGACCTGGATTAAAGAATCGTCTAAAAAAAGTTCACCTGCACGATGTCGCACACACGAATACCCGAGCGTCTTCGATGTATCATAAATTGGCACGAGAAGATATCACTTAGCACCACGGGATCAATATAACTCGGTGGTTTGCATGCGCATGTACAGCGTCAATCATGCCTGACTTAGAGCACAGGATGGACAAAGACAAGTACAGTTTTAATAGCAACGTCGACGCCGAAATGGACAACTATTGAGAAGTGATGTATGGGCTATCCAAATTTATTGTTTATACTAGTGGTACTTGCATGTGAATCGATGTTGCAAGCTGTAATTCCTAGAAAGGAAGTCTGCACATTTTTCGTCGGAATCAGTGACTTCGTTTGCACTCTGGCATCAAGAGGCTTCGGATACTGGCCAGTCCTGGTGCCAGACTAATTACAGTACTGTTCCATGCGGAGACAGCTTTCCAAAGTCTGCTTTTCTGCTACAACTCAAATTCATTCCCTACGTCGACTTCTTCATACATCTGCCCGTTGCTCCTCCACTATAACCCTTCCGCTTCATATCGTGCACGATGTATACTCCGGCCCAAACACAACCGCTGCTTCACAGAGGAGTTTTAAGGGTATGAGTTCCAGGGACATCATTCAGAAGGAAAAACTTTCTGCTCTTATGGAGGTCCTTTCGCGTGAGACACGGAGTTATGCCAGAGTATGGTCATGCTATGTCGATTTCATGAACTACGCCGAATGCAACGATCTTCCTCTGGAAGTTCATCAAGCGGTTCTTCGACGTTGCGTCCCAGGCGCGTATACCCTGAGAACATGGACAGCGCGTCGCATGCGAGCAGGCCAAGCTCCTCGCATCCCTCACCATTTTGAGGCTCGTCTCAAGACCGTCATGCGTAATATCCGAGCAACAGGCGTAGATGCAACTCTTGACGACTACCATGTCGTTCTGCATCAGTTCGCTGCTGTGGGTCACTATACCGGTGCAATGCAAGTACTCGCTGAACTCACGCACGTCTGCAAACTGGACCCTGAATCGAAAACATTCGGCTTATGTCTCAAAGCAATCGCACACCGCTTGTCTCTACCAATATATAAGGTGCAGCGCGCGGACATGCTTGCTGACGCGAGCAAGCTTTGCCGGAAGCTACTCAAGGAAATGTCGGCTCGGGATATGCCTTTAACATCTTTCAATCTTGACTTGGTGATGCGTATCTTGAAGGAGGTGTTGGATCAGGAGGGCTTCTATCAACTCATGAAACTGGGTTATGGTATAGACCTAGATTATCCAGACCACCCTCCATTGCAAGGCTCTAGCATGTTGTCACCCTTTTCCACCGCCGCTCTCAATACCACCCTTGACATGCTCGGTCGCCTCGGCAATGTAGCCAAGCTTGTCCAAACTTTCGAGGTCCTCACCCAACCCCTTCCTCCACAAGCCAGCCAGCACTATTCACAGGAGTTCGATGATGAGGATGACTTTGGAATCGCAAACCCCGCGTCAACCGAGCCACACCAAACCCCCCACGCCCGGCCCAATACCACTTCATACAACATCTTGCTGAAGCATATCTCGCGCGCAGGTCACGCCACCTTTGCACGACATTACCTCTACCAAGCTGTGCGTCTGGATCGTTCGGTCGACCGTCTTTTACGGAGTCAGCTGTATCGTGACCCCCATGGCACGCTTGCACCGCACTTCAGCCTTAACCGGGGCACCATAATGCCTGTCTTTGGAGAGGCTAACAGAGACAAGAATATGGAGTTGATGCGATGGGTTGGATGGGTTACAAGACAGACCATACGGAGGAAGAAAAATGATATAGCATGGTACTCTGAACTACGCGACAGCCTCTTTCCTCCACCATCTCCCTCAGAACCTACTTCCTCACGTTCTCCCAGTTCCCCTCCGCCAGACGTCTCGACAGCTCTAGACGTTGATCTCGATACCCCTTCCACGCCCTCAGAATCTCCCCCACCAGAGAAAATATTCAATATAAACCTCCACCTGAACATTCTCCAGAAAAATCTAGACGAACTCGTGACGTGGTATGAGAACCGCTATGAAGTCGCGCTTTCTCGGACGACGCAACGGGTGAAGGAGCGACTTGGTAGGCGGGTCTGGGCTGGGAAGAATATTTATTTGCTCAACAAGAATGCTCGGGTAATTGTGCCAAGGAGTGCATGGACGAGGGTGGTGAACTTCAAGCAAGGAAAGACGAGCTTTTCAGGAGAACACAGTGACCGGATTATGCGGAATGGATGGGTTGCAGGATATAAAGGGCTCAGAGCACCCAGGCCCCAACCCCTGCAGTTCTGTAGGTCATTCCCTGGATGATCTCTTAATGTGACTGATTGGGTGTCTTTAGTTGACCCGTCATCGATGAGCTGATTTGACAAAGTGGCCGTCAGGTGTCGTCGCCATCTGGTCATATATACCACCTTTTGCGATACATCCATGTCAGGGTATCAAATTCACGCGGTTTCACTGCAACTTGGATGGCGTCGATACACGTGGATTGATTGCGGTTGCAGGTATCATACATGTTGAGATATGAGGCAGAGTCCAAGAAGACAACAACAATGTGATGCAAACATGAGAACGGGATTTCGGCTACAAAAGTTTTCTGTGATCTCCAGCTCGATCATCGAGAACTTTCTCCATCGCGTCCAGCCATAAGCGTATGTCGGTTTGGAACCGGGAGTTGTTGAGATTGCTGGTGGTCGACGATGCACTAACACCGATGCCAATGTATCTCGCAAGTGCAAGAACGGGCAAACGCCGAAGGGCGCGTCCTGAAAGTTGCTGTGCCTGTGGGAGTTCTTGGGCTACGAACGCCGAGAAGAATAGTTGGACTTACTCTGCATTTATCAGCAAGAGCCAGTAAGATGGACGCAAGGCCCTCCGGTGAATAGGGCAACATGGTACCACTTGCGATGGAGCCATTCTTGCTGTTCCCTTCAAGGTACAACGCTAGGTCAAGCGCTGGTACTGTCTACGAGGGATCATCAACAAGAAGATCAAGACGAGATCAAGTTCATGGCCAGCTCACTGTCTTCTGTAGGATTCCTTTTTGTATAAATTCGCACAGAGAGCTACGAAGAATCTCATAAATGGCTTCGCGTGGGGGTAAGTCGACGTATTGGATGATATCTGCTCGATCAACGAAGGCCGAATCTTCGAAAGGTAATCAGATATTTCGTGTGCATGGCCCTCTCTCGTCCTTACCTATGGCTTTTGCGAGGTTACTCGTGGACATCACGAGGACATTCTTCTGGTACCTTAGCTTGTCCAGTTGCGTGAGGAGAGCATTAACCACCTATCCACTTCGTGAAGAAGACGCATCATGAAAAACTTGAAGACGTACCCTCAGGCCGTCCGATGGTTCTGTGCCTGCCATGGCACCAGCTCTGGCTGCGGTAAGGGACTCCACTTCATCTAGAGCGTTATAAGCGGTGAACACAATGACCTATGCGTGTGCCAGATTTACCTATCAGCACAACAACGAAGCAGTCTTCGTCTTCCACCATTTCCATGATGTTGCTAAACAGACGCTGTACAAGTTTTCCGGACTCCGAGAACCAGCGAGAGAATAGAGAGTGAGAGTTGATCTCTAGGAGACGTGACTGAGAGTATCTGTTTGTTGCGAGAAATGTGAAGTGTGTAAAGTACACGGATAGCGCATGTATTGGACTTACCGATGAGATAATCGTATGGATAATTTCTGAGCAAGTGCTCGACATAGCGATGTCTTGCCTGTCCCTGGAGGGCCATGTAGCAGAACTACACGATTCCATGTCACCAAGTTAACTGGAATAGGGTCAGTATACATTGCAGTCGCCTGATTGCCTCACCCACAGTCGACGCCAGCATCACTCAGGACAAAAGTTGCATGAATGTAATCGAGTAACTTCAACTTGATGTTATCCGGATATATCAAGCCATCCCACAATCCCTCCCATGCCTTGCATGGAAGTTCGCATACGCTCGCAGCAAGCACATTCTCCTCACCATCTCTACCTGGTGTTCCATTAGCATATTCTTCGATCGCATCGGTTTCATGTGGTTGGTAAGCATGAATTTCCAGCGACACATTTTTGAGGTGTAATGATATCGATGGACAAGCTGATTCTGATACTGCGATGCGGTCCACCGATGAAGCAAGGGTCGGGTCTACTTCCCATCCATCGAGGACGGATGGGAGCTGGATGGGATCGTAGTTATTGGTGATGAAATCTCGGACAAGACCTTGTATGACGTCCACGCGTCGTCTAGATTTCGTCGAGAGCCGGACTTCGACTATCCGTCGCGATCAGATGGTTAGTATGATTTTACTTATAGCTGAGACTTACCGTGCACGGTCCATATTACTTCTGGTTTGCTTTCATCCATGCTTGAGTGCGATGCTGACTTCGCGTTCCTACTACTATCAGTCTCTATTTTTTGGGCTGGTGACATTCCGAGGATGGTGGTGGAGCAGAAAGACGCGGTAGACTCGGAGCAAACAACGCGTCAACAACGATTGCGTATTCACGTGACCTACTTATCACTGATCATTGCTGTCGGCATCAATTCTCTCATTCGCCACGATGGCAGAATCGGTTGGCGTATCCTGTCCGCTTCCCAGTGAACAAGACAATGTAGAGCAGGCCAAAGGAAATCCTGCTCTTGACTCGTCGACTTTCATTCCACCGGTTCCATTGGCGTCGCCTGGCATTATCATAGAATTCTGCGACCGAGTACGCAATGCTTGTTGCAAAAGCTTACTGATCGGCTTACTGTGATTGATGTGCTATCTGCTATCCAGTGTCGATGGTAAGGGGGACGAGTACTGCTAACTTCCAACTTTATTCATTGTTTATAGGCTCCATCGAGCGACCTGGGTTTCCACAGAGCTGTTCCTTACGTTCCCGCCTCCAGCCTTGAAGGCAATATCCATAATTCCTCTGAACTCCGAGGAAACTGGAGGTCGTTTCAGGGTCTGGCTCAACCTCGAAGACAGTCCCCCCCAATTGATGTGGGACAGGAAGATCGAGGGTGGTTTCCCTGAACTGAAAGGTTTGGTTAGCTCAGCTCGTTCCTTCCAGTCCATGCGATGAGATCTCTGACTGATGCTCTATCAGAAGCAGCGTATCCGCGACCACGTACAACCTGGGAAATCTTTAGGTCATTCTGATAACAAGAGCGAATGACGTGTCCAAGTGCCCTAGTCAAGCCCTGGTGGAAATTGGTCGTGAATAAAGCAACGTTGCATACTTACTACGTTACGATAGAGTGCATAAACTTTAATGTAAATTATAGTGAGAATCGGTTTCGTTGAATAAGTCCGTCGCGAGAAGTGCTTCACTTTGTTCTCCGCCACACCCGCGGACGGCAGTAAACCTTGGGGACTTACTGAACTTGATTAAATTCGCGCCTGCGAAACCGGTTTCTTTTCCTCTCAAACAACCATGAGCACCGAGAGGCTCGAAAAGCTCATTAATCAATGCAAAAGCAACGGTCGGTAGTATGCCTTGGGAATTCCGGTCATCAGAACTCACAGTGTCCACAGACGTTGACCAAAAGGTTGATGCCGTTACGAAACTGCAGGCAGAGTTCGAGTCGGGCATAGAAGTACGTGTCGGTTACTTGGTCAATGAGCTGAGCCTCATAAACTGGTTGGTACTTAGATCACCGAACCAGAACCAGTCATCTCTGCCCTCAAAGCATGTCTTCGTATCTCAAATCAACATCTAACGACCGCCACGCTCTCTGCCCTTCCTCCTCTACTTCCCTTGATCGTTTCGCGTAACTATGTTGTCCCAAACGCAAATGCGCGCCCATTATCAGCATCGTCCTCCACGTCGTCCACTCCCGGACCGTCGCATGACTTGATGGTTCTCCGCCAGATTATGAATGCGTTTCTTCCAGCTCCTGGCGTCATCGAGCGTCTCGGTGATACCCGCGAAAAAGCTCGTGATAAGGCGCGTGAAACACTGATTATCCTCGGTGGACTGGCGTTCAGGGCTCCATCTGGTTCAAAGATGAAGGATAGCAAGGGGGGTCCCGAAACGCCACTTGCGATATTCGAACGTTTCTTCAGAGATAGCGGCTTTGGAAGCAAGGTTGCCAGAGTCCGAGAACAAGTAAGTAAGATCTTCTGAGTTGGTATGTCGGCGTCCTCATATTCTACCGTAGTCATTACTCGTCCTCGTGCACATCCGCCGAACTCACCATCTTTTTCCTGTTCGACCGTACGTTTCATTACTAGTGGACACTTTGGAAGACACGGATGGCAATGTTCGCGCATGCGCAACGCCTTCTGTTATTGAACTCTTCACCGGGCCGGGCGTGACGGACGCTGCTCGCTCAGACCTCAAGAAAGAGATGACGAAGAAGGGGGTACGCAAAGCGATGGTTGATAACATTCAGTCACAGCTCATGCATTCCAGTCGTGCTGCTGGAGCAAGTACACCCCAGAGCGAGGGCTCCGCGGGAAGTGGAGAACCCCACGCAAAGAAGGAGTACATTCCTCCAAGCATGATGCTGCAACAGAATCGTCGGCCAACGGTTGGCGCGGCATCTGGAGCTACGCCTGGTATGACGAGGGCAATAAGTCAAGGGAACGCGAGAGAGATCCCGAGGCCACCAAGTCGAGCTGCAGTTGTCTCTCCGCCTTTGTCGTCACAGCCTTCAAGCGAAGCAGCTAGTACGGTTGAACCTGCTTTCGTATGTTCTGCTTTATTATGCCTCGCAGAAATTTATCTGAGCAACGATTATAGATTGCATCTAGCCGAGATCTGGAAAACGAATTTCTAGCATTTGCAAAATCGTTCGAGGTACTGTCGACGCCCTTGAAAATTTGGCCAGCCTTCTTAACTTGCGACATAGGGGAAGGAAACAGAACACAACTGGGCTGCCCGCGAACGTGCCATTCAGCGTGTCCGTGGTATGCTCTCTGGAAACATCCATACAAGATATCCTGATGTATTCCTCCAATGCCTAAAAGACGGATTCATGCAGTCCTCCATAAAAACAGTAAGCATCCAAAACTTACCAAAAACGTCTTACACATAGCTCTCCTTTGTTTCAGCTCGTCAGTTTGCGGACAACGGTTTCTGCAAACACCTGCTCCCTTTATTCCGAGCTTGCCATTGCGTTGGGCTTAGGGATTGACCCGTTTTGTGAAATGTTGTATACGAATCTGCTCCGAATGGCAGGATTTACAAAGAAAATTGCTGCTCAACAGTCCCAGCGATCGCTCGAGGTCATAATGGAGTATGCTTCAGCACATCCTCGGGTTCTTCTTTCCCTCCTTTGGAACACTCTCCAAGAAAAGACGGTGCAATCTCGAACATTCGTAGTCTCCCACATCACCCACTACATCCAGCTACATGGGACACGGGCGAGACCGCATATAGAGGCGAATGGTGGTGTGGAGATCCTCGAGAAGTCCTTGAAGAAGGCGTTAGCTGATCCCAATCCTGCTGTCAAGGAAACAGCCCGCAGTGCATTTTGGGAATTCAACGGTGTCTGGCATGACAGGGCAACTGTAATCCTCGAGTCTCTTGATCCCATAGCACGCAAACAGCTGGAGAAGGCATGCCCAGATCCTGAAGTTATTGCCAATCTTCCTGCAACTACACCAAGCACACCAAACGTCAAGAAGAGCAGTGTTGCAGCCGCGATTGCCGCCAGTCGTGCCAAGGCCAAAGCGATTGCAACTGCGCCCCCTACTCTGAGACATCAAGCGACGTCCTCGTCACACGCGACACGCGCAACGTCACCTCCAGCACGGAGAGTTGTTTCGCCAATAAGCCCTACGGTTAAACCCTCGAATGGGCGCAGCTCGCCATCGCCAGCTTCGAGGTCCTCGCTGTCCCCTCGTTCATCCCTTTCCCCCCTTACACCATCAAAATCACGCGTCCTGGGTGGTACTATGCCTCGTTCTGTAAGCTCTGGCGCGGTCCTGACGTCGTATTCACGTTCCTCCACCGATTCGTCGGTGCCATCCAGCCCCGAAGTAAACCGACGTCGAGGATCTTCTCCTCTTGTTCCACCCATTCCACCTAACCACTTATCTACCATCCGTAAAACTGTGCAGCCGAATCTTTCGGATTCCTGCCACGACTCACCGACCCCCCGGTATCATGCACCCCCAGTTTCAATTCCAGCCCCAGCTCGCCAGTCAACTGTAATGCCCGATATTAATGATGAGCAGACGCTCCTACTAGCAACCGCTATACCCATACCTGATGACAGTGATTCTGAGATGGACGACGAATCTGTCAATCTCATGTCTTTTTCGACTCCTTACAAGGTGTATCCTCCGGCGCCCAGTCAACAACGCTCACTCTCTCCCCGCTCGGATCGTTCAACGCCTTACACTAGTTCTGATGCATTGTCAAATAGAAAACCTTTAGAGATAGCACCTATCGAAGACGCCCTTATAGCTCGAGCTGAGCAAGCACAGAGTGCTGCGGAGCGATTGCTGGAGCTGAACGACCCGGACGGTGAGGATAACCAGCACTCCACAATTCCTCCATCGCTGCTCCTTGGACGTAGCGGATCTGCGACGCCAAAACCCAAAGCGCAAAATGTGCCAGCGATAATACGAAGCCTGGCTCCTCCTCCTGTGACCCCCGACAACCGAACCGCAGCCATCTTCCGCCAGGCAGCTTTATTCAAGAATAGTCCTGCAAACATCAAAGCTGTAGACAACCTCGTGAAGCCAGTTCAAGACCAGGTGCATGAGACTGGTTGGTGGTTGAAACGCACATCTAGTGAGTTGTCATTAGTTGCAAACCCTTGCTATTTTCTGATTTTGGTTTTATGCACGTAGCCCTCGGACATGCCACACCCCTCAAGGCAACTGCAGCTGAAGATCGAGTACAAGAACTCAACAACTATATTACCGCACTGGAAAGCGATCAAACTGACATTCGGGTTCTTCAAAAGTTAGCGTTGTTGTGCAGCAGCAATCCCATACCTTCCGCAACGACGTCTCCCCTGAGTCCTGGACTAGGACTTCCTTCCACTGTTTCGCCTTTCCTTGGCATCAGTCGCTCTCTTCCTCCACTAATCCCTGATATATGGACGAAGGAAAAGAGCTTTGAACGACTATTCAATGCTCTGATCAAGTTTCTTGATCCTTCAAGGGTGCGCTAGTTTGCTTTTGATTGGTGCCATTAATTACTCATTTGACGCATTGGAATAGGATGCAGAGCAACTTGAATACGGCCTCATAGTTCTTTGGGAATTGCTGAGCTGTCAAGCACCATTCGTGGAAGGTCGGGAAGCTGACATATTCGCAACTTTGTTTACTGTGCGGTACTGTAATGCTGTTGATGTAAATCCCATCCCTTGCTAGTGTCCTCTATGCTCATGATAGTTCTAGGTTCTTGAAGCAACTAAAACAATCCGCGATGCCCTTGCAACACGCATCGAACCTGTTTACGGTCTAACTACGATGCACGGCAGTCTGCGCGCGTTCCTAGCTGAGCTTTCGTCAGATATGAGTGCCAAAGACGCATCGCACGCCTTTGGACTAATCGCCATAGGCAAATTCGTTATGCGCTTGCCCGCTGAAGTACTCGAGGAAGAACTTCCGCGCTTAAAATCCACCTTGATGGCGGCGCTAAACAACACCACTCTCGTCATTCGCGAAGCTGCGTATGCTACCATCATCGCTGCGCAACTCGTGCTCCGGGACGAGACTCATCTCTTCGCGTTGCTCGACGGGCTCGATGATAACAAGAAGAACTTGCTCACGTACTACTTTGATAAGCACGACGCGAGGGTCCTTGGCATAGATGGCAACGGTGTTGGAATGACGAAGTTGGAGGGTCAGATGGGGAGGTTGGACAAGTTGATGAATACCCCACAGAGAGAGAAAGGCCGTGCATCAGAGTAAATACTCATTGCTCACGGCATTCCATGATATGCTTATGTTCAGCGATTGATATGGATATGTTTCAGAATTACCACTCGTTGGTATGTCTACTTTTTTCCCCGTTGCTGTTTGATTTGTATTACTGGCGTATATATATATCACGTTCAATTTTTTTCTCTATTTCGCACTTGCAACGCCGGTCCCGTTTTATATATTACTCCTCATGCTGCGTAATACATTTGATTCTTCTGATTGAGTGGAGTAGTTGGCATCACAGATGCCATCACTGCAGGATTTGGCAAATCTAGCGACGAAGAGCCACTCTCCATAAGAAGAAACCTATGCCTGAGAGCATTCCACCGACATGACCTGCTGTGTCCGTTGTCGTTCTCTGCGACATCAATCAATTCAATTGACTAGATAACACAGCGAATTACGAAATCAACTCACAGCATCTGTGACACTTCTATACACATCAAACGCGAGGATCCCAGGAAGGAACGCCCACGCAGGACAAGGGATGACGAAGAATATTAAAAACGTCGTCCTTGGAAATGCACAGGCGTAAAACGCAATGGTTGCCAATATTGCACCTATACAACGTTTCAGTAGATGAAGAGGAATATTAATGAATGGGTGAGGAGATGGACAGACCGCTGGCGCCATGTGAAGAGATGGATTCATGCTTGTAGAAACGGTTCCATACAAGACTCGTCACGCTGGATGCGATGCCGCCTGGTGTTTCTCGTCAGTAGCGTCGCATGATTGAGAAGTGCATAAATACCAGTACCGAGAAAGTAGAGCCCTAAGAAACGCGAGTTCCCGAGGACTTGCATGACGCCAGGGGCCATGAAGTAGAATGAAAGGCCATTGAACAATGCGTGCTCTATGTCTTGATGGGAGAAGCATGAGGTAATGAGCGTCCACCTGCCCGATGAATCAGGTAACAATTAAATCACCCAATAAGAGTCAAACGCACGCGCGACCGGAGGTGATGTTCTCCCAATTCACTAAAAAGTTGTTCCGGAGGAAGATCCAGAGTGTAGGGTCCCGAGTGGTTTGCTGTGGATAGCTGTCAGCTGTACCCAATACCTCGGTCTTAATGAGAGCGTAGCGCCTACGAACGTATGTGGACTTGGCACCTTGCCAGAGAAGAAAGACGCCAGCGTTTATTGCGATGATGACCACGAATATGACGTTTCCGTTTATTGAATCCAACCAGTTTGGCCTGCGGGGTGGACGACGGGAGGAACTATACCGAAAACGAAGCAGGTCTCTATGAGTTGCATTACGCAGTTGCGTACGAGCAAATTGAAGGAAGGTTGGCAGTGAACTTGTACTAGCCGTGACTGGGGTCGCGATTTGTGCTGGCAGTGACGAGAACGGTCTTAGTTGTGGAGAAGAATTAAATTGGAAAAGGGTATTGCAATGAGCCAGGCGACTGTTGCATTTTGATTGTATGATAGAGCGGTGAAAGACATGCAAGCACCTTTTCGACATGAGCAAGTTCGGAAGAGTGTGCATGTTGAGTCTTGACCGCAACGTTCAACCTAATACAATTTCATTGATCGTAAACAACATTGTCAGGGCTGGCGCTAGCTCATCATAGGCCACGGCGACTAAATGTCTCATCATCTCTTCTTGCTCTCTCCGTCTGATACGCCAATATACGGTTTGACACACTACTCTACTAAGCTACCACAGCCAACGTCCTCGTCACTTTCGTCAAATTTGCCTACATGGTCTACTTCTGCGTTTGCGGGCACGTTGACGGCGTTGTCAGGAGCGTCTAGCGCTACGCAGTCTCATCACGTCCAAGGGGGCAGTGTGAGGATGGGCGGAGGGCAAGATCGACATGTGATACAAATGATTGCCAACGCAAGTCTGGACGTTATTGAAGATGTCATGCGAAAGGAAAGCGCCATGTAAGTTATTACATTCCTTATCATTATGTGCTTCACTGATCATGGCAGGTATCTGAAATCTGTAGATAAATTCAATGAATGGACGGTGTCTGCGTTCATCACCCCAGGCAGTACGTTGAAGCCTTCTCTCATTTATTATTCTCATCCTCGCGTTAGACATGAAATTCATTCTGCTGCATGAGACCAAGAATGATGATGGAATTCGGTCCTTCTTCCACGATGTCTGGGAATTATACCTCAAGGTTAGTCGCCCACGGATGATTCTGGAGTTTGTCTGACCCGATTGGCAGACAATGTTAAACCCATTCCACACGGCACATTCACCGATACGCAGTACTGTGTTTGATACACGGGTCCGGGCGAGTGCGAAAAAATATCTTTGACATCGGTACCTGGGGAGAGGCCACATGCTGTCCAAATGTGGGGAACAAGACAATAACTTTCATTACACGGCATACACGTGTAGTTATCATAGGGACCAGGAAATGCAGCTAGACTCTGTAGTGGAGTGCATTACGGAGATCCAGGTTGAGCAATACTAGTTTTAAAACAAGGAGGCTGTGAGCTTGAGTGCTGTGTGCTGAGCTCGACGTTGACGACGACTATAGGGGGTGTTAGGGGGGATGACTGATGTAGCACTGCCACTTGTTATATCGCTTGGCTACTTTAGTACTCTCGATTCGTCCAATTTCTCTCCGCTTTGCTTTGGTTTCCCTTTCTCTTTCATCATCAACAGCATAATAAGCTTCTCCTTGCCATTCATAAAAATCCTATAAAATCCTATAAAACAGTTTTCTTTATTTCTTTCAATTCAGGCGTCCACAGGACTCCACATATTATAAATTCATCCAGCTCCCAACAGCCAGCAGACAGAACTTTCCTGCGTGAATCTCATTTTAAAGAGACTTTTATACCTCCATTGCTCGTAAGTTCACCAGTTTCATATCGCTCTTCTCCCTAACTTTGCTCTAGTTGTAACATTTCATCACCTATCAACAACATAATCTGTCTTGTCCAATAATTCTTTCAGTGTCGTTTTAGTACAAAGGCCATTGCCCAACTCGCGCTCCCTACGCAATCTTCCCATTTTTTGTCTCAACTATGGCCACTATGCAGTCCAACAACCGTGCCTCCCTTCTCAACGGTCTTCGTACTGGAGGCGTACGATCTACGTCCATGTCTGGTCCTCATACTGCCGCTTTGGGCGGTTCATTCAACATCCCACGCTTTGTGTCCAACCAACACTCTGTTTTCGTAGAGGATGATGATGGTATGGATGAAGTTGCCGAGCTTTTCTCGCAGAACATGTACATCAATAATCAGGCAACTCGTCCCTTGACGGCCGCAGTAGACGGTCCAAACAATCGCTTCGTACAGCAACAAATGGCTGCTCAGAGTGCCCTCAATCCAAACAGTCTTCCATTTTATCCCCTCTTATTCTCAGGGTGTGCAGCCACAAAATCCTAGCGAGGTTCAGTTGCACGCCTATCAGCAGATGCAGATGATGCAATTGGAAATTGCGCGGTTACAGGTTTGTTGATTTATTTGATCTTTCACACGCATGCTAACGACGATCATACATTGTTCTAGTCTGAGCAGGCCCAACGTAATGCTCGTGCTCAAGCTATCCTAATTCAGCACGCTTTGCGCCAGCAGATGCAGAACAGGAGTGCGAGCGCCACGATTCCTCCCGCCACTGCAGGCCCTCTTGAAACAAGCTTCGATATCCGTCCTGTTGGTGGCTCTCCGCCTGCGCGGCGTCCTAGTCAGGCTGAGCTTCTCAAGGCTCAGCTCGGAGTCCAAACTCCCCCACTCGAGGACCAGGTGCCAATGACGGCTACGCTGGGGGGACGAGCCGGTGTGCGTGTCACCTCTAGTGTCGCTTTCCCGAGTAGTCCCGAGACTCCGATTAGGGGATCGTCTCCCCCCGGGCAAACCACTGTGATTAGTGGTGGTACGTCACTTGGAAATTCCTTACCCAGCGGTAATGGACACACAATCAAAGATAACACACCTTCCAAGTCGGATGTCGCTGTGTCTTGGCGCCGTGGCAGCACCACTAATTCAGTTTTGAATGGCCTCCGCACGGTCTCTGCTGTTTCACCGAGCGTTAAAATCACACCACCTCCTGGTGAACGTGTTTCACCTCCTCCTGGAAGTGGTGCTACGTCTGCCAGCAAGGTGCGCCCACGCCCCTTGAGCTTTACGGCACCTCTTTCACGCACGCTCCCTGTCATTGCCTTGGACTCTGGCAGCGAGCACGAGGATGCCTATTCAACTTCAAGTTCTGCCTCGCTCTCCAACCCCACTACCCCTCACTCCTCATCTTCTCTAGACACATCGCCACTATCGCCTCGCGAGGAAGCAACCAAGAAATTGTACGAGGGGTTGGGAATGGGACGTCCTATCTTATCTGCTTCGCCCATTCCCGTCGCACATAAATTTATCGGCCCTTTGAGACAGCCTCGTGGTCCGCCTTCTGGTGCTGATGAATTAGGACCCAAGAACTTTGCCACGCGCGTGCGCCGTAAGGCCATCGGCGGCCTGGGTGTTCTCATGGGTGCTCGCGAGCGTAGGGAAGCAATTGAGGCATACTAAACACGCTCGCTCGTTTCGGCCTATTTCAAAGTTCAGCCAACTCAATATTTCGTCATGACTCGTCTCTTTGGTTTCAACATTACATTCTTTACGACAAAAACATTATCATCAGCAACAACAACAACAACAACTGCCTTGTGTGTTAAATCCAACCCTGGAGCTTTACATTGGAACGGACACGTTAGTGCTAGCGCTTTGTTCTACCAGGCCTTCCCTTCATTCATTTCACCTTTCGCTCTTACGTTTTACGTTCGACCTTATCTATCACTCCCTGGCGAGTGTTTTAGCTACTTTGTGTGTGGGCTTTTGATGCCTAGTAGTACTCGGAGCCCCTTTTCATCTCACCTTCCACCTTTTGGGTTCGTATTAGGGAGGGCTATTAGTATGGCCTACGGCGCTGGTGGGAGTTGAGCTTCCGCGGGTGCACGTCAGGCCTGCTTACTTACTCTGGCTTGCTGTTATTTCATACTTGTACGGTTGTTCATTCAAGCCGTTGTTCGAATGTGTATCTGCCCTGCTGTAAATGTGTTGGGTGAAAGTTGGACGATTAACTGGTTATACACGATATCAGTCTGAGTAAGACTCGAGGAATATCAACTTCTGCTCCGTCAGAAATTCCCTAGCTGAAGTGACGTTGAGTTTAAGCATGCGATGAAAGGCCCTCGTAGACAATGTGTGTTTTTGCACATTTCGCAGTGGAAGCGTCCTGGATAGCGCCAGGGAACTTTGTCGCGGAGCGTACACCATATAGTGAACGAAAAAGGGTGGCAACCTGGCCCCACATTCCTGCGGCTGCGGACATGCGGTGTCCGCCACAACAGCCCACCATATATTTTAGGACAAACACGAGGACCGCGGTGTAGGCTAACTTGAAGTAGCTGCATTTCCGCAGCCACAATGTGCCCTGCCAGCAGCTAACTCCCCAATACGACAAGCCTATTTACACCTCTGCCCCACAATAGGCTTACCATGTTCCTAAGAAACCGTATTAACAGAAGCAAGCACTGGAACACGAAGCATTGCATACCTGCCACTCTTCTCTACTAATCCACAGCTGATGGAAAGTGCCAAGACTCGCTAGAATACTTCCTCCTAGCCAACCACCATACCTCCGCTCGATGGGGTTACCAGGAGCATGGATCTTGACCTGCAGACGCATTTCTAGATCGATGGTATAGGTTTTAAAGCACTTCACTCACGTGGGGGAAATTCCTTGACAGCTCTGCCTCCAAGCGATCAGCGAAACCAGGGAACAGGCTGCCTCCGCCAGTGAGAACCACATTTCCCATGAGAACTTGCCGCAGATCCGGATCACAAGCGCGAAGAGACTCTGAAAGCAAGGTAGGGATGTTCTTTGGAAGATTTGGATTTTGCGCCTGCAAAGAATGAGCGGCTTCCAGATCGGTTCGGTATGGAGACACGTACCACAAGCTGCGGTGAGTGGAAGAAGAACTGTTCGCCAACTTGGTATCGCTCCGGCCCGAAATACGTGTTGTAGCCTGTCGGGAACTCGTATTGGCGTGCTGGACGAGATGCCGCAGCTCTGTGATGCACGGTGAGAAAGATCGCAAACGTGTGCGAAAGCAACCTACTGGTCGTTCCATCCCTGATCAAGAACACCAGCAACGCTCTGTATCCACTCTTCAACTTCACGACTCTCGCACCAAACCCTCCAGCTTTCCGTCGTTCCAGATAGACGGTCTTCACGGAGGGAAAATTTCGGTGGTGCACCGGGTTCGACGGGCTGTGTTGTGTCGCATTGATAAAACGAGTAGTTCGGACATGATAAACAACGTACCAATTTGTTGGCGATAAGTTGATGAGGGAGAAGTTCGATTCCCCGACGCGTCTGTGTGGGGTTACTCAGGATGTGTCGGGCATGGGCTTGGACGAGTTTAGGTAGCGCAGACGATACCAAGCCTACGGGATGTGAGAATGAGAAAGGTCAAACACAATCGACACACCCTTTCGTAGCACGAAGCCATCAACTACTGGGGTGATGCTGGCCATTGCATGCCCAACGTCGATTACTAGTGCCGAGCCCTTCCCTGCTGCAAAACTGCTCTAAGATTGAAGACATCAGCGCCACATAACAAACGAATCACATCTTACGCATTCAGAACGCCAGTATTGGCAATATAGAAGGCAGGAACATGGAACTCCTCGAACATAATCTCTGCCATTCTTTCTCTATTTGCGGGCGTGTTCCAAGCTGGCTCGGTCACGAGGATGGGATGTTCTGAAGGATTGACTCGCATAACATCGACCAGCGCATGCGAGATCAAAGCAGGGATCGGATTGAAGTCAAAAACTGCATAGTTAAGATATAAATACTATCAATGAACAGAATGTCAAGTTACTTACTCAACGCATCCCGTACAGGGTTCCCAATTTCCATACCCTCTCTCCAGATCGAAGGGCCATTCTGCCCGAGGTAAAGTTTCGCGTCACTTGGGGTTTGTTTGGTGGTTGACTCGAAGTTTTCCGGTGCATTTCCGCCCATCTGCACATCGCCATCCACTGTAGTCGCCTTATAGCCATAGAACGACGGGATAATGGCCTTGGGGATATCATCCCCGGCATACCCTGCGCGTACAGATGAGGAGCCTATATCAAGAACCAAAGCAGACACTTCATCTGTGTAAAACGTGTCAAAGTCGTTAGCTGTATATCCAGCGACGATTACTGACCTCCTCCGTAGTTGACCATCGCGGTTTATGCTAGACGGTAGTATGCCCGATTCAGATCTAACAAACATCTAGTAGTCACGTGACTCTGACCGAAAAATGATATGGTGAACTTGAAAGTAGTATGATCCTTCAACTGAGAAACTTCCCTAGTATCGTCCCTTCTTGAGACTCTTTCCTCAAAGATGGCGGTCACTGGCCTTGGAAAAGTGCGAAACAAGCGTAGGCAGGAGGAGGTTGAAGAGGTCGAGAAAGGTCCTTTTGCTGGGGCAGTGGATTTGGAGATGCAGAGCGAAGACGAAGCAGAGGATGAGGACCAAGAAGGGGACGATACGTCGGACGATGGAGACGTAGATGAATTCCCAGAAATTGATGCTGCCAGTGATAGCGACGAAGAAACCGATGAAGAGGAGGAAGAGGAGGGCACGGATGACCTTGGCGAAGAAGACACCCTTGATGAAAACTCTGACGCCGACTCAGACTTGCATATATTCCCAAAATCTAAAAAGGTGGTTTCTGACATCACCGGACAAACAAAAGTTGTATACCCAGAGATCGAACCTGACTATGATTCGGACTCCTCGACGGAAGATGTGAGTAGGTAACTTTTCCTATACATCCTTGTGATATAACAATCCTTCAGGATCCTAACCGTGTTGGAAATATACCAATGCACTGGTACGATGACCTACCTCACTTGGGCTACAATATAAATGGCAAAAGAGTGTTGCGTCCAGCTAAAGGCGATGAACTCGATAGATTCCTTCAAACAGTAGACGATCCCAATTCATGGTACGCAATGCGTTCCTTCCAGTCATGTCATACACTAATATGTTACAGGACAACTGCTTTTGACCAAAATGCACAAATGGACAAACCATTGTCCGCTGAGGAATTAGACATTATCCGCAGATTGCAGGCTGGAGAAAATCCTGATGCCGAATACAACCCATATGAACCTACCATCGAGTGGTTCACTGGTAAAGGCAAAGAAGAAGTCACGCCTCTCTCGTCGGCCCCAGAACCAAAACGCAGATGGCTACCAAGTAAATGGGAGAAGCAAAAGGTCTGTCTTCCCCCAGGTTCCATGTTACACTTTATTTTATTCTTTCCAGATCATGAAGATTGTTCGTGCCATCCGCCAGGGTCGAATCGTGGGATCTAAGCCTACTGCAGCGGATAAAAAGCAGCAATTCTATGCTATATGGAACGAGCCACCGTCCAATCAAGCGCCCCCGTTACCAGCACCCAAACCAAAACTTCCTACGCATTCCGAATCCTATAACCCTCCCGAAGAATACTTGCCAACTGAAGAGGAGCGGGAACAGTGGGAGAATACTGACCCCGAAGACCGCGAACGAGACTACCTCCCACACAAGTATCCTGCACTTCGTCTGGTTCCTGCATACGACCAGTTCATTAAGCAACGTTTTAATCGCCAACTTGATCTATATCTCGCACCACGGATACAGAGGGTGAAGCTTAATGTCGACCCTAACAGCCTACTGCCAAAACTACCAAGCCCGAATAGCTTACGGCCGTTCCCCAACTACAAGTCACTGCAATTTATGCATACTAAAGCACGAGTCAGGTGTCTGAGCATAAGTCCTGACGGTGCGTGGGTGGCCAGTGGTGACGAGAGCGGAGTGATCAGCCTCTGGGAGGTTAACGTGGGACGAGAGGTTAAGCGTTGGAGCCTGGGCAGCAAAGTTGGCGCCATTGAATGGTGCCCAAGACTTGACGCCTGTTTCTTTGTCGTCGGAACGTAAGGATTAGTTGTTCACTACGATCATCACATTACTGACAAGTGCCTTAGGGAGGAACAACTACATTTCTTCATACCCCCAAATATTTCTCCTGCCATGTTGACCATGACGCAGTCAGCCTTGGCACCCGGCACCCTTCCACCTGTCACTCAGTCATCAATTAAATGGATATCGACATCCGGAGCTGCTGAAGACGGTCCCATCTTGACCATTGAATTACCAAGCGCATCTGGACTGTCAAGGCAGTTGACTTGGCACAAAAAGGGGGATTATCTAGCTTCAGTCTGTAAGCAAACGATTTCGCGAGTACTTCTAACCGCTAATAGACCCTCATTTACAGCCAGCAGCGAGACTCAAGGTAGTGTTTGGATGCATCAGATCTCACGCAGACATTCGCAGTCACCGTTCAAAAAAATCAAGGGTGCTGTTCAGATGGTGTTATTCCACCCTACAAAGCCCCACTTTTTCGTTGCGGTACGTGTTCCACTTGTCGAGCTCCTTCTTGCGTTCATTCCAATATATTAGACCCAACGTTACGTCAGACTGTATAATTTGGCTGAGCAGAAGCTACTGAAAACTCTTATGCCTGGAATCAAATGGATATCATCGATGGACGTACATCCGTCCGGCGACCATATCATTGTCGGCGGCTACGACCGAAAGCTGTGCTGGTTTGATCTAGAACTAAGCGAAAAACCGTACAAAGTTCTTCGGTAGGCTACTTGTTTTGATTCAAAATCGATTGTTAATTTCGGCGACTTGCCACTAGCTATCACTCAAGAGCTATTCGATCACTGCATTTCCACCCAACCTACCCTCTTTTTGCGTCTTCATCTGACGACGGCTCGATCCAAATTTTCCACGCAAGAGTCTACAGTGATCTTATGACGGATCCATTAATCGTACCCCTCAAAATATTGCGCGGCCATGATGTTCAGGAGGGACTCGGTGTCCTCCAAATCAAGTGGGTCAACAAGCAACCATGGTTGGTTAGTGCAGGGGCGGACGGCAGTGTTTCGCTGTGGTGTAGTTGAAGATTAGCCCTTTGTCTGAGTTTCGACGATGAAAGAATCTCTTTGTTGAGTTCGAATCTTCGAAACAGTGTGGCTGTGAACCTGAGCATGACTGACGTGGGTATCAAACCGCCACACCATGATATGTCACCAAAACAGGGCATAGTGCTAGGGTGTCAGTGACCAGAGACATAGGTAATGCGGTGTGTAGCTCGATGCCGAATTTTTTTTGTGACCTATCTCTCATTTTGAATCTCCGGCAGGATCTCCAACATCCGCCGAGTTTGAGGACCGCTGGTGCAAATCAACAGACTAACTAGACATTACCTAGTGGAGAATTATCAGTTCGTCATCTGCTATTGCTACTGGGACAATGAGTCGCGGTTCCGATCTAACAGTCCAGTGTAAGTACTAAGTATATTCCCACAAGCCCGTCCCGCATTTGCACACTCCGAAGATTTGATAGTTTCCAGTCTCTTCGTTCAGGGAAATTACCACTGGCACTGGACAACCAAGCAAGAATACCATCAACGAGTCATCCCTTCTTCACTTCTGGCGTTAACGGTCGTATCTGGTACCTTGGTGGCATTTACCAGTGGCGACTCCGCTGCTAGATAAAGATGCTGACATGCTCAGTCATGACGACTAAGTACTAACACAAAATATCATAGCCCCGTACAAGGAAATTTACCTCTGCCCGCGAGTGCATGACATGCTTGGGAGGTACGTAACCGTCCAATGAACACTTTCTTGGTTCTTGCCGCGACCGAAAGAGGTCTTGATGCTACGTCGATCAGGACTGAATATTAATTCTTAAATACCTTGTCTAGGAGGTATATATATCCGATGGAACACCCCCGAGATTCAGTGTGCTCTTCACTAGTTGCTCCCTCACCTACTGGCTTCCTCACTGTCGCTCGTTACATCGTCCCGAGTCAATTACAATGGTTGACTGGAAAACCCCGAAGGCAATAGAAACAGAAGGCAGTGAGTATCATGCTGAATTTCTAGTATTTTCCTACTCTGATTATTTTGCCCTTGTAGTCCCTTTCATCAAGGCAGTCTATGTCCTATTTGGAATTTACATATGGGAAATCTGCATAACTGGCCGATTCGAGCTATCTATATTCTTGGGTAGGCGCAAGCTGACTTGGCCTTTGGTGCGTCCCTCTCTCATATATGATCGTGGCTGACCTTAACGATCACAGAGTATGTGTATTAACCATGAACAATTCTCCGATGCTTACATGGTCTACAGTCTTCTTCTTTCTGTGCCGTTACAGCATGCTCTTTGCTTTCATTGGATTGTAAGCCGCTAAGCTGTCCCCTCGTGTTACTGACTCAAGTCAATTCCAGGATCATCTTCGTCAATGTATCCACGAAGGTAACCTCGTGTTTCCCTCAAATATAAAGTAACTCATCTTCGGTCTCGGTTAGATTGATTGTAATGTGTGTGCTGTTTCTCGTATGCGTACTGCGGCTGACATTGGTTATCCTAAGGCTTTGTACACATTCACTTATGTGAGCTGGTGGGAACATCATCGGATTAATTGGAGCTAATATGATACTCGCAGATCGCAGGCAGTTTAACAATTCTAAGTGCATCCACTTCGCTGATGATCAGAACGTAAGTACTGTCTCGCATTATATTAATTGTTGTAAGCCACTGATCTCACCTTCAAAGCATGGCGCTTTGGGAGTGGAGACGCTGGGCAGTTCTGTCGATGCTTGCCCTATCATTTGGACAGTGCGCGATCTTAATTCGCACCGGAATGACCGTGCAAGCGTCATGGGATCACCAGCCTATGGCTTGCGTGGTTGTCAGGACAAATCACATCCTCCTGAACCTGAATTACGCCTACAGCAAGTGACCCAAGTTCTCCGCTTCATTTCGCAGCTCATTCGATGTCTACTAGCTATGTCATTTGACTTCGTGATTTTGGTGATGACACTATTCGTTCTGAGAAAACGTTTCAGACATGAGGATCTTGCGGGCCTTCTCTGTCGTGACGGCTTGGTTTACTTCCTCATCACATCGACCTGCAACACCGTTCCAGCTGTAGGTCCTCTTTTCAAATATGCTCCCACTCAGGCTGACATCCACACAGGTCTTAGCTGCTTTCAACCTCAACGGTGAGTTAGTCATGTCACAATGTTCTTAGAATCAAACCTGACTTGTGTTGGGACTCTCAGATGAGATGAATGTGTGAGTGGCTTTCACGATTACGTTCCATTTTACCGAGCTAAAACAAATGCTGGATGTAGCATCGCGATGGTAAGTTGCATAGCGGCTTTTTTTGTCTGGCTGAACTCTATATTCCAGGTGCCCGCTGCTGCAGTCTCGTACGTGCTCTGTTTTATTCTTATGGTCATTTTTTATAACAGCACACAGAGCTATTGCTGCCTGTCGTGTGTTTATTCGCCTCGATGCATATAACAAAGGCAACGGCGAGAGGGTTCACAATAACCCGCCGTTGGTTAATCACAATTCCATCTCTCCTTCAGTTGGCCCTAGAAGTCCTTCATCACCGGGTCCTATTAGCTTCTTGCCCTTGCCCGGTCCTAAGACAACAAAGTCGGGGATTCGTGCCACCATGAACACTATGGATTTGTCTGGGTATGTACTTGGTCAAAGACAAACTGAGAAAATTTAATCATAATGTGTTCTAGCCCATCACAATCCGCCAGGAGTAAGTCCCCCTACGAGCGCGACAGCGACCGCACTTCGGTCGACTCCGGGTCAGACTCGAAATATCCTGGTCCTCACGGTGACAGGCGTTTGACCGCTCAGATTTCACCGTATATCCACTTTGGCTCAGCCGTTTGAGTGAATACTGGACATTACTTTTTGTCACCGTGCTACCCCGGAATTTCACAGTTTGAAGCTTGGAGTTTGCAAATGTAGGAGAAATATCTGTAATCAAATAGGTTCATTCGCCCTAATTGTTTAGTATGTATATACTGTGACTCAGAGATGGTATGGAGATGGACTTCGATTTATGTTATCGCAAGTATAATGCTTTTGGATATGTGGTGGTATACAGATGTCACGGCGATAAGTAAGGCAACCTGATGAAAAGACATAGGGTCGTACGCCAGTAGCCATGCATCATCGCCGACGTGACGGGCGCCCAGACTTCCGCCGCGCTGCTGGTAGTCCCTGGCGGTTCATTCTCGTCGACTTCGGTACAGGCGTCATGCCCTTTGACTTTCTCCACTCCTCCCTTCGCGAGTTCCTTGGACCGTGAGTCGAGACGCGCGATGATTTTGTTGTTGACGATTTTGCGGAATCATCGAGTTCCATGGCATCTAAAGGAGTGATCAGGTTGGAATTTCAAGATTATGTTCAGAGAACTTGTAGACCTGGTACTGTAGAATCATCTGGTGGGGTAGATGTAAGCGATGATGATTTATGCATTGGACAAACCGAAACGAGCGAAAAGATACAGCTCCCCCTGGTACCATCGTAGAGCTATAAAATGCGACGAACCTTGCGCACCATCACCTTCCACTGGTTCTGCTAATTCTTTATCTCCATCATCAATTTTCGCCATCAATTTAGAATGGAGTCTCTGCAGACGTGCAGCTTCAGTCGCTGCATATACACCTTCGTCGCGTTTTTTTGCCCTGAATGAACGCTTTACTTTTGATCGAGTTGATTTTGCCATGTTGATGACAATGTGAAAGGAATCACAAATGGCTCGCAAACGAAGGACCTCTGAAATTTCAGGCTGATACACACGTGACACGTCGAATCATGGTTGAGTCCAAAGTTGCAAGGACCATCAAAAGCAGCCGCTTCAAACCGTCTATCCGTTAGATAAGTGGCCGTGCATTCAATACACCTTTCGGTGTGGGGCACCAGACTCATACCAAGAATTGGATGGTCCGAGTCAGAAGATAAATTGTTCACCAACTCGTACTGTCTTCGAAGAATGACTGCCAGCGTAGAAAGTACCTAAATCAGCCGGCACCGCTGCTACTGACAGAAGGCTGAAATTTGAGCCCGAGTTCACAGCACTGCGGGTAATCAGTCATATTATGATGCGAGATTATCTCTCAAGTCTAGACGCCGTCCGCTGCAAAACGCAGGTTCAAGGATAGATAATCATCCAGGTCTTTGATGCATCTACATCGCAATAGATAATGCAAGCACTATACAAACCTACTCCAATCGAATAAACTCTCGAATGTCCTATGATACAACAAGAGTAATGGCCTCGAACCGTCGTTTTGAGCGTACACTGCATGATCATTCTGGAGGAGCTTCCCTGTAAAGTCGCAAAACATGTAAGCATAGAGAACTTGAACAGGATAAATGATACTCATGATGTACAGCACGTTGTTACACCTGCAGGAAAGCTGATAAGAGCACAAACGATAGATCAATGAAACATACCTGATGAAGACTTCGCCCAGAGCACCATTTGATTTCCCATCTTGGAATTCCTCTGTGTTAGCCAGCTATGTAATATATTAGAGATCCATAGAAATAAGCATCAAACTTGTTCTCCATACCTGAAGGTTCATGTACCCATCCGTACTGACAAGGAATCCTTTGTACTCGAGCCCCCATTTTAGTCTTACAAATACCGGCTTCCCGGTAAGCTCCTGCATGAAAGGCTTGGGGTTAACAGGGTTGACCTAGGGTGGGTTAATATCATGACATCCGGCTATGAGCTTGTCGACGCACCGACGACATCTTGGTTGTTGATAGAGGATAGATGTAAGTAAATTCGGACTTCGAAAAAGGCAAAAAAGGAAGAAAATACAACCTGTGACATACTCACTTTGATTCGCCTTTGTTCGTGTTCGTGCCGTTAACTTGTACAAAATATGTCAGACCGTGAAGGACACTCGGGAGCTGGACCGTCGGATGAAGATCTGTCGCTGCCGAAGGCAACGGTTGCAAAGATGATTAGTGGTATGTCTCAGAAGCATGTAGTTCATTTTCCGACCTCTTGAACTGTTACTCGATCCCCATTACCTGGCTCTCAGAACTACTACCAGCTGAGGTCACATGTGCAAAGGAGACGCGAGATCTAGTCATAGAGTGTTGTGTAGGTGAACATCGTCAATGATCTTCCTGTGCCTCGATAGGGCTCACACATTTGGTAGAATTTATTCACTTGATCTCATCGGAGGCCAACGAGATATGTGAGCAAGAATCCAAGAAGACAATAGCACCAGAGCACATCATCGCGGCACTGAAGGTATGTTTATGATTGACCTATATCCTCCGCTGACTTTGCCGTAGCGGCTAGGCTTCGATTCCTTTACAACTGAAGTTGAAGATGTCTTGAAAGATCACAAACAGCAACAAAAGGTGCGTGAAGTTCATACTGACACCTATCATATGATAGACTTTGTTTCAGGACCGAGAGAAGAAAGCAGACAAGATAAAAGATTCGGGTATGACGCCAGAAGAACTTATGGCAAAGCAAGAAGAACTTTTCGCTGCAAGTCGTGCAAAATTTGCTCAACCGCAGGGGCAGCAACAGCCATCGGCCGAAACTTAAGTGGTGACGCCGATAGCGAACACTCATGGTACCTGCGATTCGTATTATTGTTGTATCGGACCCCGTACATCAGTACTTCTAATGATTTTTATTTTCTATTTCTCTGTCTTGTCGCTGCCGCAGAACTTCAAGGCGTCTATGTGGAGAGTCTTGGTTCCATTCTTCCACTCCATTGGAACCCACTGTAAGGTGTGGAAGACCAAATTGTTGAACAGTGAAAGAGGCTGACACCGAAGCATACAGTGATGCTAGAATGCGTGAATAACGGTCTAATTAGCTGTGTGTCAGTATTATGAGCACACTGACAAACCTTCATAGACATTTCCGTTTGCGATGGACAATCCTGCAGCGAGCCCGCCAAGAAAAGCGTTCCCAGCACCTGGTTTCTATCAGTATAATCACGGCCATGCACATATTTACCCAAAGAATCACCTGTGACATCAACCACCTTGTCGATATTCTCAGTGGAACTCCAGAATGCGTCAATCCATTGCCCTTTCCTGTGAGAAGTCATGACGTATGCACCGAGGGCACCACTGCGTATTATAACGCTTCCACTATTTTCTTTACCCACACCCATCTTCAAGAACTCCGATGCAGCATTTTCTACAGCAGATTTCGTAACAACCAATGGAAAAGAAAGTAGGCTCAGGGCCTCTTCAGCATTTGGACTAGTATTCGCGTGAGCAGAAGACACCGATGCTGACTATGTCTCGCCTACCTAAGGATTGCGATATGAGGGAGGACTGCTTTCAGTGAAGGTAACTCCTCGGGAATACATCTGTCCTGCTTAATATTCAATCATCAATTGTGAGACAGAAGCCTGCACGAACAGGTATGGGTTCAAATATTGTGGTCGGGTTCCATCCTTCAATCTCTTGTATTTCTGATATGATTTGAAGCGCGCGCGTGGGTGAACAAATGAAATGAATCGAAGCAGGACGTGTAAGCCGCGTTCTTTCCAAGTCGCGAGGCGTCAGTCTGATCCGCGGAGTAATGTATTCAAAACTATTGTCGTATGGGAATGTCAGGCGGTGGCGATAGATGTATAATGTGAAGAGATAACGACCCTCGATATTCTCCTCTGTAGGAATTCCTTGATCGAGTAGTAACACGATTTATGTCGTCACGAAAGTGCCATATGTCAGAACCGTATGTCAGTAACCGATTCTGGATGTCCTGAGGGAAATCGTTTCCTCGATCGATAATCATCCCAAGGGTATCAGGAGGTAACCTGCAAGAAGGTCGAGTCGTTCACAAATCCAAGTCATGAAACTCGTTAATGCTGACCAGACGCGAGCACCGATAGTAGCATACGTTCCTCCACCTCCGATCTATCATGACATATGACGTGAGGACGTTGACAGCAGCATGAATCTGTAACTAGCTTCCCTGGGGCGCCATCGTCTCTCCGGTAGGTTTCCCTTGTTCGTCTGCAAAGGAAAATTCATCAATAATAAACATCCCAAAGGTCACAAATCGGGTCGTCATGTCTGGAATAGTATGAGGTATGAAGCAAACCCAGCCTGTGTTACTGTTGCTAACCCGCCGGTTGCTTCCGGGCATGGTGTTACCTTGGCGTCTCCGCTGATAATAGTGTCTGCAACTGGATAAGTATCTAGCAATCTATACCACTCATGCAAGTTTGGAATGTCATATACGACCCGCTCGAATTCCCGGATTCCGTGCGTGCCATGTCGTTCACGTTGCATTTCACGTTACCGTTCTGATCGCCTCATACGTCCGATTAGCTTTATCACAGCGCATTGCCCCTAGTCGATCAGACAGCGCAGAGCAAGATCACCAAGTTTCATCGCCGCGAAGACGCTTGTCGTACGTATGCAACTCAGCAGGTTATACATTGTCACCACCCATACTTACGCTTGATCTTTCATCAAGGATCGCTCATTGGCAATCTTCTCCCCAGAGTCTTGCTCAAGAAGCGAGGCGTGGCCCAAGATGCCATGACTTTTGCAGCTACTGATACGGGGAAGCCATATTGTGTATGTCTTTGCAAAATAATTCACCTTATTCACTCCCATCTTATATCGATCCTTTACCTAGACAACTCCTGGAATAGACCCTCCCTTGGCTTTCAATGTTACTCATGATGAAGGCGTCATCGCCATGGCCTTCGGGACGGGCGATTTAGGACCTCCAGCATTCAGTGTAGGAGTTGATGTCATGAAACTCAAAATTCCTCCGCGGACTACTTTTACTGAATTTGTTGACATCGTCGACAGTCAGGTGAAACGTCCGTGCTTCGTATCTTCGGGCTGCGCTCATTCCCTCGCCTTATCACCGAAAGCTCACGGCTCGAGAAAAGAATTTAATTCTTGCTGACGTCACTGAGGAAGAGGCAATTCGCAGGTTTTACTGGATATGGACCCTGAAAGAGGCTTACACCAAAGCTCTCGGGATTGGCCTCGGCTTTGATTTCAGAAGGATAGAATATGATGTTGTGGAGGAGAAAGTGACCGTCGATGGCGAACCTGCGAGAGGATGGCAGTTCTTGAAATTCGAGCTGCCGCAATATGGACTCAATTATGTCGGCTTTGCTGCAAAGTTCGTTGGAGGACGAGGGACAAGCATATCAGAACTGAGTGAAGGGTGTCTCGTTTGTTATGATGCTGTATCATTTGTTAACCGTGCGATCGAAGAAATGAGCTAGACAACTAGACACTTGTATCGTATTAGGCATGTACTGGGAATAAATGCTATATGTTAGACTACTACGTAAATTGATTTTGGGGTGACGAAATGAGTATACTGCGCTCGTCGATATAATTACCTGCAAGATTATAGTGTAGAAGTATGCGTCTAAGTGAGATCAATACGCAAGGAAGATTTCTGAACCAAAAAGCAGGTCATCCTCAGGATGGTTCCTGATTTGAAGGGGCGCTGACTGCCAAACCCTCTTTGCGCCGTCATTTTGCTTTACCTGAGAGTCCCAGTGCATCCCGGAGAACTCGAATGCATTGAGCTCCGTGAAGGACGTCAGAACGCTGGCCACCTGCTCGTAGAATTCCTGTACCACATAAATTAATGTTCCTGGGCGCTACAAGTGAAAAGCCATGACGACTTACGGCAGTTGGAGCAATGAAGATGTCCTTAGTTGACATCAGTCGCAAATAGACTAAGTGAGGCACATGCCTGTGCAGTGTCTCCAAGAAGGGCACAGGAGGTGCATTTGTAACAGCTCCCAGGATGATTACAGGGACAGTCGAGCGGGCAAGCAGAGGAATATCATCCTCCATAAGGCCTTCGCCGTTCAGATGAATACTGCTCACCGGACGGCCGGGAACAATTAATTCGGCTGCCCGGGATGAGCCAATGAACTGTTGCAGTTGGGGAATAGAAGTTGGAGCGAGGTAAGGGAGTGGGGAATTGCGCATGAACACGGTAGGGATAGAATCTACTTCAAGCTCAAGAAGCGACGGCGTTCTATCAAGGAACCTGGCGACGTTTTCATCGAAAGAGAAGAGCAAGTGAACTGAAGCAAGTGCGGGAAGTGGATACGACTTGACGCTTCCTTCAACACCCAGCTCACGCTCGAATCCACGAGAAGAGTAAGAGAGGTTAACTCTGACATATTAAGAATGGCTTTAGCAAGTTGGCGATAATAGGCGAGGAAGACGGGAGCAAGCGAATCTATAGCGATGTAAAAGGACCGCACGAAACGCGCAACATGCGGTTTCTTCGCAAGAGTGTCGATGACACATAAGTTTTGCGACCAGGCGGAAGCCGATACACTACGGTAGAGGACGCGGTGTGCCACTGGACAGAGAGCGGAGCATGTTTGAGCAAGAGAAGCGAGAGAAGAGCAAGAAAGATACTGCGCGATGCTATCGAGAAGCTCGACTGGTAAGCTGTACATGGACATGGGTGCTTAATGCAACCCGAGCTGAACGCGGGACCTCTTATAAAGGCAAGCCTCGGGCGCACAGGTGTCTATAGAATATTATTTTTGAGTGATTGCCGCCGTGTGAAGGAAAAAAATGAATGCAAGCGAATTGAACTAGAAAGACTGAGAAAGTCCATGGATAGAGGATGACATTGAGATGTAAGCTTAGATTTGATTAAAATTACATAAAAATAAAAAGCTTAAGGGAAACGAGGTGGTGGGTACAAAACATGCCAGCAAGCATGAGTTACGGAAAATTATTTTTACCGTTAATTACGTAACTAGTGAACTTAGCATAAAACAGTCAACAGTAAGTAGGAAGTTCCCAATTGCTAACATTCCGTAGTCATGCGCAGCCTAGGGGGACTTTTGATCAATTGTTTAGTGACGAAACAAGTCTTAAATTCCAGACCCTCCTCGAAGTCGCACTATTTTCGAACTCCTGCATTATGGAATGCAAAGAGGCATGTTCAAACGCGAGGCGATGCTCGTTCCGGTCAGCAAAATAACGCGTTCTTCACGCGATTCTTCCGCTCTCAACGCTGTACTAACTCGTGTGTCATTAACAGCCCCGTATCCAAAACGGACTCATACGTGTGGTGAGCTCACTCCCGCGCACGCTGGCATCCACGTCACGTTGACTGGTTGGCTGCTCCCTGAACGGTGATTACCTTCTGGATCCGTTCTCCCTTCAATTTGCTTACTTTTGCTAAATAAAGCAAAGTGTCAAAGACAATGTCCTTCTTTCCCATCAAAGATTCTTTTGGAATAACCCAATTGGTTGTACGCAAGGGGCATGCGAATGCTCATCTGACCGCGTTGTCCGAACTTCCTGTAGAGTCCACCATTGCGATCGAGGGTGAAGTCCTCGTAAGACCAGAACCATCTCGCCGTGATGTTAGTAGGCCCTTTTTTCTCACAAGCTCTAGACGCTCATCCAAAATACTATCAAGGAAGGCACAGGGCAGATTGAGGTCCAAGTAAATAGCTTTACTCTCCTCAATCCTGCGCATTGTAACATGCCATTCATACCGTCAGACAATCAGACATTGGTATGCGGGGTGACGCGGAGTTCTTCTGCTATTAATGAGATCAATAATAGGTCAATGAAGACCTTAGGGCACGTTTTCGATATCTTGATCTTCGCAGGACTGCCCTTGCAGACAACATCAGAAAAAGAAGCCAAGTTGCTCGAATAATTCGGGATACTCTGCATGACGATGGTGCGTGCTCTTGATATCCGCCAAATGTCCTAAGATCATGGTCACTCCTAGGATTTCTTGAAGTGGAGACTCCGCTGCTTTTGAAGTCAACGCCAGAAGGTGCAAGAGAGTTTTTGGTCCCGTCTCGTGTCGGACAATCAACTACACAGCATGATGGAAAACATACCCCCCTATTCTACGCTCTTCCCCAGTCTCCACAGCAACCAAAACAGTTGCTCATCTGTTCTGGAGCTGTTGACAAGTATTTTCAAATAGCCAGGTGCTTCCGTGATGAAGATGGTCGGAAGGACAGACAACCCGAGTTCACGCAAATCGATCTAGAAATGGCATTTATCTCATGGGGTGTGGATTCAGATATTTTCCCATCCAATACATGGCGAATCGGAGGCCACGAGGTTCGTGCCATAATCGAAAGGCTTGTTCGACGCATATGGCAGAAAGTCGAAGAAATCACACTTCCGAGCTCGTTCCGGGTGATCACCTACAACGAAGCAATGGCACGTGTAAGCTAGCCATTTACCGATCGAGGGACATTGTAATTTGGTCATATTAATGATCGTTTAGTATGGTTCAGACAAACCCGACACTCGGATCGATCTTGAGGTTGTATAGACTGCTTGTACGTTGAATAACGCTTACACTGCCTATACTAGATCCAGGACATTACGCCCTCGCTACCGATTCATGTTCAGGCGTCGTTTGAGGACCTCGGGGACATTCTTGAGGCGATCGTTATTCGTCCATCTGAGAGCTGCTCATTCTTGCGGGCAAGTGAAGAATGCAACTACGAGAACGAACCGAATGTCGTCAGTTATCACTTCTTGATCAGTATCGATAATTTCACATGATCAGTTTATAGAGCCGCTCTGTGATCGCCGATAGTAATTTGTTAAATTGGCTGTGTGACAACCGATCTATGGATTTGAAGCTGAGCAGCGAGGAGCACGCCCTTTTGAATAAGACGTTGCGAGTCAGTAGCGGCGATACCATATGGCTATCTCGTCGTCGCAAAATTCCCGAGGTGTGTCTCTATACTATCTCCGCTGCTTCCAAGTCATATGTATTACATGTGGATAGGGCGGGTCCACTGCTTTGGGTCGCCTGCGAACACGAATATCTGAGTTGGCACAAGCCCGCGGTATGCGCTGTTTACTATTGTAACGGAGAGGCATTTATACCGTTTGTAGGTGATTACGTACCTCACATGATTCCTCACTTCCTTTGGGTCACCGAGTTTCCACTATTCACCCGCGCTGATCCTGACAAGGAGTTCTTGGCTCGCGGGCGGTGGAGCAGCACACATCACCCTTTCACAGCGCCGATGTGGCAAGATATAGAAGCCATGTACGCAGGCCGTATTGATCAGGTTTGTGCTAATTTGTTTTCAGGAGTCCTTCGCGCCAGTAGCTTATCCTTGGTCTCGACTTTACTTTTCAGGTTCGGGGACAACATTACGACCTAGTTCTGAATGGCGTTGAGATTGGTGGAGGCTCGGTTAGGGTACACGATGCTACTATGCAAGAGTACATCTTTTCCCAGGTTTTACAGGTTCGGTTCTCTGTCTCGCCCCTGTGGCGTGTTATACTTTGTCCCGACTCACTCGCATTTTTTTTTATAGCTGAGTGATGCTGAGAAGTCGTCGTTTGATCATCTTCTGCATGCCCTCAAATGCGGTGCACCCCCTCATGGCGGAATCGCCCTCGGCAAGCCATTCAAGGTTTCTGTAGCCTACACACTAAAAGCTGACAAAAACCTCCGATCTAGGCTTTGATCGCCTGATGGCTATCCTTTGCAAGACGCCAACCATTCGAGATGTCATCGCCTTCCCAAAAACTGGAGCAGGCACAGATCTACTTTTCAGGAGTCCGGCGGCCATCAACGAAGAGGTGCTATATCAGTATGGTGTCCGACCCACACGTTGTTGAAGCATGTCCCGGTACTTTTAGCACCAGCTAATCGGTTGATTATCATAACTAATGACCACATCGTGAAAAAGGCATCAATGTCCTCGTCAGCTGTTTGTGCACTATAAATGATCATATCTCATCGTAAACGAAAACAACAAAAATTATAATATGCAATTACTAAACTGGTAGTGTTTCATCCGACTGTGGCGACTGGGGAATATAACTGAGGTCAGATTCCCCAATGTTATTCTGAGTAGAATGTCTCATCGTCGAATCAACTAATGTGGATTGAACTGGAGTGGAATCGTCCGCGACGGAAGGATATGGTGATGTGCCATAGGTAAATGACTCCCAACTCGTATCAGGTTCGAGAGTCTCTGCGTGTATATCAGGCGGTGAAGCCTGGGATTCTGAGGAGGGTGTATCGACAGAGTCACTCGAATGACGGACGTGTGTCTCATCAATTACTGAAAGAACACTTCGAAGCTTAGACTCTGCCTTTCGTGCGTAGTGTGTAGTGCTCTGCGGATGAGACTGACGACGCTTAAGCTGGGCAGAGGGCGATGCCGATCGGGTAGGAGTTGAAGAAGGGGAGACAGAATCAGCCCATTCTGAAGTTGTGGCGAAGAAACCCCCATTTGGAGCCCAAGAATTATTAATGATCGCTGGGGATATAACAGAATTTGGGGGTGGTGGTGTGGTAGCCAATGGGCTCGGCGAGGGCGAGGGTGCATTGGCCATTACGGCCAGCGGAGGAAGAATGGTGAAGATCTGGTCCTCCGCCTGAGGAGGTCCATACGAGTCAAAAGGGTCTGGAACAGACTGGAGCATCGCTTCCAAGATAGAATCCGATCTACAAGGCGGGGATAGGCTTTGAGTAATAGTAAATTTCAGGGTCTTAATGTGACTCACGCCTTATTCGTGAATCTGTCAAATACATCCATAGTCGAACGAACGGCTACGCACACCTGGAGGCGAAAAGGTCAGCATTTTACGAAGGTGTGATGATTTTTCAATACACACACCTTGCCTTGCACCACGTCCCAGACTTCTTCCTCGTGCTCCATTATTTCTTGGTAGTGCTGTGCCTTGAGACCATCCAGGTCATCCACTTGGCGCTGGAGGACTGCAAGGGCTTCACGGAAGCTTTGCAGGTCTGAATAGGTGACAGACGTCACTCAAGGCCCGAGAAGACCGGAAGAAGAGACTTACTTCGTTGCTTTTTATTCATGTTACTCAATTCTGTTTGGCGAATGATTTCACTCTTTTCACGAAGAGCCTTCTCATACGATGCGGAGCGCTCCTGTAACAATAATATATGAAAGGGTTCGACATGAGGCTGCGGAGGAGCTGCGTACGTTTACGATCGTTCGGTATGTGTCCAAATGTTGCCGCAATGGTTTCTCGAAGCTTTTGTCAAGTGTCTCCGCCTATTCAAAAGTATAAGAATTGAAGCAAGGAAGAATAATAGTAATTCGTACAAGGACATGCCAATGATTACCGATGAGATGATGAAGTCCTGAGGCGGCCTGTAGTCTTGTGCCTGCTTCGTACGTAGGTCCCTTCAAACTGCATGAATGAGTCACGGGTTTCTACTCGATATTGACAGTCGGAGCATACCCTGAACATTTCTCCAAAGCATCTGCAAATGCAAAAGTCACTTTCGACATATGGAGTAAGGCAGCACGATAATTCGCGCTTGCATTCATGAGCTGCGCAGAAACCCATCATGTATTAGACTCTTCTGAACTTCGACGACGTATTGACAAGGAACGCACGTCGTCATAAGACTGCAAGCTAACTTTGAGGTTAGCCCGAGTAATGATCTTCTCAGGACCGTCTGCACCAAAGTTCATTGCAGAAGCGTGTGTTGCATCTGAAAACGTGGGTGAAGGAGGACCAGGAGAGGATGTGCGCTTCGGTGATATAGCAAGGCTACGCATAGAACGATGCTCTCGAGGCATGCTGGAACAATGAGGCTAGTCAAACTGCCTGTAGTGATGCAGTGCAGTTGCAGAGAATGATGTCCCCTTAGCATGCGACGCTACCCAATTGGGTAACGTTACGGGCGGCTAGTAAACCTGATATCTCTCGTCGCCTGACTGAGGGTGCTGTACCAGACGGCATGGGCATTGCTCACGGAAATAAAAAGTCACAGCTCAAGTAACAATTCCACTGATGAAATACTGCAAGCTCGGGTATGAAAAAACAAGTTAATGTAGCGGAGTATGCAACAAAATTCAGTATTAATGGCATCAACCCGTTTGCTCCGCCCTGTATCCACGGACCACCGCCCAGACTTCCTCTCCGATCAGAAAAAATCAGCGATTATGTGTAATTTGCACAGGATACAGCTGCAGTCAAATTCGTAGACAGATCCCCCAGACAGTAATCTGGTGAGCAGGCGTCGATACTAGAATTCAGAAATACCAGAGGAAATCAGCCACGAAGCAAGCTGAGATTGTAACATACCTACCATGCTTAGGCCTTCACACCCGCAGAGATAGCAGTCATCTTCTCTGGTGTGTCTCTGAGGAAGAATAATTTGGCCCGTCGCTGCCGTCTTCCTTCCTTTCCACCTCCGCCGCCGGCTCTCTGCAAAATTTTGATATCCTTCACATGCGGCGAGTTCACAAAAAGCTGCATCTCCACGCCTGTTCGTTGTATAACATTCCGCAGGATAAAGGATGTGTCAGTGCCCCGCCGTCGTATGGACAGCAGAACCCCGGAGAAAGTAGTGGGTGCATGCTCGAGGCTGACCGACAGTACCGAGCCAGGAAGAAGTCGGTCCGGATGTCTTCTGGCAAACCATGTAGCAAGCCATTTTTGTTTTGCAGGATGGGGGAGACTTTTTTGCAAGTAAGCCATTATGCCTTTCCCTTGGCGCAAAGCCTCCATCTGGGAAGCAGGCATTGCTGGAGGGAGCGGCGGAAGTATGACAGCCTTCGAGAAGGGATATACCGCAGTATTGCTCGACAAATGTCTGATGAACGTTCTACATGATTTTGGGAACATAGTGATAGTCGCGCAAGTCCGTTCAAGTTACGTATTTGGTAGATTATAATATCATGGCCGGCAAACGCCGAGCTAGTGTCCCGCATGATAATTATCGACAATTGCATTTTAGAGCAAGCAGAGTATGTATGAAAATAATACATAGCGAGAAAACAAGATAATAGAGCGTAGCAGACGTCCGTTCGTAAGACGCACAGCCTGGTTTCCAAAGTGCACGCAAGGATAGAGGACAGCTGACGTACAGGATGCGAAGGGCCGCGCACGCGCTGACGCTGTGCGCGTCAAGGTCCTCAATTTTGTAATTAGAATCCACGCCCGCGCCCTCTGTAATATTCGTTAGCTTTGCGTATGGAATGTATCGTAGAAAGTTTACCTGCCGCGTGCTCTATAGGGGCTGTACCCGTACCCACCACGGTGACCACCTCGATATCCACCGCGGTAACCACCTCCCCGCCCTCTCCCCCGGTTGAACCCAGGAACATTAGTCCGCTTTGTAGTTACCTGTGAATGTAATGATTAGATGACATGCTAATGCTCGGAAAACGTCACAAGCACTTTTATTAGTCGTCCGCGGAATAGGGAATTGTCCATAGCTAATGCTGCATCTATGTGTTCAAGCTCGGCAAATTCGACATAGGCAAACCTGTGAGCGAAGAACTAAGACGAATTGGGTGTTAGAAGAAAAACCTCACGTACCCTTTAGGGTGTCCGGTGAACTTGTCACAAAGAATAGTTACACGATTGATCGTCCCGCAAGCCTGGAAGTGCGCTTGGATTTCTTCTGGGGTTGCCCCGTAGTCCACCTAGATAAAAAAGAACAGCGTGAGCAAAGTCACCGCCGCGGTAGAAGGCGCAGATAGTCGCACATTGCCAACAAATACGCTCCGGCCGTCGGCGATGGACTTGTCTTCCTCAGTCTCCATCGGAACACCTTGGTCCGCCTCAGTAGCGGATCCCCCATTTGCTGACTCTGCAGCTGCCTGCAACTCCCTCAGTTTTTTTGCTTCACGTTCCATTTCCTCAACCCGTTGCTTCATGAGCTGAATTTCCTGGAGGACAAGGTCTGAGACGTTGAAGTTTAAGAGACGAGGGAGCGAACCTTCGATTCAAATTCGTCACCATCATCAATTATAGGGTCCACACCCTCCGCAGTGGGTGTTTGCGTCGCGTCAATATTAGCCTGCATGACAATAGTACTTGCGACAAGGACGAAAGTTTCATGGGCACTAACACGCTGCGCCAAATATAGGCAAACAACTTTGATGCCTCGGACTTGCCGAGGCCCATCTCCGAGTCCTACTACTAGTACCACTAGCCAACTGGCAAGCACTTAAGTATTAATTGTGCCACAACTTCCTAGATACATTTGTGGAGAGTCGCTCGTGAGTGTTTCTCGCAGTGCGCACATTGCTTGTCTTTGCGCTTCATTTCTCACCTCTAGTGCTCAGTGCCCACTATAACTATTGCCACTTGGTTTTTGAAGCTTTCCTGAGGCTGCCTATGCAAAAGCCGAGATGATACATTATGCTTCCTTCAACGCCCCATATGCATCTACATGAAGAAACAATCCTTTAGGCGATGAGATCAGGTCTTTCAGGCAGTTTGGAAAGCGAGCCGTGCATCCCGGTGCAATACCACGAAGATACCTCGCTCTGATGGCACGCATTAATAGCGTTAAGGCAACTATCGCCTCGCTAGATGCTGTTCTCCTCTATGTATGGCAGCGCCGCAACTATTGGTCAAAGTTCTCGTCCTTGGGGTGCTTGCAGGGCTTCTCTCCATTCACTGTCATTACTATGCCACGTAAGGTGAACGATATGGCATCTGTTCTACGAATATGTGGGTAAGCCCTGCAAGGAAGCTGTGTCATCCTCGTCTTCGTGACTTCTCCAGTAAGTTTAGAATCTGTTTGAGGTGGCACTCCCCGTCTACTCTATGAGCGTCATGCGCCCACGAGATGAACTGCTTTCTACTCAGATGCTTTTTAAGATGCAATGCTACATATGAACGTCTCTGTCATTTCGTCATTGATGTGAGACAGCGATGTTTTCGCACTGGAGACACGTTGCGTCGTTCTACAGGTGATGTGCACATGCCACCCACATTATATGAATGACGGAAGCCCAGGGTGATCAAATTTGTGAGTGCCTAGTCTGCCACCGATGTTGTCCATATGATTTTTTAAACAAAATAAACTGTTTTGCTACTTCCATTCCGGTTGTATGGTACAGCTTTAGGTTGTAACATTGTTTCGAAAGCTTCCGTAGGACCACGCGGTGCCTCGTACACAATTCTCCTCTTAATGAGTATCAGATTGGATGGCAGTATACGCCGACTCGAGTCACTGAACTCGTGCCGTCGCAGTGTGGAGTCATCGAAAGTCACCGTTGGACAGCCGCGCCTCGTGCAAAATTTGAGCATGACATGCCATTCGGCAGGTGGCTTGGCCAAAACACTGCCTTAGCACGTCCATATGGAGTTGGGAAGAGTCTCAAGAAGCGCCGCTCTTTTGGGCAGTTTGGCGTTGTAACCGAGATATCGAGTAAGGTCAACTCCATATGACCACGTCGAGAGTCTGGCCAAAAGCTTAGGGCATATTCCAACCCTGCGCTGGTTTACCTTTTAAGATGCAGCACGCAATGGGGACCATTTCAGATATATTGTATTACGGGGACTTGACGGGGACCTTGTGAAAGGCGGGCAAGTACATGGAACGTATCTGGTTAGTTTGTCTGCTTCCTTGCGCAGTCGAATTTGTCGTAAATACTATAATTAAAATGAGGTCCTGACAGTCTCCACAGATAGTATTATACACTGAAATCAGAATGGAAGAGCTTTGTAGTAATTCTTCTTTTGATGGAGTAGGTCAGTAGCTTGTAGTAGGTGATCGGGAATATTAATCAGCAATAACGTGCTGCAGATCCCCCATGAGCAACTCCGCAATGTTCCTTATTCCATGGGCCCATTGACGCTTAACAAAAGCCCAAAGCTTGAACAGGCTCCATGCACAAAAGGCTATCAAAGCACGTGCTGTCAAATTGCTGGGGGATCCAATGTACAAACGACTCCGAACACTCGCAGAGTAGTAAATTGAAACTGCGCATGGTATGCACCGAGTTCGCGGCATGCGAACATGTTGGAGCACATTCACATTGCGAAGCCGAAACTTGACAGGGCAGAATGCAAGTCGATCATGACGTGAAGGTGTATGCGAGCGTGAAATTGGAAGCCTAACAGGCGCTGGCTCGAGTTGGGAAGTCACATCAATACTTATCGCACCCGCAATAGGCTCGGGGGCGCCACCTAGTCTCGTTAAGGCCTGACAACGGACAAGTCGTATGCCTCCACAAGGGCCACATGGTTACACGGCGTACAAGTTATATGTTGCATGCGTTGGTTGGCAAGACGAGTCGAAAACAATGTTGGAGACACCACATATGGTAAGTGAAGGGACGAGATGTCGTACGAACACGCTTGCAGTAGAATTCACAGCATGTAGCAAGCAGACCTTGACTCACAAACCACGTCTGCGAGGGCAAGAACTTACATCGAATTGATCGGTGAACTCAAATAGTCGAAAAGGATGGAGTGGCAGAAGCACAGTGTGATCACCTGAGGCGACGATACCACAGCTGAGGTCCAATCACGTATCTCAACGTTTGCCCGAACTATAAGTAGGCAACCATGCTCTTCACAGATTCCGAGGAAGCCCCGGCGGACACCCAAGACCAATGCTGGCTAGAAGTTTTAGTCAAATGTTGAAGAGAGTAAGAGGCGAGCGTACACCTCAAATGCGACCGTAGTTTCGGAAGTATGCGAGTCGCACTTACGAAAAGTGTTGTTTGGGGATACTGCTGTAGAGATAACAGAGGAAGACCCTATATTTCTATTGGACATTAACCGAAAGCCTGGAAGGCATAACATTCTCGAGGAAAAGGGGACGCAATATCCAATCCGCTCCCGACCCTGTCAAGACCAGATATTCGGGAGAAACACCGCAGAGGCCGAACGTGGGGCATCATAGAATTCTGCCTAGAAACCAGATTGTGAAGAGCAGAGAATATTAAACCTTAGACGTACGCAACGAGAGCGGGTTAGACCATCATTCTTGTACTTCGTCCCCTTCCATTGCTCGTCGCGTCGCGTGCAGTCGATCATTATCGTAGACAAGTGATTTATAATGATGTTTGTTCTCGGGGAGAATTGCTTTCCGAACCGTTGATGAGTTCTTCCAGAAAAAAATTTAACCCCAAGAGATATTCCGTGCGCTAGAACATGTCATAATTGTACGGCGCAGCATGGTCCTGCATGGTCCCTTAATGGACCTGAGAGCGCTTGAGTATGGATCAGGTCCATATCCGAGATATGTTGCCGGATAGCGAGATGGAATAACAACATACGAGGCACAAAATTACTGGAAATTACTCCATTTCGAGTTTCAAAAGGTTTTCAACCGCAATGAGATGATCGGGGGAGAAGAACTTGAATCCTATTGGAGAGATACTCAAGAGCTGCAAGAAGTCCTGTGTCATCGATTAACAGACAATTAGTAAGTTGAGCAATGCCTTTACTCGCTCGGAAGCGTATAGAGATGATGAATAAACTCAACTCAAATTGGTACTATGAAGCATGCCGTCTCCAACGGGTTCGGGTTCAGAGACATCCCGAGAAGACTTGGGAGAAAGTTGTGGATGGGGCTGGTACACAGGAAAACTTTCTATGAGATTCATTTCCGAAAACAAGAGGTATAAAGAGAACCAAGCCGTTGTCAGAGGAGTGACCAGGAATTCCGCTCCGAACCTACTCTCGACCTGTGTCTGTCTTGTGTGCACGGTGAGTCCTCGTTTCAGTCTGACGTAGACACCAGTGCAACGAAGTCATTGTGCTAACTCGGCACAGCCAATGAATCAACTTAGTCATCCATGGCATCGGTCCGACCCGTCGACTACCTTCCGAAGATATCTTGCGGCCGCCCGACCACAAGGGCAATTGCTGGCAGTACACCACGCTTCTCCTGAGCGTATGGTACAGCACGACGATTTTTACTCAATGACACACCAATCGAAGAAGAAACGCATCGATGATGATCCTCTTCCCACCGATGCTGGCGCAAAACCAATACAGCTTCAGCGGCGCAGAGTCTGGAGGGCATGTGAAAGTTGTAGGCAAGTCGATCGAGCTCTACGTTCTCATTTTTGTTTCCCAACAAGAACTAATCGCACCGATCGCAGACGTAAGAAAATCAAGTGCGATGGCTGTGAGCCGACCTGCTCTCAGTGCCAGTCATCTGGATCGCAGTGCACTTGGCTTCAGACAAAGGACAGGGCGGCTTTAAGCAGACAGTAAATGTTCTTATAATTCCAATCCATCCCTTCAACTCATCGTCCCAATAGCTATGTCCAAGAACTCGAAGCGCGTCTCTTGCACATGGAGTCGCTGTTCTCTCAGATTACCCCTGTGCTTGAACAACTAGGGCCATCCTTGAATTTGCCCGTCGTTGCTGGAACCCCAACTGGAGGCAGCGAAGGCTTTCCAGCTTCCACTGTGCTCCAAGCAATGTCATCCAAGGCTGTTGCGGACACCCACAGCAACGTGTCTACTCCAGAATCTTCGTCAATCAAAGTAGAAGACGATGTCTCTGAATATCTTGGACAGCTCGCACTGGATGAGCATGGCCACATGCGCTGGATAGGTGGCTCTTCCACAATGTCTCTCATACAATCCTTCCGTACTCTCACGACATCTCCGCTTCACCGAGTCTCCCCAATGGAAGAAGACCCACGCGCGCCTGGCCCCAGTGTCAATAAATTATACTTCCCAGCCTCTGTCTTCTTTGGGAAGGTTCATGCTCTCCCAGGCCCGGAAGAGGTCGAATACCCGGACGAGGACCTCTGCGATAAGCTGGTAAGTATGCCTTTCTGAATCATCAGTTCTATCTAACCACATCGCGTCAAGGTGGAAACTTATTTTGAGCGTCTTCATTTTCTGATGCCTATCCTTGATAAACCTTCGTTCATGCCAAGATACAAGCAACTAATGGCTAAGCGGGATGACACCGATTTTATTCAAGCAGAAGCTTCCTTCATCTCCGTAGTTTTCGCAGTGTTCGCCTGCGCAGCACACCTAGTCAACGATCCCCGTCTGACTTGCGAAAATCCAGATGATGGAGGCACGGGGATGATTTACTATGAGAGGTACGCCTTTGGCCGTCATGGAAACTTGACGTCATCCCTAACGTCGATAAACCCCGCTAGAGCTCTTATATTGCATTATATCAGCCACGCCTCTATTCAGGTGTCTCACGTCCAATGCTTCATTCTCATGTCCTCGTTCCTGTGTTCTGTGAACTGTCTTCCGCAGGCCTGGTTACTCGTGGGACAAGCAGTGCGAACTGCTCAAGACTTGGGTTTACACGTAAGCAGCGCTCATTTTTGATTTCCGGGCCGATTGAATAATCCTTGTGGCAGCGATCCCCACGCCGTCTCGCGATCTCTACCACTGACAAAGAGACTCGCCGAAAAATATGGTGGAGCGTGTACTGCTTGGATCGCATGCTCGCTCTTGCTCTCGGCCGTCCACTTGGTGTTGAAGACTCTGACTGCGATGTCGAGATACCTGTTGCGGTCGACGATGAGAACTTAGCAGATTATTTTGCTGGAGTTAACTTCCCGCAAAAATATCCGTCGCTCATGACTGGGGCTATCGCTCTGACAACCCTGTACCAAATTGCGGGACGGGTTCTGCGGCAGGTCTATGCCATCGATAACTGCAAAGATGTGCTCGAGCAAGACAGACGCATAGAACTTCAGCGTACCGTAGAGGAGCTCGACGACGAGCTTAACAAGTGGTGCGACGATCTTCCTGCCACGTTCCGGAACGAGGCGGTCACAGACCAACAGGTCTCCATGGGCGCAGTGCTTTGCAGTCATTATTATTCCGTACTGACCACGCTACATCGCAATTTTTTGCCTGTCAAGCGTGACCAGCCTGTACTACCCAAGTCCACTGTCAGGGCTGTTTCTTCTGCTCGCTCCTGCATACGACTAGCGCCATCTATCAGCAATGTCGTTCCACCATCGCATCACCTTGCCTTCTTCATCCAGCATCTTTTTAGCTCCGCTGTCATCGTCCTTCTCTATGCCATGCACTGCTCTGATACTAGAGCAGCTGCTGCCGCTATGGATGAGGCCAAGAGTTGTTTGACGGCACTCGAGTCCTGGGAAGGACATTGGCCCGGGGCTCGCAAGTGCAAGGAACTACTCGCGGAGTTGGCAAACACTGCGGAGGAAGCAATCAGGAATGGCAATGGCGGTACTAGGCAGTCTCAGATGATGCCCATGCCACCTCCTGTTGCTCCTGCTATGCCTGAACGAAGGCAATCGCTTGTGTCGTCACCCGGCCAGATTCCAACTGTCAATAGACCTATCAAGAGCAAGCCACGAAAGATCAGCCGGTCGCGAGATCCCGCTTCCACTCGACGCCCGATGAATTCATCCCCCTATCGTGTTGAATGTAAGCAGGCATGGGCTCTTTGACGACCTTGACTGATGTATGACGGACTATAGCGCGACGCAATAGGTCTACATCGCGCAAGCGGGGCCACGACGAGAGTGAGGGACTTGCAGGTTCGAGCTTGAGCTACCAAGGTGCCTTCTCCACGCCGCAGCCTTCGAAACCCAGCCCCCACAGCTCTCCAGCGTCTGTGAACCTTCCCTCGCCGTCCATGTCCACGCTCGAGACCCCGCAACAGCAAGAGGGCAGCCCAAATGTCATAGGGTCTCCGCCGTATGGTTATTCTGGGCCGCCTCTCTCTCCTCTGCATGTATCGTCACCATATGATTATGGCATGCATCACAGTCCCCTCGTCTCTTCGAGCACGCACCAGTGGGACTCTAACACGGTCGAACCTCGTGGGACTGATCTGTACCCATCTCCGACGCAGAGCAGATCCCTTCCATTCAGCAATTTTGAACCGCAAAATACTGATACTCCTTGGTACTCTTCGGATCAAGGATACTCGGGGCTTTCAACCACCCCACCCACCGCTTCGTTCGCTGCCCCTGGACTACCATTCCTAGGGCTTGATTATATTCGCAACTACAATTCGCACGGTTACTCAGTGGTTGGTGAACCAGACTCTATCTGGCAGACTTTTGATGCTGGCGCATTTGGGTTGGACCCTGATTTGCCCTTCACCCTTGGTGATCTGCACGAAGGACAACACTCCTCGCCCTAGTTCAGGACCCTTCTTGCTGTGGTGTTTTCTTGGCCGACAATGTACTTTTACAATTTTTTCTTCTTCTACTTTGTTCACTTCATCATCTGCTCGGGAATATCTGATTCCTCACTGAATCATATCCATATGCATGCTCTTCATAGTTTTGTTTGATTGACGACTCTGCTACTTAGCTTTACGCGCTCAGAAATTACTCACTACTATAATGTTTGACTTCCGGTGCTTTTAAGACCTTATAAAGCAAGTGCATTAATAGCAAATTTAGGTTGACATCGACGTCGATGAGGCCTTGAGGCTTGAGGCCGAGGGCTTGTACTATGTGCCAGTCACTGCCGACTACAACGGGACCGGCTCGGGTACCGGTATCAAGTTTCCCGTTAGTCCGAGACTCCGAATATTAGCCGCCCACCGCTTAAACAGGACAGCGTTCCTCTGTCATGTTTTCCGCATACCCCCAACTTCATATCACGCAATGACTCGTCATCCGGTTGTAGAACTAACTTCGGAAGCATCCTGGAATCTCGTACGATTTATGATATCTATTTCGTAGCAGAAGACTCATGTCGCACAGATCGAGGACAAGTTCACACCCTATGGGAAAGAAACGCTCGCGAAACTCGTATATTTCCTTGAGGTATGTAGGACTGCCCATTCAACAAGTTCATGATATCATATTGCGTCAGGATGAAATCCTTCCATCCGTGAAACTCGCACATGCGCAGGTTCCCAAAGACCCTGTGCAGCGGTGGAAGACAGTGATTCCGGTAATCGAGGAGCTCAAAGTGAAAGCACGTAAGCTCGGGCTGTGGAACCTCTTCCTGAGCAAGACGCATTACCCCGAACACGGCGTTCCGCTGACTAATGTCGAAGTGAGTTATTTTTTGTTTCATATGTTGTAAATGCACAATTAACGATCGGGTTAGTATGCGGTTATGGCTGAGATTCTCGGACGTGGGGGACACATAGCTTCCGAGGCGGTTAACTGCTCAGCCCCTGATACCGGGAATATGGGTATGTGCAGGGTTTGCTGATACTACCCCTGAATTTCCTGAATGTTGGTGAAGAGGTCATTGCGCGGTATGGTTCTCCGGAACAGCAGAAGAAGTGGCTTGTTCCTTTGTTGAATGGCCAGATTCGGTCTGCTTTTTCGATGACGGAGCGGTTTGGTTCGTGTTTCCTTTTGTTTTTGGTGTGGGTTGAGGGTAACTGACTATGGGTGATGTTTGCAGTGTCTTCTTCGGACGCTCGCAATATCAAGACCTCTATCAAGAGAGAAGGAGATGAGATTGTTATAAATGGTCACAAATGGTGCGTGTCTAGATTTTTTAGAGACTGACATCATTCAGATCGTCATTGGGGCAGGTGGATATCGGGAGCGGGCGACCCACGTACCAAGCTTCACCTCGTCATGGGAAAGAGCGACCCTGACAACGCGAACGTATATCAGCAACAAAGTGTGGTCATAGTGCCAGCAGACGCGCCTGGAGTGAAGATCATTCGGCCTATGGAAATATTTGGGTATGATGACGCGCCTGAGGGGCACTGTGAGGTCATATACGAAAATGTAAGGGTGCCTGTGAGCAACTTGGTGCTAGGCTGGGGACGAGGATTTGAGGTAAACGACGTTTTCGGCTTATCCTTCTTGCGTTTTGGCTTACGGTCTATCGGAGATAATTCAAGGTCGCTTAGGGTATGTAGAGTCGAACTGTGTTGTCTACTCGAGTCTGACCTGCTGACAGTCCTGGACGTATTCACCATTGTATGCGCTCGATAGGTGCAGCATCGCAGGCTTTGGATCTTATGATCCAGCGCGTTACAGACCCTACCCGAAAGACTTTTGACAAATTTCTGTACCAACATGGCGAGTGATTAATTCTTCATCGTCATGTATTCTAGAAGCTGACACGACCTCACTTGCAATTCAGGTACGGTGGTAGCCGAAATTGCGCGGTCACGGGCGGAGATCGAGTCTGCACGACTTCTTGTCCTGAGCGCGGCGCTTCAAGTGAGTGCCTGTGTTCCTTGTCTCGGTGCTAAGAATGAATTTGTCTTGAAGATCGACAAGCAACGGGCCAAGGGGGCGTTGAAGGAAATCGGCATTGCCAAGGCACGGCTTCTCAATTCGCTTAACCAGTCTATGATTCAATTTATTTTGTAGTTTGTTGTGCCTGCGATGGCCTGCAGAGTGGTCGATCGGGCTATGCAAGCATATGGTGCCGAGGGATTAAGTCAGGACCAAGAACTGGCGAGCATGTTTGCTCAACTGCGGACGCTGCGGTTGGCGGATGTGTGTCTTCTGTTCCTGCATCGTCGTGTACCTGTGGTTGACGCGTTTTTTTTTACAGGGACCTGATGAAGTATGTTTGCATGGCTGAAAATAGCAAATGTCTTACCCCACATTTTAGGTTCACATCCAACAGGTTGGGCAACGTGAGTTGAAGCGTGCACCGGGACTGCACAAGCGTGCTGCGGAACTAAAGCAAAAGGAGTTTGCTGTACTGTCTAAGGCTCGTCTCTGATGGCTTGGGATATTTTGTACATTATTTAGGATGAATGTGTGCAGTGCTTCGGAATGTGATATTATGTACAGAGTGACAACGAGGAAGACGTCATTGTGCCTTTTCGGCGATCAGCGTGCAAGGTAAACTCTTACACTCCACTTTCATGCTTGAGGTGTAATTCTTCATTGGATACTCATGTCTAACTACGATGATGGGACCGAGCGATACGACGTGACACCGATTTTGGAGTCGCGGTACTTTATTCTCCCCGCTTCCGCAGCACTCGTTGGGGTATTCATCGGGGCGGTGCGTGGATCTCGCCTTGCATCACTCCGTTTTCTCGCGGAGAACGCACACCGGCCACCCAAGACAATTCGGGGATGGTATCTCTACAATAAAACGAAAAATTACAAAAGAATGGCTGCCGGTCTTTCATCTGGTGGCAAAGATGGAGTTAAACTTGGAGTGACAGCACTTGTTTGGGTTGGGATTGAAGATGGATTAGGGCGGTGTGGGAAACCTTTTGATGATTTGAAAGAGGTTGGAGCTGGTGTGGGGACTGCGGGGGCGTTCTCGGTTGTGTGTAAGTTTGAGGTATTCGTGGTGGATTAAGGACTAATTTGACTGGTTAGACCGACTACCGTGGCGTACTGGAAGTCGTGCATTATTGCTTGGATCGATGATTGGTGGGGGAATGGGATTTCTACGGTGGGCTAGAGAATACTTGAGCAGAGCCCGAGGAGACTTTGATACATAGATCATGGCTAGACCTTCCGGATCATGAAACAAGCATTTTTTTTTAAATTTTAAGTGGTCGAATGGAAATATTATGTCTCTCCGGTTAAATTTTGTACAGAAGTTCTGGACACTCGACCATCTTCTTAAAACAGTAGAGAGCTCCACATATCAAAAATGAGGTCCGCTCCACCACTATCTTCCGATAAGTCCTCCTCATCGTCCTCCATAACCTCTTCACTGTCTTTCTTGCCGATTCAAAAAATGATCAAACTCTGGCCATCTATACTAGCTGACCAGATAACACCAAAGGCTACTGCTGACGGTCATGAACGTCTTAATCCTTTCGAGGTACAAACTCATTCACCCTCATCCTCGTCCCTAACATCTACCAATGGTCTCGCAACTCCAACTCTATTATCACCAGGCGTTTCAATTCATCATCATTTACTCGGCACTGCTAGTTCTCCTTCTACTGCGGCGAACGCCGATCTCACGCCGCCAGGTCCTATAACACCTCTATCCGGTGCCTTTGCCGCTCGTATTCCTACAACCCAAATTTCCCTTCATGCACCAGATTTTTCAATGCGCAACACCAAAAATTCAACTAACCTCTCAGATTCAATGGAAAGTAAATCCAATACGCCATCGTCATCGTCCTCCTCGACCAGAACTTCTTCAATCGCATCTACTTCAACAGCTACCCCGCACTCGACGGGCACCTCCAAGGGTCAGATCCACGTCAAGCTCATATCTGCCCGTGGTCTTAATGTCACATCCGTATGCTCACGACCTTATGTCGTCGTTCAATTCGAGCAGAACGAGTTTGTAAGTCGCGATCCCACAGACGAAATGGACAAAGAGGTCAAGGGAACAGCGACCGCTCTCTCTCGCGCATCTTCCTCTATTGCTCTCTCAGCTCTCTCATCCATCGGCGTTCCTCGTCCACCAGGAAAGGCTAGTACCGGAAATTCCCCCTCTTCATCTCTGTCATGTAATCAACCTTCTCCCATCAACCTTCCTTCCACCACTCAGGGCCTGTTTGGTCGCTTATCCGCACACAATCCCGTGTGGAAACACGAGGTGTCATTGTGAGTATCCCATAATCAACTTATCAAATTTCCCTTTCCAATTCTTTATAGCGACGTTACGTCCGAAGAATCCCTCGTCTCATTTAACCTATATGACCGCGTAGCGGACCATTTCTTTCTCGGCACTGTACAAATCAAGCCAGTCCTCATCCATGATCATACTGTTGACCAATGGTACAAGTACGTACAACTTCCCGCTTGCCTTGTCAACTGCCATCCCGTCATTCCGTTACTAATGTCATCATTTGCTTACGCATAGACTCCGGCCGTTCGAGAACGAAGTAATAAGCGGGGAAATGCGGGTACAAATCACTTTCGAGCAATACAAGGTACGTTACACCAGTCTAACCTCTTTCATTCTCACCGACCCCACGATCTCGGCCTCCCTTTCGCATCACTTAATCATCCATCCTGACAACGCTTCTCACTCACTCGACCCTTTCACGTGACAGACCAAACGCGCGCTTACACCACGCGATTTCGAGTTCCTGAAGTTGATCGGACGCGGCACCTTTGGCAAGGTCTTCCAAGTCCGGAAACGCGATACAAAGCGAATATATGCTATGAAGGTTCTCTCAAAGAAAGAAATCGTTGCGAAGAAGGAGGTTGCTCACACGATCGGAGAGCGAAAAATCCTACAACGTTCACTAGAATCACCATTCCTCGTTGGCCTCAAATTCAGTTTTCAGACCGATACAGATTTGTACCTGATAACAGACTTCAAGAGCGGTGGCGAGCTGTTCTGGCACCTCCAGAAAGAGACACGTTTCTCCGAAGAACGGGCCCGATTTTATATCGCAGAGCTAGTTTTGGCCCTGGAGCATCTACATAGATACAACATCGTTTATCGGGATCTTAAACCCGAAAATATCCTTCTTGATGCCACCGGCCATGTCGCGCTCTGCGATTTTGGGTTATCAAAGGCGGATCTACGGTCCGACGAACTCACCACGACGTTCTGTGGCACAACCGAGTACCTCGCCCCTGAAGTACTTTTGGACGAGCATGGATACAGCAAACTCGTCGACTTTTGGTCGCTGGGCGTACTCCTCTTCGAGATGTGTTGCGGTTGGAGTCCATTCTATGCCGAAGACACACAGCAAATGTACAAGAATATTTGTTTTGGGAAGATTCGGTTCCCGAGAAACGTTATCAGCGAAGACGGCAAAATGTTTGTGAAGGGGGTGAGTGCCGGCATTCAACTCGCTTCGACGTTTCTGATAGCCATTTATCAAGCTTTTAAACCGAAATCCCAAACATCGCTTAGGTGCGCAGCGCGATACCGCAGAACTGAAAGAACATCCGTTCTTCTCGTGTATAGATTGGAAAGCTCTCCTTCTGAAGCAGGTGACGCCGCCGTTCAAACCTGTCGTGGAGTCGGATGAGTCGACTGCGAACTTCGATCCAGAGTTTACCACTGCTGATATCAAAGAGGTCGGCGGTGGTCTCGACGGGCATGGGAGTCCGGATGAAGAAGATCCTAGCGAAGACTGGACACAAACGCAGGGCGGCTTGCCAGGGTCGCACATGCCGAACGGACCACTGGGTAGTGACCGTATAAACCAGAACGGTCCGGCAGGCCTTCCCTCTCCCTTACCTAACGTGAATGGCGCGGGACGTGCTATCCAGATTGGATCGCGGAAGAAGCAAGATATTGCAGGGTCGCCGCTGACGAACAGCGTACAAGAGAATTTCCGCGGGTTCACGTACTCTGGAGGCGAAAGTGTGGTGTTACAGGGCATAATGGGCGGAGATCCGGCTGACGATGAGGAGGAGGCAGTGTCCGATGAAGAGGTCCCAGAGGTGACTACAGAAGATGAGTTCGAAGACAGGGAGAGATTCGCGGGACGATACTCGAACCGAAGAAGAGGAATTGATGAGGACATAGCTGTATGATGCGTTTGCAGCGCACGCCGTCCAAGGTGGTCGGCGCCTCGCGCATGTACGGAGCTTCTATTCCACCAACTCGTCAAAGACAGAAATGGACTAATTTGGACTCATGCATGATTTGGTGCATGCACTCACCTACCATCCGCTTGAGGTGTCGTGCCTCCCATTACTACTTATCTGATTTAATCGCATATTTGTTCTCGCCACCCTTCCCATGCAATTCCCCCCTTTGCTCATATCCTCTTTATGGAGCATGTTATATATCTCGAGTTGAACACATGATTGCCCATCGTGGATTGTTTTTACCTGCTTCTGTTATCGCTGTTGTTCTATAGTATAACGTACCACATTTTACAGGAATTGTAATAATTCATTTGGTCTGTATCCCTTTCGTCGTTTGGGTGGAACATGTGTGAATTCCGCCAGCAGGTTTACAGCATCTATCATTAATATCTATGTAGTAGGGATAGTTCCGTCACCAATCATACAGAGTCTTTTTTCCGCGGCACGGGAGGTCAACTCCACCACGCAAGATAGTTGGGAGGACTTGACCACCAATAATCGTGTGCTTGACGATCGATTCTACTTCATGGGGTGTGACACGTCCATACCATACACCAGCCCCGCGAGGAGTGTAGATCTGCAAGATGGACGTCCGAGTCAACATACCGTTCAGACGACAAGAAGAAAATCACACACGATGCAGTTGCCTGCGAATTTATGCCCGCCGATGTGTGAGTTCTTTAATATCAGCGCCCTGCGCTCAGCGTGAAGAGATTTGAGATGTGTCTCAATCAATTGTTCTTTCTCGGTGGCTGAGCTGGCTTGTGACTCGAGGGAAGGTTCGGAAGTGAGATCGTACAGGTCGGTGTGGACTTCCCAGCCTTCTCGCTCGAGATATTGATGGAAGGCTTTCGGAGGCGTTAATTTAAGGTCAAGAAGGAGTCTGTGAACTTACTCTTTTCTAAGATTGGCGCCGCAATAGCGCATCGTTTGTCTCGTCTCTTGTGCGAGCCTGGTGGAATCTGTGAGATATATTCAACACGTGACTGTGTGTAACTCACACAGTAATATCAGACATGAGTAAGGTAAAACCCAAGTACTCAGATTGTCCGTTCGGGTGGTTGCTCCAGCCCGATCAATAGTCGGATCAAGAGCAGCCTTCCACAATACCTCAGCGCCCGCCAAAGTGCGCGGGACTCCAGATACGACCATAAAGTCTGGAAGCACAATCACAGTCTCTTCCGACTCGTCATGAGAGAGAGACCTATGACTTCCATTGAGAATGGCGAGCTTTTTTGCTTCGGTATGGGAGAAAAGACCAGATGGTAAGGGGTCGTTGGTGGACTTTGGTTTCTTTGGAGTGCTTGATGAAGAGTTGGCGGTTTTCAAGAAGGCAGCGAGCGTGCCTTCAGCTTTGGTCACATCATTCTCCCAGTCTGTCTTTCCAGTTGATATGACCACCTGTGTCATCATCAGCAAGTCATACTATGAAAAGCCGCAGTTAGTGCGTAAACACCAGGGACGTACCTGTCGGCGGTAGGGCTTCACCGATCCTAACATGTCGGAGTCCATGTCGATATCCATTCTGCTGGAGAAGTCATCGTGATCTAAGGATCATTGTTGGTGAGCGTGACAAGGAAGAGTTGTAATGATGCTCACCCTGATCACAAGGGTCGGCGCAAGACCTGCATTCGGCGGTCGTGACTGGGACGTCAGCGGTTTCGAGGTTCTGGTATACATTTGTGCCATTAGGCGAACCAAACACAAAGGCTTTGAGTTTACCGGTCAGAGAGGAGCTCATGGTGGATTGGGTGCTGGAACGTTGAGGGTTGAGGGCAGTTGCGCAGTACGTATACAGGACTGTTACTTAAGTCGAGAAATATACAGTTAGGTTTAGTTTATCAGATAAGCCAGACTGTACATAATAGGCAATGCGGAAGCCACTTACTGTGCAATCTGTAAGCAAGATTTATTTAGCAGCCCAATTAATCCCACCAATCTCAGATAAATAAAATTGGACCGAGTCTACCGCCCAGACATGGCGTTCACGCAAAATATTATTGCTCACTGCGCCTCACCACCCGGTCTTTGGTCACAATTACAGGTCTATGATGCCAGAAGCATCTCCAGAAGTTCGCCGTCAATATATCGAACTAACTGGATGGGACAGCGCAGTATGGAGATAAAATTTATAATGCTGAGTCACTATAATGAAGTCTGCCCACTATCCGCAGGCCAAGTGACAACTCTGGGCAGACCGTCATAATCGGACCAAGCAGATATGAATCAATATATTCGCTTACCTAGCTAAACGCCCTGCCGTTGGTCTTCCTGTAGTTGTTTTTCTATTTTCGTCGCATTCTCCTGGACCGCAGTCCACAACGGCTTTCCATCCCGGCTCACCCCTACGAGCGCCTCCATCGCCCTTGCCGTTCTCTGTTGGTCACTGTTGGGGCTTGACGATGCTAGCGCTGCCCTTAGGCCAGTGGGAGGCGGCTTGACGCCCTTTCCGAAGAAATGGCGCGGCTCCTCTTCTCTTTCGGCAACTAACCTCTTCAGCTCTGCAAAACTGCGTTTGTCGAAGTTGGAGGTGAAGTTGACGTTATTTGTCTGAGGAACAAAGGCTTCGTCTATTTTCTGGGAGAGGTTTTCCGGAGTTACAAAGGTGTCGCACTGGTGGTATAGAGAGACGAGGGCGCGCATGCGGACGTGGTGTTTTGAGGCAGCCCGTGATATATAGCGTCTAATCACGAATGTGCATTTCGACGGAGACGGTCGGCAGGGTAGCATGGCTCCGTGCTGAAAGGTTGCAGATTACAGCGACGAAGAAGGGTTTCGAACGGTCGCAGCACAGGCTTACATCAGCCTCCCCGAAAGGGAATTATTAGGCACGAGGGGTGAGCAACAAGTGGTCGGAAACGTTCAAAACCCGATGGGCGCTCACAAACGCGCTCCGTTGGACACAAGATGGGCTGGAGGAAAGAGCGGTCGAGATGGCAATACAAGGTGAGATCCGGTGCTAACACCAACGCAGACTGTGAATTTCTCAATGCGAAGCCGTCTGCGTTGTCGCCCTTTTCTCGCGGGTGCACCAGCCAACTCAAGGTACGAAGCTCTCGCGTTATGAAAATCTCATGGTATCAAAATTTACTGTCGTAGGGTGATGTACCACTGCAGCACACCCTCTTCAGTCGTCAACGACCTTTTGTTCTGTGCCTGCAAACAGTGTAAATAGGTGGGGCTCACACTAAATCAGATTGTTCGTGCAGCGATCTGTGTTGGCAGCAGTGGCTCACCACTGGCATCGCTTCGAACATCTCTAAAATCACAGATTCACAACGGATCTGAAGACTACCTCCCCATGGACAACATCATCTTACGATACCGTCTACACCGATCAGAACGTGAAGTTACCACGCACAGGACTATTGCAGTGTGTAGTACGAGATATCAGTCTGCATGACAAATTGATTGACGCCAATGCACAGTGCGTCGCACATGGATAATAGCGTGCCGGATGAGCATGATGGACGGACTATCTACTATCTGTATCAGCAACAGCACCTGTGCATGCCACAAGAGGTTCAGGGCCAGACCGAGGAGACACGTAAATTGAATAGTGTGCACTAAAATGTATGCTCAATCAATCCAACTGAGCATGATGTGCTTACATTTTCCCTTGGCTCATCTGATTGGATGGGGGTGTCGTGTTGTCATTGCGCCCATTTCAGTATGCAGTCGAGAATAGTGATGCGGAATGTTTATGCACAGCGTGAGGGTGCAGAACAAGAACACCGTACTCCCATCTTACGTTGAACTCACCTGCACCCATCTTACGTTGAGCTTACCGGCGCATCATCGCGCAGTCTAGCATATGACTATGCAACCACATGTTATCTATCTAAGCCCCATATAACTCAAACTCCGCCTGGCACTTGTGAGTCTGGGAGAAGATCGCTTAACCATATTCTTTGTAAAGGACATATCGCATAAATCTTGATGTACGACAAGTGCGCATATATCCCACTAGGGATAAGGGTATTCGTCACTGAAAGTGCTACTGGACGATTGATGTCATGACGACTGTCTTCGCCGTTATCGAGCTGATTCATGTTAGCCGCCAGGTGTGCTAAAGAGGATAGAAAGTTAAGTGTAATTGTGAATCATGCTGTCAAGGGACGAGACGAGGGCTGTGGAAATGAAAGAGGTAAATGAAAGACCAGTTGCGAATTTGAAACAGGAGATATCGCAAATTTGGGTTCCTTCTGGTAAGAAGTCGGTAGATGGGCATGGTGGCATAGTCTGCATCGGAGATTGATACTGAAGAACGATGAAGAGATCACAGAGGCGACCACAGAAGATGAATTCGAGGATACGGAGAGTTTCGCGGGACGGTACTCGAACCGAAGAAGAGGAATTGACGAGGACATAGCGGTATGATGTGTTTACTGCGCATGCATTGAGTCGTCGAAAAAGGAAATGAACTAACTTGGACCTTTGTATGATTTGGTGTACGCGCTCACCCACCCGTCCAAGGTAACGTGCCTTCCATTACTACTTATCTGATTTAATCTCCATTCTCCCCCTCCTTTTCTCATACCTTCTTTATGGAGCACGTGAGTCGAACATATGATTGTTTCATCGTGGATTATTTTTACTTGCTTCTATTATTTTATAGTATAACGTACCACATTTTACAGGAGTTGTAATAATTCATTTGGTCTATACTCCTTTTCGTCGTCTTGGTGGGACGTGCGTAAATTCCGCCAGCAGGTTTACAGCATCTAATATCTAAGGGATAGTCTCGTCACCAATCATACAGGGTCTTTTTTCCGCGGCAGGGGAGGTCAACCCCACCACGAAAGATAGTTGGGAGGACTTGACCACCAATAATCGTGTGCTTGACGATCGATTCTACTTCATGGGGTGTGACACGCCCATACCATACACCAGCTCCGCGAGGAGTGTAGATCTGCAAGATTGACGTCAACGTACCGTTTAAACGACGAGAAGAAAATCACACACGACACAGTTGCCTGCAAATTCATGTCCACCGAAATGTGAGTTCTTTAATATTAGTGCCCTGTGCTCGGCGTGCAGAGATTTGAGCTGAGTCTCGATTAATTGTTCCTTCTCGGCGGTTGAGCTAGTTTGTGACTCGAGGGAAGGTTCGGAACTGAGATCGTACAGGTCGGTGTGGACTTCCCAGCCTTCTCGCTCGAGATATTGCTGGAAGGCTTTCGGAGGCGTTAATTCAAGGCTAGATATCTATGGAAGGAGTCCGCAAACTCACTCTTCTCTAAGATTGGCGCTGTAACGGCACATCGTTTGTCTCGTCTCTTGTGCGAGCCTGATGGAATCTGTGAGATAAATCTCAACACGTGGCTGTGCAACTCACAAAGCAATATCAGACACGAGTATGGTAAAACCCAAGTGTTCAGAAGATTGTCCGTTCGGGCAATTACTCCTGCCCGATCAATAGCTGGATCAAGAGCAGCCTGCCACAACGCCTCAGCGCCTGTCAAAGTGCGCGGGACTCCAGATACGACCATAAAGTCTGGAAGCACGATCACAGTCTCTTCCGACTCGTCACGAGAGAAAGACCTGTGACTTCCATTGAGAATGGAAAGAAATTTTGCTTCGGTATGAGAGAAAAGAAGACCAGATGGCAAGGGATCGTTGGTGGAATTGGGCTTCCTTGGAGCGCCCAATGAAGAGTTGGCAGTCTCCAGGAAGGCAGCAAGCGTGCCTTCAGCTTCGGTTACATCATTCTCCCAGTCTGTCTTGCCAGTAGATATAATCACCTGTGTTGTCGTCATCATCAGTAAATCATACTGCGTAACCACCAAGGACACACCTGTCGGCGGTAGGGATACACTGATCCTAACATGTCCGAGTCCATGTCGATATACAATCTGCTAGGGAAGTCATCGTGATCTACAGACTAATGTTGGTGCACGTGGCAAGGGAGGGTTTTGATGCTCACCCTGATCGCAAGGGTAGGCGCAAGACCTGCATTCGGCCGTCGTTACTGGGACGTCAGCAGTCTTGAGGGTCTGGTATGCTTTTGGGCTGTCAGGCCAACCAAACACAAAGGCTCTAAGTTGAATGGTTAGTGAGAAGATCATGGTGAAACGAGTGCCGGAACGTTGAGGGTTGGGTAGTACGCACACTTCAGGACTGTTGTTAAGTTTGGTTTATATCGGACCAGGTGGCAATAATAGGTCACCGGTTAGCCCCCATCCATAACCATAGTACGGAATCCACATACTGTTCAATCATTTGCAATCTGCAAGCAAGATCTATTTAGTAACCCCGATTGATTCCACCAGTCTCAGATCAATGAAATTGGACCGAGTCGACATGGGGTTCACGCAATGTTGCTCACTGCGCAGCATGGAGATCAAAATAATGCTGAGCCGCCATGATGAAGTCTGTGTAACCATCCGAAGACCAAGTGATAACTCCGAAAAACCCGTTATGATCGGACCGAGCAGGTATGAATCAAGATATTCACCTAATTAGCTAAACGTCCTGCCGTTAGTCCTCCTGCAGTTGTTTTTCTATTTTCGCTGCATTCTCCTGAACCGCACAGATTTTTATACCGGCTCACCCATACGAGCACCTCTATCGCCCTCGCCGTGCTTTGTTAGTCATTGTCGGGGCTTGAAGACGCCAGCGCTACCCTCAGGCCAGCGGGAGACGGCTTGATGCCCTTTCCAAAGAAATGGCGTGGCTCATTAGCTCTGCAAAACTGCGTTTGTCGAAGTTAGATGTTAAGTTGACGCTATTTCTCTGAGGAACAAAGGCTTCGTTTATTTTCTGGGAGATGTTTTCGGGAGTTACAAAGGTGTCACGCTGGTGGTATAGAGACGAGGGCGCGCATGCGTAGCCTGCGATATGTGGCATTTAATCACGAATGCTAAGGATGTGCATTCCGATGGGGACGGTCGGCAGGGCAAAATGGCTTTGCGCTCAAAGGTTGCAAACTACAGCGACGAGGTCGTTAATTACAGTCGTTTGCATAATGATTTAGACAAACTGAGTGATTCTTACCGTATTTGCTTCTGTTTAGCAGGGCCAAAGTGTGACAGCGTGTCACGCTACTCCCCTGTTTTGCAAAACATCTTCCTGCAGCAACGTCCATGCAGCTTCGTGAACGCATTACAATATTGTCTGGCATCATCAAATGCACATACCAATTGATGAAATTGTAGTACTTTCAGGACTTTCACATGAAACCATGTACAACGTCCTTCAGTTATACAGTAGACTATGCCATAATGTATATGCCCTTAGTGTGTATTTTCAATGGTCCCACTGTGGGACAGTGAGAAAATAGATCCATAATGTATATTGTATAATGTATTGACCTTGCATGCCTATTATACATTATCAGACGGCACTTTTGGTGGTGGGGACCGTTGTCGGTGCTGGCTGTTGTCCATGTTGTAGAGAATGAGATTGCTCTAGGCATAGGTCGTGCATGTTTCAACTCATGACGATTGGTACAGTGTGCAACTCACCATCTATGACTTTCCTGCAAAATGTGCCAGAGGCGCAACACTTTCCCACACTATGTGACACATTCCCACGCACGCGCTTAGTGTGCTCTTCCTGCGCTCAGTCGCACCTTGTCATGCAGCATCCTGGAGCCTTCATCCATCATCCAACCAGTCTCCTAGTGAGTCCTTTCTTGTTTATTCTCATTATCAGACCATATTTAGCATCATACGACACACTATTTTGTCATGGACCCTTTATTTATCTCACTTACATACATAGAGCACTCCCTATTTGCTTCCAAGCCCTAGGAGTGTGCCTAGGAAGTTTTCATACACCAACCACCATCATGTCAGTTAGTCTCTAGAGTGAGAATCTATTGTCTTCAGTCAGCATGCTTCAGTTGTCACCCTAGTCATCAGCATCAGTCTACTATTATCAGTCTCCACCCAGCAGCCTCAGTTCACATCCTCACAACTTCTACCAGTCTTTACATGTTCATGCATGACACACACCTTATTCTCATGCTTCACGCTCCTATGCACTCAACATTCCCACATGCATGCTCCCAGCATGCTTCACCAGAGTTGACCTGGTGTCACTTTGTGGATATTTGCTTTCTTTGCTTCCCTTAAGGATCGAACATATCACCTGGCACACTTCAACCAACATTTAGAGAGTCAGTAGACCTTCCTCTCACCCCAGAGGTAGAGTCATCTTTCTTTCTTCTGCTCTGCAAGCCAGCAGAGCTGTTGAACCTTCAGCATGTCATATGAAAACCCTATGTATGACATCATGCCAACCAAGAAACCCACAAATCACATTCCTATAATGATTGCTGAGAAGTGCAAATCTCATGGTGTCCCTCTGCTCAATAATCGGCTGAAGCCAAAGAAGCCAAAGACAGTCAAAGCTACTCAGCCAGTGACCACAGTAAAACCAGTAACAAATACAACACACCAAAACCTTGCTCTCACAGATTGGCTAATAGTCTTTGCATATGTTGATCCACACCCAACAATCTCACAATGTGATATTGTTAATCACTTCAAGTGTCTTTGGTCTGAAGCATTGACCTTCACCCAGGCAACACTGTCTTGGAAGCTGAAGGAATGACCTAAAGTGGAAGCACATGTGAATGACAATCCAAATGCTTTGTCATCAAAGAGACCGCATATTGTCACCAGACCAGATGTTGAGCAGGCATTATATTTATGGGTCAAGAGCATGGAGGAGAAGGGAGAACATGTCAATGGACCTATGCTAAAGGAAAAATGGCACCGACTTGAGAAACTGTTCAAAGTGCCAGAAAAAGAACAACTCTTAGGAGATGGGTGGTTGGCACCATTTTGCAAGGCTTACAAAATTGCGAGCATCAATGGCATGAGGAAGCAGGATCAGTGGACCTTGATGCTGTTGAAGTAGAGCAGAAGTGATGTCAAGAGATCTTGTCAAAATTTCAGCCTCAGGATCAGTGGAACTTTGATGAAACAAGTTTGTTTCCTTTGTATGTGCTTTTATATTTCATTCAGGGGTTAATAACCAACTATATTATCTAGCACACCACCAGACCATGGTCTTGCAACAAAGCAAATGAGCAGAAAGAAGAAAGAAAGATTTTGCATTACCATAGGTCTGGCTTGAAATGCTGATGGCAGTGAGAAATTTGAGCCAATCTACATTGGAAAGTCTAAGCAACCTTGATGCTTCAAGAAGTCATCCCCTGAGCAGCTTGGCTTCTACTATCGTAACAACAAGAAAGCCTGGATGATGGCAATTCTTTTTGAAGAGTATGTGATCCATTTTAAATTTTTGATGTTACTGACCAAAAATAAACAGATGGATGAAGAAATTTGACCTCAAGATGTGCAGTGAGAATTGACATGTTTGCCTAATCATTGACAATTTCTCAGGGCACACAATATCTTATCAGCCAACAAACATCCAGCTTGAATATTTTGAGCCAAACATGACATCCATTGTGCAGCCTTGTGACATGGGAATAATCTGCTGCTTCAAGGCACTGTACTGCTGAAAATTTTATGATTGTGCAATTGATCTTGATGAAGCTGGTGAACACAACATTTACAAAGTTGATCTTCTTGAAGGGATGAACATGGCTTGTTCTGCATGGAGAGGTGTCTCATTAACAACAATTAAGCATTATTGGGATCACACCCAAATTCAATTGTAGGTCATTCTGTTTTTCATTTGGCTCATTGACCTCAAGTTTATCATTAGGGATAATCTATCTACCAGTCAGCCACCACTGAGTTCCTTGCCTCACATGAACCCAGCTGCTTGGGATATCCTGTGAGACTTTGCAGTGTCTGAAATGACATTGCCAGAAGCAGAAGCACACATACACAAAGTCCTTGGCACCTCTTATACTGACACAGATTGGTGGCCTGCATTCAAGGCAGTAATGGATGCTGAAGGGGATTTGGCCAAAAGTGCTGTTGAACATCTTGCACAAGTTGCATCTCACCAATGAAGGTGAGGACTAAGGGCTATGAGAGAAACTGACTACTACTAAGGGAACTCTACAGCAAGACCTGGATGTGAGACAGAACTTGACCCAAAGAACAGCTACTGAGAGAGAGTCCTTGAAATGACAGAGGGAGACTCTGAAACTGAGTAGGTGCTAGAGGACATGTGAAGCATGGTTGAAATGTGCATGAAAGCGCACTGGGGTGGTAGAATGTGAGAGTGTGCACAGGGAAATGTGGCACATGCAATGAGGGTCTGAAACATAGAGACAAAGGGCTACCTGGAGGCTAAATCCAGTGAAGGAAAGGTCAAACTGACACAAGGCGGTCCCATTCAGGCAGGTGCACATGAATTCAGACTTCTGAGGCTTTAAACTTGCTCTAGAGTGCAAACTATTGCTACTACACAGAGGTGGGGAGTGCTAGGATAAGATACTCTAAAAACTATAACTCCCTTCTCTATATTGAGCACTAGGTGATGCTTGTAGCATGGAAGTGAAGCGAGTAGGTAGTGATATCTGTATGTAATGGCACTTAAGTGCACGCATATGTGCTTACAGCGCTGTAGTCAGTCCAGAAGATATGTCAGAGTAATAGAAACATAATAAAAATGCACCAGTGGACTTAGTGAGGACATGGACAGGTGGGTAGACTGTAGTGGAGGACCTGGAGCAGATGTGTGGGGCGTACAAGTGTGTTTGCATGCACATGGCAGTCACATGTTAGTGCATGATAGTGCGAGTGACTTATCCTGAGGATTAGAGCTGGGGTATGAGTAGGAAGGGGTGGTGTATCATCCTATGATGGCCATATAGAGGTGTGAGTCTCTACACCAAACTGGCCTAAAAATTCGTATTCCCATGCACCAGCTTCCTCCTACTCAGCTTACAGCCCTTGAAAGTGAACTAAAATCTTCTCTTCAAGAATTGAAGGCTCAGAATTGCATTTTCAGAAAACCCCTATCCCTAAATGAGCTGCTTGAGCCAGCTGAGGAAAAACAAATTGGGGATTCCCTTGGGTTTGACTTGAATGGTGGGGACATGGCCATTGTTGTTGCAGTCGGTTGAGAGATTGCTGAGAAACAGAGTGAGGCAATTGAAGCTGATTCTGACAATGACTCAGAAGAAGATCATGATGCAGCCCCAGAGGTTTCCCATGTAGAAGCACTAGTGCTATGTCAGTGGCTCAAAGGAGCATGCCTTCAGCATGGACATTCTCAGGACTCAACACACACACTTGATCTGTTAAAGCAAATCCAATGTTTCTGTGCCAAATTACAACACGAGAAGCTACTCCACATGAGGCAGACAACATTGGACTTGTTTTTTAAGTAGATATGTATTCTAGCACCTTAGATTTTTAATGCTGTTGAGCAGTGTCACATGTGTTTGTCACATTTGGTCACAATGTGTGACATCAGTCCTTCTGTATAACTTTGATAATGTATAGGTGTGAGGTGGGTCCTGACATTATAAGTTATGGGATAGTATACTGTACAATGATTGTGGATCTCTACAACAGTTATAGGTGACAGCGGCTTTGACAATCCAGCTTGTTAGCATGACAAGTGTAACATGTTTGTACCAACAACATGACCAAACACATAGCTTACACCATTTGGTTGTCTAGACCATTATGCAAATGACTGTAATATTGTCAATTGTGATCAAATTTGAAACATGAACAAATAGGTATCACGTGATCAGTCATGTTGCTCACACTAATGGTGTTCAAAGTAAAAATTATCAAAGCTTTGAAACATGGGTAATGCTAGTCAGAAATTCTCAGAACATTCAGGACATACATTTGGAGTCTGAATTCTAACTTGATGCAGCACCTGCAAGATGCCTGTAGAGCATCCTTGAGTTTGTCACTCAGAGTGACTTAGAATACACTTTGAAACTTGCTGAATATTACCTATGGTGACCAAATCTACCCAAAAATCTATCTGTGCTAGGGGGAGGGGTGCCTCGACTTGTGGTGTGAGGGGATAAGGACAGGCTGCTAGTACAGAAGCTGATCTTGTCCAATCCAACACCATTATGGATGCTGGACTTGATGTATGCTATGGAATCAAGATATGGTGGGAGGCCAATGGACAATGTACCAATTCCCTTGTGCAATGCTTATCCACTCATCTCACTGACTGTCACATTCTATTTAACAAGGGAGGCAAAAGACCTGACAACAAAGGCCATCCATCTGGGAGTGACAAGACAAAAATCCATGGAGTGATCATGTGCCATGTATTTCAGAATGATCATGAGCATAATGAGTTGTATGCTGAGGAGCCAGCCAAGTTCATGCAAGCCATGTCCAATTGTTTGACTTAGTGTGTTCTTTCCCTTTTCATATTTATATATTTATCATGATTTTTAGTCTTAGGAACAAGTATAAAAAGCTTTGCAGTCGCTTCTTGCAGACTGGTGTGGGCATTGACCCCTCTCAACCTAATGCTGGAAACAATCTACTTGGTACTTTTTTTTTCATTGTCATTCAATGAATTTATCTAAAATACATCTAAAATTTTAGAGCAAGTGATCTCACAGTTCCCATGGTATGAGGCTCTCAATGAGATATGGAAAAATAACCCTGCATATGCCCCTAAAATGTTCTTGTCTGCTCCAGGGGCAGATCACTTAGGTGGCATGATCGTGCTCATGTCAAAGTGCAAGTGTAAAGAAAGGGCTATCCCTCCTCCTGAACCTGAAGATGAACTAATAGAGATGTATCCTGCCCCCACAATTGACCCTTTCCCTGCCATTTACCCTTCCCCCACTGTTTACCCTTCCCCTGCCATTAACCCTTCCCCTGCTGTTGACACTTCCCCCACCATTAACCCTTCTCCCACCATTCATCCCTCCCCTGCCATTCATTCCTCCTCCACCATTCATCCCCCTGTCATTACCTGCCCTACCATCAATGACAACAACGACATGGGAGATGATGCACCATATGTTTTCAAGCAGGACTTTAATATGAATGGTCAGGAGTAGAATAGTACCTGGTATCACACCTCCAACAAGTGCCCCTTGTCATTGCCCTCACTACCACTTACACCTCTGCCTCTCATGGGACCTTCAAGTCCCATGTAGACCATGTCATAAATTGTGGATCTGTTTGCTCACCCTCATCACCTCATGTCATTGCATTGTCATTGGTGGGATCATTGTCCATGGTGCCATCCTCACATTGGACGATGTTATCCTGCAGGCAGAGTGGGTCGCATAAAGTTAAGTCTAACCTGTTGAACAAGGTGCAGTCCAACATTGAGGACATGCACAGGCAAATTGAGTCACTCACTGAGGAGAATAACTATGTCTATACTGTGAAGGCAGTGCAGTCTGAATATAAAATTGTCAAGGTCAATTCCCACCACCACCACCAACTAGACATTGACTTCCAATGTGAGCAAGCTGAGATCAAATGCTGTGAGACCACTGCTGTCCATCAACACTCTCAAGAAGCAAAAGCGCTGGAGATTTAGATGCTTGAAGCCCAGGCCAAGGTTCACTCTGAGAAAAGAGTTATGCTTCAGCTCAAGATCAAGCTTCTTAAATTGAAGAGGGGTTCATTGTCTAACTAGAGTCAGGCTTAGGTTTGTGATTAGGTTAGGGTTAGTCTTGTGTCCTCAACATGCCCCCTTTGTTGTTGTTCTTGTTATACATGATCCTGGACACTTGTAGTTGTTTGCATGCCAAATTATATGTTGTACATGCTTGTCATTTGTTTCCTATGCTACTAATACACTTCTTTTGCTGTCCTCTTCCCATTTCTTGTAAGTTTCTAACCCAACAAGTACTCCATCAATTGTGCACAAGCTTGGTAGCCAGTAGTGCCTTCAAATGAGGTATCTCCCACCTCATTAGTGTCAAAGTCTTCTGGCTGTGGAGGTGGTATAATATCTGACCCCTCATTATTAAGGGCCCAATTCTCAGTACCATATTTACCACCAGAGATGCCACATTGTTCCTCAAACCTAATGATCATGTTATGCAGGATAAGACAGCACATGATCCAGTAGGAATGATACTTGAGTTGCTCTTCATTCTGCAGTGGGAGTCAGAGCTCTCAGAGATACTAGAAATGGCTCTTAAGGGCAGCAAATGCATGCTCTACCTGCACATGAATCTAAAATAAATGTGAATACACACCAGGAAAAATCAAGAAAAATCAAACAAATCAGGAAAATAAAATAAAAGTTTCCATTTCTTTTAGAATGGGACACATACCTTGGAAAGGACAGTATTGAATGCCTTCTACTCATGGGTCAAGGCCCCCCTAATAGGCTTCTTGAATGAGGAAATACACCATGACTCTAGTGGATAAGCACTATCAGCCCAAATCCAATGGTTATCACCCAGAAGTGCTTGATGATTCTGGTAGACATAGGTAGAGCAGTGTAGGGATTTCATATTCTGTGGGCTTGTATAGGCAGATATTACTTAGTGTTATGTTCACACTTTTGGTGCTTATGTAATCATCATAGTTTTCACCACCTACCAGTACCAGTCTGAGACTGAGAGTTATTAGCATGATTTCCTATCCTCTCTGAGCACTGAGCTTAGTCCAGAAACCCTTTAGGGTTGAATAGCAGCTAGGCATAGCACATTTAGCCCAACATTAGAAGTCTACTTTCCAGTTCTCTTCTTGTTGTGTTTCCCACAGTGGAATGCATAGGCATCATGGGCACTACCGGTGTGACCAAGAGAATAATCAACTATAGAAAGAATATGGGGCATGATAACTGCTTAAAAATTAGAAAAATCAGTATTAAATTAAAAAATATATATAATAAAACATACCTGACAGTTGAGGGAAAACTGAGACTTCCTACTATAAAAGGTATCTCCAAAAATACTTGGCCCTTGAAAAAGATTAACCAATGATCCATCAACAGCTAGGATACCATTCTGCCACTCTGGGCAGCCTGATACTCTGAGAGCATAGGCTCAGGCATGTGCAGTGTCAACAGAGTTGAGAGCTGGGAAGGAGATGAAATTATCATGCTCAGCTAGCAAGGCAGCCATAACACAATTGGTATAGTTGATAACTGACCTAACAGATATCCCTGCCCACTGGCAGACATCCTTGGGGGAAATTGCATTGCCATAGTGGCCAAGTCAATTAAGAAAGATAGCAAGCTGCACTGCAACTGGAAGTTGGGGATTGTTGGATTGATTGTGGAAAACAGGATGATTACTGATCTGATCAAGGATGTCATTGAATGTTTCAGGAGAAACACATAGCTTCTTCTGGAATAATTTGGGGTAATGAATGGCAAACTCAGATCAAGGAGTTAGATCTGGGGGGCTTGCATAGAGGGCTTATCTAAAGGGTTAAGAAGCCGTTTTTCCTCCACCTCTTCCTGAAGAGCAGCAAGTGAGCCAATAATACAAAGGAAATGCTGATGAATTTCAATGGACTCTGGCATGTTGGAATCATCAGAGCCATCAGAAGAGTCAGACATTTAGGGTGACATAGGGGAGACTGGTGATGGGGTCCTGATAACAGAGTCCTCAGAGATAGAAGAATTGGACTCAGAGACTTCACCATCTGCCATGGCATGCTCAGCCCAGGCTCTGGCTACATCTAGAGTAGCAGTATCTATTTCATTAAGCAGTTGTTGATGATGAGATTAGCAAGGCATAGCAGGTCACTCATTATCATAATTGACCAACTGATCTGATCTAAGTAATATTTAAGTGGAGTTTAAAATTTGGCTATGTGTTTCCCTTCACTGTACTACACAACAAGCTCAACCTACCCTTGAACTGATGTGCCACAGCCATGTTCCACTCTCAGGATGTGCGTAATCTCATCCAAGTTCCTTAGGCTAATGGGGCCATACCACCCAGACTATCTCAGTCAGAATGGGGTGCTTCCCAGTATGGCTAGTGTCAGTACTGCCATCCTCTGGAGTCAACAATATCGACAGAGAAATGGTCCCAACACATCTTCATCTAATAGATCTCCAAACATCAATAGTGCCCCATTGTCATATCCACATATCTGGATCTCAGATCCGATCCACATCTTATCTCCAATCCTATCCACATCTTATCTCCCTCCAACATCTCATCATCCAATCTGCCACTTGTCCAGTCTGGTCCACAATTCATCTGAATCCACAATCAGTGCTTGTCTCCTTTCAGTAATCCCCTAACTCCAGTATTTTGGTTATCTGTATATCCATCCTACTCACTGATCCATTACCTATGCTTCATTTCTGTTTCATTATTTGTGATCCATTTCTACTTACCAATAGACCATTCATATGCTTCATACATAGCCTTGGACCCTGCTGATTGATCATTCTGTTAGATACCTATAGTATATAACCTCCTGTAACTCTCTGTAGCACCTCAGTTCGAATATCATCTTAGTTCTACTCATTCCTGTCCTCCGGACTTGAGTATCTTTACTCTCATCACCCTCCAAGACTTAGGATTGATTCCTATAGTCTATCCGTATCCGCCTCTGTCTATGACAGTCCAATACTATTAGTTTCTAGTCTGGACTTGTCTGAATTAGCCCTACGATACTTATCCTGCATCCAGAAGTCATCCAGATCCACTACACTACTTGTCCAACCCTCCGGACATGTTAATCTTGCCCTTCTGAAATAAGGGGCATTACTCGGATAAGGGGCACAGCACACAAGCTGAGGCTGAAGCCCTTGAGTATAACCTTAACACTCATACCATGAACACACCATGACCATGTCCTACTCTCAGTTTGTGCATGATTGCAGGTTCCAGCACATCTTCATCTAACATGTTCCTTACTCTAGCATGTTCCCTACCCTCTCCTTCAACCCTTCCTGCTGGACCATGTTCCCCTGATGACCACCAACATGGTCTTGTTGAAATGTCCTGCTTGGTCAGTGCACTCACAAAGTGACATCCCTGGAACTATGTGGTGTCCAATTGTCAAAAGGCACATGGCCTGTGTTATTGGTAAGTGCCACACTTATAATCCCTTCGCAATGTCACCATTCTCTACTTAGACTTCCTCAAAGATGAGACTCATTCTTTTGCCATCCAGGAGGATGTCGACTTCCATCTGGAGCTAAATAGCTACTCTTCATGGACGAATTGGAACCACATCTGGACTGTGTCTCTGGATCCCTAGTTGGATTGTATTATAATTGTTTTCATTTGCTAGCTATGAAATATACAGACTTGGTGGTTTTTTTTGTGTGTGCATACATCTGGCCCTAACCTTAGGGTTGGGACTTTGAGAATTTGAAGTGTTTGAACTGCTAAGTATTTTAAATGGAGTTTAGAATTAAGCATTTAAACTAGCTTTCAGAGTGGTTCTGAAATGTTTCAGAATGTTTCAGAACCATTTCAAAGCATTTAAAATTTTACTTTGAATACCATTACTGGCAGAGTTCACACAAGTACTGTTGCCTTTCTCTGTCATGGGTCCTTTATGGTAACAGTGGAGACAGAATTATGATCATTTCAGAATTTTCATTATGGGAAGAGTGGGTGCTGGAGAAACCACTATCCTGCAGGGGGTTTGCAAGTCAATTGAGGACCCATACCTATATGATAGCTTCACTAGGGGCAGATTTTACTAGGTCTGTTTGGATAGACATTTTTGCCAACTTCAACTTTGCAAATTTGCTTTGTCATACTTTATAGCTGTGTGACCTGTGTGACTGTCCCCATCATACATAGTGATCATACCATCAATAATCAGTACACACTGGTCTTTGCCAGTACAGATATGTGGTATGCCTGTCACTTGCTCTTCTAAGTCTACTACCACCTGCTGTCCTCATTTGACTCATTCCATGAGGTCAAATAAGGGTTGTATCCAACTATCAGCACCTACAATGGATAAGAAAAGAAGCACTGCTGCAGAGAAAACTACTGGATTGGGAAGCCAAGAGACTCATGCTAATCAATGATGCCACTGGACAACTGAAGATGAAATATGAATGGTCAACTATGTACTGTATTCCAATGAATGAGGATGGCAGTTTTTTCACAGAAGGGGAGATCAACAGTGGGACACTGGATGTGGTAAGCATTTTGATATCATTTACAATCCTCTTCCAGTGTCATTATAGTATTGTTTATTAAATTTAATAGTACACTCTATGACATCATATGCATATGCAGAGCTAATAAGTATGAGAGTATCAAGGAAAGATGCTCAAACACAGACCTCACAGTATGCCAGAGAAGTATTTGCCAACTGGCCACAACTAAGGCTTTTGTACAATCACCACAAGGGCATCCAATGTCCTCCAAAATACCATGTGTCTTACTTGTAAGCTGGTCAATATATTGAATTGGCTCCCTACATATATTCACTCTTGTACTTATCTAGATATGGACAATTTCTATAATGCAGACTGTGGGCCACTCATTGAACACATGGCTGAAGCTCTGGATGATGATATGCTCAAGCAGCTGTTTATCTCAACACAGCAAACTAACTTGAGGGTGTGTATGTGATATGCAGTTGAAAGGTAATTCCTCAAACCTGATCTGTGGTGAGAAATAACAACTGAAAACTTAATGAGGCCACTCATGCAGTATCTTGGTTCTGCTTGGACAATCTCATCTGGAATATTTGGGAAATTTGAGGATCACCAGATCATAAATGATGTGGGTGCATGGTTTCCACAGGCTATGGTTAGATTGTAGTAATATCAAAAGATTTATCTCATTTGTGTTTGACAATCACTTGTAGTTTGTATGTCTGTTGATTGTTCTTGCTGGCATGCTCACCTAAGATATGTATGATGGCAGTTTGTGAGTGAGTTGATCCCCTGTCAAGCTCAGTCTTACATATTGCTGACCAAACACATGCTGATCCCTTGAACAGGCTGTGAGTGTATTGACCTTCTGTCAAGCTTGAGCATCTCTGAGCAAACACATTGTTAATTCCTTGACAGGATGTGAGTGTCTTTATCATTCTCACTCAAGCCTCATTGACCAACCACATTATCTGGTGAATATATGAAAGTGGGAAGTGCAAACACTGTAAGAACAAGTACACTACATTGCATTAGACTTCACAAATATGAATTACAAATTCTAACTCACATCTCAGTCTCTTCCAAAGAACTGAGATGTCTGTGTGCTGTTAGAGGTGCTTTTATAGTAAGCATATTGCTAACTAGTTATATCAAATAGAAACATGAAAATAATCCAGGACACAAGCTGACATCAGTGTTGCTTGCCTTAGTCCAATTTTGGCTTGTGCTCATACCTCTCACTCTGACTTTGTTCCTGCTTTGGATTCATTGATCTTCATTGACTCAGATCTCTCAGACTCCAACACAACACTGATGTGTTCATAATGACAGCACATAAGTAGATTTATCTTCAACCATTTCCACCTTTTTATCATGATTGACCAGTTATACTGCCCTGAAGATGAGGAGATATGGCCCAAGTTACAATATTTGGTATTTCTCATTCCAAATGTTTCCTAGCCTTCTGACTCATCAACATTGAAGAAAGTTGTCCAACTTGGGTCTGGTGAGATTTTAGGCAACACCACAATGAGTCTGCTGATTATTGATCATAAGCTGCTGTGACACTTTCTGTCTCTGGGAGCAGGACACTATCTTTGGAAGGTGTTCATTCACCCTGTCCATCTTGCTCTCCAGAAGCACATGATGTCTTCCAACACAGCTGTTGTCAGGGAAGCTGTGAACTCTGCCATCCACACATATCAAGCAAACCCCTTTGGCTGGATGGCAGGTTTAACCAATTGCTCTCAACAGAAGGCGGAGTTAATTAACACTATTCTTGAAATCACTTCACAATCTCATGATCATAACATTTGCACTGATCTGTTTGTCATCAGCAAGGTCTCATGACTATGTTTATAATTGAGCTTAGGGGTGTCAGTTGTGAATGAAGGTTTCTTGACTGATGACATATATCTATGGAGGTGATTTAAGGAGGTGAAGCCATATCAAATAGTTGTATGATCATGCAAATTGGCAGTTTTTATGCCATGGTAGATGCAGTGCGTGTAATGGACATCGTGATTGGCCACCAGCAAGACCTGTTGGCATGAACTGATGAACTACCTCCTAAGTCTCTGCGGGCCGAGTACCTCAAGGTCACATGTTGGGAATGTGTGTAGTTTGCTGGTGACAACGACGATATTATGCATATGATCAAGATATCTGCCTTCTTGTTCTAGTAGACAGTACCGACCCTGCATCTACGGTCCCTATGCCGGGCAGGCTATATGAGCTAATCTGCCTTAGCCAAACTGACCGAAGCGGGTATTGGGGTACTCTACCCAGCCCACGTTGAAGCTGATAGGATGCTTTGGAAGGTCGACAATATTGTGGGGAGAATCTGTTGCTCCCAGCGCATCTGTCGATTATTATGCTCGTCCTTGTCAGTGTCTGCTAGACCGTCAGTTGCGTACTAATGGACCTCAACCTTAGCTGCTTGGTCAAAGCCGGCGACCACAGGTCCATATTTTCCCGAAAAACGGAGGTCTCAGAGAAGTGATCAAGCGTAAGAGACAGGCACCAGCAGAATATCCAACAGCGTCCCGTCTTTTTAAGAATGAAACCACACGGGGGTGTGCCGAGACTACGAGAAAAAGGTCGCACAAAGACGACGTTAGTCCGTGGAGCCGAAGTGTATTGCTATGCACAGAGAAGAACTACGCTCGAAGAAAGTGATGCGACAACAGGCCCTGCTGCCTCAGAGACGTTCGAAACATGAAAAAGGGTCATCAGCGCCATTCAACATCGAACACCCATGCAATGTATCCCGTGACGTAGTTGTTGCGTGCGTAGGAATACCTGCTACGAATGAAATGGATTTTCTTAATCTGCCATGCGCACATCATCTGTTCACCAGCGAAATTTATGCAGCTTACCTTGAGGGGACGTGGCGGCTCAAGAGCGAAACATTAACTCCATCATCATACAGTATCTAGAACACGTTGGTAAGTAGACTTTGCTAGAAGGCTTGTTGTTGCAGGACCAGAGCTGCGAGGTTCGACAAGGTAGGACACAATTCTGTAGCCGCAGGGTATTAGCGAACACCGGACATGTCTATTTTTTCCGAGCAGGGAAGACATCCATAGGAAGAATCAAGCCCAATGTGAGACTTAGGACTTCCTAGAAGGATACCGGTGACGAAATAGCAACTGATTTTTTCGCACTGTGCGGCAGGGAGCCAGGTGCCTGGTGCCGTGAGGCTCACTAAATCCTAGTACATCGCCTGGATTCAAAGATCGAGAATGAACGATGAAGGTATGAACAACCAGGATCTGGATGAGGTCGGCTTGAATGATGCACGATGATTATTGAGCAACATGGTCGGTTGATGCGAACTTTGTTTGTGTATTGGAGAGCGTGGTCGGTTTGGATTTTGTTTTACAGTGTCATCCACAATTTGGACACTTGTGTCGGTCTGTATGTCGGTTAGGCAAAACAAACAAATCAGCTTGATTACACTTACCACAACGCTTCGTTGTCGTCGCGGTCTACGACGACGAGACATACTTCGACAACAATGGCTGTATCTACGAGAGGAAACTGGCCCGTGCGCGACCTCAGTTCTCACGCCTGACATAAGCCGCACATGTTCCCCCTTGATGAAAGCTCTTTTCAACATCAACGGACCTCCACTGGTTGCCAGCAAGTTCAGCGTCTTCCGCTCTTCTTGTTATTTGTCGGCGAAAAGACATGTCGCAGCAGCCACCACCCACAGTAATGCCGCAGAATATGCTTCCTCCTGGGGAAGCAGAGCTCGCCCAGGCCAATTCTTACTATCCGCAGGAACCTGCAGACCTAACGGGGGGTCTTCCTATCAACCTTGACTCTCTGCGTGATGGTCCACCAGGAAGCAAACCATTTTATCCATATTCTACGCTTATACGGTAAGCGACTCTGAATTGACTGTAGATGCTCTAATAAACGGTCTCGGTTTGTCTGTGGGTGGGTAGGTATGCTATAAAGGGTTCTCCGAATCAAAAGTTACTCCTCGAGGATATTTACTACGCCATTGAATCCCGCGTACGTGGTAGCTTACTCATACTTCAAGTTGCGCATTTCGCGAATCCCTGACTCCACGTCACCAGTTTCCTTATTTCAGGAATGCCCCATCCGGTTGGAAGGTGAGTAAAGTTCTTCCGACGCTGTTGCCCAATGACTTCTGTATCATATGTGTTGTCGATTGCCTGCACCCATTGGACGCGAGCGCGATGTTGATGTTTGATTGTGTTCATATTTGTTTTGATCAAATCTTTCAAGCCAGGCACCAAACTAACCTAACCTTGCTTCGCACGTATCCAGAACTCAGTGCGACACAACCTTTCACTCAACCCATGCTTTGAGAAAGTGCCGCGTCCCCTCACCGACCGAGGGAAGGGCTCGTACTGGACTGTCAATGATAACGTAGACCCGAGAACAGGTGTCCACCGAGTGAGGAAGAAGAAGCCGAAGGGCATAAGGGTCGGCAGTCGGAGGAAGATCAGGATGTGGATTATCATCCTGAAGCATTCAACGACCCTAATGCACAATTTGTGCAGCCGCCACCTATGCATCCTGACGAAGCAGGCCCCAGTCGGCAAGCGCCGTATCCACCGTATCCTCCCACGTATGCCGTCTGGTCTCAAACATTGATACTAAACTGACTCTTTCGTTAGATTTGATCCCAACTTCCAGATGATGCCTCCTCCACCTCCCGGCCTTCGATTCCCTCCTGTGCCCATAGATGATTTGGAGGTAGACGAGGGTGGGAATATCTTGTGGCGTTTGTCCTTGATGAAGGAACTTGCGCACTTGCAGCAAATTTCGTCAGAGAAGGACATGGGCGAAGATTGGTATCGCGTGATGCTGTTGCGTATGCGTGGGGCTGTCATGGCCCCACCACCTGCATATCATGATGGTATGCACCCTCCACCTGGGATGCCACCTCCACCTCCGCCCAACCCGGAGTTACAGCAATGAATCTTTCTTCAACTTTTGAAGTGAAGAATTTAGCTCTGTCGTTTCTACTATTATTAACTGGTTCCCATGTTTCAGAGAATGTCTTCTTTCATCTTGTGGCATTGATGATGGTCTTTAAGTGGACAGCATTTTGAATTCATTCTATTACAGCATGTTGTCTGTATGTCATTTCTGTATCCCAAATGAACTTTGTTGTCGGTACATGATTGAATCTTTGTCCCGCCGACAATGGACCGATTTCGGCCGATTGAAATCGTTCTTGTGACCGCTGCTTATCTAAGCGAACCGATGTCTGATTAATGCACTCTGAATCATCATTTTCCAGCTGACCCTGTCCTCCTCCCTCCCGTCATTCTCTCTTTTACAGCGTTAGGCATTTCTGATGGCACCTGCGGCTATCTACGCTGTTTCCCCCGCCCAAATCACATCAGAAGTCAAGAAATCATTAATCAATGGATCATCATCTCGCGAAATTGTCAAAGGGCCTGCCCTTGCGATAGGTTCATTGGACACTGCTCAAGACGGAAAGTATCAATCGCTTCTTTTACGCCTCGATGCACAGGAAGGGCAGGCCACCGAAAGGCAGATGCTTGATCGACTCATTGACGGAGGTATGTCTCTACAATTCGGAGCATCGCTCATTAATCATCATGATTGACGCAGCGATATTGTTGGCTCCATCAAGCTATGCTTCCATCCATGTCGTGCTCTCCCCATCAGAATACATTTCATTATCACCAAATTTGCCATCTCTCCTTCAGCAGACCTTCACCGGTCTGACACCCCTGGGAACTCTCCACCTTCTTAATTTAACTGCGGGGTTCCTGAGTCTTCCTCATGAGTTGACTCTAGCTGGATTCACGATCATTGAGAGTGTGAGAGATGGTTCTGACGCCAGAATAGTCGCCCAGAAGCCTTTGCCAATCGTAATGCCTCTGCCTTCTGCACTTCCTCTCCGAAAGAAGACCGACCCTGCCAAGCAGTCTTCCAAAAAGGCTCTTTGGGCACTCTCATCACCATCCACTCCCACAATCGATGCCGAAACCCTCCTAACAGCGGCAGATCGTATACGCCCAGTCCCCACTTGCGATCCTGTTATAGCAGGTGTCCCAAGGCGGAAGAAGGCATGCAAGAATTGCTCATGTGGTCTTGCTGAGCTGGAAGCTGAGGAGGCCAAGTCAGGTAAAGTAGTTCTGCTCGACAACGACAGTGCTGTGGAGGTGGGAGCTGGTGACATGACGAAGAGTTTGATCGCTGCCGCTAAAGCTGCACCCAAAGCAACTAGCAGTTGTGGGAGTTGCTTCTTAGGTGATGCATTCCGATGTGCCAGCTGTCCGTATCTTGGTGCGTTTCTAACAATGTTCTTCCTATCAATTCAAAACTCAGAAAATTTGTTGAAAAGGTCTGCCTGCATTCAATCCGGGTGAGAAAGTGGAGATTGACATTGGGATGGATGATATCTGAGCACTATTGTTACACCTTGATCATTCCCCATACCACCAAGTATGTAAACGCCGTATGATACTATTTATATTGTACTATATTGCTTACAAGACATTAGAAGCCGTATCTGTTCACCGTGATGGTGTAGAAATCACGAATGTCTATGTCGGGCCACCCTTCGCTCGAGGGAACTGAGAAGTTCACGTATGCCATCATCTCGCGGTGGCAGGCCAAAAGATCGCTTCGCGTCTTAAATCGTGTCTCGTGGGTGTGGCGCTCTATCCACTGGAGAGTGGCGCTGTATCGAATGGGGAACAATTCGCATAGCTCCCGCAGTAGCATGGTGATATCGGGGGGCGTCGTGAACTTCTTGACAATATGAAATGCAGGGTCAGCAAGATATTTCCTCTTGCGCGAGCCACCTATGGCCCGTCCCCTCTCATCTATGACATACTCCTCGTCAAATATTTGGAGCAAGGTGTTCCTGTCCTCGACGTTCGTCGCACTGGGGAGGTATCGGACCATAGTGTACATTATGACGTGCAGGAAGGATTCCAAATCATCTGCCAGCACGTGCTTGGGCTGGGTACCTTGGTCCAACAAAGCGCCAGACATGAAGGGTAGAGTTCCCTGTCATTTGAAGTCGTCAGTATCTCGACGTATACATAAAAATGCTGTACGTGCCATCTGGATTTCCAGTAACTCTTCGCCCGATTTGGAAGAGCAGCACTCCCAGCCCATGAGAAGCCCGCGCCCCTCACCGGTGATGCCAATGTTCTCCATACTGATGTTCCGATGCAGAAAACCAAGATATTCATAAGCTTCTTGATGAGCTACAATGACCCGTTAAAAACAAAAAATCACTCGAGAAACGGAGAGGACACTCACCTGTGAGAGCATCCTTGAATACAGTCAGAAATTCCTTCGGTGTCTTGAACGTGCTCAGGTTCCGTTCGACACCACGAAGGATGATTCGATGTTGTACGAGTGGGAGGTGTGCTTTGTGGTTGGGGGTGCAGCACCACCAGGCCTCGCTGAATAAGTGTGTGATGGTTTTTGTTCCGAGGGCAGACATGTCACCGCCGTGCTCGAAGGTCGGGATGTTGCGAATGCGACGAGAGTGAAGTTTCCGGTATACTTCTGATTCCGTGCTGGTACCTCGGGAATGAACTCTCCAAGTTTCCTTGAAGAAAACGACTCTCTTCTGCGCAACATCCCAAACATGGAAGCTATGAGTTCGTTGCTCGAGTAGGCTGCATTGCTTTGGGGCGGGGCGTGGGCCGACGTAAAAGTGATGAGTGGTTAAAGGACGGCCTTCCGCGTCTTTGGGCTTTTGAAGTGCGGTATCGACGGGAACCATGTATCCATACAGAGGACTCGAACTCCCAATGCCTAGTTGCTCCCGAACAGTCCTGTCTTGAGACTCCGGAAGGGAAATGGGAACTACAGACACGTCGACGCCGCGATTCCCAGGCGATGCACGGTTGAGCCTCCATAGGAACTCAGCCAATGGGATGAAATTGCTCGTGTAATCAAACCGCCGAGACACGACAGCACCAGAACGGTCCCAGTACACAAAACGTGCCCGGGAGCCACAGAGGAGGATGGAAAATCCAAAGCGGCGGAATTGTGTTGCGAAGAAGGCATTGGTGCACGCCACCATATGCGCGCGCGTTGAGATGGACTGCTTGTCGGAGGACTGGAATGTAGGATAGTAGTCTCTTTTGGTGTCCCAATATGGCAGCAGGTCTTCCTCAGGACAAGGTATCGGTGCAGTGAAGTCCACATTTGACGGCGGGTCGATGAAGGGGTCTTGTTGTATGGAAGGCTTGATGATGATCCATGCCTCCATCGCAGACATGTCTGTCACTCCGTTTCGAGTGCTTTCACTTTTGTATACACCCACGGTTGGTTGGAATTCATACCCACCCACGACGACAGAGGGATCAGGACAACCGGAGGTGTCGACAAGATCAAAATTGGTAGTGAATTTACGCAGAAACGCCAACTGCCAAGGGCACCAAAATCAGATAGGTCAGAGGAGTACTTATATGAAATTCTTACAAGCTCTTCTGGTGACACCACCTTGGGCATCACTGGACGACCGTCTGCCTCAGGCAGGAAGTCAAGAAACTGGTGCACTGGCATTGCGCCGACGAAGCGTCTTGGGAAGGAACCTATAAGCTTGGCTTCAATAGCATCCTTGGATGTCATTGTGACTAAAACTTGAGATGCAGGAATTGTATAAGCGATATGATAGAAGGAAGATGATTGGAATTGGAAAGACGGGATGAACAGACCAAGATGTCTGATGCGCTATTTATTGGTTTATGTTGTGGATATTTTACTGTGTCAATAACCACGACAACTTTAGTGGACAATGCTCGTCAGTCGTAGCCGCTTACGGATGTGGACACTCGAAGATTCAATGGTTTGGAGTGCAAGTCCCTAGAATTGGTGCAACTGACTTGAGCACAAGAGGGAATTGGGGGCGAAAGTCTGCATACACAACAAGGTAGGCGACAGTTACTCTGCTACGTCTTCATCCCAATCGTCACCCCAGTCAACTGCGTCCGAATCATGGTCAGCTGCGCTGTGTGCTTGCTTAATCAACTCGAGAACGGCAGCGTAATCAAGCGCGGGGCCTTCTCCTTCATCTGCTGACAAAGAGCCTGTGCTGGATATGTCGTCTTCGGTGGTACGTGCCTCTACAATAGAGTCTTGGTCGCCACTTTCGCTTTCCGCGTAGTTCCCTAAAGCCCCCAACTCGTCTCGTGTTCGGCTTGCCGCCGCTTTTTCCGATGCAGACTCACTTTCACTTCCGTAGTCACCAACGAGTCCTGAGATCGCCTTTCTCCCTGCTTTCGCACTTAGCTTTCGTCTTTTTATAGCTCTGACGTCGTGCTCGTGTTCGGACATCGGCGAGGGCTGACCCCTTTTGGCCACAATATTTCCAATGAATGTAGACGAGTCCGGATCGTGTACATGGATGGTGGGGAATTCAGCGAAGTGCGTACCCTGAAGCAAATCCTGAAGAGTCTGAGAAGGGAAAAGTTTATAGTAAGATGGGCCAGTTTGCACTCCGACGCCTGGATAATGTGGAATCCTGGCCAAGTCCATGTGCGCAGGTAAGTAACAGAGAGGAACTCTGAACCCTTCGGGATCGTCTGGATGAGGGTGGACAAGAGAAGTAACCCAGTCTGGACAAGGATGTTCTTTCTTCGGTTTGGGATTTTCCTTGTTAGAATATGTATGCTGAGGAACATGTCTCTGAAGAAGGGTGATTAGGGAGGAGTTGATGGGATTGCGATGCACAAGTATTGTATGTGGGACTGATGCTGCGGATAAAGAAGATTGCGACGGCGCTCCGGGGTAAAACCTGAACTCTATCGTCAATACTGCAACCTGCGTCCTGATGAGGGTCAGCACACGCATAAGGACGGAAGACAAGAGCGTACTTTGCATCAAGAGTCGACTGGTTTACCTTTCTACGTTGCATTCCAACGGGAAGGACATCCATCTCGATGTCCAAATTGTCTAGATGAGCTTTTAGCAAATCTCTTTTGGATGATCCACCACCTCTTGAAATCCCCCTTCCGCCTCTACCTCTTCTGTTGGCTCCACGTGCTCCCCCTCTTCCCCTCGTGTCTTTTACATTTGTTGTTGCGTAGCCTTCACGAGCAATTTTTCCGCCCCACTCACTCACTTTTCTGCCTACTTCTTCAAGAAAACAATAGTCGCGCATCATCGTACCCCACCCATAAGCGTTCATCTGCACATAGGCCGCCTTATTGCGTTCACCGCTACATCCAGTTTTGGATTTGTGGGTGCGAGAGCAGGGTAGAGAACATGTTGGAGTAGAGCACCTCGGGCAAGTATAACGTGCAGGTATCGAGCAAAGCGCACAAAGACGAGTTGATGACCCACCGGCGATTGATTCCATCGACGTGATAATTTGTACTGGAGATGTAAAAGTTAAATGAGTAGCATGGTCGTGGAGTGTGTTGATGTTTTTTCGAACATCCTAATCAGATCAAATCCTCCAAGTCCACATGGTATGGTTTACTGCGTCAAGATTACTACGTACTTACTCCTACAAAGTTTTTGCTATTGCTTTATGACCCGTTGTCGTTGCGTAGTATCATCATGATGGCTCAAATGGTCTGGCAGTCATTTGATTCAAGCTACCTAATAAAATCACCCCGGATCAAAAGGTCCAATTCACATGATGGTGTCTGTGATTTTTACTTCAGTACTCAAGAACAAGCCAAGTGTAGAGTGATGTAGGACAAGGACGTGACACGAGTAGCAGGCGACCATCTCAGGCTCAGTGTAAGTAGCCAACAAAGCATGACCAACCGAGCGCTCGAGTAACTTAAGTTACAAGTCCTGTCGCCGGAGGTCCAGTAGTCCTTTCATGATAAGCTGAACGTCGAGAACAGCGTCAATAGCTGCACGGACTGTGCTCACTTGCACATGCCCGCTAGATGCTGGTGCAGACGTATTGACTTGAGTGGCGGTCTTGACCTCGACCTCCCAAAGTGTGTCGGTATGTGCTGGTATAGGGAGGGAGGTCTTTGGGTCGACCTAGTCATGAGTAATGTCAACTAGCGGTAGGGGAACGACAATATCAAACACCGATATGTACCTGCTCTTGCTGGAACATTTGTATTATCAGAGCCCCTCTTCGAAATGCATATCCACGTTTATATATTTGTGATCGTTGTCTGACGACACTATAAGCGTAAGCACAGACGATGAATTCTGGAGCATACGGACACATATCCCAGCGCCGAAGCGAAACTGAGGGCATCACCGATCACTTCGCAAGTAGCCCATGGTCTGACAGTAGCCTCAGGATGAACGCGTACGGATTCCGGCTTGAGGTACGAGAAAAGCGTCCTATATTATGGTTGATCCAACGCCTTCGTTCAAGTGGGTTGTCCAACCAACCATCCACTTTCCGTCCCATCTCCCAGTTCTTTTTTTGCTCTCAGCAACGCTGGCTCATCTCCTTGTACTTGTGACTGAACTCCGAACTGCTCGAATAAAATTTCACGGGTGTGCATGGGCGCTGCGGACTCCGTGTGCAGTGTCAGGCGATTGAGAATCGCCTTGAGATCCCGAGCAAAAAATTCACCGAAAAGAGCGACTTCATATGCATGCGCATGCGTCTGTGTGTTTGCGAACATGGACATTGGAAGTCAAGAGTGGATGTTGTTGAAAGAGATAACGTGATCTATGATGAAACGGCCCCTTGAAGAATAGTAGCCCTACTCAATACTAGTAGCCGTGCATATCATCTATGGCGTAACATAGGGAATCAGGCATAAGTAGTACGTAGAGACTAAGTCGAGTACAAGTACGGGTGAGCAGCTAGCTCTAGAAGCGGACCCAGACCTATTCCCTTGTCAAGGAATCCTAGTGCCGAGTCGAAACATTCTCATGCTTCTTGTCTGTCACTTGGAACGTTTCCAGTGCTACACATGACCGCCAGTTGACGGTTGCTGAGAATCATTTGGAGGTATCCTGGTTCTGGTATCGGACTCAGCTACAAGCTTAGCATGATATCCTCGAACATTAAGGATGAGGCGTGGTCCCAGCACAAACATCTGTATGACCGAGAAGATATTCAGGGCACCATTATAACCCATGGAATTCGATGCCTATAGAAATGATGAACAGCGACATGCAAATATCAGCAAAAGATTGGCATACCAAGACAGTTGAGAAAAAATAACGAAGGGCGACGCAAGAACCAGCAACAAAGCTTGAACGTGCGGAACTTCAGTAAAGGAAGATAACCACGGTCAAATTAGCAACTAACCTTGCAAAGTACACCACGTGAGTCTTCATTAAAACTGTGAAACAGTTCCCGATGATCTCGGTTTGCGATGATCGTCGCAATTGCCGGAAGTGTTTCACAACAATCCAGACTACAAGATACATCACAAGGACCTCCCATATAATGCGGAGTATCCAGGTGATGGACATCAGAAGGCGGGCATCTCCATCGTAGTCATAAGTGCACTGATACATGCCAGGAACGACCTCTGTCATTCCTCCGATGAGCCCTATACACTCGAGTCGTTCGTCCATAATTTAAGCTTACCCTTTGAATTACGGTTGACTCCTATTGCAGTAATTGCTCCGCCGACGATTGTGAGAACAAGCAAGGTTGCAATGAGAAAGATAAGCATCTTTCTTGACCCCTGATACATGGCATATAGCCGAGTGATCATGATGACTTGTATGACATTTCAGTTAAGATATCACGGGGTATTGCAGCCGAGCAACTCACCGCCCAGCATGGCAGCGACTATCACATTCATACAATTTAGTGCGACAAACATATTATTGCCTGGTAGAAACCCAGTTCAAGATGAGCATCGGAAGATCATGAACATCCAAACACTCACAGCTATTGCGGTCATTACATCGAACAAACAAGCCGATGAAGAGCTCACCACTAGGTAGGAGCACAATTGTTTGGACGGGAATGAGAGACATCGATGCAGAATACTCACCACATCTGTCAGCGGGACTGACGGAAGACTTCCTGCACGCCACTAATCAGAACAAACAATTGTAGTGTGTGAGAAGACATACCTAGCATGAACATGCTGATTGTGAAAGATGATTTATTAGCAGTGTCAACTTGAGTTTTCAGCCTTGGAAACATACACGACATACGGCATCCCAGCGTAGCGCACCTAGAAATTTGAATATTGTCAGCACAACTTGCCAACTGCGTGTATACGTGAGCTACATACAGTAAGATACAAAACGGTTATGAGGGTCCACCGCTGCCTCTGGGCCGAATGAATCGCATTAACCTGTTGTTCTTCTGATATGGAACTCTGCTCACCCAGACTAGTTCAACCTATAACATCATTCTCAGTGAGATATCTACTCCAATACATATGGTCTCGGCCTACCTCTCGTCCAAAGGTTAAAACTGTAATAAATATCATTAGGATATCAACGGTTCTTCAATATTGTTCGCTCACCCCAATCATATATCACTGCAGCAAAGGATGCAACTGCGAAACCACATTCAAGGTTAGATCGAGATACATGGTCTGACTATCTCTCCACAAACCGGCAATATAACTGTAAAATTGATTCAAAGTGACAACCAGCTGACTGGGATCGTTCGACACTGGAGTCATATTTGAGGGGTGGGTGTAAGCGAGTGGCAAACTTGGTGGCCGTAAACTGATGGCGTTCGTGATAGATATACCGTCATCCGGCGCCTATATCGCCGAAATAAGCATCGCGAGGATGTCCCTCGTTTCTGCCTTGGTTGAGCAATGTATTGTTATACAAAATCACGGAGAATGCGGAAGGAATCAAAAGCAAAAATTGGCTGTGGATCTGCAAAAGTGTCGCACGCGCAAGTTGTTTGAACACCGGAAAAGTTCGAAAAGCGGTTCGCAGTGCTAGTATTTGATTTCCGGATTGTTCTCGAGATGTTCTTGGCACTTGCATCAGGACTTCCAGCAATTCCATCAGTGAAACCATGCGCTTCATTGATCTCCCGCGCGCCTAGATGAGATGCGACCGCCGAAAATGCCTGCGGTCTCGATAACCCTCAATGAGGATCGTCATCCGTCCCGCTGGTCCAGGCCGGGAAGCCAGGTAACAGCTTATTCGAGGTCTGATGTCACAGGCCACAACCTGTCGGTGAGGCACAAGAAAAATCAGAAATGAAAGATAGAGTAGGTCCACACGCGGCAAACAGATACCTTACCTCTCTCCTAGGCTGAAACACCCTCGATAGTGAAATCCAGTGTCCCAGGTCCTCCTAGACCTTCAGCATCTGTCGCCCCATGTGCACCTCCGGCTATGATATCATCAGGATGCAAAAAGATGGCACTCTGATGCAAAATATATGCGAAATACGGCGATTGATGGCATCGGCGTTGCATTAATTTTTCACGTTGATTGATCACCCGTGTTGCTCTGGCGCCCATATAATGCTAAGTGGCTCGAAACAGAAACAAGAGGTCACAGGAAAGACAATTCGGGACACAGCTGCATGAAACCATGCGGGAAGCCAGACTTCTTGATTCTTCGCGCCACGGGCTCATCTCGTAAAGATTGACGGTGATTGTTTTTCAGTGATCTTCTGTCCCAATTTAGTCTGGTCTATATATCGAAAGAATCGAGAGACAAGGCAAAGAACTCACAGCATGATCTTCGTCAAGCCCAGCAATTCCACGGGCAGGGCGTAAAAGCCGCAAAGTAGTTTGATGGTTTCACCTTCACTTAATACTGATGAGGACCAGCTCAATGACCAAGATTGAGCGACAAGTTCCTGAAAAATTCCGAGATGTCACTGTCGAATTAGACGTATGTTCTACGGGTCTCTTAGACACACTATTTGAATGCACGTGTTGAGATGGTATATGAAGGTTCCGATAGGGAATAGGTAGCGCTACCCGCAGCTCAAAGTGATGCTCGGAGCGTGCCAATAGTCGTCAAATGCCCGGGAAGTGTTGTCGCGTGGAGATACAGCAATGTATCCATATGCACATCAGTAGCCAACAAATCGCAAAATTAGACAGAAGTTACCTGAAACACGGAATCAGTGTCTGGGCTATGATGGGTCCTCTCAAACAAATATAACTAGCCAAGCTATAGCAGCGGTACATCAGATTTAGATTCAAAGTCCGCGGGGACATCAAGCCATTGTACCGGGTAAGGGGGGGTTTGAAATTGAGAAGCATACGGCTGTGCAAGTGTCGGATATTTACAATTTCCACACCTGGCGCGACTTGTATCCTAATGATCGCAACACTCCGCCTACTGGCCCTTGTGAGTAGTTCCGGCCATAAGGACCTGCTATAGCCTCAACCATTCTGCAACACATCAATGAGCAACATCAGAACAGAGAACATAAATGGGGACTAACTGCTCAGGACCACAAACCAGAAACAGTATCTTTCGGTCACTGACATCGCTATCTTGCGAGAATAAACTGCGCCACCAAGGAGCACGAGAGGTAGAATGGAGGGCGCCACATATTGAATCTTTACCAATGCGACCCTTGTGTACCTCTAGATCTAAAGAACTTTGACCTTTGGTTTCACCAAACGAGTCAACAAAGAACTTCAGCCTGAACTTCTCGGGATTATGCTGCGCGAATTTTAACAGGGGATCAAGGATATCGCGCGGAGGTAGCTCAGAAGGTGTTCTTGATGAATGTAACAATGTGATTCGGCCTTGAAAGGATGAATTGCTGGAGAATACGGTACCCAACAGCTGGTAGAATGGAGTAATCCCAGTGCCGCCAGATATCTTGAACGCAAAAATCATTAGATAGGAGTAATCTATAAATTGACTATTTCCTCACCAAAATGATCTCGTCCCAAGCACCATCCTTCCAAGACCAGGTTTTGAGAGGGCCTCGAATCTCAATGGTATCACCGACTTGTTTCGAGTACAACCACCGGCTGACTTCGCCATGCTGATATCTTTTGATCCAGAACTTCATATTTCCATTTTCGTCTACTCTATCGAGTGGAGTGTAAGGTCGCTCCACTTGTATGTCATCGTCTTTGATGAAGACGGACCAGATAGGTGCGAAGAGATCACTTCCCTTGGGTAAAAGTTCGGGAGGTATCGCGACAGTCAAAATTTTTGTTCCACTTGATGTAATAGTGGACGAAACGAGTTTCGCTGGCGTGAAGTGAGATGGACTGAGGGGTATGTTGTCACGAGTTGGCGCGCCTCGGGAGATGTCAGGTAAGAGAAGATAAGCGGCGACAGCAGCAGATGCGCCTCCTAAGAGCAGCGTTGTAGTTGCCCTCTGTAGTGATCTCCGTGTATTGATTGTCGTAAGGCCTCTAGCACGAAGGCCAGCATGCTTCGCTAGTACTTGGAAACGCGATTTCAGCATCTGGTGTTGATTCCAAAAATGGCAGTACAGGTAGAAGCTCTTGCCAAACAAGTGTAAACATAAAAAGGATCGGCATATTTCCATTTCCAACTTTCTCCTTTGCTTGAGTTGAATCTCCCGCCAGCTCCCTCGAGTTCAAGAAAATTACGACCTTCACTCTTTCACAGTCTATCCTACTTTAATCACATTTAATGAGACACCTCCGTGACGCGACATGCAGCTATGCCTCAGGAACAACTATTCGTATGACTTCTGATAATACCACGACGCTGGCGTTGCGATTAAATCAAATGACTACCCCTACACTCTTTTCTCCTTCAAACACACGATACGTAAATCACGAGGACCACAACGAATTTTTAAGATTGTCTCCGGATTCTCAGTCCAATGGGTTCCTAAAGTCACCTTCTCGTTGCCTCCTCGCTGGGCTTGGTATCCACTACCAATTTGATTCCAGTAATTTCATGCAAATTGGCGAAAGACAGTATTTGTACGGCGAGGGACAAAATGCTTCGGATGTGCTGGCGGACGATATCAGTAGCGCCCAAAATCATTCAAACCCTCCGCGCGCGGCACCTCGGCTAATAGATCATACTGCCGAAGTCCTCAGTCGCTTAAACGAGTCTCAAAGCTCCTTAACTTTTTCAAGCGACACCTCGCTACCTAACCTTGGGCACTCATCTTCATCGTCATCGGCTTCCTTAGCTTCTGCTCGGTCTGTCTCTGACAACGAGGAAGGTCAGGCTTCAAGAGAGTTCTCCCTGGCTTGTCACCTCGCGGATGATGCTCTCTCTTGTTCACCTTCCAACATTGGTCTCGTTCCTGATGTCAACATGTACAACCTTGCGCTGTTTACGAAGTCACCCAGTGTAGGTGTCGATCCTTCAGCCATCATGGGACAGTTACCTGCGTCCCCTCGAGCATTTCTGTCGCCTCGCCTCACCCCTCGTAATGTCGCCTTCCGTTGCTCTCCGCTGTACATTCACGATTCAGTTCCCTCCACTCTTGGCGTGATGCGGGAATTGACACCCGGTGCACCATCTCGGGATTGCCCATCGCCACGTCTAATCCACGATATTGTTACCATCTTGTCCACTTCTGCAACACAGGATACTGACCAGCCCCAGCCCATGCCAGCTATGTACAGCGAACAGTCATCCTTCGAGCAATGCGCTCCGCAGAAGAGGGCACCCCCGATAATCAAGATGGAGACATTGCCAGATGCATCTATATTGCGTGTGTTCTCCCCCAAACAAGAGGAACGTTACGCTCTTTCTAGCTGCGACAACTTCTTGTTCCCTTCCTCCAACAATGTGTTTTCGCCAAGGCAGACCAAATTCGAGCCAGATCGCGGAATCTACAACGATCCACATCCATCGCCGATTCTTAACGCGCACATGGGAATTGAACTGTCTGAGCTCGCCTTCAGAGCCGAGCGCTATAAGGCACGCCATTCTGCACAAGAGATTGATCGAGGATGGTTGATGCATTTCGCGGGCAAGTTGAGCGACCGCGGAGAGCTTATAGAAGAATTCCGATGCTACGTTGTCGGGTGTGGCCAGAGGAACAAGCGCAGAGATCATATCATTGTACATGTTGGGGCTCACGTTGATCAGCGGCCATTCGGCTGTTCCATGTGGTTCGCACTATTTTTGCTACATCTCTGGCAATCACTGGCTAACACTGATTGACGATTGTCGACAGCCCACAGCGGTTTCTCCGCAAGAACGAATGCAAACGTCACGAGGCGAGCCATAGTGGGGTGAGACCGTATCATTGCGAAGTTTGTGGGCAGACCTTCGTTCGTCAAGATTTGCTGAAGAGACACACCAAGCGGACTCATGGATTAGAGAAGGGGACTCGCGGTGCAGGCTCGCGCCGTAAGAAGGCGAGGACTGAGTGATTTCGTTGTTAACTCGTTCGACAATGGAGACACTTCCTAATATCGGTGACAGTCAAATTAATCAAGATATTGTTTAGCTGATGGAGTTGTCACGGTGAAAGACATGGACAAAAACTTTGATGTTGGGATGGCGAAGTTTTTACAACTCGCAATGTGCCTCAAGATAAACCTATGTTCGGAGTACTGAACGTGCATGCATAACACAAATTTTTAAGGGTGCAGTAGTTAATAGTGTTTTCCCTCGTAGGTAGAGGCGTGTCGTGACAACGTGACATGTGTGAGGTGTCACTTCGCATTCCCTTGCAAGTTCAAAAAATCGGCCAACAAGCTCAACCATGTCGACCAGAGGACGGTCCATCTCCCCAAAGCCTTTGCAAGATGCCGATGTAGACATGGAGAATGGGGGAAACGATGACAAGAAGTGCAAAGTAGTTGTCATAAACGGTCTGTCTCGCAACGTCGTCCAAGCGCATCTACAGACTATTTTCGCATTCTATGGAGAAATCGTGAAGATTGACCTTCCACTCTTCCTGAAATGTAAGATTCTTGATAATTATCGTTCTTAGTGTATTTGATTTATTCCTACATTTTAGCCGGCCAGAATCGAGGAAAGGCTGCTCTTGAGTTCACAGACGCAGCATCTGCCCAGAAAGCTGCTTCACACATGAATGGCGGTCAACTAGATGGTTTGGTCGTAAAAGTCGAGTTATCTGATCTCCCAATCCGCACTCGTTCTCGCTCTCGCCCTCGTCCTCCACGCAACGGCCGTGAAAGGCGTTCACTGTCTCGGTCGCGTTCCCGCTCCCGTTCACCAGTGTTCCGTAGGAGAGGTTATGAATATTCTCGTTTCAATGAATCTTTCCGTGGAGGCAGAGGTTTCGGGCGTCGTGGACCTCCCGCCAGGGACACGTACCGTCCTTCTCGATCACGTTCCCGCTCGCCTATCAGGCGTGGGGATCGCTTGCCACTCAGAAGGAGGTCTCCAAGTTACGAGCGTGGAGGGACTGGGACTGGGTATGGGCGCAGGGGTCGAACCCGTTCCAGGAGCTACTCGGTGCGCTCCAGTCGCTCTCGTTCACGTACTCCTTCTAGGTCTCGCTCTCGTTCTGTATCCTATTCCTCTTATTCGAGGTACAGCCGTAGCAGAACTCGTTCAAAGTCTCTCAGCCGCGGAAGGAGGAGTTACAGTCGGGATGATATCAGAGATAGCAGGTCCAGATCTCCGGTATAAAAAGCAATTCTATACACTCTGGTATCTCAGGTTGCTGTTGTAATTATGAAGGTTACTACTGTTCCTGTTTTACAGTATCACAATGAAGTCTTGATCCGTACTCTAATAACTGGTCATGGAATCGTCATCGGTGAGGAAAGGTCTGCCATAGATAGTATCAACAGTAATGTCCAAACTGAAGGGTGTCGCTTACGCATATTCATGTTCGTTCCTGATGGCAATTGACATCCACTCTTCGTCGGCTTCTTGCTGAGTAAATCCTGGTCCTCCAGCAAGGCTAAGGACGACGGGTAGAAGTACCAAACCATGTAAAGCCCCAGAGATGATGAGAGTAAGCCACATGCGGAAGTAGTATATCTGTGGGGGCGTAAGACCTGTGTACATTTTTATCGGTAATTTGAAGTCTTACTTCCAACAGCTTGGATCGAGTGAGCGCTAGGACGGACATGCCAATCAGCTTGGTGAACGTGATACCGGACAGAACCTGAGAGATGTTGGTCATGGCGTAGCACCGAGTAGGAGGAATACTCACTGAGGGTCCGACATCAACAAGGGCAATCCACATCCTCTCGTCCCGCTCTTTCTGTCCCGCAGGATGATCAGCTGGCAAACCAGAACCAGCACTCATGAATGCCCTTGCAACATGAGCGCAAAACTCCACTGCAATGCCGATTGAAATGACCAGATTCACCAGACTGATAGCGTTCAGGCTAATGCCCCATATTGCCATCACGCCCATGACAGTCATTACTGTCAGCGCGACCACACCCGTCACAATTGTCCCTGTACGCCATGAACCTAGCAGTAGTGCTGTGACCACTAGCACGGCAGCCAGCCCAAGCCCGAGTATCTCTTGAGTGATGGCGACGATGTGTGCATATTGGTCGAAGAAAACGTAATGCAGGGAATAAGGGAAAACCTGTGATCCAGTGAACTCTGATATCTTGGCTGCTATTTGGCGTGCGACCGCCATGGAGTTGATAAAATCATCTTGTGATTTAAGAGGTGAGTGTGATGTGCGAAAGTGAGATGCGACAACGCCAGTTTCGTCGTCAAGCGAGAGCGCGGTGCCGAATGATGCCTTGCCTGCCAAGGGACACGTCTCGTCTGTAGGTGAGATAAGCCACTGCTTCAGATACCGCATGAACTCTTCTCCCTCGGGTAATCCGACCATGGTGATGTTCCAGGCAGGTTCCTTGCCATATAAGCAGGGTTGGCATAATCGTTCTGAATCTCTCGGCGTACAGAACATGGAAGGATTTCTCTTGCGTACACGGCAGCACGTCTCCATGGCAGGATCAAGCCACTTGAGAAAGTCATCTATCCAAGACGCAGTCGGCTGCGAGATAAATGACGACTCAGGTCTCTTCCGTTCAGCCTCGAGAACGTTAGCAACAGAAAACTCATCACAGGTCGTGAAACGACCACAGAGCTCTTGCTGGCCAGGCCGCTTCGTCACGTCAAGGTCATGAGATACGAAGTAAACTGGAGGTCCGACATCCAAGTACACATCAAGATGATCAAAGTAATCGTTGAGGTAAGAATCCGAGGGGAGAGCCAACCTTTGATCTGTCAAACGATTAGCTTAGTTAAGCTTGACTTAATATCAAATTACCAAGTCCCAGCTGAATGTGCTGCATCGATATTGCAGAGAGCACGAAGATTCCCGCAAAACTAAGGAGTACAGCACCCTTGACAACTGGTCGAAGGAGGAAAGGTGCATAGTGGCGTCGGATGAAGCGAGCAACCCTGCCTAGTCCACTTGCATTCATGGGAGCATCAAGCAGGGCGATGCGAGAAGGCCATGTGATACAGGGGAAACAGTCAACTCGGCTTGCCTGTATAAGTAGTTAGTCTAAAAAGTATTATGTGGACCGACAGACGATTACCCACCTCTACGCGCTTAAGATCAATGGCAAGCGCACTGACAAAGACAGAAATTTGGAGCAACGCATTCAAGAAGACGCTACCAGCGGCATACAAGGCAAAGTTGCGTACAGCTGGCATGGGCACCAATGCACCAAGGCCAAAAGCAACTGTTTCTGTCACGGAACTCAATAGAATTGACGGACCCATCTTTGCCAATGTCCGCGCAACCCTTTCCTCTGCAGGTAGATATAAGGGCACCGAGGCAGTATCGACAGATTCATCATGTGCCGATTCAAAAGGTGAACGGTGAGGGGTAGGAGAGCGAGCCGTTGGGTATCCTCCTCCCGGAGCAGTTGCCGAAGCATTGGGCCCATGGAAGAGATTTTGCCTATCAAGCTCGTGAACGAGAATAAAGACATTGTCGACACCGACGGCGAGTACAAGGAAAGGAATAACTTCGGCAATAATGAGAGTCGTCTTGACACCGACAAGGGAGAAGAAACCGACTGAAGATGAGACGGACAAAATGACAAGTCCGATCCCAAGCAAACCTAACGTGAATTTCGAGTCGACGAAGAGATGACGGGGTAGTCTCGGTAAAATGTGCGGCGTGTTACGGGAGTCGACAGAGACCGAAGAGGAAGTAATGTTTGACCGTTTGAGTAGCTTAGGGAAGTTGCGAGCCCACAAAGAGAGGGACGCCATTATACCCTCTTCCTCCCTTGCTGCTGACCCATTGCCCAGGGTCAATGATATGTAGAGAAACATTGCGAGATACGATAGGACGACAATCCTGACGTCAGTGTTGGTACTCCTGCTGATCTCTTCCTCTAAAGAGACGCCGGTAGAGAATGCAATATTCATGCCCGCCTCAGAGGGAATGCGTTTGCTGAGATCGACGAGATATGCCCTCAGAGTTTGCTCCCATTCGACAGCTTTCGCGATTTCCGCCTCGTCGAGTGAATTCGCCACTACATAAGTAACGACGAGAGCCTTTGCATCGAGGTATGATTTGCGCTCAGGCATATCCTCAGGCACGCCACCTAGGACATACTGTGGGCCAAGAGGCTGCTGGAAATCTGGAAGGCAATCCACAGGGGAGTTTGCACATTGAACCAATCGGTCTTTCCAAGACTCCTCGTCGTAATCACTGAGATCATTACCAAACCATGCACCAACAGACTGAACGACACATGCTCCTTGTGGCCCGGCAGGCTTGAAACATACATCTGTGAGGCGGTAGCCATTGGGGGAAGATTGGAGAGAACGTATATCACTCTCTATGTCCATCCAGTATCGTAGATGATCGTAACTGAGCACAGGATCTTGCGAAGATACACCAGTATCTGTGAATGGGGGCGGGTCGATGGTGATAGGGGTGCTTGAGAGTGCAGTAACAAATATTTGCTGTGGACGGTAGAAGGGACCGAAGTGTTCATCGAAGTATTCTTTCTGAAGTTTGCTTTCTGAATCAGGAGCGACCCATAGCCGAACTGGGTCAGTCTCAATGTCGAACCTTTGCCAACCTAAGTTGAGCAGACCAATCACGGTAAACACGAGTGCAAATGTCAAGAATGGCCAGGATGCTGCAGCAAGGCCTAAACGATAGAAAACGCGACGAAGGATCGTGTTGAGGCGATATTGGCGTGGCTGAGACGCTTCAATGGGGTCAAGAAGGGAAGCACCACGACCGAGCCGTCTGGATTCTGTTGATTGAGCTCCAAGGGAGTCGTTTGCGTCACCTTGCGGAAGCGAGACCGCGCCAACAAGACCGCGTGTGTGTAACATTGGGGAGCGGACAGATGCGGTGTCCGCTGATAGTGCCATTCTCTCGTATCTTTTCTCTCTTCGCTTCCTCATAGTGGCCTGAAGAACATATCCAAATACAAAGGCAACGGCGCACAAGGAGTACGCGAGGATGAGTACGAACGAGAGGCATGAAAGCGTGCCGAATTGGCATGTCGGGCCACTGATCCGTGGAGGCTCGTAAGGAAGTGCAGGACAGACTGTGGGGCAGTCAATGCAGGTGCAGCGGCTTTCTAGGTCGTTATCAGCGCAATTCCGTGGTGTGGGGTCTAGCGCAGTGAAATCAAGGGGTGTGGAGGAGGGGTAATTTATCTGGAATGGACTTCCAAGGTCCTTCTCATCTCCTAAGAACTTGAGGAATTCTGAATACGTCTTAGCACCTCCCCCAATGAGGTCCATAGCATATCCATTGGTGGCACCGACTTGGACGTTCTTGCAGCTATCGAAGAAACCCGAAGCGAATTGTTCGCCGACGAAAAAATCAACCGTTTTCACAGCTATCTCTCCCGAACCGGTCTTCTGCGTATCCGTGATGTTTAGGAATGATCCCTGGTGTGGTGAACAAGTGAATGAGCAGAAGAACGAACGGAAATTATTTCGGCATGCAGGACAAGACGAGATGATGAGCTCGGCTTGTGCTAGACTGTCACGCAGGGTCTCGACCTGACCAGAAGTGCAGCAGGTAGGCCCTTCCGCGAATTGGACACCGCAAACTGACACAAGCAAATCTCTGGCTTTGCTGTCCTCGGGCTAGAGTAATGGTGAGCAGAGATACAATTGTATTACACTATAAAACGTACTGCGACCGGAGAACCATCATACGGACACGGAAGTTGCTGCCCAAACCAACCCTTCGTTCCACAAGAACCCCTCATAGCACATTGTTCAGCTCCGCTATCTCCTTCCCATCCTAACATGGTGCAGCGAAGTTCGCAGACCCGACGGCCAAAATAATGCAAAGCTGAGTTTGTTCAATAACGCAACTGATGACGATCAAATAGAAGGTATCTGAATGAAAGTAGCGGCAGCAGCTCAAACTGAGCCAAAGTACTTGAGACACTCCACGAGGCTCCACGCAAGTGTACTCTGAGTCTAAAGAAGTCGTGCCAACAACCACTCACGCAGTGGACCACGTGCGTTCCCGGGCCAACCCCGGCCAGGTCCCCAGGAACGATTAGTACTTCACAGCTTTGATCACAAATTGACAATCTCGGGTCCATCGCACCACACCTCCATTCATCCACTCACTAATGGCAGAACAAACACAATCCAAGAAGCTCAACACCGCTGCAAAACCGCGAAAGCGTTTCGTCGGCTCAAAATCTGCAGCACCATCCAAATCCGGTTCACCAGCAGCAATCGCCAATCAAATACCCGATGAGATATTGTCAGATGCTCTGCTGAACCAGGCGATTAAGCAACTTCCTGCAAATTACTCTTTCGAAATCCATAAAACAGTGCACCATGTCCGCAAGAACAAAGCAAAGATGGTCGCCTTGCAGATGCCCGAGGGCCTGCAGATGTTTGCTTGCACAATAGCGGACATAATCGAGCGGTGCGCAGGTGATGGAATTTGATTTTCAGAGCTGCATGCTAAGCTGATTCTTGATGTCGTAGTTTCACCGACGCGTTGACTGTAATTATGGGCGATGTCACTTACGGTGCATGCTGTGTAGATGATTACACTGCAGTCGCATTGGGATGCGACATGCTAGTCCATTATGGTCACAGCTGTCTTGGTGGGTTCATGCGCCGCAGTTTTCAAGTTTTATCCCTTATTTGGCCATAGTGCCCATCGATCAAACCACAATCAAGACCCTGTATATCTTTGTCGAAATTGGAATCGACTCGTCTCACTTAACAGAGACGATACGACTAAATTTCCCAAATGATCGACAGACATTTCACAAACAATTACTCGAATATGAAGAAGATAATGTACGGATACCTGCTGGTCAGAAAATCGGCAAGACTCGCCACCTCCAAATCGAAGGTCTTTCGAGTGAAGGAGAAACGGAACCTCCAGCTCCTGCCGAACCGACAAGGTTTGCGTTGGTCTCAACAATCCAATTTGTAGCAGCTCTACAGAGGTTGAAGGAAGATCTGACGTCGCCGTATTCTGATGTCGGAATGTCACCTAATGGACTGCTGCACAGTGCAGAATCAGAGTCATCAGCGGGAGATGTCTCGAAGTCGTCATCTGGTCATCGCCTTTGGACTGGCGTTTATGACGCCACAATACCGAGATCTAAACCTTTGTCTCCTGGTGAAATACTAGGGTGCACTGCTCCCCTACTTGGTGATATAGACGCCCTGATGTACGGGATCACCTTTGCATGTTCACCAAGTGTCTCATAGTGTTTCAGATATCTTGGGGATGGTCGATTTCACCTAGAGTCCATTATGATCGCGAATCCCTCAGTACCTGCTTTTCGATACGACCCCTATTCCAAGAAAATCACGAGAGAGCTTTACAACCACGAGGAAATGCGGATGATCCGAGATGACGCAGTTCAGAAGGCGCGTAAAAGCATCACAGCTTTCCCAAAAACATCTTCACAGGGGATCGTTTCCCCGACTGATGAAAATCCGATATGGGGCATCATTCTTGGCACTTTGGGGCGCCAGGGCAGCTTCAAGCAGATGCAGGCGATCACCCATCAACTTTCTACCTCAAAGACGGATATTCCTTATATCCCTATCCTACTTTCTGAACTCTCGCCCGCAAAGCTTGCACTGTTTAACCCATATATATCGACGTTCATTCAAACGGCGTGTCCGCGGTTGTCGATAGACTGGGGGTATGCTTTTGACAGACCGCTCCTCAGCCCATATGAAACAGCAGTTGTGGTGGGGCAAGCAAAAGGGTGGATGAATGAGGAGAAAGAGGGACGTGAAAGGGCTAGAGGTGGAAGATATCCTATGGATTTCTACGAAGTAGGCAGTCCGTGGGCTGTTGCTAGGACGAAGTCTTCATATCTTTAATTCAAGCACGAGTCTCGGTAAAGAATAATGACACTGATGATCGTATAGGCTAAGTCTGACTTGTCTGCTGCACTCTGTACTTACTCAGCGAATTGCCAGGAAGATCAATCGCAATAAATAGTACGTCATCCATATCATATGTAGTATACTGACCTTATTTCGATTTTGACCCCTGAAGGCCATGACAGCGTGTGCCGCACTAGCTCAAATCTGCATTAAGATTCACTGAATCGCATCCGACTGTTTTCAATCACATCAAGGCAGTAAGAAGGAACGGTCATCTAATTAATGATTCCGTGTCTAGCTTAGGGCGACTATAGACTAGTGCTTATTAAGCACCGCCACAGCATAAGTAGTCACATGCACAGCTTGTACACTCAACCAGGACGAACTTTGGTTCAGTCACGAACCTTGTTCAGCCTCCTGCGTCATGCATATCTGTCTCTTACCTGCAGAAATTGTACTACAGATAATACTCGATATCTATAGAGACCACAAAGGGACTACTGAATGTGCCACGCTTGCTGCTCTTGCAAGAACGTGTAGGAAATTCAAGGAGCCTGCGCTTGACAGCCTTTGGAAAGATATATTTGGGTTCAAGCCACTCAGGCCTGCCTGAAGGTGGCATCGACACAAGTATGCGAGGACAGGTGGTAAGAAAATATCAAAATATTTTCATGCTATCGAATGATCAAATTATATATTGCAAATAGACGCTCAAAAGACCTCTTGCAAATTCAGAGTGGAAGCTTGTGGATCGATATGCACGACGTATCCACTCCTTTGCCGTCTCAACAGCTGATATAGACATACTAGACGGTCGGGTTGTGCAGGTCCTCATTTCTGCGCCATCAACCACACCACTCCTGTCGAACCTTCGCAGGTTGACTTGGTATGGCGACCAACAGCATTTCCTTCCGCTGTTGCGCACCCTCTTTGGACCAACTATCACATCGATGATACTGGGCTTCAAATTGAAGCAGCCCTCATTTGCATCATCAGCTTTGTTGGCTTCCATCGAAGCTCGATGTCCATCCATTCGAGAACTTGATTGCGCATATAGTGGTGATTCTGAAGAAAGTTCAGATCTAATTGTAGAAGCCTTATGTGGCTTGCGGAAGCTTTTTCCATCTTCAAACTAGGGTCTTTCATGCCAGAGACCTTGTTCGTTTGGCTTCGTTACCGTCGTTGAAGTCTCTGCACTTCGACCTGATGGCTTACGATATCGACGAGCCGCAACGTGGTTCCATTCCAACAAATTTCTCCCAACTTGATGAAGTGCACATCACTACACCGTCACATTCCATCCTTAATCACTGTCTCAAAAATGTTCGTTATCCCTCATGTCGATCATTGAAGATGACCGTCGATCCTGATGATTTCGACGCTGACCCAGAGGTCTCGTTATTCCCGTATGGTCTGTTGGAAATTGCAGACGTCATCTCCCTCTCGGAGTGCTTCTCTCCTGTTCTCAAGGAACTTGTTTTTGAATTGGAGTCCGAGCTTGACGACTTTAATTTGAAGACACGCTCGCTGGTCCCAGGTTTGCACTTGGCTTTGACGTGGTTGTCCCGTTGCTGTCGTTTAGTCGCTTGACGAACTTACGGCTCGATTGGATTTGCACTTCGGCCATCGATGACGCCTCACTCAAGACGATTGCGCAATCCTGGCCTCAGCTCGAGACTTTTTGGTTCGGAGGTGCGGTTCTATGGGTGGTCCCGCCATCTCTCACCTTCATAGGATTTGCCCACCTCATATATCATTGCCGGCGCTTGTGCAACATTCAAATGTCCTTTCGCGCATGTCCAGTCGATATCAACAGCGAGCCGTTCTCTAAAACCATCCCTAACGAGAATATCACCAGTTTTTCTGTGGCGGTATCTCCAATTGTCGATCCCATCAGCGTGGCCTGTCAACTGCGTAGATTGCTGCCCAAATTGACCGAAGTCTACTTCCTCGACTGGCTTGCTTACAAGCTTCACGTGCCGCCCTCATTTGAACATTATGAGGATGGATGGAGTACGGTGAACGAGTTCCTGGGGGTTCGTCACTACTACAAATGGAGAAGAAATAGGCTAAAGATCGCAGCCCATGCTCTTGGTTTGACGGGACGTATTGCGCAGTGACTAACCTACAAATATGTATTATCCAGGTCTGGCGAATGCGTTCGGCATGTACGATGGCGAAGACTCGAGTGGAACAGCGGATCCGGAGGAGCTGTCCTTACCTTTTGTACATAAAATGGTTGTCAGCAGGTTTCGAACCAGCTCCGAGAGAAACAGATTTTGACTCTGGTAACCACTTGGCTCAGACGAGTTAGATGGAAATCATCCATGGGCAAATGTCAAGATGTATTCTGATAGAAAAAACAGTGCTTCAGCAGATTTCGAACCTGCAGGGTCCAGAAGAAACAGATTTTGATTCTGTTATGCAACCACTTGGCTGAGACCGGTCGAGATGAGCCCCCAAGGAAACCATGCATGAGTGAATGGATGGGTGTGTTCTGATAGAAAAAGAGGCTTGTTGTCAGCAGGTTTCGAACCTGCTCCGACCAAGAGAAACAGATTTGGACTCGGTTGTGGTGTTCGGCAGGGGTCAAACCTACACAGCCCAAGAGAAACAGATTTTGATTCTGTGGTGGTAACCACTTCGCTAAGGCCAGTTAAGATCAGCCTCTAAGGAGACCATCCATAAATGATTGTCAAGGTGTGTTCGATAGAAAAAGTCTTGTCGTCGGCCGCGGCAGGTTTCGAACCTGCGGGGGCCAAGAGGAACGGATTTTGACTCTGGTGACCAATTAGCTAAGACCAATTAAGATGGACCTCCGAGGAGCTGTACATGAGTGAATCTTCAAGGCATGTTCCGACAAGGAAAAAAAACCTTGTTGTTGGTAGGGATTTCGGTTCTGTTGTGACCAGCTGGCTAAGACCGGTTAAGATGGATCTTCAAGGAAACCATCCATGAGTTAATTTTCAGCGTGTCCTGATAGAAAAACAACCTTGTCATCGGCAGGTTTAGAACCTGGGCAGTCCAAGAGAAACAGATTTTGATTCTGCTATAGCACCCTCTGGGCTATGACCAGTTAAAGATGAACCTCCAAGGAAACCATCAATGAGCGAATCTTCAAGGCGTTTTCCGATAGAAACAAAACTGTTGTCGGCAGGTTTCGAACCTGCGCTGTCCAAGAGAAACAGATTTTAATTCTGTTGTAGTAACCAAGACGCTTCCTGTGCACGTCGAGGTGACCCTCTGAAAACTGTCAATAAGTGAATATCAAGGTTAAGAGGTTCAAATCCACACCACCCAAGGGAGCAGATTTCTAGTCCGTTCTGGTGCCAGTTGCTACTTAAGATAGACCTTGAAGGAGCGAGTCAGAGGCTGGCATCGGTGCCGTTATGATGATGGTGTAAGTAAAACATTGATCATGGCTATGTACTTGGCACATGCTGCCCCCTGTCAAGGAAAAACAAAATGTTACTTCCGATATCAAACGACAGATATGTACACATGCAACACTCGAACTAGCGCCTGAAGACTCAAACTGTCCACACATCACACCCTGTCCATCGCGTGAGTTTGACATACTCGCAGTAATAGTGGTGCAACTTACCCATAAACATACTCAACCTCATCAACCCCACCGCCAGAACCGAAAGGACCTTTATTCTCGCGAGACATAGGACCGAGCTCAGGCCCATCCTCGTCGTCGTCAATAGGATTCTCATCGTCAAGACCAAATGTCAAAACAGGGCGAAGTCCCCCTCCTGAACTAGACCGCCTGTTACCTGCCGGAGATTTAGGCAGTGCAGCCATAGTCTTTGGGCTCATGTGCTTAAATAAGTCATGAATGAGATGCAACCCGTGTCGGAACATTTAGGCGTTGGCTTACCTCCCAATCATTCAGGTTCTCATCTGGGATGTCACGATCATCCCGACCGACGTCAAGTCTGGGGTCGTCGCCCAAATCACCAATTGACGCCACGCTGTCGCTGTCGCTGATGTTGTCAGCAATATTTGAGACAAGCTCTGGGAGCCGCTGCCATGCGTTCCCGCCCGTTGAGATCGTTCCGAATGGTGGAAGGCCAGATTGATCGTCGGACCAACCGAGATCAGACAGGTATTCCTCATATTCCTCCTCAAACGCAAGATCTTCGGTAGTATACGGGAGAAATATGGATGGATCCGGTGCTTGAGAACGCGGAGGTGGGAAAACATCAGCCTCGACGACGTTCGGAGTGCCAATTGGTCGGATGATGTTTCCGAGGTCTAGCCCTGGAGGCAGGCCTTCCATGTTGTGAGAAATACTGACGGAACGCCGATGTGCCTGGGATTGCTGGCTCGGGGCCTGAGGTCCGTATCGTTTGTTATTATCTAAGGAGTGGGTCACGGTGAGTATGATACATAAAAACGCGGGAAAAACGCATACAATACTTGACAAGGTGACGCAGAGCTTGTTCTTGTGCCTGAAAGAACATCGGCATAGGACACTAAAGATGAGACTCGTTACATACCTGAGCGTCAGAGATATCATCAACCTCGGTGCCAGTTAGCCATTCATCACGCAGATCCGGTCGACAGTTCAGGTAGATCGACGTGATCACCTTCATATTTGCTAATAGGGGATAAGTGTAAACGCTTACTACTGTAGTCATCGCACGTACATTGCCGCCACTTCCTCCCACAGAAGGGAACTTGACTCTTGATAAGTTTCAAGACATGGAGTTGAAGCAAAGGATGCGAAACCCGTAGCACGCGTTTCAACACCGCCTGAGCAAGTTTGTAAATAGTTAATGACAGCTCAAACAGGCGCGCTCACAGAACTCTTGTACTGCACAAGCATCCATATACGATGTGACCGGCTCTTGGACAACTTCTGCATAATCTTGGCAAAATTAATTGTGGAAAAGAAGTTGCGCCATGAGAACTCCGTAAGCATTTCGACTTCTTCTTCGTGTTTTTGGCCGTTCGGAAGATTTTTTGTCTGTAGCACCACGTGGGCACAAGAACGGGGTTTTTCATCCTGCAGACGTGGAGCAATTTTTGCGTGATGTATCTGGCAATACCGGAAGAAGCTGGGTAATATCCAAGATTAGTCTCGATACTCGCGGATTCCGCCTTACTCACTTGTGGTCAGGAGAATCGGCTTTTGATACGACGGATGACGAAACTTCTTGCAGTCCAAACATCTTCAGAATCAGCAGTAAGCAATTGGTGTCCAATAGAAGCTGGCCAAGATGATGAAACTTCATCACATCTGTGGTGTACGTTAGATATGCGTTGACACACGTCAAGGAAAAGTACTCACGGGAAGCTTTGAACCATTTCAGCGTCAGCAACAAAATAGCTGAGACGGCTTTGGATGTAATCTCGCGATGCCGGGTCACATCGAGGTCGTCGAGTGTCGGCGGTGGGGCGGGAGGTTGCTCAGGTGCTAAACAAAATTATGATCAACATGTGTGAGAACGGACCACGGAGATACACACGAGATGCAACACCGGGAGGGAACACTGAAGATGTTGATGACTGAGGAACTTGCTGCTGCCCGGTCCCAGCGGATACAGTCGCTAAAAGGAGTTTCAGTAAGACCAGTACCCATCCTGATAGGACAGGCAATACGGCGCTCTAAACGCAGGTGAGTCAATGGCGATACGACGTTGAGCGAACTTACATAGATTGTTTCAACCCTCTTCAGGCGCATGAAATCCTCCTTTCTTTCCCTCGCCTTGCGCTCTTGGGCGGAAGAAGCGGCATCACCTACAGCCACAACGGCTTCCGCGATTTTTGCATCCAGCACTGCAACATCTAGTAATGGCTCTGCAATCTCAAGATCCTGAAATAAACTTTCTCAGCAACGGCCATCCAAATTAGCAATGGGACGGCATACATCGCTAGTGACTTGGAGTGGTTCGGCATCCCCCTCAGACCCAGGCATACAGTCAAGCCCGCTCTCGGCAGTCATGCACTCTTCTCTTGTCTTCCACATTTGCCAGAGCGAGAGACTTACATACATATGCCGATTATATAGCTTGTCCGCCTCATCGATGGCAAACGGTACGAGGCGATCATTGTTAGCACCAAATCTACTCTTCCGGGAGAATGGAAATAAGAATGGCCGATTTTGATCCGTCTGATATTGCTGTTTCTTGGGCTTGGGAGAAGGAGGCGGGGATGGTGCAGGTGTTGCAGGCTGAGGACCCGGGCGATATCCTGTATTAGGAACATGTGACTGGAAAGGCTGGTGATTCAGCGAACTTGGAAGACCAGAGTGCTGCGAGTCTGCGTCATCGTGGTGATAGTGATGGCGGACAGGAATAGGAGAATATGCCTGTGCTAATTTGGAAGTGGAAACGGAGGGCGCGGGTTTGATCGGAGGTGTATCTGGTTGGGTGAGCGGAACTGGAGGCGTGAATGTCGGGTATTTCACCGAAGTCTCCTGTCGGAACGTTTCAATGTCAAATGGGGTGCATTTGACGGGGACAGCTTTTATATTCGTTGTGAAAAGCGTCAAATAAGCTTTAATTGAAAGTGACCAACCTTCGTCGGGCACAGACGGAAGGTTGGCAAGTTCCCGGGCCAACTTCTTGACACGTGCAAGTTCTCTGATGCCACCACAACACGCGAGAAGTGTCTTCCAAAGCACAAGGAGTAGCTAATTGTATTTCAGTTTCGCAACGCGGCTTCAGATCTGCTGCTGTGTCATACCTTCTTAATGGGGTATCCCTTCGCGCTCTTGTCCCTCAAGGCAGAGACCACGTTGAATAAGTACACCGGTAATGGCGGGTCCATGCTCACTAACCGATCGGAATTAGCCTGTATGACGTCTTCCCGTTGCAACACGCACTTAGTTCATCTGCGAAGTCATCGCGTTCCTTGAATATTTCAATGAGGTGGTACATCATGCCGAGATACACCGAGATCTCGGTTGTAACCTCTTCTAGAAAGTCGGCTTTTTCAGTAGGTGTGATCTGGAAGTGTGCTGTATCTGCATCTGAGAGCGAGCTGTTATCTAAAGGTCAGATAACCGACCACGTACTAAATAAATGCATACCAAAGTAGATCATGTTTCTGACTCGCGATTTTCATTGATTCGACGATTGTGCTTAACCCATTAGCGATTCGCACAATCTTGCAGTTCTCGTAGATCCAGTGCAACTGATGCTCTGGAGACGTTGTCTCAGCAAAGGTACCTATGTCATAAACGAATGAGTATTCGTTGTTTCGTCGCGCATGGGAATGAGACCTTGCAGAACGTAAAAGAGTCGACGAGCATTCGTAAATCGGATCTCTGCGTCCCTGTGCTCGAGACTTTCGAGGAGTACCTCAACGTGTGCCTTCCGCTGTGAGGGAGTAGTATCGGGGCTTGTCCACTCTATAAATGTGAAAGTTATATCTGATCCTGACGTGTGATGGACGGTGCTGCATACCTCCGGGAAACGAGCCTTTCCATGCTTTTAGATTTTCCGCGACTTGAGGCATCTCTACGTATGAGTAAAATTCATCGATCTCATTCATGACTGTGTCTTCATCATCGTAACGAAAGTCATAAAATGATTGCTATATATATGATAGTACATCATGAATACGATAAACGACAAACAGAGCCGGAAACATGCCTTTGGCTTTGGCGCGCATGTGACCATTGCCTTGAGCTGTCCTAGTGTTATGGAGTCTAGTCCCAGCTGGGATGCGGTGTTTGCACCATCTTGTTCCCCAGTAGAGTATGAGGGCGGGGCTGAAAATATCATGCCGCTCATGTTGACGGAGGTAGTAGTTTACTACGATACGATACTCGTAACGATAAAGAACACGACTGTTACCACCGAATATCACGTGACCTACACATGTCTCTCAGGGAAAAACCTGGCAGCTTTATATAAACTCCCTAATGCCATGTCGTACAAAGACCCTGTTCTTGGACCTGTCTCTGCTCTTATCGATGTGGCTGACATGGCCAAGATCAGGACCAGGACCAAATCGGGCCACTCTGCAGTGCCTGCTGCTGCTGCCATCACGATCCAAGTTGAAAACAAAGCGTGCCCGGAAGTAGTCCTAAACTAGTTCCTGACTCAGTCATGAGGGAATTCGCATGGCTATCTGGACTCTGGGTGAAATGATGATTCGATAGCGATGACAGTGGCGTTCCAAAATGGCGTGGCTAAGTATATGTGGGCGTAGTAAGGCGTCCTCGTGTCCACGATTTGAGTCATTTCACGGAACGATTAAGGATCAATAGATGATTCGCTTGACTCATCCACGTTTGTAATTATTACCTGAACATGCTCGGCAGAGACGCGTACGCAGACTTTGTAGCGAACTGCAGGCTAGCCTATGTATATGGCGTGGTTTCATGGCGTGGTCTGAGTAATCGCAGCCTGGTCGTAGTCAATGGTTCCCTGCGCCCCGAGTCCCCAAGCGGAACCAAATCAAAAACGACTGTGAGAAATTCTGACATAATCATAACATTATAAGAATTTTTGGGTTCTTCCGTTCTTTCAACCACGATTCTGGCTGTGGATCGACTTCGCAGTCGGTCACATTCTTGCCAATTCACTCACCGTTCTCGTTTCGGCTCATCGTCTGCGACAGCGTCTGCTTCGTTGCGATCGATTCACTCGAGTATCGGTTTCAGATTCGGTTCAAAGTCGAAGACGCTCTCGGTAGTACAAGGTAAGTACTTGCTGTGACCCCCCGATATTTTGTCATCGATAACTCATCCAAATTTCAGAGCATACAAAAAGGCACGCCTTTGCTGCGCGTTTGCCACTCATCACCTTCCATTTCTCTTCCTTCTGCTCTTGGATCTGCTTACGACTCATCTTACGATTTTCGCTTCCACTTCGATCCTTCGGGAGGCACCTTCACCACTAGATATCAGAGTCGTTCGCTGCTGCACTTTGCAGTCCATCGGACGCTCTCCTCTCTGTCCTTCTTCATTTGCAGATGCCAGTCCCCGTCCCTCCCCGACAGCCGTCGCATCAAGTTCATAAGTACTCCAAAACCGAAGACGCTTCAAAGTCGTACTCTTCTGTTTTTCATAATCTGAAGCACACCCTACCTGTCTCTCCGAGGGGCCCACCGCCGTCTTTCGGCAGTCGTGATCAGTGGATCAATTCTCTGCCTTCTTGGAGGAGGACCAAAACTCGCCGCATTTGGGAGGATGACGTGCGCTCCACTTCTGAAGAACGGAGAGAACGGGTTTTTTTCCAAGGGTTGACTAGTACGGCCGACGTGCAAGTCAGTAAAGGAAATCATGCGGAGGCATGTCTTCCGCCCCTGAACGCCTTCCTTCAAAAATATGCCTCGAACACTTCGCCGAGTGACGCTGGCCAGCCAATACATGCCGAGCACAGGCCCTCTACATATGTACCCGTTTGGGGTGCTGAGAGCTATGACAGTCCGGATGATTCCTCTACGTACGACTATGTATGGCCTCGGTTCGCACCTGTGCTGGAGGAGGACTCTGACGATATGATGAATGGCGACTTGGGTTCTAGTCCCATCGGTCCCATGACTCCTTTCGCAGAGTACGTGGACCGTGTAATCGCCACATCCGACGTAACAACAGTATCCGAGCGAGTCCCGCTTACACAAGATAGTTTACATCAATATGGACTCTATTCCTGCAATATGGTCGACTATCAATGCGGAGACCAGATCAAACAAGAGTCGGTCGCTTCTGTTGATTCGGCGCCATCTGCGTCAACGAAGTACAAGATGTTCGCGGAGCCAATGGCGGACTGGATCGTTTCATATGTTTGGAAAGTTTGCAAGAATTCAATTGCCCTTCCACCTGCAGTTTCTCGTTACACGTACGATAAATTTCCTCGGTTAAAGTTCTGATCAATGTTAATGTGACTTCTACAGTCCTTCGATGAGCGGTCAGAAGCTAGCCCCTACAGCACCAATGCACTTATCTGCTGCAGTCCACTCCCTTCTAATGTCGACGCTTCTACAACCATCTGCCGTGTTACTCGCTATGTGGTATATCGCTCGATTACCAGTATACTTTAGTGGGGTCACTTTAGGGTTGGAGGTAAAAGAACGGAGATTTAGAGCCGAACTGCTTGATACAAGCAGCGGAATTGACGGGAAAACGTTGGAGGCCAATGCCACGTTCCGACTCATCGTCCTTGGATTCATGCTGGCGAATAAGTGGCTTGACGACCATACCTTCTCCAACAAAACATGGTAAGCACCACATTCAAAGTCCATTTCCGGTCAAAATGACCAATTCCCTCCCTTCAGGCACACTATCTGCAAACTTCCTGTCCACTCGCTAAACAAGCTCGAGTCGCTTGCTCTGGATATCCTTTCCCATGACTTGACAATATCGCCTGCTGCTTGGCGCCAGTGGCTGGGGCATATGTTCTCGTATCATGTCTCGCTCTCGCCTCCTCCATATGCCCAACCGATTTCCCGCCCCTCTTCAAATCCTCAGTCAATCGTTCGGAAAGTCATTGAGGAGATCATGGAAGCGCCTCTCACGCATCCCAGCTCGGAACCCGTCTTCCTCAGCTTCGAGCAGAGGAACAAGACAAAGTTCAATGAGACAGAAACGTGCGCCGAACCTTCCCACGAAGCCTACGACATTGATCTCGATGAGGATGGACCGCTTCGGGAAGAGTATTTGCCAAGGCGCCGCGTGAGCAATGGCAGTGATACAAGCCGACGCAGTACAGAACTGACTTCAAGAGTTGAGGTCGAGCGGAGAGAGCTTCGGGAGTCTGCGACCAGGAACGCACTTCCTCCTCCGTCCAAATGGAGCCCGGCAGCTGATGAGCCCATCCACCGTGCTAGTGAGCGTCCTGCGTTATACATGCCAGTTCAGCCACCAGCGGTATGTTGGGCGCCTGCAGTTGCTTATGTGCCTGTCAAACTCCCCCCGGATTATTCTAGTGTTCCGTATTCCAAACCAGCGGCTCCTTCGAATGATTACTATTATTCACAGTCTGTACCGCCCTCACAACCACGTTGTGACGCTGATGCATTTTCCCCGCCTAATTCTGCCTACTCATATCCTATCGGCTTTGACTATCAGTGTGGTCACGTTCGTATGTCATTCGATGGAACAGGTTACCCCTCTCAACCGATGGCAAATTCTAATTGGCCGTCTGCTGAGGCATATGGATTCCCCGCACCTAGAGTCCTCTTTGGCCCCCATCCACCTATCAATTACCAGTCGTCCTGGGTTCGTGCTTGAAGATATGTTTCTGGACCAGATGCTTGCGCGCGCATCTTAGATGTCAATTCTTCGTGTTTTCCGGCTTTTAACACTACTGCAATCGATTCCGACGGCACCACCTATGTGCCACGTCATAATTCCGCTCTCTCTATCCATCCTTTCGCGGTTGTCAATACTGGATTTCTTTCTCTTTGTCGCCGGCACTGTTCTATACAAACACGATCCCCACCCTTTCAAGACATATCCATCCTGTCTCGGGGACAAATCTTCTTGATCTTCATCATTTCGATCGCATATATTCTTATTTATATGCGCGTCCGCACTCACTCTTCTCGCCGGCTGAAGTTGGTGTGAAGACGACGATCTCGGACTATCTGTGCCATACCGTGTTCATCGATTGAACTTTCGCGGCGTTCGGTTGACTGTTTCATCGTCGATGTATCCACTTATCATTTCGGTATCCTCATGCTCCTCAACTAATAACCTTTCACGACTTTATTTTTTCCTGCCTTCGGCTTTGGTGTTTCTTTTTGCTACGTTTTTCTCATTCAGTACGCATAACGAAATCACTTAAAAAAAAAACGCAGAAAATTATTAACGCTACAAAAACATTTGCTATTCCCTCATTCCCTATCCTTCCGCCTTGGCTGCTATGGTAGCTCCCTTTCCTCCTGTCTTATCATCCGTTACCCATTTTGGTGGTTAGTTTAGCTTTTAGCTTTTCTTTTTCACCCTTCAGCTCCTTTCCGTAGGTAAGAAGTTATGCACCTCCTTTCCCTAGCACTCGATAGTCAAGTGTGAAGCCCACACGCCATACGTACTGGTTCTCATACGTACGCTCTGATACTTCGCTTTGAATGCTATCCTCCAGTATGTTCCCCATGAGCGCGCAAACACGTTAGACGTTTAGAAGATGGCATTCAGACACAATCATACAGTACTTGATTGTCTATGTAGTACATGGGACTTCTTTGCTTGCCTTCAGATCTTTATCAGGATAAAAGGGACCTGCAAAATGTCATCAGTAATGAAATATTCAAATATATGGCTCTCATGGTATACCTCAACATCCTCCATCTCGTCATCCATGAGCATGACTTCAACCAGGAGGTGCTTGGTGTGCGGAGGGATAGGCTTCTTGCTGACGTGCTCTACCAGCCTGCTGAATTTCATAGGCATCCTCTCAGTGCTCTAAATGATTTACATGAGCAGCTGCCATGGGTTAATCGCACACATTACGAACCTTCTTCTTGTCGGTGAACGAACTCCAGAGCATACTCACACCCTGACTAACCATGCTGACATCTAAGTTGTGGTGAGTCTTAAACCAAGTGATGAACTCCTTGAGTGTCGGATCGTTCTTGAACTCCATCCGGTCCCAAAGGGTCCATTCAGTGTTTTGGAATTTGTTCTTTTGGGCAGCGATGGGCTCCGAGAAACCGAAGAAAGGTAGGGCAAGGTTGATAAAACCGTTCTTGAAGTCATCTAACTTATTCTTCCCGTCTATGATCTACAAAGCGCACCCGTCAGCGCACCCGACGGGTAAGGAGGACAAACATCTCGCCTTGTAAAGTTCAAGACACACCAGACCCACAACGAGCGCGGTAGTGGTAGCAATGGCAGGAATGATTTTGCCTGCTATCTGCTTTGTGGTGTGACGATCGGCGATGGTAATGTTGTAGTTCATCGCACGAAGGTTTGACGCAGCGGTGATGAGATCGATGTGATGGTTAGTGTCATCGTCCTTCTCAAACTCGACAGGAGTGAGACGGTAGCCAGCCAGTGACGAAGGAGGAGGCAGCTTCTTGATCAAGTCGGAGACGTTGTCAGGATCTGAAAGGAATCACGTTCTGCAGGTGACAGTCTTAAAAATGAGTGAACGTACCAGAAGACGATTGATTGACAGGGTCGTTTTCGGTAATCTGGATCTTCACTCCGCTCTTTGGAGAGAACTCGGGAACGATCACAGAGTCTGCAACCCTCTTGAAGACTGCAGGATCAGTCTCTCCTCGGAGGCCATAATTATAGGCATGAAGATTGGCTGCGGCAATGATGAAAGAAATATGTGTGGGCTGAGGAAAATAATCAGTACGTCAAGGTCTAGCAGCATACTGGCTGACGTACATCTGAAGAGTCGAACACAAGTGGGTCTGGTGCCCTCTTCGGCCCACTCCAGAACGGCTGGCCCGTGCTGGTAACATGATCCTTCGGAAGACTGTGGAGAAGCTGCCGGATAGCGTTATTAAACTTCTCCTCGAACTGCAGACGAGCCCAGATAATACACTCCTCGAAAGTCAACGGCTTGTTGGTAACCAGATACGAAACAATCTGGGAGACGTGGTCATGTGATTGGCCCGAGTATTTGAGGGAATTCTCAAGGTAGTTGGGCTCCGAAAGATATTGATTGACAGATTCCACAGGTTTAACAAACATTGCGTCAAACTCTTGCCGAGCCCACTGTATTGCTATCAGTCCGTGCTAATCAAGAAAAAACTAAAGAGCGCACCTCAATCGTGTGTGTGATGGCATTCGGGAAGTTTTTAACCGTGCATGACAAGGTCTGCTTCTCTGGGGGATCTTGCGAAGACGAGTACGACTCGGTGAGATGAGGAATTACGACTTGGGTATTGCCTTTCGTGCCCATGGTACCGGATTCTAGGAGTGGCTTTTCGTACAAAATGCAACGTTGATCCATGTATACACCTAGGACGAGTGTCGTTAGACGAACATCACAGAGAACTGGAGAGGGTCTTACGTGCAGCAACGTTATCCAATGCATTTGTGACACCGTCGAGTCCCGCAAAGAAGTCGTCATCAAAGACATCTTGGGAGAAATTCAAAATGGGGACAATACAGAAGATGATAAGTGACTGACTTTCTGTCGCCTGACCAACAGGATCTTGTCTACAGAGAATATGACCCTTGAGAGCTGGATTCATGTCTGCAACCGCTGCCGCTGCAACTTCAGACTTGAATTTCCCAAGATCTTTGGCGCGGAAGAGGAATTGCCGGTTCAGGTTGCTCTTTTCGATGGTGTCTAGGTCGGTGACATGAATCGTAGCATCGGGCCCGGTAGCGAGACCCATCATGCTCCAGTTCTTCAACATCTCACACCCGATTGCTCCTGCACCAACGAGGAACTGACGGTGATTGGCAAGTTTATCCTGGAAAGACTTGCCAAACACTGCAATTTGTGCATCATACCGGCTGCCAAGCGGTTGGCAATCTTGCTCATTCGGCAGTGTACTTGGCAACGACTCCAAAGAATCGAAATACAAGTTCTGGAGCATAGGATGGAACTTCGCAGAGCATGCTTTCAGCACTTCCTGTGCCACGAAACCACCAATTACAGCGGCGACGGGAGGTAAATCACCAGTCGCTTGATATGCCAACTCTGTGAGAATCTTCTCGTCAGCATCCGCATCTATTTTCTTCGCTAAAGCTATTAGGGAAGCAGCATCTTTTGCGTTTCGGGGACGAGGTAGACACTGGTGTTGCGCCTTGAATTGTGATAAAGCTTGGAACCCTGCGTGGAGAGTAGCAGGTCTATCGAACTTGGCGAAGTCTGTCATGAAGAACTCTGGAGCTGCAAGCGACTCTCGCAAGGATTTCTAGAGAGAAAAGTCAATTATAATCTAATGAGACCGGAGTATAACTTACAAACTGGAGGATTTTGGGCATTTTCACCTGGGTAAAGATCCCTCCTCGGACATATTCTCCCAGGTCAGAAGTGTCACCGATGGTGAAAGTATATGGACCCTTCACTGTTATTTTGCGAGGATTACAACCATTCAGCTCAGTCATGCCCTGCACTTCAGTGAATGTGACGAAATCGCCATCTTCAAGGCCGTGTCTTGATTCATCCAGACATGTTACCAGTCCTTCCTTGTCCTATGTAATGATAGTATAGATAGGACATCGCAGTTATAGTTCATAAGACTTACTTTTTCAACTGACACGATCATTCCGGTAAGAGCTTGCTCGCCTGTAGGATCCACGCAAGTGAACTTTGGACCAAAGTCATTAAAGACGGAGCTGATCACGATCAATAACATATAAAGGGGGGTAACAGTCGTCACGTACCCAAAAAGACCACGGGTCTCTGCTGAGATAAAGTGAACACCATTCTGATGTGTCCAGTCGTTGATCTCAACTTGTTTCTCGTAAGAGACGCCACACAATACAACGGCCTGGAAGAAATCGACATCACAATGTGGCTGACGGTGCATGAACTTACCTGGAAAGTTCGTATTAAATCAACTGAGATTTCTTGTCCTGCATTTCCTCCAAGATTTCGGACGGGGACGTAAGCATTTAGTTCGGCTAAACGAGGTAGGGTGGACGCTGCGCGCGGCTTTCCGATATCTTCTTCGCGAAGAAAGTACTGTGAACAATGTTTCAATGACAAATCTTGAGGCAGTGTGATGCCTAAGCACGCACTTGTGAGCTGAGATCTTGCATGGTGACCGGTTCTGGGTCATACAGCGTTACGGACTTGACTCCCGCCAGACAAACATTCTTGGCTGTAGAATATATGAGAGTGAAATGAGTTTGTTGGAACTATGCTTGTTGGCAAAAGGGTTACCAATCTCAGCTCCAAGGCCTTGCAACCCGACGATCAGTACATTAGAGGCAGCCATCTTCTTCATCGCTGCACACATCACTCAGCAAACAGGGGACAGTTGTTTACAACATGACTAACCCTCATGCCCTAAAACATAGCTGCAAAATCACGTAGGATTGCAAGTGAGCGATGCGAGCCACACAGGATGACAGCAACACCTACAGTTGACGAGAGTACAAGCCTTCATCAATCGCGGCCTCGTCAACATCCATCTTTGCTGCAAGATTGCTGGCATCTGCCATTATTAATATATGCGTATGGAGGTAGGTGGTGGTGAAAGATAAGATCGCGGCGCAGCTGAATCTAAGTAATACAGTCAGTACGCTTACCGATGACTAAGCATGGCTAAACCAATTTTGGGACTCTGTTGTGAGTCTGACGAGCATGCTGGGATGACAGAGCCGACCAGTTAAGCCAGGACATGTATTATAGTACGGGCCTGAAGAACTACGCCTAGAGGGTATGCTGCCAGTGCACCTTGGCACCTACCCACAGCTCTTCTTCAAGTTGTATTATGACCCCTGTCTCGCTCACTGGCACCCTTGAAATTCTAGCACCCAGTGGGCATACTCCCACATATCGATCTATATCTATACGCTCTTCCTTACCAGAAACAAGAATTTCCATACCGACTGGTGGCAGCAAGTAAGCACTGCTGCTGCTACCGAGGAGCCCCAACTATATATTTGCATTGAATTCCACCTCTATCATGCGATGACACTAGTATCATATGTTCTTACCTCGATACCCAAACGCAAAGACTACGCTGATGCCGTGAGTAACACTCTCAAAGGGCACTCTACATTTTATGACCTAATTATAGTAGAATACCTTGACGTCGCACACAATTGTTGAAGGCTATATGATTCAGTACTGCTCGAGGTACCTCAAAATCATCGGTATCATTGGCATAAGTCAAACATAAGTGATGCATTGACTATCCACCATTAAACAATCGCAAAATGTGACACTCGAATCTGCCAGACGCCCATCAGCTCTCCATATCCATTTTGCACAAGATTATCAGCATTGACTAGAATAAGAGAGAAAACGAATACCTCTTTAAACCAGCAGAGTGGTCATCGAGCTCGTGTTGTCTAACGTTCCGCACCGCTAGATGGTGGTATACCTGCATTGTGATCATATAATTTCAAGAAAAGGCATAATTGTTTGGGAAAACACTTATGACCATCCAGCGGGAAGAGCACTGATGGAAGAGCCAGGGTGAGTGATTCACAGGGGGTTGGTCGACGCAAAACTTGCGGAATTACTGGTGCGCTATTTCTAACAGTCCGTAGTGGTGTAACTCACTTGAACGAATTCTCAATTATAGCACCAGCATAAAAACTATAGCACAGCACACCTGGTACTTGCAAGAAGATTCACCATTGAACATTTCGATCCTGGAACATTCAAACGTACCTGGCGATCGAATAGTGGTACTAGTTGGAGAAGTTCTTGATCCAAGACACCATTGCCAACTTCAACTTCATGGTGTGATGATTGGGTAGGGATTAGGTTACCTATTGACCTGGCATTTATGTCGGTCAGTGAGTGTCAGTGGTGCACACGTCACCAGGAATCATTACTTACCTTCCTGGACATTGCCTTAATTTTGAATCGTTTGTCAATGATGCCAAGAGAGTGAATCCATATGAGATCTACCAAGTTCTACGATGAAGGAAGGCCCTAACAGAAGAAAATTACTGAACAGGTCACATGTCACCTCTCCCAGACATTGTCCCAATTTTGAATCTTTTGATGACAAGAGATTTCAGTTAGAGATGAAGAAAATGCTAAGGAAGTGACGACTCGATCAATTGTGATGGTACTTCATCTCATTCCCATGATCCACGTGAACTTGAATCTCAACAATAAGTCACCGTCTATCCAAGCCGGTCGTCAATGGGAAATATATACCTGCACCGCACCCAATTCAATCAAACGGAAGCCGTTGCAGGTGGTGTGGCTGCATTTTCGCGAACTTGTCGAGGATTCGTTGAGGCGGTAACCCAACAACTTGAACAGGTATCGGGGGCCTTTGTTCCTTCATTGCGTGGCGATAGTCTGTCCAAGGAAGACCAGGATCTCACGAACAATTGACAGCTTGTCACAGCCTGAGCCACCTGAGTGGCGCTGCACCTTCGAAGTGAAGCGCCAGGCCCAAGGGCTATAACCTTCTCGCTGTACAGCACGTCGCACGACGGCGACTCAAACGAAGGCCGTCGAGAAAACTACCGAATATTTAATATTAGTCAAGGGGTGCATACTTAGTAAAACATATGCGCAGCAACACATAAGTTGGTACTTACTACTAGTTACTGTCAACCAGAACATTGTTGAGCGGAGCAATTGAAATTGGCACTCGCCATCGCCAACTTCAACCTCTTAAAATTGCGTGTTGCTTACCAAGACGATCTTGCAAACTGCGTCCATCGGACGCTTGTCCGACGCCTTAAGGCTTACATTAACAAAGAAGACCGCCTCAACCTGGTATAACAAGAAACGACAACGGTATTACAGCGAACTACAAGAACCACAAATATCCAAAACAAAATGATCGATCAGCAAAGGGTGGAAAGTCAAGGTGCGCGAGAGACGTATAGCACACACTAAAAAGGTAAGGAAACCCTATACAGTCCATCATGAGCTTTACATTGGCCGAAGCCGGCGCGCTGGCGCTGAGCTTGGCGGAGGCTGCAAATGCTGCCAACTTATGGTGCCAATGATCTCGTTACGATCCACCACACGACGCAGAAGGCAAAGCATACTGGAGGGGACGGGAAAGCAAGGAGATCATAGTGAGGAGACGAATGTGATGGAGCGATGGTGGCTTTTCACCCCAGAGTGGTCTGGCAAGGACCATAACGACCTACAGAATGGGCCAAATGAGCACTAATGGTGCTCAAAGGACCCCCAACTGCGGCACCCCAGGTCCCCTGGGTAATGAATTCCAGTAAATCCAACGCTGTCGTAGGCTGCCTCGATTCAGGTGCAAAATTGTGACTGCCTGGGGCAATACCCATCGTACGAGGGTTCTTATTGACGATGGGGTCTGCCTCAGGACACCAGTCACTGGGATCCGGGAGACAGGTCAAGGGCTTGACCGGAGTGGGTGCGTGGATCATCAGAGGGTCCTGGCGGGGCGCCGCAGCAATTTTCTTCTTCCGACCGCGGTATCGGATAAAAGTCGTGTTAACATCTGTGGCTTCACTGACAGCGAGCATATCATCAAGAACGCGAAATATGACGACACTTTTGTCGCTAGAGAGTTGGCTGGAGGAGATACGAAGCCCAAGCACCCAGCTATGCAATGACGAACTGGGGATGTACCCGAGATAGCCGAGGGATGCCAGCGCGGTCTTTTCGACATTAGTGAGGGTGGAAGAAGGAATTGCGGCTGTCTTGACCCTGGACAGAGCTTCAGCAGTCAAGTCATCAAATAGAATGGCCCCACGCACCATGTCTTACTCGGGAGGTAAGAATCGTTGACCAGTTTGTCGGCCAACCTTGCAACGACAACGAAAGCGGAGAAGAGAAGCTCGTCGAAAGTGGCTGCGCCACAACAGTGGAGATGGTTGAAGATCGAGACTCCTAGGAAATCATTCCCTTGACCTATTTCTGCCGTGGTAATCTTAGAGATGTACCACAACGCATGAATGACAACCATTTGAGGGTTGCTGACGGATTCCAGAATGAATCGAATACGAGTGCCGATAATGGAGGTCACGTAATTTCGCCCATCCAATTCCCTGCACATTGAATGAATAATTAAGTTGAATGCCTTGCCGAACAATGACTCACGGGTCAGGGAATATTTCATCTGCGCCGGCTTTGATAGCTAACGAATACATGAAATGCGCGGAAAGGCTAGAGAACGCAGTTGCAATGCCATCAAGGTCTGGACTTTTGGACGCTATGACCCGAGGGACAGCGGTGCCACCCGAATGTTTAGGAGTATCTGAGGAAGCTGTGACTACCCTGGCGACACCGTCCGAATTCAACTGGAAGAGAAGACTCTCTGTACCATGTCTCCCTTTGGCGACGCTAGAAGGAGCCTGGGAAACACAGCCAGGACGAGTGACCGAAGGCAGAGAAACAACATGACCGAGACCAGGAGGGACCATGGGCGCTGAGTGTCTCAGCGCGACATCCTTGGAAAGGGCACGTAAGCGAGGCGGCAAGCGCGACGGCTGAGACATGTCAAACAGACGATGCTTGAGCGAGTAGGAGGGCCCGCTCCCACAGGAGGCGCTCGCAAAGTTGCCTCGGGCAACTTTCGAGGAACTGGCAGCAGCAAAAGGGAATAATCCAAGCTTTTGTAACTCCGTCTGAGTTGAGCACGCTTTTACGTCGTGTGGGGGTTCCGCAGCCCCTTGCACGAGGTGGGGGTGATCAACGAAGTAGGAACGTGTTGCCCGTGAACGGGCGAAGGGGTCTTCCATGCATGTGGTGCTAAGCGCCTGCGGGGCCTCGATCGTGCCCCTGCCGGTCTTCATATTTCCGCTGTCAAAGATCGGTGGCGGAAGGGTGTCTGCGTCAGGGGAACAAGCCCATCTTGGCTTTCTGAAGCACGGGTTGTGGAGAGGTGGACGTTTCGAAGAGTACCTTGAAGCAAGATTACCTCTGGTAGCAGTCATTATGGTCAATACGAGTGTGAACAGGGATGTTGAATACTGTTTCAGGGAGTACAGACGAACTGCACAAATCCAAGTAAATGCGGGGCGCCTTTTGTATCGCACCCCCACTCTAACAGGGCAAACACAGGAGCAGTGTGAACGTCCACAAGTTGTTCAAGCGGTTCGACCTCCGATCACGTTTGTGGCGCTCTCGAGGGCACTATGGACAAAGCCAAAGCGAGCGGTGCTCGCCGCCGCCGGAACGATATGGAAATAAAGCTAGGACAATGAAATTATAGGTTGAGGATTTCTATCCGCTCAAAGCGCAGGGACAACGACAACCCTGTGGGACAAAGCAGTTGAAGTGGCGAACACCACTCGGAGTTGTTGGTCCTTCATTATTTCGTGTTATACAACTTGATCATTTCCAAAAATGGACTGTTGTCAAGAAACACGTTTACAACTTACGCGAGAGCAGTTGTTTGTTGTGATAGATGCGACCCAAGTTCACAAAGGGCTGTTTGTTTCGAATGTCTTCCTGGGAACTTGTCCACCGAGGACTAGTTGAGTGGCGAATTCAGAGTCGGCAGAGAAACATAAACAAACAACATTACATTGAGGAAACTGCAGGGACGGTACATATGCCACTACATGCTCGAGATCGTCTACTTCCGATAGAACTGTGGCAGTGAATGAGCACTGTATACAGGAACTAATTATGGAAGAACCTACATTACGACGGAAATTGAACCAAAGTGACAGACATCCTCTATCAAAACTACTTCGGAAGCCCCTGTGCCAGCACGTTCAGTATTGGCGTGACAGAGTCAGGACGCGAGGCTGCTCACCGTTTATGTGAAAACTCCCACTCCCGATTGACGATCCTGAAGCCGATGTCTTCATATGGAGGCCCGGCGCTGAAATGCAGCAACACGGTGTCCTCATTCCCGGGTTCCCTGACGATTTTGTACGTAGGGGCTTTTGATTTGTCGATCAGATCCGGGTAAAAGATGTTGAACTGAAGTATGACGTGAGTTGGAAGTAAGTTGTAGGGTAATCAATACATACTTTATAACCCTGAACGACCTTCGGAGGCGGGTTATCGACGCTAATTAATGGTGTCAAGAGAAGATCGAAGAAAGGAGATAGACCACGCACTCGTAGTGAGTCTGGTTATACTTATTCCATTCGTAGCCGGTATGCACGCGGTTGAAGTATCTGGGTTTCCGAGGTCGATATTTGTCCTCCCAGTTGTATGACGTAGGATTTGCAATGTTCTCCTCAAGATTAAAGAGTTCCTCCTCTTCGTCAAGCTCTCTCTCTGCCTCAGCCCTGTACAAAGCTTCGGAAGCGAGGTCAGCACCGCTTGCAATTTCTGGAACTTCGACTTCAACCATAGGTTGAGCAGCCTTAGGCACGAAGCGCGAGGCAGCGACCGTACGGCGTTGTTTCAACTGTCCAACAATAAGCGGAATTTCAACCCACGCGAAAATCGATGCCTACCAATGCACGAAGGTCGTCAAGCTCTGTCACTATATCGATTTCACGTTCATCTTCCGTTAACTTCGTGATGTCTATCAGTGGCGGACTCATAGACCTATCGTAAGGTTCCATGTCCTCGTGTGTGTCTGTTTCTGCTGTAGTTATAGGTGCAACATAATTTGCGTCCTTCAGCCCTTGAGCTGCTGATCGAGCAACACCAGCAAGAAGCTCCTCCTGTGCGTGTAGAGCCTCGTCGCGCTGGCGCTTGCGTAACTGCTCAAGTCGATTGCGAACGACGACTTCGTGCAGGCTTTTCAACTTTGCCTGTCGTGTAAGAGTTAGTTGCAGTATCATCTGCAAAGAAGAAGCATACCTTCGCTTTCCAAACCAGTAGTCTCTTGAGGAGCCCTTCCCAGTAGTCCGTATCAATAGGTTCGCCGCTTGCAAGCTTTGCCTGGATCTGTTTTTGAAGCGTTGCAAGATGGTCGTAGCTTTTACCAGACAAAAGTGCAGTGATTTCTGATTCCACAGCGACCGCCGCTTCTACCCCCATGCATTCACTGGCTTTAATTTTGTCGATACGGTCTTTGCAGACCACCATCATATTCTGAGGGACATAATCAGCTAAGGCAAAACAGACACAACTAACACACCGTCCAAAAGTCGATGTCCACCTCAGAGGTCTCGAGTGAGAGGTAACGCTCAATGTCATCATGAAGTTCGTCAATTTGGTCAGGCGAAAGATTCTGTGGAACCAGTTAGTTGCATGACGGCATTCAAGGTCTAATATCCATACGTCGAGAATGTTATACGGCTCGTCGAGGTCAATTTCGAGCCCGGCATCGTCCTCGATATGATCTTCGTCCAGCGGATGTGCATACTTCAAATTCAAGGCCAAGAAGTCGATAGCTTTTGCCCTCTTTTCCCTTATGCGAATAGCAGCCCGGCTTCGCTCCTGGTCCAGCTGGAACTCCCCATCCTTCGCTATCCATTCCGACATCTGAGCAGACTCTGCCATTCTTGCCATGCGCGACTCTTCCTCTTCTCGCAGGCGTTGCTCCGCTTCCCGTTCCGCTCTGCGTCTGTTCAACCTCTCGAGCTCCTCCTTAGCATCTTGCCTTCTAATTGCATCTTTACGCTGTGCCTCCGCAAGGGACAGACCTTGCTTACGGTCTTTCTCATTCTTCTTATGCCAGCGGAACTGCTGCCCGAGGTTGACGTCGTGGAAGGGATTATCGGTTGCGCTGTACACACTAAGTTCAGCAACCTGACGAGCTTCTTCCTCTTCCTTTATGCGCAATTTTTCCGCTTTGCGGGCCTTGCGCTCCTCGGACTTGTCGCGCTTGCGTCTGCTTCAAGTAAGTGGGGCATCGATGTGAATGGATAACAAATACACACTTCTTGTCTTTGCGCTCTTCATCTTTGCCTCTACTGTTACTTCGCTCTCTCTGTCTGCGCGGGTGGTCCTCGTCGTTATCCCTACTCCGACTGCGCCGCCGCTTCCTGTACTCGTCTGGTGGGTCCCTTTTAGAAAAGCCCTTCTTGTCTTTGGCGTGGTCTCCGTCTCTTTCCGACTCTCTATGTGAAAGGCTCCTGTAACTGTGGTCTTTTTCACGATCGTATGAGCGAGAGCGATGATGGACCATGCTGGCAAGTTTGACGATAACTCAGGCCAACTTTCCGTCTTCAGAGTTGCTCCAGGAAGTACGGTGTTTGGCGTTGTTTACACAGACCGTTCTTGCAATTGTATGATGACATCTTGTGAGATTTTGTGTCCATCACATCTATTCTTTTATTTCTTCCGTCGACTCTCACTTTACTGGGTTGCAAGTTGTATAATAGCGGGCGCGAGCGCTAATTTTGCTGACCACAAGGAGCCATGATATCGAGGCTTCCGCACACCTACCGAGTGCACTCCTTGCGGGTTCTCTCCCGCAATCTCCAGACGCAGGCACGATATGAGTATCCCTCGAGCGATGAACAGGGTGATGGCTCGTTTCTGCCACGATCTGGACTAGCGACGCCACGACAGGTGACAGCCATCCTCGCGTTTCTACCAAAAGAAAGGCTCACGGCTTGTTACTGACAGCTTGTGCGATACCTCGATGAATATGTAATTGGGCAGGAAATTGCAAAGAAGGTCCTTTCCGTCGCGTGAGCATCCATGCGTACTGCTCTGTAGGATGTGTAACTGAGCCAGTGGGAAGTGTATTCAACCACTATACCCGTGTTCGCGCAAATCTTGCCGCCTTTGACGATGAGAGTGGTGCGGACCCATGGTCCGAAGCAAATGCGGATGATGGTATTTGCTATTTATATTTTTATCAGTCAGAGAGGATGCTAATGAGCTCAGCACACTCTGGCGTGTCGTCTGCACACTTACATCCTCACCCCCAGCGTGCCCTCCCACATCAATTACCACTCCAACCGCGACAACCAGTCTCGTTATTTGAGAAGAGCAATGTACTGGTAATGTATGCAGAAAACATTCATATGGAAGTATGCCCTGCTCAGAAATATCGTTTACTACAGAGGACCAACAGGCTCAGGGAAGACTTTACTCGCGCGTACCCTTGCACGCGTCCTTGACGTTCCATTTTCCGTCAGTGACGCGACATCTTTCACGCAGGTGCGATAACTTCTACTATCCTTACAAGCTTTTCACCCCTTACTATGTCCAACCAGGCTGGCTGTGAGTCCGACTGACTGCCTCGCTTGAAGGTCAGCTGATGTTTTTCCAGATGTCGGGGAGGATGTTGATATGTGCATACAACGATTGGTGAGCGCATATAAGCTGAAGACGTGTGGACAGTCTCATTCCGTACTACCTAGCTGCAAGCAGCCAATTGGGATTCGTATCGCGCCAGGTAATTCTCACCTTCACCCTCTTCATAACTTTTGTTACTGGTTTCAGCTTTTCTCGTCGCTGTTTATTCTACTTTCTTATATCACTTACAGCACAGGCATAGTCTACATTGACGAAGTCGATAAGATTGCACGTAAATCTTCATCTACGACTGAGAGCTCACGAGATGTCGGTGGAGAGGGAGTGCAGCAAGCTCTTTTACGAATGATGGAGGGTTCTGTTGTCACTGTGCAAGGAAAGCCATCGTCACTAGAACCCCCAGCACCTACGGCACGAGGGCGGGGCTCACCAGCTACTGCACAGCGTAAGTCTCATCGGAACATATGGTTGCGTGAAGAGTGCTGATACGTCAGCCAGAGAGACCTGATACCTATCATATTGATACTTCAAATGTGCTCTTTATCCTTAGCGGTGCGTTCGTGGGGCTTGATACCGTCGTGAAGCGGCGGGTGAGCAAAGGTGTATGTTTCTCATTCTCTATCCAATACCTTACCCGGCTCTTATTGATTGACACTCCCGTAAATGCAGTCCATTGGTTTTACTGCAAACCTCGCACCGAAAGAGGAAGACTCCGACAGCAAGGGTTTCTTGCCGTTCTTTACGTCGAACCGCCGATCATCAGAAAACTTACTAGAGATGATTGAACCTGCTGGTAAGTCATGTTTTATTAAAATACCCCTCCCACACCTCAAACCTGCATCCAGATCTGGTGAAATACGGGTAACTCCCTTGTCGCATGCTGTGTCAAAATTTCGAATTCATTTTTCCTGCATAGCTTTATTCCTGAATTTATCTCTCGCCTCCCAACCTTAACTACACTATCCCCGCTCAGCACCCAGGATTTACGCCGCATTCTGACCGACGTCCGTGGGTCACTTATTAGCCAGTACACCGCACTGTTTGGTCTCTCGGGCGTGGAGATTCGGTTTACAACAGCATCTATTGATCAAATTTGTTCGCGAGCTGTCGAACGAGGCGGAGGGGCGAGAGGGTTGAGGGGAATCATGGTAGCTTTTGTTTATCCGGAAAGTTCATCGGCGTGCTCATTAAATACTGCAGGAGTCATTGCTGTTAGATGCGATGTACGAAGTCCCGTGAGTTCTCAATCCTCTTACTGTTGTATATATTTGTTGATTGTTTTCTGGCATCTCACCAGTGGATCGGTGTGATATTTCTTCTCCTGACCGCTACTCACGCTAATGGTGTCTAAGAATGTCCGTTATGTCCTGATAACGGGAGACATGGTGCTAGGCAAGTCACCAGCTCTTTATTGGATGCGTGGGGATGGTCCCGCGTTTTGGGCGGCCTGGGCGGATGAGGAGCAGCGAACAGAAAGGCGTCAGTTGTAGGTGTGTATATCTGACGCAGCAGATTTGAAAATCTGCTTACTCGATAATGTGGCGAGAGGTGCATCTCTCTTGGAATGTATTATCGTGCATGTATCGCGGGTCACAGGATTCATCCGAGACTCTTCAGAGCGTTCGTCTTTCTCGATTTGGACGGGATGAACGCAGATACGGTCACGAGACCGCGTGAACGCGACCAGGTGAAGATGAAGTTCATTCCCACTGAGATGAAGGTGGGGAACTGTCTCCTGTCATGACGCATCTCTTTTTCCAGTACATGTCGGATGAATTTCGTAAGGCAGGGTAGGTAAGTGATCTACATTACTTGATCAAATGAAACGGCAGCGAGCGGTGGTGTCGCGGGGGCACTCATGAAAGCAAATCGACGGATAGACGTCACAACAAGAAAGAGGCTTTAAGGAGAGACGAAGGGATCGTTTCATCCAGTACATCATTATTCCTTCTCTTCTGGCGATTCCGCTTTTTTCTCTTCCTCTTCCTCTTTTCCATCTTCTTCCTCTTCCTCCTCTGTTTCGGGCGCAGACTTCTCGTCAAGAGAGGCGCCGCTGTTTATCTTCTGTGTCAACTCAAATTGACGCTTGAATTCATTTGCATTATCAGAGTTTGCGAAGCGGATGGCCAGGGTTTCGGCGGTCGGCGGTTCTTCAGTGTAGTCAGCAGCAACCTTCCAAACCCAGCTCCTGTCAGAGCCAATATTAGGCTGAAGGCGCATTTCTGCGGAGACTGCATTTCTCTCGATATAAGCAGAACCAAAGAGACTAAACATCAAACTAACCGTGGTGGTTGGCGCAAACTTTGAGGGTCTTGTCGCGTCTCATTACGAGACGGACCTTCTTCGTCTCCTTGTGCTGGAGAAGTTTCACGTCGCCAGTACCGCGTTCTTTCCACTCGTTTAAGCCATTATCGAAGCGGAAGAGCTTTGCTCGCCTACAATAGGGTTAAACGATGGTAGTCAGTGGGTCAAGGGGTACGAGAACGCACATCTTGAAGAGCACATCCTCGTCTTCCTCGTAGGTCTTTACCTCCACTTGTTCCGTAAGCTTGATAACAGGCTCAAAATGAGGATCAATCTCTTCGCCCTCTGGCTGATTACATCACGCCACAACACCACAGCTCGTCAGTTGTTAATCATGCTAGACTGGTCTCGTGCAAGAGACTCACCTTTGGTGCGAGTGGATCAGAAGTATCTGCCATTGTAATTAGTTCGTAGTGCCTCTAGGGGAATCTGGTTTTGAGTAGACAGAATGACTGAGACTGAGATTACGATTACGAGCAAGATCACAAAGAACACTCAACTTTGCAAAGACTGATTCGATTTCTTATCGGGACCCCGAAGACTCCTATGATCAGCAGGTCCCCGGGAGCCTTGTTAGCTTCCCAATTTGGACAGAGTTTTCTCGACAACACGCACCTTCTGCCACTCAAATTCGCCGTACAACTTTCAAAATGACAGTCCTTCTGTCGTGGCGACATGCGCCATGGCTCGTCCTCTCGATGCTGTCTCTAATTTCCTTTGCTTCTGCACACATGATTGAAGTTACAGCTTCCAGAAAAGAGTGCTTCTTCGAGGACCTACACGAACATGACCAAATGACAGTTACATACCAGGTCGGAGAGGGTGGACACCTCGACATTGACTTTTGGGTATGCCTATCATATAAATGCTTTGTTATCCTCGACAGCGGCCTTACTGATGCCCTGCGTGTAGCTAACGGATCCAGAAAACAATGTCCTCACTAAACACATTCGTGAAAGCACCGGCACGACATCCATAACAGCTGAAAAGGATGGCCGATACGAGTACTGCTTCTCTAACCAGATGAGCACGGTGGCGGACAAGATGGTTAGGTATGGCTTTCTATCCCCGCGGCTTCCCAGCATCTATACTTATGGGGTGTGCTTAGCTTTAACGTTCATGGTATCATATACGTGTCAGAGGAAGGTGAGTGTGCCTACCTTCAGCCGTGCTTGCCAGACTGTTGACTTTTCTTTTTCTCTCACAGCAGATATCACTGCTCCCGTTGAGCGCGAGATCCGCTCTCTAGCTATAGGTCTCACATCTGTCAAGGACGAACAAGAATATATTGTCGTCCGCGAGCGTAGGCATCGGGACACGGCAGAAAGCACCTGCGACCGTGTGAAGTGGTGGTCTGTGCTCCAAGCGCTTGTATTGTTCGCGGTAGTCGCGTGGCAGGTGTATTACCTTAAGGTGTGTTGTAACTCCCCGTTTGCTGGCTCCCGTAAACTGATTTATGACTATAGAGCTTCTTTGAAGTAAAACGCGTTATATAGTGCATGGACCAGGGAATATCATATATTCGCTTCTACCACTTCAGGATGTGTCTCAAAGTCATGACACTCATACCCAAGAAAGGATCGCACGTAACTAACCGTTCAGTGCACAACGGTTTTCATCGCCGTCAGAAAGATATAAGCATCCCGTGATAGCGGACAACACATTCTGCAACTCTCAAGTTGAGTAAAATAGCCATCGTAGAGCTGTCAGTGATGTAGCCGGCAAGAAACTTGACATGATCCACTGTCCAGTCTATCTTTCCCTCTCGGAGCGGTGAGCTTATAAACAAGGGACACCTGCCAGACAGGCATATCAGTGTCCTCGAGCAGCAGTCCCAAACTATCAATTATGGCGTACGTTAGGCATCCCTCTAGGTAACAAGAAATTTTTGTATCATATGATCTGTAACATGAGGCTTCCTGTGGTTGCGGAACTCATACTGGCACCTAGCAGTACCACGGTATAGTTGACCATCGTCGTGCACGTAAATTATCATATGCATAATTCTCGACTACTCGAAAAATATCTCGATGACTTGCTGTACAGGAAAACTTCGATTATACAAACAACAGAGTAGCAGGTATACATAGATCAATGTAAGGTAACATGATGGCCGGTAGCATGCAGGGAGGATATGTGCAAGTGCAGTATGGACCCTCCAACAAATACGAGGAATAGGACAACTCGGGGTATAGCGAGACATAGCAAGTATAGTAGGAATAGGCGATTCGTCATATTCGTCATGATAGCACAAGGAGTGATACTGTGTAAGACACAAGTAAAAGTACAGGGGAGGCATCGCCTCTCCATCTAATGAACAGAAAAAAAATGTAGGTTACTCATCTCCACGTAGGCTTTGAAGATACTCTCATGCTCGAATCAGGCAGAATACTCAGGTCCACGCTGATATGAGCACTCGTATCGCTGCTGGGTACTGGGAGGGTTGCTATCACGTTGGGTCCCTTCACCCGCAAGGACCTCGATGCATTGGCAAGAAGTGAAAGTCTCTTTGGCTTCTTCGTAGGTGAACGTCCAATCGTTTCTACACGTCTCGGCCCATTCGTGGACTCGTGCAACGGAGCGTCTTCGGATGGCTGGAGGATCATGCTAGATCGTCTCCTTGCCTTCTCGCTGCGCATAGGACCAATGTTCGAACGCCGTCGGGAGCTTTTGGACTGTGTTGTTGTACGAGAGGTTGACGTAGGAAGGCGTGGCGTTGGGCTACTAGTAGCATCACGGTCCTTGTATTTCGGAATGTGTAGAGATTCTATATCTTGACTATTCATGCTGCGGTTCGAGAGTGGTGGTGCACGCCGCATCGGTGAGTCTTCGTCCGCCTCCTGAAGACAGCCAAGGGAAGATGCGCCTTTCAGTTTGAGAAAGCTCGGGTCTAGGCGACTTGCTCGTGGGCGCTTGCTTGTGCTCGAGTGAAGGTTCATGGAAGAACTGAACCTTGCCGATGATGAAGAGGATGTTGCGGGAAGCATGACGTTACTCAGGTTGAGACTGTCTTCTGTCCGCTCGTCTTCCCACTTCGCTCTCGGACCCAGCAACAGAATGACAGCGTCCATTAACACTTTCGCTGCTATCGCTGGACGTAACGAGAATAACTGGAGGGGATGGGGCATTTCCCCTATCATCCAGTGCACCTTGTCCAGCTTCATCTTTCCATTGGACGACCTTCTTCTCTTTCTCCTTGTCGGAGACGCGGCGATAGGGTTGACCGATACTGGAACGCAGGGAGCGTCGTGGTGACTTGTACGTCCGCCGTGAAGGTGAAGCGATAGCATTGTAAGACATGGACTTTCTGGAAGCTTTGACAGCCTGCGGTAGTGCCGAACCTGATGGTACGCGGAATGTATCGAGAACACCCGTCCCATGAGCCGCATATGCTGCCGTAGTTTGTCCTACCAGGGCTGCAAATGCATCGTCATTCTTCTGCGCCGCACCGCGAAGTGCAGATGCCATTCCTTCGAAACCATGCTGTGCTTCTAGAGAACGAGCTGTCTCTCCCAGTACAACTGTGCACCGACCGACCATACCCAGGAGGCTGATGATCATCTCCGATTGAGCGCGCACCGACTCCCGGACTGCATCACGTTCTCTTTCGGCTCGTATGCGTTCAATCTCTGCCTTGCGGCAGCGTGCGTCTGTCTTGATGCAGTCGACGTGCAGCTCCTCTAGTTTATCGGACCGTCGCTCGGAGACTGCGCGCAAGGTCGCCTCAAACATGTTACGGGAGTTTTGGGACCGTGTGAGACGAGTTACGAGGGGAGAATCGGGGGTTGTTACGGATTCCTCAAGGCGAGCGAGAGATTTGAGAAGGGCACGCTCCGCTTCGAGGTCTGAAGAAAGTGGGAGAGACGATGGGGCCATTGCATCAATCTGCGCAAGCCGAGAGCGGATGATGGAAAGTTTCATCTCTGCTACCGAAATCTTTCCAGCACACGACGCGCCCTCAATTATGCTCGTCTGAGTCTGCTCCATCTTATCTTGCATATCTCGTTTAGAACGGTCAACTTCAGCAGCAGCCTCTGCTCGCTTGCGCTTGATAATGTCGTTCTCAGCGCCGAGCTTGCCAGCAAGCTTGGCTTTGAGCTCGGCAACTTCGAGGTTGAGTCTATTGATAGCCTCGACGTATTGACCTACGTGCCTGTCGACGTTGACGACATTACGAGTGACAACCTTGGTCTTGATTTTCGTAGCACGTTCGGCATAAAGGAGGGTGTTGTGCGTATCATCGAAATGTTGTGATGTAGGGGCAACACAAACGACCATGACGGTCTTACAGTTTCCACCAAGTGAGAACTTTAGCAGTCGAGTAAGTTTGCTGTTGCGATAAGGCACATGACGAATAGCGCCACCGCTCTCACAGAGCGCGTTAATGCAGTTGCCGAGCGCAAGAAGTGACTTGTTGATGTTAGCACCTTCAACCATGCGCTGTCCCATATTGCTTGTCGCTGCAGCACGCTCACTACCAGCAAGATCAATAATGGAGAGTGTCGCCATGGTGCATTGCTCAGTAAGAGAAGCCGTGCGAGGCGCTTGAGTGACGTGCACCTGAAGGACTGCGTGCGATCGGGACGATGTCTCATTCGCATGGGTTGGGGACTGTGTCCTCCGCAAGTTACCCTGGAGAACAATCTGTTTGACTTCCTCTGCGCTCGTGGGACGGAGCTCGACGAGGCCCACGACCTTGACAGATTTGTCTTCGCGGATTTGCAGACCGCCACGCGGAGTGGGCATACCAGGCTCGGAGAGTAGATCTCGAATCTCTTCATTATAGATTTCGAGAAAAGTAGCAATAACTTCTATGTTCCAGTCATCCTTTCGATCCTCGATGCGTTGGAAAAGGTCCGCCATTGTGAGGTAGATGATACCAGGATCTCCTTCAGTCCCGCTGATGGTATGTGTTTTACCGCACCCTGTTGCCTATGGAGCATCGTCAAAAGCTACCCGACAGCCTTCAAGGAAATACGCATACCCCATAGGCAAATACGGTAGCATTGTAGCCGTCCAAAAGACCATTTAATAGTGGCTTTGCGGTGGCTTCATAGACGTCACCCTGTCTCGCCCCACTATCGAATACTCGATCAAACATGAATCTCTTGTCTTTGTATCTCTTGGTCCCAGGGGGCACGAATCCGCGCTCGACAAACGCGCGGGTCTTATCTCTCTCCTCTGGGTCAAATGTGAGAATGCGATCATCGACGATTTGCACGATGTCACGAAGGGGTGCTGACTGAGTTACAGGTCTTCCTGGTGTTGCAAGGGTACCGTCACCACGAATTGTAGTATCATAAGAGGGTTCTGGGAGACGCGCAGCTTCCCATGTTGTGGGAGGTCTGACACGGACTGGGTGGTATTAGATTATGACAAGTACATTATCAAAGAAGCTCACCCGCAACAGTGATGGAGCCAGCGGCAACCATGGCTTGATTAAGGACTGTCAGACTGTATGGAAATAAATTGAGCGGTTGTCACTGTGTACGGTCGCGATGAAAGATGTTAGCTCGACGCAGCGAGCAATTATGAAGGGAGTATAGATGCAAGAGTTTGCCGGATGCCTCGTTTCGTTCAAAAATCAACCTGACGCGTCCAACAGTATGCTCACGTGATCGTTCGCCTCGAGGACTCGGACCATAGTAGACTCAAGTCTCTGGAGTCCAGAGCACCTCATGAGGGCAGTGAAACAACTCTGAAACAAATTTATATTTTTTACATATGTGGTTACGAATCTAATGGTGTAGAAGTAAATGATATTGGCACACAAAATCTCAAGTACTGTTGAGATCCTCTTCAGCTATGTTCGTATGTCGAATTGTTAACTTTGAGCGGACTTTAATTACAATTGCAATGAGATTGATCATGTACAAAAAATGCAAACCTGTATCGCTATTTCACCCCACACACCCAATTGGCTGTCGTGATACCATTGCTAGTCGGATTGTCGGCTGTGATACCAAGAATCTGCGAGAACACGGGCTGTATATAGTACATTAACGTGTGGCATAGGATGGCATAATATTTACATGCCAAATACACACTGCACATGTTCCGGGACGTTCTGTAGCTCAGAATAAAACACCAGCTCAGCTTGCTCTCAGGCATTTCCGGCTCGGTGCTCCATCGATATTAATGAACACGGAGCTCCATTTGTTTGCCAAGTCTCCGTAGCACCTACTAATAATCAAGGATGGGTTGGGAAGAACTTGCTAGAAGACCACGGCCTTCATATCTGCAGCACTCCCGTGTGTAACCGAGGCTTCTGACACAGCTGTGGTATTTCGTTTGTGACATCGTAGCGCACTGGATGGTCAATAGTTAAATTCTGTGACAAGGCTGCACTCAGAAGCACATCGCTTCTATGTCATTAGCCACTGGTACTGCGTCTTTGAACGGCGTCCCAGAAAGCTGTAACGACTTGTCGCACTGCGAAGGGAAATCTACCAAGTAGATCAGCAGTGTTGTCTACAGCACTCACGAAGTCGTTCGACGAGCTAACATTGTACATTCAACAACTTCTCTAGACACGAGGGTACTGGTTTGCATTAATGACATCATGCACGCGTCCGGTGCGTGGGATCGCGTGGAGAAACCTCAGGGGGAGGGATTAGCGAAACCAGCTTCATTCATGGGCATGAATAGGCGAGATGCTGCCTTGCCAAGCTCCTTCCCAACCTGGCTTTGATCCGAATAGGTAGAACAAGAGACGCCTTTGATGATGGCCATTGTTGTTGATCAGGATTGATAAAGCACCCACGAGGCACCTCGAGGCACATTGGAGCATGCCTAAAGGGTTGTCCGTCGAAAGAATGCCCAGAAAGTGGCAGTACCTCCGACCGGCAGTGCAAGCTGTGACAAGGCTGAAAGCGCCCACAGGTGAAGAGCAGTGTTCGATCTTTATGGGCAGCAGTCCACTGTGGTCATGAATGATCTCCAAGTTAATGAAATAGCCGCCATGGATGGTTTTACCGTCTTCGTACGCGTGTCGGCCGGCTAGAGCTGTAAAAGCTGTAGAGGAATGGTCCGAATATCGATGGAGTCAGAAGCGCAGCGGAAGAAATTTACCAACGTGACTTGAGCTACTGCCCTGCACAAGCCCTGCCACGAAAGGACCAATAAAAGACACCAGCCAGTGACCAATGCTCTCCGCACAACAATATTCTCCTCGTCATAAATTTAGGCTCTCGTCGTGTGACCAGATCAAGGATCCTTGTTAAAAGAAAACGCGGGTGATAACAACTCTTTGATACTGTCACATTCGTTATCGTAATGATGGTAGCGTTCGCCGGAACCGATCTGCCTGCTTCAGGTCAGTTCATGATCCCTAGTAACTCGCTTGACCCTGTAGTGACTGAATTAGATCAAGCTAAAGCTCTGCGGTCACCGTTGCAGTCAGCTCCCACCGGAGATACCGAGGCGATTCTATCTTATTACAAGTCTGCTGCGGTCAATGGAGCAATGTCGGACACCAGCAGTCTATTAACTCCCAGTTCAGGTCCTTCATCCACCTTTGTTTCCCCAGTTGCTTTTCATTCTCGTTCGATCTCGTCGACGTCTATTACTACCCAATCTTCTTCTTCCGCTTACTCCTCTGAGTCATCGAAGGCGCGTGCAACTGCCCCAAGCGCGTACAAACCTCCTCAGACACGGCCTGCCTCCCCACTTAATTTGAACGGACCAGCACGCCGCCAAATCATACCATCCGAAGGTAGCGCAGACAGACGACGCATTGCTATCGTTGAAATGAGCACACATGTTGACGAGTACCCGAAGAGTGATCCCTACGCGAGCACTTCTCCTTCGAGCGACTTATATCCCCGACGAGGCCGTGAGACACAACTAAGTGGTCTCGCACTTGTTGCACCACCAGACGCGTCGCCACGAACGCTTGGTTTTACCCATCCACTCACTTCACCTGTTCAGTCCCCGTCTATTCAATCACAACCCTCTCCGAACACCGCACCCTCTCACATACGTTCATCGCCAGAGACGGTCAGAGTCCCTGGACGAGTAACGGGGCACTCTCGGAAGTCGTCGCGCGAGGTGGCTGTAGTAGGCACAACATCTCTTTCAACCAAACCATCAGACCAGGGCTACCCGTCCCTTGTCACAGAAACACTCAAACCACCCCTATTCCAAACGCCCCAATCCCGTTCACCTTCCCCTGGGACACCTGAGACATCTGATTCAGGAAGCTCCACTGCGCCTCCCAAGAGCAGACTGAGGAAAGACGCGCTCTTCCCTAGTGTCAGCCCAATTAAGGAGTTGAAAGAAGCTCTGTCTCCCCCAGCAAGCCCCATACCCACTCCTGTGGTGACGCCACCCATAGGAGAGAGCAAGGGTATTGGCGATTGTGTGGCTGGTCCTGTCATCGCCAATATCTTCCCCAAATCGCCCGCACCTGTTAATGGGAAGCACATTATGAGCCTATCCCCCAAGACATCTACAGCCACACCTACTACTCCTTACTTGCACTATCAGCCTGGCCTGCATGCAAAGGCAGGACCGCTACCCCCTCCCCCAATGTCTGTCTTTAGTATTGATCCCAGTGCACCGCCACCACCTAGGCCACCTCGACATCAGCCACTGAAGAAGAAAGGTGATATGGATGCTGTGAAGCAAGCACTGGCTCTGCCTCCTTCTGTCGCAGCTGCACTCAAATCGCGAATACTTCTCGCGGAGGCCAAGGAAGAGCGTGGAGTGACTACCAGTGCCAATTCCCCACCTTCAGAAGCAGTGAAGGAGCTTGCTCCGACTTTGGGTACCAGCCCTTTGGGGCTGGATGCCTTGCACCCAGTAACCTCCGAACCCCAGTCAGAGGAGCCAAAGTCTCAGTGTGTCCTTTGATTTTGTGCTCCTGTCCCGTATTAAATGACCCTCCTACAGGCTCAATGCTTCAGACCAGAGGAAGGAGTCGGAACTTCCCCAGACGCCAGCTCATATTCGCGAAGGCGCCTTCCCTCCCTCATGCGTTTGCACCACAGACTCGAACTCAAACCTTACTGTATCCCCAGATCAAACAATCGTCCCTCTTCCCCGGCATGAGTCTATGGATGACCTTGTTGCTACAGTAGGACACGCAATCGATGACATGGGTATAATCCGTTCATCTGACGTTCCTCCCCCGACTATTCTCGAGCCCTTACGGCATAACGAGAATCGGGGCGACCGATCTGGTCTCGATATTCGACGCATCTCCTTAACGCCCACGCCACCACTACCACTAGATGACGATGATAGTGTTGAGAATGAGAGTAGACCTAAAGTTCTTCCGCCCCTGCCGGCGAAGAACGAGCCTCAGCCTTCAGACTTACGAATTAAAAGTGCGCTTAGTATCAAGCGGTTTTCGTCTCTTCCGCGCACGCCCTCGTCGATATCACTCGTCCAGCCTTCCACGGAAAGAAAAAGATCTTCAAGGACGCCGTCGCCATCGTTCGTGGACCATTCAGTGCCAAAAACATTGCCTCCAGTTCAGAAGGTCAAGTCTGCGTGGCCGCCAGCTATGCATTTTGCAGATGTGGTTGTGAAGAAAAATGCTCTCGATCGGTCGGCGGGATATGCGCAGAAGATTAATGAACTTTATATGTACGATTGTGGATTAGGCGACTGGATTGTGGAGACAAGATATAAAGGTGAGTGTCACATTGGCCCCCATGCACACATGCGTTTACAGCATGATTAGCTGCAAATCCCCAAAAGCGCGCCCCCGCGAACACGAGTGCTCGTGTTCCATCGACACATTCTCCCCGTACCCAAACTCGTAATATCTCAGAGTCCTCCACTGGCTCCGAAGTTACTTTTCCTAGGCGTCCAGACGCATACTTGGCTACAGATTTGTCGACACCTCCCTCTGGTGACTCCAGTCCCCCCAATGCACCTCCTTCGCTTCCATACCCAGCACTTGCTTCAGCGCCACGCAACGGGTCAAATAGGGCATCCACTATAATTGCCAGCTCATCTTCGTCTTCTGGTCGCTCGCTAACTTCTTCTACCTCATTAAACAAATCCCCAGGAAGCTTTTTTGCGTCTTTGGGACGGAAAACGAGTCTTAAGAAAGATAAGGGTGTAGCATTGATAGCTCCAGTAATTGGGAGGGCGCTGTCTAAAAGTCCACCACGACAGGAACCGAATCCACGACCAGTGACTATTCCGAACTCCCCATCCGTGCCAGGGGGTCCACGCGCGCCCCCTAATCGTATGCAAAGGTCCCAAACCATAGTCCTTTCTCCTCAGTCCCCGTCAAATGGCTTGGGCCACCACCGATCGAGCACAGTTGTTATACAACGACCTTCGCAACTCAGTGGCCGCCACACATTTTCTGATCGCGGATCACCCACTGACCCAGATGAATTCGCACGTCAGGTGGACAAACTTGCTGCTCTGCTCCCGAAGGCCGATAAAACTGTCCTTGGAGGGTATCTTCGTAGGGCAGGCCAAGATATCCTTGCTATTGGGCAATATCTCGAAGACGAGAAGAATGGAACTCTACGTTATGACTAGTCCGCCCTCTCGTTATGTTTGATCTGACGGTGCTCATTTATGCTTTGCTGTTTTCACTCGCACATTTTATACCCTCGTGCAATATGGTGCTCCGGTTCGTCTATATGATACATGTATTATTTGTTGTTTTCATGACTATACACTACTGCCGGAATCGGAATAGAATGTTACTGTGCTGAGATTTACCTTGTAGGTCTGAATCCATGTTTAACGGTCTGGTTGCTACTGAACTCTGCGAGATCAGTGTGTTAGGGCGGCTAGAACTCTGACGGCAGTCAACTCACGATGCTGCTGGGCAGGGCGAGGTCTAACAGATGAACTTGTCCCGCCCCAACCGGACCCGCCCGAACCACCAGATGGCGGAGGAACTTTTGAACGGTTGAAGTGTGGGAGGAGCATGTTTTCAACCTCGTTGGCGCTGTCGGAACGTTCCGACATGGAGTTTGTTCTATATGAAGGATCGTTGTTGCTGACAGTAAAAGGTCGTCGCTGCACGTTGGTGCGCTGCTGAGGACGAGCAGCCTGTGGCCAAGCGGCGCTTTGATGAGAGCCGAAAGGGCCGGCCATGGTGCGATTAACCAACGGAGTTCTTTGTATCTGAGGCTGTATTAGGGAATGTCAATTTGGCAAGTGCGGATCCTGTACCCCATTCACGTCCATTCCGCCGATCACTGCACCAATGTCCACACCAGCTCTACCTTTGTTATGGTCGTCTTGAGAAGATCGATCAAACATGTTCACACCGCCGACACCCTGCCCAGGCGGGGCTGCGCTTGGAGCAAGTAACGACTTCCGCTTTGCTTTGTCGTATTGGGCCTGGCGCAACTGTGAGTAGGTCAACCCTCCAGGTAATTGTCCGAGCGACCTTGAGTTTTTGATACTCCTTCTCGCGTTCTCTGGAACAATCTTGTAGTTCGTGAACCTTTCGCCGTTCCAGTTCCATGTCGCGTTCCAACTCTGAGATAATTGAAGCCTATGCTATTCCGTGAGTGGGGCAGTTCACTGTACCTGCGACCTTGTTGCTCAGAAGATTGATTTCCCCATTCGCTAGAAGCTGTGAGTGAAGGTAGTCTAACGCAAGAGGAGCATCACCTTCTCTGATGACATTGTCTAGCTGCTTCTGTAACTGTGCTTGCTTGTCATTGAGGTTGCGGATGACCGCTTGCTGGAATGAACTAATATACTGATACAATACCCCTACTCCACGAGCAGCATAGCACGTACTTCTCTTGGTGTACTTGATACTGCCAGAATGATAGAGCCCTCCACCAGATATGATATGTTAGATGATCGAGGAACTGAGTGGGCTCGCGAGAAACACAACGCGCACCGGCTGCAGATTTCCATGATCAAGGACGGGCTGAGACCCGAAAGCACAGACTACTGACACTAAGCTTGGGTCCGATGAAGAATCTTGTGCATATATTCACCGTTTTGTAGTCATTAGTGGGATGTAATGAGCACACCTAGAAACAATCAGAATTCTGAACCGGAACGCAGTGTGTCAAGTGACTCACAACCACGTCATCCCTTAATGACATTACAGTAGATGAATTCGCCTCGAATTACAGTATCGACGAGTGACTTACGGCTCGGTCAGTGATGTTTCACAAGCTAGGACGTCGATCAGAATGCAGTCTGAAAAAAAAATACGAAAAAATACCGGGACATAACCGCGAGGCATTGAACAATTCGTTCGCACAGTCAACTAGTGGGACCGCAAGAGTCATTCCCAGTCAGTGAACCCTTCGCGCTTGTTCGTTCGGCCTTCATCAGATCTTACCGCAGAATATATGCGAGCCTAGCGCAGAATGGTTATTCACAAACCACTAATCACGCCTGACTACTTACATGTTGTCTGGAAGAATCGTTGTGGGCAGAGCAAAATCAGAACAGGAAAGTGATGGGCTTACCACCACCGCCTTGTCGATGAGAGTCTTGCGACATGTAAGCCGGTTACATCGTAGCTCTGCATCCATTCTCGTAGTACGAGTAGAGTATCGTTGTTCGAATATACAAGCTTCAGGCCTTCGGGTTTACAGGAAGTTTTGTACGAGTTTGAGTCACGGTGGACAACTTGAACTCGAAGGCAAGGGGTTGTGCTGCTTTTGATTTAAAATTGTTCATAAAAGGAAACTACTGTAGTTCATCGGAGTCCGGTAGCAATCATGCTATACGTACGTAACCCAGAGCAGCGATATGCCTTAACAATAAAACGAGTACATAGCAAGAAAAATGAAGCGACTGGTAGTGTCAGCAATTGTGTTGGATCCACATGAAACATTGTCTAATTAAGAGCACACGAGGGAGGTATCGGGAGTAGAGTCGGTCCAATAATATGCGAGTAGAAGAAATTGTAGGTTATCATGGCCTCCATAGATTATGCCGAGCTGGGGTATTAGGAATGCTTGTTCGAGGTCGATGTGGTTTCGATGGCGTTACTGGGCGCATTGCATCAGGATTCGCTCGCCTCAGAAACTGAAGCGGAGCTAAGGGAGAACCTGATGATGGCGTGGACTTCACTGAATGTGGACTATGTGCTCCTGGAGTCGAGATGGTGAAGGAAGGAAGGAAAGGACCTCTAGGTTCGGGGGTGAGAGGGGGAGGAGTAGTTACAATTTCAGGCGCTTCGAGCAAAGTCGCGGAACTAATCCACTTTTCTTCTCGAGATCCAAAGCGGGGAGAGCCGAATTTAGGAGGAGACTCTGGAGGTATAATACGAAAAATATCTGCGAAGTGATCCTTGATAAACCTATACATCATGTTAGTGAATAATCAGGCCAAGTCTCTCCGCGTGCTTACTTTGATAATTCTTGCCAACCACCACCAACACGCACCATAACGGTCTGCGAGCGCAATATGCGACAAAAGCACAGCTTTGGCTCTTGATCACCAATCCAATACTTCCCGCTTTGATCCTTCCAAGTGTCGGCGACTACCTCGATATTGATGTTAACTGGTAATTTGTTGACGACATCTCCAACCGCGACGTCCAACTTGTTCTTGGGATTAGCAACGTAGGTTTTCCGCGTTTGTGACTGCGTTTTCTTCGGGGGTGTCTGGACTTTGTTTGACGCAGGGAATGACTGCCGCGGTGCGCGGGCCCACGTGGACATGGATGAAGACGACCTTGAGTGACTTACGGTGGATCGCGCAACGACGGAAACTTCCGAAGGTGTGGGGGAGGCCCTCGAACGTGTCTGCGCCCGGGGACGGGTAGGGACGGGAGGCTGCTTCGCCGGTGTGCTGGGAGGTGCATTACCAGATAGACTAGTAGTACGCTGACGAGATGCAAAAGTTGAACCGTGCAGAGAAGATGATGATAAAGGGGTTCCCATCGGCCCTGATACTGATCTTGAGATGCTAGCGGTAGATAGCATAGAAAGTTTGCTGGATGGCCGAGGTCGGGTTTGCAAATCGCCAGACGCTACTCGGCGGGGGCTTGGATGGGCTGGGGCTAGGAAGCGCCCATTGGCAGATCCTCTTACTGAGAGATTGGAATAACCACTAGCCTTCCTGGTGTGACCAGTCGCTCCAGAGCTAATACCAGATGCACTGCTATTCCTACCAGAGCTGAGGACACTAGCAGGACGGGATTTCTTGCCGCAGATCCTATCGTTGGCCATTTCTTCCAATTCGACCCATGTCTGCTGAACGCGTCGATGTTCAGAACTAGCGCGGGCATCACCCTTGACTGATTCTATGTATGCCGCTACTTGACCAACAGTGCGCTTCGTGAACCCAAGGCGAGCTCCGAGTTGTTCTTCTGGGGGTAAACGAGAAGTTGAGACATGCGTGCTAGAAAGTGGTCCAGCAGGAGGAGAAGGGTAACTGTCAATGTGCTCAAGCAGATCACTGAGAGCCATATCGCAACGATGAGCGACGTCAGATAAGTCGGCCAATTGTCGAATTCGCTGCATCAACTCGGTAGATGCTTCGACTTCCGAATTTACCGATCGCAACTCCATATCTGCAGCAGGGGATGTCGTCGAAGAAGGCAGTGCAGCAAGTTCGGACAATTCAGAGACTATGGTCGCAAAGCGAGCATTCATCTTCCCGTATTGCTCCAGAGTTGGTAGATGATTGGAAGAATTCGAGTTAGCTGCGGGACGTGCGACCTCGTTGATGCCAATAGAACGAAGACGTTTCCTCAACGAGACGACCTTATCCAGCAGGTCACTTCTCTGGTGGGTTTTCGTCGGTGACGGAGAAGGAGCAATACGCAACCCAAATACATCTATTGCGAATGGTTAGAACTCATCAGCAAACATCAAAGCTGACCCGCTCACCTTCAAATGGTTGCGATTCATCTCCTCCCTGTAGGTCTCGCCCGAACTTGGCACGTTCGGTTTCCTGTAGCTGAATGCCCGCCTTTCTTTGAGCCTCAGCTTCAAGACGTTCGCGTTCTCGCGCCTGACGCTCCATCTCGGCCTGCTGTCGTTCGGCCTCCAAACGCTCTTCCTGTGCCTGTTGTTCATGTAGCTCCTTCTCAATCCTTAGCCTCTCTGCCTTTTTTCGCTCTTCCTCTCCTCTTGCTCTTGCCTCCGCCTCTCTGCGTTCTTCCTCTTCTCTTGCTCTCGCCTCTGCCTCTCTGCATTCTTCCTTTTCTCTTGCTCTTGCCTCTGCCTCTCTGCGTTCTCGCTCTTCTTTGGCCTTCGCCTCCGCCTCTCTGCGTTCTTGCTCTTCTTTGGCCTTCGCCTTCGCCTCTCTGCGTTCTTGCTCTTCTTTGGCCTTCGCCTCCGCCTCTCTGCGTTCTTGCTCTTCTTTGGCTGTTGCCTCTGCCTCCTTGCGTTTGAGTTCAAGTTCAGTCCAATGCCTTCTCTCTTCCGCCTCTCGTTCCTCCTTGAGTTTAGCCGCCTCAACACGTTGTGCCTCTGTGGTGAGCGCAGCCGACAGCTTGTCCCGAAGCGTAACTGCATTATCGACCCAGGCATTCAATTTGACTTCAAGGTTATCCACCTCCTTTCTTCGTGACATGATGAGAGTCTCGTAGATACGCTGATCATGCGAACAAGGTATGGACTCCATTTGGCGCAAGGATTCACGGATCAAGGAGAGGCGGCGCGATAAGCGAGAACGATGTTGCGATGAATGTCTGTCAAGCTTCTCTGATAGATCTTGCAGCGGAGTAAGTTTCTCATCTGCTCGAGAGATAGAGTCCAGTAGTGCTCTTAGTGAGTTAAGCTCTTCAGTGACACCACGCAGGTCATCAGCCACCGAGGTCAATTCAGAATCAGCGTCTTTGGCCATACATGCCAGCCGAAGATGTCCAGTCTTCTGCTCGAGGCTTTGTACATCCCCTAAGAGACGCATGACTAGCAAATTGGAGTCTCCTCGAACGGTATCATCAAGGCTGAGCAGCGTAAAGGGAGGTTTGACGGCGGCTGGTACATCAAATGAGATGAGTCTTATGTTCCCTGCCGACGAAAACCTTTTTCGAACGAGGGTAGGTGCATTTCTTTGATCGGAGGCATGTTGAGAGAGGAATGGTATCCGCTGAGCTACGGTGTTCGTAAACGCGTCGGCAGTGTTACGGAGCGCATCTGACTCGTCCTTTAGTCGATCCTGCGCGTTACCCAAGCTTTCCCCACAAAGTTGGTCATTGAGAACTTCCTCGATGGTGGCATCATAATGGATCTTGAGGTCCTCAATCCGAACCTGGAGCTCGTGAACGCTGTCCTGAAAGGAGGTCATAGCTATAAATTGTGACCGAATAGCATCCAGGAGGACGACCATCTGCTTCAAATTGCCCAAGTGACCAAATAACCCTTCAGAGGTACGAGAGAGGAATTCGTCAAGGGGTTTCTCGAGCATTCCAGTTAAGGTAGCCAGGGGATGTATCACGTCATTTGTGAGGGTCTGGTGAATGACATCTAAACGACCCACTATATCACTAGACGACACTGAGGGTGTAGGAAGGACATCTTGAGGTGGCGTCTCCGGAGTCAGAGGTTCTGCACTTTGATTGCTCTGTTTCCATCTTTCTCTCTCCATCAGGTGGGAAACCTCGCTCCGTGTGTCCTCCAGTTCATTTAGAACACTATCCATGATCGACCAAACTCTCCTGGCTACACGGAGTCTGCCAAGTCTCGTGTTCACGTCGGCGCAAATGGCAGCAGCCTTGTCACGAACAGCAACTAAAGCCTCAATCTGAGCAGCAGCATTTTCCTTGAATATTTGGTCAATACCGGGTCGCTCCACATTGAGAAGTGCCACTCGAAAGGCTCGCAGTAGATGGTCAGCTTGAGCGCATGATTGCTCCACTTCTTGAGTGATTGATGGTAGGAAAGTAAGGAATGCGGAATGTGCCGTAGGATGCAAGCAATCCTCCGACATGAGACTAGGAGGAGTGCCGTCACCATCACAAGCAGTGACTCCATTTTCAAGGCGATCAATGGCAGACTTGAAGATTGCCATTAATTCATCAGCGGACCGGGACAAGGACTCGACATCCTTAACAGCTTCATAACCAACTCTGTACTCCTTGGCAAGGCAATCAACTTTGGCAACGAGATCCGAAGTGGAAGCAAGTTCTGAGGACAATATTTGACTGATGGCCTCGTTGGCTGATTGTTGATCGGGAAAGAGAATGTGGTGTGGTCGCGGAAAGGTGCCACCACTTGCGGTAGGATTACCCCTCACAGCAAGCCTTTTCACAAGGGTCTCTGTACGGGAAAGGAAGCCGGCACTTTGGCGGTAAGTCGGGTGATAAAGCTTCGAGGTTTCGATTTCTTCCAAAAGGTTTTGGGCGGCGTTCTCATCTTTCATCGTCTCGACGTAGATTTCATCAGCTCTGACGAGCAATTAGCGAAACGATCATCTAAGAAGCCAGAAGTCTCACTTCCGCCATTGCGTAACGATGTTCATGACAAATTTGCCGACGTGTTCCATCTCGTTGATGCCTTTGTCTTCGAGTTTGTCCTGCTCGTCCAGTAGCTCCTCCGGAACAGCCCTGCGACTGTTGTCTATCAACTTGTCCAGAGCTTTGCCAGCTGCAGCGACCTTTCCGTGCCTAAGTGACGACACCCTGCCGGCAAACTGTGCCGAATCCCGTGACAGGAGTTCTGCAAGCTTGAAACGGGCGCTGCGAGAGAAACCAGCATTGGACGTAACAGACGTGTCTGAAGCCATGGAAGCGACAGAGCCGCGACGATTTGAGGGCTTTTCTTCAGATTTAACCATGAACTCATAGATAGTGGGTGTCCATCTAGCGCGAGTAGTGAGGAAATTCTCGATGTCTGCGAGTATCTTCTGGCGGTCACTCCAGGCTGCGCGACGTTGCTCTTCCCACGTAAGCCTAATACCCAAAAGATCAAGATTTTCGGAGCGGTCCCGTAGGAGGTGGAGGAGTTTGTCGAGTTCGTATATGGTCGTAAGTGTGAGTTCGATAACGTCAGTGTCTTCTGGCGAAAGGTGCCTTTGTGTAGCCGCTGTTGTCGTCGTCAGCACTTATTTACATGAAGGACAGAAGGCACGTACCTTTAGTGAGTGCCCTAAGTTTCTTGAGCTCCCCAGAATCAAAAATTTCTGTCTCTTTCTCAATCCTGTCGTGTTCTGCAAGCCATTCCTGAAGCTGTTCGCGCGTGGGTAAACCTGGGATGTCTTCTGCAGAGGTTCGTATGGCATCCAGCCCGACGAAAACCTCGATGGGCGGAAGTGCCTCTAAGAACTGTGGGACAAAGAACAATTAACTCGAAGACAGAAATGAAAATGACACACGCGCACTTTGATTTTATTTTCTATCCAGGCTTTCCGCTCGCTGAATGCCTGAAGTTCAATGACCTCATGAATCTCTAACGCTTGCTCCTCCTCATTTTGCGAGACTTGAGCTTGAGTGAGCTCCAATTCAGAGCCAGCAAACACCTGTTGTTGGTCGAGTGGAGGCGTGCCGGACGCCATATCTGGAGAAATACATGAAGCAGCCGCTGGCGTGGCTCTTGGCGCCTCGGGCGACATCCAGTAAGATAAAGACCAACAAATATATGAAAGTTATCAGCCAGGAAAATGCAGCATTGCCTGCAGACGTTCGCAACGCTGAATAGCAGAGCCTTATGACTGCGCGTTTGCCTGCAGAATTCAACGAGGCCTAAGCAGTCACCGGTGCATTTATTACCTAAGCCGTTCATCTTAGACTTTGAGTCAGAGTTTGGGTGTCGGCTTCTGCTTTGTTCTGTTCGGCTCGGAGGCTCCTCTTCATGATATGGAGGTCAGACCATCAAACACTGATACTAACACTCTCGCCGCACCCACAAATGCTACGCCGGATGCACGAGCCAACAGTTTACAAAGATATCCAGCCACAACCCATTTCACAGTGTTACTAGCACTGTTTTTGACACCACTTGCTGCAGTGCCATATTTGCTCTCCAAGAGACGCATCTCCGCTCTGTCCGGGAGGTTGGACGAACTCTCAGCCACAACCATTGCTTTGCGGAAGGAATTAAAGACTTCTGCGACTGAGAATACCACGCGGAAGGTGGAATTACATCACACCTCAGCCTCACTTGAGGCTGCAAGGTCAGAACTCATTCAGCTGCGCCGCAGTCTCAAACAGCTTCGTACGGAATGCGATACGTCAGAGATAACGACGCGGGACGCTCTGAAGCAGCTTCTTGAAGAGAGAAAGCTGACCAGGCAAGCGGACACTGGAATTGCGTCATTCTGTGATATGCCATTCATTGCTGACGTTGTTTTCTTACAGCGAACGCCTGGCACTTCTCCCCCAGCTGGGCACTTCGCTGGCTGATGTCGCTGCATTCATGTATGAAGTAGAGTTACATCACGGTATCACGTCAAGCGTCATTGATGGTCATGGTGTGGAAAGGCTTCGCCGACTTGCACTCAAATTCCAGATAGCGCAGTCGGAGAGGCCGAGGTAGCCACCTACAATCATCAACCACATATCCCTACTTCAGTGGGGAGATTCGTAGGATGGTTCCTGAGTTGATTGTGATGAACTAGGAAGTCTGGATAGCTGTATGATACATTTCGTGGTGTACCGATATCTGAGTGCACTATATCATATATATATTGCGGGCCACGTCAGTACTTGCGAGGTCGAGTAAACCTGTTATATCTTGATCTTTGATTACAACAATGGCAAAGCATCTTCAAAGCTTTATGTAGAATATGTGAAAGTGATACATTGGTGACGACAAAAGTAAGCCCAACATACAAGTTGATACAACTGGTACTACACTTGAAAGATACAGCATGTAAGATGCCCAACGGACCAAGGCCAATACAAGTTCCATGCAAGAAAGGTATACATATGCACAAAAACAAACGCTCACGTAGATAGCCACAACTTCCACCACTTGCGTTTCTTTGGAGGAGGGCTAGGGGGTTCGGATTTGGGAGGTATCCTGTCACAGAAGTCAGTTGAGTGAAGACCAACCCTGCCAGTGGGACATACTCATCCACGTATACAGGATAGTCTCTGCTTAGAGAATCTATAGCTTGGGTTATCTGCGCCTGATACGCTAGGCGTACATTACTCGGCACCGCAATCTTGCGGCGCCATATAGCCAGGCTATTGCCCGACTTGGATGGGAGAAATACGAAAACGATCACCAGTGCAGAGGGATCGTAACAGGCCACCGACTCTTGCAGAGTACGATCCATGGTCTTCTGTAGCTCCGGGTATGTTAACCAGTCAAAAGCTGGTTCATTAGGTGATTTCGAAGGCCGATAATCGGCGTTCACTACGAGAGCACCACGCTCTCGTGTTTGCAAAAATTTATGCAGCTTTAATGACGGATTCAAGATGGCGAATAATCAGGTATAGAGATTCGACTTACCCCAAATGAGCCCAGTCCGTATGACACCGACTGGATCCATGCCAACAAAGAAGCGACGCGCTCATCTTTATCAGGCGGGAACATCCAGTGGAAACGTTCCTTCGCCTTGCGTGAATTTCGACCGAAAAAGGCGCTTGCCACAAGATTTATTGCAGCTCCCTTAGACTCGATAAAGTCCGCAGAATCTTTCGTGTTATTGCGGGCTGGGCGATCTTCCATGGATGCCGCCGTTCCATGGTACGCGTAAGTAAGTGTTTTCGATGGCGTGCTGCCATGTGTCGACAACCCGAGCTTATTTGGGGGAAATGCGTTAACGGTAAAGTTTTCTACTACTGTAGATGGAGCAACGGAAGGAGCGGCGTGAGGGGGCGAGAAATGCACTCGTCGATCCCATTCATCGTGCATATCCTCCTCGTAGTCATCGGGATCGTCTTCAAGATCTTGCCAGCCCTCGCCCAAACCCCAGACATCGTTGTTATGCTCCTGCTGCTGCTCCTGCTGTTGCTGCTCCTTTTGCTGGCGCTTTTTCTCCTTCTTGCTCTGTTTGCTCGGTTTGTCTTTCTTATGCTTCTTTTCTTCGTGTTGCGGCTGATTCGGGTCCTGATGGTGTTGCGGCTGATCTGGGTTCTGATGGTATTGCAGTTGGTTCGAGTCATGATGGTGTTGCAGCTGATTGGGGTTCTGGTGGCGCTGCAGTTGCCTGTGTAAATTCACGTGAGCTGAAGGGTAAGCTTCGTCATGTTGCGGCTGATTCTGGTGGTGGTGGTGTTGCTGCCTGCGCTGGCTCTGCGCATGAGCTAAAGCGTAAGCTTCAGCCTGTTGTTGTTGAACATGGCGATGTTGTTGCTGCTGCTGCTGCAACTGCTGAAGCTGAAGCTGCTTGTGCTGACTCTGCGCCTGAGCCAGAGCGTAAGCTTGTTCTTGTTGCTGGCGGAATGCCGCTGACATGACGGCCTGCTGTTGGGACCACTGTGTATTGGCAGATTGTTGCTGAGACGCTTGTTTGTTTGTGCCTTGCGGCTGGAAATAGCCACCAGTACCTGGGGGCGGATTGGCAGCGGCATACGGCTGTTGACTCTGTTGTGACTTATTAAGCAACGGTATCTTTGTAACTGAGATAGGATTGTGATACTCCAAGTAGAGCTAGGAGAGGATAGATAGTAGGATAAAAAGTCACCTTGGGTAATCTTTGTGCCTCTTCGCCCCATGTCTGCCAACTGCTCTGCTGACTCGGTTGACGCTGAGCATACACCTGTGGTGCATGAGCAGGCTGCTTCTGAGCATACGCCTGTGGTGCATGGGTAGACTGCTGTTGAGGCCAGGCTGTCGCCGGCGCACCCCATGCGTCGTCCTCAGCGGGCCATGCCTCTTCCTCGGTTTCCGAGGTATCTCCGCCTTGTTCCCAGCCAGCTTCGTGGCCCCAATTACTCCAGGCAGGCTCATCCATAGCGCGCTGAGTGGTTTGACTCCAATTACCTTTTGAAATCTGCTTTTTCGCTGGTGCTGGCGTTCCTCCAGCATCTTCCCAAGTTCCGCCGCCGCTTCCCCATCCATCATTATGTTGCGATTGCTGGTGCTGTTGGTGTTGCTGATGCTGTTGGTGTTGCTGATGATGATGTTGCTGCTGTTGCTGCTGTTGCTGGTATTGTTGCTGCTGCTTTTTTTGAGACTTAGTGTTGGCACCGTCCTTCTGCGGTGGTTGTGGTGGCATCTGTGCCTGGGGAGGAGCGCCCGTCTCCCATTGCTCATCACTGGCCCAATCTCCGTTACTATTTTGAGGATCGTTGGACGCCCAGGCGTTCAGATCCTCTGGGGCATCGCCGGCCTCATGTGTCTGCTCCCAAGAATCCTCATTAAGGTCTCCGGCGTCCATACCACCTTCGTGGGAGATAACATTCAGGATCCTGTGGCCACAGATATAGGATGGGTAAAAAAGACTCACCGAATCCACCAAAATCATCCTCCTCTTCCTCGATCGTGTCTATGGTCATTACCCGGGGAGGAGGCAGTGCAAGTGGCGGGGGAGGTGGTGGGGGAGCAGGAGGAGGTGCACTAGGTGCAGCACTGGGAGTCTCCTTCTGCTTGCCCTTCTTGTTATTCTTGGGCATCTTACCCCACACGAACTACGTAGATTGTGAGACTCGTGTTTGGTGACGCACTTGCACGCGTGAAGACAAGAAATGAAAGGCTCGAGGATGCCGTTCGGTTGAACCAAGTAAATGAACAAGATCGGGGCAAAATTTCCAAATGGCGTAGATCGATGAATTGATTCTCGGGTGAAGATATAAGTGGGAGATAGACGGAATTACTTTGATTGTGCCAGACACGCGCCAACCGTCCATCCGGTCCCGAACACGAGGCATCACGGTGGAAACAAATCTCTCTTTACGAATACATTAACCCCTAACCTTAATATAAGGTTACAGTTCAGCTACATCGCTATATCCGCTTTGTCACCTCGTCCACAACCTCACTCGTCTTACTCTTACCACCCAAATCAGGTGTCAGAACCTTGCCTTCCCTAAGAACAGAATCCACCGCCCTTTCGATACGATCCGCGCCATCCCCATATCCAATATGACGCAGCATCATCGCAGCTGAACGAATTGCTGCCAATGGGTTTGCGATATTTTGTCCAGCTATATCTGGTGCAGAGCCGTGGACGCTGTGAAAGTCAATCAATGAGCTGAACCCATAGCAGATGTTGTTGCTTACGGCTCCCCCATTACAAATGAATCTCCCGCATTAACTGAGGGTACCAGACCAAGCGACCCCACCAATGCTGCTGCTGCATCCCTGCACCAAGCGGGTCAAACAGTGTGCAAGTGGGACTGACAAATAACATACGAAAGGATGTCACCATAGAGATTGGGTGCAACCATCACGTCATAAATCCTAAGAAATAATTAAGGGCACCATCTAGCTTTCGAAGACAGACTTACTCGGGCTCACGGAACAATCTTGGAACACAGAATACGTCATCGCATACTAACAATCAAAATATTTCACGTACCTGTACACAGCGCTGTCTACAAGTTGTTCGGCAACTGTTACATCATCATACTTGCCATCCACACCAGGTAATGTTGGTACTGCACGGACCGTCTCGCGGAACAGGCCATCAGTAATAGAAAGGACGTTCGATTTGTGAATCACGGTCAAGTGCTAAACTGATGTATCAGTGGATATGTGTGAGCAACGAGTGTTCGGGTACTTTACGAGGGCGCTCCAAGGCCATTTTAAACGCCAACTCGCCTATTCGGCGGGAAGCCCGTTCGGTGATGAGGCGAGTAGCCCGGGCCTCCTTGCCGTGTTCCCCGACTGTCTGTGTTTCCTGCTTGACGTACTGTTGTGCCTATAAGTCAAAGAGAGATGTCGCACGAAAAAGGCACTACCAGGCACTCGGTGTTTTCACGAATGACAACAAGGTCTACACCTGGCCTCCCTTCAGGATTAATAGAAACCTGGCGGAGAAAATATATAAACGGACAGGCCGAGTACTATAGCGTTGAGCAGGAAACTGAACACACTGATTTCACCGGCCGAATATTGGCGTATAGATCCATCTTTTTGCGAAGTGCGACGATTGGTGATGAATACCCAGTCACTTTTCGAGATGGGGAGCTAGCACCATTCATGTATTAGGCTTGATTTATTGCCCACAAGATAAAGATGTACATACCTGACAGCCCCAAAAAGTGCACAATCACATTCGCTTTTCAATATCTGAACAGTCTCATCAGGAAGTGCAGTTCCTGTTTTCGTGAAGTACTCGAAACCAGCAAGTAAGTCAATAAACTCCATCTTCGGTATAGATGATCCAAGAGCCAGAATAGCAGCTTTAGCACCCTGACCAACGTGTCTATCAATCTGTGCGAGTGAAAAATGCCAACACTAACAGGTAAAACTTCCCTGCCAATTCCGTCAGCTGGGAGCATCCCAATTTTCAACGACCGCCGGGCAGCAGTCGCCATCGAACGAATGGGTGCTCTGAATACCATAGTATTAGTTCGTCAGGCTAGGTGTTGGAGACAACCACCAGTAGAAACTGGAAGGATAATTTGCATGGTTCGACTTTATTTAATAGAGGGACGTTTTTCCACACACGTGACGTTGGTCTGCCAAAGAAAGAAGGTAACCTCCGGGAAAGTTCACCCTTTAGAAAGTTTCGCCGAGCCGCTGGCTCGGCGGACCCTTGACCAATTTTTTCAAATTGATTAGTCGCGTAGCACGTGATGCAGCGCGACACGAACGCGGTCATTCCTTATTCTGCCACCACCGTGTACTCAACTTACCTCGTCCAAAAAATTCTTGGCCATGCTTGATAGTCCCGAGGCTCCTCGCTTCGAAGTTTTATCCGATGCTACCAATGTTAGAGAGAGCCTGCACTTCCACGCATCTCAGCTTCCAACACCAGCTACACTACTAGACGATCGAAAACCAAAGCGCCGTATATCACAATCTGACGAAACACCTACGAAAAAGCCGAGACTGTTGGTCACAGAGTCTAGCAATGATGCAATCGATTTTGATGTTGAAATGGACGATATTGTCGTCAAAAGACGAGGTTGTCGTCGCACAGTGTTTCGAACGTTAGGTCTGGCTTCCAATAGCTATCCTGCTGAATCTCATCGAATGCTCTGTAAGTCAAATAGCTATTTTCTGCATATCTATCTGAGTAACCTCTGCAGTGCCATCTCGCAACATTCTTCAGTCATTTGTGTCCTCACATACATCAGATGTTTTCAAATGTCATTCAAGAACAGTCGACTCTTTCGTCACACCCCCTTACGCCTGTTCATACTCCAATGGCATGACTTTCCTTTTTGAAACTATTATTTCCATTAAATTTTCATGCAGAGGCAAAACGCGGTGGCGTACCCCTTCTTGCCGTTGCCACGGAACAAGGGTCCATCCACATTCTCGATACGACCAAACGGAAAGAATGGGATTGTGGTAGGTCTCAACCGCGTCAATTCAGCGGTGACCGATACTGACCTGAATCAAGAGCCTGCACGGGTGACCCTCGAGCCCCATGACAATGGTATCTTTGACGTCAAGTGGAATGCAGGCGACACTCTTCTCGCTACGGCATCCGGAGACAAAAGCACCAGAATATCCTCTGTAGAGACACAACAATTACTTTCTATTCTGGACGGCCATACCAGCACCGTAAAATGCCTTGCGTGGGATCCAGCGCATCGAGACCTCTTGACTACGGGTGGTAGGGACGGAATGCTTTGCTTGTACGACCTGCGTGTCAACAACCCATCTGACGGAGATGAAATTGCCGCAAGAAGTGCTGTGATCACGATCACCGCTGCTCACGGACAGGATAAAGTTTCTGGAGGCAGACACAAGATTCGACCTTTGCCTAGGGGTATCACAAATATTCTTTACCCTAATGACCGGCCGCATGGACTAGTCAGTAGCGGATCTTTTGATGGGTAGGGTTCTACTTTTCGTTTTTTGAAGTGCACGATTAATCGACCTGCAGCTTCTTACACTACTGGGACCTTCGCTTTCCTTCGGACAAGTCATCAAAGCGTAGCCCCAAAAAACCGTCATACAAGCCGCTGTTTTCCTCTACAATGGATCCGACTACATTTCATGGTGCTCGTTGTCGAGGTATCACAAGCATGTCTCAAGGATCAGGTTCCAGCGCAGGCCTCCTCTTCGCTCTCGGCGCCGATTCTCGCTTGTACATCTATTCTTACCCCACCCTGACCCCACTTCGCAGTGAAGCCCACCCGAACCTCCAAACGAACTCGTTCTATGTCCGACTAGCTACTTCTCCATGTGGACGCTGGCTCGCAAGCGGCAGTACAAACCGAGCTGGAAGCTTGTTCCTTTTTGATATCAGCAATGCTGGCAGAGTAGCACCATCTTACGCTAAGGGGGCTGATGAACCAATTTCCCCAACAGTCCGTTTCCGTGGACAATCTGGTGAAATCGGAGCAGTCGACTGGGCAAAGGACATGGTCGCGAGCTGTGCTGATGACGGGACAGTACGAATTTGGCGGCCTGATTTGGAGGTGTACCAAAACTGTATCTCGAACTCGGAGGAACAAAAGTGGGATTGGTTTTGGTCCACCTAAATTCGTTGACCTACATATCTTGGTGTGAGTGTAGCACATCTCGTTTGTTGCTGTTGAAGAAATCTCTTCACAATTAAACTTGTGAAGCGGATGGTGCTTGGTGGCTTGCAGGGTGGTGACCTTTTCGTTTGCGATTACACGCGTCTGATGAATTAATGGTCCACCGCAAAGAGACAAACAAGAGGCCAAAGATACTATTGAAGTGCTCGCTAGCCAGTAGCCGTTGAATATCATAATCTGGTGAGCTCCACCGACCAGACTGCGATACTGCAAGCGGCAAATTTTGAACCCTGTTACGAACGTGGCCATACACCACTTCACACCTCGTGAAAACCAGGCTAGAGGTATATGGCATGTTTCGAGTTCTTAACGCAATCTAGAAAACGGTTGTCACTGCCCTGGTATACGTAAAGTAGGTCGTGTTCAACTCCTGGATTCTCTTCCTCGTCCAGCTAACATCATCATGAGATGCCGGATCTGGATCCGAATCTTCTTGAGTTTGCGCGCTGTTAGTGTCGCACTTCCTTTTCGTTCTAACAAGGCATGTACCCACTGTCATATTTGCAGACCTTAGTGATAAACTGTAGTACGCCATAGATCCTCTGCCCCTTTTTGGAGCAATGCTGACTCTGGAGACTCCTGTAATGTAGCAGCAAAGACATTCACAACAGCAATGGGGCCAAGCCCACACTCCTAGAACTCAAACGGACAAGGTGTAGACTCATTCTCGTGGCCCCTTGGTGAAAATGTGCCTTTTGACGCATTATTCGGTACTGCTTCTGTACTGCTGTACAACTCGACCTTCTCTAGATCTGGTGCGAAGTTCTCAAAGTGGTACCTTGAGTTGCCCAAATACAGTCTGGGAGGTGAGCGAGCCCGGTCTACAGGTGCTTGAATCATGAATCATTGTGGGCAACTCGGTGATGAGGAAACTCGTGAGTTGCTCAGTATAGACTGTAGCAGGACCCATGAGAACCCCTTTAGAACCCAGGTCGGCTGAGGCCCAAACTTGTCCGGACATGTTTTGGGGATTTTTGTCCGGATGCCGTCCTGGGTTCACCTGAGGGCTGAATTTTGTCCGGACTCTGACCCAGGTTACCAAAAATCTCAAAAAAATGCGTTTTTTCTTATTCTAAGTAGCTAGGTGTGTTTAGAATAGCCACGAGAAGCAAAAAAACAATCAAAAATCGCCTTCTTCATCCCTGTGTGGCCCCGTTCCTCGAAGTCCTCTTGCGGAACAATTTGGCCGCTTCCGCCAACTGAGGTAAAGCAGTTGATAGGAACCACTGATTGTGGAAGTTTTTTTAAATCATATTTATGGCCTTTGCCAATCCATTCATGAGGGTGAAAAATAGGGGGACAAACGAGATCGAGCTCGTTCATAACTAGACGTGAGACAGGAGAACTGTACCAATGAAAGAAAAAAGATGTTGGTTTGCGCCAGTTGCACTTTTGTGGGCATCACATATAGTAGTCGACTTGCTCATTCGAACTTCAAGCGTCCAATGGAAGCTGTAAAAAGCAAGATTCGAACTCTCGCATTCAATATTATCAACTGTGTCGTTCCGCTACACTACTCTACCATATTTGTCCGGACGTTCACCTGGGTTGACACCCAAATTAGACGTTTTGTGTCCGGACTGTAACCTGGGTGAAACGGTCATTTGGGTCAATTTTTGTCCGGACGCCAGCCTGGGTTCCATGGGGGTTCTCATGGGTCCTATTGTAGCGTGGTTGTGTTCAACGGTGGGGGCTCAAATTGTTGTACTTAATTCGATTTTTTTCAGGCACTCGAATGTCTGAATCTGACATGACTGGTTCCGAAGCATCAGGTACATGATATGTACAATATTTGAAATCATAGAATATCCTAATATCGACCTCCAGTTCTCTACATGCCAAAAAGATGTTAATAACACGTTAAAAACTCCAGGTATTTTAAGCTACCTGGTTCTTCACGGAGCCCTAGACCGAATACAATTCACGGCTCGGAAACGATAATCATGGGTATGGTCGGAACAATGGGCACGTGTTCTTTTAGCTGATTTCGGATTGATTTTCGGGCATTTAAGCTGCGGGACGTAATACAAGTCAGCAAAGTGGTGGAACAGAGGTGACTTACACTGCGAGCATCGAGTTGACGTTCGCTGGGCGGATCGGCCTAAGCAATCATATCTAACTAGCACACAAGCAACCCACATTTACACAGAATAGCAGAAGAAAAACCAGTCCAGTAACGTGCATCCTGTACAAAGTACTAGAAAATTACAATCAGGACAGTGGTCACTGATGATGAATCCTGAGTAACATGCCAGTAGGAGCCACACAATAGCTACAAGACTAATTTGAAAAGAAAAATGTTCAAACATGAGTCAAACCGTTCACTGTTAAAAAAAACATACAATATGAATACTCCCATCTGCAATGAAACAACGACAAGGTGTTGCATGTGATTGCTCGGACTGGATGTGATTTAGATAGGATACCGGGTATTTAAACGAATTGAAACGTACCGTTTGACTCCAGTGCGCCCCGGCCGAAGATAGAACAAGCATGATCCAGATATCACAACATCGCAGATCGCGCTCGCCACAGCGTATGAGATTTCAAACTGTCACAATGGCACTTATATAAGCAGCGACGAATTCATCCTTTGTCAACTAATTCGGACGTACGGGACAAGTGAAAAACACAGCTGCGCTTTTCGATCGAGCACTGGGACCTTGAGAATTTCCAAGTTTATACAGCAGAACAGCGAACGCACGTTGTCACCATTGTTGCTTTGAACGATAGAACCGTGAGCGCATGCCCGTAAAACATACCTGAACAAGACGAACGCACCAATTCCGAGCCCTGTAAACGTCTATCATCTACTTCATAGCAATGACGATCGTAACGTGCGTCCTCACCGTATTGCCCCAGGGCAGTCACTAGGACAAAAGCCGTGAGTTTCCGGTTCTTGTCACTGACTGGATAATCGATTAAAAGCCTTGTGTGACAAGCTTCAAGCGCAACGCACTGATCCAAACTCGATAAGCATAAAAACTTCAGAAAAAAGTCTCCTGAGAGATCAGGTGACCGCTCTCACTAGCCTGGTTACATACCACTGGACGATGACAGAAATCGTGGACTACGAATAGGAATGAGAGCGATTATCAAAACAGGTGTAAATTCTCATTACACTGAGGAAGATACCAGCCTGTGATGAGACCGTCAGTCACGGAGCATGGGCATGCATACATCATTCTGGCACATACAAACATTGCCCTACCGCGAATTAATATCCAGGTAGTCACGCTCAATAATATACAATGTAGCTCACCATGGAAGAATCAGACATTGATTACTAGTGTTGTAACGGCAACTTATTAGCAGCTGCCAAAAGAGAGCACTGGTACAAAACGTGTGGAACATGTCCAGAACACTTTGGTTGACAACTGTCAATACAATTACGAGCCACTAATTCTGAAATAAACGCACAACACAAAAGTCACCTGTAATGCAGTCCAATGAGTCGGAGCCAGAATTGCAACATTGTAACAAACTGCACATACCACTGCTTTGATATCCCTACGGTCGTTTACAAAAGCCTTCAAATAGAAGGTCATTTGACCAGCAGTCAAGCCGGACATCCTATCAGCATGTCCCGTTCGGTAGTATTTTGAGTCGCAATGCAATGAATATACAAAACTTACCACAGAGCAAAGATGAGCCCTGGTATGAACCATGAGTTGCAAATGGGAATTTTAGAGAGGTAGTAAGAGTACTGACCGATTACTCCAGGTCCCCATCCCTTCACGTACGCGTCGTTCTCTGGCGCTGAGTCCATCAACGACTATGCAGGTTACAGTACAAGCACTAGTCTGAAGCAGAAGTTTAGTGTGTTCCATGGCTATTCAAATATTCATGGATGCCGAGAAAGCTGTTGATGAGTCAAATGATACCGCAATACAGTTCTTCTGCCGACATAAATGACAGTGCCTTGTAAGTTGGCACACCAGGACCCTAGTAACCCATTTGAAGTAGTAGGCACGCAGAGAAAGCATAGGTTTGGTCCAAACGTCCCGGGATGCTCGGAGAGCTGTTCGTAATTTCGTATCTGTGAACTACCCTTGAAGTCATTTTCATTGGGGTGCAAGTGTGGGGCTGAGCATGTCGGCTCGGCCGAGCCGACATGCTCAGCCTCACCCACACTTGCACCCCAATGAAAATGACTTCAAGGGCAGATACGAAGTTACGAATAGCCCTCCGGGCATCCCGGAACGTCTGGACTAGTGTTCCGTGGAAACCCACCTGGTTATCCACCGATGTAGATATCCACCCAGTTATCCACGTAGATAACTCGGTGGATAACCCAAGGCCAAAATTCATAGGTGGATAACGTGGATAACTGAAAATCGTGTGGGTGTATGGGGTTGTATTAAATATACATTAAATACACTTAAAAAGCTTAAATACCGGGTCTACAAGCTTGTTTCTGCTCAAAGTGAGCTCGAACTAGGATTTAAGCTTGCTTATTTTGGCGGAACTTCATGCGACGTCAAGTCAATGTTTGTTTGGTGACTGGTCGAACATCGACTCGAAAAATGACTGAAAAATTGTGAACTTCAAGTTTTCTCCCTCATTACATGCAGCCACATCTCAAGGATCGATTAGTTGAGCTTCGACTCTGTCTCGAGGCACTTCCAACAGAGATTCCCATTCCAAAGGAGTCCAAGTACAATTTCTCCAACTTCGGCCCGGATGCTGATTGGACTACAGACATTGGCGAGGTTGGTGCTGTCAATCGAGAGCTAGAGGTTAGGTTTGGCAATCGGGTCGACGGCCTAAAACTTGTTGAGCGAGGTCCGGAGACAGAAGCTGTAGTGGATGTGTTCGAAACATGGATTGAAAAATATCCAGGGGATATTATCCTCGAGAAGTGGGTGGATGACACCCTCGAAGCCGCACGAGGCCTTATTGTTGCAGCTGGAAAGGCTGTAAATTAGATTTGCTTTTCTTGCCAGTGAAACTGAATTACTGACCTGCTATGCAGTTACCGAAGTCCTCGCATCGGTCAAATGACCATCCGGACATAGAGTTCATGTCGAGTGGGTCGAAAACACCTAACAGCCCCCCAATCAACAGACCGAAGGGATTGAAGAAGAAAAAGACCAAGACTATCGAGTCTGACATGTCCGTCATGCACCTATACAGAGATGCCGAACTGATCCCTGCAAAGGGGAAAGGTGGTGCAAAGGTTGATCCTCTGATGGATCTTATCTCAGTGAATACATACCTCAAAAGTAACCCCCAAAAGATGATTGTCCGGTGTGCTGGAGCTGAATATGGATGCACTATGACCTGGGCTGCACCTCGCTGGAAGGCCCGAGTATTTGGACATGCACTACAATGTGGAAAACTGGACAAAATCAATTTAACACTGCGGAATCGTGTTCGCACTGCTATGGCCAAGGAATCCTTAGGTGATCGTGTCGAAGGATGCGAACCCGGAGCCTCCACACAAGTAACTGCTGCCACATCCACATCTTCCGAGTCCACTGTGTCATTACATGCACCACTGAAACAAAAATCAATATATCCATCGCAGCGCAAGGCACGCATTTCAGCACTCAAAGACCAGCTTGACTTTGACGTCCTGAAGCTAATCTGTGTTGGTGGTATTCCACCATCAAAAGTTGATTCGAAGGAATGGAAGGAAATGTGGAAACACGGAAATCCTGACTATGAACCAGCATCTTGTGCTGTACTCACCGAAACACAAATCCCCAATGAGGCAGCTCGCATCGAAACTTTACAATTGCAACACCTTCGTACCTGTGATGACCTTACCATCACTTTCGACGGAAATACCACGAAGATGCCCCAGTCTGTTTATACTGTACATGTGATCACTCCAGTGCGTCGGGTGTTTTTGGTGGAAGGTGATGAGTCTTCAGAAGAATCACATACTGGGGTAAAGATACGTGAAGTCCTGCGAAAGGTGAGCTACAAAGATCTCGTAATGTTAGAAGTTCCGAACTAACACCGCTTACAGGTCATGCTACGCATCGGAGCTGAACGTTTTGGGGGAGTGGCTTCCGACAACACTGGCAATACAACATTAGCTCGTTCACTCATACAGGAAGAATTTAGTTGGATTATTATTCTCCCCGACTCGTGTCATCGCATGAGTTCGCTATGCAAAGACATTGGTAACATCAAATTCTTTCGACCTGTAAGTTATCTCTCATCCGGCTCTTTAGTTGATGAATCACTAACTTTGAACTTGAGGTGATCAAGAAGATACATCGAACGATCAAGTACTTCAAGAACTCGAACTTTGCCAGTGCTCATCTCCGTCATCATCGTAAAGATTTACAAATCAAGAGAGGACTTGTTTCAATTGGAAAGACACGTTTTGGAACTATTTATCATTCTGGAGAGTCACTTCGTCGTTGTCTGAAGCCTATCCGACAATTGTGCACTGAACAGGTCATCAACATACCAGTAGGTAGTGTGATTTCTATGGTTTTTCGATGCTCAGAGGTACCTTGCAGGAAGTCAACAATTGCTTTCTTGAGGATCGTTTCGCAACCGACAAATTTGAAGTTGAACTTCGACAGCTTCTTACAGTACTTGCTCCAATTGCAAAGGCTATAACATGCCTCGAGTCTACTCACTCAACTGTGTCAGATGTATATCTTTTCTGGCTTGCTGTCACCGCAACCATCCACCAAATTATCACCGAAGATATCACTGGCTTGCCAACTGAAGTCACCGAGGAGATTCGACGAGCTGTCAATTACCGATTCAATCAAATGGTAAATGATGCACCATCCGATGTGTATTTAACTGGCTTTCTTCTTGATCCTCGTAAGTTTTCTATATTTAACATCAAGTCACTTGCTGTTTAACTGACACAGTTCAAAGAGTTCAGAGGGGCAGATATCCTCCGAGACTTGAACCCACTATTCATCGCTCGTATCAAGATTGGAGGCCAGACAAATCGTCCCCAGGACAAAGAACTCCCATATTCAGTTCGTCGTATGGGAAAGTTTCTACTTTCAATGCTCCATATTGAATACGAGAAGCGAAAGGCTCCCATCGCAAACCTGAGTATCTCAGAGGCAAACAGTCGCTTGAAAGACCTCATCAAAAAATACATCAAAAAGGTTTACCCTTTCGATCGTGAACTTCGAACTGACGAGACAGCATATGAATGGTGGAGCTACCTGGACAAAGACCGATCTGGGGATGCCCAGCCACTCGCATTATGTCAGAATTGCAATTATATTGTCTCGAAGCTGATTATAGTCCAACCAGAGGCTTGCTGTCCGAATTTTCTCGCTTGTACCCAACTCAATGGCTGATGAGCGGACTGGCTCAACATTCACATGGCTTAACTCACCACTTCGCAGTCGGCAGCAGGTGAAAACACTTGTCAGGACAGCTCAAATCCGTAGTTGGTACAGATATAATCCCTCTGTGAGTTCAATACATCAATAGTTTCATTCATTTGCAACTCACGGACCTCACTACTAGGCACCACCGCCACAAAAAAAACCAACTATCAAATGGCAAGATATGTCATCGGCCATTTTTGGTGGCAAGCGCAAACGAGGGAAGGGAGACGACAATGACAGTGAAAATTCTGATGTGGATGACGATTTTGCAGATGAAGCACCTAACGAGCCAGACGTGGAGAACAACGACTCAGAGTTGGATGTCACTGACCCCGAGGATATAGCTGAAAATGGCTCAAAAAAAGCGGATTCTTTTGACAGCGAGGCTTTCGATGCTGCCAGTATCATCAATCTTGACTCCACGACGCTAGCTGATGTGCTTGCTGACAAAGATTTGGCACCCGCAGCACCGAAGAACACTGTCACTCTTCTGCCGGCAAGCACTTTGGTGCAAGAGAAGGTCTTGACCGAAGCAGACTGGGACATGACATAGAGTGTAGGATAGATCTAGACTTGTAAATCAAGCTAAATTTTGCAAAATGCACCATGGATCGCAAAATTTTGCAGCACCCGGAATCGCCGGGCCGGTTTTACCGGCGGTGGATATCCACAGTGGATATCCCCTCAGAGGGTTATCCACGGAACACTAGTTTGGACCACTCCTAGTATGCGTACCTATTACAAACGATGGGTTACAGTCGGATGATTCGACTGTTCGGTGCAATCATTCTCCATTGCATAAAAGATGACAGGCGCGTCTATCATATATTTGAGGTCCAATGCGTGAGCACAGATTGCGCACGTTTCCCTCCACTATACTTCCGGTCTCATTTTATATTGCCATTACATGATGAACGTCCAGACTGTCGGCTTTAAACTCAGAATCGTCCATAACATCACCAGTGCATGCAGGGCGAACTTCACCATGCCGTTTGGCATTTTGCTCCTTCCTCAACGGACATCATGCATCACCGGGCGGGCTGGCTCGGCCGCCAGCGGTGGTTCGTTGAGCATGATGATTGATCTCAAATGAAACTGGGAGGGCAACATGTCTCAGAGAAGTCACGCCTGGCAACCCTTCAGCTCCTTTCAGATGTTCCAAAACAACACCCTCAACATTACAGGCATGCATCGGCTTATAGTACCTTGTTCGGGCCCAGGAATGTCTGAAGAGGATATCAACACGATGTGTGCTAGCTGTGTCAAGGGCGGAATCTTGCTAGATAGGATGATGCAGTGGCGACTAGGAAAAGGTAAGCAAAGTGCAATGGTAAGCGGGAAGGTGTGATGGCGAGGGTGCACACTGCACAGATAACAGAGTGGTACGGTGACAAGCAGGAGGGCTCAAAGTGAGCCTGGAACAACAAAATCGCAGTCAATACGAATTCAACGTCAAGATAGTATATTGGTTAGCGGTTTCGCGGTTTCGCAGGGAGGCGCAGGGACACGGTGCAGGATTGAGAGAGCTAACAAGATATCGATGGCATTATGGGCCACCTGGGGTCGCACTTTCCAATTGCAGGCTCATACTAGTAGGATAAAACTCACTCAATATTGTACCCGTCGTGCTATCCTACGCATCTGGGCAGAAATACCACAATGAGCCTTAAGATGGGGGATACTTAAAAAAATTCGAGTAACTACAACTGACCTTGAAAAGTGTTAAGAAAAATAATCGAACAGTCATACAAAATCTCACGTATGCATTGGGAAAAAGCAGTCCGATTGACCGCCAAAGTTGTTGACGTCCTGTTAAAGATATAATCGCACGGAGGACCAGGGAGGGTGTAAGAAGTCCCGCTGCCTACCCCCGAACTCTAGCATCTAAACAATTTAGTAGTAACATAGAACCCTTAACCTTGAAACGTCCGCTGGAGTAGGGTCGTCCCTCGTAAAACAGCATCCAGATCTATAGCGCGAATTATGGGGCAATATAAATTATGCTTGCTGTACCAATGGGTATACCACTGTCCAAAGAAATATGCAAGAGACGAGGAAGATATATGTGCCCGAGGACGGCCACATATTCTACTTTTTCTGTATTGCATTCACCAACCTGTCATTCGGATGTGTCAATATCGTCAGAATGGGACAAGGTGCATCACTGACCAGTCTAATCCTTCCTCTAGACCTTGCCCCTCTGTTGCACAGCTCCCACGCACACTCCATGGTCTTGACGTCTCGCGACCTGCGAGACCAAGTTGTTCACTGATATCTTCGGGTTTTAGTGCTCCTTCGACATCTTGCTTATTGCAGAATACAAGGAGTGGCACGCCGTTGAGTTCGTCTTCCGAAAGCATGGTCAATAGTTCACTCCGTGACGTCGTCAACCGTGCATGATCTGAAGAATCAATAACGTATATGATGGCAGATGTGTTCGGGAAGTAACATCGCCAATATGGCCTTCGAGCATCATTCAGGAATTGCTGACGAAAATTAAGTTGTACATACCGTATGCTAGACTGTCCTCCAAGGTCCCATACTTGGAACTTAATATTTTTATACTGGATGGTATTGTCAATAAAGTTGGTTACAGATTTTTTCTTCATCAACGCACCTGAACGGTCTCTACATTGAAGCCGATTGCTGGGTTGTCTCTCGTGAGCTCCAAACCCCACAAAGCCTATGATGACATACTCACTCGGGATCGTAGAAACCACTTCTCCAATCTGCAAATTTATTTGGACCTCCACTAAATATATGTTCAACATTACTCACCTGTAATCGGTACAGGATTGTCGTCTACGAAAACACCAGTCCATTTGAACCCGAATAACATCATATTTGTAAGTGGACATACCTTGCCAGCCGAGTCGAGGCCGAGCATGAGTATACGGACATCTTGGTCTTTGCTCCATCGTATCAGCGACGACAACGACGTGAAAAGGGAAGATATTGTAAGACCCATGGGTATGTGAGTTTGCTTTGTAGTAGTAGCAGTGTAAATACTATTTCTGGGGCGTTTAGCTGGCTACCTTATCACGTGCGCGAGTGCAATCATCCAGTTTGAATCCAACGAAGTCCGCTGAGCCTCTGTTCAAATTCGAAGCACTTATTACCAATATCATCCCTAGCCCTCGTGTCTTATCCTATGCAGCATGCCTGTAACAGCCATCGGCGACGCATCACCCAAATCACACAAAAAGTCCAGGTCCGCCGACTCCAATGCCAAGGATGTCGGTCAAGAACACGTAAAGTCAAAGAAGAGAAAGCATAAAGAAGCTACCAGTGACGCGTTGTCCACGACCACCCTAAAAGGTCAAGCGGCTTCCACGACACGAGATTCTCAGAGCGCGAGTCATCCCTTATCTCCTTCAAGTGCACCCTCTACAGGAAATGTCGCATCCAAAAATGTTCAGCTAGCAAACTTAACTACAGGTGATGCGGAGCGGAAAAAGAAGAATAAGAATTACTTGGGGAACGTGGCGCACGAGCAGTTGAAAGACAGAAGTGACGAACGTAGGAAGGAGAAGACGAAAAAGAAACTGAAGCACTCAGACGAAGGCCAAGATGAGGGAGTTGCACTTGATGGACAGGTCACACATTCGAACGACACCAAGGTCCGAACACCAGAAGAGGCTACCTCAGAAAAGTCACGACAGAAGAAGAGAAAGGCGCAGGAACAGTCGGGAGAAACACCTGATAGCAAACCGCTCAAAAAAAAGAAAGGCCACCGTCCACCAGATTTGCCCTCCATAGACCCTAGTGCAGACGAGTCTCTGTCTGATCAAAGTCGGAAAGGTATGTTACGAAATTTGCATGTGTGTTTACTGAGCATAGATGATTCACAGCGTTGTCGTATGCATATGCACGATTTGAGGATCCACCGAACTGGAAGTTTAATAAAGCCAGGCAGATATGGCTGATTAAAAGGTTGTGGTCGGAAGAAATGGTGAGTTTCTCCTGTGAGTTGGTCGGTTGGCTGATCGTAGTTTTCTGGGTCAGATACCCGAGGAGTATTTTACCTTGGTGACCAAATATCTCGCAGATGTAAAGGGGGGAATTCGAGACGTATGTCTTGGTCATCTTGTTTGATGACTGATCTCATAATGTTCTTCTCTAGAACCTCATACAGATGTGCAAGTCTGTAGAGGCCTTGGAGACACCAGATCCTGTGACTTCAGAATCAGCCGTACTGCCAAGTGATCTTTCGAATGGACGGTCCACTATCACGACCAAAGTGATGAGAGCTCGTAGCTTACTGAGTGCTCTGTCGGGTATACCGTGAGGTCAGCTCACTCTGACGTTGCGCGTTGCAGCGATTTGAAGCATCAGTACAAGGATCGCAGGCTTCATGTTACCTTGAGTAGACAGGCACACAAGCCCAGTAAGAATGATGGCGATGACCACAAGCACTAGCATTGGAATATGGGTCATACTTAACAGTCTCTCAACAACGATTAAGCCGAAACCGCGATAGTAGGCGCAACGGACATGCCAATTGGATTGACGGGAGCCCGTGGTGCTTTCACTTTCTTCGGCAATGCCCCAGCAATGTGCTCGACAGCTCCGGTCATCAGCGCAGCTTCCACCTTCAACTCCGTCTCACTCAACTCAACAGCTCCCAAAAGGTCCTCAAAGCTCTCCCGAACCACCTGAACTGCATTAACGTTAACCAACGCTGTGTCTCCATCATGCAACGTCTGTGGTTGTCCAGCGGTGTTGATCTGAGCGTTACTCCAGATGGGTTCGACGTTTTCCTTGCTTGTACCAACATTGGCACGTCCACCCAACTTTGCCCATTCGCTGATCCGGTTGATGTTGAGCTCTGTGAACACCGAGTCCATTGCACTAATCAAGCCATCAATTTGCTCTGCAGTGTGGCGAGGAGTGACAGTGACCCGAAGACGCTCCTCGCCCACAGCAACGGTGGGGAAATTGATTGCCTGAACGTAGATGCCGTGTTCGTGAAGAAGTTTGTCGCTGGCTGCCTTTGCGAGACCAGCATCACCAACCAAGACCGGGACGATGTGAGAAGGACCGGGGACGACGGGTATGTCTAGAGCACTGAAACGTTCCTTGACAGTGCGAACATTAACCTGCTTCAATGCTCGATCACCAACATGGTGCTTCTGGTAAATGACGGAAGCTCGAGCACCGGCGACTGTAGCGGGAGGCAGTGAAGTAGTGAAAATGAAGCCAGGTGCGTATGAACGAATCATATCGATGAAATCACCAGACCCCGCGACGTATCCGCCAACAGTGCCATATGCCTTGCCGAGTGTACCTGCTGACGGTAAGCCAGGTCCGTCAGATAGATATGCATGATAATGACCAACCAGTAATCATGTCAATACGATCCATCACGCTGTCCTTGATTGGCTCGGAACTTTGACCGGCCATCTGGTGGGATTCCCAGTCGAGATGCTCGGCAACGCCCGCACCACGGGGCCCGTAAAGTCCGACAGCGTGTACTTCATCAAGGAAAGTTAATGCACCGTACTTCTTAGCCAGATCACAGATCTCCTTGATAGGCCCGATGCTACCGCACATAGAGTAAACACTCTCAAATGCGATAATTTTAGGGGTGTCCTTCGGATACTTCTGCAGTTTGGCCTCGAGGTCGTTCAGGTCGTTGTGTTTAAAGATCTCCTTCTTCGCACCGGAGTGCCGAATGCCCTGTATCATGGATGCGTGGTTGGAAGCATCCGAGAAGTAAACGCAACCGGGAAGTTTGGAACCGAGGGTCGACAAAGTTGCGTCGTTGGCGACATAGCAAGACGAAAATACGAGCGCGGACTCCTTGCGATGAAGGGTAGCAAGCTCACGTTCGAGACTGAGATGCATAGCACTATTTCCAGCGATATTTCTAGTGCCTCCAGCACCTGCACCGTATTTGTCCAACGCCCGACTGTGAGAAAAACGTTAGCTTGCGACCAAAATCAGGTGATTGCAGAGGCTATACGTACTGCATGGTTTCAAGTACGACAGGATTATTTCCCATTCCCAAATAGTCGTTGGCACACCATACTTGGACTTCTTCCTTGACACTCGCAGTGTGCGCAATTGGAAATTTGGTTGCAAGCCGGTTGATATTGTTGAAGTAGCGGTAGGACTGATCCTTGTGCTTCTTCTCGAGCTCGGCCGCATAAAACTTGTCGTAGTTATACGCATCTGAAATGGCAGGAGTAGTCTGAGCTTCTGTCATGGCAGGCAATTTGACGGGTTGTTCCTTTGCAGCAGCAGCAGCCTTATAGAAAGGGCATCCCGCAGCAGCGGCCTTCTGGGCCATGCTCGGGACTTCCTTTTTGGTTTCGGGTGCCTTCGCAGTAGATGCGGCAGCAAGGTCATCCGCCATCCGAGCAGCAGCCCGAGCAGCGGAAGCATGGGGGCATTTTGAAATGTCCGCGTCGGAAACACTGGTGCCGGGGAAGATGCCTTTGCTGTGGTGAATTTTCTGGACGTCGGCCTGACCCGCGATACTGGCGTAACCAGCAACCATCTGAGTAGAGCGCATTACTAGGGCCGGACCCATGATGGGGCAATTCACGGCTCGCTCAGTGAGCTGAGAGATCGAGGGGAATCTAGGAGAAATGGCGCTGCTAAGGGCACGAAGGGTTGAAGTCTTTGTCCCGCCCAAAAACGGGCAGGAACTCTTGAAACGAGCCAAAGAAGAAAACTTTTCCATGTTCAAGTACTGGGAGCTCTGGACAAAGCTCACAGGATATATGGTCGAATCTGAAACACAGAATCAACGGTCAGTGATTCAAACGATGGAAACCAGCACAGGTGTATGCTTACAAGCAAAGTCCTATACTGAGCGCAAACCGGGACAATATGGATCGATATCGGGGATGTGAAACTTCAAGAAACCTTATATCGGAAATTAGGAAAGCGCCCATTGGCTGATGAGAATCACGTGGTTATTCCTCTTTTATTTGTGAAGATGTTCATTCTGCAATGCAACGTGGCCATGGCACAATCACTGCATTAATAATGTAACCAAAGTAACTACTTTGAGCTTAAACCCGCAAAGATGACAAGCATCCTTCAAGCACGTCCATAGCTATATCCACTTCTTCCTTATTGACATTTAGAGAGGGCACCAGGCGCACAGCATCTTTCCCAGCAGTCAGCAGGAAGACACCACGCTCTCGCGCTAGCCGCACCACTTCTCCAGGATGTGAGACATCATTGAATCCAAGGCCTCGGATGAAACCACGACCGCGCACGTGAGGCTGTAATATGGCTGAGAACCATTTCGGCAGAACTTCGAGCCGGTTGTTCATGTACGCGCTCATCTCTTTCATATGACTCACGAACACACGATCACTGAGGCGATTCAGAACGTGATGTCCAACTGCACAAGCCGTGGGTGACCCTCCAAACGTCGTCCCATGAGTTCCTGTCAGCAACTGTCAGCTCCTGTGGGCGACTCTCATGATTTGTTATTCTTACCTGGTGTCATTGTAGATGCAATGGTATCACGAAGTAATACGGCACCAATTGGATAACCGTTGGCTAGTGGTTTCGCCATCGTGATCACATCAGGATGGCAATCAATTGGAAATGCCGAATGTGCCCAAAGATTCCCTGACCTGTACAGGCCGCACTGCAATGCAGTTCAATCAAAACGTAGTGTGCGAAAATGTTACAAAGTAAAACGAACTTGAATTTCATCAAAGATCAACACTGTTCCTGTCTCGTCACAGCGTTTTCGCAAAGCTCTCAGCCATTCTTCGGTTGCGGCAGCGGCGCCTCCCTCTCCCTGTATGGGCTCGACAATGACCGCACAGGTATCATCAGTGATAAGCCTATGGAGGCATTCCAGATCATTGAGCTTGCCAACGCTAACTCCAGGTATCAGTGGTCGAAAGGGTATCTGGTATTTCTCCGTCGAAGTGACACTCAGAGCACCCATACTTCGACCATGGAAAGAATTCTCAAAGCACACGATACGCATTTTAGGACACGATGGGTCATCAACCGTTCCACCAGTGGCTGCGGCCCAGCGATCCTTTCCAACTTTGCGAGCTATCTTCAGAGCGCCTTCATTCGCTTCGGTGCCCGAATTGGCGAAGAAAACTTTGGCCCCTTGCTTAGCGGCTGAAGAAGATGGAGAGGTGCCGCCAGTGGCGTAGCCTAGTCCACCTTCTTTGTTAGTGAGCGTCACCAGAAGCTGCGCCAACTTTGGCGCCCACTCGTGGTAGTATACATTTGAGGTGTGGAGAAGGGTCGACGATTGCTGTTGTATCACCTATGATGGTATAGTGTGAGTTCCCATCGTAATGGAAAAGAAGGTTCAAAATGTAGAAATTACTCACCTCTGAGACACCTGGATCCGCATGTCCTAATGCATTTACTGCGATGCCTGCGCTGAAGTCAAGAAATTTTCGGCCATCTGCGTCCCAGACCCAACTACCACGTCCATGCGAAAGCACGAATGGAGGACGTGCGTAGACAGGAAGGAGATACTCATCGCCAAGCGCTATAGTACTTTTCGTTGCAGAGGATTGTGTATCTGCAGAAAAGTCATATATAGGCTTCAAGTAACGTGTGCTGGGGGATGCTGGAAGCTACGCCTCTTTGCATTTTGTAAACAGAAGTTACAAAACATAGGCTGGCGTACCTCAGAAACAGCATTTGAAGCATATCGCCTGGCTGCTGCTAATGGGGTCGCACTGGAGCCTCGAGCCAAAATTTGCAGCCGGGTAACTGGTAAAGGACTCGACAGATGAGTCAAACGCGCAGTGGAGTGCATGGATGCCTGTGATCAAGTTGGACCAACTCTCAGAGTAATGATAGATTCGAGAAAGAGAAAAAACTACAGCAACCACACAAATTAATTGCTGAGCAGTCCTATATGAGTCACATGTACAACGTCCGAGTTCGTCTGACTCTGACCAACAGCAGTATTTCTACTAGTCCGGCACAATTATAACTTATGAGAGAGGAAGTGAAGGAGAGCCGGTTAGCTGTCAACGTTCATTCATAGGGTCAGGGCCCAGGGGTTAGCATACAAACAAACCACTGAGAGCCAGTAGCATTACAACAGCACTCGAAAAAGGAACACCAATCACTGCATGCATGATGATAGCAGCACAACTTTTGTACAATAAATACAAAGCAAGAGCAAAGTGGGCAAAAGCCTCACAACATCCGGACAAACAACAGATTTCAGAATAATTTTTGGGTGCTGGCGCTGCATCTCAATCTCTGGACCGACTACGTCCCGTGCTCACAGACATGGATGAATCCGAAGAAGCTGAGCGACCACGTCCTGTAGGTCGCGGTGAGCGAGAGGTATTTCTCCTACGATCTTGGTCGCTTCCATTACGGGGAGGAGGTGGTGAGAGCTCGCGGTCTTTCCGAGGTGGAGATTCTGACCTATCCCACCCACGTCGGCGGGGTGGGGCTTCTGAGCGATCGCGGCCACGGCGAGGAGGCGATTCTGAACGCTCACGCGAGCGGCGGGGATGTGCGGGAGGCGGTGATCGCCTTGATGGTGGTGTTACAGACCCGGAACGCCGATAGCCTGGTTGGTCAGGAGAACGAGACCTTTTGGACTGCACAGGAGACGGAGAGCGCCGACGAGGCGGAGGAGACCGAGAAGGTGACCTGCGACGTCGAATGTCTCTTTCACGTCGCGGGCTTCGGCTCCTGCGTTCACGCTCTCCACGATAGTCTCTTGGTCGATCCCTGAATGCAGGAACGGGAGGAGGAGGCATTCTCTCCTTCCTTCGACCGGTCTCCTCTTTCTCTCTCCTTATCCTATCTTCTTCCCTCCGACGCAAGCGATCGCGTTCTCTCTTATCCGCCTCCCACTTCTGCTTCTGCTCTAACCATTTCGACTTGTCTTCCTCACGTTTCCTCTCGCGCTCCTCCCGCTCGACCATACGACGCATCTTGTTTTCTTCCTGCTTCTCTCGGTCGAATGCATCACCCTCTGTGTAGTTACTTCTCGTGCCCAGTGCTCGGGCCATTTTGTCGAGTTCAGCCTTTTTGGCAGCTGCGATACCATGCGTATCAGATGGCTTCAATTTTTTTGCGGATGGAGCGAGTGACGCCAAATCCTTGTTCAAAGTTGTGCGAAGTTCATCAACTCTCGTTTCGATTGTTGCTTCATCCAGACTATTAAAATAAAAGTCAGAGGATCGCTAATGCGAACATTTCAAGCCTACATACCCGTCGTCCTCTAGCTGTAGTTGCAGCTCCAGACATTTGACTTCAACCTTTCTTTTTCTCTCGTGTTCCAAAATAGCTTCGTCCGGTTCCCTGTGCTTTGGGGGAGCTACGTCCCAGGCAGCAGCTCGGTCTGCGGCAGTCTCGTGCACACGCAGTGCCGAGAGATTACGCATAACATAGCCATTTGTGCCGCTATAATATGTAATCAGTATGATGAATTCGACTGTGACCGAAAACAACGCACCTTCCCCGGGGAGTGGTTAATCCGATACCGTTGTACATGACGTTCCAGAGATGAAGACGATGAATTGAGTTCAAGGTCATAAATAGAATCGGAGTTTAAACTGTAGTCCAGCCGGTCCACGGCATTTGTCATTGCTCTGAACGCGTCGTGGTAGCGGCAGGGCGACTCCTTCATAATATAATTACATTAGACCACACGCAAGCCCTTCTCCATAATAATCCATTCTTCTCCATTCTTACATCTTTCACCATTTCAGCGACCAACCTTTTCCGTAGGCAAGCAGGTGCCATGTCAGCTTCAATACCAGCTAGTACTTCATCCGCCTTCCTCCCACTTCCCCCGGCTAAGGATATACCTGTCACATTCACGGCGAGCTTGAAGAGTTGGTGAGTGAAAGGAAGGCTAATACACATTACTGCCTAACCCTGACGATCCGAGCCAGGTGGGCTGCTGGAGACAAGCAGGGTACTGCGTCCGAAGAGCGGCTACTGAGGTATGCAGCACACTCCCATCCATTGAAAACATGCGTGTGACATCATTATAGGCGACTTCCGTTCTTCCAACCAGAGCAGATGGCTTCCTCGACCAATGATAGTCCCGTCATTGCACACAGGGAGCGCGTGCAGCTTGCGGCACCGAAGCACTTCCTAAACACCTTATCAATCAAGTCCACGAATCCTTCGCCGACTGCACCGCCTCCAGCCGTAGTCCTTCATGGATACGGTGCAGGTCTTGGTTTCTTCTTTCGTAATTTCCCCGCACTCGCACAATGGGCAGGACATCGCGGCACCGACGTCTTCGCTGTGGACTGGCTAGGCATGGGCCGTTCCGCCCGCGTACCCTTCACCGTCAAAGCAAAGCGGGATGATATCTCTGGGCGTGTGCATGAAGCCGAGTCTTTCTTCGTAGATTCGCTGGAGGAGTGGCGAGCAAAGATGGGCCTCGAGAAAATGACGTTAATCGGACACTCGCTTGGCGCTTATTTCAGTGCTGTCTATGCACTGCGGTACCCTACCCGCGTACACAAGCTCATTCTTCTCTCCCCTGCTGGTGTTCCTCACGATCCAAATAATCTTACCATGCCTTCGCGCGAACTAACTGATGAAGGTGACTCACGAAGCACGATATCGAGCCATTCTGCTGTCGCTGCATCTGCTGGGGGTGTTAGACAGATACGAGAAGAGCAGAAGGCCACCAAGGAGAAAGAGAGCCGATCAAGAAGACTCCTCACATACCTATGGGAGGAGGGTTGGAGTCCATTCCAAGTTGTACGCTCGACCCTTTTCTGGGGTCCCATGCTCGTAGGAAAGGTGAGGAGTATGATATCGCCAAGCAGACTGAGATACTGATGCTTCCACTCTATGCAGTATTCAAGTCGTCGTTTCTCCGGTTTGACGGAAGACGAAACGCGCGATATGCATGACTACATCTTAAATATCACACTTTCTAAGGGTTCGGGAGAGTACTGCATATGTAAGTTCTGCTCTTTCATTCCCAGTCCCTCATCTAATAGGGTTTCACGTAGCTCATATCCTTGCGCCCTACGCTCATGCTCGTATGCCGCTTGTCGATAGAATAGCCGCGCTCAAATTACCAATAACCTTCATTTGTACGTACCATTTTAGCTTTGTCCTTGTGCGATCCCTCATCATATCATTTAGACGGCGAGCATGACTGGATGGACCCGCAAGGCGGACTGCAGTCTCTCGAGAATTTACGTAAAGCCGGTAATCATCAGAGCAGGATGTATAATATACCATATGCTGGTCACCACGGTAAGTTTTCCGTCTGGTGTCTCTCTTTCAGCCGCCTGATCTGGTTTCCTCAGTATACCTGGATAATCCCACGGCTGTGAACGAGCTCCTTGTCGCCGAGCTTGACGATGCTGGGGAGCAGCTGTATCTCTTCGCCGCCTCGCGGTCATGATAATTTAATTACGCACCATGGGTTGGTTTATTAAGTTGATATCTATTCAGAGGCGGTTGTTCAAGTTAATACGTAGATTTTCACGCATACACGATTTTGTATAGATTTTGTGCACTAGGGATTATGTAATGTTTAAGTACCACAAACGACAACGGTTTGAGGCAGGTGTGGATACACACACGAGAGCGAAAAGATCTCCGTGGCACCTTTACGATGACGTCGTAAATGTTCATGACGAAATACGCCTGGAGGAGCTCGGGGGTCTTCTGCAAAGGCAGACACGATAGTCCGCGCAGTGTTTCCATGAATGCCTAAGGACATTCAGAGCAATGACGAAGAACATGGTCAATTGAATCTGCCATAAATCATTGTCGCCATGATAACATAAAAAAAACCTTCTGCTGGTAATACGTGGCTCAGCGAAGCCCTCTCGTGAATCGCGGCGACCATATAACCATGCCATCCATCTTAGTGAGAAGAGCCCGCCTGGGGAACCCGTGAGTCGACCAGATGAAATGGACACGGATGTGGCTTGGTCGTGTCCAACTTGGAGGACTCGGGGTAAAAGTAGATCGGTGACGTTGAGTCCGCACGAGAGCGTAGGAAATGAATGAATAAAGTCACAGATCGATCGATCATGGTTGGATCATCACCAAGTTGCACAGAGTTGCACCCGCAGTAGGGCTAGAGTTCAGCTCCGCAGGGTGTCTTCGGCTCGCCATAAATTTTACACTTGGCCAGTGATTCTGCACATCCTCGACACGCATATTTTCAAGGTGGGGTATGACTCGCACCAGCCAATCATGATATTTAATTTTGAATCAAGGAGAGCTAGAGAGCAACAGTACATGAGCAGCTCCATATGAGGTTCCGGACCTTAAAATAAAATCAGGTGGAATTAAACATTCGAGAAGAAAGATAAGAACATACACGTTTGCCCTTGGCAAATGGGACGTCAACGATTGCTGACGAACGCTCAGGGTGCTCGATACCTACACTGCTTGTTCTGGCAAAGAGATAATTTCAAAAGGGCGGGGTCGGGATGGCGTATCGTGAGCTTCTGGGTGTATAGGGTGGAATAAAGACAAAAACCGGTTACGAAGGGTGCTTCCATGCGATGATGGTGATACAGGATGGAGGCGGTGTCGTGCAGACAACTGAGAATATGAAGGTGATGAAAATAGTACCGGATATTAACGAATGACGTACGTGAGCACGGTTTGATGGGTCGTCAAAAAAAATATCGGGGTAGCCGATGGGAGGCCTTAATTGGCTGACGGACAGGACGTCGTGTAGCATTACTCTAGAATGCATAAGCTTGGGTGCAATGAGAATGGTTTATGAAAGTTTCACGTGCAGTCAGTATCGACTTGTCAGCTGGTCCGAAGGGTCGTCGAGGCCAGCTTCTCTTGATATCGCATAAACATTCCATGCGTACGAATTGTTGTTTTTGCAGCCACTGGGTAGTAGCTTTCCACCTGCCGAAAACGACATGCAGTTCACTGTATCTGCACGGTGGAAGGGCAAACTGATGGGCTGGCTGTTGTCGAGGTTCCATAATCGTGCTGTCTCGTCTTCCGATGCGTTTACGAGGATGCGGCCATGCAGAAATATCGCAATGACATAGACAATGTTGGTGTGCTTTAGCAGTGTTGTCTGATAGTACCATGACCCGGAGATAAGCTTGGTCCAAGCCACTGTGTCGGTATGTCATCTGAGAGTGACAACAAGCTCGCCTGTCTTTGTGTCCCAAATTTTGATCAGCCGAGGACTCGTTGTCACGGTATCCAGCAGTCGCATGAGTGGTCATGTCTGGCGAGTAGACGACTGCGCCTACAGTTTATCCCCTGTCTCAATCGGTCCGAGGATTGTTTTTCCGTTCTCCACGTCCCACTGCCTTTCAATCCCATCCTAGATTCGCCGACCATCTCGACTCAAGCAGACAGAATTCACTCCCTCTGTATGTCCCATCCATTTCGCGATCATTACCTGGCAGATGTATGACACCATTGACCCATTTCGCGTGTCCTTCAAATCTCTGGCGGGGTGTTATCTCTGATGTATTCTGCGTCGTACCAATGGATGAAGACATAATCAACTACTGAGTGCATCGCTGTCTCAGCCTTCATCCAACAAAGTCCAAAAACAACACTTACGACGACATGGTTCTTAGCAGGTCTCGACGTCTCGACACAAAGACGCAACAAGCGTTTAGATCAAGTCAGAGTTGAGTACACTGGAAGTTCGAGTTGATACGTTTTACTTGTGACATTCTCGTGATTCCTTCACAGCTTGTACTACATCAGTGAACCGAGTCAATTCTGATTACAAATTGTATTCAGTCAGCCACAATCTTCATTTTACTGCCTGGCTAATGCTAAAATGCGCCTCAGATCATACATCTGCCTCTCATTAGCCAATTGCTCCCCGAACGCGCTTGTTATCTCCGAGTTGCCCATGTTAATACGCATCCAGTGCACAAGACGTTTATTCTATCCGGGAAACCGTCCAGAGCTTTTGCAATCAAATATCAGTCGCCGTGATGTTGCGTTTTTCTTCAGTCCGGATCGCTGGGGGGGCTGACATCTCGCTGATGGGCCTGCCATTCATTGAAATAATGACGCCCTGTAACCAGGTGGTATTTTTAGATTATAACTCGTCGGCGCCCGCGCTCGTCCATGTAAATGCCGCCAATGCTTATCAGAAAGAATGTCTTTCCGTTGGATCCAGGCGCGTTAAGCTTTGGGAGTCACTGGTGCTGCTTGGAAAGAGAATGCTTTATTTCCGCGCCACGATTATTCTTTTCCCACACTGACTCAGCGCGATAGAAGGAACAACTATCTTCCTTCCATCGGACGGGAGACTAACTCGGACTATGCTGAACCAGCTAGCTACACGCTACTTAACACTTACTTTATGCTGGTATTTCTCGTGACGTTATATCATGGATTGCATTGTGCTCATACACCGTAAACCTAGATTTCCCAAGCAATCTGGGGGCAAGTTCATCAAGAACGGGTGATAATACATTTGAACATAGCGATTACACACAAAATGCGCCGTACATCACCATCCCTTCCTTACACGGCTCACAGTCTTGCTCTTGGTGGAGGGATTTCATCCATGATAGCATTCGGAAGCTCGTTTTGGATCCAGTGACCAATTCCTTTAAGAACTTTTACACTCAATCTCGCTGCGTCAACAGGGATACGCTCCAAATGACAATCAGACCCGAACCCCGGATCAGATACCAATAAGGCGATCTTCACATGAGATGGGATGTTTTTCAACCGGCCACCGAAAGCAAATGGTTTGTTATGCTGTTCACAGCAGCGGTAAATTTATTAGCGATACTTTTCAATTTCGACAGGAGAAATATCACCTCAAATATTCCTTTGATGACAGTGCGATCGCACATGTAGACTCCTAGCGCTCTTAACATGCTGTCACCTCGAGACCAAGCAGGATGCTCAGCCATGTGCTCGTCAGTAGTTTTGGCATCCTCAATCTCCTTCAGGAACCTATTTTTGCCCTGTTGGAATTGCTCCGCCGTAAGCTCTAGGGGGGGATCGGCGAGTATGATGGTGGTTTCTTTCGTCTTTGGTAAGAATGGCAAGAGCGACAAAGTCACTAAGCCTCCAAGAGAATGTCCTATAATTACGTCGTAGGACATGTCCATGGCAAAATATGGTCGAAGGTCCTCTGCAAGGGTGGACACACGATAATCGGTGCCTCGTCTCCATGCATGCCCGAGAAGATTCGGCGCGACGACAAAGAACCCTAGATAACCTGTTAAAACATAGTATCATCACCATAATATCACAAAACCGGACCTTCTGCTACTAATAGCTGAGCGATGCCCTCCCATGATTGCGAGGACATAGACAGCCCATGAATGAGCAGAGCGCGTTTGGAAGCGGTAGGGGAACCCCAGTGAGTCGAGGACATGGTCGTACTCATACTCGAATGACCAAAGATTGTTGCTAGCGGGTGGGAACGAAGATGTTAAGCACTCATGAGCTTGCTCTTCACTTAAAATACTGAGGGTGTGAGTGCAGGTCCAAGGCGTATCTCACAGGAAGAGTATCGTGGTCAAATCATACGACCCCGGGTCCCCGACACATTTGATATGCTTGATAGGCTGCCAATCAAATTCGGAGGACGGCCCGCATCTGAATGTGTCGGGCGGCCACAAATGTTGCGAACCAACACGTATTGATAGAGCACTGAAAACGCACCGAGAAAGATGGTGACGGGTCTGCCTAGATGGGATGCTCCTCCACATCCAGAGGCAGGCCTGTTATCTCCACATCAGTGTCATCTCGCCCGTTTTATCAACTGAGGCAGATTAGTACTTACTCGTATCGTGCAGGCGGCACTGAATCGGATAGTCCATCCAGATGTGGTACTATCTTGTCGGAGGGATATACTTGGTCTCCCCTAGACAGACCACATAAACGAATGAAGATAGCCGTTCTCTGAGTTAGAACATCATGTTCTGAACAAGGGCAATGTAAGCAAATACCAAACAAAAGTTTACTGCCACAAGGAACAGGAATAGAAGTCGTGTTAGCCCCAACGTTATCGAAAACAAGGAAAAAGAGAAACTCAATATGTGAAAGGTTAGATGCTCAGATCTTAGATCAAGCTAGTAAGAGCTGAGGAGTTGGCTATGCAACATTTCATTAAAGCCTCGTTTAGCAGGTCAAAATATGCGTCGAGCAGCTTCACTGAGGACGCCTTGTCAGTTGCACACATTTCTGCCATTTGTCCCCAACACAAGTGGGGAAACGTGCACGTCCGCAGAGGGGACCAGCGTACAACGTATAACGAGCTTGATAAGCAGCTTGGAAGCAAGTTGATGGATATTCATGGTGGTGGGAGGGAACTTCGGAATTGTCGCAAAACTAGGTAATTCGAGCAACACAGTCTGGAAGAATATTAATAGCAAGTGTATCTGAATGCGATGGTTACAGACGAAAACTACACCACAAAAACCCATCTCTTCTCAAGTGCTCGGCTCAAAGATTTGCTCTGGGTAACGAAACTTCATCCATGATAGCATCCGGACACTCGTATTGAATCCAGTGGCCAATTTCGATAAAAACTTTGGTCTTCACGTCATGAGAGACTTGCTCCAAATGACAAACGCTACCCCGCTCCGGATCAGATACCAACAAGGCGGTCTTCACGTGAGGTGGGATGTTTTTCAACAGGCCGCTGAAAGACCAAGGCGTATTATGCTGTTCGCAGTAGCGGTAAATTTGTCAACAATGCTGCCCATTTCGACACCAGAAATAGTACCTCAAATATCCCCTCAACAACAATGCGATCGCACATGTAGACTCCTAGCGCTCTTAAAATACTGTTACTCCGAGACCAAGCAGGATGCTCAGCCATGTGCTCGTCAGCAGTCTTGGAATCCTCAATCTCCTTTAGAAACTTGTTTTTACTCTTTTTAAACTGCTCCACCGTAAGCTCGAGGGGGGGATCGACGAGTATGACGGTGGTTTCTTTCGTCTTGGGCAAGTATGGAAAGAGTGACAAGGCTACCAAGCCACCAAGAGAATGACCTATAATCACGTCATAGGGCATGTCCATGGCGAAATACGGCCGGAGGTCCTCTGCAAGGGTAGAGATACGATAATCAGTGCCTCGTCTCCATGCATGCCCAAGGAGATTTGGCGCAACGACAAAGAACCCTGGATAACCTGTTAAAACAGGGTATCATCACCAGGATATTACAAAACCTGACCTTCTGCTACTAATAGCTGAGCGATGCCCTCCCATGATTGCGAGGACGCAGTCAACCCATGGATGAGCAGAGCGCGTTTGGAAGCAGCAGGGGAACCCCAGTGGGACGCGGACATGGACATGCTCAGATGACTTAATTGTTTTCAGGGATCGTTGCGAGCGGTGGGACCGAAGATGTTAAAAACTCGTGAGCGCAGTCTTCACTTGAAATACTAAGGGTGTGAGTACAAAGCCAAGACATATCTCACAGGAAGAGTATCGTGAACAAATCATACGACCCCGATGCACTTGAATGGCTATTGACATGCTTAAGAGATACTGTCGATCAGACTTGGAGGACGGCCCGCACCTGAATGCATCGGGCAGCTACCAATGTTGCGATCCATCATATATCGACTAAACACTGAAAAATACCGAAAAAGAATGATGACAGGTCTGTCTAGATGCGAAAGTGAGGCATGTCGCCCAACAAGTAGATGACAGCGAAGAGACGGTCCCATGAGAAGAATCGTTATGGCATCTTATCCCCGTGACTCCTTCATGGAAAGTTGTGATCCAGAGGCACGCCTGTCACTTTCACATCAGTGTCATCTCAGGCTTGCTCGGTTTATCAACCAAGGCTGATTAGTACTTACTATCGTGCGGACGGCACTGAACCGGGTAGTTTGTCCAGATGTAACACTATCCTCCTGGAGGGATATACTTGGTCTCCGACCATACAAACGAATGACATTCCATCCCAATCAAAAGGCATCGGAATCGAAACTAGGCCTCCCATATGACTCGGACTCAGACTGTGCTCATCCCTCAAGTGGGCCAACAAATCAGTCGAGCAGCCCGTCGACCGCGAGGAAGAAGACCTGCTCGGCAAGGAACTCGACAATGCGCTTCGAGGGTTCAATGTCCCAGCGATCAAGCAGCAGAACACGGCGGACACCTCGAAACTGGCGAAGATAACATAACGTTATTACCTCTATCCGCCCCTCCTCCCTCCTCCCACTCCTGCCTACAAGTCCTTTACTACTTCCTTCCATAGACAACCCAATGGAAGAATTCATCGACGGCAAGGCGTTCTTCAGCGACTCGGATGGAGTACCAGGGGACACAAGCGACCTTCCGCCGTCTTCAAATTGTCTGTAGTCAGAGCTCGATTATTGGCTGCTATTACCGTAAGACCGGTGTCTGTAACTTACAAACCATGTAGATCGTCAGAAAAGTTAAAACACACTGGGGCGATTACCGAACTCGTGACAACAACCCAAGAAAAGACTTAGCACGCGTTCTTCAGCTCAGAGCAGCCCCACATTGGGACGTAAATTGAAATTCACCTCCAAAATCAGGAGGGACTCGCGAACATTGGACACAACAAGAAGGCTCTGAAGAAGATAAGCAGAAGACATGACAAACGAGAAAGGAGTGCTTACCTCTGCGCATTGGCGACAGGGGGTAGGGATTATGAACGACTTGATCATCTGTCACCGCGAACAATCTCACGCCAATCCAATGCATACTGATGGAAACATCGTGCGAGGTACCGTGAACCACTCCAAATTCCACGTCGGTAGCGAGTGAGCGATTCTCATAAAAAGCAGTCAGGACTTCAACAAATCATCCACCAGGCTGTGCAGTGAACGACCTATGCCTATGTAAAGATGTATCCATCCTCCGAGGACAGGTCGGTATGTGTTCTGGCACCTTGTTGCCAACATCCTGGTTTCTGCGATCGCCATCCAGCGCGTCTCTCCCTCTCCCATTCCACAAGTGCGATACGTTCTTCAACCTTCTTTGAGAGCTTGGGCCGGGTAGCGGTACTCGTACGTGCCCACTCTGGCACAACGAAATTCTTGACGGGCTTTACAGGTGCCTGCGCCAAATGGGGTATGGCGAAGGAAAACTAGAATTCGGATACAGAAGGGGACATTGGTCTGGAAGGAGATGGCGCTCAGTCTTGCATTTAAAATACTGAGGACGAGTAAAATGAAGACAGGAAATGCGTGTAGGAAGAGTGATCCATATAGGACGGATTCAAGGTGTATCTTACGGAAAGAGTAAGAATTGAATTCAAACATATCGTCTTGGGAGACGGCGTCCATCAGACTCAAGCAACCGCCGATGCTTGCAGCCTAGATGTAAGATCAAAAAAGTCAAAAGAGAGATTCAACCTTCGAAAGGTTATAAGCTCAGGTCAAGCTGAGAGCTGAAAAATTGGCTATGCGACATTGAAGCGAGGGCAGCCCACGGAACGCCCTAGTAAAAGGCGAGGGCGTTGTCTGCTTGAGTTACCCTCTGTCGCTATCCAAGTATGGGAATCTCAAGGTGGCGCTAACAGAATTTTGCATTTGTTTTGGTAAACGGGTTTTCTTTCCATGCCCATTCTGGGAATCGTCGACTAGTCACTCCGCTTACCGTCACCGTCGAGAACACCCTTGTCATCATGACCGATGATGAACTGTCGCTCCTGGTATCAGCAGGCTTGCAGACATTCCTTACCTCAGGTAGAATCTCGACGCCATTAACTTCAATGAATCTCCTTTTGGCTCTCATATCCTTCAAGCCATCCACATCCGCCGCCCCAGGCCTCGCAATGCCACGTCTAACTGATCTAGCCCGTGTAGAAAGGGTACTCGAGGCCCTCTCATTGAATTGGGATCATGGCTCTATCCTACTGTCCCACGAAGGCGGCGAGTTGCACATTACGGATGTCCATCTGGGGAATCCCCGTGTTCTTGATGCTATCAATCCTCGGAAGCGCAAGCGAGCACCCATAGACGAGGATGCAGATTCTGCTGCTGGTAACACTCCTGATGAGATATCATCATCTAACGGAGAAAATGATTCTTCCATCTCCATGAACACCCCCTTAGGAAATTTAAGTAAAGACTTGAAGGAGGTCTATGCAATCCTCCAGAAGAGCACGGCAAAGGGCCGACTGCTTGCGGAACGCGTACGTGTACCACTGATGTTCATGTGTTGCGTCATGTTGACCATTCAGCACTAGTTTCGGTCTCTCAATGGCGGGTTCGAACCGATCTGCACCTACATTACCAAAGTAGAGTGCGCCAAATCCCGCTCCGAAGTTGATCCTTCCAATTCGCCTAACCCTCCCTTTTGCAACCTCCTGCACTTCCGCCCTCTCATTCGACCGCACACAGACCCCAGCCTCGGACACTGCTCCTACCTCAACACGTGCTACTCTGAGCCGACATATTCACAGTCGCCTTCGATTACTCCTTTCCCACCTGGCACTGGGGCGCGCGTGTCATTGCCGTCTGGTCTCGGCGCAGGGGGCAGGGGAAAAGAGAAAGCGCCATGTCGGTATTTACATTTCGAGATTGATTGGGACGAGAAGGACGGACCCCTTGCTCCGATTGATGGGTGGAGAACTCAGAGATTAAAGAAACCTTTCAAGATTGAGCTGGGGATGGGCCCTGATGGAAGAGACATGCAAGTGGTAAGTGCGGTGGGTGTGTCTCGACATAGTTGACGCTGACGTTGTTCGGCCAGCTTCCTCCTCAGTGGATCAACTGTGACCTACGCCGGTTTGACTATTCAGTGCTAGGAAAATTCCACGTTATAATGGCAGACCCACCATGGGATATACACATGAGCGTGCGCGTCTTATAGGACCATTCCACCGTACGTGAGTCTGAGTGAATTTTGAATAGCTTCCGTATGGTACGATGACCGACGATGAAATGCGTGCCATGCCGATACCAACACTTCAGGACGAAGGACTGCTCTTCCTTTGGGTCACCGGGCGTGCAATGGAAGTCGGTCGGGAATGCCTCCGAGTATGGGGGTACACTCGTGTCGATGAAGTAGTTTGGGTTAAGACTAACCAGGTACATGCCTTATAAATCCTCTCAACCCTTCTATTTACTTATATTCAGTAGCTCCAACGCGTGATCCGCACTGGCCGAACGGGCCACTGGCTCAACCACACGAAGGAGCACATGCTTGTCGGTGTCAAAACGCGCACAGACGCTGCGGGGAACCTCATTTTTCCCTCCTGGGCAAACCGCGGACTTGATACTGATGTTATCGTGAGCGAGGTGCGCGAGACGAGTCGCAAACCAGACGAGGTGTACGGGCTGATCGAAAGGATGTGTCCTGGCGGGCGGAAGATTGAGATTTTCGGAAGAAAGCACAATACGCGACCTGGGTGGGTGGCAGCGAACGATTTCATATGTTGTGGTGTACTGACGATGATGCTCCGCAGGTGGCTAACGCTTGGGAATCAGCTGGGTCAGGACCAGATATACGAGGAGGATCTAGCAGCACGGATCAAAGCGAGATACCCGGAACGTTTCATGTCCGTGTCTGGTCAAGCTATGATCACTAGATAGTCCTATGCATTGTTCTCGATGGCAGCTTTCGGTATCGTCTCACTCAGTGCCACTATTATTTGTGAGATGAGTTAGCTTGGCAAGTCTTACCTCCGTATTTGAACACACTTCTCTATATTATGAACATAGATCATATCTGATCATGCTACCCACTCTCGTGTTTCGCAACATTTGTGCGATTCATGGTGCGTCTACATTTCCGCAGTTTTCGTCTGTAAATGTCACATTTAATTATACACTTGCTAGCTATTGATCATCTCTGAATAAGCGAATTCGCGACTTACTGATTACCAGGGTTTATTCTCGCTTCTCTGTCAGATCGCAACGGTCTGAATCTCACGTTCAGACGCGGACCGCGTCAACTCCGTAATTCTGGGTGCCTTCTGACCTTATCCGACCCCCCGGACGTGATCACTTTTTTTACGCTTTCTTCTTCCACCCCTTCCGCAGCTGGACTAAGCGCCGAACCTCTTTAATCAAGACCTTGAACACATCTTAGCCATCTGAGTGTGTACATGTCCAATTCAGCATCCCAGTGGGGTTGTCCTACCGCTTCCAGGCGAGCTCTTCTCATCCATGGCATGACTATGTGCTCGAATTCCTGGGAGGGCATTGCTCAGCTACTGGTAGCAGAAGGTCAGCCTGTAATACTAATGGTTATGATCTTGCTAACAGATGATCAGGTTTCTTCGTTATAGCGCCGAACCTCCTTGGGCATGGAGGGAGACGGTGTACCAGCTATCGGATATCCGACTTTGCAGAAGACCTCCGACCATATTTTGCCATGGGCACGTCCTACGATGTGATCATCGGTCATTCTTTTGGATGCCTAGTGACCTTGTCACTCTTGCCGTTCTTGCCCAAAACGAAAGAAACCACCATCATACTCGTCGATTCCGCCTTTGAGCTTACAGAAAAAAAGATCAACATTTTTCAGAATATGGTTTTAGAGTGGACGGCGAATATCAAAACTCCTGAAGAGCACATGGTTGAGAACCCTACTTGGTCACGACGTGACTGCGTGTTAAGAACGCTGGGAATCGCAATGGTTGATCCCAACACTGTCAAGGTTTTCCAGGTAATATTTCAGGTGTTGAAATAGGAGGCATTGCTGACAGGTTCTGCTTTTGCATCGAACAGCAAAACACACCATGGTCTTCCAGTGGGTTGCTCAAAAACTTACAACCCCACGTCAAGATCACCTTACTGGTGTCAGATCCGGAGAACATCCCTCGCGACATCGAGAGATTGAATACCAAAGTTCTTACTGGCATCGGTCACTGGATTCAATACGAGTGTCCGGATGCTATTATGGATGCAATTCCCCTACCAAGAGCAAAATTGTGAGCCGTGCAGAGAAGCCGCGACGGTCGCATCCAATCATGTACTCGCTATTTATTTTCTTCCAGACTGTTTGAAACCCGGCATGTGGTACTTAAGGTACTTATCTCTAGCCAGACCCAGCCCCGAGTACTTACGTCACTTGTCTAGGCTTCCGCCACCTTTGTCACTAGTCTTTCTGATAATTCCAGAGGTCCCTCAGCGCTCAGAGTTGTTCCCCATACCCCGTGTCTTCATTTTACTTGCTTCAACCAACATGCATACTAATCCTCGGTTCGAATTTTTGACGAGCAACTATACACTATACACTGACCTGGCCTGAGCCTGGTGATGCCGACTTAAAATCACGCGGTCGGTACGATATGCTTATCATTGCTGACGACTTCAAACAATGCATTCAGGCAGGCACAACGTGTCCCCGGATCGGGTTTGTTGTTCGATGCCAGGTTCTATGATACTATAGTGATGATATTCTGTTTTCAGCAGGGTACCCAGGGTTCTTTGTCGTTCCGCCGAATCTTCTTTGGCACGCATGGAGATGGGGCACCGGCAGCTACCGCATGTCCACCCTTGCAAAAGGACCTCCAACCGTACTTTGTCGAGGACACGTCCTACGATGTGATTATAGGCCACACTCTTTGGAGGCACAGTCACTGGCGTTGTCGCTCTGCCCAAAACGAAAGAAACCACCGGCATACTCCTAGATCTCCCTCGAGCCTGCAGAGGAGACAGCTAGAATGTCGATGCAACTTGCAATACATGAGACCGTGAATGTCAGCACTGCCGAAGAGCATATTGCTGAAAGGCCTGCTTGGTCAACTGCATATTAAGCGCGCTGGGAGTGTCCATGTGCAATGGCACTGCTGTCGAGGGAATCTTCCCGGTAAATTTTTAGCTGTGGAAATGGCAAGCGTTGCTAACATCTTTTGTTGTTGTGGTAAACAGCACAACAGGCCAATGTCTTTTAGTGGGCTATTGAAAAATATTAATATTCCCACTAACGTGAAGGTCACTTTGCTGATGGCAGATCCAAAAGTCGGCGCAGTTTGTTTCTTGGAGTCCATCCATCATGATATTGAGAGACTGAGATTCTTTCGGGCATCGGTCACTGCATTCAATTAATACGGGTGTCTGGGTGTCACGGATGTAATTCCGCTACCAACTTGAAGAGCAATGTTGTAAATCCAACCAAAAATCAACCGTATGAAGGAGAAGGGTTTTTTCTTATCACTGCGTACTTTATCTCCATAATGTCAACAATACAACTTCTGTACAACCCACAAAGTTCAGCTGCTTTGAATTACTTCTTCCGTGTCGTACTGCAAAATTCAACTTCCCAGCCCGCTGTTCGCACATAATGTTTGCATTTTGTTTTCGATCGATGTTCGTCAAATACTTTCCCCGCTGCAGCTGCCTAGTGACATAATAGCCGCTCGAGTATTGCTACTATTATTAAAGCCACATTAACCATTTGATTAAGTATTCATTTATCTCTGATCTCCAACTATGATCACTGTTCCATCTGCGAGTCAGTGGGGATCCCCTACTGCAAGCAGGAGAGCACTCCTTATACATGGTTTAAATTCGTCTTCGCACACGTTCCACCGTGTTGCGTCGGTGCTTGCAGCCAAAGGTGGGTCCTCTTCGCTTCAGCATTTTGACAGCGCTTATCTATTGATTCTGACACCGTAGGATACTTGGTCGTTGCTCCAAACCTTCTTGGACATGCTCTCAGGAAGCCTGGAGTTGACTTCCAAGTTCAGACATTGGCAGACGACCTCTTGCCCTATTTTCAGGCTGCTGAGTATGATATCGTCATCGGCCACTCAATGGGCGCGCTCGTGGTATTATCACTTCTCAAGTACCTGCCAAAAACCAAGCCTACTTCAGTGGTCCTCGTCGACCCATCTCTGGAGTTGAGCGCAGAGCAGATGGTGGATGCGAAAGTTAGGTTTTCCGACGATGTCAGAACTAACCCCACTGCAGAAGATTATATGTCATTGAATCCTCTATGGACAAGAGAAGATGCCATTTGGAGAGTGTTGGGGACCCATATTGGAAGACCAACAAACTCCGATGATCACATCGATGTCGGTGTTTGCGAGTGGCATTCCAGAATCAACGGTGCTGATGGTTTGAATTGTTACAGGGCAATGTGCCATGGTCATTTTCGCGTCTGATCGCTGACAGGCCTGCTGCTGCCGCATTGACGATTCTGGTCGCCCAGCCTTCCAAGTTGGATTGTGTCGCAAAAATCAAAAACATTAGAACAGTAATCGTTTCGAATGCCTCGCACTGGATACAGTATGAGTTCCCGGACGTGATTGTTGAAGAGGCACTGAGGAATATCGAAGAGTAGGACAATGAGCAGTAAAGGCTTACATGATTCCAATATCTACAATGTATAAGCATGGGGTGGACATATGATATGAGGGTTTTGGCAAGTTCAGTGTCAGGTGTATTTTACGACCCGTCGTTTTCCTTTATACTCGTTTCTCTCCGAGTACTGACTTAAATGCCGTACCCACTCGTAGAATCACCTCGGTGTTTTCTCAAGGACATCCAGCATCCATCAGAACAGAGGTTCCTGATCAACTCACCATGATCACTGTCCCGTCTGCGAGTCAGTGGGGATCCCCTACTGCAGGCAGGAGAGCATTCCTCATACATGATTTGAATTCGTCTTCGCGCACGTTCCACCGTGTTGCATTGGCACTTGCAGCCAAACGCGAGTCTTCGCTCAAGCTTCTTCACAGCCTGAGCGCTAATCTATTGTCTATATGTTAATCGTAGGATACTCAGTTATTGCTCCGAACCTTCTTGGACATGCTCTTAGGAAGCCTAGAACTGAGTTCAAAATCCAGACATTGGCAGATGACCTCTTGCCATACCTTCAAGCTGCTGAATATGAAGTATTGTCATCAGCCACGCATTGGGCGCGCTCGTGGTATTATCGCTTCTCAAGTCCCTGCCAAAAACCAAGCCTACTCCGGTGGTCCTCATCGATCCAGCTCTGGAAATAATCGCAGAGCAGATGGTGTATTGGAAAACCAAAGTTTCCAACGATATCAGAACCGACTACACCGTAGAAGATTATGTGGCATTGAATCCTCTATGGACGAGAGAAGATGCCATTCGGAGGTGGGTGGGGAACGAAATCGGCAGAGTAACTAACTCCGATGATCACATTGACGCCAGTGGTGTTCTAGAAACAGCGGCACTGATGGTTTGAATTACTCCAGGGCAACGTGCCATGGTCATTTTCGCATTTGTTCGCCCACAAGCCTGCTCCTGCCGCATTGACGGTTCTGATTAAAGATCTGCGATTTGAAGCTGAAAATTCTCGCAAACATTAAAGATATTAGAACAGTGGTTGTTTCGAGTACCTCGCACTGGATACAGTGTGAATTCCCGGAAGTGATTGCTGAAGAGGCGCTAAAGAATATCGGAGAATAAGACAATGGGCAATTAAGACTTTCATGGTCCAACTACCATGTGATTACCTTGATGTATACGTAGAACAGCACAAACCTGAATGAATATGGCTTCAATCGAAGAAAACCTCAGCATCTTCATCCCATCCTAATGTTTCTGTAGCGATTCCAAGCTGTCGGAGCATCGTACCCATGGTGTTCCGTGTTTGCTCATCATCTTCTGAAAGGATCTTGTTGGTATGGCCTTCGTCCAAGGGATTCTCCGTAGCAGTATTGATATCGTTCTCCGGATAGCCTTCGCGTTTGATGCCAGGGGAGTCCCAGCCCCAGTTCGAGTCCCGTGAGCCCATCATGCCTCCGTCCCAACCCATACCATCCCGCTTGTTCGCAGAATCTTTCACCAAATCCCAAAGTTCATATGCGACCTCCCTGCCTGCGTCTGTCCATTTCTTGATAAGCCCGACGAGTATCTTTTCCTCATCGTTCTCTTTCACTTTGACCGCGCGTTTAAGAAGTTGTAATTTGCGTTCTAGAGACTGGACTGTAGGCGTCAGTCGAATCGACGATCCTCTTCCGGACGATGCTGAAGCAGAAGAGCTTAACGGAGATTTGAATTGTGATGCCGCTTTGAGAGTGCGAACTCTGGTCTTAGCTGGTGTAATGGATGGAGCTGCATGGGCATGATGAACTTTCTGAGGTGTGAGTGGCATTTTCGGAGCTGATGGTGGTGCCAGAAGAGTCGACAGAGGGCTCTTGGACTTTAAAAGGTCCTCTGATGGCGTATCTTCGTCCTTGTTCAGGATTAAAGGTGAACGAAACGGAGTGATGAGTTTCTTGAACTGCCGCTGCTGAGACGCCAAGGTGGCGCGCTTTGGAGCTGGTGGCAGATACACTTTACCATCATGGGTTTTCTAAGAGCAAACTCGAGTGAATGACACGCATCGTCGACAAGAGAAACAGTTCTAATTACCATGCGTTTAGCCGACGATATGTCTCCTGGGCTTGGTGGTAGGTCCTTGTCATGCAGACCAAGAGCACCGATCTAAGCATACATTTCAAGCCGTTAAAACCGATGGAGCACTCTGCCCTACCTCTCCTTCCGGATAGGATCGCTTCTGCGGCAATGGTTTAACTTCTTGAATGTTGTAAGCGCTCTTGTTCGTTTTGGGGCTTCCCCTACGAATGGCGAGATCGTAGGGCTCATGCTATAATCCATGTAATTGATCGTAACCGGGCTGCCGAGGAAAACGTAACAAACCATTTCTCGCTGTTGATATGCATCAGTATCATCGTGATGATTATAAGCCTCTTCCAAGGTGTCTGGGTAAACTTCGCCCGGAGAATTGATGAGATCCTGATCGTCTGACTCCATTGTTATGGCCTGGGACTTGTCAGCAGATACATGAAGAAAACACGGCGCATATACCCTGTCTGCAACTTTGTAATGATCTCCAGTTTCGATGAGCGACGACTGAGATGATGCGAACGGAGACGAAGAAAAAATCTGGGGAGGGCTGGAGCTGGGAGGCAAAGAAGACGACCGTGTGTTATCCAGTGGGGGGCTCGACGCCGCTTCCTCATCTACTTCACATGACTGAAGGCGAGGTAATTCAACTGTCATGCCACTAGATTGGACACGAATCTTCTGTAGGTCGTTTGTGTCGATCGATTCAACATGCGGAGTACCTATCCGTGAGATAAAAGGAGAGAGTGGTGCATTGAGGGTCTGCGCATTGTATTAGCTTGCCCCAAATGGCAGCAAAGTGTACAAGCCTACTTCATCTGTTTGAGGTAAATCTCCATCGATGGTAATTCCGGACATTGCCGTTGAACAAGATGTATTTGCCACGGGTTCTGCGACGTGAATGGGAGAAGATCCCAGGTCATTTTAAAGTCGATGCACTCCTCAGTGGCATTGACAGAGATAAATTACCTAAATGACGTTCAGGATCCTTCAGGTCACTGGACTGTAGTAGTGGAGGAGAGAGATTAGGAGGTAGCTGCGATGCAAGTGACTCTTCATCCAACTGTGGATATATGCGCATAAATCAGCACCAACAAGTCAAGCAGAGATAAAATATATACTTGCCTGGTGGTTGTCCGAAGGTGGCTCGTCCTGTGAGCATAATGGGCCGACAAGGACCTGGGGATACACGCATGGTGTCGCGCTAATTTCATCATGTGAGTCCATGGAAGCGAGAGCATCGGTACTAAGTTCTGTCGTTTGTTGTTCAGCAGTTTTATCCATATCTGAGCAATGGAAATATGTAGCTGTAGGACAATGAGTACTGCACTTAGTGAGTGAATGGTGAAGAGAGAATTCAAGGACGCGTCTCATCAAGACCAAGAGAGTAGTCACGTGCTCATGAAGTAGGCAGCTATATTTGGATCGCATCGCAAGCTTGCAGTCACAGAATATCGAGAACAAGTGTCGAGCAATAAAGTCTTCTAACAAATGCAGAGAGGACTACTTTCGCACAGAGCGGACACGTGGGTCGCCCCGTTCTGAGCGTTTTCGTAATTTTTCTTGCCTTTTGCTGATCGTTTCCTTCTCACCGCCCCCTTCTGCAGCCTGAGAGCTTGCGCCACGAGACCAACCGAACATTGGACCAATGAAGTTACTCCACAGCTTGTATCCGGCGTACAATGGGATCTAGTAAGCAAGATCAGTTTATAACCACATGACGAGGTTACACAGGCACTTACTACGAGGTAGAACCACCAGACCCAATCACCGAAGGCGCCACTGCCGATCTGACACGCCCCTAGACATATAGACTATATGTTCAGCCGATCTCTTAGAGTGACGCCGACTCACATGTGACATAGAGTATATCGAAACACCATTCTGTGACTCCCGGTTGATTAAGGTCTTCTCCAGGAGAGATGAGTGCTCCAGTTGTTGGGTCTCGTCTTGTAGTGCCCATCCTTTCGAGATAACGTGAAAGGAATAGAGCAGGTAGATATGTCACAACGTAGAGTGCCAGCGAGCCTTTGGATGGAGGAAGAGAGCTTCGCCGGAATAAAAGACGGAAGACTGCAGAGAGGAGGGTGGGGATGAACACTCCGAGCCTCAGATTTCGGAGAGCCTGTTCATTCTGTAGCGCTAAAAAAAGGTTGTGCGTTCGTTTTCAAAGAGAAAGCTGATTGTATGATAAAATCGTACCAATTCGTTTAGCTGCTCCGTGAGCCATGATGGTAGACGGCCAGCAAGCGTGTTGAACCCAATTTGTGCACGCGTCCCTATAATTTTCAAATTAGCTCCGAGCCACACGTCAACTTCATTTTAGCTGTCAACTTCGCTTACAGTCATGTCGCAGACCAACTGCACAGAGGTAGTGAGAGAGGCCATCCAGGCCAACAAGGACCACCAACACGCCTTGAAAGTATACACCGAAAGACTTGGGGCAGAGCTTCAAATTGTCGACAAACTCCTGGTGTGTCATATTCTGCATATTTACCCTAATTTCAATAATGGCTTCTAGGAAACTGCTGATGCTAATCTGGATGACGAGCCAGACATCGATGTCGGCGGCTCCGTCCTCATTCCAGGTTCTGTTAAGGCATCTGGACTCTTGGCTCCGAGTGAATTGCTTTCAGAGGTGATAATAGTGCCTGTTTGCTCTTCTACTACTGAAGATCCCTCCAGGACTCTCCGTTCTACGAAGAAGCTGCACAACGCAGTCGATATCTAAGCTTGACAGAGGTTCATTCCAGTGCGTTATTCGGACCATTACGCTATTCATCCCCTTAACTCGCGGCTGCAGTGACCAAAAAGGACCTCGAGACTCTGAGAGAAGCTGTGAAGACCGAAAACTACCGTATGCACGCTCTGGATGCTCAACGAAAGTTCGTCTTGCTCTGTGTATGATATGACATTACCAACTTCTCCTTCAGAGGCAATCCTGTGTTTACAAGTTTGAGTGATCAACCATCAAACTATCTCGAGTTGAATAAGGAGGGCCTTGATTGGGATCGCATTGCAGAGAAGGTGCGCTAAAAAAACATACCCACAACTATTTGTTAATACTTGTGCACCAGGTCTCTTCATCATCCATGTATATGCGTACACCAAGAGAGTGTGAGATACGCTGGCTAGGTGATCAGCATCCATGTTTCAATCATAGCCCTTGGACACAGGACGAAGTCACCAAACTCAAAGGGCTCGTCGCAGAATACGGGAATGAGCAAGTGGACTGGGAGGCCGTGGTAGATAAACTCGGGGTATGTCTGCTTTTTTAACCAACAGAAAAGAGTGACGATCTACAAATGACAGACCCATCGAACGCCGCTGGACTGCATGATACACGGCGCAACACGAAAAGTTCATATGTGGACACCAGATTCTGACGAGCGTTTGTTGAAAGCTGTTGCCACTTTCGGTCACGACAACTGGTCTGTAGGTATGTATCTTGCAACATCGCACATTTGTGTCCGCATTCAACAAATTTACTGTACAGTGGCTTGTCGAGTCTCAGAAGATGCTACCCCTAGTCAGTGCCAGAACCGCTATCAACGCACTCTCGACCCCGCTCTGAAGCACAAAGCATGGTCTGATGAAGAGGACTCGCGCCTACGTCTCGCAGTCCAAGCGTACGGTACTTCCTGGGTGAATGTCGCATCCGCCATCCCAGGCCGTCATAATGATCAGTGTCGTGATCGTTGGAACGATATCCTTAGCCCTGCGGTAACCAAAGGGAAGTGGACCGAAGAAGAAGACCAAGATCTTTTGGTCACAGTACAGCAACTGGGGACTTCGAGCTGGAAGGAGGTCAGCAATCGACTGGGCAGTGGGCGCACCGATAGCATGGTAATATTCATCGCTTCAGAAGCCCATGTTTCTTTTTCATTTATCTTGCTTTAGTGTCGAAACAGGTATAATAATCTCCAACGGTCAAAGACCTCGAAGCCAACCAAATCGCAATCTCAAACAGCAACCTTTAGCGTCATTCCTCAACCCTCAATGGACATGGTTGCAGAGTCATCTCGAGCAGCATCTCGAAAGAGAAAAGCATCTACTCCTGCCGATGAGTCCATTGACGTGAATGAATTCGCGCCCATCGAGAAGTCAAGCTCTGTGCCCAGAGTTCCAGGTATACATGTAACCACGAGGACGGCTGATTCGGCTATAATGTTTCTTGATCCGGTCATCAACGTCAACCCTGAAACTCACAAGAAACGCACTCGAGAAGTTCTAGGGATGGCCAAGAGCAAGAGTCATGAGCAGGCGAAAGCGAAAGCGAAGTCAAAGTCAACGAATCCTGATGCTAGCACTACCCCCGAGGGCACTGGCGACCCATCAACGTCTACCAAAAAAGTGGGAAGAAAGAAAAAGGTTTATGTAGAACCTGTATCCGAAGAAATGCCAGCCAAGAAGGCTCCTCGTCCTAGAGCCCGACCTGTTCGCAGAAAAAAGAATGCCGCACCTGGCACCATGGTTTTGGATTTAGGGCCTCCCTCTGTTTCATGTACGTACTCGTGTTATCATGCTGTTTCTAGATCTTGACTCTCTTTAACGCGCCAGCAGGGGATAATAGTGGGACTACTGATCAAGCTGGTTCAAACGCTCTGAATCCTGGAGGACCCGGACTCGTGGTCCAGTGCTGTCATATCAGTGAATTAGGCTTAAGACCACCGTCACCGTCGAATCGAATGGGATAAGTACTCCTGAATGTTGAGGTTTCAAAACGATGTCTTGCTTTTCGTTCGAAAGTGTCGGTGAGCCTGGAATGATAAATTGTCTCGTAATACACACATAGAAGGTATTTCAATCGTGAAATCGTATATTACGGTTTATTACTTAATAGGCGTGCTTGTGTGTCTCGATATCTAGCTCCTGGTCGGCCCACTAATATATTCTACCTACTGGCACCAAGCCTTTCCATCAGTACAAGGGTGGAAACGTTACGAGACTGCTAGCACGATGTCCCTTGTAACTGTAACGAAGGTCAGCACGATGCTCATCAACTTCGTGTTTCAATGGCTGACCCTGGATACTTTGCATCTATGCACTGCCGGCAATCATCCCAGTTTCGTGTACAATCCCTGCACATGGGGGACGCGCAAGTTTTGCATGAATGCGCTGCCTCAGTCCATCTACATCGATGACAGTAGCAGTGACCACAACTGGAGCACCTCGATAAGCGGGGTACGCAGTTATCGCAGATATGGCGACGGCATATCCCGCACTTCCCAGTGAACCGCGGACACGGGAGTTGAAGCTGTTCCGTATCTCCCTCCTCTTCAATGCAGTCATCACACAGCCTTGTCCTACTGCAAACTGTACAGCTCTGGATGTATGCGCACCAGTCCTGGCAATACACGACTTTGCAGCTTGGGCAGTTGATGAACGGCGTCCCGGATGGGTCGGCTGAGCAGAGTCCACACAGCCATGTTCGTGAACATGCGCATGTACGCCCTCCTGGTTCGCAGTCTGAGCAGACCATATCTCGAAAACGATTGCGATTACGGGACCAGCAGTAAAGGTTACCACAGCGGCACCACGCTGAAGCGAGACCCTGGCGGACGCAGTCCCGACAAGGAGCGATTCTTGGAGGGTGCTCGTGGCTGATGGGCTGGTGGTCGTCCTCCGTATCTGGGTCTTTGATAGGATCGATGATTTCAAATGCTGTGTGGTTAGGTCTAGGGGTAGGGGTCCACTCAGTACCGCCTTCAGGCCGTCCAACACACCAACTCAGTGACTCCATGCAATACCACTGAGAACATATTGGACACCGGCCAGTTTGAGGTGTTGCGCAGGGAACGCAGAAGAATTCTCGGTCGTGGTAAGAGCAGCCCACGACGGAGACGATGGAAGATGCCTTGCAGCTCGAGTTCTCGCACGCGTGTACACCGCATGCACGGCATCGGATAAGGTCGTGGGAGCACAGTGGGCAGGTAGTAGTGGGGGCATCATGTTCCAGCACCTCTGGATCTACAAGTTCCAACTCCACAAGACGGTGCAAGAAAACCTAAAGAATATGATATTACCACGGAGACTGCAAGATTCTGGGATCACCAGAGAATATTGCGAGCACCGCACTTACGATTGCGTTCTTTCTGCGACGTTCATGTTCTTGCTTCCTCTTTATCTCTTGCTCCTGCCTTCGTGATTCTTCATCCTTCTTCCATTCATTCACTTGTTCGGTTATGAAAATCTTCAATTCGTTCTGCACGCCTTCGTCTGCGGGTAAAGGAAAGTCCGGGATGCCCTCGGAGCCCTGGGTGACATCCCTTACCACCATGTTATTCAGATCAATTGAGAAGCATATGGTCTTCTGGCGTGACAAGGGATCGAGCCTGGAAAGATGAAGACCGGAATGTTCCAGGACACTGGTGGTGGCATTTAAAATGGCAAGGAAGGACGAGTGCGAGGGTAACATCTCATCCGGGGTGACTACACCGTCTACGCTATCGCGTCTGGCGAGAGCTCTTGCAATCTCCACGATCTTGGGATAGATCGGATGGTCAGCTCCGACATGGCGGAACTGCATAGTGTTTAGTTTATGAATTGTGATGTTAATGACCGGAGGTGGCATGTTGGTGGTCGGAACGATGGAAACAGTAGACTGATCATTCACAGTTCGGACACTGGCTGCTAATACTAGTACTAGGCTTCATGCGTCATGGGGAAACCTTGACTTAACGTCATGGAGTAACATCAAAACAATCAAGGACAAGGACCAGGCCCGCCCAGCTACATTATTTGATTGGTACATAAAACAGAACTATACGCCCACGAGGCCTAAATATGCGAAATCAAACTGTTAAGCCGAAACTTTCCACCGCTTCCGTGGGTACGTGGAGGCTTCCCAGTTGACGATGTGACCCAGCAATTCGCCATCTTCTTGCCCAAGATTATCTTCTGTTGCTGTGAGCAGATTCTTCAATGACTCCTGAACCAGCCCTGCAGTCTTGAGTTTCCTTTCGAGTGAGGGAAGCGCGGCTTTTTTAGGGGGAGAGGCCTTTGAGGAGCAAGGTCAGTCAATACACCGGAAGACACGATAACGATGATGGACTCACTGGTGTTCTAAGATACGTATGCTTCGGTGGCAATGCGGGGAAATGGGTTGGAAGCTGGCGTAGAGTCCCTGGCACGACGGGGGGCATATTCTCGTCATCTGAAGGAAGGAGTTCGGGCGACTGCGACCGTGGAGGTGGCATTTCAAAAATTGGTTCAGCTGGTTCAACTTAATCTACGGTCAAACATTTAAGTTAGCATGGTTCGACATTACATACCAGAGGCTTTTGTAAATTCTGCAGCGATTGTGCGTAGATCCTTTGTTTTCAAATCTCGCTCTTCACATGCCACTAGTATGTCCTTTGCTATTGGTATTGCACGATTGGCAAGATTAGCGTACTGGTGGGCGCGTTCATATAGATTCTGAATGACTGCTCTCTGAGATGTGAGCTCAATAACTAACAGAGTGATGGGCCGCGTACAGGCTACGACTTCTTTCTCTAGTCTCTTCAACGCGAGGGGTTCGATTGAATCATATTCCGAGATCTGTAGCTGGGCAAGGATGAGTCGTTGCACTTCTTTGGAAGCTATTTCTGGAGAGATATCCGGTATAATCTCAGCGATTGCCACGCTTGGTTGGCGTGGATGCTGGACATGAAATTGATAAGTCGAGGCTGCTGCCAGTGCTGGCGGCGGGGGCGGCGGGAATCGATGTGGATAATGTGCTACCGCTGGCTGAAGCAGCTGGGGCGGTCCTGAACCAGTTGTATATACGATAGGATAAGGCTGTTGATAGGTTCCATAGCTTTGCTGATATGGAACGAAATTTGACATGGGAGTAGTGCGTTGGAAAGCCAGATTGGTCATGCTCACCTCGTTAGTAACCATCATTTCCCGGGCTAGCTGCAACCTGACGCATCACGATCTTTGTCTTATATTATATGCCGTGTGGCAGCGATATAGATACCTGAGCACTGCGCTTGTGCAAGCTCTCTTCACATGTTCGCCTTACTAAGTTTTCTATTTAGTTTTTTCAGGATGGGCGATGCAGCCGGAGAAATCATAGCTTCTCCGAGCGTGCCAGACTCCAGCAAGGATTCCGTGGGGCCTAATGTCCCAGACGAATATTTCCGCACGAGTAGGCCAGATATCGTTGGCCCCGACGTTCCAGACGCCCCGTTTCCAATTAAACTGTCTGGTCCCGTGCAGCATGGATTCGGCAGAGGGAGCAAAGACCTCGGATGTCCAACTGGTATGTTTCCAAACTGGATCTTGATCGAGCTGAATTGACGGGTGTGAACTATAGCGAATCTTCCAGACGATTCCCTCCCACCCATGATCGATGCTGCAAAGACAGGAGTCTACTACGGCTATGCTCAGGTTACCCCTTCTCAGGGAACATCGTCATCCTTATCTGACCAAGACGTATGCGTCTTGCCCATGGTCATGAGCTTTGGGTGGAATCCTTTTTACAAGAACGAGCGCATGACTGCGGTAAATCTTCTTTCGCCATCCTTGAACTATCCTGAATCCCATCGCCCAGGAAATTCACATAATGCACGAGTTTAAGACTGATTTTTATGGGTATGATATGAAGGCTTTGGTATTGGGATATATCCGTCCGGAACTGCACTACATTTCACGAGGTGCGGCCGTCCCTGAACCGCTTTCACCCATACTAACGACTTTCTACTCACAGAAGCACTTATAGAGGACATAGAATTTGACAAGAAGGTCGCACTCAAGTCAATGGCGAGGCCAGAGTACGAGAAGTACATGTCAGACCCCTTCTTCACGGTCTAGGCGCGCAATCAAGTCAGCAGACCCTTGCGCTTCGAATGGGATGATTGTGCTATGACCATAACACATCACTAGCGAAGCACAGGGTATTTAGAGTGTTACATAGTAAATGTTTGAACTACGATTGTAACACAAAACTCTTGCCAGTGGGCGCTGATATACGCGTTGCACTGGAGAGCGAGAATCAATGATATTGCCATTGACTAGATACCGTGGAGATCCTTGTCGACACTCCCTGCTTGTAATGAAGAAAGACCAGTGGATTGCGGATGAGCAGACTTGTAAAATTCTGCTTGGGAGTGCGTGCTCTGAATGGCTATAATTAATTCAGCGGATGCATCACAATACGAACCGGAAACAACGCACAATACTATAGTCGTCTTGCCTTCTTTGCCCTCGTCCCTCCAATCTTTATAGGTGTCCTGTCCTCAACCATCACCACCGACGATCGAATATTGTCCCCCTCAGAAGTCACGAACGCCTTCTGGACCGCTTCCCTCCCCCACCCGAACCCTTTAAACTTCAGCGCAAGCGTGACAGGTGACACACCACCATCCTTGAAGTTTGGTCGAGTTATTTCCTCCTCAACGCGCTTGAAAGCGCGGACAGCGCACTGATACCCTGCTTCATAGCTGCTTTTATTCGCTCCCTTGAAACCACACGAACCACTTGTCCACCATCCATTCTTGACAAGCTTGCCGGACGGATAGGTAAAGACGACGCGGCAATTGTTATGTGTAGTGTAAACGTGGAGGTGGTAAGGCTTTGTACGCTCCGCGACGTCCTTCTTCGGTTCCCTCTGCATTGTTGCAGTCAAAGGGTTGTAGTATGTATTTGGGCCCATTGGAGGCTTGTCTAGTGGAGGAGCAGGCGAGTCTTCACCTCCCCACATGTCATCGGCGAGGCTGGTCCCGAAGGAGGCAGGTCTTGAGATAACTGCATTTTCGTGCAGGCGAGCACGATGCAGAGATTGACGTGCAGCGTTGAGTACTGATGGTCGTAGTTGAGCGAGTGAGGCCATCGCCAGGACTCTGATGCTTGAGTTGAGCGAACGTAGAAATTAGCAAGACTTAGACGCGCCTGAGGACCGTGAGAAAGCAAAGTTCTGTCACATTTTCGGATTGCACCGGGTCGGGAACCTTCTCCATCCAACTCGCTGCTCACAAAAAACCATGGCTGTAAGTCGAACAAATAGTCGATAGTCGATGACATGACGCTAACTGTGACTCTGTTCGTAGCTCGCCAACGCGTTCTATAATACTGTCGTGAAGCGCAACAGTACGTGACCCGGTCTCCTACAGCGCTCATTGTCATGCATAGTTTGATTAACCAAATCAAACTTCTAGGCGTCTTCGTAACTTCCATTTTCGCTGGAGCCTTTGCGTTCAACGTTGGTTTTGACATCGCTGTGACCAGTTTCTGGGACCGTTGGAACCAGGGAGTGAGTAACCGACACACCTAACGCCGCCCGATGACTGACTATGCTGTCTTTACCCGCATGGTTTAGAAACAATGGAAGGACATTCGTTCGAAATATATCCAGGAGGAATCAGACTCATAATTTCATCCCAGTTGGCCAGCGACCTACTTGCATAATGATTATATTCTTCAATTAGACTTCTTCCCGGAATTAAGTTGTCGGTGTGTACCAGAACGTGGAGAACTATGTTACCTCAGGTGATATCATCGTGACAATTTGGTGTTATTGATGTGCTAAAGTATTAGCGCTGCGTATGTACTTCCATTTGTCCATGCAGGCGGCACTCTGGCGGCTTGCCACCGTCTGCTAATTAGACGTTGGGTATCCTTCCCGAGCTTCACTTGTGGGAGTACGCTGAATCGAAAAGTGCATCATCCTGGAGTTATATCATCATGAAAATTCAGTGCTGTTGATACACTTAGCGCCGCATATATGTTCTATCCATCCACCAACAAATACGGGCGAGCAGCTGGCACCTGCCTAACTTATTGCGGTCAGGAAACTAAGGTGATTACAGAGTCCATTGGCGAACACGATAACGTAGGGTTCGATATGTACGTGTATGTTGAATATGCGAGTATATACCTCGGAACACGGCGCTACATAAATGCAAATGAGGGTGAGGTACAGTCTGGTACAGTGCTAGAATACGACGCTGAATTGTAAAGTGCAAATGAGCATTGGTCTACCGATGATGATGATAATGATGATGGAAGACAGACAGAAGGCAGTTGAATAGAAATACGGACGCCCAGGAATATAAAAAGAAAACCCACATACAACGCGATAGGTACCGCATTGGCTAAGGAGAAAAGGTGTCACTGGGGAAGATAGTAAGTATCAGGTGGAGAGCATGCCGGGATCTTCATCATCTAAGCGGCTGAAGATTTCATCAAAAATCTCTTTGCCATCACCGGACAGAGGAGGAAGCTCGTTGGTGTCAGCAGACGGATCATCCCGCGAAGCTTTGATCCTGCAAACACGTTCTTCATTCCAGATGTTCTCGAGGGCCTCCGTAAGGCTCTTCAACCCGAACAGGAACCCGCGATCAGGCTCTTCGGGGAAGTGGGGGGGAAACCGAGCATATATCAGCCCCGTTTCCACATCCACTTCAGCTTGATAACCCTTAGAGCTTGACACCTGATGGATGATATCGCGACCTGCGGGCGCAGGATAAGGAAGCCAATCGCGCCCAGTAGTTGTATGCGCGAAATCGACGATACGGACATTAACTTCGCCGCGCTTTCGCTTCCCGCTGGAACGCTTGCCAACTGGACCAACGAGCAGGTCTTCGCTATGAGTACGGCGCAATAAAGGCCGCTCGTCACTGGCGCTGGACCGCGTACTGGACCGCTCCAACGACTCTCCACGCTTACTACGGGATGAAGGGTGCTCTAGAGCGCACGTTCGGAACGCTTCTTGTGCCTCACGATCTCCGTCATAGATAAGGAGGAGACTGCAGCCGTAGAACCTGAAGCCCTTCAGACGATTGATGATCCGAGCTAGAGTATAAAGCTTCTGGAGAAGAATAGGAATCTGCCAGACGAGGAGACGTTCCCCATCTTGCAGGAAAGACGCCAACACCGACTCAAATTCTTCAGCTTTTACGTCTCGACCCCTGTACTTATCTTGGGTCACGTATGCTTGCGTGGCGTTGTTCCACACCTTAAATGTAAACCAATTTAGTCAACTCCAGATTTCTCACCCATCTATATATATACTCACCTGCATACCACAAACCCGGACGCCTAGGGGTCTGCTCGTCGTACAGTCACACTTCTTCCGTTGACTCTTCTTTTTGGCGAGCGTCGCGTCCATGCCATACTGTCGTGTCCCCATCTTCAAGTCAAGGACACACGAACGCTTCAACCGACCGGTCAAATCTTCCATGCAAATGAAATGGTTTTGACGCGTGATCGAGTCGTCAAAGTTGAATGTGGATGGAGGTTTACTTGAAACAGGTGTTACAGGAGTAGAAAATCCGAGAGATCGTGACCGACTCCGATGTCTTGTGGGGGAGGGAGGGAGGTCAGGTTGGTTGTGATCTTCAAGCGTAACAGAATCCCCGTCGCTAGTACTTTCTTGTGCATACATCGAGTCCATAGCAGACTCACTCTGGACACGCGGAAGAACGGAGGGAAACAGGTGACTTCCTTCCTCTCCTTTCGGCCTCTCTGCTGGTCCCACAGGGTGCCTCCGACGATGTGAGCGAGTGCGTCGGGCAGAGGAAATCGGACGACCCTCATGATCAGCCATCTCACCCTCATCTTCTGTCTTCGTGGACCACTTAGCGCGATTCCGACGCTGGAATCTGCGGAGAATGGTGTTAAAAACGTGATCCTTGAGCTTTGTGTTGACCATCGTTAACCCTGTTCCCCCAAACCAACTAGGGGTTCCTTGTTGCTGCCCGATCCCCGACTCGGAAAGGAAAGGTCGTAAGGACTGCGGGTGAATTCCCTCCGGCACTAACGTACGATGAGCTGAATGGGGGTCCGCAAATGGCGAGGACGGAAGGACGCCTGAAGAGCATTCAGGCGAGTTGGAAGGTGGAGGCGGCTCCCCCTGAAGGGGCATGGTAGCCTGACGCAGGAGAGGGTTGCACTGCACTAATGAAGGCTCTGGCCGCGTAAGGTCAGGTGTTGACGCAATCACACCGCGCATGGACGTGAGATGTCTGGGAGTATCAGGAAATTTACGGTAAGATGGCGGGTAAGAGAACGAGATGGGACGATCGTGTTTCGGCCCGTCAAGATGGAGAACCCATTCAGGAATAATGTGGCGATTGCGGTCAAGCACCACTTCGGGCATTTCATCGGATGTTTCATGACTTGATACATCATCGTCTTCCAGAAACTGAGCGGGGTGCAATGTTGACCCCTGAGTGGGACGAGAAGGGTAGGAATTAGATGTGTGAAAGTCAGGAGATGATGGGTGGGCGGGATGGGGATGGGGAGCATGTGTGTCTGGTACACTCAAGTTGGTGGCTGGTAATGAGCCTTTGGATACGCGTCGGTAAGTGACAAGCATCACACCAAGATAACGTGGAATGAATCCAAGTAATGGGGGTGCTTCTCGCTCAACAGCTTCATAAAACTGATTTTCTCTTGAAACCAGAGGCTGTGTAAGATGCCATAAGAAACGGATCGCGACAGAACATCGCCAGACATACCTTGCACACAGCACGCTTGGTAAATCTATATATCGCACTGTGGCCGCCAACTTGGTTTCGGAAAGGACGTAGAGGGATGTGTGGAAGACTCTCGTCTGATGTACCGAATGTCATATTCAGTGGCAATCGTTCCGGCCTTCCAGACGATTGTAGCAGATTGTGCCCAACTAGAGGTCAGGTTTGAACTTTTGGAATGAAGACGAGCACTTGTCGACAAGTACTTGTAGATATTAATCCCTATGCTCTGGGACAAAGATTTGTTTGTGAGTTGTGGTCCGGTGTGACCTGCACGGAAGGTTATTCGTGTTTTTGAAGAATGATGAATGACGGACGAGACACGTGCTTCAGAATGATGACTAAGCCACAAAGTCCAAGCACCTTCAAGCGGTGTACCTGCCTCCCCAAGTTAATTCAGCATGAAATGCGGAGAATTCAACGAGTGACAAGCATCTTACCTTGTAGGAATGAAAGAACCTCAATCCAAACGTCAGAGCCGACTTTTCTACCCAGCGCAATCATATGCGGTGCCACGGGTCCTATCGCACGTTCGCTGGCAAACATGCTCAGGCTACGACAAAACCGAAAAAACCACCTGATCCTTGGCAAATGAAATCATGGTCGGGATAAAACCGAGTAAGCTTCGTCTTCGCCGCAGTCATCCCACCTTACTTTCCATCAAGGGCGAATGAGGGCATGCACGGTCTTGCACTGCTTGGAAGCATGTATACTACGCCCGTAGGCGCCCGTGTTTAGCCGCACCTTCTCAACAGCCTGGAACGTGGCCCCCGTTTTCCCATCGTTGCCCACACATGTTTTCCGCTCTTCAATGGTTAGTACGTGTAATCAAGATGTAGACCGATATGGAACTGCTAGCGCCTTGGACACAACTTCCCCCGTGGGGACCGATGACAGATGAGTGAGTGCGATATCAATAAACTTAACATTTTACAAATTGAACAGGTCCAACAGGAGAATTCCGAATGCCTGTTTTCAGCCAAACCCAACTATGGATCGTCACCAACTTCTGAGTTTGGCCACTCGCACTGATTCCTATCAGTGTGTTCCTTCGGCGAGTTTGAATGAATTCATTGACTTATCCGGTTCGAGGGACTATCGACGTCCTATTACCACCCATTTCATCCCCACTGGCCTGAGAGTCGAGTCAGCAAATCTGGTGGTTCCGTGCAGGTAAGTTCCGCGGTGCCTTCTCCACTGGGGCCCCGGGGCGACACGGCGGATAGTTCGTTCATGTCCGACTCCATCGACGTCCTCTGCCTTCCACTTGATTGTTGTGAGTGCGAGAAAATTTGTATTCCGCCGCTTTTATTCATAGCTGTGAACAGCTATGATCACTCACTATGGGGATGATAAGTTGGTATGTCAGACATCGTGCATGTGTGAGTTGTAAACCTGTGTCTAGTTTCCGCCAGTTCTAACATATCCTTGGAGAGCGGACCGGTGTTTGGAGAGGAACAGGCCAGATTCAAGATGTGGGGGTTTGAATATGGATGGTACATATCTGGGAGCTGACTACGATTTGGCATTGTGCGTACACTCGGCGAATGTCTATGTGCAAAGCCGCCGCCACCCCGAGCCGTGTTTACAGTGGCGAGTAATGGTATACAACGGGGTACCGATCTGCGGCTTGCACGGGCATGCACATACCCATAGACGCGTTGTCTTTAGCTCACACCAAATATGTTGTGGTCTAAAATCCTTGGTTTGGTTTGGTTTTAAATGACAGTTGAATCAATTCGCGACGCCAGTCAAATCATATCTGTGACTCAGCTTTCGAGTCATCAGCTTACACATACGAGGCCCCTCTTCGTTTGGGTATATATGAGGCTTCCATCTGTACTCTCTTGCCCTCACAGAGCACTTCTGCACCATGTACCGACCTGCCAGGCCGCACCCCAATTTGAACTACCCACCCTCCCATTTTGCAGTGCATTCTGTTCGAGTCCCCGTCTCTCATATTAGTTTTTTCTATCTCTTCCCGAGTCCCCGATTGTTCACAACTCTTGCTACTATGTTCTGCGACTCTGATTGCAATAAAATGTGACCGAGCCCCTCAGGGATGGAACCAGGGGACTTCACTTGCCCAAAAATATGTGACCTCTATCCTGAGTGTAGACTGATTCATGTTTCGAGCATAATGAGTTTTCACTGTGGGAGAGTTAGCACCACCAGAAACAGATGGGTAGTGGTGAACATTCAATAATGGTGTTTTAGAAATATAATACTGTAAACCTGCCTCATGCTAGGATGGCACTCAAGACAAGCAAGACACAAGTAAGTTAAACAAGTAATCTATGAGAGGCAAAATGCAGTGGGATAGCAAAGAAACACTATCTCAAAATAAGCATCTCCTCTCTACCAGTTACTGCTAGTGCTGAAGCAACAGACACTTGGCCATAAGACCCACAATGTTGAAGAATGGCTTGGCGTGAGAATAGAGAACCTTCCAGAAGGTCAAGAACCTGTGAATGAGTCAGATTACTAATAAAGTTCAAACTCCAACAACAGCACAGTATAAATTGGGACATGGGTCCATGTTTTATTGTTTTGTCCCTCAACCAAGTACCACTACCATCTCTAGGACTCTCTCTAGTAATGGCTCATCCTACAAGCAACCCTTCCTGTGATGGTAGTGATGGAGCGCATTCTTCACCTACTATTTCTAAAGCTTTGCCTTCTGTCATTTCTCATGCAAGTGCCCAGTCACAGAACAATCATTCTGCTGGACATCATGTGCAGTGGTCAGACCCATTGGTGTATACCAGGGGCATTCCTACAAGGAAACCTCAGGTGGTTAACCCTGTGTTAGCTGCTGTCACACCATCTGTTACCTCCAATTATTCCTCCCAGCAGGACACTGGAACCATTGCAGGTGCTATGGAGGGTCTGAATTTGGCACCCTCTACCTCTAGTGCAAGTACTGCCCCATCTGCTCACAAGCTGCCACCCCAAACCTTTCTTTCATTATGCCCTCAGCTCACTAGTACATCCCAAGCTGTTCATCAAGGCCCTGCCTTTGCTACTGCACCCAGGGATCCAAATTTGCGCTTCATTTTTTTGCACCGATTACTGGCAACTCAAGCCAGGGAACCTCTCAATCCTATTGATTCTAATGAGAGCCCTGCTACCATAGGTAACATGAACATGCCCTCAGTGATATCTGATTCTAAACTTCACATATCAGAACCCCAGAGCCTAATCCCAGTAGTATCTGAGGCAGTGCTCAACCAACTAAATGGCACTGTGAAGTCTAGTACTGATGTCAATGGCACTCCCCCATCAACTTCCACTGTCATAGAAGATTCAGATGTCATTGACCTCACCCTTGGCAGTAATGAGGAGAACAATCTGTTGCAAAAGCAACCTAAAAATCAAAAGAGCACACAGAGGCAAAGAAATGCAAGTATCAAGTCAAAGTTACTCTGGAAATTTTAAAATGGCACTGACTCAAAGCATCACCCCATTCAGACTCAGATTCTGTCAACGTCAATAGTCAACACAGCCAAGCGCCGCCTCGACTCGGAATCCAGCGACACCTCGGAAGGCGGTCCTCCAAAGCGCTTAAAGCGAGCGCTACGAGCTCGTTTCGACTCAGATTCAGCGACGAGTGATATCGATCACGTTTCGCCCGGGCCACGCTCGTCAATCGAACCTACCTCGTCTTCGGGCAGATTTTCATCCAGCAGTGTCGAAGTGACCGACGATGTCGTTCCAGACGGTCCGAGATCCGTAGCAGATGCGTACAATAACCGTGCAAAATCTTCCGTCTCTCTTGATGATACTCAAGCGCCAAGGCATTCGGCTCGGGGGAGTGGGGTTTCAGTTGTAGTGCGTACGCACAGAAGGCCGGCCCCGGGTGGAAGTGCCGTAGCGTCAAGCAGCAGGGTTAGGGTGGAGGACATGGAAGTGTCGGACAGCGAGGACGAAACCGGTGATCCTCAGCGAGCACGGTCCTATGCAAGTGCGATCTCCCGAAAAGTGCGTGTGTGGGCGGAGAAGTTGAAAGGAATCCGCCGCGCGCATTTAGATTCTCTGTTTGACGATACCGTAGTGCGTGTTTCTCTGTTATAATCGTAGTAATGGATGCTAACCCACGCATTTTTCGGAGATAGGAGATTATGTCCAAAGGCGAGATTCTGAAGTTGTTGAAAGATATCGACGAGGACAAGAACTGGGTTACTCGTGCGGAAGTCGAGGATACTCGTCTTCAAAGGTTCCTATCCGTTGTGCTGACCAAACATCTGGTGGAGGGAACGGAAGCCTATAAGCTCGCAATGAGCATCCTCGACAACTTTGCGCAGAGGTTCCGCGGTGAGAGATACCCACAGGGACGTAGGTGAAAGTGAGGGGAGGGAGAACAGGTTAAAGGAAGGTAACTCGTGGGATGCTGCGGAATCCTGACGTGGACGGACGTGGAACAATACCCAAGTTCTAAAAATTTCGCAGGTACGCTCCCATTGATAGAGGTAGTATGGTTTGTCCGTTTTTGGCGTGTGCTGTTGTTTCGTTGTCTCATGTTCGCTGTCTTGGCTTTTTTTGTCGTGGTTGTGCTTTTTTTTGCAATCATTGTTGTTCTCTGCTTTGATACGCATGCTCTCTTGTCATGATCTTGTTTTCTCGAACGTTGACGTTCGCTGTTTTTGTTTGCTTTACCCGATTATGTTTTCTTCGAGTCACGATAACCCCTAACGTGTTCCGTTCACTTTTGCTTGACCTGATTAGTACTACGATGTTTTCTTCGAGTCATGATAACCCCCTAGTAATATGTTCCTTCCGATTGATTACTCTCTTTGCATTAGCTAACCCCGTCTCATGAATGCGTATGCCCAGCGAGATCTGTGTAAATTCTGATCTATAGTCCTATGAATCATAAACATGCTTCCATGAGTATCGTATGCTACTACTGAGTTAAATTATCGCATGAACTATAGTGGGCTGGTAAAAGTAAGTCACGAAAAACGTAGAAACGAAGGCGTGAAGTCACACATGCGACGGGTGGTGATGAGAGTGGGAAATCAACTATTGATGCTAACAAACCACATTTATCCGCCGCTTCTTCATCACGGGACCCTCATCGGCCGAGTCAATGTCGTCCACAACGATGATAGGAGATTCGCTACGAGGGGGAGGTGCAGTTATTGGCACAGGCACAGGAGGCTTCTCCGCGACACTGACAGCAACGCTCTCAGCAGTCGGCGGATGGGCAGCTGGTGCTTGGGTCTGGGCACTGTCGAAACCCGACACCGTAAGTAGTTGAGGCGTCCGTGACGGGAGTGGCGTAGTGGTAAATGGCCCACCTGCCGGAGGGGCTTTGTTGTCACGAGATCCGGGTGTGCCCCCGCGACCACCTCTTGCGCGTTTGGTCCGCCCGCGTCCACGCGTCATTTTCTCCTTGAGATATCGCACGATATGACCTTGTAAGATCTCTAGAGCTTTCTGAGCGCCGAGCGCCTCGAGCTCTCTTAGCTGCTCTGGAGACAAATGTGAAAAGATTGTGGGTGATAATATAAGGGTATTATTATGAAGAATGATGGGTTGTGCCTGCTCAGGGTTCGAGGATGAAGGATGCGAAGGTGGAACAGGTCCGACAATGATGGGTAGGCAAACAGATGCCGGCAATGCTGAGAAGGGTGCAGATGCCGCACATGTGGAAGATTCTAATGAAGGAGTCGATGCTAGTGCAGGAGCCACATGCGGAGATGCGGTTCCTGGTGCCGTGTACACTGTTGAAGTGAGCTTGGGTGCCGTGAGCTCTGGCTTAATAATGGGTGTGGTTGTGAAAGGGCTCGCAAGGGGGGCTGTTGTCAACGGATTTGTGTGCGGTATAGAGGAATTAGAAGACTTGAATGATAGCGGCGCTGATGTTAACGGTGGCGGAAGAGTGACGCCTTTGATGTCGCCCTTGACGCTGCGCTTGAGTGCAGGTTCTAGAGGCGCTGCCTTCTCCTTCTTCCTGCCCTTTCCGTCTTTGCCACCCGTACTTGACGATGCGGCTTGTGATCTGGCTTCCTGCTCCTCGAAGGTGTGTTCATATTGTTCGTCTATGGACCAATAAAACCCCTTCCCTCGCTCTCCGGAACTCCTCTCCATCTTCTTGAATGCACGGCCGGATGATAAATTATGCCGAACAGAGTTCTGAAAAGCAGGTGAACCATTAGCTGTTAGGTGCGATATCAGAGATAAGATAGCTCACCTCCCACCCTGCACCCTCGTTGTACCGATACCAGTCGTAATTCTCCATCATCCACGAACATATATCCTGCAGCGTTGCCTTCCCGCCCATTGCCTTAATAGCTCGATAACAGAGCTGAGCGTATGTAAACTGGGGTTTGGGAGGCATAACCTCTGGCTTTGGTATGGGCAGGTCTGATTTCTTGCGCTTTTTTGGGGCGGTTTTTACCCTGGATATGCTGTTCGTGTTCGGGAGCTGCGGGTCTGGCGACTTTGGCGGCGGAACTGGTACGGAGACGGGGGGCGGAGAGTTTGAGGGAAGAGAGGATGGTGGTGATATAGACGTAATATCGACAGAGGGTGAACGTGCGCGCTGTACTGATGAATTTGAACTCGGAGATGGCGAGTCTTCCGGTGCTGGAGGGGGAGGGAGCACGAAATGGAAAGTCCTAGAAGCTATCTGTATTTGAGACCTGATCCACGTTTAGAACGCTTCAGCTCATGAGAGACCAAATACCGACCTTTCCCCCAAAGGAACTCTGCTACCGCTGCCAGACCAAACACCGTCCACCCAAGCGCCGTTTCTGCCTACGACAGCGAGAACAAAGCGCTCATCGTCCTCCTCGTACTCGATCTTGGCATGGAGTCTGGATACACTCTTGAGAGGTCCCAAATCGACATCAACAGGACTGTTGTCGCCAGCAGACGTAGACGCATTGGGTATGCAGCGTCGCCCAATAGTCACCGTCAGGGTCTGAAGATAGAAAGTGATGTTTGGGAAAACAAGGGAATAATATGCGCTGATCTTTGCTGTAGAGTCATCTGGAGAGACAGAGTTACGAAGGACGTCGACGTTGTCCATCTGAGAGTCCAGCGCTGCAAGGGCTGTTAAGGACATTATTGACATTAGAGTCGGCGAGTGTCGGCGAGACTGACCACAGTGACTTGCTCTCGTCAACACGGGGTCAAACAATAAAAATGACCCCTCGATTTCACATTATGTAATTAACTAACCTCCCAGCCTGAGGCCAACCTGAACAGTAGACTCAGAGTACTACAACCATGTCGCGAATGACAGAGAAAGCACAGGATGAATTATCTTCTCTAGCTGACAGAAATGTAGACAGCACAGACTCTGATCTGCGTTACATGGCATATGCTGCTCGTCTCAGGACTGCAGTGCGTGCCGGCAGTCGTTACATTGCATATGTACGTTTATTCGCATCACTCAACTTATTTTTGTTCGTGGTGAAGACTGATCATAGACCAGTGATGTCGGAGAGGCATTTCGTCCCGTGGTACCTCCTGCCATAGTTACTGCATGCTACGGCATTTCATGGCTATATCTCGCTGGGTGCGTGCCGTTTCATCAATCTTTGTGCCGACTTGTGACATCATACCAGCGACGTGGGCTACGAGGCGTATAAGACTCATAGACGCGGGCCCAGCCCAATAGAGGCTGCCCATTTCTCTGAGCCGACAAGAGTGGGCATGGTAGCCGTCAAACGTGCGGTTTTCCAATCCGTAGCATCAATGTACGTGCACGTTCTTGACTATCACGCCTTTCATCTCATTGGATGCTCCCATCACGCACAGGGCGCTGCCCGCATTCACTATTCATACTGCCGTCAACCAAGCAAAGAAAGCTTTCACGAACGTGCAAAACAAGAGACTGAAGACTTGGGGTCCAACTATTAGTGGACTTGCTATCGTCCCTTTCCTACCATACATATTCGATCATCCTGTTGAGACAGCAACGGACAAGGCATTCGAGTGGATAGAGAAGAGGATAATTGAGAGTCAGGACGCTAGAGAGAAGCCAGAATCGTAATCGTAACTGGCTTGTGTTTTACCCATTTGTCTCATCTACTGTTTACCCTGTGCATCGATACGCTGTCATTGAAACGCTGGATTATTGTCGCCATTAATAGAGTTAAGACCCTCCTCACTGTAATCATCCAAGAAGGTTGTTGCTGTTTGTCATCCTTGGCTTTATTTACCTTCGAACGCCGAACCCTGTCTCCTGGAACCGGACAGCTAATTCTGATGTGGGACCTATGATCAGGAGAGTTCGTTGACCATGCTGACGTCGAACTTCGAAGCCTGCACAATCGGGCAAGTAGTGATTAATAGGGGAACAAACACAAATGTTAACAAACGGACTGACCGGCGTCGATTAGCATTACAACATCAGAGCAAAACGCATAAATAGACTAATGTGTCATGCCATCCATGCAATTAAATCGTATAATTGTAACTTCCTACTCGTAATCAGACAACAATACTAAATGCAGTATGTTACAGTGTAGTGCGACCGAGCGCAAGTGGAATCGAGCTGATGGAGCTTGGCGGAATAACTCCGACTTCTGTCACAACTGCTGTGATACTCGAGGGAGGTGTCAGGTCGTAGAGCGGATTCAGGATCTCTAGATTGGGCTGTTTGTTGAGGGTGAGCGTATCTTTTGACCGAGTGAGGGGGAAGGACGAAAATATATCGCCAGCAGGTGCTACAGGGCTATAATATTAGATCGAGATGAAAGATAACGACTACGGGGAACGTACCGAGCTCATTCTTGGTAAAACTATCTAGCTGGATTGTTTCCGCGAACTTGTATGTCTCGCAGCAAACGACGACAGGAACGCTGTGTTGTTTTGCCATCATAGCTACGAGGGCCGTGCCTGCACGAGAAAATACGGCACCATTCGAATGCAGGGAATGAGCGCCCACTAAGACTGTCGATACCTCTGTAATGACAGATCCAATAGATGGCAGAAGGAGATAAGTGCAGGGAATGCCCATGGCAGAAAGTACGGAGAGAAGTTTCTTGCCTATTCCGTAGGCCACAGCATGAGATTACAAACGGGACCGTATTAATAGGGCCTCTTACCCTCTAACATTGGTCGGGAATCAACGACGACAACTGAAAATTGCTTCCCATCATCCCACGCACCGACTAAAACTTGTTCCACAACTGAAGATCTGGGCGAATAACTATCAGCTAACGATAGCGGGAAAGTGTGAAGCTTGTTACCGAGCATACGTCAAAATGACGTCTCCGTCTTTAATCTTGGTCCCTGCAGTCTCTTGGATGACTTGATCCGCTATGGTAATTCGTTCACTGATATAATCATTTATCTTTTGACAAAGTAGATTTTTTGCCTGAAAACTGAATAAGTGCTATGTGTGACAGCGATGAATAATTGACACTAACATCCTGCTCCGGAAGGTCGATATCCGATCCGCTGATCTCTAGTTTGAGCTCCCGGATGGCATTGCCCATAGTGACAGACATGGGACGAGCAGAAACAAGATGAGTGATTTGAGGCGAAAGATGTGTTAAGAGATGCCTCGAGAGTGTATTATTCGGAGGAGTGACATAGTCCTGTATCACCTTGATAAACGTCAGCAATATTCGGTAGACCAAGACGATCGCAATTTACAGTTTTAAATGCAGTGAGGGTCGCAATACAACGCGCATTTGCCCCTGCGATCTTGAACTCCGAAAATTGCAATCCGAGGCGGATGATAGCGGGATGTATATCTCCCTTGCTAGGGCCGGGGGGTTTTGGGAGTCCAAAATGGGAGAATATCTGCAAACCACGAGCAGAGTCATCAGGTGTGGTTTCTTTTGTCTCCTTTGTCGGTTTTCCGTCAGGACCCTTTCCACCCTTCTTGACTGAAGCACTATTCTTCGCCTGAGCAGAATTCTGATTAGACCCGCTAGGTTGGGGACCAGCTACTTTAGTAGCAGCCTTTGCAGCTCTCTGACGCTCTTGTTGTTCGCGTCTCTCCGCTTTGGTCATCTGTTTTTGAGACTTTGGGGGCTGATTCTGGGATGATGCTTCGACATGAGATTGGGCAGGAGAGTGTTTGATTGTGGATTTAGAAGGAAGAGTGGTCATTGTAATGGTTGCAGTTGCACTCATCCTTTCAGCAGAGTATTTGACAAAGTCCAAGGGTATAACCAGTTAATGATCAGAAGAGCAGTAGACATCACATCCAACTTGGCTTGATCGTTTCGAATCATCCGAGTCATAGTCCGGGGAACGTGGGAATTAAAATTACATCAGCTTAAGTTCTCACGGCCATCATTTTGCTTTGTCGTGTCAGTCGGCGCCGAGGCTGAGTCCTTGCTCGTGGACGATCACATTATAATCTTCGTTTATATCGGAATTGCTGCACAATGGTATGTTCTACAAAACTGGTGAATTGGGCTTTCATTGACCTTGTTTATAGGGTGTCCCCGCACTGTTCCGTTGGTTGAGCAAGAAGTATCCGAAAATTGGTGAGCAACCAGTGCTTCACTTGTATTTGCTTGGCTAACAGCTACTAGTAACGTCTGTCATTGAAGCGGAGGAGGAGGAAGTTCTCGACGCAGCTGGAGATCCCATCAAACTTCCTGTTGATATCACACAGCCTAACCCCAATGGCGCGGAATTCGACAGCTTGTACCTGGATATGAACGGTATCGTGAGTGATGGAAGTAACTACGTTTTTCGTGGCTGACCACCTGTATGCACACAGGTTCATCCTTGTACTCATCCCGATGGCAAAGTACGCATATATTGCTCTACAAACTTGGTTTGCTCGCTGACTCGTCTTTCGCAGCCGGCTCCCGAAACAGAGGAGGAAATGATGCTCGAAGTCTTCAAATACACTAACAGAGTGGTCAACATGGTGCGGCCGCGCAAGCTTCTTTTCATGGCTATTGGTACGCTTTACATTTACGTTACCTTCTTATACCGTGGCTTTACACAGAGTCCAATTAGACGGCGTTGCGCCTCGTGCCAAAATGAATCAACAGCGGAGTAGACGGTTCAGGAGTGCTCAAGAAGCAAAAGACAAGGCGGAAGCTCGCAAACTTGCTGTTGCTGAGTGGGAAGGCACGTTCTTCTCAGCGAATCTATGCTTTGTTTCTGACCGAATTCATTATTGCAGCTATGGGTAAGATTATTACCGATGACGAGAAAACCAAGGAACCTTGGGACTCTAACGCTATCACACCCGGCACGCCGTTCATGGCCCTTTTAGCAGCGTCGTTACGGTACTGGGTCGTGGAGAAGATGAACACTGATCCAGGGTGGAAAGATGTACGTAGGGAGCATTTCTTAGGGATCTTTCTGATTCATTTCTTGTATAGCTCCAAGTCATCATCTCCGATGCAAGTGTGCCTGGAGAAGGAGAGCATAAGATTATGGACTTCATACGCAGACAGCGTACAAACCCTGGTCATGACCCTAATACTCGACATGTAATTTATGGTTTGGTGGGTTGACTTCCAACTCCATCGTGGTCTCCGTTATTGACCGCATGTTCAGGATGCTGATCTCATTATGCTTGCCCTCGCAACCCATGAACCATATTTCCGAGTGCTTCGGGAAGATGTGTTTGCGCAGGACAAAGGTTCCGGGTGCCGAATATGTGGACAAGAAGGTCACTATGCCGCTCAATGTACAGGACTGAAATCAGAGATTAAAAAGCCTCCTCCACCGGAAAAAAAACCGTTCATTTTCCTCGATGTCGCCATTCTGCGCGAGTATCTGGAATCCGAGTTGAATGTGAACAATACGCCCTTCCCTTTCGATTTGGAACAGGCTATTGATGACTGGGTGTTGCTCATATTCTTTGTCGGCAACGATTTCTTGCCGCATTTGCCATCACTTGAGATTCGCGAAGGAGCGATTGATACTCTCTTGAGGATCTGGAAGATGGAATTGCCCAGAATGGGTGGATATCTAACGAACCATGGTCAACTAGTGCTTAGTCGTGCACAGATCATATTAGAGGGACTGGCGCGACGAGAAGATGAGATCTTCCGTAAGCGACAAGAGAGTGAGTATTTATAATGTGATCCGCCAACGCGTTAGAGACTTATCATACCTCAGCTGAGCAACGCCAAGATCAGGAAGCGAAGCGTCGTAGGATTGAAAAGTCTGGATCTGGAGAGAACGCCGCGAGCGATATTCAGTTCGCCGCCCCGTCTGCGAAACTTGGTCTGACTGCATCCACTACATCACTATCATCTCTTCCTCAACGTGGAGATAATGCTTTTGCTGCCAAGGCCGACTCTATTGGTCTCGGAGCGCCGCGTAATGCTCAGTCTCTTGAAGTCGCCCCAGTTGCAGCACAAGCACTGGCTGGTTCGAATCGTGATGTAGTTGCCAATCGAGCTGCTATACGGATGGCGAACATGAGTGCTGCGGAGGTGCTCAAGGCTGAGCTATCTGGACTCATTCCTGTGAAACAGAGTGCTTCTGCTCCTAAACCTGAGCCGGTTGTTTCTACCCCTCCACCCAAAGCAGACGCTGAACTTATGGATGATGGAGACATTCCAGGTCTTGGGAATGCTCCATCAGCACTTGAATTTGTTGATGATGGGGCTGGCGATATGGATATCGAGTCCAATAATCCTGTTATTCTTCCAGCTGATGAGCCTGTGACACCTATCGCTGGCGTAAAGCGGAAGCTTGAAGATGTCGAAGGAGAGGACACCGACGAGGTGGCTGGCATTGATGAGGAGTCGTCTGAAGATAACGAAGATGCGTCTTACGCCCTGGTAGTCAGAGCAGATGGCTCAGTTGAGCAGGCCGATAACGTGAGGTATGAAAAGGCTGCGAAATTATCCAATGCTGTGAATAACATTTCCTCAGATTGTATGAACCCGGGTATAAGAAGCGATACTATCAGCAAAAGTTTGGCATATCAGAAAATGATGATGATTTCCGTAGAAAGTGGGCGCTTTTGTTATCGATTTCTGCACAAACCTGGCTGACTCTGCTGTACAAAGGCTAACAAAACATTATGTAGAAGGTATTGCGTGGGTTTTGCATTACTACTATCAGGGGGTGAGCTCCGACCGCCGATTTGCCTTTCTTTGCTGACTCGGTAGTAGACCCCTTCATGGCAATGGTATTACCCATATCATTTTGCACCTTTCGCGTCGGACTTCGAAGGTTTGGAAAACACGCAACTGGAATTTACTCTCGGACAGCCATTCAAACCGTACGAGCAACTTATGGGTGTTTTCCCCCCTGCTAGGTACGTTCGTGTTGAGTAATGATTTGACTACATAGCTCACCAGTATCGCCAGTCGCAAGCATATACCTGAATCTTTCCACAACCTCATGACAAACGAAGAATCTCCAATTCATGATTTCTACCCGTCAACCTTCCAGATCGACATGAATGGGAAGAAGATGTTGTGGCAAGGTGTTGCTCTCTTGCCTTTCATAGACGAGAAAAGGTTATTAGATGCGATGGCCGAGCACTACCCTAAGCTCAGTGAGGATGAAGTCCGAAGAAACGGCTGGGGTCACGACGTCATGTTTATTGCCGATGAACATTCAATGTATCCATTCTTCGAGGGATTATATGGTAAGCGCAAGGAGAAAGAGGTATGTCGCCAGTTCGATCAGAACCAATTTCGTTACTGACTACGACTATTCAGCCTCAACCAATGCCTACCAACCTGTCCAAGGGCATCAGCGGTAGCGTTCTACCAAACCCCGATTGTTTGCCTGGCTCGACGTATTACTCCCCATTGACTTCTATGAACCTGCAAGATATCAAAAACGATCGTTCTCTCTCCGCATTATACTTCTTCCCAAAGCAACTCTCTCCCCATCGATCGATGTTTCTTCCGGGGGTTACAAAACCCGCAAGACAGCTTACTGGCGAGGATCTAGCTCGGAGGGGCCGAGGACATGGTCGAGGGGGCGGCATGGATCGTGGCGGTCGCGGACGAGGTGGTTATCAGAACGGCAGTTCCCATGGCCAATCACACACTGCAACATCATATGTCTCATCGTACACCACTCAGTCTCGAACGCCGTACACCCAGCCCCAGCAAGGATTCGGAGGGTATGGCTCCAATGGAAGACCACCAATTCAAAATCATGGTAACAATTATCCTGGCCAGTCGCGTGGTGGTCCACCTCCTCGAGGAGGCGCCCCTCCCTCGCGCGGAATGCCACCAAACCGTGGCGGCCCTCCCCGTGGCGGCCCTCCTCGTGGCGGTAGTTCCGGGTATGGAGGTTCTACGTCCTATGCTCAAACCGCTCATCAGCCGGCATATGGCCGTGGAGGCCACTCTGGTGGGTACGGTGGCGGTGGTGGAGCGTATGGTGGACAGGCGAATAGTGGCTATGGGGGTTATGGAGGCTACGGTGGCCAGGCAAGCCGAGGTAGCTATGGTGGTTCAGGAGGACATGACAACAGCGGTAGCTATATGGGTTATGGAAACCAGAGTGGCGGACAGGCTCGTGGTGGCTATGGAGGGGGCTACAACGGAGGAGGTTATCAGAATCTTTCAAGGGCCCGGGGCCGAGGATTCTAGAGCAACTTATATACATACTGCCTTTCGTTAATATTTTTCGTTCGCAGATATTTTGTATTTTGGACCGATATATATTTTGCTGGTTTCTTTCCAATTCTATAAACAATCTGAACTCGCTACATTGATATGAAAATGGCTGTACTGCGCTCTAATATCTGTTTTTTGGATGTCACAAGAAACATTCGAATGACTAACGAATACTGCCATCCCTCGACCCCTTTCAACTTGGTGAATAGAAGTTGGTCGATGTATCGTTCAGTCCTACAAGCGGGCCTGAGCGCAGGTCTATCATGCATGTTCAATACTAACCGTGACGTGACTATATATTGGTAGCATAGTATATTAATATTTCGACGCGCGAAGATCTCCCCCGTGCACATGTGACGTTATCTCATCCCTCGAGCACACACAATATTTGGTAGGAATGATTATTTTCCTTCTCTCATAGTCTCACCAGGGAATATAATACAATAGAGGCATTGTACAAAGCTGTTATTGCATACTTACCTTATTTTATACACTCGCGCTGCGGCACTATACTTACTATTTCAATCAATCTATTCCATTATGCCGCGCACTGCACAACATTCACTTTCAGATCAAAAAAAATGCAGAGGTAGGTCGGATCATTGTCAGGAAATTATGTTTGCTTGGGAGCATCGGGAGCGTCTCGCAACTGAACTACGAGTCTCTTTCAACTCACTGCAATACCCTGGTAGAGCAACATCGCCTCCCAACAATATTAGTAATATCGTATGGACTTGTTACATAGATATGAAAATGGCCGAGATTTATTTTCTGAAAGATCGCAGTCGCAAGACACACTCGAGTAACCAACTTGATCAGCCTCTCGATGGGTTGAAGTGCAATTACCAATACATAGTCAACCATATACGCGAGTAGCACAATAACAATAACACGTCCACCTTCTTGTAAGTGTGTTATTCCATCATCGATAGTAGGTATAGGATGAGGTAGGGTGGCGGACTGCGCTATCGTAGCGTGCGGAGATGTGGCTAAAACCAAGGTAACCGGTCTTGAGTCGATCGTCAACATAAGGCGTGACACATGTCAAGTATAACGAGTACTTCCGCTCGCGTTCGTTAGCCCTTTCCGATTCAGGCAGTGAGAGTTGGCCGTCTACAGTTCCTGCGCGCGGGCCTGAGCGTCGCTCGCGGCCCTTGTAGAGGACTACCTCGGCTCTGCGGGGAAGGAAGAAGGAATTGTTCCACAGATTGATCAAATCTGCAACAATTGAGCTCCGCGAAGGCGGACGGCCCTTGGCAAACTCGGGAAGGGGTAATTTTCCCATCCATGCAAGAGCAAGATTCTAAAACAGAAAATGAGCTGATACATCACTGAAATAATATTTATAACCACGTACATTCATGAATATGCTCCAATCTTGGTGGTGAACATCATGGGTATCGAGTACCAATGGCATACTTGGAATTTGGCTGTAAAATTGATCCATGCTTTGAATCCTCGTCATGTTAAACGGAGTGTAAGCTTGAGCGGTATTCGGTGGACGGGCGAACGGATGCGGAGCAGAGTCCGACATTGATTCTGTGGGGAAAGCAATTATGGGCATACGCGAAGATGAATGAAATCCTGGCCCAGCGGGTGCATTGGGAAGTGGAGAGGGTACTCGCAACTGAGGAGCCGCAATGCGCTGATCCTCCAAGACATGCCCGTGTGGGTATACCATTTGCGGAGGGGGGACATAAGGTGAAGGAGTGCGGTGGAGAGAATAGGGTGATCTCGACTGCCGACGATTCTGGTATAGGGATGGCGCACGGGGGTGAGGGCGAACATTAGGTGAAGGAGTGCGGTGGGGAGGATAGGGTGATCTCGACTGCTGACGACTTTGGTATGGGGATGGCGCGTGGGAAGGAGGGCGTGAGTATGAAGAACGTCGTGGCAGCGATATTGGAGAGGGCGGGCGAGCACTATAAGGAGAGCGCCCTCGGGGGGCAGACAGAGATGCTGCCATTGCGATGGGGCCAGGTCCACCAGGGTAAGTGGAATGTGGGATTTCTTTCGGCCTTACAGTTAATGAAATCGAGCAAGCACCCGGAGGCATATAAGACGCACGGTCGTACCAATTCTCAAATACCACATCATTTTCCCTACCTATAGGATCAAGACCAAAGGATCCTGCTGCAAATCCCTGATCCCCATGCTTGGTATTCAATAATCATAGGACAACACTCGGGTGATCTGAGGACTCACTGTATTGGGAAGCTGAGCGCCCGTTAGCAGAATCTGTGTGGCGTCGGCAGGGACCCATTGGAAACCATGCACAATTCCTTGGGAGGTCTGATAGCTGTACATCGTGATTAGACCAGGCAGATCTTGTCAACATCGATTCGTAAACCACTTGCCTTACAGGCACCGCCCTGCAAGTTCGAAAGGTCAAGATAAAGTTAGTTTAGAAAGACCTGTCGGATACCTGTTCATACCTGAAAGGATGGTTTGCAACCTGACCGTCTGCATCAGTGGACGTCGTGTAGGTGACAGTTCCAGGCGCAATCTGGCCATTTGCAGCCCAATAATGTGCGATGTGAGAATGAGACGCTTGTGGGGGTGGGTACGACTGGGGTTGCGGCTCGGGAATTGCGAATCCTCCTATTCCGTCCATTGTGCACTTTGTTGATGATTCGGAAGCTGGCCAGAGGGAAGGGGATTGCAGTGACAAGACGTGTTCGTCGCTTCGAACGTCTGGGCGGCAAACATTGCACTTGACTCATGCCTCAGGGTAGGCCTCCCCAATAATTGGTCCATCAGATTCAATGCGGCACGAGCCGACTTGACGTGCAGAGCCTTCCACTTGGCAGCAATGTCCCTAGTCTCCTTAGGCAAACCTTAAATGAGGATAGCCGTTCCTTCTGAAAGAAATGTATCCCCGCACTCACCGGTGAAATGCTACTTATATGTGGAAAGTGAGTGATAACGACAGAATGGGCGAGGCGCCGTCGCTTGACCGTGCATATGTTGACAGCAGATGTCGCGCCAACATTCTCGAGGGTGCTACTCCCATAACTGTGTGTCTGGTCGGCATATCGTGACAACCGCTAGCACATGCAGTCCGGGGAAGACTACTACGCCTTGGGTAGACCACGTATCATTGTATGTATTCGTTCGATTAGTATCAGCGCTAGTTACCTATATATAGCGGAGTTTATTTGCAGGTACTTATTATGTAATTGGTCCCACGAAAGTTGGCATGCGGCATGCCCTCAAGCCCATTTGAAGCGCGGACCTGCAAGTGAGGTTCAATTGACGCTTGCAAGTTGATTGCAACCTCATTTACGGCCGGCCTTCAGACGCGCCAAGTCCTTTTCATTGACTTGGAAAATTTTCGGGTGATCTTGCAACTCCTCGATTAGCCTCAAGAGGGGTCTCTTGCAAGGCAAATTTCCGACATACGTTACTTAGTAACTAGTCACAAGTAGAGTGGTACTTCAAGCTAAGTTGCTAGTGTATGGTTTACTAATTCACTATCGCTTACTAGTGCTACAAATGGACGATTTCTAGGTATTTACATTCAATGTAAAAACGCGGTGTGATTGGAAAGTTGACTTCGATCAAGCCCTCCTCGCGTATCTTCCTCCAAGGTCCAAATATCTGTTCCAAGTAGACAGTCTCAAACCCAACAACACCGGTTGTTCTGGGCGCAGAGGTGGATGAGCTGAACAGATCTATCTGCCGGCATCTGAGGGGGAATCCGGCCGACTTGCCCTGGATCTCCACAACCTCGCGTGATCCATCCCTGACAAGTGAATGATTGATGATCCTGAGCGCATATCGATACTGGCCGTGGGCCGACGAGTTGTGCACATTGATTTCAATCTTGATGTTAGGACACAACGGACAATTGAATGTGATGCGGTCACGTCCTGTTCCAGTAGCCATTGCCAATGGGAGACTGAGAAGAAGTATCACTAGAGGCATTCGCAAGCCGAGACCGGTCATAGTCATCTCCAGTCGGCCACCACTAGCCAACTTCAACTCTCGACGATCCAGGAAGCTCCTCGGCGATCGAGGGATAGCATCTGAAGTGTGATGTTTTGCAGCCGCACCCTTCCAGTTGAGGACGGAAGGGTCACCAACTTGCATGATGGCTTCGACGAGCCTGCAGAATGCGCGGTCCCCTCCTTCTCCATATGCGATCTGCAGGCTGACGTCGAAAATACCCATAAGAGAATACGCTACGTCTTCAACCCTCGTTGTTTTGCGTCTGGCTGCCCATGTCATCCGTTCATCCACCTTGGACGGGCCTGGACTGAACTGCCAGTAGATCTCCCGATGAGGAATGCCAGTGGCTTTCTCAAGAGTCTGCAGTATTTCGGTGGTTGCCTCCTTTCGTTTGTCATTTGAGTCATTTGTCATAGGCCTCCAGTGCTTATTGAAGAATTTGATATAGAAGGGTGCAAGGAGTTCTTGCAATGTCCAGCCCCTTTCCGTCCATTCATCAAGTAATATGTCCTCGATGGTCGTGCTTTTTGCTAAATGGACGATGCAAATCTCCGAGTTACGATACCACCGGAACATGGAGCGAATCGACTCGTCCAGCTCGGTACTGCTGCTCTTGTCGATACAGCAGGTATCTGACCACGCAAATTCCACGTCGTATTGCCTGGCCTCTCTGCAGAAATTCTTCAGCTTCTCGTATCCCGGACCTGCTACTGTGCCCGCCTTCATCTCTTCGTACGTTGGCTCTCCCGAATCCAGCCATCGATGAGATAGAATGGCATATTTGACAAGTCGTGAGGGCTTATAAATCCCAAAAGAATTCGTCTGAGGAACAGAGCTCCGGAAGTGCTTCCTCACATCATCACGCCCTACAAACGTCATGTCTGATAGGCGTATGAAGCGGATTGGGATGTGGTTCATCACATATTGGTCGAACTCGCTAAGGCGCCGTGCGAAATCACTCATGACAAATCCCTAGAAAGGTCATAAATTATAGTGGCAATGAATCATGATACGCGTCCGACTTACCTCGGGCGAGTATAAAATGTTTCAAGCAATGATGAAGATGTTACAAAGAATGGAACACCGAACGCCGTGGTCTTGAAGGTCACCGACTTATAGGCCTGTAGTTCCTGTGTTCAGCCACTTCAGTATCTTGACATTGCTTTTGTGTCTTCCCTTATCACTTTCCTATAACAACGCAACCACGCTGTTATCGTGGGTTTGCGGGGATTCGGTTGAATGGCGTCCAGCCACAACTCGTAGTCTATACATGGTATCGGAAATCCAATACCTTGGTCAAGGGTGCTGAATCTTTGACACTTGTGCATGGAGTACGGTCCCGCATGATACTGTGAAGGTTTATGGTGGGCGCCGATTCCCGAACGATCGGAGAATTTGGTCCAAACGACATTAATACCAGGGCATCGTGATTTTGGTACACGAGCACTTAGGGGCAGAGCCTCTGGCCGGGTCACCTACTTAGTGGAATAGAAGGTTCTCGAGAGTCGACGGAATGGTAAGCTTGAGTTCTCGGAACCCTAAAACGTTCGGTTCTTTATGTCACTGCCAGTACGACTTGGGGACCTATGAATTCCATGGACCTCACACAATTGAACCTTGCGCCCTCGACCAGGTAACAAATTGATTCGCAGTCTGTAGTAGTACAATGACAATGGAGAGCACAAGTATCAACAAATTCGACGTTACTGGATTCATGCGCTGCATGTTATATCAACCATAGTAATTTCCTGGAACAGGCATGTCGCGAGGTGCGATGTAGTTCAAGTACAACGCGTACTGCCTCTCGCGTTCCTTGACCTTTTTCCTGAGCTTCTTTTCCTTCTTGCGCCACTTCTTTTCCTCCTTCTTCTCTCGACGCCTTCTCTTGGAGTCAGCGAGATCAGCACCGCGACCGTAGTACCCGTCGTCAGACTCTGAAGAGAGAGAAGAGGAAGAAGAAGAGGAATCCGACAAGTCTAAGTCAGGCTCGAGTTCAGGCATTGGAAGGTTTTTGTCCAACGTCCCTACGTGCAGACCTGAGCGTCGCTCGCGGCCTTTGTAGAGAACCACCTCAACGCGACGGGCACGGAAGAATGAATCGTTCCACAAATTGATCAAATCTGCAACAAGTGAGCTCCGCTTAGGAGGAACTCCCCCCTTGGAGAACTCATGGATGGGCATCTTGCCAGCCCATCCAAGAGCAAGATCCTGAAGTGGAAGTGAGCTGACACACCAATGAATAAGTCTTTCACCACGTACATTCATGAATCTGATCCAATCCTGGTGGTAAACGTCATGAGTGTCGAGCACAAGTGGCATGCGAGGAATTTGATCGTAGAATTTGTCCATTTCTTGGATCCTCATCACGCCAAACGGAGTGTAAGGCTGAGCGGCATTAGGCGGACGAGAGAATGCCTCCGGAGCAGCGAGTTGTAACGATTCTCCTCCTGTGGCAGCGCCGGGCATACGGGGGGATGAAGGGAATCCAGAATTGGGCACACGGGGGGACGAAGGGAATCCTGTATTGGGCATACGGGGAGATGAAGTGAATCCTGTGTTGGGCATACGTGGGGATGAAGAGAAACCTGGCCCGGCAGGCGCACCAGGCATTGGAGAGGGTGCTCGCGACCGAGGGCCCATGATAGGCTGGCCTTCAAGGACATGTCCACGGGGGTATACTGATTGAATTTGACCAGGAGGGACAAATGGTGAAGGAGCGCGGTGAGGAGGAGGATAGGTCGATGTCGCCGGTTGACCATGATATGGGGACGGTGCCCGGGACACAGGACGTGCGTATGGAGAAGGAGCACGTGGCCCCGGCGGCATTGGAGAAGCACCACGGGGCGCCTGCGGCATTGGAGAGGGCGCTCGGACACCATAAGGAGAGGGTGCTGGTCCTCCATAAGGAGAAGGTGCTCTGGCGCCATAAGGAGAGGGTGCTGGTCCTCCATAAGGGGAGGGTGCTCTGGCACCGTAAGGAGTGGGCGCTGTGGCACCAAAAGGAGAAGGCGCTCGGGCACCGTAAGGAGCGGGCGCCGTGGCACCATAAGGAGAGGGCGCTCTGGCACCATAAGGAGTAGGCGCTGTGGCCCCAAAAGGAGAGGGCGCTCTGGCGCCATAAGGAGAGGGTGCTCTGGCACCATACGGAGATGGTGCCCTCGCCATAGGATCCGGGCCACCAGGGTATGTGGAGGAGAATTCTTGTGGCCTTATATTTGGTGAGGTTGAGAAATTACCTACAGGTCTGTAAGGGGAGGCTGCACGGTTGTAAGGGCTAGCGCCTCCAGTTGTAGGATAACCTGTTGGGCTGCTGTACGTTGCGGGAGGGGAAGAGTATGTTCCTCCACCACTCTGAGAAGACTTTCTTGGCCCCGTAGCAAAGGAAACTTGCTTGTGCTCTATGTCGAGACCTCCGAATCTGCGGTCAAGATCTGCAGAACTGTTGTAGGCGCCATATTCAGCGGTCCCTGGTATTGCTTGTCCAGAGGGAGGTGCTTCTCCGTAGAAGCTCCTTTTGCGTTCTCTGACCTGAGTATCCCTCTCGCGTGCCATGCGGATCTCTATTTCGTCCCTTTCAAACTGTTTCGCGATATTCTTTAGGGACGCCTTCTCTTCTTTTTTTTTGCGCTTCTCTTCAGAGCGTTTCCTGAAAAAGATGTAGAGTATGAAGCAGCATTACATTGACCAGACCGTACCACTTTTCAAGCTCCCTCTCTTCTTCCCTGGTGAGCTGGCCGCGATTAAAGGATGCAGCGAATTCCTGATTCGCATACTCAGTAGTCATGGGCAAAACTCGAGTGATCTGAGGACTCACTGCATTGGCAGGTTGAGCACCTGTTGGCAAGATCTGTGTGGCTTCGGCAGGGACCCATTGGATACCATGCACAACACCTTGGGCTGTCTGATAGCTGCTCATCATAATCTGATCAGGCGGTGCGATCTCGTCAACATCGCAACCACTTGCCTTGCAGGCACCGCTCTGCAAGATCGATGGGTTATGATAAAGCTAGTTTGCGAGATAGATGTGATCATACCTGAAAGGATGATATGTAACTGTACCATCCGCACTAGTGGATGTCGTGTAAGTGATGGATCCGGGCGCGATCTGGCCGCCAGACGGGGGCGAATATGGCTGGGGCTGCTGCTGGGGCGAAGAAAATCCTCCTGTTCCGCTCATTGTGCACTGTGGTTCTGGAGATGAGGGAAGTTGAGAAAGATGGGAATCGCACTGATAAGAGGTGATTGTTGCTTCTCATCTAATATCAATAAATCGACCCTGTAGCCCTACCCTGCCTCGTGTACATTGCGCTATATCGAGACAATTAACTGGCGATAGCCGAGTTTTGAGCGCTGATTCGGATAGTACTTGATTGGCTGGCGGAGCGAATGCATGCCGGTCGGGTTCAGTACCTAGTTGTTAAGATCATTTGGCCCTCAACTTACCTGGGGCGAATGTATCACACAAACTCCATCTTGGATGTACTTAGGTCTGACTGTTTGCACTGCTACATGATATAGACTTATCCATCTCCAAGGAGAGATGTGACATAATAAAAACTTGACTAGTCGCGCAATCATTGCAAGTTATACTGAGCTCATGCTCGATATCAATGAGCTCGTGTTGCAACTGACAGAAGAAAACATCATAACTCGTGAAGGGTTGGTTGACTTACCTGATCATCTCCGACCGGCCTGCATACCATTCTCGAGTACAAATAAAAGAGCGATTTTGTCGTGTTGAACTATGATTGTGACCCAAACAAGAAACGAAGTCTGCCAGAATGAATCCTATAAGTGCATGTATGCATAATACATAATGAAGGACTGGGTCAGATGCCTCCTACGTACCAGGATGTCAATATTTCCGAAGAAGCTCCAGTAAGATTGGTTCGTCTTTTGAACTTCGAAGCAACGAATCCGGAGTATACGTCAGGATCTGCATCATCTGCCTAGCCATCATTAATGATTTATGATACTGGGGGTATAAGTGGTCACCGTTAGCACTCCTTTGGGAATGAAGTATCCCTGGTGGGCTCATAAACGTCTTCTGAGGGCAAATCATGTATGTCATTGCTTGGATTTTGATGTATTGATGGTTTGCTTCTCAATACCACGGCGGACTACCAAAACACTTCATTTACGAGTGCAATCAGATACGAGAGATTTCCCTCGGTCAGGTCGTGGGCAGCCTGTGCTTTTGTCAAGCAGGACGAAGTTCTATGATTGTGAAGAAACAATGGTCTACGGAGGTCAGTTCTTCCGCCATCGCATCGCAAAAACGGCTTACAATATCAGCCTCTTGTATACAAATGTCGTTCGGATTTAAACTAGGAAATCATATGGCGCCCACTTCACGATGATCTGTGCCTCTCTATGCCTTCAAGCAATCAGCTGCAGTGAAAGATCGAGAAGCAGGACCGTAAGCTAGCCTTTCTCTGCATCAGGCAAGTCGTCGACCATTTCTGACGAAAAGCTTGAGCCCACTTTATCGAATGACGCCCCATGACACACACAGCGAAGGTGCCTCACTAATTACCAGCCGTCAACACCGTTGCCTAATGATGAAAAAGATAAACACGCAGACATACATAAAAAACCCACTGCATGTGTCAAATGTGTTCGCAGTATTGAAAGTCTTGTGATAAAGCTCTTCCTCGTCCTCGACAATAGTTACACTGCGCCGTCCGTTCTGCGAACCGATGCTTATAATCACGAAATTCGTCGGGTAAGCGCGCTCTAGGAAATGGCACACCTGGCGTCGATGGTGCACGATGTTCGTCAAGTGCCAATAGCACGGCGAATTTTTAAGCGGTACTCTTTAAACCTGTTGCCGTATTTCGGCAAAACAAGGAAGTTCTTCCATCATCCACAAAATGCAACGATCGGTTCCGCGGAAGCAATTCGCGGTATAGTTGCTGCGCTATTCAAGCAGATCTTTCGCAAGCTGTCCTGAGTTGAAAAAGATCATAACGTGATCCAACCATGGTATTTCCACTGCAAGTTACGAGTGTCAACCGTTGGCGCAAAGTTGTAGGTGGTAATATACTCTTACCATGTTATTTCCCCTACGAACTGAATGCCAGCTGCAATTTTTCGGTGGCTGAGTCGAGTACGCGGTGATGGAATTGGGTCTCAGCAGCTGCGGTATTAACGCATGCTTCACGAGATGGGACTCTCGAGTATCAGCGTACACAACGATTCTCCCTTTCAAACTTCTGACACTCCAGCTGCGAGAGGAAGCGGCCGGTAAGCGGATAGCACCACTCGGTAATGTCATACAACTCCTCACGGTGCTCTGAAAATAGTGGTCGACTTCCCGGAAGGATTCAGCGATGCACCGATGACTGCGAGTTTGCCTGGAAACGCGGCTCCTAGGAAGCACTTGACTTCCTTTTCCGTAAGACTGTAACTGTGCAGGGGTAAGTACCTCCATTTTTACGCAAGGGGGTAACTCACAACTATTTATTTTGGTGTCCAAGCCTCTTCGTGGTCATGTCGAGATTTTTGTTCAATTTATAGACATATTGCTGTAAATAAAAGGAGACAACCAACCGACGGTACATGTCACCGAGTTGTCGTCGCGAATTAAGTTCCATGTGGTCAAACGATCTTGCGGAAAAGCTGAAAACCGGTGATGCTTCTGATCGTCACGAATCTCCGCCGAAAAAAATGGCAATGTGCCATTAATTTCCCCACGACGGAGATGACGACTATTGCTTGCAGATTGAACATTGTTCCCAAAAAAAGCCACTCCCGAAATATCCAGTCGCTTTGCGACATGGAAGACAATATCCTTCAGAGGGAGATGAGCAGCATGATGCGGTTCATCACTGACACTATTCGATACTTTCAGCAGCCTATATTAGAATATTACTGATAGTGTAGATGGGTACGAACGAGGAGATCGTGTGAATATCAATTATGACCCGTTCTCATCGTACTTGACCAGCAATGCGAAGGGGCGAGGAGGTGGCACTTGCTGTGAATCCGAGGACTCAGATGGCAACAGAAGGTATGATATACTGGTCCAATGGAAGGCACAATATTACAAAAGTCATGCAAAAGGTAATAGATTACTTTGCCTGGGTGAAAGATGTCCAACTCTTCGTAGAAGGACAGGTCATGAGAACCGCCACCACAACACGATGATAAGGATAACTGCCACAGCACCAAATGGTGCATATTGTCGTATGAGCGCCTGAATGTTTATGTTTCTTGCTGCCTTGCGGTACCTTTCCGATTCAGAACGCAAGGAAGTAGACAGATGCGACATCCCTGTAAAGTGTCAAGGCATTAAAGAAGAGCCCAGAAAATCTCCACACTCACTGTCTAACGAGTCCCCCCTCCACAAAAGCTCCTCCATGTTCTTGGTCATGATTCGAGTGACGTCTTGCAATTCGTTGTTTAACTTGTCCAAGTTTGATGATCCAGCTGTATCAGCTGCACGTGTATCCTGATATAACCGTGCTGTTTTCGACATAAAGGTATCTGAATACAGCGCGAATGAGTCCTCGGTAAAAATTGGTGCAGTAAGATCGCGCACCAAACCCGACGAAGGCATAAGGTTTCCGCACAGACTCTACTTTGGGTCCGTAAGATACGGAGAATTCCTTTGAAAGTTCTTCTAGATACGAGAAAGCAAGCTTCCGCGGGTAAGATTTGTCCGCAATGGTGAGGTACACGACATTATCTGCGAGGAGGTAGCTATAGCAGCCGGCGGCTTAGAATGCGGAGCCTGATCGAGATGAGAACGGAACTCACTGAAGTGTGTACTGCCCACTTTCTATGGAACACCGCGGTTCCGAGTTGGGAGTGATGCGTCGAAAAATTAGTTTTGACTGCTGCTTGTGCTCCTGAAGAGCCTGCTCGGTCTGTTAGGGTAAATAAACCTCCGCAGTAATTGAGATGTTGAGGAAGCTGACCTGTTCATCATCCACACTCGCTGCCATTGGCAAAGCATCTGTTGCGCGGACTATTATTGTTGAGCGAACCATGGTGGGAGATGACGACGTTTGATGTTGTCGTGGCTCAAGTGGAAGCAATTGTGGAAGTGGAAGAAGCACGTGATCGGCGGTGAATTAGTCGACATCCGAAATAGGAAACTTCGGGCAGTGTAGTGTACTACGGCCGAGTTCGTCAAAGCCTTCTTGAATTCTGTCAGTTCGATTGACCGGTGAAGGTGAATCTCTTACTGTCAAGTCGGCCAGCAATATTACATTGGAAAAAAGCCCGAAGAAATATCTGACTCGGTGCCTGCCGCCGGCAGTGTCTCGTTCCGTTGGAATATGATTCGTCCCTCGTGAGTGTTTTATTTAATCAATGTTCCAGGGGTCAATATCAGTTTCAAATCAGCACTTGTTAACAAACCACCACCATCATGACTCTTTCCATGTTCGACGTTCGCAAACAGGTGCGTACCAAATGTAGATCTCATCCACTTTTACATGAAGTTCGTCTCAATAGCTTGCATTCTACGGCTCCTACCATTCCAATCCAGTCAATATCCTCATCCATATCTTCGGGGTCCCAGCTATTCTGTGGTGCGTCGTTTTCTCACTGCGTAGAGTACGGATTATGTACCACATTGGTCCGATCCAGGAGTTCACTGCTGTTGGCTACTCGCATCCAAACTCCCGCGTTTTTGCCAGAGTTTCGCTATACGTTCAATGAGTACCTCTTATTCGATTTAAACACGCCCGCGGTGGTCGCCGCCATCTACCTTGTATACTACCTTATCCTTGAACCGTTTGCTGCGGTCAGTCTCTCACGCTATGGACTGCATCTGTAGCACCATCTGACACCGGTCCCAGTTGTTGTACGCACCCCAAATGCTGGTGTCATTACTGACCGCAACAGCTCACGCGCACCGCCCTGATGGTATTCGAGACGCGATTGTTGTTCAAATCATTTCATGGATTGCACAGTTCATTGGACATGGACTTGCTGAGGGTCGTGCTCCAGCCCTTCTGGACAACATTGTCGGTGGTAGGTCCATCGATCAAGTATTTAATCCGTATGTTGGCTGCTAACAATCCTTTCTAGCCCTTGTACTCGCTCCGTTCTTTGTGCACTTGGAATTGATGTTCATGCTCGGATATCGTCCCGCCCTGCACAAGCAGCTGCAAAACGATATAGGCATTGAGATCGCCAAGATGAGAAAGGCAGAAGGCGACAAGAGACGCCTTGCAGAAAAGAAGGCCAGTTAATTTGATCGATCACAGGATGATCCTGGTCACATATCTATCGTCCTCGAACTTCTGTATCTCCTGCTTTGCCAGACCTTATCGATTTTTTAATTCCTGGCCCGTGGAAGTTCTAAGCTGTTCATAGTTCATCATCGTCTTGTATCATACATTAACTTGGGGTATCTTCATCTCTACCATTCATGCCAATCAATAATGAAACCGGTTTCCGCTATCAGGTTGCATGTTTATCGCAGTTGGTTTACACTTCAAATGAGACTGGCGGGAGGCTGGGGGGTTGGTTCTCCGATAGGGGTAACATAGCACGAGGTGAGACCTCCGTCGACCTTGAAATCCGTGCCCTATTGACGCGACGTTAAACAAGCATCTCGCACTAATCGGAAAGAAACGTACAGTCATGTAACTGCTATCATCGCTCGCCACTGCGCATGCGACGGTGAAATCAGATCAACCAGATAGTGACACCCAAGCAAAAACGTACAGAACAATGCAGCCTTGGCGAGTTCCACGGCCTCACCGAACCGACCCATGGGGAGATGAACAAGCCGGCGCTCTTTCTTTTCCGACGTGTTGAGGAAATCCATCAAAAGAGCTTCAAAACATGATACGTCAGCAAACATTGATTTCTGTGTGGTTATTGTGCACTGACGTGTCTTCAGCGGTCCGCTGTCAGCATGAAGGTCAGCACGCAGTAATGCAAGTCTCACTTCAGCTTACGGGCATAGGGAGTTCAGGCGAATTCCTTCTCTCGCATGCACCATCGCGAGTTCTCGTGTCATGGACAACACAGCACCCTGGTGTCCTTTCAAACTAACGTGTTTCAGCAAACGACTAATTTACTTACCTTGGACGCAGTATCTGAAGAACACGGTGAATCGTCTTCAAAAAGATGCAGTGTATTCACGTACATGCTAATTGTGGAGTGGCGGCACCCATAAGTGCGACGAAACTTGCAGTGTTAATGATGGAGCCCCCGACACGAAGGCCTTTCTCCTCGTCGATAGGATTTTGCCGCATAGCCATAATAGCATACTTGCAGCCCCACCAGACACCCTTCACGTTGATTTGCATTGTCAGATCCCAGATCTTCTCCTCGGTGTTGAGGGCGTGATCGTCCGCTGGGTGCATGATGCCCGCATTGTTGAACTATGAATTTATCGAAACTAGTTGAATAACTGTGCGGATAATCATAAGATATGAATCTTACCATCACATCCAATCTACCAAATTCTGCAACAGCGAGATCAACCGCTCCTTTGATGTTATCTTCCTTCCCGACATCAGCGTGAACAGCCAGCGCTTTGACGTTTGGAAAGCGTTGCTGGATAAGTGTTGCACCTTTCCGCGCAGCTGCTAGATTGATGTCGACCAACAAAACATTGGCGCCTTCCTGAGCGAAGAGCAGGGACGACTCAAGACCGATGCCACTGTAATCCCACTAAGATCAGAAAACGCGATCTGTTCGAGCAGACTCACGAGCCGGCTCCGGTGATGAGGGCAACCTAGATTCGAAATTTCTGTCAGCAGTATACCTGGATTCAAGGTGTCTATCTACATTACTTTGTTTGCAAGGCGTTGGGACATGATCAGGTTGATAGGTTAGATTGTGACTGTGATTCAAAATGTGCTCGGATACACAATAAGGCTGATACTATCAGATAGGCGGAACAAATCGATAAGATCAAGTGCCTATTTATAGCTATTGTCGATCCAACAAATCCATTCGTTGCTATTATCCCAGACAACATCCACCATTCATCAAAATCCCAATGAGCGAATCAAGGCAGGCTGTATTTGTCTGAAAACAATTTGAACCCACAGAAAGGACATCCTTCTATAGCGGAACAAGCAAAGAAAATCACTGAAGGACGTTGCTGAGCTCAGCCCAGCTCTTTGTTTTTGTGAAGTTGCCTAGAAAATCATTGATATCTGATACTGATTCTGTTTCGCCGGCATGTGGTTGTTGCATACTGAGGACGACTCCGGCCATTAAAATTGTCTGTGTCGAGAACCGCAAAACAGTGCCAGAGGAGATCCGATATGCTTTGGTCCATGTCCGAGAGCTTGACCTTTGGAAGATGACCCAGAAAATAGTACTTCAAACAACATGTGAAGTCGCCCATTCATTGAAAGGGCACGATTTTGCTGGTAGAATGACACCCTCCTTGTGACGTGAGCAAATTCAGGCGAAATACCACACAAACGACACCATAACAGGAACATAGGTGCTTGACTTCGCCTCATTGACCCTCTGGGTTGCACGCCGTGGCCGTATGTTCATTGCCCCGAGGACCCAGACCGTTCGTCAGCGAGGTCATTTAAAACGCCTTTCAGCTTGCCGTCTTCCATGTGTCACATCATGTTCTAGGGCCAACATCTCGATAGTAGACCCCTATCTTCCACAGAGTAACATGGCCTGCACGCTATGTCAACAAAAAGCTACGTAGATGTGATGAAATACGTACTAGGATACATTGAAGCCACACGTTGAAAAGTTCTTTGCCATGTAGTGTCATGATGGGGTGGAGCTTGCGGAATACGAGGATGTAGAGCACACGACAGCCCGTGGTGGGTCCTGGTACGCCAAACGCTTTTCAGATGGCGAACGTTGGATTCGTGAACTTGTTGTACCAAAGCAGCCCAGGAATATCATAGTCTTTGACAGTACCTGAGCGATCTTAACCTTTTTCAAGATTTCCGGTCCGCTAGCGCAATTCTCCTGTCCCATAGAGATCTTGGCCGCCATCCTATCTTCCTGGATGTCTGAAATTTTTTTGACGAGCGTTTCGCTAGTGATAGAAACCATATTGGTGACACGTTCTTGTAGTCCGTAGTCGGTTACTCTCTCTTCGTAGCTGGTGTGAAGCAGCAGGCTGGGTTTTCAAGAACCTCATCATCGAATTTCTAAGTCCTTTTTCCTTGACTTCGACTGGGAGGAAGTGCTTGTCAAATAGAAACAAGAAACTTGGCATACGGCTTCAGACTCAGACTCTCTGAGTCCACTCGCAGAGTCCAGGCTCAAAAATTATGTGACTATTTATAGCTTGTGACTGTCAATTCAAAAATCTTGTTCGGCCCTACCCTCGCAGCCTTCGACCATCATAGTATTGGCTTGAATTCAAGCCTCCAGCGCTCTTTGGCGTCGGCATCGGACCATTTGGCTATCAATATGTTAGAACATCCGTTTGTATTTGGGTCGGATGCCGATGACCAGTCTGAGACATCCGAGTCCAGTGCGTCATCATGTTTCCAATTAGCCTGGCTCATATAAAACCCCTCAATCTCAATTAGCTAGCTGGTCTTTCATTCACTTTCTATCTCACAGGTGCAGGTTGCCTTTCCACTACAATTATTCGCTCTTGCTTCATTTCGACAACGATATTTACTATGTTCCTTCGTCATAAAACCTATACTGCTCGTTATCCACAATGGATGGTCGGGAGGCCTTTACTCTATATGTCGTCCGCCCTTGCATCTCTCGGCGACGCTATGTTTGGCTATGGCCAAGGAAGTATCGCATCGGCTCAGGTTCAGCCTTCCTTTATCTACCGGATGTTCGGCAAAGAAGTTACTATGACACAAATCCAAACCGGCCAGACCGGCGTGGATCCTTTCACACAAGGTTTGACACACTTTTTTTCCATCCTCAGGTCACTCAAACATCCCTGTTGTTAGCTATAACCGTTTCTTGTTTAAACCTAACAGCGCTGCTGGCTTCATTCATTGCTGCCTACCTCTGTGATCTTCTTGGCAGGCGGATGTCTGTCCGTATCGGAGGTATCATGTATTTCATTGCCGCTCTCATTCAGATCTTTGCTCCAAATCTCGGTGCCCTTATCGCTGGCCGGTGTATCCAGGGTTTAGGTGTCGGCATACTCTCTATGACTGTCCCGATTTTGCAGTGCGAAATCGCCCCCGCTCATGCTCGTGGTCTGTTTGTCGGTATCGAATATATCTGCCTCAATATCGGTTACGCTGTTTCCGCTTGGGTTGGATATGGCTTCTTCTTCGCCATGCCTTCCGAGATCTCATGGCGTGGACCATACATCGTACAGGCTGCTATTGCACTTGTTCTCATCTTCTGGACGTTTTTCCTCCCCGAGACACCCCGCTGGCTGGCCCAGAATGGCTTCCAGAAGGAGGCTTTGGTAACTCTTGCAGACTTGCACGGCGCTGGAAACGTCTCAGACCCCAAAATTCTGGCTACCTACGCTGAGATTGTCGCCGCTGTCGAGTTCGAAGCACACATGGGTCAAGCTTCCTGGCGTCAACTCTTCACGCAATACACTCGTCGATGCATCGTCGGCATTACTTGCCAGATGTTTGCTCAGCTCAACGGGATTAATGCCATCTTGTACTTCTTACCATCCAACCTCACTCGTGCTGGCTTTACAATTTCCCGCTCCCTGCTCTACTCCGGTGCTTGTGCTCTGATCTACTGTTCCGGCACCATCCCTGCGATGTTCTTGATCGACAAATTTGGCCGCCGGGCGTTCTTGCTTTTTGGAAGTGTTGCGCTAGCCGCATCTCTTTCTATTGTCGGTGGTCTCCAATACTACGCGGATAGCCTTCCTCTGGGGTCTGCCCGAGTTTCTGCTGCTGACGCTATCTTCTTTGGTATGTCATCATCCCACTTGCAAGCAACACATCGCTAAAGCTCATCCCCTCCAGGTGTTTGTCTATACCTATTCTTCTTCGGTGCCACCTGGGGCCCCGGTCCCTGGCTTCTCGGTGCCGAAATCTTCCCTCTCCGTGCTCGCGCCAAGGGCATGTCGCTCAGCACGGGCACTAACTGGCTTTTCAATTTCATTGTTGCCTTCATCACTCCCCCGCTCTTCAACGCTATCAATGCAGGCTACTACTTCGTCCTCGTCGGCTTCTGTATCATCTCTCTTGTCGTCGTCTGGTTTATCTATCCCGAAACCGCCCACCATACTCTAGAAGACCTTGGCGAGGTATTCGGCGACAAGGTCATGGACGATGAAGGTCCTGCACGTGAGAAGGCTCAGAGGAGTGCGAACGCGATTCAACGGGAACGCTCTGGTTTACCTGTCATCACCGATTCAGAGGTCACTCTTCAACCCAACATGTCCACTATACCAACATCCAAGGACGGGGCTTCAATTGTCATGAAGGAAAGGTCTTCTGTAGTTATGATCGAATCTGACGTTTAGCTTGACCCTGTGGACTTAGTAGACTACCGAGCTTGTATGCCAGATTATCATGCTAATTCATGATCGATTCAACCTACGTCCATCATTCGACCGAATTGACTACTGAACTTGTATGCCGAACAATAACACCAATGCATAAATGATTCAACCAAAGTCCATGTATATGCTAATCCAACGACTGCTTGTCTGCTCTACTAACCAATACTCGACTTAACTTTTAACAACGCAGAGACTCCGGGAAGTCGTCAGGGTAACTTCCATCGTCCTGAAACATCGCGAGGAAATCTCTCACCGCCGGCGGTGGGGTTCTTGAAGGTAATAAGAAAGGTCTGCGTGTCACTGGGATACTCATTCCAGCGCCCTGCTGCATTAAATCGTCCAGCGAGGAAGTGTATGACGAATCAGGTGCATACTGCTTTCTGTAGGGAGAAAGTATGGTAGATGGGTTTGGATGCGGGGCGGAGGTTCTAGGTGCAGTTGTTTGAGACCGCTGGGCCAGGTCTTCCGGTTTACGCTTCGCAATCTCTGTTTGGGGTCTGACAATCGGTATTTCTGATTCAGGCTCGGTTTCGGAGTCGTCGTCTTGAGCAGGTTTGAGCACTTCTGGTTCTGACTCTGGCTCTGTGACAGAGTCGTCCTCCTCAACGGGGTGAACATTCTTCACGGGCCCTGAACATTCCATGGGCTTCTTGAGGGGAGAGATCTTGTCTAAAATATGGCGTGGAGTGCATTTCAAAGGGCTGCGAGACGGCGATGCAACAAACGAAGATCTATTTCTTGGAGATTTGGTCGCCAAGAACGAACGAGGGAATCCTTGCGCGGGAGAAACAACGGGGGATGTAGCAGGACTTGACCCAAGGGTAAATTGGTGCAGCGGTTTGCGTTCGCTGCGATTATTATGGCCAACGTGCACAATAGGGCGCGGTGTCGGGAGATCGACTTCGATTCTGAAAGTTGCTGGTAAGTAACGAGTTGTGACAAGGACATGTTTTACTGACCTTGCCAGTGACAACTTGTTCAGCAAGCTACCGGACAAATATGTCATGCTCATTGTTCCCTCCTCCTGCGACTGTGAGCTCGGGATAGGCTCATAGTTGATTGATGCAGGTTTCGCTATCCGCTTGCGACTGGGTGTCGCATCTAATGCAAGCAAGTATTGACTTTGCGACGATGGGACGAGTTCCTCAATTATAGTAGACGCAGACTGCAGGTCCTTAAATGGTAAATTTGGAGAAGACGCAGGGGTTGCATGGACCACCTCGTTGTCTCGTGACGCGCAGGTAAAAGGGTCGTCGGGATCTATTGCCTGCTTTTTCCCATTGGAACCACCCGTGTTCTCCCATTTCCTTAGTTGGGCGTCTTTGTCGGTGTCTATTGGAACAGTGAGCTTCTTGATGAGCGGCGCAGAAACTGGAGAGGGGCTCGATGGTATACGAGGGTCGGACCTATGCTTGGTTCTGCACGGCGACGTCGCACCAACGAATGTGCGCAAACCGGACGGTACGTGCATATTGCTGGGTTTGCGCACATTGGTGTCCGGAGTAGGTAAAGAAGCAATGGCGGGAATGATGGTAGTGGGGATGGTCCTCGGAGAGAGGGGCTGAACTACCGCAGTGCTTGCTACTGTCAGCGTCCGCTTCTTACTTTGGTTCGTTGGGGGAGGAGTGGCTAGAGACTGCTCCGGAGCAATCGCGGGACGTACAGGTCCCTTAATCCTGGGGAAATTTGGTGCATTTATTCTATGGGAAGCAGTGTTTGAGATGCCCCTCACTGAACGAGAGCTATCTGCAACCGGCCGCTCGGGTGATGAGTCGATGACCACTACATCGTGAGATGGTCTGAGTAATAATGCTCCCTCATTCCGGCTGGAGGTCGATGCGACCGGAGGCCTCGAAGTAGGAATGTTTATTTGCTTCTTGGTTTTCTTTACCTGTTTGGCACTGCCCTGAGAACCCGTACGCACATCAGCAGAAACCGTTGCGCGCTTTGCTGGACCTTCCCTGTCGCCCGCAGCCGCCGAGAGTTTCCTCTTCTTGCTTAGTTCTGCCTCTTTCTTATCCTTTTTATTTCGCGCAAAATAGGCTGTGATGGGGAGTTCTAGTTGCGATAAGTCCATAGGAGGAGTTACTTAAGCTTTGGCTGGACCTATGGTTCTCTTCACCAAGGGCGCGGGAGGGTGATAAGGGCGGAGTTGACACGCTTTTAGAACTCAGAAATATACATCCGACGCGTCTCGTCACGCGCTTTTCATTCGCAAAACATTTTCACAAAGCACAGCTGCAACATTATCAGTAACAAATACTATGGGAGGCATTGACACACCACAGCTCAAGAAACGTAGAGTATCCGTGTCTGACAGCACCGATAAAGACGCGCCTGCTCCCGTGTCGCAGCTGTTGGTAAAGAGACTCTCTGACAAGGCCAAGATTCCCACTAGAGGATCGAGTTTGGCTGCAGGGTATGATTTATACAGGTAACGCGCATTCGACAAACAGACGTAGTAATCTGACCGGGATACACAATACAGTGCAGAGAAAAAAGTGATTCCAGCGCATGGTAAGGCACTGGTTGACACCCAGCTTTCTATTGCTGTTCCTGCGGGCACCTATGGGCGGGTTGCACCTCGCAGCGGTCTTGGTAGGTCGTGTTTTGTGTGCTATGTAGTGTTTGACTAAGGAGAATTCCTTTCAGCATCGAAATTCATGATTGACACGGGTGCTGGTGTCATCGACGCGGATTACAGAGGCGTCGTCTTTGTTCTGCTTTTCAACCTCTCAGACGAAGACTTCCAAGGTTTGAAAAAGAGTAGACTTGATTATTATTGTGTTGCTAATCGGGTACGCAGTCGAAGAAGGCGACCGAGTAGCTCAACTGATCATCGAACGCATCTATACGCCTGAGGTTATGGAAGTGGAAGTACGTATTGCTCACTCGCGTTCCTAGTTATGTGATTGATCATCCGGCAGAGCCTCGATGAAACATTGCGTGGAGCGGGAGGTTTCGGCTCTACGGGTGGACACGGTTCGCTGTAACATATCATACCAACTGTGCATGTTGCAGCCTTTGTATTATTATCATGATAAGTGAAGGAAGCCTGATTTTTTTGTGGCGGGATCGAAGCTCGTTACGAGTTGGTTAAGTACTGCTTGTGATGTTGAATGGGAATGCTCCGTGAATGTCTGCTGATTCCTAGGTATGTCAGCATTTTGTGGGCCCGTTTCAAGGTCGTACTCACTCAATAATACAATGCTGCAAAATTATTACCGAGGTGCGACCACAGAATTTGTGTGCTCTCCGAGAGTGAATCACCTGGAGCGATCTGTCTCGACGACATACATCCCATTCGTGCTACGGCTCGCGTATGAAAGTAGATCCCGGCCTCTCATATCTCCGTCCTCGCGTGGTGCTCTGTCGAGGGGTATCCCAGACCCTTCTGATATTACCCGCCCATCTGGAATGCCTATATTGCCCGTTTCCTCCAGTTTGATCAGCTTCGTGGCCTCCACAAGTTTGATCAACTCCTCGAGCTCATGCTTTAGCTTTACATATTCCGGTGTGCCCTCTTCAGGTGGTAATAATGCAGACAGTTCATGCAGTCGTTTGAATGTGGCTGGTGATATCGACGGAGCTGGATAAGATGACAACAGTTCCTGGACGGACCAGGTAGGCGTAAGTGGTATACCATACGTGTCGGTTTCAACTGTTGCTCTAGACGTCGAGAGCTGCAACGGGACGTTCAGAGAACGACACCATACGCGCCCTGCTTGCCTGACTGAACGCAGTAGCATGTGGTGAAGAGATAGAACGGCGTGGGAGATTTATGGGAAACCGGACGTAATAATTATTACCATTAATATTTGCTCAAACTCTTCCATTTGCTGCAGCAGTAACATGGAACGAGCAGTTCGCGCTATTCAGGGCCTATTACCAAGTACACTTCCCCCATCTCTACGAACAACACCTGCAAACCTTTACCAGGTGCTTTCTCGAGCCCCTGGAGGTGGTGTTGGCCAGCGCGTACACCAGATTCGTTGGACGGAGAAAGGTATAAGAAACTGCTACTGGCAAGTAACGCGGACACGGCTCAAGCTCGAGGGGAACCACGGAAAGGCTTGGGGGAAGCTGTACTGGAGAGGTGAGCTCCTATCTCACAAGAAAAGCGGACACAAACTTACCTGCATATGCAGGTAAACAAATTAGTAGGCAGGAGGAGAGAATCGATGGTTCATTGAAATACAAATGGTCAGCAGGTTCGTCTTAGCCAATGCAAATGTACGTGAGAGTATCTGTCGTTGTAGAGTTTACACTCATACACCTTCCAAGATTACCGTGCAGGCTTGCCTTCACACTGACGTTTGGGACGGTTCAAGTTTAGTTCCCTGCATAATGAATACCGCCTAAATTAAAATGTCTTACACACCTACTGCTCAGCATTATTCCCGACCACCATAGATGAATTTTACGGATCATCGAGTATGTCCTGATTCCTAAGCCAGCTCATCAACAAATGCAGGGATGGTCTTATGTCTTCTCTCAACCTGGATGTCGATGTTTTGTGGGATCCGCACTTGCGTAGCCAATTCCATATTATTCGTAAATGAATTCGGATGGACACTGCAGCAACATGTATTAAAGACAATGGTTCACACTAGTCCCCAGTATTCCTAGTCAGACTTCGGAAAAGGAATTGTGTTTTTGTTCATGTGCCCATGTCTCCGTGAGCCATGTTACTTACCATTTTTGTCGGAGTGCATTCGGCGAATCCCGAAAACCAAGCTGAAGCATTCTAGGGAGTATAAGGCCGGTTCGCATCGCGGTGACGCTGAACTCTTGGAACAGCTTATAATTTCTTTCTATCACATCCTTGCTCTAACATTCTGTTAACTTGTTGGACGCACCGCATTGTCCACAAGCTCATTCCTTTCCGTCTCACTATTTTCTGGGATGGACTCACGTGAACTTATTGATGCGCAATTCGATCGGGCGGTGGAGATAGTGCAGGGCCTCCCAAAGACCGGGCCCATACAAACAGGCTATGAGGAGAAACTGACAATGTACAGGTGCGTTACATAACTTTGCATCTTCAAGTTCACATTTACTTACTGACTTTCATTATCAGCTTGTACAAGCAAGGTGGATATTCCCCTCGCATCATATTTCAGAGCACCTCTTGACTTATATTGCGATGCGCAGCGACTGTTGGAAATGTCCAAGGCGGTCGTCCAGGCATGTGGGATATGCTAGGCCGGGCAAAGTGGTCAGTCCATGTTGTTCCTCAGCCTCGCGTTATCACGTGTTAACGAGCACTCGAGGGACGCATGGGCGAAGCATAAGGATCTCGATCTATATGAAGCTAAATGGCTTTACGTGGATGCTTTACTGAAGGTACGATCTTGGATAATTCCATGATGCCCGACAATAATTTCAGTACAGGTTTTAAGTAAATACTCGGACAAGACTGTTGCCCGTGACCTCATGAACGAACTCCAGTCTTATGGTGGTGACCCGTCAAATCTGGTGATGAGCCGTATGTCCAGCATGAAATTTCCCTTTACTATAAATTGACATATTCCACCTAGATTCCCTTCCAAGGTCTCGGACCTCCCAGTCGTCAAGCTCCAGCGCCTCATATAACGATATTCATCGAATTCCCGGTCAATTATTTTCATCTACCCCTTTAGAGGCTCAGCAAGCTGCACAATTAGCAGTTATGGAGGACAGTGGCTCGAGTTCTGAAGACGGTGAATCAGGCGACGAAGCACGCGAACTCCCATCCGTGCGTGAGCCTGTTCAACAGCCAAGACCACTCTCTTCCATGTCTTCAAAATATCGTACTCCTGCAACCGGCTCACATGCCATCTCGCCGCCACTTGCTGGGCTCGCAAACGTTCCACCAATGCAACCAATGCCCGCATACCAGACACAATCCGCCTTCGTTGGTCAACCAACACCAATAGTATCCTCGTCTATATACCCTCCACCAGGGCACTATTCTGGGACATACCAGTCGCCCGAGTTTGCACCACAGATTCAGTCAGCTCTCTCCCTCCGGGGGGGCCGGTTTTATGGCGCTGAAGCACCTATACGAACACCCTCACGGTTGCCCCTGGAGCAAGCCATCGAAAACGTTCAGACACACCTTGCCGCAATAACAGAACGGCTCGATATGCTCGAGTCCCAGGTGGTGCATCCGCAGCGATCCACCGCTTCGCTTCCCTTGAGAAACTCATCCGGTAGAGGCAGTCCGACGGATAATCGTCCTGAAGCACTCGAATGGGATTTGGATGATATGGGAATGTGGTCGTTCGTTCTCAAGCCATTGTCACGGGTGATGGTATCATTGAAACAGCTTCTTGTGTTTTTCGGTCGGAGCGAGAATCGGTCTCCGGTACTCACTATCGTGCGAAGACTGTTCCTTGACATATCATTCTCGTTGGCAGTTCTCAGGTTGCTGAGGCTGACGTGGAAGAAGACGGCTACAAGACGGAGGGAGGTCAATGCAGCCCTTATATTACTATGGGCTGCTTTGTCTGGGAGGAACAGGGGAAGACGGATGATCAGTGGTGTGTAGTGCTTGCTTTTTTAACTTGTGGGTGGCTCAAGAGTAGTCATTGCTGCACTTATACCTCAATACCCAGAATTATTTACTTTTTCCAAAAGTTATATTTGAGCTTCGCAATTGCTAATAATATTTTCACTTCGTGCTCAACAGTTATTTGAGGTTTCAAGACTACCATTCGTGGATACAACTGGTCCTATCCTTTTACTCCGTCATATCGACAACACAGCGGATACAGTCACCACCCTAGAAGTTAGGTTACGCTTCCGTTGGGCTTATAAGGGAGGGTGATACGTACGTGCATGTCGTGGAAGCCGTCGTTGATTTCCGCAAATTTGCGGTGGTGGGTGACGTATTCATCGATCTTGAGCTTGCCTTGCAAGTAGTCTGGATGGTAGATTACATTGTTCAGGGCATGAATTGAAAGCACTGAAGATCGAGTCACCTTCGACGAGACCAGGGAGCTCGGTCCGACCCTTCACTCCTCCAAACGCAGTACCTCGCCATGTGCGACCAGTAACCTGGAATACATCCACCCATAAGTCACAGCTGACCATCTACTTCAACTGGATCATTACCAGTTGGAACCTTTATAGGAATTTCAGCACACGGGATCCCTGTAAAAAACGCCAGATCACTTACGGACGTGTCGATATCTCCTGGCCAGCAGCAGCAACACCGATGACGGTGCTCACACCCCAGCCCTTGTGACACGACTCTAACGCAGCACGCATGACGTGTACATTGCCAGTAGCGTCGAAGGTGAAGTCCAACCCGCCATCAGTAATCTCGACCAGGTGATCCTGGATGCGCTTGCCCTCTGGGAGCGCCATAGGGTTGATGAATTCGGTGGCACCCATCTTCCTTGCCCAAGACTCTTTCCCGGGGTTCGTATCGACGGCAATGACTCGAGAAGCACCAACAATCGACGCGGTGGAGAGAACACCGAGGCCAATGGCACCGCATCCGAAGACAGCGACGTTGGAGCCCTCTGTGTACCGTATGAGTGACAGCAGAAATCTCACATCTTCACATACTGATGCCTTGCTGCTTCACAACTGCGCCCCATGCAGTGGTGATACCACAACCAAGAAGACAGACCTTCTCGAGAGGTGCAGACTTGTTCACAGCGACGACAGAAACCTCCGCCACCACAGTGTACTGCGAGAACGTTGAAGTTCCCATCTATTTTTGCGCATAAATATCGTCAGATCCGAAAGGGGGTAAGATACGTACGAAATGGTGGATGGGTTGGCCCTTGCACGTGAAGCGGTGGGTGCCATCAGGCATGAGACCCTGGCCTTGTGTTGTTCTCACTGACCACGACAATCGTGAGACTCGTGCCATGGTGGGATATAGGAGTCTAACCTTTTCCACACAGGTTGGTCTTCCCGCTCTTACAGAATTTACATTCGCGGCACTCTGGAGAATTGGACTGAGCAGGGAATTCAGGGGTCGTCATGGGCCGGCTCACCAGCAGTGTAAAGCGGGATAACGTGGTCGCCCTAGTAGCAAAGGGTGTTTAGTAGGAAGGGCAATACAGCATATTTATTGCTGAGACTTACAACTGACACACTTGTGACACCCTCACCAACCGATTCAACCTGGAGAACCCCAAAGAGCAATGAAGCAATAGGCACAGTAGCAAGTACTCTGACTCACCACACCTCCACCTTCATGACCAAGAATCACAGGGAAGAGACCCTGCGATGCTTCAGATGAACTCAGGTCACCGCAAGACTGAACTCTAAGCATACCTCAGGATCCTTGCCACTGCGAGTGTACTCATCAGTATGACATATACCTACAAGAACGCCCCCATCAGCAGATAAGATAACTGTGCAGGTCCCCCTCTTACCAGTGTACAGGATCTTAATGCGGACTTCGTTAGCTTTCGGAGGCGCAACCTCAACCTCCTCGACCTTGAGGGGCTGGCCAGCACCCCAGCAAACAGCAGCCTTGCAGATGATGGGCTTACCGACTGTGCTCATGATGGTGAATCGTGATTGTCTGTGAGTGAGAAATTCAAAGGTGGCCCACGGTGGCTCTGTATAATATATTTCAATTCTTCTTTTATGCGGGCCGGAGAAATAATAATGTGATCATTATCAGGCCCGGGCCACTTGAGTCGAGGTGCTGCAGCTGTCGTTTCATAGCTTGCACATGACAAGATAGATCCTTATCATCTTTCAGCGCCAAGGTCCTCCTCTCTGTCTTCTTTCCCGCATCGATCTCTGGATGCTGTGAATCAACTCTAACCGAACCGACTTTTGATCATAGCTGATTCACAAACACCAGCAGCATCACCGTAGCTGCAACCATGTCGTTCCCGAATCTTTACTATAAGCGAGTAAGTCTCAGTGAATTCATTAATGTCTACCCGTAATAAAGAAACTAGACCACAGCGACCGCAAAAGCATGCTACATCTGTTATAAGCCAACGACTGCCGTGCTCGCCACGATAGATACCTCCGATTTCTTGTATACATGCACGGTTCACCTGTCAGACCACGGGTTCGCTACTCGCGTGCTCGAGCCCGAGAGCGAGAACAAGATAGGAATCAGTGTTGAAGAAATCGCAAGGCTCAGGGAGGAGTGGGAGGAGAAGCAGAGACGCAAGAAAGAGAAAGAGAAAGCGGATAAGGACAAAACAGCCGATGGTGAAAAGAAAGAGGATGACGGCAAGTCGGAGAAGTCATCAAAGGTGCCGGGATCATTGCCCACGTCGGGTTCTCTAACACCAAGGCCCACCCACGAGAAGTATATATTACATCGCGATATATTTGCCCTGAGAGTCTCGGAGCACCGCCGACGGAGGCAAACTTCACAGGTGAAGGATCTAGCCCCTCGTCTTCCAGGAGCCCCCAGTAGTAGTCTGTCGTAATATGTGCTGTTTGATCTACTGTAGATTGTCGTACCATAGAATTCTGGTATATGCATGTTTGGGTTTAGGGTATACGTGCTCAATTCATAAAAGGATTGCAGTGGCAAATAATAGCTCTTATCCCGAAACTTCCAAAACCCCCGATTGCAAGACCCACGATGAGACAGAAACCAGCCACGGTGCTCGCAATGGGGACGTCTTCGCGACGTTGCCGCAATCGTGGATTGTGCTCTAGAGAGGATGCACCCAGCACGCAGAGCGTAGAGACGTATCCGCTTGAGAGGCCTAAAGCGCCGACAAGGAGCATATAGACAAAGTCGGAGCTGATTACGGGCAAATCACGTGAAGGGCCCTGTACCGTGTTGCACAGAAGGAAGATGGGGATGAACAGGGTACGGACGATCGAGAATGCCAGTATGCGTGTAGCGGACCATGTTATTACTCTTGGGAAAGAACAGATGTATCGTCCAAAGAAGTCGCCGAGGTTGAACATCAAAAAATGAATGGCAGTGAATAGTAATGGATGGGTATTGGGGTTAGTCGATTGTATGGTAATTGTAATAACAGGGAATATGGCCTTGGAGCAAAAAGTCAACTCGTGATCAGGTGATGAGTCAAGTTACCGCACCAGGGTGATCACAAAGACATATGCAAGAGCAAATTCATAGATGATGTTCGCCTTGAATACACGTATTATTTGGATTCTTTCCTCAAGGTTTTCTTGATCTGTATTGCGAAAGACGAGCCCTCCTGTTTCATCGGCACTGCCTAGGGCTCCTTCAAGTTTGACGTTTTCTTCCAAAATCCCGACAGTGGCCTTGTAGGCTGGCAACCGGGCCATCCAGGCGTAGGCCATGAATGTGCATATCATAAACAATGCGGATATTCCAAAAAATGTACGGGCAGAATCCTGCTCTGCCGTTCCGTCTCCAACACCATCGTTAGATATGAACGCGGCAATCGCTTTCGGGGTCGAACCCCACACGGACAAGGCGGACGTAACCACCTGGACCACACTAACAACCACAGCTATGGCAGCCTGGCCGGATATCATAGATTGCATGTAAGGAGCCCCGAAGAGCGAGGCCCCAGCGTAGGTGGCTGTGGAAAGATATGAAACGCATATCGCCAGAGAAATAGCACATAGAATTGCAAAGAAAAAGAAGGTTGATGGTTGGTAGTATCCAAAGGTGCTGAAGAACAGGAGAACGATGATGAGTGTGACTGATGCGGCAGACCAGAAAACTCGTCGAGAGGGTGACGACTGGCAACATGATGGTCAGGGTGTATCAATATCGACTCCATAGAAAGAAATTAGGTTCCAACCTGTTTCGAAGTTGCCGTGGCATGTGCCAGCGCGAATACATTGAATAGGCTGGAAGTGGTGGTCATGTATGAGGCAAAGGTTGCCCGCAATGGTGATCCGACCAAACGAGACAAGAAGAACGAGGTGGCGGTAATCAATACTGGACAAAAAATATGTTTAGTATCACAGCGCGTACTGGAGAGATAAGTATTGGTACACACCATTCCAAGGGAGAAGGATCGCGCAGCCTAGCATAAAGTAGACCCACCGTATTCGACTATCGACAACCTCATCAACGACAAAGTGGTCTGTTGCCGAATCATCGAATGTCAATTCAAGTTCGTCGTCACAATCGTCATCGACCGCGACTGGTGGGAGAGCATGATAAACGGCCCCCGAATCTGTGGCTGAAATATGTGGCAGCATGCTGCTAGGCCCTATTGACATGACGGAGTTGGTTGGCTGGTTCAGCAGCGGTCGAAGCAAGGTGGAAGACTACGAACGGGTGGTGTGACTATAAAGCGAATGCAGTGGGATACAGCCGGAAGAGCGCTGTTCGGTTGATATGCAAGGCTGTGAGAGCCTCTTTGCCTTCCATTTGCTGGCAGAGCCTGCCAGACCAACCATGTATGTCTGACGATATCGAACGAGTATAACTGAATATCAGTTGTTCAGTCGGTGTACTAGTGGCGCATTTACGTATGATTGGATGACTAGTTAATGGAGCCGAATTACGCGGGCAGGAACAGGCTTGTTTACTGTTTCTGTACAGTGTGAAATACTGAAACAGGCTTTGTCCTTTCATACAATAGTAGAACACGCCGTGAGGTACACCAGCGCGCGCTCGTCGTAGTCGGCGACGTGTGGAGGTCTGTGGTCAGTGAGGAACCCGGGAAGGGCCGAATAGCGTTCCGAACACGCCGGAAAACGCGTGCCGTCATTATGAAACCGGTACCGAAGATTGCAGTAAACAGTTTGCAACTGGCAAGAAGCTTACAGCATTCTGAAACAACAAGATGTACTTGATTATTGATGAATGTCCCTTGATATCACGTACATTCTTCGCCCGAGTCTCTCGGCATATATAATGAAGGGGAAGTCCCTAGCTGGAAAAAAGGATACCAACGAGTCTTTCCACAGTGGAACTGACATATCCACCAGTGTATCTTCTTATTAAGCTGAACTGTACGGAAGCGGTTCAGATTGACGGTCTGCAGACAGCTAAAAAGTTACCAAGAAGATTCCTTCGATAGTAGTGCCAATCGCACATGGGCATTCCCAGCGCGCTTAATATGCAATCACATCGTGACCAAGCAGCCATATGCTCTTCAGCAGTCCTGACATTCGCGGTCTCATGTATGGCAAATTGTGTCGTCATTCCAACTGTTTCTCAGGAAGTCTGTAGGCTCGAGGGAAATATAGGAGTATGCAGACAGTAGTTTCTTTCGTTTCGGGCAAGTATGACAAGAGGCCACTGTGCCTCCAAAAGAGTGACATATGATCACGTCATAGGACGTGTCCTTGACAAAGTACCATTGGAGGCCCACTGCAAGGGTGGACATGCGGTAGTCGCCGGTGGCCCATCTCCATACGTGCCCAAGGAGATTCGGCGCGACGACAAAGAACTCCTGTTGAAAACAGAGCATCATCACCATAGTATTATAGAACCCGGCCTTTTGCTGCTAATAGCTGAGCGAGGCCTTCCCATGAATTTGAAGACGTCGTCAAACCATGAATGAGCAGGGCTCGTCTGGAAGCAGTGGGAGAACTCCACTGAGATGCTAAAATGGGAACGCAGATACTAAAATGCCCGGCGCGTAGGAAATGACGGAGGCTTTACAGGGTGTACAACACAGCCTGATTGGAATGGCATAAGACACCGAGGACTAGAATGAAATATGCTATCCGCCTATTGAGAGGTGCCACGAAATAATACACTAGATGAAAGGAAATCAGTCAGCGCGGCTCAGGCGTCGAACAATAAACCAGATCCGGGGATCCCGGCGTGTCTGCCTGAATGTGTCTTTTGAAGTCGTCAGCAAAGATAAGCATATCGTGGCGACCGCGTGGTATTGAGTCGAAATCACTAAGCTCAGGCCAGGCCAGTGTATAGTTGCTCACGTACAATAAGTCGAAAATTCGAACCAAGGACTAGTATGCATGTTTGTTGAAGCAAGCAAAATGAGGATATCCCTAGGGGTATGGGGAACAACTTTGAGCGCTGAGGGGTCTTGAGAAGTGATCCTGGAATTATCAGATAGACCAGTAACAAAAGAAGCGGAAGCCGTCCAGGCCTAGACAAGTCCCGCACTGGACTCGGCTAGTTATGCTCATACCACATGCCGAGTCTCAAACAGTCTAGAAGAAAATAAATAGCAAGTACATGATTGGATGCGATGGTCATAGACAAAAACAACGCTGCAGAAAACCATCCCTTCTCTGTACGGCTCACAATTTTGCTCTTGGTAGGGGAATTGCATCCATAATAGCATGTGGACACTCGTATTGAATCCAGTGACCGATCCCAGTAAAAGCTTTAGCATTCAATCTCTCAACGTCACGAGGAATGTGCTCCAAGAAATCTGTGCCGAACTTCGGATCCGATGCCAATACAGTGATCTTGACGTGAGGTGGTATGTTTTTGAGCAACCCACTGAAAGACCATGATTTGTTTCGCTGTTCGCAGAACCTGTCAGCAATGCATCCAATTTCAATACCTGAAATATTACCCGAAAAACTTCGACAGTGTTGGGATCAACAATTGCGACTCCCAGCGTTCTTAACACGCAGTCACGTCGGGACCAAGCAGGGTTCTCAGCCATGTGCTCTTCCGCAGTTCTAACATTCACTGTCCAATCCAAAAACAAATCCTGATACACGTTGACCTGCGCTTCTGTACAGTCGACGGGGGGATCGACGAGTATGACAGTGGTTTCTTTCGTTTTGGGCAAGAACGGCAAGAGTGATAAGGTCATTAGGCATCCAAAGGAATGACCGATGATCACGTCGTAGGACATGTCCATGGCGAAATATGGTCGGAGGTCTTCTGCAAAGTCGGATATCCGATAGTTGGTGCACCGTCTCCCTCCATGCCCAAGGAGGTTCGGCGCTACAACAAAGAAACCTGATCATCTGTTAGAAAGATTGTCACTACAGTATTTCGACCTAACCTTCTGCTACCAGCAGCTGAGCGATGCCCTCCCAGGAATTCGAGCACGTAGTCATGCCATGAATGAGAAGAGCTCGCCTGGAAGCGGTAGGAGAACCCCACTGGGACGCTGAATTGGACATGTACACACTCAGATGGTTGGTTTAGATGTGTTCAAGGTCTCGGTTTGGTTGAAGAGGTTCAGTGCTTAGTGCGGCTGTGGAAGAGGTAGAAGAAGAGAGCGTAGGAAAAGTGACAATGTCTGGGGGATCTGACAGGGTCAGAAGGCACCCAATAATAGGTTGGAACGGAACGGACGCGGTCCGCGTCTCAACGTGGGATTCAGGCAGTCGCGATCCGACATGCGTTGGCAGAGTAGTGAGAGCAAACCCGGTTCATCAGCAAGTTGCGAATTCGCTTATTCGAGAATGATCAATAGCAGGCGTATGATTGAATGTGACGGTTGCAGACGAGAACTACGGAAACGTAGACTCACCACGGATCGCACGGATTGTACGAAACACAAGAGTGGGTAGCATGATCGGATGTGTTTATAGAGACGTGTGTCCCGTGAGAAATATGGAGGTAAGGCTCGCCGAGAAGCTAATCCACCTCGCAAATAATAGTGGCACCGAGTGAGACGAGACCGAAGGCCGCCGCGGCCTTCGGTACGGCCATCGAGCAAAGTTGAGCGAGGTTCCCCGCAGCGTCTGTGCGCGTTTTGACACCGACAAGTATGTGCTCTTTCGGCGTGTGGGTTGTTCAACCAGTGCGGATCATGTGTTGGAGCTACTGAATATCAGTAAATAGAAGGGTTGAGAGGGTTTATAAGGCGTGTATCTAGTTAGTCTTAACCCGAACGACGCGAGTGTACCCCCATACTTGGGGGTATTTCCAACCGACTTCCATTGCACGCCCGGTGACCCAAGAGAAGTTCGTCCTGGAGTGTTGGTATGGGCATGATACGTATTTCATCGTCGTTCATCGAATCGTTCACCTTCGAATATTTACAATCTATTATAATTACTAATCGATTACCACATGCTGGGTCTCAAACAATCTAAATAGCAAGTACACGATTGGATGCGATGGTCATAGACGAAAACAACGCTGCAGAAAACCATCCCTTCTCTGCATGGCTCACAATTTTGCTCTTGGTAGAGGAATTGCATCCAAAATAGCATTCGGACACTCGTATTGAATCCAATGACTGATGCCGGTCAGAACTTTAGCATCCAATCTCTCAATGCCACGAGGTATGTGCTCCAAGAGACAATTCGCGCCGAGCTTCGGATCTGATGCCAGTACGGTGATCTTGATGTGAGGTGGTATGTTTTTGAGCAACCCACTGAAAGACCATGATTTGTTTCGCTGTTCGCAGAGCCTGTCAGCAATGCATCCAATTCCAACACCTGAAATATTACCCGAAGAACTTCGATGGTGTTGGGATCAACGATGGCGACTCCCAGCGTTCTTAACATGCAGTCACGTCGTGGCCAAGTAGGGTTGTCAGCCATGTACTCTTCCGCAGTTCTGACATTCGTCGTCCACTCTAAAAACACATTCTGACTCTTCTTGACCTGCACTTCTGTACGGTCGAGGGGGGGATCGACGAGTATAACAGTGGTTTCTTTCGTTTTGGGCAAGAATGGCAAGAGTGACAAGGTAATTAGGCATCCAAAGGAATGACCGATGATCACGTCGTAGGACGTGTCCATGGCGAAATATGGTCGGAGGTCTTCTGCAAAGTCGGATATCCGATAGTTGGTGCACCGTCTCCCTCCATGTCCAAGGAGGTTCGGTGCTACAACGAAGAAACCTGATCATTTGTTAGAACGATAGTCACTACAGCGTTATGACCTGACCTTCTGCTACCAACAGCTGAGCAATGCCCTCCCAGGAATTCGAGCACATGGTCATGCCATGAATGAGAAGAGCTCGCTTGGAAGCGGTAGGAGAACCCCACTGGGATGCTGAATTGGACATGTACACCCTCAGTGGTTTAGACGTGTTTAAGGTCTCGGTTTAGTTGAAGAGGTTCAACGTTTAGTCCAGCTGCGGAAGGGATAGAAGAGAGCGTAGGAAACGTGATCACGCCCGGAGGACCTGATGGCAAAAGGCACCCAAGATTAGGTCGGTACGGAACAGACGCGGTCCGCATCTCAACGTGGGATTCAGGCCATTGCGATCTGACATGCGTTCAGAGAAGCGAGAGCAAACCCGGCTCATTAGCAAGTCGCGAATTCACTTATTCGGGGATGATTGATAGTAAGTGTATGATTGTTTGTGACGGTAGCAGACGAAAACTACAGAGACATAAATGCACCACGGATCGCACGGAACACGAGAGTGGGTAGCATAATTAGTCGGATGTAATCTGTGTTTATAATATAGAGAAGTGTGTGTATCCCGTGCAAAATACGGAGGTGAGACTTACCAAGAAGCTAACCCACCTCACAAATAATAGCGGCATTGAGTGAGACGAGACCGAAAGCTGCCATTGAGAACAATGCATAGGACTATCTAGTGATCATAGCTTGACCAGACACAGACATGAAACGTTCTGGGTATCTCGCCTTGATCTGCGCTGCTACTAGTAGATCTTCCTCATATATCTAGTCCGGACCCAGCTGATTCCCGAGCATTAGCCAATTGCGGAGCATCATCAAATCTTCAGTACACCACAACATATAAAACTGTTCGCTGCCACCTACCCAGGTCGCGTATTGTGCTTTCTTCCGAAATTTTCAATTTTCCACCTGCCAGGACACATCCTTTCGATCAGCCCGTACACCTCGTCTAGTTTGTGACTTATCTCGCGCACCTCACTCATAATGACGCCAGTGTCGAGTCCCCAGTTTGTCCAGGGGGGGAAATGAGCGAGGTTCACTGCAGCGTCTGTGCGCGTCTTGACACCGACGGGCATGTGCTCTTTCATGTGGTTGAGTGTGGATCATGCGTTGGAGCTACTGAATATCAGTGCCTGATTAATCTTAACCCAAAAACACGAGTGTACCCCCGTACTCGGAGGCATTCCCGACCGACTTCCGTTGCACGCCCGGTGACCCAAAAAAGAGCAGTCCTTCGTCCTGGAGTGGTTGGTATCGGCATGACACGAATTTCATCGTCGGTCACCGTACCATACGGAAGCTATCCAAAATTTACTTAGACTCACATACGGTGGGATGGTCCCATAAGACGCGCACGCTCATGTGTTATCCCATGCTGGGTCTGCCATTATAACATGGGATTTTCCTAGCACTGAATAGTCAAACCGGTACAGGTCACAATTGATCCACTGAGGAGGAAGCTGGCCGAACAACGTCAGCATCTACTATGTTGAGACACATCCACCGTACTTACCTCTTGCCACATGTCTCTTCCATCAAGGCCCATCCCCAGCTCAATCTTGAAAAGTTTATTTAATCCCTGAGTTCTCCATCCATGTCGCTCAATGGACTCTCTTCCTGCATGAACTTCTTGCACTTCTCTTATGGTGGGCTACAGTTGTCAGTTGGCCGTGCTTCTGCTGTTGCTGATTGTTCTCCAATCAGACAGCCAATATCCACATTTCTTTCCAAACGTCCTTGAGCATCTCGTGCACTCGACACGGCAACTTTCCCGCCACATAAACGTACCTCCCTTGGTATCATGCTTCTGTCTTTGCTACCTCTGAATCTGTCTCTGGCTGCGAACCTCTTAGTACGCATCGTGACGAGTGTTTGAAGTGTTGTTTGAAGGATTCTGCTGACGGCCGACTGTCCCATTCAGTTTCTGTTCTCTTCAATGGTGTTTGAGTGTTGGTCGTGCCGAAAAGTACTGAACTCACAGGCTGCTTCTTGTCGCGCCCGCTATGGTTCGCGACCCCGTAAGATGTTGAACGGTGAACACCATGTTATGCACAAAGGTCGAGTGCCTTCCGTTCCGTTTTTACCTGTAGAACGCAAAGAGAACTGTATGTAGAGGTACAATACTACAGCTCATAAATTGATCATAGAAATAGATTGTCCGTCGTAAGTAGTAGGTATCAGAAACTGGCGTGACTAAGCGTTTTTATGTAAAATAGTCTTATAACACAAGTTACTCCTCTCACTTGCCTACGATGGTAGAGTGTCCAACAAAAGATTAAGGATACCAAGGAAAACTGATGCTGATGTACACGCTAAGACAAGGGCACCGATCCAGGCAGCCTTAGCCTGTGCAGCTTGGGCTGTGGTTTCGATAATCACAGCATATGCTGCACCTCGCCTGCTAAACACGCTGGAATTGCAGTAACATGTATCGTAGAAGTTGGAGTAGTGGAATACACATGCCATGATCGCCAAAAAGAAGTTTAGTAGGGCCAATGATTTGCCCGTCCATCTCAGGACGTGCGAGAACGCTAAAGTAACACGTGCAGATGGCGATACTTGGCGGGGGTCAGCGGCGGAAGAGTGAGCGAGAATGCTGGACATCAGGAGCATCATCCAAATTAAAGTCGAAATGGCTCCGTAAAGGAGATAACTCATAGATCGACACCCCATTCCCTATCAGATGTCAGCCAACTCGACCACAAATATACGGGAAGACTCACTGTTGTAGGAGAGAACCACGTTGCCATAAATGCTGCTCCGACTGTTCCCCATTGTAATGCAAGCGAAGCGCAGGAAGCGATAACCATTCTTGTGAACACACCAGGTGCCCAATGGCTGCTCTGCATCCCGTTGAGTTGTGCACAGTACACGGCGACGTCATGGAGGTGTCGGCTTCTGCAATCAATGTCTCAGGTAGTGTTGGACTCAATGGTAATGTCGGATTCGGCCCTGTCGCTCCCACAAACGGGAAGATGGCTATGAGCCTTCTCTGATGCCACTTTGAATACCATGAAGATAGTCTCTGCTGTAGATGCCCATCGCAGCGAACGAGAGTAATTAAACACCGGAGGGGTGAGGAGTTCGTCTGGAGACATCACATCTTCCTCCTTAGCAGTTATTGCCAACGCTCTCCGGAACGACGCGGGCAACATCCCAGCACGAATATCCGCTGTTTCTGTGCGCATACTGTGTCGGTCTGCACGGTCATAAGCAGCTTGTAAGCGATTGAAGTCGCATTTTGGGGAGAGCTGCAGCCATCCGACAACTATTGGAATCAACCACAACCACATTGAGCCGGTGGCCTCTCCATTGGCTGCAACGTTTATGTCAAGTGAGTTGGCTACAGTGAAGATATAGGCAGCAACGACCCATGCAATGGAGGTTGCGGACGCAATTGACCATGTATGGGTGTAGTCTACAAATTCAGCGAGACATTTCCACCAGGAGTCGTTTTCCGGAAGGACAAGGAGAGAGGGTAAGCGTACGCGATCAGGATGCAGTCTGAGCGGGACTTGCTGAAGACTGCTCAAGATGGAGAGTGCGAAACGTGAATTAGGATAGTCCACTAAGTGATCAAACCGGCGCTTGATCCAGCGAGAGTTGAGGAGGGTGATGAATAGAGAGTAACCAGCAAGTGTCGGTGACCCGACAGTTAAGACAGTAGACATGAGATTATCAAGTCTGTACTGTGCCCCAAAGGGGAGCTGCGAAATCAGTGCAAGATTTGGCAATAGCCACGTACTGAATTCTTGCAAAAATACAAACCACTGGAAAGGTTCTTGCCCGTTACCACATCGGGATGTGCACAACGAGTAGCTGATCGATGTTGCATCAGAAACATTCGATACAGGATCTCCGTCACCGTTGAGTAAACCATCTAAATTTTGGGTAGTATTTGCACTCTACGATGTCGTTCAGACACCGAGTGAAGTCAACTGCCGCAATGACTGTTCCGACAACGTGCACCAGTAGTAAGAGAGCTAAGCCCAAGTAATAAATGAGAAAACAAGAAGCCTGTAGTCCAGTCATTGCACATACCTGCCTGAGAGCTTTTGTGCAAGCGCATCAGATTAGTCGTATCGACTATGCATGTAGATCAGGCCTATATAAAATGGTTTGACTTACTGGAAACAGGCGTCTCTGCCTTTATACTTTAGTAAAAAATCCTCACCGGAATTTGGGTACTGTCAAGCATTCGCCGGATTCTGCCCATCAGATCTAGAGGGATATCATGATGTTGACACACTTTGTTCAGTGACATGAAAGGGCAGTGTCGACTAGTGTCGATCGCAGCCTGAAATGATACGAGATAACAATATTAAGGCCTATCTCATTAATCACGGCTATGAAGACTTTGTCTAGCGAGTGGTGAAAAACGGCAAATAATCGCCTTGCTTGCACAGGTCATCTTGATGCCATGAGTCTGCAAATCATCCACACGGACAAACAAATTCTTCATCACACACAAATACAAATATGAGCTAGAAATCAACTTGATCACCTCGAATACAAAATGCTACTCTCTGAATCACCATTTATGTAACGTCGCGATTGACGAAGAATTGAGAGTGAGAAACAGTAAAACGGATGAAAATGTGCATGTGCCAACAACCAGAGGAACGTCCACTCAAAGTATAAAGTGTGGTATACCATCGTCCGAGACCTCATATAGGTACAAGATCAGTTAATAAACTCATGTAAAAAATGAATCCCAAAGAGGTAGACCCAGCCAAAGCCAACGCTCCGAACCAAGCAGCTTTGGTTTGTCCAAAGTCTGAATCATCCAACACGACAATAGTATATGCATTTTGGGCCCCTCTCCCCAACACACTTGAGTTGCAGTAACAATTATCATAGACATTCGTAAACTGCAACATCCCTGCCGCAATTATCCCAATTGCATTGACGATCGCCACAAATTTACCTCCCCATCTCAAAAGGTTTGATACTGCCTTTACGAGACGGATGGTGATAGATGAGGACGGACTCCTGGGTCTGTCTGAGTATGAGGATGCGTAGTGCGACAAGATGCTCGACATAACAAGCATCACCCATATTATCGTTGCAAATGCGCCATAGATGATGTAACCGAGAGATCTACAACCAAGGCCCTGTCGCGTGTGGCTGATCAACAACAGGCGCAGATAACTACATATCAAATACTGCTTACCACAGTTGGAGTAAAATACACAGCTAATATCGCAGCTCCAGTTGTTGCCCATTGCAAAGCCAGGGGTAGTAGCGAGGCCACGAACATGCGAGAGAACATCCCTGTCGCCCAGGGGCTTCGTACTGCGTATCGAGGAAGTCTGCAGTAAGCATTGACTTCGGATGTGTTTCCTTTCCTGTTGCTGGGCTCAATAAAATTCCTCCTATTCGCATTGTTCCATGTAGCACCGGTCGCGACTGATTTGTGTATTTTGGCATTGTTGGAGGCTATTCGAAAAGCATTGAAGACGTCCTCCGCCGACTGAGACCATGAAATGGCCCTGGCGTAGTTATAGACAGGCGGAGTTAACATTTCGTCAGGAGAAGAAGGATTTTCCATATCGGTATCAATGGATACTGCTCGCCTTTCGGAAAGATCTGATGCCTTTACAACTGCATCCGAGTCATCGGTGGCTACAAATGCCATTGCATCCGCGTTGTCCATGGCCTTTCTAACGCGTACATAATCGCACTTTGGGGACAGTTGCAGCCAACCTATAACGATTGGGATAAGCCACAACCACACCGATCCCGTCCCTTGACCGTTGGAATTGATATTGGAAAGGACATCCGATAATGAGCTGGCGACCGTCAGTAGGTAGGCAACAATGACCCACGCAATGGTTGTTGCAGATGCAATGGACCAAGTATGGGTGTAGTCGAGAAAATCGGCAATGGTCGGCCACCAGTCATCATTGTCCGGCAGAACAACGAGAGAGCTGAGCAATGAGTCTTCATTTGATATCCTGAGTGGACTTTGTTGAAAGCTTATAAGGATACGGACGGCGGATTTAGTGTTGGGGAAGGATAGGTTATCGAATTGACGACTAATCCAGTTGGCGTTGAGAATGGTGAGAATCATCGAGTAACCGGCGAGAACCGGCGAACCGACTATGAGGATGGCAGACATGAGATTGTCAACTCTATGTCTTGCACCAAAGGGCAGCTGGGAAATGAGCGCAAGGTAGGGTAATAGCCAGGTGCCGAACTGTTGCGATATGTTTGCCCAGGTAGGATTCTCTGTTCCGCGGCAATGTTTGGAACAGGTCTGGTATGTGAACCCAACCGCGTTTATGATGTCTGATGACGATAAAATTTCGCCATAGCGATTCACCAATCCAGATGCATTGGGGCCCGCTTTGAACTGGATGAAGCAATTGGTAAAATTCATGCTGGCGTACGCTCCTTTAAGAAATGGGAGCAGCAGTAAGAACAATAGGATCTCTGAGAAAATAGTGAGCATAAGTCATTATGAGCCATCGAACTCACTCTTTGTATCGCGCATGAGTGAAGCTGACTTTCATCAATAGAGCGGAATGCACCTAGGAATCATATGAACGAAACTCCTGTGTAGGTTTATTAGTACATCTTTGGTGGCCGTTCAGAAGCCTCGGAGGACGCGATAAGACTGTATTGCCATCCAAAATTCTCATCTCAAAAAGCTTGGCCATCCAGGGTCAGTTCAGCGCTCGGTCTGAAACAGTAACTCAACGTTACTTGATTCAGCCAACTTCTAGTCAGAACACCATCATGAGAATATGGGGGGTTCAAAGTGTGAATGTAAACGAGTTTCGTAAATAAGATGACTGTGAGTCTGTACAATTAGCTCCAATGTTTGTCGTCCTAGGCGCTTTCCAACGCCGATCGCCGTCACAATTCAGGAACTCACCCGACACCAACGGTCACTGCCTTGGGGGACCAGATAGAGCAAACTGCCCAGAGGAGCAGCAACAAGAATTTTGTGCCTTCTCCCGGGTTGTAAATCAGTGGCGGAAGCATTTTTCTTGACACAAGAAGATAATTAATAGGGTATAACAGGCAGTGATGCAAGACAGATATAATAATTGCTGTGTGGCTTAAGCTGAGGAGCGCGTAACAATAGAACCTTCAGAACCTAACTGGGCACGGGAGGAAGCACCTGACCAATACATGATCAATGCCATGCAAGTAGTAAATGCATGCAGGGGCTGTGCGCATTGCGGATCCAGGTACTTCATACTGCATCAATATCCTGGAGGTTCAACGATTTAGTTCCGGTCAAAAGCATGTATAGGTCTTGTTAGAGGACTCTTCACTGGCAGTGACCTACTAGCCTAGAGCGTTCTAAGTCCTTGAAATTATCTTTCCAGTAAGCTTTCCGAAGACTGACTCAAATAGGCTGGTCTTCCCAAAGCAACGAGGTACATTACTCATACCCAGTGCTAGTGTGACCGTAAGCATACCAGTGACGAGCGGCCATTACTTACCTAGCTGTGATATTGATGGCCCGTAGGCAAATTAACGAAAGGAAAGTTCCGTTCTGTGATGTGGCATAAACTGTTGAGTCAGAGTATATTACTGAGTACCATGAGGACGCAAATTTTCCATACTCGGTTTCTGCCTTGAGCGAATATGATGCGGCGCAATGTCGTGCAGTGATGGATCGTTATCTTTACAACTGAGCTCTGATGTCGAACATCTATTGGATTGATAGTAAATGTGACGGTAATAGACAACACTCACCGATCCATCGACAAATCTCGACGAGAACAACATCTGCCGCTATAGTTACTAAATCGCTGGAAATGGGAGGCAGATCTGTTGTATGAATTTTGAAGTTACTGTATTGGTAGAAAATGTTGGGTCGCAAAGAACTTGTCGAAAAACACGGGCAGTGGCGAAACCCCACAATAGGACTTAACGATAACGACCCCGACGATGTAAGGAAAGCAGCGGTTGCGCTCAAGAGAGGAGCGGCACGACTACTTCCATTGAAATCAGCTTACCTAAGATGGACCTTACGGCTACTCACAGCAGGGACACAGATTCAAAGCCGACCGAAATATCATAAACTCTTGCCGCAGTTTTTCCTACGGATGTAATGATGCGAGACGAGCAACATCACAGGAAACAGCGGTGAAAAAAAGGCCTTATGGAAGATTTTATGTGAAAATGAAAAAATATATCGTCAGATCAAAGAGAAGTATACATAGTTTCAAACCCAAAAAACGACGCTCTGCGTGTAAATGATGTAATGACCTTGGAAAGTTCCGCGGCATATGATAGTCCGCAGCAACCGCTCCATTTAAATTTAAAAAGGTTTACTTGCCACAAGAGTTATCTCGCTCTGTACATATAAACGTCCGATCATCGGGCAAGTCTTAAGCCTGGCAACACCCAGTTGGTACTTATCAATGCGGCTCGCATTCGTCGAACGTGAGTCAGGCTTTCCGGGAGTGGGGCTTCAAGTTCTCCTAGTTTCGCTTTGGCCCATGTCTCTCGAGCTTCATCAGCAAAACACTTTTTTCCCACCACCAAAAAATGGCTGGCCCCCTCTGTACAGAGCCCACAGAGGCAAAGTGATTTGCTGATGTTTGCTCTCTCCTTCCCATTGCCTCACCTCATCTGAGTCCTTGTACGCTTGCATGCGCACTTCGTTCCGCTCCAGCCGCTTTGCGTCCTCTTCTTTCCACACCTACACGCTCATCCCTCTCCTGCTGGTGACTTTCACATGTCGCTGCTTCTGCATCTGCTGCTTCATGATCCGGCAACGACTTCAACCACTGGTGGCCGGCCCACGTATGGAAAAGGCACTGTCGTATGCACCGCTTGACTCCATTCGAACGGCCCAATGGTCTTTCTCGGGTTATGGTCGCCGTGACTAACGACAAAATGGGAGACAATCCATGAGGTTCTGCAGGAATATGACAAGAATCAATGTTGTGATATACTATGATAGATAATAGTCTACCCTAGTCAAATTAAAAGGAAGGAAGTGCAGTCATAACCATAAATATTGGTGGTGAGCCGCCGCTACGATTAAAGTATCGAACCGCAGAAAAAATTGGTACAATAGAGCCCTCCTCCCACTAATGTTGGGGATATTCCATGGTATCGTAGGTATGTACGTAGGAGATGACCAGAAATCTAGGACATGAATGGGTCGCAGTTGCAGATAATAGCCCTTACTCCAAAGCTCGCAAATCCACCAACTGCTAATCCCACAATCAGGCAGAAAGCTGCGACAGTGCTAGCAACATCAACATCTTCCTGTCGACCCTTCAATCTCCTGTTGTGTTCCAACGACGGCGCGCCTAACATGCATAAAGTAGACATATAACCGTTCGACACGCCCAGAGCGAACAGGAGTAGTATATAGACCAAGTCAGAGTTGATAAACGGCGTGACATGGAGTGAAAGTTCCACATTGCATAGAAGGAACGCAGGGATAAACAGGATCCGAAGGAGAGTTAGAGCCAAAACACGTCGAGCCGACCAGATTATGAGTCGTGGGAAGGAACACATGTGTCGTCCTAAAAGGTCACCGAACTGAACACCAAAAAGTGTACAGCACTAAACAGTAGAGGATGAATACTTCGGATTCGTCGGCTTGATGGTGACGGTGATGGCTGGATAAACAGCCTACAGACGCTGGTGAGGAGAATGATACTACTGGCAGACAGTCTGAGAAAAACATACCAAAGTTACAGTGAAAACAAATCCCACAGAAAAATTATAAATAAAATTCGCCTGGAAAACACGGAAAATCGGGTTCCCTTCAACTGCGCCTGGGGGCACTGCAGGTAGGAGAGGTTGTCGTTCATCGACCTCGTCCGAGACAACTCGAGCCTTGAGGTTATTCTCGAGAGCTCCCATAGTTGTCGTATATACTTGCAATGATGCCAGCCATCTATATGCGAGAAGCGTAGCAATCATATACAACGCGGAAATTCCAAAGAATATACGCGCAGATTTCTCCTCAGCTTTACCGTCAGGATCGGTATCACTGATAGCTAGATCCAGTGGAGTGGTTCCCCAAACTGAGATGGCGGAGCTGATGACTTGCACGCTACTGACAGCAACGCCTACTGCAGCCTGGCCCTGACATCATCGATTGCATATAAGGTGCGCCAAAGAGTGCAGCGCCGGCAAATACCGAGTTCGATAGATAAGACGCGCAGCCCGACAAGCAGAACGTGCTTATCATGATGAAGTAGAAGAATGGAACTGGGATTAGGATGGAGGAACGTTGTCAAAAACAGTATAGGTGACAATGGCCGAGGTAAGCGCGGTGGACCTAAAGGCGCGCCTGGAAGGGGAAGACTAAAAGGAACGCCATGGTCAGAAATAAACCTCCCTCGTGCATGCAGGCACCCACTTGTTTCGAGGTCATAGTCGCATGTCCCAATGTAATCACGTTGCTGGCGGTAAACACGCTGGACAAGTACGAACTAAATGACGTTCTCAGTGGTGAACCCGACAGTCGCGACATGAAGAATGGATTCGCATTGATCATGGCTGGCGGAAAATATCAGCCATTGACAGATCCATATCTTCCCAAAGACATACCGTTCCATGATAGTAGAGTAGCGGCCCCTAGCATAAAGTATACCCAGCGTATACGAGCGTCTCCACGCATATCTTGCGGGTGTGAAATCTCCATGATGGTCCGCTCATCATCGGAGTCGTCGTGTTCGACTTCTGTAGCTATACGGGACATGCTACCTCCCACGTCTGAACCCGTAGCAGACGTACGAATGTTCATTGTGCCTATGAGTGCAAGCAACGTTGCCGGTAATAAAGTTGTGGTGGAAGCGAAAGAGATATGGTACAGCATGGTTCGCAACGTTCAGGGCAAGTGCCAGCTACGGACTTCTTCCTTTTATTGGTCTGCCAACGGGAGACTAGCCCGGTCCAAAAGCAGGTCTCTCACGTTATATTGTAAGCGAAATGGGATAGAGGCTGAGCCAAAGACTGATAGGAATTCAGATAACTGGAGCCTAGATTAACCAGCAGTTGATGATAACCAACCAAGCATATACTATAGCTAGAAGCATTCCCCTGACACAATATCATGCTTCTTGTCTCCTCGCAGACTGGCCAGGAATAAATTGGTTTGGCGCATCTCGCAAGACCAACTGGCTGAGCTTCTCTTCTGTTTCTCCGCCTTCCTTGCCTTGCGCTTAGACGTTCTCTCCATCTTCGCAAGACGGTCCTTGGTCAACCACCTCCGTTTCTTTTCTGACTTTCTCTCCTCTTCCAGCTTCTGCCGGTACTTGAAAGCAGCTTCTGCGCGCGCATCCCGAATACTCCGGCCATTAAGACTCTTGAGTTCCTGGGCAACGAACTTTTTGAAGAGCGTGCTCTTGCGTTTCGCAGCAGCCTGCCAGCGCGCTTGCTTCTTCGCTCTACTATGAGGGTTGCTCAGCTCCTTTGTAAGATATACCTCCATCGGCGCTGACGTGTCGAAAGGAACGGCGGAAGGATTGAACAGCGTCCTGAGGTATGCCTTCTCAGTTATGCCACTCTCGAGGGAGATCAATTTGGACAGAGAGAACGCGGGTGGTTTGTACGTTATTTCCCGAACCGTCTCTGGCGTCGTGTCCAATAATGGATTAGCTACATCATCCTGAGGTCAGAAAATAAAACAAAAGTAAAATGAGAGTGTCTGACGTTCTTTGTGGTCTCTCTCTTCCCGTTGAGGCCATTCTAACTCGATCTTTGTCTTCGGGGTATATGGATCAGTAGCGAGCACCAGACGCTTCCAGTTCCAGCGGTAGAGAATGGGATCCCAATGAGGATCTCGCACACCAATACGTCTCGCAAATATACTGTGGGCATTATACAGTCAAGGGCAGGGACGCGGAAGGGTGTGAACACTTACGAAATCGCCTTGGGCTGCTCACCAACTGAGGTAGCCTTTCCCACTTGTTCGCCAATGTAGAGCATACATCTTGAGTAGTGCACACTGCGGTTGACCGGGGTCTTGTATTGCTTCCCCTCATGCTACAAAACAACTCAGTGAGCACTGAAGAACACCAGTGCGGTACAGTCAGTATAATAACCACGCACGAGGTTGGCACCCTTCAAATAGACGCGGTTGGTAAATTTATTTATGCTGAGAACCTCGTGGATGGTCTTGCGTGTGTCTCCGCGTATGCAAATTTGATCACCTGGAACGACGTTCCAGTATTTTATACGGTCTTTGACGCGTACGGCCTTTGTGATGGGGTCGAACCATGTCTGTCTATTCTGGAAGTGTTTTGGGACAGGGAGAAGGTGACGGAAATCTCTCGTCCATGGAGAGACAGTAGTAGCTCGCTGGACTTGTATACGGGTAAGTGACATCGAGTCCGAGACTGCTCAGTGCGTTCAAGACAACTCAAAGGAAAAGTAAGTAGTAGATGACTAAGCAACTTTACAATGGCATCTCCTGAAGCGGAAGCACCCTGACTCCAGCAAAGGACTATACAAACTACGGTTTAAGTATGCTCAAAGTCGTGTCTCATGAGGAAGACGCGAATCAACGATTGATGTGCGATTTTTGCATTGAAGATCCAGCAATGAAGGCTCGGTATGATTACAAGAGAAGAATGTCATAAATTACCAATGCCTCAATAAACCTGGCTGTCAGCCCATCGGCCCAGCTTTGGACCCGCTCCATGCTGTCGATGATGCGCTGGGTTCCTCTGATTCTAGCGTCTACAGCAAAAAAAGGTGAGTCATACAGCCAATACTCGAAGAAATGTAATCACCTCGAGCAACATCCCAATCACGTTGTCCACTTCCGATGGTTGCACTCCACCACACCCTGCCCCGATCAGTTTTCTATACTCAGCCATTCGTCCCCCAGTCCCCGCCTCCGCTTGGAATGACACCAACTCGTCAAACATATCTTTCCTTCGTTTCCTGTGCAGTCCAATCTCTTCTCGTAAGGCATCGCAGGCGACTCGCAGTGCTTCCGGATCCGTAGGCACGTCAGCATATATCGCCAACAGGTCCGAGATGTCCTCTTCCTGGGGTAATGCCTTTCGCTTCCCTTTCCCCTTGTCTTTCCCAGGCTCTGCAACTTCCTCGATGTCATCGTCCGTCCGATAAGGCACCGTCGCTGCTGTAATCCTCAACTCTCCGTCAGCAGCGTCCCGTATCGACATTTCGCGGTTCTCCTCGTCCTTTACCCATTTCTCCCAGCCCAGACGATACCGCCTCCCCATCTTGTCAAGTAACCGTCCTTCCAAATCTACAAGCACACTCTTAGCCAGCTGCAGCCCCTCCGCTTTCGTTTTGAGCTGGTTCACGGCGCGGTGGCTCTCTAGAATTTCTTGCTGAATATTCTGCAAGAGTGCATGCGCTTGTGTCATATCACGCTCTTTTTCTTGCAGTTCGCGGTCGAATGACGAGGCGAGACTGTCGAGCATGCTTGTGATATCATTGACACAGCGCGTGCTGGCCTTCTGCCCTGCGACAGAGTGATGGAGCGGCGGCTTGTCACCATTCATAGGGTAGGCCAACGTCATTGCATTGGAGGTTGTGGGACCAAGAGTCGCTTGGGCATTGCGGAAGGACATTGATGAGAGGCGGGAGGTTGGGCCTGGAGACGAACGGAAACGTTCGTCCTCGAGGATGTAGTCTTCGGTGCTCTTTCCATCGTTGTTAATGATTTTTGGATTAGCCCCGTGGTCGATTAGAAGTTTCACGAGACGCTTGCTCCGACACCGGGCAGCCATTGTCAGGGCAGTTTCACCATCTTCGTCTTGAAAATTGATGACATCTGCGAGTTCTTTGGGGTAGTCAGCTAGGCGGTTGAGCACTGTTTCCATGTAGTACCGCGCGGCATGTGTTTTCCCCTTCGACATTGCGACGTCGACAATATGGTGAAACACGGTCCGGTTATAATTGTCGATGTTGAGTGTGGAACGGTGAAGAAGTTCGTACAGCTCGGGGAATTTCCGCACATCATAGTTGTTTGCAAACATGACACTTCGCATGAGCGCAGTCTGGCCTGCTTTGTTCACCTTGAATATTTCTGCGCCCGCTGTGATCAATAACTTGACGATACGTAGGCGGCCCATTGCTGAGGCCCAATGCAATGCCGTATGACCATCGTCATCGATGGCGGTATTCGGGTCAAAATCAGGCGGTGGGGAAATGAGAACCTGGGGGATTTGATTTGAGTCAGAAATGAAGTACTCGAGGATTTGGTCTGCGTATGCGCGTGGGTCGGTCGCGCCGTTGGATTGCGTGGGTTCCTCTTCTGAACCCTCGTCATCATAGCGGTCATCTATGTGACGCTGTGGTGGTTTTCGACGATTGCCACTGCGGCGGTCTCTAGTAGCGTCTGTTGATCCAAATTTATTTCCGATGGGCGAGGGAGTGCGTGAACTTGACGAGCCGCGGGAAGGTGAGGATGTCATAGATCCATCCTCTGATGCATGAACGGATAATATTTCGTGATCAGATTCAACTGGGGGTTCTACATTACGACGCGAGCGAGCAGTAGCAGCAAGGGCGGCGGCCGCTTCTGCAGCTGCAGCTGTGCGACGCGGGGGACGAGCCGCTGTACTTGTAGAGACGAGGTGTTTAGGAGCCAGAGGTGGGCTCTTGGCTGCCGGCTGAAAATCAATGATGGGACGCAGAGCAGTTTCACAGTTGTACTGTTTTGCCAAAGCGAGACCTCGTTCAAGAGGTATCCACGTTCCTGTAGTGGGGTGTGTTCTTCAAGTGATCACAAAAAAGGAGTCACGGAAATTGCCTACCTTGGTACTTTCCATACCCACCCTGAACCTTTTCGTGCTCGCCCTTCTGGACTTCTCTCTCGAGTACGCGGGTTCGCTGAGGTTTGTCGAAACCTGCGACTTTCAGGATCTGAGTCGCGTTGAGCCACGAGTCAGCGCGCCGGCGCATGACAGCAACGCCCTTGCACATCCTGGGCGCGTAGCCATAAATGAGGCTCCGACCTGAATGTGAAATGAACGACTCACATCTCGAACACGGGAATTCCGCTGTAAGTTGCCTAGGATTATGGGCCACAGGGATGAGGTCAGTGCGGGGCGGTTAGCGGGTAGTAAGTAGTAGTACCTTGAAAATCTGGCCCTCAGGCATGATGAAGACAGTTAAACGCGCTTATGCGTGATTTCAGGGGATTACTGCTATCCAAACGATTTTGGTGGTGGACTCTCAGGCGAGCTGGTGCTGACGGGCGTCGCGGTTTCCGATACATACACGTGCTTCAACAAGAACAAACAACGCGATGCCATCCACCTTCGAGTTTAGCGCTGCAGCATCAAAGGACTTCATATATGATTACTTTCTAGAGAGCATGTATCATTGAATACTACGTGCCAGCATTGCATGCTGCAGTTTAAGATGAGACTAGCAGCCATAATACTCTCCAAGCTCCCGGAAGTTTCCCGCACAACGGTCTGAAATGCTACAGCACCTAGTCTCCAGGAAGAGTCTCAGTCGTCAGGACCGCACCGTAACTGCGGGCAGTCCCAAGAGTGCGTTTCAACCGCCTTTGATGCATGATGCATTGTGAAACCCGATCCCCGACAATCCATCATAAGATCCGATACTCGTGTTCTTCGCAAGTCTATTTCGATTCAGTTACGCCCGTAACCCCCCTCCTTGATGTTGCGTTTAGGCTTCCTAGTCTGCTTCGTCTAGAATTAGATGCTGCAGCGCATTAATGTACACCACGTTGTTTTACGGGTTGCCTCGTTGCAGACGCGCTGTTTTTACCAAGGAGTTGGGATTATCCTTGGTCGACTCTTCTCTTTGTGAGTCTGGAAGCTGCCTGTGGCCATGGCAAGTAAGAGCAGTTGCCTTGATTTAAAAATCTGTCAAACAAGAACAAAAGGATGTGAAGAAAGCAACTTTGAAGCCTGACGCGACGGTCACGGGACCCGTTTCCTTTTGTAAGGTGGTTCTTTCCTCGAGGCTTGATAGCGGCAATTGTTCCTGCCCTCACAAACCGCGTCTTTCACTCTGACCACCACGAGGCTTTCCACCGTTCTAGTCACCGTTCACAACAGTGAGCTCCTGTCATGCCACCAACCTGCGCTCCGCTCTGTTATTTTGGAGACAGGTAAGTCCGCTCATGACCCGTCATATCTAATTTTTTGAATTAACCCCATCTCTAGACTTTACTTTACTACCTTTCCCTACCCCGCACCATCTCCCCAATCTCTCAATAGCGCAGCCTCCAACTCAGGAAATGCCCCAAAGATTCGCCCCCAACCCCATATGGGTGCACCACTTGGTCCTTCAGTCCCCACCCCGGATGATGACGCAATTTACTACTACTTTACAATCGATGACCAACTGCTCTACACCTCATTCTATCAGGACTGGGGCCGCTAAACCTCGCAATGGTCTACAAAGCATGCTTATTAATTCACGGCCTTTTGAAGGTACGCGTCCAATTTTCCTCGATCGTTTGCACGCGATCATGATCGCCACAGGATGAAGATCTCAGTGCACACCGTCTCGTTCTCTATTCTTCCGATGATCCACGTCGTAAAGCTAACGCTGCCTTGTTGATGGCCCTGTACATGGTATGACTCGTTATCTCACAAAATCCTACTGTATTCACCCACTCTCAGTTGATCGTCCATAATTACACTCCATGGCGCTGCTTCCAACCCATAAGCGAACTAGAGTTCATGTCTTTCAGAGACGCAGGGCGTGGCCCTTCAACCTTCAACCTGAGCATTCACGACTGTTTGTGGGGTTTCTGGAAAGGAATTCAAAACCGCCTTATCGACCTTGATGTTTTCGACCTCCAAGACTACGAGTTTTATGAGAAGGTCGAGAATGGTGACTGGAACTGGATAACCCCCAACTTCATCGCATTTGCTTCGCCTAGAGATTATGCGTGGACAAAACAGAAGAATGAAATCGAAACTGTTGTTGCTGTCCCCGCATCCCCTGTGCGACCTGGTGTAGCTTCACCACCAAAATCACCTCGCAAACTCGCTCTACAACGTAAACTTAATTCCGCTTTCTGCAATTGCCTTGATTATTTCGAGAAGCATAAAGTCGACCTCGTCGTCCGTCTCAATGCAGAGCTCTACGATAAACAGCTATTTTTGGATCGCGGAATCAAACATCTCGATCTCTGTTTCGAAGATGGGTCAAACCCGTCAGACGAAATCGTCCGCACCTTCATTGATGTGGCAGACGCTGTCATTGAGGGCGGTGGGGTTGTTGCTGTACACGTGGGTTATTTCATATATATATATGCTCGCTGTTCTGACATATTTATATGATACTCAGTGCAAAGCGGGGCTCGGTCGCACTGGATGCCTCATTGGAGCATATCTTATCTGGAAGTATGGCTTTACAGCATCGGAGGCGATTGCGTTTATGCGCATTGTCAGGCCAGGCTGTGTTGTTGGTCCACAGCAACATTATATGCACCAGATGCAGCTTCAATGGGCCAAGTGGGCCGCTGCGGATGAGATACGACGCTTGCAGGCAGCTGCAGTCGCGGCTGCCGCACATGTCGTGACTCCTGCTACACCTCCTGCAGAACAAGACGAAGTCATGCACGAAACCAGGTCGTTGACGCCACCCGTAGCACCTCCTCCACCTGTCACCCCTGGTCGTGCTGTCGTAGCTGCGAGGACGCGTGAGACACCTCCGCCAGGACAGCCGCGCAAGACGCCTATGGCAAAACGAGTCGCTATTGAATCGGACGAAGAGGACGTGGAGATGGATGACACCCTCCCTGCTCTTGGAGCAGCACCACCCGTTACCCGGCCTCGCGCTAGGACAACGACTCGAGTCTCGGGCGCAAGAGGAACAGCGTCTGAACAACGCCCGACGCGGGTGTTACGGTCATCTGTGACAAGCGTACATCAGAAGACTACTGCCGCCAGGAGCAGTCGAGTGGCAGCTCCACCTCCTAACAAGATACCCCGATTGGCTGGAGGTCCAGCGGCGCGGAGTACTGTTACTGCTGCAAGAGGGCCTGGTGCCCCATCAGCGCGCCGTGTACCCCAACCCCCTTCGCCTACCCCTTCGCGATTACCGACGCTCACCAAGAAACATAATCATGCACCTTCGCTGGCGGAACTACCAAGCACACGGTCAGGTAAACCTGAATCCTGGATGAAGGCAGGAGCCTCTGCCATTGTCATGCCTCCCTCGAAGTCTACACAACGCCCTGGTCCACGGCCCGTTAGACGGAGAAGAAGCAGCTTTAGCGCTGCGGATGTCGTTGCATAGACACCATAGCATTGGATCTGTCGCAAGCTGTATTCCTGCTTTGTTGCGTTCACGTTCAGTCAGCTCTCGCACTTTTCATTATCGACAATGATCATCCTCATTCGTTCTCTGTATTTAATTTTCTTTCTGGCGTCGTATAGGCTTAGTATCTTTCGATATCTGCACTGTCCACATTATCCACAAATCATCCATCCATCGAGCATCCATATTATGTAGCCTTGATCTCATTTACCTTTCCGTGCCACTCGTCTTACCAGAAGGTGCGCTATGGAATGATATGCGAGAGCAGGTGATCTCGTCCGCAACGACCTGCCTGTTGGCGGCGTGAAATGAAGGATCCCTTGGTATAATTACAACTTCTTTTGCCCCTCTCACGGCACTGCCGAGTACTTGTGAACACACTCCAGGAAAAACTTCATGTCTTCTGGATCAACCCCCGGTGTGATACCATGTACCCAAATTTGCAATCCATGCTTTGCATGCACCGCCCCTAGTAGTCATGGAACATATTGCACATCCTCTTCACCTCACGCTCAATGGCATCCCTGCCGCCATAAAGCACCACGGGGTCGAGGTTGCCTTGTAGAGTGATGGTTCTACCGTCAATGATACCATCGGTGAGCTTGGCGACATCCCGAGGGTCAAGCGTCCAGTCGAGGCCGATGGTATCATATCCTGCGCTTGCAGCGAGGGATGGGGATGCGCCTTTTGCAAACAAGGTGAGAGGGACAACAGGAAGTTGTCGTGCCTTGAGTCCCTCACGGACTTCGTCCGCAATACGTTTTAGATAAGGCAGAGAGAACGTAGAAAAGTCGTGCGGCGACAGATCTCCAGCATTCGAATCGAATACCTGCAGAAGCTGTTGATAGTCATAGTTTAGTTTGTGTGATCCCACTGTCCTAATGCACGATAAGACGAACCTGTGCGCCGGCGTTCACCTGCCCGATGAGATACTGCACGCAGATGTCCGTGGTGCGCTCAAGCAGCTGTTTTGAAGCTTCAGGGATATTTAAAGAGCCACGTCTTTGATTTCTGACGCGTCTGACTTCCGCCGCCCTCGATCATGTACATCATAAGTGTCCATGGGGCCCCACTGAAGCCGATGAGGGGAACCTGCCCTGCAAGGGTCTTACGCGTGAGGGTGAGCGCCTCGAACACATATCCGAGCTCTTTCTCTACATCTACTTCGCGAGGCAACTTCTCGATGTCCGCAGGGCGTGTTCAGGGGATCAGTGAAGTGCGGGCCCGGGTTCATAATCACTTCCATACCCATGGCTTGCGGCACGACGAGAATGTCGGAGAAGATGATAGCTGCATCGAGAAGGCCGGCGTACCGCCGGATGGGCTGCATGGTGATCTCAGTTGCGAGAGTAGGCGAGCGGCATATCTCGAAGAACTCATGGGTTTCACGGGTTTTTCGGAACTCTGGTGCAGGTTATGATGGATCGGATGGAGAGGGTGTCTGGATGGCGTACCTGGGAGATATCTCCCTGCTTGGCGCATGACCCATACAGGTGCGCGTTCTGTCTGCTCGCCGCGAGCTGCGCGGAGGAGTAGGTCGTTTTTTAGAGTCGGAAATTCTTGTGCCATCTTGATGATTGGGTGAAAAAAAATAACCTGTGTACGCGTCAGACGCCAGCAAATTTGGTTCGTGACGAAGCCGAGAACTCGTTTGGTAGTAATCTCAGCTTCCTGATCATGATCTACTTATGTCCGAATCGGGGTCTCTATTTCCTTCTCACCTTGACCGCCATCTCGTTATCTCTCAGCGCTAAGTATGCGCCCTTTGTATTATGACCATCACCAATCCAACCCAATTAATAGACGAGTGAGTCACTTTATATACTACCGGGGTAATACTCAAGAGCTACACCACAGGTTCAAAAAATCGGGCGAATTTGACCGTCTGAGACGTGATCTCCTGTCACATTTCCAGCGTAGTGTAAGTTATCATCCAATACATACGTGACACGACTGCTTACCAGGCTTATAGGACCGCACTGAGGCCTTTAAATCTCGGGTTGATGATATAGCCCGACAACGGCTGTCTTCTGATCCAAAACTGATATCTATGCCCAACGATGCTGTCCAGCGTGAACTGTTAGGGGAAATCGACCGGTTCGTCCGCTCACTGTCGCTTGGTCAGTACTGATGACTGGGCCCACTTTTCTCAGCTATCCCATTGTTGAACGAGCGGTGGCTGACGCTCCTTTATTATCTGACCCATCATTCATCTCTGGCATACGTGCTTCACTGGAACGTACCATGTCGGCGGGCAGGGGCGAAAAGAACAACGCTACTCCAAGTGAGCATTTATATGTATGTTTTGATGGTTTCTTTCAGTTCTTGACTGGGAAGATAGGCCAATTGACGCCAAACCTGCAACCATGTGATTCGGGCAATTCCGATTTCAATCCAGCTATTTCCCAGCCCAATGGCGCTCTGACACCTTCTCCGGCGGCCCAGAAAGAGTGAATTTGACCATCGCAGCCCTGGCGTCTCTACACATAGTCTGACTGGACACTCAAGTTCTATCTAAAAGGTTCGACTACTACGCTCTCTGCGCAAGGTAATGCTCATACGGCCGCCTGCAAGCTATTTATTTATCCGTCCTTGACTTATTTGTTCATTACAAGGAATCACTTACGATTGGGAGACTAACAATCCAAGCAAAATCCGTGATATAATATACCGGCAGCTAAGCTTCGAAGTGTTGTGACGATAATAGGCGAATATTTCTTAGATTCAAGTCGTTGTGAGAAAGCGTGCATACTGTGGTCCAGTAGGATATCAAAAGACCTTACAAGACAAATAGAGGATCGAGCTCAGCGTGATGACGCCGCAACTACTGGCCTTGCAGCTAGTTCACTTCCGTGGGAAGAATCGAGTAGCTCATGTAGGTCCTGAGTTCTTCAGCCACTCCTTATTCAAGTTATTGGCATTATATCAATTTCGAAGTTCCCGCATGGCAACGAATAATATCCGGCATCTCCGAACGCAGGAGTCGGGATACACCATGAGCTCGGAGCAGCAAGGACTTAAGTACTGATTACTGAATTGGTAGTGAATGTGCTGAGCAAACTTCTCGGCGACATACTATGGATTAGATTTAGAACGTGTTTGTACTACATCAGAGGGAAAGTTTGGCTGTTGCCTGTTTCCAGCCGTCTACGCTTCGAAACCGGCTTCGGAGGAAAATATTAGGTTGGATTGGATTAAAAGATGAAGGGGCACTGAGAGATGTGGGTCGTGGTAGAGTCCAGGAGCGTCGGACCGAAGTTTCAGATCCTACGCGTTCAAACTCAACGAACAACGACGGAGATGAAAAAAATATGATGGCACTGGGAAGTCCTTACATTAACGAAGCCTGCGGCTCCGCAGTTTAATGTTTGAGAGACGAACTTCACGATGCTAATATGATGGTGCACTCAGCACGATAAGTTTGTCGTGATTTGTTGGTGAAGTAGCCAGAGGTGGCCATCATGCATAAAACCTGAGGTGTCAGTCGGCGAATAGAGAGCTAAAAGACTTTGATGTGTTCTTGATCGTGGGGCAGGTGCCAGATAGGCGAATTGACAAGTAGACCGCAAGCGTCATTAATGCCAGAGCATGCATTGTCAACAACATATTAGAACAAGAAAATATGTACAATTGTATCCCGATATGACACCTACATTTGATCCCGCACTGTGATGTCAAGTTCAAACTGTGACAGACCTAGATGTCAGGTGAAAAACGCCACTCACAACAAGCACTTTCCTCAGCTTCGTATTTCATCTTCGCACGCTTAGTAGTTAGCATCCTGTTCAATGAGCGCGACAGCTTTCGGAGAGCGAGGCTTAACGGAACACTCGAAGGGTTTTGGGTGGCTAGAAGGGTATCTATCGGATCAGCGCCGGACGTGACCAGATATGTAACATACCTGATCGTGCCTGATATTGGATCAAGCTCAGGGATGATCTCAATACCGTTTTCGACGGCTTTCGAGATATCGAACACAGCCAGTGACATCGCGATAGATAACCAGATAGAGGCTTCAGCGAAGTGGATACCTATAAACGAAAAGCAATCGAACGTCAGAGTACAATCTCGGAGTTGGGCATACCTGGACAAATACTGCAGAGCAGAAAGTTAGCATGGCACAAAAACCTACTACATACTTACCGTCTTCCAAAGCCGAAGCAGATCGTGCGGGGCTCTGTCTCAGGCTTCTTTCCGTCATTGGCCAAAAAGCGTTCAGGGTTGAATTGCGAAGGGTTAGTATATCTCTCGGGGTCATTGAGCATGAACCTGCCATTATATTCTGAGGTTCAAACTTTAAATATGAAGAGAAGAGTGTACCAACCAGATGTTAGGTATGATCACGGAACCTTTTGGGATGTAGTACCCATCATAGATGTCATCCTCAGAGGTACAGTGGGGAAAACCTGACATTGAGATACCGTTCGACGACTTAATAATGCGTTAAACGAGATACACGGACCGGTAGGGATAACAGCATGCCATCGTAGGTTTCTTTGGCAAGTGCTTCAATGTAGGGAAGAGAGCCTTGGTCGGCGAAGGAGGGAAGACGATCAGGACCGACAACAGCATCTATTTCAGCCTGAGCCTTCTTCTGCACATCAGGGAACAGCGTCATAGCTAGGAAGAACGAGTTGATAGTAGAAACAGTCTGAGGAAGGAAGTGTAGTGTTCTTAGAAGATGATTATTAGAAATATGGAGGGAGGGACCAACCGTGTCGGAAGCGCCGGCATATAGAGTTGCAGCAGACCATTTTATAACATGCTCGTCTTCCTCTGACAAAGGACTGCCTTTTTTCACCAGATTCGAGGTGAAAGACTCCGGGGCAATGCCAGCAGCCTGGGAAAGTCAAACTTCAATGCATACTCACAAAACTACATATGATGGTCACCATCTGATCTTCGACGAACTTGTACGGTGCGAAAACCATTTCTTCAAGAGTGTCGTGCCATTCGCGGGCCAGACGCTTGAAGCCAGCACCAGGGAACCATTCGGGGACCTTGACCACTAAAAATGGTGAGGCCGTTGAAAGTAAATGTCTGAATGCTATGGCTTACAGAATGGCACAACATCAGCCATGAAGGCGCCAGGAGCGGTGGCACGCGACCACTGGATCAGAGCGCGGTCTGCAAGGTCAACGAAGGGGTCATTGCTCTCTTTCACCTCATAACCATGAGAGATGCGCAGAATGATAGCGCCAGCGGTGCTATAAAAATCAAAATTTTGTTGATGTAAAGATAAATAATACATACTGTCGAACATGTGCCAGTAGTTGATCGGGTTTTGTGAACACACGCTTGAGGAATCGGCGAGTCTCGATCTCCTCGACATGGTTGTATATTCCCACAGTGGCGCGGGTGCCAATGACGCTGTGGAAGTCTTTGCGGTACCGGCGTAAACGGTCGCCGTAAGGGAGGAGAGGCATGATATTTTTCCAGCCAATAAGTTCGCCACCAACAGGAAGAATAGGACGGTCAGAGTATATAGCGCTCTTGTTGTCCAGCATGTCCATCGCAGTCTCCACAGAGTTCAGCACCATAATGTGTTGACCCAGAACCTCGATATGCGATATATGACCTGCGGATAAGATCCTGAAATGCAAAATTGTGGCAAACAAGAGACACTCACCATACTTCTTACCCCACTCCGTGAAGGTGAGCCAGGGTTTGATGTGGGGCATGTCCAGGACATTCCCGATGAGAGGCCACCCCGGAGGACCAGGGGGATATGCAGGGTTCTTTAGCTTGTTGAATACCTGCTTAAGTAAATATACTCCGACACAAGCAAGGCATAGGTCGAGCCCAGTGACGTTGGTGAGAGTCAACATGGTCTGGTACTAGGAGGAGACGATCAACTTAAGAGTGGGGCGGTTGTAGTGGGGCTTGAAGGACTTAATAAGGGGAGTCCTATCTGCGGACCATGTTCGATTTATGACCAAACTCAGGTTTTTCAAGATGCGCCCACCACGAGGCCTATCAATTTGACTAAAACCAAAGAGATCATCAAAACCTACAGGTGACAGATCGAGTCTTATAAGACTTGAAGGAAGTCAATAGTAAGTACCGTTTCGTACCATTTGACCTGTGACTAAACACCGGTGGCGAAAATATTCCTCGGTGGACTTGGCCAGGTACCAGTGCAGAATGGAATTGGCCTTGTACATGGCTGGCAAGTGGCAAAATGGCCGCAGAACGGTGATCAGTAGATCGATGGCCGGGCTCGCAGACCTAACGGCAGCAGATATTAAAAAGTATCGTCACAGAGCATTTTCAACTTACATTTCCATTAATGGTAAAAATAGGTCTAGTTACTATATCGAGGCTACATTCTGATGTCAAATTCTCCAAGTACATCATTCCTCAAGTCAAGCCAGCATTCTAAGGTAGGGCTCGTACAAAACCGACCAACCGTGACCTACTGTGACCTAATGTGACTATGCTAATTGGCAGCCGGCGGACGGCGTCACGGCAGTGTTCTATGTTTGGCCTGAAGTATGTTACACACATGTACAACATCAAGAACTTCCACTACATCTACTTTATCACAATTATAACTCCTGTGAACTGTGCCAAACAGCTTTCTCAATGATCCACAGGAGTCTGTTTTTTTTTCTTTTTGTGAATCTCTTGCTAAACGGACGACAGAGCCCTCCCACTAATGTTGGGTATTGGGAAAAGCACCAATGTATTGACTTCAACATAATACTCCACTCCACATCGCGCAACCCTGAGTCTGGACTAGAATACGAAGTATGATTCACTGTACACTCGGTTACATCTAAATTGTATCTGAAATCTCCATGGGTCCATTGCCAAGATCATCGCCGGTACTAAGGTCTGCAAGTGTTGATTTTAGTAAGTGTAAGGAACGGAGAGGGCTTTGAAGAGGCTCACTCCTCTCGGCACTCTTGCCAATGTTGTCCATGTGCCATGCGGCTCAAATCAAGCTCGGGACCTCCTCTGGGTATCACTAATGCAGTCACAGGGTTATAGAAGGAGTGTCGAGAAGCGGGTGGTACCCAGAACAAGAGTCGATGTTTGGGTCCTGCCACCCACCCACTGTCACCGTTCAAGAAAAAGGGGGTCGAACTACGGTCGTCGTGAGATGCTCCCTCCATTAACTCAGAAGTATCGCGCAGTGCATGGATGGTGTGGGGCGAGAAGTAAATGAAGTGATTGTTCCAAGTGTTCAATGTCATGGTAGTGGTGGCATCGATCGTGCGATGTTCATCTGAGAATGCTGAATGACCAGACTCGGTGGGCAGTCGCGAAGGCTGCCTCGCTACTGCATCCCACAGCCGGACAGTCTTATCGTCCGAACCAGTGACGATGCGAGTGCCGTCTGACGAGAACGAGACCGAGTTGACTGAACGAGTGTGGCCCCGCAAGGGCTCACCGACTGGCTGCCCCGTCACTGCATCCCACAGACGAACAGTCCCATCCCAAGAACCAGTGACGATGCGAGTGCCGTCCGGCGAGAACGAAACCGAGTTAACTGAATCAGTGTGGCCCAGCAAGGGTTCACAGACAGGCTGCCCTGTCACTGTATCCCACAGCCGAACTGTGTTATCCGAAGAACAAGTGACGATGCGAGTGCCGTCTGGCGAGAACGAGACCGAGTCAACTGAAGAAGTGTGTCCCCGCAAGGGCTCACCGACTGGCTGCCCTGACGCTACAACCCACAGCCGCACAGTCTTATCTCTTGAACCAGTGACGATGAGAGTACCATCCAGCGAGAACGAG